CTAACCACCCTAACACCCTAACAACCCTAAACACCCTAACACCCTAACACCCTAAACACCCTAACACCCTAACACCCTAACACCCTAACACCCTAACACCCTACACCCTAACACCTAACCCTAACACCCTAACACCCTAACACCCTAACACCCTAACACCCTAACACCCTAACACCCTAACACCCTAACACCCTAACACCCTAACACCCTAACACCCTAACACCCTAACACCCTAACACCCTAACACCCTAACACCCTAACACCCTAACACCCTAACACCCTAACACCCTAACACCCTAACCCTAACACCCTAACACCCTAACACCCTAACACCCTAACACCCTAACACCCTAACACCCTAACACCCTAACACCCTAACACCCTAACACCCTAACACCCTAACACCCTAACCCTAACACCCTAACACCCTAACACCCTAACACCCTAACACCCTAACACCCTAACACCCTAACACCCTAACACCCTAACACCCTAACACCCTAACACCCTAACACCCTAACACCCTAACACCCTAACACCCTAACACCCTAACACCCTAACACCCTAACACCCTAACACCCTAACACCCTAACACCCTAACACCCTAACACCCTAACACCCTAACACCCTAACACCCTAACACCCTAACACCCTAACACCCTAACACCCTAACACCCTAACACCCTAACACCCTAACACCCTAACACCCTAACACCCTAACACCCTAACACCCTAACACCCTAACACCCTAACACCCTAACACCCTAACACCCTAACACCCTAACACCCTAACACCCTAACACCCTAACACCCTAACACCCTAACACCCTAACACCCTAACACCCTAACACCCCTAACACCCTAACACCCTAACACCCTAACACCCTAACACCCTAACACCCTAACACCCTAACACCCTAACACCCTAACACCCTAACACCCTAACACCCTAACACCCTAACACCCTAACCCTAACACCCCTAACACCCTAACACCCTAACACCCTAACACCCTAACACCCTAACACCCTAACACCCTAACACCCTAACACCCTAACACCCTAACACCCTAACACCCTAACACCCTAACACCCTAACACCCTACACCCTAACACCCTAACACCCTAACACCCTAACACCCTAACACCCTAACACCCTAACACCCTAACACCCTAACACCCTAACACCCTAACACCCTAACACCCTAACACCCTAACACCCTAACACCCTAACACCCTAACACCCTAACACCCTAACACCCTAACACCCTAACACCCTAACACCCTAACACCCTAACACCCTAACACCCTAACACCCTAACACCCTAACACCCTAACACCCTAACACCCTAACACCCTAACACCCTAACACCCTAACACCCTAACACCCTAACCCCTAACACCCTAACACCCTAACACCCTAACACCCTAACACCCTAACACCCTAACACCCTAACACCCTAACACCCTAACACCCTAACACCCTAACACCCTAACACCCTAACACCCTAACACCCTAACACCCTAACACCCTAACACCCTAACACCCTAACACCCTAACACCCTACACCCTAACACCCTAACACCCTAACACCCTAACACCCTAAATTTTTAAATAATTTAAATATATATCTTTGAATTAAATAAAATTCTTATATCAAGTCATGCTTTATAAATTTATTTAAAGAAAATAAAAACCTAATAATATACTGCACATTGGTGCACTTTAGCTTCTTTCCTATAAAATTTAAATTATTTCTGTTTATAGCTACGGGTATTACAGCTTTTTAATCTTATCGTGCATACAATTCTAGAGAACCTAACCCTTCCCTACATGAGCAGACATAATGCTAGCAAAAAATTGAATTGCTAGAGAAAAACCTAATATCCATGAGAGCAAAATTAGTTTAATATTAAAAAATTATTTTATATATATAAAGGGCGACTATCATAAAGAAATCTCTATAGCGCAGCACTATTTTCTGATCGGCGGCACTTGTCATTTTCTTGGCTGAACTTTACAGACCTTCACGTTCCAAAAAAAATTGCTAGGGATTATCATTCCGAAAATAGCAATACAGTAATTAATTCAATTAAATTTCATTCTAATAATTAAATTTATAAAAGTAATTTTACTTCAATTTTGTGTTAATTTTTAAATAAAATTTTAAGTAATTTATTTTCGCACAGAGTATGCCATTTGTAGGATTGATCTTCAATTTATATATTTTAATTTCTTACTGAATAACATAGACGATAAATTCCCAAAATTATTTTGCGAATTCCAATAACTTAAAAAAATCTATTAAAATATAAAAAACAACATTAGAATGGAAATCCCAGTTATTTTAGAAGATCTTAAAGATAAGCATAAAATTGCTTTCGAAAGAGATGAGATTACGAACTTTAGAGAGGATTTATTGTCACTTATCCATGAATCATGCAAGAAAGGTTATCTCCGTGGTATCGGCAAGCGCACCATTTCAGTTCCGGATTTTTCTCAAAACAATTACATAAATAAAATAAATTGCCTTCTACCAAAACAGTCCCAAGTCATTCGATTTAACATTTTTTCATTATTTGCAAGAATTACTCCAAATCAAAAAATTTTTATAAATATACCTCAGACAATCATAAGAACAGATGAATCATCAAGGCCATATTTAATTCAAACAGAAAAAGACGGTTGCATCGTATCAAAACCTTTTTTAAACAAAACAAATTTTTTTGAATATCCAAAAAAGACAGACGAAAGCTATCCATATTTCGTGTACAGAGTTCACAATAAAGAACCGGCTTTATTATTTTCGAAAGAAAACGCTGAAGAAGTATGGGATTCTTTTGATGGGCAAGCTATGATGCAAAGATATATTGAATGCAGATCAAATCCTGTATCAGTAATCAGAGTTTTATGGAAAAAAAATATGAAAAACAAATACTTCACTATTGTGAATAGAAATAAATATGATAGCAGCTGGATGAGCAAAAAAATGAGATACAAAAAAGCTATGATCAATAAAAATAAATCGTTTAGCAGCTTATCAGATTTTAAATACTCAAATATGATTCTTCCAACTACCCAATCAATCAATAACCCATATAAATTAATTGGAAAACCGAGCTGCTCAAAGCTGTCAAGATCAACAAGTTGTTTTCATAATATTAAGCAAGCAAATTCAATCATAAACTCAAACTCAATTAATTTGTCACAAACAATGTCTGAAGTTGTCAATAATGATAAAGAAGAAATGCATAATCCAGAAAGTATTAAAAGAATAGAAATTCTTAGAGAAGAATCAAGCAAAGATTTGATTATAAACACAAAAAATTCAGAAAGCTGCTATGCAGTAGAAACATTTATAAAAATTCCTGAAATTGAAGCTATGGTAAACCAAATAATTACTTTCTTAACAACAGACATTTATCCTCGTCAATCAATCAATGGGATGGTTTTTGATTTTATTCAAGATAAAAACGACAATAATTGGGCATTTTTGAGTTGCAGAGAACAATATATTGATTTTAAATTTCCACTGGATATTGACAAAGTTTCAAAACTCAAATTAAAATTAAAGCCATCAAGAAGATCTTTATCAACAGGCAGAACTGAAAAATCAAGTTCGACAGAAACAGAGCACAGAAGTAATCAGCAAGAACCAAAACAAGGGAAAACTGAAGAAAGCAATCTAATTAATGTCACTCTGCCTTTCAAATTCAAAGAAAATTATCCTTGCAAATCAGCACAGAAAAGTGTGAGTAGCGATAAAGATCTAATTGAAAGGGCTAATATAGTAAACGAAAGGCTTGGCCATATAATTACTCAAAAGACTCCTATATGCTTTAAAAATAAAGATATAAGGCAAGAATCAATCCAATATTATCAACGCTATAATCACAGGCTACCAAATGATTCTTTAACACCTCAATGTCCAGCATTCAAAAGCTATAGTGCAGGAGTACAGAATAAGATAGTTCTTTCTTCTATGGATGAAAAAAGTATAGCTTGCGCTCAACGAGCTCTTCGTGATGCAATTGATAATTTTGATGAAATGGCTATGAATGTCGAAATTTCTAAGGTAAAAAGGCAAAATTTAGTAGAAAAATATGGAGGAATTTCATTTTGAAACAGTCTTATTGTATCATTGTATAATAAAGTTCTTTCAAACGATAAATTAAATAAATACTTCAAAAACACTAGAATGGAAGACTTTGAAGTAATCGTTTCAGGGATGTTTAAGATATTTAATGGAAAAATGAGCTTGGAGTTCAGAAGAGCTATGAGAAAAAACCATCAAGGAAGAGGGATAACTGATAGTGAATACTGATGCTATGCAGAAATATATGAACAAACTTTAAAAGAGTTTAATATTGATGAAGAAGACCAAAAATCAATTATGTCGCAAATTCGATCTATGAAAGGACTTATAGTAAGATAATAATTAATATAATTGCTGATAATTGATTTAAATATTAAACCCTAAACAGTGCAAAATTATATAAGATTTTACAATTAGCACACCCAAATTTTATCAATTATTATTAACTAAAATGGCCTCCAAACTATGGGTTGATAAGTACCGCCCTCTCACAGTTGACCAACTTGACTACCACAGCACTCTTTCAGCTATATTAGAAAGGCTCAGCACTTCAGGAGACCTTCCTCATCTCCTATTTTACGGCCCTTCAGGTGCAGGAAAAAAGACGCGCGTTCTTGCTTTATTAAATGGAGTATTTGGCGCAGGTGTCAACAAAGTCAAATGCGAAGTCCGAAATTTCAAAGCTGGGACAGTCAACGTCGAAATTTCGATCCTTCAAAGCAATTATCACATTGATATGACCCCTTCTGATGTCGCTCATCGTGATAAAATCGTTGTCCAGCAGATAATTAAAGAAATCGGCAGCAGCAAAAATCCAGACCAAAGATTTTTTAAAGTGGTCATTCTGAATCAAGCTGATTATTTAACTGATGAAGCCCAAGCTGCACTCAGAAGAACTCTTGAAAAATACACAGCCACAACTCGTGTAATTTTAATTTGCAATTCATTATGCAGGGTCATTGCGCCTTTAAGAAGCAGATGTTTAAGTATTAGGGTCCCAGCTCCATCTGCTGACGATATGAGAAAAGTTTTAACTCCCCCCCTCCGTGAGTGAACAAAACCATTAGAAAAATCGCTATTTTTTGCCCAAAAACCCACCCTCCGTGAGTGAACAAAAATTTTTTTAATACAAAAATTTTTTTATGGAAAAAAATTTGATATATAAATGATAATTAGTATAATGAAATCTAGAGCTAATTCTGTTTAATTTTAAACGAATTGCGTTTTAAAACATAAATTTTATAAATTAAATTAATATTTGCTTTCCAATTTTTGTGAATTAGGATTTTTTTTTAAATTTCGAAAAAAAAATTTTTTTATAAAATTTATATATAAATTGTTTTAAAAAAAAAAATTAACCCCCCTCCGTGAGTGAACAAAACTTTTTTGCTCACTCACGGAGGGGGGGGAGTAAGAAAAATTGCTTCAAGTGAAAATTTGGAATTGCCGATGAGTTTGGAAAATAAGCTTATAAATGCTTCGAATAGAAATATAAGAAGAGCTATTATGATGATGCAGACAGTTTATATACAAAATTCAAGGCTAAATCCTGATGCAAGTGTTCCTATTCCTGAGTGGGAAAAATATCTTAAAGAAATAGCGACAAATGTACTGGATGAACAGACTCCGAAGTCATTGAAAATTGTGAGAGGGAAACTTTATGAGGTTTTAGCTAGCTGTATACCGCCAACAACGGTTTTTAATACACTTTGTAAAGAATTAGTGACAAGAAGTGACGCAGCAATCAAGACGGTGGTGGTTAGACATGCAGCTGATTATGAACTTCAAATGAAAAGTGGCAGCAAACCAATTGTCCATCTTGAGGCATTTTTAGCGAGGTTTATGAGTGTGTATAAGCAGCATTCAAATAGAATGAATTATTAATTAATATTAAATTTAGATATATAAAAAGAAAATGTAGTAATATATTCGATAATAACTGAAAAATAATAAATTTGAATTATATTATTTAAGAAACTATGAAATAATTTAAATTATTTTTGATTAAACTCTCTAAATTTTAATTTAAAAAATCGCCTTTAGCCCAGTTTAGCATGAAATAATCCAATTCGTTTAAGTTATAATTTCAATAATAGTTTTCAATTTTAATAATTCCAAAAGTGATAAATTACTTTGAAATTTCATTTATTTATTTGAATAAAAATGCAATTCGATAATGATTAAAATACCTCATTATGTGGCAGTTGCAGTTTATGTCTGCTGCCTCTTGAATTTAAAAAATGATGAAGCTGTTGGAAAACCTGGAAAAATATTCAAAAGCGACAATATTTCCTTTGCTTGAACAAAGTAAATATATCAGTCAACGCTTCTTGTGGAAATGAATATTGTGGCCACTGTATAATTAAACTCTAGCGTGCCCAGCTTGCAAACGCACTCGGCTTATTTTTATCAAAATTCCCGAGGCACAGCAGAAGCATCAGATCTCATAAAAGAAATTGGTAAATTTAACTCAAAATTCATGCTAAACCATCCTTATAATATATTTCAAGGCCATTTCAGTATTAATTTCATGTTATTAGCATGTCTGTCTTCTTTTCAAATATATCTATCGCTCATCTTAAAATGTTCAGTTTCATCCTTGAAAATCCTAAAATATTATTTCGATAAAGCTAATGAGTTAAATGCTTTATTATTATATTGTCAACTCATGCTAATTAAAGATAGAGATGATTCCTTTTTAAAGCTAACTTATTAGATTAAAAATCCAGTTTCTCAAGGACTCCATTTTTGATGAAGCGGCTTAAGTTTGATTTGAGGCTGCAGATTAATAATGAGGCTTTATATAAATAAGCATGATTGAAAATTAATTTTAATTACACTTCCTTTAAGTTATAATATCAGATCATTTCTTTTGGATAAATCTTTAAAAATTCTAGAACTCTTTAAAATTTATAATTCCAATGGTTATAATTATACATGATAATTGCACAGAACAGTATAGCTCAATACCTGAACAATTGCCAAATTAAGATTAAAAACGCTTTCAAATATTACCAAGCAAGACAAAACAGATTAAAAGGAAAACAGCTGGTAAGAATTTTTATCAGTAAAAACGATACCTTGGAGCCTATCTTTCTTATAGGAAATTTTACAAATCCACCTTGGAGAGTAAAGTTACCTTTAGCATATTCACTGTCCTATAAAGAATACTTCATTGAGCTATGGCTATCCATAGGTAATCAGTTCAGATTGCTTACTTTAACCCAATTTTGGAAAATTTTTTATTAAATAGATCTTGAAAATTCAATTTAATATATTTACACGTTAATTTTTATAATGTCGAATATTATCTAGCTAAAAATAACCATTAATTATAAATAAATAAATAAATTAATTTTTTTTCTATCTCTACAAATCCAACATCTTTTATTTTAATTTTAGGGAAGAGTTAGGGAAAGGTACTTCGTTTGCTATTCCGAATTTTCCTCAAATCGCAGAAAATATCCTCAATATGGAAAAAGGTAGTATCTCTAATATTATACTCTTTAGAAATACTTCTCTAAGAAAGCCTCTACCTTATCATCACACTGATAATTTAGTTTTGAAAACTGGAGCTTATTCGGAGGGAAAAAGCCATTTGAAGAACGAGGATGCTTATTTTACTACAGCTCATTGTATCGGCGTAGCTGATGGTGTTGGAGGTTGGAATCAATATGGAGTCTCCAGTAAAGATTTTGCAAATGAATTTATGCAAAATTGCAAAAAATTTGCTGAAAAATCAAAATTTTTACAAATAAAGAAATGTGCTGAGGAAGCATTTAAAAACATTAACAGTGGAGGAAGTGCTCCTACCACGAAGCCCACCCCTCATCCCTTCAAAAACAAACTACCTAAATATAAGAGATATTGCTGTTTTTCAATTCTAACTAGTTCTAGTGCGACTTATAGCATGTTTGCTAATATATTAAATACTCTATATCTATCATAGAATATACTACATATTAGACAAAATTACAATTATAAGCAATGTCTCGGATTTTTGTATTAAATTTAATAGGCCTTATCATTTTTTATATATAAAATAAAGCTTTTAAAGAATAATCTACTAACTCCCCCCCCCCCCCGTGAGTGAACAAAAAAATTTTGTTCACTCACGGAGGAAGGTTAATTTTTTTTTTTTAAAAAAATTTATATATAAAATTTTATAAAATTTTTTTGAAATTTAAAAAAATCCTAATTTGCAAAAATTTGAAAGCAAATATTAATTTAATTTATAAAATTTATGTTTTAAAATGCAATTCATTTAAAATTAAAACAGAATTAGCTCTAGATTTCATTATATTAATTATCATTTATATATCAATTTTTTTTTCCATAAAAAATTTTTCTATTAACTCGCGGAGGGTGGGTTTTTGGGCAAAAAATGGCGATTTTTCTAATGGTTTTGTTCACTCACGGAGGGGGGGGGGAGTAAGCATATTAACTTAGCGCTACCAACGTATTATCGTGCATTTACGAAGCATAATTATGCTTGATTTGATTTTTGTTTCTATCCATTTTAAGGTTGAATTTGACTGGATATATGTTTAAAATAAAATATAAAAGAGAAATTCAGTGTATTGCGCTATTAACTCTCTCATTTATTTTCAAAAAAATTACTATATAAAATTCTGTTAATTTAGGGATATGAAATTAAGTATTTAATACTAGCAAGCATGCTAAAAATAGAATTAGAACCAATTAGGACAAAAATAATGCAATATCTCTAATATTTCGTATTATCAAGACTGGCAGTTTACCTTTAAAGGAGGTGGGAGGGATAGGGTGGGTTTTATGCTTGACCAGAAGTGCAGCTTGAATTTTAGCTAATCTAGAAAAAAATAAACTAAAAATTTCCAATCTTGGTGATTGTGGTATAATGACAATTAGAAAAGTTAATGGAAATCCAAGAATTATTTTTCAGTCATCCCCACAAGAACATTTTTTTAATACACCTTATCAAATTTCTCGTGAGCTTTCCTTAACACAAATTCAGCAGTTAAAAGAGAAGCTAAGCAATGAAAAATATATAGAAGTCATGGAACAAATGAAAAATATCATTAAAGACAGCCTTTGGGACTCAGACGACTATTGCTTGAAGGTAAAGGCAGGAGACCTAATAATAATGGCGTCCGATGGGCTGTGGGACAATGTTTTCCCAAAGGAAATATTGGCCTTTTTATCAAAATACAAAGAAGGTAATTATAATCCTATTGAATTAGCAAATCTTCTGGGAAGGTATGCTTATTTTAAATCTAAATCAAAATTATTCTCACCGTTTGAAGAGCGAGTCAAGAAGAATTATGGAAATGGCTGGACTGGGGGTAAGCCAGACGATGTTACGGTTGTCGTTGCGTCTGTGGCATAAATCTCTTTATATAATTTGATTTCTGCTCAATTGATAAATTTAGAATTTTTAATATACTTGGTTTTAAGAAAGATACAAAAGTCTTCTTCTTAGATAATACAAAAAATCTACATAAATATTTGCATATGCCTATTTTATATCTATATTAGTTTAATTGATTAATCAGCAAAGCATTGATTTTAATTATAAAAATCTGAAATAAGTTATCCTAATACCTTTTTTTATAGAATTTCAAATTAGATAATAATGAAATCCTGCTTTAAAACTTAATCTAAAATACTATAATGCTTTCTCAATGCTTTGATAATTAATTTTCTATTTTTACAGTGAAAAATAGGCGTTAATACTCAAAGGTTACATAGTAATTATCATATGCTCCAGATTAATGAGGAAATTATATTATTATAATAATTTTATACCATTTCCAAGAATTTTAATTTTATTATTTCAGCTCAATTAATTAAATAAAATAAGTGCAAGCCTATAAATGGAGTTCCGGAGAAGAAAATCCTCAATAAATTCTCTATCAATGCTTGGATATTTAAAGCTAAATAGAAAATTGGACAGAATCATGAACTCGATTAGTCCTGATTCCAAAAAATCCGAAGAAATAAGCAATCTTACTGGACGAAATACAATAAAAATGTGTGCCAATAAAATACTGCTTCGAAATGCCAAAAAAGAAAAGTCAGAAGAGTTTTCTCCTCCCCATATTAGAAAGAATAAGCGGCATTCATCAATGCTCGAAAAAAAAGAAAACTGCATCGAAACTTACATAAATAAAGTTATCAGCGAATTTGAGCTTGATAAATTACAAAGCTACGAAAGAGTCGAAAATAAAAGCATAAATACTTTTGATAAATACTTAGGACCAAACGGTGATAAATAGCTTAATTTAAAGGGCTTAAAGCATTCCAGATTCAATGCCTCTGCGCGCTTGCGATCGTCTGAGCCTGGTTGCCGGACGAATTTAGACGATTGATCCCTGTCTCAACAGAGATCAATTTCAGGATCTGGGGGCTGAATCTTGAAGGGTTAGAAACACCCTCTTGCTTCACGTCTTGCGAGCGCTGTGGAGGCAAAGATCGCCCGATACCTTCTGATAGTCACTTTGAGAGATGAAAAAAAAAGAAACGGGCCCAAAAACCCATCCGGATAACTAATATTGGGCTAAATTGCCACCAGCTGACTCCAAAGTTTACCCACCTTATACGGCCGCTCTAGGCAAGCTAAGGATTAGAATAAAAGGCTGACCTTGGTTTATAATTTAAAACGATTTTGGTGCCCAAAATTGGTGCGTCGTCAAGTGCATATTTCATCCCCCATCACCATATTAATTTTAAAGGTGATAAGGAAGAAGAAATTTTATCAAAAACGATCGAAACGCTAAATAATTTCATGTAAAAAATTTTTATAAGCTATTTAATAATTTTATGACGAGGAGTCAGAACGAAAAGTTTGAATAATTGTTATAATTTCTTAAATAATTTATTATGGACTTGATATCGTCAAAATTTATTTCGGCTGCCAAATATATGTGATTTTTAGCTAAAAAATATATTTGCCATATCAAAAACTGTTAAGAAAATAATTCAAAAAGAAATAATATGGCAAATAAAAACATTTACGATTTGCCTGAAAACTCACCTTTATCAATTGAAAATGAGAGCATTTCTAGCGATTCTAGGCAGTATAGTCAAATGTCTGAACAAGACGCTGAATCAGCATTTGCTACCCGCAGAGAACAAATAAAAGCAGCACTTATTTCCCATTTTTTTATCGAACAACAAACCATCGTTCGGCCAATGATGGGGATTAAAAAATTATATATTGTTCAAACTCGATAATTAAATATCAAAAATAAGTAGCTTGATTTTAAGGCTGATAGGGGAGTGGATTTATTTCTAACGGCGTTAAAATCATTCAATCAGGGATATGAGGAGTTAGAGTAAAAAAATCACCCCAAAAGGCTAAAATGCAAAGCAGCAAAACCTCTAACTCTTTTATAGTTAACGCATCTAATCATTCAGCTCCAGAAACACCGAAAAAAGCGTTTTCCAGACGATCCTCAGTAAACTCTATACAAAAATCATCTAAAAAAACTCCTGAAAAGAAATTTAGTTCAACACCATCTACGCCTCGGCGGGATTTTTCAAATCAATCATTAGCTATTTCTAACAAAAATCAAGAAGCTAACACGGGTGCAGGTCCAATGATCATGCACTTTTGATAGTGTACATTTCACCAAAGTGCATTAGGTTGAAAATTGGCTGAAACTCTTTGATAGTGAGACATTTGGCCGAAAATTCCGTTAAATTATGACCAAGTACCACACTATTTGCAAATTTTCGACAAATATACTTCGATGAAATGCACACTATCAAAAATATACACTGTCATTTTACATGAAGCCGCTAACACTTCTGTTTCCTCAATTCATTTGAGACAAATTTCATTAAACCAAGTATCCTCCAGTAATGTAAGCTTTTCAAAAGATATTCAGAATGACTTTAAACGAAAAATGGACCAAAAAATCACTGAGCCTGCAGTCATAGAAAAATATGATACCCTATATTATCATGTATAAGTACAATTAATAATTTATTTTTGTATAGCTTAAAATTAATCAAAAAAGCATACAAATGAGCCATTGTGTGAGAGAGCAGTTAAGTGGAAATTAAATGCACAGAATAAATGAAACGAAAAGAAAAAAGAAAATGAAGACGCTGAGATGAAAGACTGCTCATTTTACCCTATATTAAACGATAAAATAAACTTCGACAACTATCAAGATGAGGATATCTACACAAGACAGCTGAAATGAAAAGAGCAAGCCCTGCTAAAAAATGAAGAAAATGCTATAAAAAAGCACATGAAAGAGCTAGAAGGGTGCACATTCCGACCAAAAGTCCATTCCAAAGCAAAAAGCCCATTAAAAAGCTTAGGCGTCTATATGAGAAATATGAAGTGGAAATCCCAAGTCGAGTCAAAAGTCGAAAAAATCGAGCAGCAAAGCTTCAGTCATTTGAGTTTTGAGCCAAAAATCAACATTTCTTCTAAAGGCCGACAAAGCGCTCTTGGTCAGTATTTCCATCAGGATGGCTTAGTAAAGCGCTACATGAAGCTTGACTATCAGCTTAATTCCATCTCCAAACGAATAGAGCAGGCTTTATCTGATGACCCTTTGTATTAATATTTATTGCATAAAAATATTGTGTATTACTTATTAACTCATTACTCTCTCCCTTCATTAAACAGATACTTTCTGATTTCAGGAGTAATCTGTGGGTGGTTATGGATTTTTATCAATTCCCGGATTTCGTCTTTTAACTCAGGCTCAATTTCTTTGCCATAATATTGAGCAAGGGTTAGCAAGGCTTGATGCCACATAACAGGCATCCTTCGGTCATCCATAATAAGCTTATAGAAAAATTTACACACACTAGCAAGGACTCTTCCAGGCAATGCGTATCTTTTTTGTAGTAAAACTTTGATGAAATGTATGACTGGGCCTGTACATTCCATGTCTGAAAGTTTTATAAGAGCAGCCCCAGCATGAAGCATGGGAATTGATATTACTTTTGGGGTAATTTAATATTAATTAATATATATAAAAATTTAATGATAGAGGAATAGATTATAGGATACCTAAATAGTTAATAACTGTTCGCTGGATTTTTTATCATCCGGCACGTAATGTAGCACGGGTGAAATGGAGAATGCCAAGAAAAGCACCACCTTAATGTCATGCACATACCTTTGAAATCACTGATCCTATTATAGTTGCTTCTTTTAGAGTACAGTCTTCTTCACAAAGGGGAAACAGAATTCCTCTTATTCAAGCCGCAGGCTTATAAAAAGCCTTTTTCAAGGCTAAATAATGATGGTAGTTTAATTTTTTGTGTTTCTGAATGTCTTTTTTAGCCGCATTATAAAGGGTTCTGTATAGCCTTTTCCCTTGAATTTCCTATAAATCCCCAAATATTCATTTCTCCACAAATATAGCCTAAAAATCATATAAAAATTTTTGTGACTGCTTAGGACCCATACTTGATACAAAAATTTTGGTGGCTTGATATACAGCTTGTGGGCTCCAGTCGTCTGGACTGGTAAGTTCGAGGATTTCCATCCACTTTTCAAGCCCTGGGATTATTTTGAAAGCATTTGGAAGCTTTCCACTTCGATATCCTCGAAGAATTTTCCCAACCTTAGAATAGACGTCTTTTATCTTTGGGTCCAAAGAACTTGTGTCTTTAAGCTTCTCGCTGAGTTCTGTGTTAAATGTGACTCGATTGGCTCTGAATGCTTGAAGCTCATTCTCTACCTCTTCAGGGACTTCTTCTGAAGCTGGAAGACAAATAAAGCCTTCAGCATCAATCAGATCTTCAGGGTCTTTGATTTTTTCCTTGGGCTCTTCAATTTTGCGCTTTAAGACTGTGTCTTTGTGGGATACTTTTACGTGCTTTGTTCTATTAGTTTTGCCCATTAATTATATGATGATGGAAATTAGAAATAAATAATAAATGACCAGCTAATTTTTCTTATTAAATTGTCCTATAATTAAAAAATTTAACCAAAAATATATTTAATACATTAATAAATCTTACCCCCTCCGTGAGTGAATAAAAAAACAATTTTGTTAGCGCACTGAAGGAGATTAATTTAATAAATTTTATAGTAAAATTTTGTTTTTTCGAAATTTAAAAAAATGGCAATTCGAAAAAATTGGAAATCAAATAAATTTAATTTTGTGAAATTTATATTTTAAAGCGCAGATGTTTAAAATTAAACAAAACTAGAAATAGATTCGATTATAGCGCTTATCATTTATGCATCAATTTTTTTTTCATAAAAAAATTGTTTGTTCGCTCGCGAAGGATGGGCTTTTGGGCAAAAATAGGGATTTTCCCAATGGGTTTTGTTCGCTTACAGAAGGGAGGAGTTAAAATTTTATTTATACAAAAGGATAAGCATTTTAACATTTATTCTTAACTCTAACTGTCATAACAAAAAATGAAGCTAACCTTATTATTGCTGTTTAAAGTTGTATGTATTTTTGCTATACAAAATCAATTATCACCTTCATTTCTCGAAAAAGAGACTTCAGAACTATCCCCTTCATCCCAAAATCTGGATTCCTGAATCAGCTGAAAAGACCAGAATTCAAGATTTGATGCAAAATTTCAACCATTGCCGAATGTCTTTACCCCTGAATCACCAAATTATAGTGAAGGATTAATAATGCAAGCGTGGTGGGCATTTCTTTCATCATTTATCATGCTAACGGCATTGATTGTGACTATTATTTTTCGACTAAAGCTAGGATACTGTGGAGGAAAGCAGTTAAAAAATGAGCAATTTACAAAACAATTAAAATGGACCCCAGGTACTTTGAGTTTTATATTGAAAAATTATAAATATGTTTTCTATTAATACAGGTATTTTATGATTAATATTAAAATATAGGAGTTTTCCAATTTATTTTTCATATTTATTGATAAATTTCAATATATTTCTTACCTTTTATTCTTAATTGGAGGAGTGACCCTCTTATTTGCAAGCGGACAGATTTCTAATCAAGCCAACAGCGCAGTTAAAATCACAAATGCCCACTCAGAAGCTACCTACTCCACTTTATCCCAAATTAAAGAAGAATTAATAGAAATTTCTAATCAGTCCCATGAAGAAGATAGCAGTTTCGCTGACATTCACTATAATTTGCTTGAAAAATCTATAGAAGAAGCAGAGAAAATGCAAGATAAAGCAGATAATTTTGAAGATGATGTAAATAGTCTAGATAAAACAAGGTTAATTGCAAGTTTTATCATATTTTGCGTTGGGTTTGTACTGTATCTAATAGGTTTCGTTGCTTTTGTAATAAAAGAAGAAACTGTTGCCTTGGGTTTTGGGATTTCTTTATGAGTTATGGCAGTCCTTACAACTTTGACGTACGTTCCATATATAATGGAATTGACTGGGAGTATTGATTATTGCGAGTCTATTTCTGAATGCTTAGATGATAGCTATATTCCTTTACTCCCTCCTCCGTAAGCGAATAATTTATTTCCCGAAATTTAAAAAAATCCCTATTCGCAAAACGGAAAGCAATTTAATTTGTAAAATTTATGATTTAAAATGCGAGCTGTTTAAAATTAACAGAATTAGGAAGAGATTTCATTATAAAGATTATAACTTATATATCAAAATTTTTGTTCACTCACGGAGGATGGGCTTTTACCCAAAAAATAGGGATTTTTTCAATGGTTTTGTTCACTCACAGTGGGTGGGAATTAGGAAATTCAGGACTAAGCTATTACTACTCAGACCTTTCAAATGAATCTAAACATGATTTAACAAAAATCCAAGCAGAAATATCATTATCAATTGACGCAGACTTGAAATTAATAAATTCAAGATTGTTTAATTTATATCAGATTAACCCAATCACGAACTCTGATAGTTTAAGATCAATGCATGAGCTATTAAATAACGATGCAAAGATATTACAATTGTGGAAAATTCTTAAGGTCCTTGAAAATGCTATGGACGATCTTGTGTTTTTTAATAGGAATTATCATGTATTGAATTTCTGTAAAGATGTGAATACAAAGACATGCAATGATATCATGCAAAATACGAGAGTTGGAGTAATTGCTTTGAGCATTTTGGTTATTGCTTTTATTTTGGGAGCCTGGGGAGGGTTTTTAGCTCCCAGGGTAGTTAATAGGTGAAGGCGTGAGGAGGATGAAAATGCTCTTGCCAAGCATAATTTATATGGAGCATGGAAGTAAAAATATCAGAGTTTGTATACGTTAAATTAAAAAAATCAATTTTTTATATCTGAAAACAGCAGTCTATCACTACTAAATTTGTTCAATATTTAAAGCATTTATTCTGCTGCTTTAAATAGTAAAAATAATCTTAATTTTCTATTTTATCCACATTAACAATTTTAATAGTTCCTTTCATATCCATTTTTTATGACGTAGGAAAAAGCATGATTATTCGAGATTTCCCTATAGGCCATTTTTACCCCCATTTTTTATTTGTATTTGCAATATCAGGGGTCTGACCATTACTATAAATAGCAGAATTAATAAAAATTATATATAAATAAATGGGTTTATTATTTTCAAGAATTTGGCAAAGACTTATCTCACACAGAGAGATGCGCATTCTTATGGTGGGCCTTGACGCAGCAGGCAAAACAACCATTCTTTACAAGCTAAAACTAGGCGAAGTTGTAACAACCATTCCGACTATTGGATTTAACGTAGAAAGAGTTGAATATCGCAATATTTCTTTTACAGTCTGGGATGTTGGTGGGCAAGACAAAATAAGACCATTGTGGAGATATTATTATGAAAATATCCAAGGGATCATTTTTGTGGTCGATTCTAATGACACTAAAAGAATTGAGGATGCAAAAGAAGAGCTTTATAGGCTTGTTAATGAAGATCAGCTTAGAGATACTTGTGTTTTAGTGCTGGCAAATAAGCAAGATTTGCCTCATTCGATGACTGCAGCGGAGTTAACTGATAAATTGGGGCTACATGCGATAAGAGGGAAGAAATGGTATATTCAGAGCACATGTGCTGTTAGTGGGGATGGGCTATATGAAGGACTAGATTGGCTTTCTAGAGCATTGACTGGGAAAGCATAAATAATGTAAGAATCATTTTTATAATTTTTTTCATTTATCACATTTAATATTGTAAATAAAAAGGTTTAAAATATTTTAATTAAAATAAGCTACTTTATTATAAGTAAAATAGCCTGGCTTTTAACTCCCCCCCCCTCCGTGAGTGAAAAAAAATTTTTTGTTCACTCACAGAGGGGGGTTAATTTTTTTTTTTAAAAAAATTTATATATAAATTTTATAGAAAATTTTTTTTTTTCGAATTTTAAAAAAAATCCTAATTTGCAAAAATTGGAAAGCAAATATTAATTTAATTTATAAAATTTTATGTCCTAAAATGCAATTTGTAAAAAAATTTTTGTTCACTCACGGAGGGTTGGTTTTTGGGCAAAAAATGGCGATTTTTCTAATGGTTTTGTCCACTCACGGAGGGGGGGAAGTAAGGATAATTCAAGCATAATCTTTTAAGAACGGAAGTGGGCTTGAACCTGGCTTATGTGGTTAGAAAATTAAACAGGCAGGAATATAAAGAATTAATTTTACTTATAATTCTTATTCTATTTTATTAAAATTCTTTGGCAATTGTATTTTTTTCAAAATAAAATGTCCTAGTTCAGAGTCAGAAAATATCGTATTTTTAGATAAATCTAACTTAAAATGCAAAAATTAAATATTCATAAATCTGATGGGTGCATCAATCTCTCAATTTTGGCAACATATATTTGGTCGCAAACTAATCAATATATTGATAGTAGGAAATGATTATGCTGGAAAAACCACAATCCTTTACAGACTAAACCTTGAAAACACTCTTACAGTAAAAATTCCAATAATGGGATTCTGTATTGAGCAAGCGACATACCAAAATATTACATTTACTGTTTTTGATCTTTATCCTGAAAAATTTAGATCAGTGCAGAGACAATATTATGAAAACGTTCAAGGGATAATATTTGTTGTAGATTCCAACGATGACGTAAAAGACTGTTATGCAAGGGAAGGACTAGATGATTTGTGTAATGAAAATCAACTTATAGGTGTCCCTATATTAATATTAGCTAATAAACAAGATTTACCTAATGCTATGAATGTTGATCAAATCAGAGAAAGATTAGGACTTGATTTGATAAGAGGAAGAAATTGGCATATTCAACCTGCTAGTATAATTAATAATCAAGGGCTAAGAGAAGGATTAACTTGGCTCTCACGGACAATTTCACATAAAAAATAATGTTTATATAAAAATCCAAGTCCTTGCTATTTATGACAATTAATTTTGATTCTAAATTTAACTTTAATGGAGCATTTGCCAATATTAAATAAGCCAAAAGTGTTTATTGGGACATCAAAAGTCTCACCTATTAGTTCAGATATAACTTTACCAACAGTGACCCCAAGAAACCGAATTGTGAAAAGACAATATTCTAATCTGGGTAGGACATTTAATTTTCCAAAAGCATATTATCAGCAATATCATCGAAGAGAAAGATCAATGTTTGACTCTCCTACCAGAGAAGCAAGAATGGCTAAAGAAATATCCCTAAAAATACTAAGCTGTTTACTCTGCCCTATTATCTAATATTATATTATTTTAGGAATATATTAAACCCCTTTCATTAATTGGCTCCTTATTTAATTATAAAAACAATAGAAAAAATCAAACGAATGCAACAAAAAATCTCAAAAGAGCGGATAATTCAAAACATTTTTCAACAGTATGGAACCCAATTTAGTCCCAAAGAAATAAAAAATTTAACAGAAGATGATTTGCTTAAAAAAGCTTTAAAAAAGAATTTATATTTAAAAGAAAAACAAGCTGCTGTGACTATACAGAATAAATGAAAAAAATATAACTGAAAAAAGCTCCAAGAGCAGATTCTACTCAAAAGAGAAATTAGTGCAAAAATGATACAAAATGCTTGAAATAAATACAAAGGCATCAAGCTTGAGCCAAAGAAATTGAGAAAATCACAAATAAATGCAGCAATAATGATTCAGAAAATGTGAAAAGGGTATAAATCTAGGAGCAGCTATATGATTATTAAAGAAAAAAATGATTTAATGAAAAATTTGCAATTTTTTGAAAAAATTAAAGAGGAGAATAGAAGAATTAGTGCAATTAAGATCCAGAGATGCTGGAGGAATTATAAACAGAGAAAAATAAATAAGAAAATCAAGTTTAATAGGCAGCAAAGTATTGCTAAAAAAATTAAAAAGAAAGTGACGAGCTCTGTGCAGCATAATCAAAATATCAATTTTGAAGCTAAGCATTGTCTTAAAGCACCTCCTGCAATTATAAGTGGCGCTCAGAACTCTCCTGAGAAAATTCATAAAATAGCTAAGTCTGGTGGCCCTTCACCTGAGATGAAGTCTGGTAAAGATAGCACTAATTAAATTTAATATTTTTTGAAGTCAAATGAAAATAAAATAATTCTAATTTTTTTCCAAACAAATATGAAAAAAAGTCTGGTGTTATAAGATTGTGAAACAATTTAGTAAACAAACTTTTTAAAAAATGAATAATTCCCCCTTTAAATTGGAACAAAACATAGGTAAAATTTCCATTTTTGATATACTTTCTTTTCTTGGAGTGGCGCTGCAAGCGCAGGCCACTCCATGCGGAATTCCTGTGTTGGTTTAACCAACATAGGAGTTGGTCGAACCAAAACTGTGCGTTGGTTCGACCAACCCATGAATTCCGCATGGAGTGGCCTGCGCTTGCAGCGCCACTCTCAATGAGGTTTCTATACTTTACCCCCCTTTAAATTGAAACGAAATTTGATTTTCAATAAGAAAATTTTATAGGTAAATATACTATTTTATAAAATTATTTTGACCTGATTTAATGGAAAAATGCAAGTAGAATATTATTTAAGCAGTTTTTCAATTAATTCTTCAGAAAATAAAATTAAAATTCAAAATATAGGATTCAATTTATATTGCTATTAATTTAAAAAAAAATTAACCTCCTTTTCTTTTTACAGAAATTTTATTCCAATTTAATTAAATGGGAGGTAAGAAAAAGAAGCTTTGGTATAATTATTGATAATTATTCAAGTAAAAGCAACAATAATAATTGGTACATACAAGTCAATATGTAAAGCAATTATTTATTAATCTTGAGGAGTTGAAATAGCAGATTCTATAAGCGATAAGATCTTAATGAATATTGCCCGGAATGCTAAGACAGTAACTTTGAAGTAAAATAAAAGATATCATAAGAATTTTATTTTAGATATTTTATTATAAATTTAATAAGTTGCTGAATCAATTCGAATTTAATTATTACTAATAAAATCAAATTAAGACTGAGGTGTAACAGTATAATTTAATCTCCTCGGATCAAACTTAATCTGAGCAATTTTGAGTTTCTTTTTTCTCTGTTCCTTTTTCTTGAAATGCTCTTCAATCATTTTTGGATTTGCAATATTCATTATATGTTGACCTTTCCAGTACTTAACTATACCAATCATTATTAATTTCCCATTTATTTCCAAAATCGATTTAAATTATTTTTAATTTAAGAATATTTCAAAAAATTCAATGTAGTCTAATATAAATTCAAAGAAGTCAAAGTTTCCATAACATCATGGTTTGCTATTCCAGTAATGTCTGTTATTTCTTTAATGGTTAAATTCCCTCGATCTCTGATCACCTCTAAAATTGTATCAGTCCAATAAGATTTATAAGAAATTCTCCCCATATCTGATAGTGGTCTTTCTGGTGTTCCGATTTTTCCTTCTCTTTTACTCAGCTCATAGCTAAGAGAAATTAAAAACCTTCCATATCCTCTCTGCTGATAAGGTGGCAATATCAAAATGCAAGCTAAATTATAATCATGATTCCCAATTTCCTTACTTCTACTCAATAATAAGTAAAGCTTCTAATTATTGCAGGCTTTAGAGATAGTAAATTTTTTAAAATAGACAAAATTTGTTTATTATTGGGAATAAATGGATGAGCATCCTCTAGGATAATTTTTCAATAATAAAAAATTTTCTATGCACTATTATAAATTTATAATTTCAATTTTTATGAAAAAACTCCTAATAACTGGGGTGTTAGAAAAATACCCTACAACTCTGGAGCATTTTCCTGAATCTTCTGTTAAAACGTAAAATTTAAATGGTGAGACATAATAATATAGTGTTTTATGGTCCAAAAACAGCTTGGCTAGCAAGCAGAAATTTTGGCAATAAAGTTTATGTTCATTTCCCATAACTTCATACACACTGACTGACTTAACTTTTCCAAAATTCACGTTATCTCTATATATCATTTTCCCCATGGGCTTTTTATGCAAGCATTTTTTGACATGCTCTCTATAAGTCGACCCATGCCTCATATATTTAAGGCAAAATTCACATATATAAAGTGTAGGTATATGTGGATATCTTGACAAATATGGTGAATAGTATCATGGACTTATTTCATATCGACCCAGAATAATACGGTCTACGTTTCTTACTTTGGTGTTTTCTTCATGATCTTTTTCGAACTGGGTAAGCTCTGGACTATTGAAATTTTCGGACTGATTGGTTGGGCTTTGCTCCTCTCTTTTCCTCTTATTGTAGCGAGTCACCATGGAATCTGCAGTTTTATCGCTGTCTGGAGGTAAAGGAGCAATTTGATCTTGAGCTATTCAGGTATCGAGGCGCTTATTGAAAGGAAGATAATGGATGTAAAATTCATGACTGGGGATTGAACGTTCATGGACAATTTCTGCTGGATCTAATTAAATCTTACAATATTTCCCGTCTGTCCACTTACAAAGCACGCGGGAGCCTATTTTTAGATCACTTTCCATTTATCAAGCCAATAAGATAAGAGATAATTTAGATGCTTACTCCCCCTCTTGAGCGAATAAAGCCATTGAAAAATATCCCTATTTTTTTGGTAAAAAACCACCCACTCTCCTTGAGTGAATAAGAAATTTTTATAATCTAAAAATTTTTATATAAAAATATTTTGATATATAAGTAAAACTATTATAATGAAATCTAGCTAATTCTGTATAATATTAAACAGCTTGCATATTAAAACATAAATTTTTTATAAATTAAATTAATATTTTTTTTAAAATTATTTAGAATTAGGATTGATAATAAATATTTTTAAAAAAATAAAATTAATCCCTGTAAGCGAACAAATTTTTTGTTCGCTCACGGAGGGGGCGAAGAGTTAGAAAATACATGACATTTTTGATAAAAAATTAAGACAGAATTTAATACAAGTCCCGATTATCTATGCGAATGTGAGTATCTCTTTAATATTTATCATAAAAATACAATTTTAAAAATTTGTAAAATACAACTATTTGTACATTTCTCCCTTATCCTTCAAAATTCTCAATACCCCTAATATTGACTCCATACTTGATTTCTCTAGGTTTTATCCTCTTTTTAATCACATGTCCTACTTCTCTTCCTTTATATCCAACTTTCGGACTTTTTTGATATTTATCACTTGTCTTTCCAATTATTGCAACCTGTTTCACACTTGACTGTTCTGAATCTGAGTCTTCATAAAGCCCTGAATTTGTTTTCGATCTCTGCTCTTTCAATTTATTATCATTTGAAGTCAATCTTTTCGCTTTGGGATGCAATAAATTAATATTGGAGAATTTTTCATCTTTTGGCTCATTAGATAAATATCGCTTTGAAGCAATTTTAGGTATCCTGGAATGAGGAGTATTTAGGGCTGATGTTTTAGCTGTTGGAGCTTGAGTAATTGGAGGCAAAAAATGATCACTTTTATATGCTTTGGGCTTTGAACGGCCATATAAAGATGGAGAGTTCATATGGAGATCAGGGAAAGATACAATTGAAGAGGAAGTAATTTCGTCAATGCTTTGGATTTGACTATAAACTTTTTTAAGATCAGGCTTCATTCCTATGTTTTCTTCTTTGAAAATGCCATTTTGAATGTCAATTACATTATCTCTTAATCTCAGCTGATTCATGAGCAGCTGTATATAAAGCTCTTTTTGCTTTAAAACCACTTGGTCGTGGTTTTTGTCTCGTTGGGCATCAATAGAATTCATGGCTAAAACCTGCTGCTGCATCATAAGTTGTAAGCTTGATAAATGAGGCTCAGGGATGCCTTTTCTGATTCATTCTGATTTAATTTCGTCTCTTTTATTTTCTAGTCCTTTAAGTACGTCTTCATATGTATTATTTACTTGAGTTTGCTCCTCAATTGATTTTTTTAGCCTTTCTACTTCTTTATTTAAAGCTCTAGCTGCAGCACTGTCTTCTCCAGTTTTTGCTTTAGCTCGATCCAGCTCAGTTTGTCTTGAAAATAGCATGAAGCCTAATTCTTCTTTTGTTTGTTGGCATTCATGTATTTTCTTTCTTATTTTTGCTTCATCTTGAAAATGTGTGTTTAAACTTGGCTCCATGCCAAATGACAGTATATTTTTATAGTGCACATTTATTGGAGACCATTTGGTCAAATAGTGTGACATTTGGTAGAAATTTAAACGTTTTTTTCAGACAAAAATCTCTCTATCAAAAAGTTTCAACCAATTTTCGACCATTTGTACTTCGGTGAAATTTATACTATCAAAAGTACACGATCATTGGGCTTGCACCCGTTTAAACTCAATTTGGTATTTTTCATTGTTAAATGCAGCTGGGTTCGGATTTTTTGACTTCAAAAGTTTTCTTAAATCAGAGACCTCTTGTCGTAGCTGCGCTATTATTGCTGTATATTTTGCAATATGATATGAAACGTTCACAACATTTCTTTGCAGATTTGTTTTAATATTTTTTGCTCTGTTTGCATATTTTAACGTATTACTTGTGTCGAAAAAACTTCCAGAATATGGAGAAATACAAGCAATCATGACGGTTCTGCAATTTCCTCCTAAGGAATCTTTAAGCAAACGGGTAAGTTTGGAGTCTCTATATGGGATATAAACTTTTCCGCCCCTTTCTGTAGCTTCGCATAGCGCATTTATGCAATTTCCTAATGCAAGCAAAGACCTATTGATGTTGGCTCCTTCAATTAGTCTAATTCCTCGATTTTTTGTATGAGATGCTCTTTCAGACCCTGCCAAGTCTATAAGTGATAGTTTTCCTACAATTATTTCAGATTCAGTCCCTGAAGCTTTATCTTTATATTCAACAGTAATTTGCAAAACTGCATGAGACCGACTTGAAGTCTGGTTTGCTTCTGTAGGTTCGCATGTTCTCCTCATATTTCCCAGCTGCAAACACTCTATAACTTCATCTGGCGAAGTTGCCATAAGCTCCGCAAGCCCAGCAACCACAATTCCTTTAACTGGATCTTCACGAATATCTAGCACACTGGTTGTGGGATGAATTAGATCTTTGACAACCTCATTATAAATTTCCAAATAGCTTAATTTCACCTTATAAGCTCTTTCTAAAGTTAATTTCTCCACCTTGGTAAAGAGTTCGATAAAAGTCATTAGCATTAATCCAGGACTGTTGACTTCTCCAAGCATTGTATATGTTTTTCCTGCCCCTGTTGCCCCATATGCAAAAACAGTTGCATTGTAACCATTAAGGACTCCGTCGATTAGGAAATTCGTAGTTTTGTCAAAGATGTCCTTCTGTAATGCGTTTTCGTCAAATGCATAATCAAAGGCGTATTGCTTTTCTTTGGCGCGGCTGCCTTTGTCACCGTATTTAAATTGAGGGTCAAGCAGCAAAACTACTCTTTCTTCAATGATTTGGATTAGGTTGGTGTCGTCTATTTCTTTTTCCTTTTTGGTAAGTGGTCTGCATCTAACAGCGACAAGAATATTCGGCTCTGTTAAAATAAAATTAATCAAATTTCCTTTATGCAAAATTTTTCCAAACAAAAACCATTAAATTTCAATCAATAGGAAAAATCCTCAAAATTCCAAAAATAATCAATAGGGAAAATCCTCAAAATTTCTTATTTTTACCGAATATTTGATGCACCTTGTTGCATTTGCCCAACGATGTCTTCATTATCAGAAACATTTTCTTCTGCAGCTCTCGTAGAGTTTCTTCTTGAAGATATTCTCGAAGAAATAATAGTTTGATCAGGACCAGCAACACTCATGTTTTTTATGTATACAAAACTTTAAATATTCACGAAAAATCATTTTATGCCTATTTGCCAAGAATAGCTCACTAGGGAGCATTTTTTGGTTCACCATTCTTAAATTTGGCTATATAGAAAATATGGCATGCCAACGAATTTGTTAAGCCAGCATTGTCCTGCCAACTAAAATGTGCTCCTTAGTGGGTTATTTTTGATAAATAAGTATACCTAAAAATTGATATTAACTTATGTTTGAGCTTCTCAAAATTTCAAATTTTTTATTAATATTATGAGGAAAATTTTCAGGTCTCCTTCAGATAATCGACTTTTACTTGACGCTCAAAGGCAAGAAGATTCAGAAATGGGTCAAATGAGGAACTTAATCCAAGACACACTTACAGAAATGACAAAAGAGCAGTTAAAAAACAAAGAAAAAGCTCAAGTTCTGTTTAGTGAAGTTGTAAGATTAGGCGAAATGAACGAAAAAACAAGCGGCTTTCTACAAAATTTATCATTAACTGTAGAAAATAGACTGTCTCAGCTTGAAAGTCGGCTGAGTCTTGGCGAAAGATCAGTTGTAAGCTTGGACTCTAAGAGTGATCAAGGCGTCTCCTTACTTATGGATTTAGCAGGAAAAGTCGAAAACCGCGTCCAAGGGATAGAAACAGCTATTCTGGCTTTAGGCTCTGAGCAGCAATACGACCACAAACTAATAGACAACGTCAATGTCAACTCTCAAAAGCTTCAAGATGATTTAAAAAATTTCCTAAAGCAGTTACAGATTGACATACAGCAAAGACTCGAAATACGATCAAGCGAAATGCTAAACAAATTAATGCTCGAACAAGAAGAAAGGCTAAGGCATCATCAAGATCTCAAGAACAATTTTGAGCTTAAAGATAAAATGACACAGGAAAAAATCCAATTTGACAGAGACGAATTTCGGGATAAATTTTCAAGCTTTGAGAGCTATTTTAAGACTGAGCTTCAAAGAAAAGAAGAATTAATTAATCATATCAGCTCCACTCTGGATATGCAAATTAAAGGGATTTATGATGCCATTAAGCAAGAAGAACAAGCAAGATTCCAAGCAGAAGGAGGGCTAAGGGACGATATGGCCAATGTAAGTGACGCTGCAAGAACTGGGCTTGAGCAGTATAAAATGCACCAAACCGCGATTAATGAAAAAATGACTGAAATGGTAAAAACAGAAATTGAGTGCAGGCTGAAGTCTGAAAATGACTTAAAAAATATGATACAAAATACAGTAAAAGGGCTGCTACAAGAGCTAGCTATACATAAAGAGACTATGGACAAAAATAGAGTTAAAGCAGAATATGATGTAAAAGAAGCCTCAAAATCTTTTTCAGAAAAAGCTGATTTGTTAAGTAGATATATTGAAGGTGAAAGCTCAAGAATGTCAGAAAACCTCAAGCAGCAGCACAGCCAAAATAAAGAAATAGTAACAGCTTTAACAGAAAGCCTAAAGCAAACTATAATTGCTAATGAAAAATGAAAATCTGATGCAAGTAAAAAAATTGTGAAGCTTGAAAAACTTGTACTCCAAGTCAGGACAGAAATGAATAATTTTGCCATGTCAGGCGATAACCAAATTGTTGCCAAAACAAAGCAGCTGCAAGCAAGCTTAGAAGCCCACTTAGCAAATAACACAAAAATATTAGAAGACCGCATTGAAAATTTAGCAAAAATGATTGATAACAGTCTTGGAGCTTTTGACCAGTCTCTTGCTCATGATAGAGAAGTGTTTTCAAGCATTATAAATAAGTTAAATGAGGATATTTTTGAGCAGCATCAGAATTATTGTGAAGATTTCGGGAAATTAAATGAGTGTTTTGATACTTTACAGTCTGAGATAGAACTATTGGATGAGCAATTAAATGAAAAAATCCAGAATGTAGCGAAACAGTCTGCTGTCGTGGAATCACAAACTGCTGTGTGGCTGTCTACAGAAAAATTGATGAGAGAGCATATGATTAATAGAGTTGCTGATGAGTTTGACGAAAATATAAAAGAGACTAAAGAAACAATTGACAAGCTGATTGAGACGTTAATTGAAAAAGAGCAAGCTCAAGCTGAAATTGAAGAAAAAATTACTAAAAAATTTGAAGAAGTGGAAGAAAAAATTTCTGATGTAAGAAATGAGATGGAACATAATGAACAAGTAAGAAATCAGAAAGAAGCAGAAGCTGAAAAGTATGCAACGATTAATGATTTATCCAGCAAAGCAGACGTTGAAGAAACAACTAAGAAAATAGAGAAACTGAGAGGAATTATTGGGTTTAGAGAAAAAGAAGCCAAAGGACTCGTAGAAATGTTGAAGCTTGATGTTGATAAAATCAGTGAAAAGAGTGATAAACTTGAAAGCATGGTTAATGATTATATACAGGAGGTTATTGATAGAAAAAATACAAGCTTTTATGAAAGAATTATGAGGGAAAATGAAAAGCTTTGGCATGATGTCGTAAATTCAGTAAAATTAAATGAGAATACCAATAATAAAGCGAAGCTGTCAGCATTGCAGGAGAAAATATTGCAAATTGCGAATAATTCAAATGGATATGTTCCAAAAATCAGAGAGTTCAGAGAGATGTAGAGATAATTAATAAATAATTCAGAAATCACTATAATTTATTGGTTTAAATTTCTTACGGCTGTTATACGCGCCATTTTCATATGAGATTGCAATTATGAATTTGCCGCGCTAAAATCTGCGTTTTGAAACATATATTTGGTTTCCACATGCAAATTCAAAATGGAATGCATATTCATGATAAGAAATAAATGCAACGCATTATATAATTTTCATTATTTAATTAATAATGAAATCGACTATTGCACATATTAAATTTCATTTTTGTCTTCATTTCCGGCTAAGTCATTTCTTGAATGATTTTCTTCAACATCCATGCAAAAATCGTCATTTTTATCAGGATTCAGTGCTTTTTCCTCTTGAAATTGTTCTGCAGGCTCATAAGGATGCAAAAGTCGTTTCTCCACACTATCAATTCCTTGATAAGCTTTTCTTATAGGCAGCTCTTTGATTTTTTTCAAAACATAGCCTGTTTTCGGCTTTAATTCGATTTGTTTTATATTTTGACTAGCTTTATTAGTTTCCCCTTGAATATTTCCAAGGCTAATCGGCAACGGTCTATTTTCTTGCACTTGTTGAAGCCTTATACTCCCACGCTCAGGATTTTTATTGTAACTTTCCCTCAAGTTATTTATTGAAGAGTATTGACTGGGAAGAGAGTAAACAGGAATGTGAGGCTTCCTCTTATTAGGAGAATCATCGCTATTATCTGTCGAGTCTGATCTAAACCTTTTCATAGGAATTGTAGAGATATTTTCTTTTCTGTGAGGCAATTTTGAGACATGCTCTTTTTGGTTGCTGTCTTCAGGGTCATTTTTTGAGTTAGCTTTTTTGATGAGATTGGGAGAGCTTGGCTGAGGAGGAGCATCTGGGATAGTGCTATTTGGAGTTTACTTTGAATTTTGGCTTGTAAGTGGAGCTTGAGATGATACTTCTGGAGGATTTATAGAGTTTGTTGGGTTGGAACGAGAATCTTGGGATTCTGCTAATTCAGGCTGATTTGTTGCTAATACAGGCTCCTTTGAGGATTTATCAGGGAGCTCTGCAAAAAAAAGTATCCTATGGCTGTATATATTTTTGCAAATCAAAGATTCTAGTGAGATAATAAGTAAGTTATATGCTAAATCACTCATTTTTATTTTTTATAAACATAGAATCTATATTTCTCGTTTTAAAACCTTTTAAAATTGAGCTTTTTGATCTTTCAAGCTCTCCTATTTAATTGCTTATAATATGTTAGGTAGTGATTAAGAAGAATTTTATTATAATAAATTAATATTATAGTTCATGATAAATTGGTATTGCGGTAAGCATATATATACCATTTATCTAATAATTAGCCTAATCCGTTATTATAAAGCTTATATCTATAGATATCTTTATATTCATGATTTTAGTTTCCAATAATATATTTAACAAGGTAAATGCTATAACTGTTTTGAGGCAAGGCTAAGTAAGAAGAGTGCGCTAAAAATCGAAATAAGCCTAACGTTCCAACTTAGTCAACTCACAAAATACCCAGAAATTAAAATCCTAATTTTCTCTCATTTAGCCAAATCTTAAGTAATTATTTTATTTTAGCCACTTTTTGCTGCTTTTATCAGCTTCAGCTCCTTCTAGTTTTTCTCCTTCCTTCTTAGGTTCTTCTTCCATTCCTGGTGGCTCTTCGTTAGGATCTCTCTTTAGTTGCCATTTCTCAATCTCCCTCTTAACCCTATCAATTTGTTTTTCAAAAAACTTTATTTTATCCTCCACTTCTTTTGTCCCTAAAACTGGCTTTCCTTCCATCTCTTTTGAGGCATCTGCTAAATTTATTTTTTCTTCCTTTTTAGTCAAGTCACTAAGCGCACTTTGGAAGAATCCTAATTCTTCGTTTAAAATCCCCAGCGAAAAATCAGGCATTGCATTGACATATCTATTCTCACGTTCTTCTTCTAAATATTTATTCCCAAAATACTGAATTGTATGCATCACTGCTCCATCACCTTTTCTTCTTTCTTCAAAAGACCTCATTGTATAGTTATGAGTTCTATTTTGGAACCTTGGGACCAACTCACTCATTACTTTTTCGACAGCTCTGTCAGTATATAAATAAGCCCTCAAAAGGATCCTTTTTCTTTCGTCCGTGATATTAGTTTTTTTCCCAAAAGTAATAATTTTGTCTGCTAGGCCACTTATAGCTTTCGCTTTGGCTTGGGTCGTCACAATTCTTTCATGCTCTATAAGAGAAGTCAGAAGGTTTCTTAAAAGCTTATTCCTAGGCTTAGATTTGCGACTGAGCTTCAAAAGGACTTTTCCATGCCTCATATTTATTATAAGAAATTTATGTATTAAAATGTTAGGCTTATCACATATCTTGCAGTAAATCTTCGTCAGGAGTTTCTAAATCAAAAACATCCATAGCAGACTTTCTTGCATTAAATGCAGAAGCCATTGCCTCTTCTTGCCTTAAATGGTCATTAAAGGACTTCAGTTGTTTTCGGAGATTTCTTATCATTTCTTCTTTCATAGCTAGGACTTTGTCAAGCTCACATACATACTGGTCAACGTCACTTCCTGGCTTGTCTACTTCACTGAGAAGCGCCATTTGGACTTTAATTGCGTCGACCATATCATCGATGGTCTTTCTATGTGTATTAATGAGCTGCTCTTCTTCTGATATAATAAAATGCTATAAATAGGAAATTAATTAGGCAGAAATTAAAAATGATAGTGAAAAGTTTGGCTGGGTATAAAAAATGACAGCAATTAAATTTTCATGAGATGCTGTGAGCTCTTCAAGATCCATATTTTCAGACTCGTCGAAAATAGGAGTTGATGAAGGAACTGGAGGCTGAGGCTGCGGCTGTGGGACTGGATTTGGTTGTTGAGATCTTGGCGATGTAAAGCCACCTCCAATTCTGCTTTTTGGCTTATTTGCAGGCTTTGTGCCGTTTGTTTTAATCCTTTCTGCTTCTTCTTTAAAAGTCATTTTGGGCACATTATTTGTATTTTTTGGAGAAATTTCATCTTCATCTTCCTCCTCATTTTTGACATATCGTACAATATTATTATTTTGTCTTGGAAGCATCAAAACATTAGCTAGCTGATCTGCATTTTTCCCTGCACCTCCTCCACCTTTTTTAAGCTCTTTAACTCTATCAGCGTATCTTAAAGAATTCAATGTGTGCTCACAGCTAGTAAGTCCAGGTGAAACATTTGCAATCATAACAGTTCTGCAGTTTCCTACAAAAGAGTCTTTCAAGACTAATGTCAGCTTGCTTCCTCTAAATGGGGTATGCTTTTTATCTTGATCGAGAGCCCTTATACACTCCTTTAGCGCTAACAGAGATTTATTGATTTCTGCCCCATCTATTCTGGTTTTTCCATCAGAGTTCATTGTATCTGCACCTCTTTCACTTCCTGCTAAGTCAATAAAAGTAACCTTACCAACAGCACGGCGTTTTTCGCGCAAAGAGATTTCTAAAACTCCATGAGACCTTGAAGAGTCATCATTTGCACCTGTAGTCCCTGTTGTCCTATTAGAAAGCCCTAAGGTGAGAATGTGCATTAAAGTTTGCACATCATCAACTGGCTTATATTGGAGTCCCACAATATTGACATTTTGTTTGGCATCTTCTCTAACATGAAGAATATGCCTTTCATTTAAAAGGTCATGAAGCTTCCCACAGTAAATTTCATAAAATGAAACCCATAGCTTTATATTTGGATAAAGCTGCTCCTTATAATAATAAAGATCATTAGCTGCCAACAAATAAAGTCCTGGGGTTTGTCCTTCTCCCATCATTGTATATGTCTTTCCACTGCCTGTCTGGCCATATGCAAAACACGTGACTTTGGCTCCTTGGAATGCTGCTTGGACTATTGGCTGGACTGTAGCTCTATAGAGCATCTCATTAGTAACGTCTTCACTGAATACACCGTCAAATGTGAAATGATGCTCTTCTATATATTTTGTCAAATCCACTTTGACTTTCTCCTCTGTGACTACTATTGTTTGAGGTGAGCGCTGAGATAGAATATCAACTTCACCTCGGGCCTTTTCTTTAGTGTTTAGAGGTCTTTTGCGAACTATCACTTGGATTTTCTGGTCTCGATCTACCATTTTGAAAATGATTTAGAGTAAGATGAAACTTTTGATGTATTGTGGGATTTGAATTATTTAAATAGGATGAATGAAATAAAAAAAGTGATGAGCTGAAAGGTTTTGATTGGATAATAAGCACTTTATAGATAATGCGGTGAAGCAGTGCTGTTGATTTATTATGATAATATAGTATTTTTTGAGTTTCTGCGCTGTTTTTTATTGCTGATAGGATTTACTTATGGATATTATATCAAAAAAAATTGTTATTTAAGGTTTCTAGAGTATTTTAATTGTTGATAGGAGATACTTAGACATATATTGAAAGCTGAAAATGATTTTATCTAAGCTTGATCAATATTTTTAGATTTTATTGCTTACAATAAGAGATTTATTCATTAAAATAATGCAATGCTACGGATTTCTTAAAAAACTATATATGCTACAACAAAATCTAGGCTTATGTTGACATGGAGAACTTCTTTGAGTTGGGATGACTCACCTGCGAGTTAAGGCTCGATGATCATCTTTTCTCTTCTTCACTGCCTGAAGCCATTGAACCTGCGAATAGGGCTCTGTGTCTCCGATCTTCCTTGATTGCCAACTCCAGTGCTGAGTGAGAAGGCTATGGACTTCTGAGGCATGCTGCATGAGTTGAATGAAGGTTAACCACACAAAAATTCCAAAAAAATGGAATTCTAGTGGACTATCGGCAAAAAGCAAAATTCTAGGCATTGCCTTAGATGCTCCTGCTGAGCTTGCCCTTTTCAACTCTGAACCTCCTTCTCGAGGTAAAATTCAATCCTGAAACGGATTAGGGCTAGGCTCTGCATATTACCACAGTATCGCTAACCTAGCATAGCTGTCCATTTCTAGGTTGGCAGATACTTGCCAGATATAATTAAAAAATATGCTGATCGGGAGGCCATGCCCTGACTGAGACGCCATATTTTATTACTGAACAAAATCTAGGAGAAATAAATTAATTTGTGTCATTATTTAATAGCACTACAGTATGAAACAAGTATAGCTATCGCATCCTCTGGCAAATGGTATTTTTTCACAAAGCCATTAATAATCTGTGATACAATTGACTCTGATATTTGAAAACTTTCCATTATCGCAATATACGAGGACAGCTGAGCGACCACGACTTCTCTAAGTCTTGTTGGCAAATCTTCATGGATTTCTCCTTCACCAATACAATACTCAGCAAATTTTTCCATTTCATTTTCCAAAGAGTCTTCCAGCATTTTTTCCCAAAAATTTTCTTGGTTCCAATACGGATGTGCTATTATCAAAGTCTGCAAAAAAATTTTTGTTTTGTTTTCTTCTTTATAAAATGTTTGGGATAAAATAATGCACTGGCTTGCGCAGATAAAATCTTCTATAGTCAATTTTGATAAGACTTCATACATTAGTGTTCCTAATTGGTAAAAAGTTTCTCCTGGAAGCACAAATTGGCCATGGTTTCGTTTTTCGTTTAATACAGAAACTCATGATTTTTTTCCCTCAGGGTCAGAAATCATTATTGAAAATTTTGACTTTTCATGAGAGGTCAAGTGTTTTCCTTTCCAGCATTTGTCGATAATTTTCCTCATGATTTCGATTTGATTAGCGATTTTTAGTTCTAAAGAATGCCTTTCGTTATACGAAGACTGGCTAGAGAAGAATTGGACGTTTTCTACCCTTTTCCCTGTTCTTAAATTAGTGATAAATAGCTCAATTTCTGTTTGGGGATTATACTTTTTTATTTCCTATATATTGGATACTTTGGTGATACTTTCAACTTCAAAAAAAAGAGATTTTAAATAGGAGCCTTCTATTTCTGTGATTTTTATAAGCGTTTCTTTAATCAAGCTTTTTCTCTCTTCTTCTTGCTTTTGGTAGAACATTAATATTTTATTCATTTCTTCTTCAAATGGCCTGTTGAAATTATTCAGCTCTTCTATTGCACATAAATAAGCCTTTTGGTAGTCTTCTTCTTGCTTGCTTTCTTTTCGTTTGTGCCCTTTTTCAGAGTCCTTAGACGCACCCAAGTATTTTTCTTTAGCTCTCAAGTGGTTTTTTATCAATTTTTCTCGTTCTTCTACCAAATTTTTCCCCATTTCACTTTTTTCTCTGATAAGAAAATCTTGATGAACCAATAATTTTTTTATAGAAGCTGAGAATCCATTGCTGAATTCTGCAGAAATGTTGTTTAATATAAGAGCTTGCTGGTTTATATAAGTTTGTATTAGTGATAGATAGAGGCAAAGATTGCTTTGCTGGCTATTATCAAATATTGACGACTGGGCTAATCTTTCAAGTCCTTTTGCATATGATTTGTCTAATTCAGATTTTTCTTGCATAAAATTGGTACATTCCTCAAGTAAATTTCTAGAGGATTTCCATTGAAGTCTAATCTCTGAAAATTTATCCCATAATTCAGTATAGTTCATTTTTATAGTTGAAAAGATGAATCTGTCTTTTGATAAACCAATAAGACTTATTGATTCTCTTCAGAATTCAATAACGTCAAGAAAGCACATTAGACACAACAATATACAAAAAATTGAATCAATTGAAAAATTGTCATCACAAACTTCACAAAAAATCAGTCTAAATACTTTGCAAGGGCTAAGCAATAGCATGAATATTAGCTTTAATTCCTTAAAAACCAAAATTTCAGTACATTCTCCCAAGTCTCCTAATACCCCAAATATCACACATCAGCATGGGTTCAATTTTATGAGATTTTCATCAACTCCGTCATCAAAGACAAGCAAGACTTCTAAAGCATTTTTAAAAATCCAGCCAAAGCCAAATTTGCCTATTCCTATTGGAGCAATCTCTAGCCAAAGCTCACTTAAAGAATCGACTAGGACAAGGCTGATTAATATGCTAACAGAAACTGATAGCACAGGCTTGGTTTCAGTAAGGTCTAAAACTGTTTCTAGTCCTAGAAAAAGAAAAACTCACCAAGAATATATTATTCCTCCATCTGGGGCAGGGCTGGATTTGGTTCTAAAACAAATCAAAGAAAAAGAAAGAGTGCTGAGGCAGGAAAATGAATTCTGGGATAAAATCAGAGATTTGACTGTAAAAATTGAAAAAAAGATATATCCAAAAGAAGAGGATAAAAAGGATATTAGGATTAAGAAAATAAAAAAATCAAATGAAAATAGCCCTGAGAGGGTAATAGAAACTGAGTCATATGTGCTGCCATCAAAAATTATTATTAAGCCGCAACTGGCTTAAAGAAATTTGTTGATGATTTTATAAATTTTTATATGAAGATTGGTTAAACACACAAGTTTTTAATTTAAATATTTTTATAAAGAATCTGCTTTATAAGCATTTTTCTGTAATAGCTTATGAATTTAAACACAAAATGGAAAAACAAGTCGAGGGTTATTACATTCCAGTTAAAGCCTATAACTTTGTAGTCCCTGATGATGCTTTTGAAAATGATGAAGACCGTCCAAATGCTCAAGCATTGGTCTCTAAACTTCCTATAAAACATTTGATAAATATCTTTTAAGCTTGTGCATACCAAAAAAAATGGTTGTTTCCAATATTTTGATTTAAAATTTTTAAAAAGAATTTGAAATCTGGAATTAAAATAGCCAGCGTACTATACAAAGCAAGCAAATAAAGCAAAGCATTCAAGCATGGCTGCACCTGGAGCCAAAATCAAAATTCAAATGCCAAAAAATTTGCTAATTTCTAACACAAAAGAAAAAGATTCAGAGGCTACTGATAGCAAAACAGATTTTGATAGAAATTCTGAGAAAAAACCTCAAAAAATAAGGCCAAATACCGCAAAACCAAAATGGAATGATAAAAATATATCAACAGAAGAAGACATTCTTGACGAAAACCAAGAAGAAAAGCTAATGCTATTTGAAGAAGTTGAAGAAAAACCCACAGCAACTATGGCTCAAGCACCAAGAAAGATAGAAAACCCCCAAAGTAAAGCGTTATATCAGCCCAAAACTCTTCAAAGACCTTTAAGTGCAGTAACCAAAGCAAAAGTTCCTGAAATTTTCAAAGAAGGGAAAGCTATAACTAAAACTGAAAAAGCCCAAAAAGATGAAATAAAGCAAAAAGCGATAAAAAAAGTCTCAGATTGGATGGAAGAAGCTGACAGAAAAAGAGAAAAAGAAGTCCAAAAAATCCAAAATTTATATCAATTTAAAAAATCAGATAGCAAACTGTCAGAAAATATCAAAGAATTAATGAAAAGACTTAGCAAAACTAACGATAAGACTAGTAAAACAATTGGAACTGTATTAAAAACTTCAAATTTCAGCGAAACCAATTCTTTATACTCCTCAACCCAGCAGCTGAAAGAAGATAAACTAGTTTCTGATGAAGTTTTCAGTATGGTAGATACAAGATTTAAGCTAAACCAAAGGAATTTTACTGAAAGAAGTATAAATAACAGAATTGACCTACACGCGCTGTATAGCAACGAAAATAATTCAAAAAGTTCGTGGATCCCTGACTTTTTAATTTCACACGAAAGCTGAAACCCTAGCAAAGAACAAACTGAGGCTGCATCAGACCACTTTATTGACGGTGCAGATTCCCCCGCTGACTGAAATAATTATTAATCTTATGTAATTTCTCTCTGATTTTTCAATTTATATCTAATAAGTATGGAGAGCCTAAAACTCCTTCTCATTTTCATCATTTCAGCTTACGCAGTCGAAGAAATTGAAAAAAATTACTGTTGGTCTTATCAATGCAAGACAAATACCACGACTTTTAACTCATCAACCTGTATCTACCCTAACACTTTATATTCAACCTACGTCCTGAATGCCTGCACATCATCTTCTACTCCTTATTGCCCACCTATTTATGGAACTTACCAAAACTCTTCATGCACAACTATTCCAGATACAACAGCAGTGACTAATTTATATCCAGGGGAAACTTGTTCAGCGAACAGCATGTGTGCTTCAAATAATTGCACGAAGGCTCATTGTGTGGGGGTTAGCTTGAATGGAACTTGCACCAAGCATGATTATTGTGGCCCTGGATTGAGGTGTGCATCAGGAACTTGCAAAGCTTTATTAAATATAAATGAAGTGGGCTGTACTACGGATTATGATTGTGTGCCTAAAGCAGGATGCAATATTACAAGTACTGGAGGGGTTTGTGTAGAATATTCTGAATAAAGATAAATATGTCCTTGTTGTCATTGTTGGATCTTTATTTTTTACATAATAAAAGGTAATGATTTTCAATTCACTTAAAATTTTTACAAGAAAAGAATATTTTTCTTTACCACTTAGCAGTGTGATTTCCAATTGCACCAAAACTAAACAAGGCGGCTATTCTAATTTGTGTAAATCTGGAGTTTGCTTATACACTTCATTATTTTCAACCAAGGGAACTTGTTCTAATGCACCTACATCAGTAGCAACAACCCCACAGCAATGTACGAGTGACAGCCAATGCATGGGGAAGACAGAAACAAATACTTATTTCACGAGCTGCCAATGTGGGATGAACCCATCAGGATTATCATATTGTCAGCCATTCTATGGAGATTCGCCTTATTTGAATTATATTTCTTCATATAGGACTTTTATGTGGAGTGAGGCTCTTGATAAGTGTAATACAGTGAGAAGGTTTGATGATAATTGCTGGAAAATGACTGTAGGGCAGAATTATACGAATTTATACGTGTCTAAATATCAAATAGAAAATTATCCTCAATTGCAAAATAATGATGCTTGTACTAAAACGATTTATTTTTCGAATTATTACTCCAAAACTTACTCCGGGGCAGCTTCACTTATTATTTCTCTTTACCTGTTGATGCTAAGCTAATTCCAATTATTCTAATTTATTTTTAATAAACTATGTATACAAAACGCTATCATTTTTGCATTAATTATACATTTTCCCTTATTTTCTTTAAAAAATGTATCAATTATTACAGTCCATTATAATATTTTCGTCATAAACTTTGCTAATTTTTTCATGAACTACAACATATGGCAACCCAAGATCTATTGCGAGCTGCTGGATTGCTGAATCTGCTGGCTTTGAAATAGTCTGTCCTAAAATGACTACTTTTAAAGCTTCACATACTCTGTCTAGCATCTTATCAGCAGCTTCTAAGTATTCTCCACTCCCTAAGTTATAATTAATTGCGATGACTTCTTTTAATTCTACCGCAGGCCCTGGATAGCTCTCTAAATTAAACCATTCATGCTTCATTAAGTCATCAGCACTTGGCTTTTTTTCCCTTAAACATAAACATATAAACTCTTTGACCTGAGGTGTCAGTCTTTTTATGATAGGGTTTGATTCCATTGTGTGGAAAACACAACAGTCCTGTGTAGTAGAAGGAATTATATCTGAATCCCCTAGAACAGAATTTAAAACTAATATCCCAAGCGTATAAATATCGTCTTCTAAGGTATGAATTTTAGACTGCAGCCTCTGTGTAAAGCCTAATCCAAACTTAATTGCCCCAGATTTTGTAAAAAGAATTTGTGTAGTAGAAATCCCTCCATAGGCTTCATTTTTTCTATGAAGATATATGAGGAATTCCAAAATTTTTTTTACAATAAGTGAAACTAGATTTTCTGGTAGACTTCCACAGGTGGCTATTAAATCTTTTAAACTCCCTCCAGGCAAATATTCCATAACTATGCTAACTACACCTTCAGGAGAGTTCCAAAATGTTGCGCTTACGTTGATTAGCTTTTTGTGTCTTTGCTGGATGTTTTGCCATTTACTGATCCAGTCTTTGAGATGAGCCCTTTCGTCCCGTGTACTGATTGGGATTTGTTTATACATTTTAATATGAATTAAACATAGCTTAAAAAAGATTTTTTGTTTAAAATATATAAAAATGGTACTGATTAATTGCGAAAAGTTCTAGAGTCTGGGCATGAAGGACTTTTCGGATATTCCCAGTGAGTGACTGGGAATTTAAATGTGAAAGGGTAATCATTTCTTCAAGCTGCACTTGGCATTGGGGAAGAATTATTTGTGCTTGGCTTCGAAGTCTCGAAAAAGGCTCGTAGAGATCTATGTTGTCAGGGTTAGCAGGAAGCTTTTCCAGCTGCTTTAATGCTTTTGTTAATTTTGAATGGTCATTTGGTTTTATTTTTATAGGTGATAGCAAATTTTTCATCTTTTTGTACTCTTCGCCTTCGTAAATTTCTTCAATGTCTTTTTTCATAGTTTTCTTTATCGGCTGCGAAAATGCCTTGGGGAGTCTAGTTGATACAATAGGCTTAGGTAGGTGCTTTACTTTGTAATCAGCAACAATTTTCATCATAATAAAATAAGTATGCTTAAAATACTGATAAAATGGATAAAAAAGATTTCTCCAAAAAATAGACTTTATGAACAGAATTAATTTAAAACATTTAAAAAAATCACAATAACTGTGATATCATCAATTGAGTCGTCTTCTTTTTGCCACCTCATAACTGCTTCTTTTACCAACTTATCACAGCATGCTTCTGTTTTTCCAGTCTCCCAAGACTCTTTAACCATATGGTCAAGCACAGGTAGCAACCCTACACCCCCACCCCCCCCCCTTTTTTAATGGTACCCCCACCCCCCCCTTTCACAGATGGCACCCCCACCCCCATCCCCCTTAATATAGCATAAAATATATGAAAAATGCCAATTTAGAGCAGACGTAATAAATAAATTATTATTTTAAATATTCAAAATTACTGATTTATACAATATCCACATAGCGTAGCACAATCGATTAAGGAGTAGATGGAATGGGGTGAGAATTTCCTATAACTAGTAAGCTCACCAAATCTGAAAAAATTTGTTAGCAAGTTAATAATGATCTTTGGTATTAATTAGCAATATATCCTGCATATAATTATGAACTTTGTGGAACAATGCCTAAAAGTCGAATTAGAGATCCAAAAGTAAAACTGACAATAGCAAATGCTATTTTTATTACCACTATGAATCCTGCTACCAATTCAGTCCTGCAATCTTTGTACAATGGTAATCAGATTAGCTTTAATTTATGAATCCATAAATTTAATGCAAGTTATTCTATTGTGCTTGGCTAATTTAATAATTAATGCCATTGTCTATATCTTTGGCATTATATTTATAAATATAAAAAAAACAAATTTAATATATTTTCTAATTAATTGCTAATTAATTTAAATTTATTAATTAATCATAAATATAAAGTAATTTGTGGACTTAATTTAAAAATATAGTGTTTTAATTGGATTATGTTTAATTTATTCTGCTTATTTTCCTATCAAATACTTCTATAGGATAAACCCGAGAGGGGGGTGCCATCTGTGAAAGGGGGGGGGGGTGGGTGTTCCCTTATTGGAGGGGGGGTGGGGGTGTCTGGTTGAGACCTATGCTTGACCAACCATATCTACAGCTTCTTGGCTACTGATGAATTCCCATATGCCGTCAGAAGCGAGTATAATAAATTTATCTTTTGGCTCTAATTGTTTTATGAGCATTTCTGGCTCAGCACTTACGCCAACTGATTTTGCGACGAAATCTCCAATAGACCTCGACATCGCCAAGCCAGGAATTTGTTGGTCTTGAAGCCAAACTCTATAAGGGCCTAAAGGCTGTCCGTTGTCGTCAAAATAAGGCTCAATTCTACCGTTCGCTTTAATAATTCTTGTCCCTTCATCAGGAAGATCTGGCTTATGGTCCCTTGACAGATCAATCGCTCTCCACATATTTTCATTTCTCTCTGCCAAAACTGCTCTGGAGTCCCCAACATTCCCACAAATAACTGAAGACCCTCTTATTAGCAGAGAAACCAGTGTACTTCCTGAGAATTCTGCATTTATTGTGCTGTCCTGTACAAGTTTATCTACATTTACGATCCCATTGGCCAATGCTTGCGAGTAAGCATTCAACGGAGACTCATTTTCTGGCATTCCTTGCTCTACAGTAATAGGAAGCTTTTCTTTGATATACCCTGAAACATCATGGCCAAGAACTCCATGTCCATCACATACCGCAAAAAGATATTGCCCCTTAATACCTTGCAATAGTGGTTGAATTATATATACAAATATAGTGAATATGATATATTTTTGACTATTAAAGGTAAAATAGATATAAATTAATAAGGAATAAAAGCATCTTGGTTATATTTTTTTGGCCTTCCCAGCATACTTCCTGCACGAGTTTTATACGCGCATCTGGTGACTACATTTATAACTGAATTTGTATAAGTTGGAGACATAGGAGGCGTAATCATACTTGCAGTCCTTTTTTTGGCACTTGGCGGCTTTGATTTAGCTTCTGCTATTATTGAAGCTGAAGGGGTGAATGGCAACTTTTTTTGTTCTTCAATAAGGAGTTGGTCAGGGATCAAAAGACGTGGAAGTTTGCGGCTGCGGACGTTAGATTCAGGGCTTGGACGGTTGCTGCGAGATTTGGTGATCCTTATTGCTTTTGGCTTTTCTTCACTTCACGCTACTTTTGGACTTAGTAAAGTGCCTCTGGATGAAACTTTCCGGATAGTTTGAATATCTCGTATGATACGACTTCTAGGTATTGCATTTGTAGGGGATAACGAAAAACCTTTTGAGGAGGAAGGGCTTATTTGATGTGTTTCAGATCGTTTGTGCCTGGGAATATCAAACATATTTAGTATAGTCCATGTTTAATTTATCTAGAATAACTATAAGTTAGGGGTTAGTAACAGTAAAAATGTAGTTCAGTAATAAGAAGGCAATACATATTAAAAGAGTATAAGTCTGAATATTTTCTTAATGAATTGCCTGGGATATGAGCAGAAATCAGCCATATAAAACATTTTAAGGTATGTTGGAGTGGTAGGGGTTAGGTGAACTGGTTCTGATTAATGGATGACTTTTTTGAGAAAAGGAGCATTAAAATAAATAGATAGTCATCAAGAGAACAAAAATTAGATATGAATTGGCGTTAAATTAAAATAATTTGACCACTTATCGGTAATAAAATAGTATAGGGAATTCCTAGAATGGTCTGGTAAGGACAAATATTTGGAGGCGGTTGGTCTCCAGTTGGTTGGACCAACTCAGGCTGGTCAAGCAAACTGGAGAGATGGTAAATTAGCCCCTCTTCAATTAGTTTTTCCAATCTGAGCTGGTCCAATAAACTGAAGTAACCATCTCAAAATGGGAAATGCCTATAACTGTTTTTTGCTTAATAAAATTATGGACTAAAAAAATTTAAAATAAGTCTTTAATTTAAGCTTACTCCCCCCCTCCGTGAGTGATTGTTCACTCATGGAGGGGGTTAATTTTTTTTTAAAAAATATTAAATATAAATTTTATAAAAATTTGTTTTTTTCGAAATTTAAAAAAAATCCTAATTCGCAAAAATTGGAAAGCAAATGTTAACTTAATTTATAAATTTTATGTTTGAAAAAGCAATTCGTTTAAAATTAAACAGAATTAGCACTAGATTTTATTATACTAATTATCATTTATATATCAAAAAGTTTTTTCCATAAAAATTTTTCTATTAAAAAATTTTTGTTGACTCACGGAGGGTGGGTTTTTGGACAAAAAATAGCGATTTTTCTAATGGTTTTGTTCACTCACGGAGGGGGGGGAAGTTAATAAAAATTATATAAATCAGAGAGAAATTAGCAAATAGGGACCAAATATCTAATAATAAAATTCAATTGGCTTAAATAATAGAAATTTACTATTAAATCTTGATAATCTGAATTTCATTTTTAAAATCCTAATAAATATCTGATGTCGTCTAATCAAAGCTCTAATCCTCCATCCAATCCTCCTCAAGTCGATTTATTGTCAGATTTATTTGATTCAAGCCAACCTGCCGCCCAGCCGCAAAATACCAATATATTAAGCAGTATCGACGTAGATCTGTTTCAAGTTCCTCACTTCCCCTGTTTAAGAGCAAGCAGTATATATTTGATTGCCATTGGAAATTTTATATCATTTTTAATTCGATTTCACAAAATCTAATTGTAAAAAAAATTAATTATTTTTTGTTTTTACAATATTAAAAATGTCAGTTAGGGATAGGCCCTAGCTCCTGCTCAAGCAGGATGGACCTATATACCGAGCTCAGTGAGAGAAGTCAATCTTCTTGAGAGCTTCGGCTTTGAAGAGAAGGGTCACTGCTGTGTCTGGCACTGACTAGAGAAGTCTTAGCGGGCTTATTAACTTTAACGGTTCGACGGTTAGGCCGGTTCACCAACCGTTGTTCAGAGCTGTTAATTTGGCTGAACCTCAACCAAGGGGACTTTATAGCCATTCAAAATGCTAGAGTAATTCAATAAACTTAAACTTAAACTTAAACTTAAATTATTTTTTAGAATGCAAGCTGCTTAAAATTTAATAGTATTAGCTTCAATCTTACTATAAAAATTGTTATTTAGATATAAAAATATTTTTGTTTAAAAGATTTTATATTAAAAAAATTTCATTCTAACCTAAAAGGATTAATTTTGCCTGAAAATAAGCATTTCCAATAGTTTGCTCGCTTTTAAATAGAGAAGACAGCAATCAAGTTCAAATCAAGCTAACATAAACCTCTATCAAGTTCCTCAACAATCCAATATAAATTATTCTAATATAAGCCCGTTTCAAGCTCCTCAACAATCCAATATAAACCAAACTAGCCTGCTCGATGCAGATCTGTTTGGAGTTCCCCAGCAATCCAATACAAATCAATCTAGCATTAGCTCTAGTGACCCCTTTGCAGGCCTCCAACAGCCTAACTTTACCTACAGCACCTTTAACCAAACTTTACCAGACTTAAATCTTACTGAAAGTTTCAACATAGACCTATCCTCCCAAGTTGAAAATATCCAAATCAATGATGATGCTTTTCAACAAATTAGCTCACTGCAAAACCAGCAATATAATTATCCACCTCAAATGCAATATTTGCCACAACAAATGATGTATCAGCCATCTCCATACCTATCGTATAACTCATCATCCAACTTTTCGCTTTCACCAGCTCAATACTCCGCAGCTCCTGAACCTCTTATTATGAACGACGATGACGAAATTCAATTGAGAACAGTTGTAGAGGAGACCAAGACTCCTGAAGAAGCCATCACAGTGTCAATGAATTTCCTTCTAAATTATTTAGAATTAAAAAATACTGAAGAAGAAATCCCTTGTACTCTTTCTTTGAGAGGCTCAAGTGCACAAGTTGCTGATATTCAAAAAAACAGGCAAGGACTAGACTTGATTTGTGTAGTTGATGTAAGTGGAAGTATGTCAGGGGTTAAGCTTGAATTGGTAAAGAAAACTTTGAACTTTATGCTGACTCTATTAAATGATGGGGATAGAGTTAGTATTGTTGTGTTTTCGGATAACGCTCAACGAATAATTAAATTGACAGCAATTAATGAGGTAGGAAAAGTTGAAGTTGAAAGAGCGATTAACAATATGAATATTATTGGCAGTACAAATATTGTATCAGGCCTTGAAAAAGGTTTAAAAGTTGCAAGTGATAGAAGAATTGTTTAAGTTTAAAAAAAAAAATTCTTGCAATCTTGTGCCTTCAAAATCATCGTTAGAGGTCCAGCTACATTAACAGCTCTGAACATTTGTAGGTGGGCTGGCCTAACTGCCAAACCGTCACAGTTAATGAGCCCCTCCAGACTTCTCTAGTCAACCCGAGACTCAGCATTGACCTCTTCTCTTCAAGCCAAGACCCTCAAGAAGTTTAACTTCTCTCACTGAGCTCGGGACATAGGACTATCCTGCGAGGCAGGTGCTAGACCTATCCCTAACTTACATTTTTAATATTGTGAAGAATTGTCAATCAAGTCACTTCAATTTTATTATTAAGTGATGGATGTGATGATTCGGGCGATACAGTTTTGTCTAGGGCTGCTGGATGCTCTAATGAGTTTAAGTCATTAATTAAAAGCTCATACACAGTCCATACTTTTGGGTATGGAGCAGATCACGATGCCAAAGTTATGCAGGAAATCGCAAGATCTAATAGTGGAAATTTTTATTATGTTGAAGATCCAAAAGATATCCCAATAGCATTTGCTAATTGCTTTGGTGAGCTGGCCTCTTTGGTAGCTGATAAAATTCAAGTCGCTTTGATAACTCAGCCATGCAGTATCCCTTTCCATCTGTCTAAAGTATACTCACTTCCCCCTCCGCGAGTGAGCAAAAAATTTTATTCACTCACCGAGGATTTATTTTTTTTTGTTAAAAAAAATTATATATAAATTTTATAAAAAAATTTTTTTTCGAAATTTTAAAAAAATCCTAATTTGCAAAAATTGGGAAAAATATTAATTTTAATTATAAAATTTATGTTTTAAAAACCCAATTTGTTTAAAATTAAACAGAATTAGCTCGAGATTTCATTATACTAATTATCACTTATATATCAAAAAATTTTTTTCTTAAAAAAATTTTTCTATTAAAAAATTGTGTTCACTCATGGAGAGTGGTTTTTTGGGGCAAAAAATAGGGATTTTTTCCAATGGTTTTGTTCACTAACGGAGGGTAGGGGAGTCAGAAAACGGTGATAGCAATTTTTCAATGGCACAAGTACATGCAGGTGACAAAAAAGACTCAGTTTTCTTATTGAAATTCCCACCTATAACTGACAGGGTTCCAGATAATGAAATTATAAGGCCAGTCAAAGCAAGAATTAGTTATGAGACTAATTTAGGAGAAAATAAAATAATTGAAACAGAATTAACTATTTTGGTGGTCAATGAAGGAAGAGAAGAAATTGAAGTCAACGAAGATGTTATGGTCAATTATTATAGGTGTTTGGGAGCAGAAATTTTGAAAGAAGTTGCGAGTCTTGCAGAAAGCCATAAATACAATGAGGCAAAAGAAGCTGCAATCAAAGCAGCAAATGAATTTAAAGGATGCATTGTCAATGATCATCCAATTGTGAAAGCTTTAATACGCGATCTTGAAGATGCTGCAAATAGAGCGTCATCATATTCTAGTTGGGAGCAAGGAGGGAGAGCTCAAGTGTTTTCAGTACAAAGCAGCCACTTTGCTCAAAAAGCTTCAAATAATGCGATGATGTATCAGAATGGATGCCAAGCAGCCTATTCAGAGATGGCTATGGATTATTTCAGCAAACCTTAATCTTAAATAATAATATATTCTCGGATAAATCGATACTATAAAAAAAGTATAGACATGAGTTTAATAGGAATTTTCAATTATTTTTTCATTTTTAATAATATAATATTAAACTAACTGATGTCATCTAATCAGAGTTCAAATCCTCCAGCCGATCATCTCCAAGCAAATGGATTTTTACAAGCTAGCAATGTTTCTCAACTCCCTAATGCCAGCATGGATATATCTCAAGGTCATCAGCAGTGTGATATAGATCAAATTAACAATTCAGGCCCTTTTGAAAATTTCCCACAGCCAAAACCTAAATCTCAATCTCTAAATCAGCCATATGATTATGAAAATTTTCAATTCCCCTCATTTTCTCAAAATCAGCCAAAGCCAAATCCATATGAAGCTTATGGCTTGCAAATAAATTATTTACCTTCACCTGCACCAGTTATAAATGATGAAGAGAAAATTCAATTGAAAAAGATTTTAGATGATGCTAAATCCCGAGGAAGCAATTCTAGCGCCAATTAATTATTAATTGAAATTAAAAAATAAAGCTAGGTAATAAGTGTACTTTTCATTCTTTATATTATCTAATTGAAATGATTTATAGACTCTACTGCTCTGTTTGGGGATAATTAGACTTGATAAGCGAATTTTTTACCAAAAATACTTAGGCACAAGCTGTACCAAAATGGCTTGGTAGATTACTGTATTTTTTGCTCTTAATGGCACAAGCATTTTTTGGATAACCAGAGAAAAAACAGAAGCAGACTCAACAAGGCTTTTAAGAGCGCAATTCTCTAAGTTTTAAATTATATTATTTTATGAGCGGCAAGGTCTAGAAACTATAGAATTTTCCCATAGATGGCGCTGTTTGCCCTTGATTTGCCCACTGGGGAAATTTTTTTGGTTCGACCAGTACCCATATGGTTTGGTCAAACCAAAAAATTTTCCTCATGGGCAAATCAAGGGCAAACAGCGTCATCTATGGGAAATTTCTATATCAGAGATTGCGATAGACCTGGTGAAGGATCAAGTTTGAATGGATCTGCTAGAAAAATATGTTAACTAGGATCCATGGATTTTTTCGCCCAGGAATCGAGTTTTATTCAGCAAAATTCTAATATAAAGCAATATTTATTCCTTGACATCGCAAGGTTTCACAGGAACATCTAATATAATCTAAATATTTTGGAAGTAAAAAATGTCGAAAAAGAAGTCCCTTATAAACTTTCCTTAAGAGGTCCATATACACGAGCTTATGATATAATGAAATATAGTTTCACATATCATGCGTCTTTAATACTAAATCCTTCCCCCTCCATGAGTGAATAAAAAAATTTTGTTCGCTCACATAGTGGGGTTAATTTTTTTTAAAAAATTTATTTATAAATTTTATAGATATTTTTTTCCCTTTTTTTTATTAATCTTTAACCAAAAATTGATTTAATTGGTAAAATTTTATATTTTAAAACGCAAGCTAGCTAGATTTCACTATAATAATTATCATATATCAATTTGTTTTCATAAAAAATTTTGTTCCCCTCACGGAGGGTGGGTTTTACCCAAGAAATAGGGATTTTTCCAATGGTTTTGCTCATTCAGGGACGGAGGGAGTAAGTTAAATTTATTTATACAAACATATGAAAATGCCAGCCTAATATGAATATTGAAGAAAAATAGGCCAGGACCAGACATGATTTGCGAATGAGAGCAAGGAATTAAACTTGATTTGATAATAAAATTTTAAGCTTTATTTTGATAGAGCTAGCATTATTGCTTTCTCAGCAATTGTCTGTCAAGTAACTAAATTAGCTGCAATTGACATAGCAGGTAAAATTGCAGTATAAAAAATATTTTATGATATGAAACCTTTTAATACAAAAATATTGTGGCTGGACTCAAGAAATCTTAAAAATTGTGCCTTATTCTTTTATTAACTGTGCCTGCATTCAATAAAGCTCTATAAAATAGAGATTTAATATTCTTATTCCCACATGCAATATTTAAGTTAAAATTATATTCCAAAATATAATATAAATAAGAAAAATGCACTACTTAAATTCACTCTATATATTTTCTATTTATATAGCCCTTCTCAAGTGGTTTTCTGATTTTCTTATATATAAAATAAATTAAATGGAATCAAGCAGCTCTTCAAATCTTTTCCTGCATTATGGGTCCCTTGTAACAATCAAAACACACGATGATTTTTATTTATACTCCCGTGGCTTCATAGATATCACTCCAATTCTTCAAGATGGCTCAGACCATGTAACTGATTTCTTTGGCTCTGTCTTTCGAATAGTCCCTCACTCCCCCCCCTCGAAGTTCGACCAAGATTTTTTTGGTCGAACTTCGAGGGGGGTTAAGAAAAATTTTTTTTTATATAATTTAGTAGTTAAAAAAAAAAAAAAATTTATCATATTCTTTTGTATGGTTGAGAGGTTGTAAGGGTTAGAAAAAATAGTGCAAGATGGTTTTGTAACGCTTTTTTAGAACTTGAATACAAAAATCGCAAGCTCACCCCCACATAGTTTAAAATTTTTGAAAAATTGCTTAAATTTATATAGGTCTTGGTCGAACTTTGAGGGGGGTTAATTTTCCAAAAAAATAGGAATTTTCCCTATATCTTGGTCGAACTTCGAAGGGGGGGGAGTCAGTGTATTTCCTCAACTCAAAAAGAAATTCTGCGTTACATTTCAGATTCTCAAAGCGCAATTTTGCTAGCAAAACTCAACCGCTTACTCCACCCCCTCCGTGAGTGAACAAAACCATTGGAAAAATTCCTATTTTTTGCCCAAAAACCCACCCTCCATGAGTGAACAAAAAATTTTTTTAATAAAAAAAAATATTTGATATATAAGTGATAATTATTATAATGAAATCTAGAGATAATTCTGTTTAATTTTAAATAAATTGCGTTTTTTAAAACATAAATTTTATAAATTAAATTAAAAAATTTGCTTTTTAATTTTTGCGAATTAGGATTTTTTTAAATTTCGAAAAAAAAAATTTTTTATAAAATTTATATATAAAATTTTTTTTAAAAAAAAAAATTAAACCCCCCTCCGTGAGTGAACAAAATTTTTTTGTTTATTCAAGGAGGGGGGAGTTAGAAGAAGCTTTCGATGGAGAAGTTAAAACAAATATTCATACTTACAACAACTTTAAAGGAATTGCAATAAAATACGGATCTTTGGTGCAGCTTGAACACATCCAAAGTCACAGATTTTTGACTTTAAAAAGCCAACAAAGTGCTGAAGTTGAGAGAGAAAATTTAAAGCTATCTCTCGAGGATTACGGAAGTGAGTATTCTCATTTTCGAATTGAGCCAAGTTATAAGTATCAAAAAGAAGGGACTGGTCTCGTAAGATTAAACGAAAAAATCCATTTCGAAATCATGATCCCTGAGCTCAACAGAGTCGGATATTTGCATTCAAGCAAAAACAGCTTAGTCATACCTCCTATTAGTAGGCTATTGACAGGAATGATTCTAAGAACTGAGTCCCAAGGGCCAAGCAACTCTTTAGAAATCAATGTATCTCTTGACAAGAAAACTCGATGGGTTATTGATTTGTATTCTCCTTTTGTAAAAGACATCAGTCAGTATAATTTTGATGAAATTTCTCAAGAAATTATTTCAGATAAAAATAATCGGCAGGAGTCCAATACAACTGATGAAGGAATGCAATATCTAGCATGCGGGGATTATATTTGGCTTACAAGGTCTGAAGAAGAAGTTTGCTTAAGTGCTGGGTACAAACAGTCAGACACAGCAGGAATAAAAATTGTGTATAGCGATAATCTGACTGATACAAATGGGCTATGGTTAATAGAAAATGATGAAGTTAGGAAAGGTGGGCTTATAACGATTGGGAAAAGCTATAGGCTTAAACATATATCAACAGGGAGATATTTATTTATTAAAGAAAGGGCAAAGCCAGGCCCATCAGGAGAAAAATATAAATTGAAATTAGGAAGCCATGACAGTGAAAACAGCTTGTGAAGATTTGATACGTTTGAAAAGAAAAGGCAAAATTCTTTTATACAGCCAGATGAGCTATGCAGACTTTTAAATATTAACTGCTATGAAGCTACTATTACAGGAAAAGACTCTAACACTGAAAAAAGCATCGCCAGCTTTATTCCTTTGATTGCTTTTGTAAAAGATGAGCTTTCCTATTTTAAAGTTTCCAGAGCTGGAGTTGACGTTGTGTGGGAAACTCTATTTTTACTTCATTGCTATCCAATATTATACAGTTTCCCTGAATATATGGAACGATATTACAATTTAGCTGCAAGAGAAGGAGGAAAATCCCTGACTCCTCCGTCTGGGTTTTAGTGTGTTAATTAATCTAATCAAAGGGGTTTAATTTTTTTTTTAATATTAAAATTCTATCAAAATTTTTTTTTAGATTTTAAAAATAATTTTCGTAAATATTGAAACAAAATCTAATTGTTTAAAAGCTGACAAAAATTTTATATAATTTTTTTTTTATTATCTCATTATTAAATCATTAATTGTTATTAAAATATAGATTGTGACATATTAAAAAATTTTTTTGTTAACAACAAAAGGGTTAATTTAATTTCTAAAAAATCGGTATGTTTTGCTCGCTAACCAGGGGAAAGTGAGAGAATTTGAAAAATACATCTTGCTAATCCAAAAGTGCATAGAAGACTTAGAGCTTTTCTGCAATAATAAACTCCAAAGTATGGTTGGGATGGACAATCAATATGGAGAAGTCCAATTCGCTCGCCAAAAAATGCTGAAAGAGCATAGGTTTTTCGAAGCTTTAGCAGAAATACTAAACAATGTCTTCAAGACAAAAGAAGAAAAAGCCATTGTGATGAAAATAATGAACATCGAAACAATGAGCATAAACACTTCAATTGACCGAAAAGAGCCTTTTGTAGACATAGACATTGACGTGATCCGAGCAAGAATGCTGATTCCTGTCGTCAAAAAAATTTACCAGATCATCTGTACAATTTGCAATAAAAATAAAGAAAATCAAAACTACGCATTCGGTTTTTTTAAAATTTTTATAAATCATGCCGGTTTAGGGCTAGGTGCTACAAACTGCATGCTGGGGATTTTAAAAGACCACGAAAAACTTTTGCTTCAGATTCACGATCCTGCAACTATATTATCTATTGCAAAAATTGTTTATCAGGCTTGATTAAACTGGATAGCATCGGCAATTTTAAAAAGGAAAGCTTGTAGTTTTATATATAGACTACATATTCATAAAAATCTAAAGGATAGTGGCTGAAAGCTCTAGTTGGATCAAATGGCTCGTCTTGGAGAGCAAATACTTCAAATCTGCAATGTGGACAAGACACGATGGAGCTCCTGCAGCAATTTTGATGGATTGGCTGGGAGCAGCATGTTGTGTATCTCATATTTGATCTTTTGGTCGGATTATGCACAATTGCTATTCTTAAAAATTGGTGCTTTTTACCATTGCATCTTGTCGGAGAAAGCTGCACTTGAAACCTCATTGGTCGAGGTACTGTAGGCATGTAGGCTGAGCCAAGAAAACTAATCGACTACATTTAAGGCTCAGGTAAATAATACCCGATGTACTGTAAAAGAGCGTAAAGACTCACTTTATCATGATTTCCGATGGCTTGAGATAGAGGGATCTAACTTATGCTTACCTCCTGATAGTTCATTTTTTAATTAATTAAAAATATCCACACATGGGAAAAAATATGGCTCACCAGAAAAGTTATGAATATTAATTTTTTTAATTAATAATGAATGAAATTTCAGCTCATGTCCTAATAAATTATTTATAAATATTTTTATTTATTATAAAGGCTTGTATATATTAACAATGGTTCTGTACTATAAGAGTTATGCAAAGTATGCAAATATGCAAAAGTGCTGCGACCTATAAGGACTGGAAGAAGACATGGATGAATGAAACTTATTATTCCAATCTCATCAAAAATTGTCGATAAAAAATTTGATTTCAAACTTTTTCGTAAAATATACGTTATGACATTAGATAAATTGATTAAAATTTAAAAAGATGTAAAAGTGCTGCGGCCGATAAGAGCTTGAGAAAGAGCTGAAAGAATAAAGCTTATTGGTAAAATACCATCGAAAATCGTCGATAAAAATTGCCTTCTAAACTTTTAGTTCAATACTCAATATTTAAAATGGCTTAGTACTGAAAGGTTTTAGCGAGAATTGTAAATATGCAAAAGTGCTTCGACCTATAAGGACTGGAGATAAGGCTGCATGAATAAAGCTTATTGCTAGAATATAATCGAAAATTGTCGATAAAAAATTTACTTCTGGACATTTTAGCAATATTTGCAATAGTGATGATGACTAATCTCAGAAAATTTAAACGACGTAAAAGTGCTGCGACCTATAAGGGCTGAAGATAGAGCTGCAAGAATAAAGCTTATTGCTAGAATACCATCAAAAATCGTCGATAAAAAATTTACTTCTGGACTTTTTAACAAAGCATGCTATGATAAAAATGGTTTAGTGATATACAATATATGCGAAGATACAAATATGTAAATTTGCTACGCCTATAAGGGCCAGAGATAAAACTACAATAATAGAGCTCATGGGCGCAGCTTCATCAAAAAAAATCATCGATAAAAAGTTTATCTTCCGAGTTTTTTTGTAAAAATGCAATAGTAAAATTGGCAATATTTTTAATTATAAAAACAGCAAGCAGGTAAAACTTTAAACAATGAAGTGCTGAGACCTATAAGAACCAGAGGTAGAGATGAAAGAATAAAGTTTATTGGTAAAATACCATCAAAAATTGTCGACAAAAAAAACTTTTAAATATTTTAGTTCAGCATTCAATATTGGAAAGGCAATATTAATTCTGTTTGGTTAAGTGGATCTATAATAAGATATTTAATATAAGAATTTAAGCCATTTTTTATTTTTGTCAAGCTAAACAAATTGCTATATGTGGATATTTTTAATAATTAAAAAAATGAACTATCAGGAGGTAGCATAAGTTAGATCCCTCTATCTCAAGCCATCGGAAATCATGATAAAGTGAGTCTTTACGCTCTTTTACAGTACATCGGGTATTATTTACCTGAGCCTTAAATGTAGTCGATTAGTTTTCTTGGCTCAGCCTACATGCCTACAGTACCTCGACCAATGAGGTTTCAAGTGCAGCTTTCTCCGACAAGATGCAATGGTAAAAAGCACCAATTTTTAAGAATAGCAATTGTGCATAATCCGACCAAAAGATCAAATATGAGATACACAACATGCTGCTCCCAGCCAATCCATCAAAATTGCTGCAGGAGCTCCATCGTGTCTTGTCCACATTGCAGATTTGAAGTATTTGCTCTCCAAGACGAGCCATTTGATCCAACTAGAGCTTTCAGCCACTAATCCTTTAGATTTTTATGAATATGTAGTCTATATATAAAACTACAAGCTTTCCTTTTTAAAATTGCCGATGCTATCCAGTTTAATCAAGCCTGATAAACAATTTTTGCAATAGATAATATCAAAATCTGATAACATAATTATGTATTATGCAAAATTACTCAAAAAGCATTACAGGAATAAAAAGCCCCAGCTACTGGATTTTCTGAGCACAATTTGTTCATTTAAAGGTGATGGAGTGACAGTAAATCAAGAAAAAGTCTATGAGTATATTTTTGCCAATCCTATTATATATCAAAAAGCATTGATACCAGTGTCAGTCTATGAGGATTCTTTATATGTTTCATTAGGGGAAAACAGAGATGAAATTATTTCTTTAGATAGCTGCTTTCAAGGAGGGATAATTGTTTCTCATCAATCAGAAATCATTTATTTTAACAAGCTTCTTGAGCTGTTCGCAAATATGTGTTTAAGCAGGAATTTCATATGCACTGAGTCCTTAAAAGACCATTTTTCACAAGAAATATTGCAAATAATGATGTGGAATGGCAATATCAGCAATCAGTTTAGGGCAGCATTTTGCAAGCTATTATTAACGATCCATATAGATACATATCCAAGGGAAGAGTCAATAAAGCCTGAGCTAATAAAAGTCATCAATATGGGAACAAATTTAGGACAGCTAGAAACACTGAGCTCTCCTAATAAAAATAAATCAATTAGCTTTGACTCCAGAGAGTCTTATCGCCGGATAATGAAAAAAGGGTCAATTTTTGCAAAAGTGCAAGGATTTGCTGGGAATGTACTTAAAATAGGGAGCATTGCCCCTGAGGAAAGCGATATAGTTAGGTTTACCGAACAAGACATGGTGGAAGAAAACTTATTGAACTCAGTATTGGAATATTTCAATAGTCAAGTTTTAAGTCCGAATTATGATATTTTTACTGAAGAACTTTTGAGACTTGCAGATAAACTAGTCAGATTTGAACTTTATGGCACAGAGTGTACTGATTTTAACAATCACTATACAATCTGCAACTCCAATAGCATTGCTTTTTCTACAGAGAAAATGGATATTATCAGATTCCTTAAATCAGTAGCCCCACTTTATTTTTATGTAGGAAAAAGCATACACGCCCAAAAGAGAAAATCAGAGCTTAATCTAAAAATGATATCTAATATTTTTTTTAAAACTGACGCAAATGAGAAAAAACGAACCCAAAAAAAGAATAAAAAAGCAGGATTTCTTATGAACTTGTTAAATGATAACTCAGGACTATCAAATCCAGTTATCCGTTGTGCTTCGAATTTAAGGAATTTTTTAAATTCACTTAAGCAAAGCACGATGCAGAATGTGGAGGTTGAGGACTCAGAAACAAAGATAAAGATTAGGATATGCAAAATTTTCCATTATTATATGGATTGAAGACAAGAATTTTTAATTACAAATATAAGCCAATGGTTTTCGTCTCTGGAGTATGATAAATCGCTTTTAACGCAGACGGAAGTTCTGAAAAATCTGCTCCCAGAAGTCATGCAAATTGGGTATATTGATAGGTTTTCGAGGCTTGCTGATTTGGTTAGTGATATATATACAAATAAATTTAAACAGTACAGCTCACCATTAATACCGGATCTAAATATTATATCAAATGGGTCAGTAATTCATCCACTGCTTATGATATTCAAGTCTTCGTCAGACTACAAGCTGCAGTCTTTAACCCTGAGCTTGATTATTAGATGTTTTAAACAAAGGGAAGAGCTTACTCATTCAATTAAAAAACTTTATGTGATAAGCACAGCTGATGATAAACTATTATTAGCATGGCTTAAAGAAAATTTAAAAGATTTTAAGCAGGAAAGCGAACAAAGTGAGCTTTGGTTGAATTATTGGAAACATAGTGGGAATTTGAGACAAAAATACTTTGAAAAATTTCAAAAAATTATGCAATTCTTACTCCCCCTCTGTGAGCGAACAAATAAATTTTGTTCGATCACGGAGAGGTTTTAGTTGTTTTTTAAAAAATTCCAATTTGTAAAAAATTGAGAAGCAAAAATTAATTTAATTTGCAAAATTTATGTTTTAAAATGCAAGCTGTTTAAAATTAAACAAATTTTGGGTAAAATTTAATTATAATAATTATTATTTATATATCAATTTTTTTTTCATAAATAATTTTATATTAAAAAGATTTTTATTCGCTCACGGAAGGTGGTTTTTAGGCAAAAAGGGGATTTCTCCAATGGTTTTGTTTGCTCATGGAGGGGGAGTTAGTCAATCTTGATCATTTATTTTACGAAGATACTAAGATTGAATCAAATCAATTGATATTAGGAAATAAAGTATCAATTTCAAAAGAAAGACAAGATATTCTATATTATCTCGCTGCTCATACTCTTCTTATTAGGTTGTTAAAGGACGGAATGCATACATTAGTTAGTCTCTATGAATCACCAAATAAAGAAATTGAAGAACCAAGAACTCTTCTTTCAGATCTATTCAAGCAATGCCACAAAATATTGCGAAAATTTGTATATTGTCATTCAAATAACCAAAAGCGGCTTTGTAAAGATATTCACGTCTTCCTCCAGCATCTAAAAGTCAATGTTGATCAAATTCCATTAATATGCGAAATATATAAAGACAACATAGAATTGATATTGACTATCAATAAAGATCTTTTAAAACCTTTTAAAACGCTCATTTACAATGAAGGCAGACAACCAGCATTTCTAGAATTTTTAGAAACCATTCAAACAGTTAAAGGGACACCTGTTATCGAAATGCAAAGTATGGTCATGAATTTCTTTTTTAAAGTAGACTATAACAGATTTTTATTATTTATGAATGATGAAACTGATCCAGAATTTATGTTCGAGCCACAGAAACCGCATTATTCTAGCTGGACTTATCAAGATATACCCTATGAGTATCATGCTAGGCTTATTAATGTTATTTCTTTATGTGGTTTTGGTGTTAATGGGATGTATATAAACGAAAGTAAATGTCAAAAAATCCTAAAAATCCAATCCTTAATGAAATTATTGGTTTTAGCTGAAGATAAAAATAGCCCATATCAGGTTTTGAAAATCCCACTATTGGATTTCTTGTTTAATATTTATATTGATACTGAAAAAATTAACCAAGATGTGAAACTCTGCACTGAATTTTTTGCTTATATCAGAGAGCAAGCGAAAATTTTTGCAAATAAACATCAGCTTGATAGCTCATATATAGAATTCCTCAACATATGAATAAAAATATTAACAAAATACTGTCTCTCATACTTAAACAGTAGAGATTTGCTATCAGATAAAGAGGATTTTGCATCAATCCAGTTTTATGTACAAATGTTAATTGACAACCATCAGGCGTTCTATACAAAGAAGCTACCTCAATCCCTCATTAATAGCATAACAGCACTTTGTGACAGGTTTAATCTTGAATTCAGCTCAATAATTTATGATGAAAGTTCAATAATAATCTCAGCTCCTTCACACGAAGGTAACCTGAAGAGAGGCCGATCTCGATACGGACTTACCGAAAAATCAAACGAGGTTTCTACCTTCTGAAAAGAATTTAAAAACAATTTTATTTACTCAGACAGCATGAAATCTTGCTTAAAGCAAGAATGGAAAGCTTTAATTGTCGCTATTTATAAGGTTGAAGAATTTGTTGAAGATTTGACATTTGAGAGCTTTGTGCAAGCCCTTGTTAATTATATCAGGCTAAGCAGAAGTCAGCATCCATCTATTGAAATCCTTATAAATGCTATTGATTTGTTAGGGTCTCTTATTTCTGAACAAGTTGTTGATAAATATGATGATGTTGATGAAGAAAAACTTAAAATTCAAGATGAAATTAATGGCTGTGGAGCTAGCAAGGTAGCTTTAACACTTATGTGTGATAAAGAAACAGATCCCCGCGTTTTTGCATCTTTACTTGACTTTTCCATAAATTTGTTAGATGGGGGAAACCAAAAAATCCAATGCGATTTTTACCAGTTTTTTGTGAATGTCCCAAATTCAGAAATATTTTTTGAAAGGCTCCACAAGCTATTTTTGGAAAAAATTGAAAAACTTTCACGAGGACATGTAAATGAAGCTTTAAGAATTCCGATTTATAAAGCAAAATCTGATAAGATTGTCAGTGTTTTAAGACTCCTGCAGCTATTCTGTGAGGGGCATTATTCGAAGCTTCAAAACTATATAAGGCATCAAGAAAAATCAAGGGTAAGCTATGACTTAATTGCTGATTGCATTTCTTTATTGGAAATTCTGACCAGAAAATTATATTTGAAAACTTTTCCAGTAATTTCTCAATGTTTTGACTCACTAACTGAATTTATTCAAGGTCCTTGTTTAGAGAATCAAGAAAGTATTATTGATGGGAAATTCCTTGAGCTTGCTTCAAATTTATTATCATTGGACGAAAGCAGTGAAAAAATCCAATCCTTAGGCTCAATTTTTAGCGATAAATTTTCTAGGTCAGAAAGCATGCTGTCTGGAAATATTGATACCAATGAGCGTATTAAAGGCTGAATGATTTCCCACTTAAAATATAAATGCATGATTACCATCAATAGCTTATTAGAAGGAAGAAGCGATAACTATATTGTCAGCCGCATGATTCGTTCATTTAATATAGAGCTGTTTAAAGAAAATCTTATCAATATATACAAGAATTTTATTGTGCTGTATAAAAAGCCATTATACGACTATGAAATTTTCAACCATACGTCTGGTAATGATGATTATGATTTTGCATCTCGAAATAATCCTCAAGACGAAAACCCTGACTACTACACATGTGTAATATACTTAGTTTCAAAAACTTCAAACAATCCTTGATAATTTTGATAGGATAATAGCTAATTGATAAGAATTTATATTCATTTTTAAAATAGTAATAGAAGTTGGTTTCATGATTTTCCATTTAATTAAAATTTTCCAAGAAAATGATGACAGAGAAAAAGATGAATTTTTTGACGATGAATTTTTCGAGCTAGAAGACGAAAGCAAAAGTTCATTCTTTGGGGCAAAGCTTATAGAAGGGCTAGGGAAATTTGGAGTCGCTTTCTTAAAAAATGCAGTCAAAGCTGGAGCTAACGTTATATCAAAATCAGCTCAAAAGCTAGCATTGAAAAGTGAGGACAGAAAAGAAGAAATCGATAAAGCTGAGCTATTAGGTGACGCTTATGATTTTTTTGGGAAATATACAGGAAGCATTGAGTTAATGTTTCATGATGTGCTGACCAAAGTTTATTTTTCTTTACCACCAGAATTTGGAGGCTTGGGGAATGAAATCAAAGAAGAATTCCACTATTATGCTGATAGGACGTCTGACCAAACAAAGCTAAAATATTTGATAGTAAAATCTGACGCAATGATTGAACAAATCAAACATGATTACTGGCTGAAAAAATTATTTGACAGGCAAAGAATGCTTGCATTAATCGCATCAAATATTAGCTTATGGAGAGATCTTGCATTTATGATGACCATTTTATTGAATCTTATCATTGTGCTGTCGTATTCTTCGTATGGCGGTGAAGATGCTTATAACTCTCCTTCGTTTCTTTATTATGATTCTAATCATACAGATGATGGGCTAAATAAAAAAGAGACCCTTAACTTTATTCGATCTGTTGGCATTATACAACTGGTATGCTGCTGCTTAATTGTATCATTTTTCTTGCTTAAAAAAGGCCCTGTGCTTGCAGTCAGAGGCTGGAAAGAAAAAAGCCCAGGCAATGATTTTTGGAGAAAAAATCCGTCAAATTTCCAGATAGCTCTAAAAAGAATTCATCAGTCGATTTTGACAGTGACATATATTTTTAGTATTTTCGACGTATGATATTATATTGGATACATGACAATTTCATGTCTGGGGATAGCTGTACATCCATTCTTTTTCACTTTATTAATGCTTGACATGCTTCATACTTATCCTTCGCTTCAAAATGTGATCAAAGCTATTGTGAGACCAAGGAAAGCTTTAGCTTTAACTTTTCTGTTCTCTTTAGTTATTGTGTATATATTTGGAATCGTCGGGTTTTGGAAATACCACGATGAATTCAATGGTGATTGCAAAAGTCTATATATGTGTACTGTCACAATTTTCGATAAAGGATTCAAAAATAATGGTGGGATTGGAGCATGACTAAAACCTTGGAAAGCAGGGAGCCTTGATTATGGTAGGTTTTTCTTCGATAATGCTTATAACATCATAATTATGATTATCATGCTAAATATAGTCCAAGGTATTATCATTGATACTTTTGCAATTTTAAGAGAGGAGCATGAGAGGAATACTGATGACAGAGAAAATAAATGCTTCATATGTGGAATTGAAAGAGAAGATATTGAAAGAGCCACAAAGAGGCCATTTAAATACCACACATTGAAAGAGCATGAAGAGTGGAATTATATTCTATATATTTCGTATTTAAAAGCCAAAGATGAGACTGAATATACAGGAATTGAGTCATATGTAAGGGAACAAATTGATTGTAAAGACTTCATGTGGATTCCTCAGCACAGAGCGTTGTCAATCAAAGAAGATGAAAATACAGAAAATAAATATTTATTAGAAAATGCTAGTATAATTGAAGGGAAGCTAGAAGAATTGAAAGATAAATTCAAAAGATTTAATCGGGAAACTATTGATGAGAAGTAATTTTAATACAATTTTATTGCATATTAAGCTAAAAATAATGCTTCGATGCTAATAGCTATAATTCATAGAAATCTTTACTGGTTAAAAAAAATTCCAATTATAGGCCAGTTTATAAATAGAAGCTATTAAAGTATCTAAATTCGCTGAAACCAGATGTAATTTGTGGTTTCCACTTTAAAAGTATATCTTTTGGATATTAAGATCAGATTACCTTTATAGCCATAATATTTTCACGTGACGATTTTAGGTAAAAATTGATTTACTAATAAAATAAATGCCTAAAGATCCTAACCTTCCTACTCAAACATTAACTTCTGACCCATTATCGACCTCCTCACTCAGCAGCGAATGTGGGCTAAAAGACTTTTACCGAATTACGTTAAAATTTAAAAATAAAAGTCTTGAAAAGGAATTTAAAGAATCAATTTTATTTGGTAAAAAGAAGTTTCATGAGTTTTATCCTATGCAAGGAAAACACTTCTTTTTGAGTTTTTATGGGACAATGCTGGTGTATATTTTGATGTACATACTGGTGTACGCAACCGATAATTTGTATAGTAAAATTTTTGAATTCCAAGTAATATCTTTAGCCTTGGTATAGCTCATACACCTTAATAGATCTCTATACCCCAGCAGAATACTGACCAGAAAAAATATGGAACAGGGCACCTGCCTTATACAGTATAAGTCTGATTAGGCGCCTTAAAACCATAACCGGAGATTTGTCAATTTCGTTTTTATTTTTCAAAAAAGCTGAGAAGTACAAATTAATTTTTAAAATTAAAATGGATGGCCAATAGTGATCTAAAATATTTCAGGGGCTATACTGATTTTCAGCATCATTATTTTTTGTCTGTCATATCACACAAGAATTTTCAGAAAATTTCGAATTGACATTTTACAATTCAACTATTTTTCATTTGGAGTATTTCTAATTCTTAACAATCCTCCTGTGCAAGTAGCTATTTTTGGAGATGAAGCTGATGTTTATATTTCAAGTCTTCCCGGCCTATTAGTGATTTTAGGAGTCTCTAAGTTTGTATTATATACAAATTATTTTGAATTTGGGATTACCAATATATGTCTCGCGATAATTTACTTAATTTCTCACTTGCCCTCAAAACAGTCATTAATCACAACTCTGTTAGAGCTTGCAATTTATGTGTTCCAAATAGTATATGAGACTGCCAAATTTTATCAGGTAGAAGTAAAGCTTAGATACCATTTTCAGTTATTGCAAGCTGATGCAGAACTGGAAAAGGATAACGGGACTAATGATGGCCCAAAATCAGAAATTGAAGAGGTTACAAGCTGACTGATCGAGTCTTTAGAATTAATTGAAAGTCTTATAAGCCAAGCTTCAGCAGCCAGCAAGCTACAACTAGCTAGAGTGCTAGAGCTATTAAATAAAACTTCGAAAACTATTACATCAAAAAGAAATATATATTCTACAGATATTGAAATCATCACTAAGCATATGGATAAAGATGATAGAGAATTTATTAAACAAGCATGAAGTGATCAAAATAGCCTTAATTCGAAATCAACTATACCATAGCACAGCTTATTGCTTGTTCTAGGGGATTTGGCAAATAAATTCAATATGTAAACCGAAATTTAATCCAAGATGAGCAGCAAGCAGTCCTAGGGTATATAACAGAATACGGGTACGTAAAACGTCTGAGTTATTTAAACTTAAGGCTTATGATGTTTTCGAGTTAAACGGAATTTTACGCCAAATAGGGAAAAATTGAAATTTTGATACATTTTTCTTGAAAGAATGTACAGAAAACAAGCCACTTTTAATTACAGGTAAATACTGTGCTAAAAAATACAGACTAGATGAAGCTTTTAGCATTCAAGAAAAAATTTATATCGAATTTTTCGAAAAATTAGAATCTTTATATAAGCAAAACCCTTATCACAATTCAACCCACGCAGCTGACGTTTTAGCCTCATTTTTATATATAACCAATAAATCATGCCTATCAGATGCACTATTAGAAGTAGAAATTTTGGCTTCAATAATTGCAAATCTTGGCCATGATGTCGCTCATCCAGGGTTTACAAACAGATTCCTTACTCCTACCTCTGTGAGCGAAAAAATACTTTATTCGCTCGCCGAGGGATTAATATTTTTCTTAAAAAAAAAGTATATTGTTCCTTGCACATTTTTGATCACCAGTATAGCTCACTTATTGGCGATCAAAAATGTGCAAGGAACAATATATGCAAATTTTAGTAATATTTTTCGAAATTTAAAAATAGCCAATTCGCAAAATTGGAAAGCAAAAATTAATTTAACTTGTAAAATTTAAGTTTTAAAATCTAGATGCTTAAATTTAACAGAATTGACTACAGATTTTATCATATTAACAATCGCCTATATATTAAAACTGTTTAAATGTAACAGAATTAGCAAAAGATTCATTAGATTAATTATCACCTATATATTCAAATTTTTTTTTTAAAAAATTTTATCTTAAAAACATTTATTATCTCATGCTTTTAGCCAAAATATAGAATTTTTCTAATGGCCTTGTTCGCTCATTGAAGAGCGAGTTATAAATAAAAAAGATGAGCTAGCTATCAGATATAACGATGCTTCAGTGCTTGAAAGCATGCATTGCTCAACCATTTTTCAAATTGTCCTTACTCCAGAAACCAATATTTTTATATCTTTAGATAAAGACCAATGAATAGCAGCCAGGAAATTTATCGTGGAAATGATCTTAGCGACTGATATGGGCAGACATTTCGATTTATTAGGACAATTTCGAGCTAAAATTATGAACAATAGTTCTAGACCTTTAGAAACTCCAGAAAATAGGATTGATGTATTAAGAATGACGATAAAAGCAGCTGATATTGGCCACGCAGCAAAGGTAAGAGAATTGCATGAAAGATGGTCTGTTTTAGTTGTAGAAGAATTCTTTAATCAAGGGGATATAGAAAAAACGCTCAATCAGCCTATTTCGATGTATTGTGATAGAGATACAACTGATATATCAAAATCTCAAGCTGGTTTTATTAAAAATATTGCGTTGCCTTTATATGAAGCTCTAAATAGCTATTTAATATCGTCTGCAATAGATGAAAACTGTATAGAGCAACTGAAAATAAACCAATCGAATTGGGAATTTATGTCAAATAAGCATAGAATGCTATCGCATTGTTCAATAGAACCAAGCTCGGATTACCAAGAATTAGTTAATAAATATATTCCATTGAGGAGAGGAAGCACTCACACTCTTGACAAAAAAGATTTGGAGGACGATCCTTGGATACTATAGATGATAAAAAATTATCTAAACTTATAGTAAAGATTATTAAATATTATTCAAATCTTCTGGTCTTAAAAATTTATTTTTTTTATTGTTAATCTGATAAGTTTTATAAAAATGAAGAATGCTGAAAGCGTTCCTTAGTCCCTTTAAGCAAATAAGATAATTTCTCCAGTGAGATTTTTAAATATATTCCAATAAGGAGGATCTAATATATTATTATAATGTAATTATAGCTGAGTAAAAACAGCTTTAAAAATGGGAAAACTTGCAAATTTTTCTAGGAGAGCGCATTTAATATGTGAGCACACACAAAGCGACTAATAATACTTCTTAAAAAGTATTTTGGTTCACAAACAAAATAATTAGCTAAGAAATTTCCAAAAAAAAGGACTCTGAAAAACTTTAGAAAGCAAAATTTTAGAAGCAAAAAGTTTAGATTTTTTAGCTTCCAGAATATTTTGTCTTTTGTGGTCATTTGAAATTTTCTTGGCTGCTTGCTCTATTTTGTGATCCAAATGCTTTGCATGGAGCTTTTTTGGTGGTTTCTGTGTAGAAAAATTCTATAGAAATTGCCCGAGGATGGCGCAATACAGCGCCATCCTCGGGCAATTTCTATAGTTTATCATTTTTTAAAATTTGTTTTGACTGAAGCTATAATTGTACATCAAACCATAAAAACATTATTTCTGAAATTTTGCTCGTTTAGTAGATGGGAGTTACTTAAATCTTAAGAATAAAGAAATCTCAATAATAAAATTAATTTTTCAAAACTATATAAATAGTTATAGATTAAAAGGGAAATCCGTTTTTCGCTTATATGTTAAATTATATAATGAATTAAAATTTCCACCCAAGAAATTAGAATTCTATAGGTGCTTTCTCGATTTTTAAGAATTATCTTCGAAAATTTCATCATTAGCTGAAGTAAATGGCGTCGTCCTTTCAGAATAGTTCGGTTTTTGTATCTCATTTTCTTTGACTTGTGACTTATCCACTTTTATCTGGTTATCCTCAGGCAGTTTAAACCCTTTTTCTCTTTTACAGCAGCATCCTCCCATATTTTATTATTAAAGATAACTGATTAGGTTATAAAAGATAAGGAACCACCATCTCAGTGTATTCTTGTTGAGTGAAGTCCAAATGTCCAGAATTCAAAGACAGTCTCACGATCTTTCCTTGTGCATCTAAATCCTTAAACCCTAGCAAATTTTAGAAATAAAATGGTGACATGAAGGAAATGGACTCCGAGGTGCATCCTGATGAAGCTGAAAACAGGGCCTCCGTCTCTTTTGAAGGCCTTCAGGTCTTGGGGAAGTCTTTCGAAAAGGGAAGTTTTGTTTTTCCCAGAAGGCTTTCCTCTCCCTGCCAGCTGGACTAGACAGATTTTGCATACCACATGGTCTCTAGCGGGGCACCTACAGACGTAGCTCTGCCTACGGAAAACAAAAATAGCGACCTTCCATCTTCCTCATTTGCACTCAGAGTCGATAGAGTCTGCTATTTTTAGAGCTGAGACGAGGCAAAGGCTATTTAACTTGCTTGCTTATAGTCAGATTAACCATTTAACTTAACTTAGCAAATTGTTTGTATAGTCAAGGGTTTCATTCCATGGTAAAAGTGTTTGAGAGTTCAAGGCATAGTACCCGAACCATTCACTTTCTGGTGGGTCTACAATTTCGTCTTGGGTGAACTTAAGCAGAACAAGCCAGTCTAAGGTTTGATAGTCTTCAATGTATTCTTGATTGATGCTTTTTTCATTGTTGAATTCTGCTAAGAAGCTGCTGCTTTGGAGGAAAGTATCATAGTTGTATTGGTCTTTATAGTAGCCAGCTGGTCCCATACCTTGGACAACAGGTCTGTAGACTCCGAGTTCAAGAGCATCGTTGAAGATTTTACAAGTGAAACCAACAAAGCAGTTTGGAATTGAAGTGACTCCATTATTAGGAGTTCCTACAGTGTTGACGACGTGGATCTTAAGCCCATCACAGTTTTGTAGTAGTGATCTTGCTATTAGCCCTCCTTGAGACAGTCCAACTACATTTAGCCCATTTGCGAAATTAGGGTCTGCTTTTACTTTTTGGCAAGCCTCTTTGGCTTGGTCAGTCATAGACATCAAAAAGCTTGTGGCAACTCCATTTCCAATTTCCACACATCTTGTATATGTATTAAGCTGCTTTCCCAAATAGCTTGTAAACTGCACATAGGTTGAATCGTTGCAATTTTGATTCAGCCCATGGAATATTGCTACAGGATAGGCGGCAGTGCCTAAATCTTTATAAGCTGTTGGGTCTTCCACAAATCTGAATGCATAAGGATCGACCATCCTGAAATACTGCTCAAGAAAAGCTCCAATTGCGTATCCAGCTTCATAGGAATCTGAGGACTGTTTTATTTGGTTATTATTTCTTGCTTCATCTAAATGGGTTAGGGTGAGATCCATCAAATCTTTTGAGCTCTGGAAAGTTGTGAGGACTTTTAGGGCGTCCAAATATCTGCAGTTCTGGGAAAGGTCGATTAGGTCAGTCATTAAAGTCTCCCAGTATGGCTGGATCTGGCCTGATGGCTTTGAGCCTTCTGGTTCATATTTGCAATAGCGAGTAAATGATTCACCAACGAGATCTGCACCTCTGAGGACTCCTAATAGATTAAAAGGTTAAAATGTGCATGGCCATAAGCGGCATCCTAGCAGCTCCTGGAATGGTGGCCTACACTCAATGTGCATACACAAGATTGCAAATGGTGTAAGGTATTAACAATATTCCACCGTTTTGAATTTTCTGGTGAAACTTTTTAACATAAGGATTTGCTCCATATTCAGGGACAGGAAAACCTTCGGGGAGATACAAAATTTCCTTTTCTGAAGGCATCCTCAAGCTTAAAAATCTACTTCAAAATGGACAGACGCCCTGCTTTCAGCTTCATCAGGATCTGTCCTACCTGCCCCATAGGGAGTGCGCCTCGGAGAGTAATTTCTATCAACGTCGCCATTTTATTTCTGGACTCCTAATAGGAATTTGGAGTATTGAGCATTGCTTAGGTAGGATAGAGAAAGAAAGCACAGCAGATAAAATGCCTTCATATTTATGGAATAAAGTCAACAAAAAGTTAAAGATAAGAAATAAACGATTTTTGATTATTTATTATTTAAAAGATGATTTATTTAAGGAATTCCGTCCTCATACTTACACTCAGTGATCCATGGGTGTTTCATCGCTTCTTGAGCGCTTGGCCTTCTATCTTTATCCACGTCTAGAAGGCATCTAACAAAGTCAATAAACATAGAGTCGTCAGTGTGAAGCCTCGCTTTTAACGAAGTCTTCTTTGGTACCAAAACATTGACAACTTTTTTGGGTTTTCTATGTTTCTTGATCAGTTCGATCATTTCTTCACTCAAGTGTTTGTTGTCGACCTTCTTTTCTTCTTCAGTTTCTATATAAAGCAGTCTGTCTTTAGTAAAGAACTTGTCTGTATGTCTTCCTGTTTTATAGTTTTCTTCTGGCAATGGACCAATAATCCCCAAGACTCTTGCCAAAAGTCCTTGGACTGAGTCATTCTGGAATAAAACATAGCCTGTATACAATTCTGCCAAAATGCACCCTAAGGACCAAATATCGATTTTATAGTCATAAGGACACCCCATGATTACTTCTGGAGCTCTATAGCTGCGACTTTGCACATATGAGCCTAAGTGGTCATGAATATAGCAACTGCTTCCTAAGTCAATTACTTTTACTTCACACCTCGAATATGATCTAATTAAAATGTTTTCTGGCTTCAAATCACAATGTATCAGTTTCAAGCTATGCAAGTATTCAAGCGCACACAAAACCTGATATGCAATTTTTTGAAGCCTCCCAATAGTAAAATATCTCTCTTCCTCGTGCTCTCTATTATATTTTGAATATTCATATAAGTTGTCTCTTAATAGCTCAGTAACAATAAATAAATGCTCTTTATGGTAAAAGTAGTCAATGAGTCTTAAAATGTGTTTCTCGTCAGGATCAGCGTTGACGTTTATATACTTCAGAAGCTTGATCTCATCGATACTCTGGTCTACATAATCTTTATTATTTTCTATAATTTTCAAACAGACCATTTCTTTTGTGATCAAATCTAAGCACTGTATTGCTTTGCTAAATGCGGCGGAGCCTAGAAACTCGATAACTTGGTATCGTCCTGCAATAACGCTGTTAATAACAATTTGGAAATCTTTAGATTCTTCAAACCCAGTCTTTTCTCTGTCATATATGACTTTTAAGATGTAGCAGTCAAAAATAACACTTTCAAACTCCACAGGGTAGTATTTATCATTAGAATCAGGGAATTTTATATTTGATGGAAATAAACTACTTTGGCCTTTCTTTTCGGACTCGCTGAGGATAGAATCTTCTCTAAGCAGCAGCTTGTCTTTGTCTGGCGCTTTTGATTTTGCAATTGCTTTTTCTGGAAAGCCATGCTTTGCAGCAATTTCTGAACTGAAAACATTGATGTCGTCTGTTTTAGATTCATAGAGGATAAACCCAGGGTCATCATCGTCTTCATATTCGTCAATGATTTCTTCTTCTTCTAAGCTTAAAGCTCCAAATGATCTATTTGAATGCTGCATTATGGAACTTGGCTCTTGCTTTGGTTCAATCTGGGATGCTGAAAAAAGCTCGTCTTCATCTAAATTCATATTAGTTGGAAGTGGATCGTTGGCAGGTATAGGGTTGGCTTCAATTTTCCCTCCAAAATGAGGCAGCTCTTCAACTTTAGATTCTCTCGCAGGCGATTTTGGAGCTGGAAGAGGCTGAGGATTTAAAAATTTTTTAAAAGCTTTGAGGTCCGAGAGACCGCTTGGAATCTGTGAAACCACTGGCTTCTTTGAAAGCTTTTTCAGGAACTTGTGAAGGGTGTTTTGATCAGTGGAGTTCATCGGAGCCTTTGCGGTTTCTTCGATAGCTTTCACGATCAGCTGATCAGAGGAAACTGGCTTTTTTGGGTTTGTGAGCTCTTGGTTGATACTTTTGACGACTCCGTCTAGGTGGTTTTCTCTGAGAAATTCAATGATATCATCTAGGACTTCCATTTTGCTACTTTTAAATCTTTGAAGGAAAATTAAAACTTATAAAATTAAAACAATAAATTATTAAGCTAATTTTGCATTTTTAGATACCGAATTTCTTGGGTTAACTATAAATTAGTTTAGCACATTTTTTGATATGATTTCATTTTAGACCTTTATTGGTTAACAATTATGGGAATTAAAAGAAATTCCTTAAAGTAACTCATTTTATTTACAAAATCAAAAAAAATATAAATTTAACAACTTCAGCATGGAAGAATCATATCGAACTAAGCATAGAAAACTCAATCGGAAACGTGAAAAGTCCTCAAACACAATTCTTTCAATATCAAGCAACTCTGATAACTCCTTCCCAGACCTCAGAGCAAGCTCAAACCAAGGAGCTCTACCCCCTTCATCAAACGCGACTACTCTTTCTGAGCGTAGTGAGCTAGCAAAAATAGCAAAAGAGCTTAAAGAAGATTCAAAAAACCAGTCACCGATTCAAATATCAGATAGTGATAGTGAAATCTCAGTGAGTTTCTCAAGCAGCCATATCCATCATAACAAAGAATCTGAAAAAAGTGTGCTAAAAAACCAAACAGAAGAGCTTAATCAAAGAATCAAACATAGCCTCCAAGAATTAAGAAAAGAAGCAAATCTCTATATGGACAGCAGCCATAGAGCTCTTCAAGAATTTTCAACAGTTACAAAAAGAATGAAAGAAAGCGTCATTTCATGCCAATCTGATGGAGGAAGATCCAGCTCCCCTGCTTCTGCTGATAAGCACTTTAAAAGCTCATTTGCGTGCAATTATTCTCCAGAGTCTTTTATTCATGAACAAATAAAAAGTCTGCAAAAAGATATATAGAACTTTCTCTTCAATAGCGCGAAAAGACGTGCATCCTGGTTTAACTAAAAGGTCTTTGGACAATGAAAATCTGCTATTCCTTCTCCATAAGAGAGGGGGAAATAATGAAAATGAAGATTTCTGTCCGATCCAGTTTCGAGAACTGGAAGGGATTATTTTGTCCTAAATTAAGAATACCTGAGTTATTGTGAGATTTTGATTTCCTACAAAATTTTTTAATTTTAATGTATTTTGGTTCGTCAAATGGTTTTGACGAGTTAATTCTGGCAGGCACGTGAAATGAAAAAAATAATTAATTGCCATAATTTTTTAATTTTCTGATGTTAAAGATGATCAGAAATTTTAATAAATGGCACAGGATCAAAAAAACGAGATTAAAGATTAGTGAAAGCAAGCATATATTTTCTAGCTATAAGACGCCCAGATATTTGCTAATAAAATAATAAGAATTCTAATAAATAACTTTTATATTTCTCAAAATTAATTTTTTTATTTAAATTTCGCTATTTGATGCCATTGTTTTCTCTTTCTGAATTTGAACCCAAATTCATTTTTGAACATTTTTTGTTCGTTTAAGTGCCATCTTGATTTGCACGCTATATAAAAAAATTAAAATTCTTAAGTCACCATTTGCGTTTTCATTGAAAGTATGATATTTGAGATTTAAAATAAGCTATTTGGTGCCTTTATTTTCCGCTTTCTGGACTCGAGCACAAATTCATTTTTGAACATTTTTTGCTAGTTTAAGCCGCCATCTTGATTTTGTACGCTATGTAAAAAATTAAAACTCTTAAGTCACCACTTGCGGTTTCATTCAAAACTTGATATTTGAAAAACTAAAATAAGCTATTTGGTATCTTTATTTTCCGCTTTTTGGACTCGAGCACAAATTCATTTTGAACATTTTTTTGTTTCGTTTAAGTGCCATCTTGATTTGCACGCTATATAAAAAAAAATTTAAAACTCTTAAGTCGCCACTTGCGGTTTCATTCCAAACTTGGCATTTGAGATTTAAAATAAGCTATTTGGTACCTTTATTTTCCGCTTTTTGGACTCGAGCACAAATTCATTGTTTAAAATTTTTTGTTCGTTTAAAGCCGCCATCTTGATTTTGTGCGCTATATAAAAAAATTAAAAACTCTTAAGTCACCACTTGCGGTTTTATTGTGAACTTGATATTTGAGATTTAAAATAAGCTAGTTGACATCTCTATTTTCCGCTTTCTGGACTCGAGCACAAATTTATTTTTGAACATTTTTGTTCATTTAAGCCGCCATCTTGATTTTGTAAATTTTCTGATCATCCTTTACATCAGAAAATTAAAAAATAATGGCAATTTTTTATTATTTATTTCAAGTACTAACCAGAATTGACTCGTCAAAAAACTATTTGACGAACCAAAATACATTGAAATTAAAAAATTTTACAAGAATCAAAATTCCACAATAGCTCAGGTATTCATAATTCAGACCAAAAAAATTCCTTCAAGTTCTCTAGACTGGATCGGGCAGAACTTTTCACTTTTACTATTTGCCTCTCTTATGGAGAAGGAAAAGCTAATTTTCATGGTCCAAAGACCTTTTAGTCAAACTAAGATGCACGTCTTTTCGCGCTATTGAAGAGAAAGTTCTATATTCAGCTTATGCAGATTAGGCTGACAGAAAGCGAGCTTGCGTTACACAATAAAGGCCAAGAAAATGATCAATTGAAAGAATTGCTGAAATCAATAGAGCAAAGAGTAAACATGAACAGAGAGCTGATAATGGAAACTGAAGAAAAGCGCCAGGGGTGCACCGGAAAGTGCCAAATAATGTAGTGCATTTTTTTAATAAAAATACATTTTTAAACACTTTAACTTAAAGTTTTAGGTAATAATGAATTTTCGGTTTTTGCTTCACTTAAAGAAGGTTCTACACTTAATAAAGATATATCTGCTTGGGCATTAGCAGATGGATTTTGTGTGTAGTAGATTAATATCAAACTTAAAAACGCCATACCTGCAAGGATGTCAAATGTGAACTCATAGCCGATTGTCTATGTAAAAAATACAGGAGAAATAAATAGCTGCATCAAGTATAATAAAAAGACAGCCAAGGTGATTCCTGATCCTGGAAATGAGACGATCCAAGAGTCTTTTGGGTATATCTCTTTGCACGCCATGACTAATAATAGATATGCGTTGCTTCCACACATAAACTCAATTATGACTAGTATTGCATATAATTCTTCAATTTCCATTGAATAGTAAATTGTTGCATTAATAATTGTTTGGACTGAAGCAGAAATCATAGCTAGTCTTTTCCATCCATATTTGTCTACTAAAAACCCACATCCTAGTCTTGCAAGACAAGCTGATAAAAATCCAGCAGACCCCAAAAAGGCGAAAAAGTGATCGTTCTTTATTTTTGATATCGCGGCAACCTTATAGTTCGTAAAAGTAAAAGCATAAGGACAAAATAAAAATAAAACCCAGCCCAACAGAAGCCAAAAGTTCTTCTGTTTTATTACATCTTTTAATTTTAAGCTTTTTCCTACCCCTTTTCTGCCGTTTGTAAGTCCTTTGTTCCAAATAATAGAAGTGCCCAAGGTTGCTATTACAACATAAATTAAAGCTGCCCATCTAATAGAGGCTGGGACCTTATCATAAACTTCATGGCCAAAAAGCCCAGAATCGGCGTTTCCGTCATGGCTTTTGTGTGGAGAATCATTATGAGGGTTTATCATCATCGTCCATAGAAAGCCAAATACCATTGGCCCTAAGCTATACCCAGCAAGTCCTAGGCTTGTAATCATCCCTATACGTTGTGGGTAAAATCCCCAGCATGCCCAAATTATTGGAATATTGATAATTCCAGTAACACCTGCTCCATATATTCCATAAAGAACGCAGAATAAATAGTGGTTTGTGGTAAACGAGCTAGCTAACATAAAAAGCCCTGAAGCCCAGGACCCTAAAAACACGGTGATTTTGCAGCCAATTTTGTTGCTTAAATAGCTGGCAAGCACTTAATATTTCTTACTGAAAAAAGGAGTTCCTAACAAATATGAGATCATAAAACAGAGATACATAGAAGATGACGTCACTGAGCTGTCTTTTGAATGAAAGTATGAAGTAAAATAAATGCTGACTGCTCCCCAGGTATTAACTGTACCAGAAATCTTAATAGGGTTTACCATGTTAGTGACAAAACAGCCGACAAGAGCAATGACTCCTTTCCACTCTTTTAATTTATCCATCATTTTACGTTTATATCAGGCTAAAATGCTGATACTAATTTGAAGCTTATTAGTGTTGTATAATTTGATTCCTAAGATTGTATCTATTTTTTACAACTATAATACTTTATAAGCACTTCTGGTGAAGAAATTAATTGTTATTATGATATGAAAAATTTAATAAATGGAGTCAAGGTTCTATAGATACCAAGATATGAGCACAAACTGCTTTATTAGCTAAAAAATCAGATAACAAGATTTTTAGAAAAATTAAATTAAAAAAATTCAAATTATTATAACGTCTACAGGGACTTTCTTATTATAGAGCTACTTGAAGAACGATTAACCAAAATAAAAAATAAATTATTTAATATAAATATAAATAACCCCTTCAGCAACACAAAAATTTTGTATAATGAAGAATCGAAGAGGTTATTCACTGTGCTTTATGTACTTTGTGTTAAGTCTTGTGAATTATCGCACATTTGATTTAATTCAGCTTTCCTTCTTGAATATAATGAACTATTGCGCAAGTTAAGAATTGGGGCATTAAGTATCCTTGTTTCAGCTACCTTTTGTCTCATATAAGCAATGTTTTCTAGCCTACCGCTGCTTCATGACTGCATGATTTGTTTCCTTTGTGAAAAACAAATACCCATGCTATATTTATAATCACCCATTTTTCAGAATTACGCTTATGCAAAGATTGAAAAATTATTTTAAAAATGAGACTTCAATAGCTCTCAATTTTAATTTTTCACAAGCTATAATATGTTTTGAAAATCAATTTTAAGTACTTTAGCATAATAAATTATTTTTTTATGATTATATTCATTTCAGTTTATTAATGCTTTGTGCCATTAGGTTTTTCTCTATGTGTTAGTTCTGCTCTTATCAAATCTATTCTTTCATAGCAATTTTGTTTGCATAAAATTTAGTTATTTATGATATATTTGAAAGCAAGTTTAATTTTCAGCTAAGCTTACCATATTGGCAGAAATATTGCCAGCCTAGTATATAATATATTGGCATCTTTTTGACAATCTGTGCAAAAGTGCTTTTTTATCATGCATCAGCTGAATCCTAACTCTCAAAGATGGTCGAAGCAGATCATTACTATACAGACTTGTCAGTTCAACTCACTCTTCTTTAACATGCTGGTCTTCCAAATCGCTTATTTTGATTGCCATATCTCCAATCAGTAAATCGTCTGCTACATTTCTCCTATGTCATACTTGTATTAATAAATGACTAAAACTGTTCATGTTTTGCTTTATTTGAAATAACTGAAATCAATAAGGAATAAACTTGTCAGATTCAAAAGTTTCATAAATTGGTCCCTTCGGCTCTAATGTGACAGTAACATAAGGTTTTCCTTGAGTAAAGCATAAGTTGTTTGTATGAAGATCGAGCCCTTTTTGAATTTCTATTGATAATTCAGGGATATGAGGTTCCCCAGCAGTTATTGTACTATAAGTAGTTAGGTATTCAACTTTTTTCCTTTGATAAAGTTGAAGCTTTTCTTGAAGACCTTTTTTTGAATTTTCTTCCAAAATCATTTCTTCGATTTTTCTATCAAATGGGACTGCTTGGAAAAATAGGTCGTTTTTTGCATTATAGTCGTGGATATGCTGCTCCATATCGGCTTTAGTAGGTCTGCTGCTGCAATCGCCCATATTATTTTTGATAAATAAGCCAAAAACGAATAAAAAAGTTATATCTAAATAATATTTCAAATATCAGTTATTATAAAAATAAACTAATTTGGACAGACTTCTTGTTATAGCATTATCGTAAAGATTCTTAAAAATAAAAATTAATTTTCTTAATACTGGTAAATTATTTTTATTGTGCTACCGCAGTAGATGCCCTCACAACACCTTCAAAATGCTTTTTCGCTAAATCAATGTTCATTTGCGTTAGCGCAGGCAAAATCGTTGAATCTGAACTTATAAGCATAATATATGTGCTCGAGGTAAATTCATCAACAAATGCACAGAAATTAGTGTTCATCACAGTCATCGACTTGAACCTTGCTGCAGCTTTGCTGCAGCTTAATTTAAACTGCTTCACAATATTCGAAATTTTCTCAAACCTATGCACATCTTTATGCTGCTTTGATGAAAAATTTGAGATAACTAAAAATGTTGATTTTTCAAAAAGGACGACCTCATCAGCTTCACATGCAGAACAAAAGCGGTTCAAGCTCTGAGTCAGTACATCTGAATTTGGTATCAAGTAATGCACAATTCTTGACCATGCTAAATACAAAGTTTCATCCCAAATTGAAGTTTTAAAGCAAATCACATTGAGCCCTGCACTGTTTTTGACAACTTCTCTTTCTTTTTTATTAAAAGCTTCGTCTCGTTTTTCCACAGGGATTAAATCCATCTTGTGAATCAACACAAAGATGTGTGCAGTGGGGGAGTGGTCTTGGATTGCGTCAACACAGCTTCGATAATAGTTCATGTCCCTTTGATCTTCTGAATGCACGTCAAAGACGTAAATAAGCACCTGTACGTTTCTGAATAGGGTGTCTCTTTGAGATTCGAAATAATGCTGCATAAAATGATCTTGTCCACCACAATCCCAAAGCGCTAGCGAAAGAGTTCCTAAAAATCTGATGTTGGATTGATTGATAGAGTTTGTGAAACCAAGTCTCATGGTATCCTTAGGCATAAAGTTTGCAAAAATAATACTCCTCATTGAAGTTTTTCCTGCACCACTTTTACCCATTAGGAGAACCTTTTTATTTGGGTCGTTCTCTTCCATATTTCTTTTACAAACTCTTTTGAAAAATTATTTCTGACATTAGGAAAATTTGTGGAGCATTATTAATTTGAACTTTCCTAATTAATAAAAGAATAAAAATGGTGACGATGACGGATTGGACTTCGAAGAGCACTCATATGGAGCAGGTAGGAAAATCTTGATGAAGCTAAAAATAGGGGGTCTATCCCTTCAGGCTTGGAGATGCCTTCTAAAAAGGGAAGCTTTGTTTCTCCCCCTAAGGTTTTCCTGTTCCTGTCCTTCCTTTTCGGGACCTGTGGGGCACTCTCCAGATGGTGGGCTCCGCCAGTGGAACTAATCCCCTGGACGAGGTGGTTAAGGTCGGGAATTCAATATGGTGGCCTTCCATATTTCATTTGAACTCCGAAGTCTATGGAGGCTGCTCTTTTGAATAGTGGGTTGCCTGCTTATGGCCAGATTAAGCGTTCTATTTAATTTATAATTGATAAAAATTAATTTATAAAATTTTGATACTGATTATAATTGGTAAAAAAACAAATGGCAAATCCATTCAATGGACCCCCGTTCTTCCCAAATTCGATGGGATGCCAATTTCCTGGTGTACCAAACCCCTCACAGCCAAATGGCAGTCCAAATATATTTCAAGGACAAAAAATTATGAATGCTATTATGATTCAAGGAAAACTGATGCAGCAGATAGCTGAACAGAACGAAAAATTGCATAATAAACTATACCTACTTATAGAAAATATAAATATTCCTACTGGCTGCTGTAATCCTATATTTTGATAGTAAATATGAAAACGTCTAACCTGTAGGAATGCTTTCATTCATTGTAAATAGGGATAGCAGATATAAGAAGAGAGATAGAAAATCTACAAGTTCCTGGACTTCGTGTATATATTAAATGGCGACATGTATCTGCCTGCCCTCTTGTCACAACAGTTCAGACCTTATGGCTACAGCGAAATGGGGCGGACTTCGAGCTGAGAATCAAGTGCAGGCTCAAGAGATTTGAATCTGGGTAGGTTTGGATGCTTTCCTGTGGTGGGAAATGGAGGTACTCAACAACATCCTTTTGGATCCGAGGATCCATGGACATTCCTCTATTGAGAAGCTGGGATTTTCGGCCCCGAACACAGGGGAGTAGTCTTTTTCGTCTAGCTGTCGAAGTACCTGACTGATTCCAAGGAATAGATCTTTGGAATCAAGCTACTCCAATCACCTGTAGCAGAGGCACGAAAATCCATAAAACCATCCACTCAAGGCATAAGCTGCAAGGTAAGGAAGAGACAGAAGGCACATGAAGTGGCATCCAAGAACCTCTGGGCTAGAGTCGAAAAGCGGTTGAACCTCCCGTACGGGAGGTCTTTGGTGACTGCGCCACCATATAGCTAATCCTGTCTTTAAAAACCTAACTAGCCTATCCTGGCCTTCCTGCAGATCCTCAAAGTGGCACAGTTCCTTCAAAGCAGAATCTCTTAGACCTCCTGGCAGGTGAAGATGCAAAATTCGATTTTTCCCTCGAGCTATCAGGGTCAGTACCTAATCCGGTTTGTAAAGGAAAATATTTCTCTATTAAAGTATTACTTGAGCCGTTTGGAGAAAGCAAAATTCCTCTAGAAGAAAGAATTCAGCTTGGAGTAGCTTTATATACAGCAGAAAATCCCCCAAAACTGATTAACCACAACATGTCCGGTGGAGGAATGATAAAAGGGCACAGTACCAGTTGGCTGACTTATGATGAATCTGAAAGGAAGCACACAGCTTCCTTTAAAATCCAACTAAATGAAGTTACATCTCATTTTCGAAATGGCTGGGTTTTTCTTGTAATCCAGCCTCAAACGCCTTGCGAATTTTTAGAACAGACAGGCTTGAAACTAAAGCCTTTAATTGTAAAGCATCTTGTGATAAAAGCTAAAGAAACGACTTGCAAAAGATGGAGAGAAAAAGGAAAAGTAAGTAATATTTTGCCAGAAAAAACTGAGGATATGTCTCAAGGATCGAATGAATCAGAGCAGGAATCAGAGGGAAATTAAGATTTATCAATAATGAAATAAAGGTAAACTTAAATATTTTCATTGTTAATAGCTTTTTAGATTATTTATGATTTTAGGATTCAGAATGAATTATTTTATGATTTTAATTTTGAAATCATTAAATCTTAATGTTGATAACTGATTTAGATTGTTGAAGAAAATTACTAAATCCATTAAAATTATGTCTGAAATTAGTAGAACGATACCATTATTGTCATAATTTTATCAAAATAATTAAAGATAAATAAATTTACATTTCTCTAGCTACTGCAGTTTGGTTTTCTTGTCAATCCAAGGCGAAATCTTTTCACTTATTTCCCCTTTAAATTGAAATAAATATAAATTGGAGCAAAATTTTATTTTTAATTGAAAATTAATTAAGTGAAATACTAGCTCTGGCCTAATTGAATGGAGGGAGTAAAATTTGGCATTCTTAATAGATTAAATTCTGAGTTAATTTTCGATAAATATAAATTAAAATTCATAAATATTGCTTTCAATTTTATATTTTTATATTCATAAGCACTATTTTATTATAAAAAATTTTATATTATTTTTTAATAGAAAAATTAATCCCCTTTAAATTGAAACAAATATATTTTTGTTCAAACATAAATGGGGGGTGAGCTATGATTATACAATAATGCCCAAAAATTCCTCCAAAAATCAAATCTATTGAATAATGAGCTCTGAAAAAAATCATCATCCAAAAACTTAGAATAATGTTAATAATTGCTGCCCAAGTTAGATATTTATTCTTTTTCTCATGACTTAAAATACCAAAATAGACTAATGCACCCATTCTAGCTGAAAAATAAAAATCAGCTGATTTTATATATGAAATAGTTAATGATGGAAATCCAGGATATCCCCATGTAAAGCCGCTGGGAAACCTCATAGCTCCCCCTCCGTTAGCGAAAAAAAAAATTGTTTGGCATAAAGGAGTTTAATATTTTTTTTAAAAATTCATATGCAAAATTTAAAAAAAAGTCGCAAAAATTGGAAAGCGAAAATTTAATTTAATTTATAAAATTTATCTTTTAAAATGCAAGCTAGATCTTTTCACAAACAGTTTTTTCTCTTGGAAATTTTTTTTGTCACTTGCGTAGGGTGGCTTTTGGCCAAAAAAATAGAGAGTTTTCGAGCGATTTTGTTGTGAGGACTAAGGAAAATCCACTGAAATAAAAATCATAGCCCAATATATAAAATTAGCCAAATAACAGGTTTTAAAGAGTTGCCTCAGAGCATAAAGCTTATTGCATGATATAAGACAAGAATATCCATTGCAGCAGAAGTTATGATCAACAAAATATTCCTAGCAATTTCATGTTTAAAAAAATACTGATTGATCAAGCTAGTTGCTTCTAATAAAAAATCCCAAAGGCAAGAGATACGACGAGTCTGAACAGCTGTGGCAGTAAAAGTATTCGTTATTACAATTATCATAAGAACAAACATTATGATGATTCTTGAATAAAAAAGCCTTTTGCGAGGAGTTGAGTGGAAAAAGCTCCAATGAAGTTTTTTCATTCAGTTTTTTTTTTCATTACAAAGTGACTGGAAAGAAATTTTTCATATTGATGAGAAGTAAAAAGTTTTTATTATAAAAAATGAAGTAAAACTTCGCATGTAAAAAAATACTACACAGATTTTATTTACTCCCCCCCCCCCCTCCGTGAGCGAACAAAAAAATTTTGTTCGCTCACGGAGGGGGGTTAATTTTTTTTTTTTAAAAAAAATTTATATATAAATTTATAAAAAATATTTTTTTTCGAAATTTAAAAAAAATCCTAATTTGCAAAAATTGGGAACAAATATTAATTTAATTTGCAAAATTTATGTTTTAAAACGCAATTTGTTTAAAATTAAACAGAATTAGCTCTAGATTTCATTATACTAATTATCACTTATATATCCAAATTTTTTTCCATTAAAATTTTTTCTATTAAAAAAATTTTTGTTCACTCACGGAGGGTGGGTTTTTGGTCAAAAAATGGCGATTTTTCTAATGGTTTTGTTCGCTCACGGAGGGGGGGGGGGAGTTAGCAGAGAAATGGGAAAACGCTATTAAATACAACATAAAACTCATTGTTCTTTATTTCCACTTAACTATTTGCGGGTTGGAGTTGATAAGTTTTCCTGATTGATTTTCTGTTTGAGATTGGAGTAAAGATTTGATATATATCTCAGTATTTGTTGATACATTATTTATCAGCAATTATTTAAATATAATAGATTTATATTTTGGATATAAGATTTTATATAATTTTTAAACTTATAAGCATAAATGATTTTTAATATCATCTGTTAAAAGAATTGATTAGATTAGATTAAGCTTTTTTGTGCTCAAAAATCCCGGAAATTTCATGCTTATAGTCCCCGAGGATCTAGGCAGGCACTCTTTTTCTAGCCCACAGGCAAGGGATTCAGACGACCGCTCTTGTCTTCCGTGATTCTTGGAGCTTATGGGCCCACCATCTGGGTTTCCTCTTTAAGCATAGCCACCTGTTGAGCCCTGATTGAGGGATTTATCGTCAGTTCGTGGCTTCTCCTTGTCTTATTCTTTCTTATTTGCTCCCTAGCGCCCGAAAAAAAGCCCTAGCTCTGCATATATAAAAGGATTGCCGGCCTCTTTCTATCCTTTTCCCTCACACTGTGCCATTGCCTGCTGGTGTTGAAGAAATAGGGCCAAGTGGTCGGGTGGTCTGTTGGCACCATTTTTATGTATTAAAAGAATTGATAATAATGAAAAGCATATAAGACTATTAGAGTGCCAACTTTTATAAAAGTGATAAAATACTTGATAAACAATAACACGAATTAATTCGCAAATTTTACTTACTCCCCCCCCCCTCCGTGAGCGAACAAAACCATTAGAAAAATCGCCATTTTTTGACCAAAAACCCACCCTCCGTGAGTGAACAAAAATTTTTTTAATAGAAAAAATTTTAATGGAAAAAAATTTGGATATATAAGTGATAATTAGTATATGAAATCTAGAGCTAATTCTGTTTAATTTTAAACAAATTGCGTTTTAAAACATAAATTTTGCAAATTAAATTAATATTTGTTCCCAATTTTTGCAAATTAGGATTTTTTTAAATTTCGAAAAAAATATTTTTTATAAAATTTATATATAAATTTTTTTTAAAAAAAAAAAATTAACCCCCCTCCGTGAGCGAACAAAATTTTTTTGTTCGCTCACGGAGGGGGGGGGGGGAGTTAAAAATACGAAGCTTAATATAAAGATTAAGTGTGATAGCAAAATTATGAAATCACGCATATCGTAGCTTCTATAGTGCTATTAAGAATATCTAAAGGATTATTTCATATATATATTAAAACATAGGGTGCAAATAATTTAATTCTATATGCTAAGCCTAACATTTTCACTTTATCTTATCATTTGATAATATCAATGCATATGCTAAACTTTTATTGAAGTTTAATGTTAAATAAAATGGTCAAATTTAATTAAAATTTGAATTAAATAAAATGATGAAAATTCTTATTTTTGCGCCTGACCTTTACATTCAAGCTCTTCAAAAATTCTGAGCCTTCTTTTAGTGTTATCATCACACCCTTTTCCTAAAAGAAATTTGGACTCACTTGAATTTATTTTTACAGATGATGGAGAAAATTCTCGATGCTTGAACTGGCACCTTGTCCCATAAAGACAATAGCCTAATTCATAAAACTGTTTACACCTTTTAGTCCTGTAGTTATTTGGGAGGGCTGTCTTCTCTCGTAATTCATGGATTCCATGAGCAAATGCACATTGATCCCCAAACTCGCATATGCCATTCTCCCAATTCCTGCAAATTTCGGTTTTATACTTAATCGTAAAATCTACTTCTTTAGAGCTTTCTATTATATCAGTTGGTATCTGAATAGATGTATTTTGGCAATTTGGACTAAGCCAAGAATTGTAGGTAATCCCGATGCGAAACTCCTGCATTCTGATTGTTAAAATTTTATAATATGTAAATGCTTTTATATCAGAAAAGAAGGTATTTGATAAGAGAACTACCTAATTGTTAAAAAAATTTTGAATTAGATACAAGAAAATTTATTTACTCCCATCAAAATCCTGTTTTTGGTTAAAAGGACCCAATTTTTTTAAAAAAGAATCTAATATAAAATTTGATAAAGTTTTTGAAATTTAATTTTGTGAAGAATTAAATTAAAATATTATGGAAATCTTTAAGTATTTAAATAGAATTACTTGCACTCCTTCCATTATATTAGATAAAAAAAATTAAAATTCTGTCTATAAAATTCTCTATTGAAAACAATATTTTGTTCCAATTTAAAGGGTGTTTAACTGCCCAAGCATTGGAAATTTTATCTATATTTTATTCTAAAATTAAAAGAGGAAATTTAGGTAATTATACAAGTATTTATTCTAATATAAAATATGGGGGTATTTTCTAATAATTCAATTAAGAAGGCTAGATTATAAGTACAGAGTATAATTAATTTTATGCATTTCAAAATAACCAAAATATGCCTATATAAAATTATTTCTCTTTGCACATTAATAGTCAACACTAATTTAAATGTATTAAGCTTTCATCAAATGTTAAAACTAGAATTGCAGGCTTTTGCCATTTTAAAACCAGATATAAATTGATTCAGATTTTGTTACCAATTTTTATATAATTTATATACTATATCGAAAATGCTTATGCAATAGATTAAATATTTAATTTAAAGGTTATACTTAAATACCTTGAGATTTTAAGACCAACGTCTTTATCACTTGAAGAGCCGAGATAATACTCTAATGTACTAATTGTAGAAGCAAACTATGCCATTTTTTATATATAATTATTATGGTCAAGGCCAAATTAAATATTAAATTACAGCATAAAAATCCAAACATTTTATCTAGTTCATTTTCTTTACATTCTTTCATACCAGTTCGCTTTAAAATCTTTTGTTCATTGATTTCATTACAAAATTTCATTCATTCAGCTTTCGCTCTTTTTCATTAATTACTTCCTTTAAATTTTTATTTTCCTCTGTTAAAGCTTCAAGTTTTTTGTATAAATCATCATAATCTTTAGCCAAACTTGAATATTTTTCTTTTAATAACATAAATTCTCTCTCAATTTCTTTTTTACCACCTTCTTCATCTTCTTCTACTGAATCTTCAAAAACAATTTGATTTTGCAAAAAATCTTTAAGTTGTTGTACACTTGCAAACAATTCTTTATTTGAGTTATTTACCTCAATTATTTTTTCTTTAAGCTTTAATATTTTTTCCCTTTTTTTTGCAAGGATTGCTTCTATATTTTTCTATTTTAAAATTACATGTTGTTGGTCATTTATTATATCTTGCAATTTATCTATTTTTTTAATGGATTCTTCTTTTATTTCATTGATATTTTGTCTTAAATTATTTATTTCAGTCTCCAAATTAGTGATATTTTGTTTTTGACCTTCAATGACTTTAAGTGATGATTGCTTATAAAGTTCATATTTTTTTTCTAAATTATTCTTTATTGATTCAGATATTTCTAATTGATTTTTGAGACTTATTATTTCTTTTCTAAGTTCAGATAGCTCTTCATTTAGCTTTGATTTTTGATTTTTCATTGACTTAATAGTCTCTAAACTGTTATTATATTTTTCAAAATATTTACTTAATTCTTGATTGACTTTATGATATTTCTCAGTGGCTTCAGAGACTCTTTTATCTAGTTGAATATTGAGTAATTTCATATCTTCATTAATGCTTAAATTTTCATTATATTTTTTGATACTTTCATCAAGCTGTGTATTAAGTTTTTGCATTTCAATAGACATTTCATTTTTCTCTTTTATTTCTTGCCTTAATTTCTCTTCCAATATTTTAAAATTTTCGTTGTGGCTTTTCGAATTCTCTAATGAAATATTATAATCATATTCTATTTGAGATATTTTTTTATCTTTTAGCTCAATATCTTGCTTATAATTACTGGCCTTGGCTTTTAAAACTTGAATTTCATTTAGACTTGCCTTGTTTGCTTTTGCCAATTCTAAAATTATATCCTCTTTAATTTTTAGATTTTTTAAGTGGCTGTTTTTCAATTCAATTATTTGGTTTTTTAGCTTCTCTATGTCTTCTTGAGCTTTTATGCCAATTTTTTCTTTATTTTCCAGATTTATTTTTTCTAAACAAAGCTCAGAAAATTGTTTTTCTTTGCTAATTAGCAATGATTTATATTTTTCTAATTTTCTTACCCTATTATTAATTACAAAATAAAAACTAAATTAAAGGCTCTTTAATGATATGAGCTTCCAGCAAAATTAGAATGATTTTTAAATATGGAATATCAAGGCTATTATATAAAATTCCTATAAAAAATATAGCGCTTTCCCGAGGATGGCGCGGAATGGCGCCATCCTCGGGAAAAGCAGGAAGGCATCCACACGGGAGCTGGGAGTTCCACGTGTGGATGCTTAGTTGACTTTCCCGAGGATGGCGCCATTCCGCGCCATCCTCGGGAAAGCGCTATATATACCTAGTCACTATAAATAAAACATTTCTACGATTAGTTATCTCCTATTTATGATATGAAAATAGGATTATAGTTATCATTAGGAATGCTTATATTGTATTAATGTAAATGGCATAATTTAGTGCTAGCTAATGAACCTATAATTAAAGGAAAGAGTTAATAATTTTTCTTCATTACATTCAGAAATTGATAAAGTCTCTTGTTGTTTGCTGCAAAGATTATTTAAAACCCGTAGTTTATCTTGAAGATCGTGGTTAATCTTGTTTGTATTTTCGAGCTCGTACTCAATCTGCTCTAATTTTTTTAACGTTTTCTGATACAAATTTTCTATAAGTACCCTTTTTTCATCCTTTTCTTCATGGAATTATTAAAATGGTGAGCAGAGTTAGGTCTTTGGTGTCCTGTGAGTTGATTCAGCCCTGAAGTGGTGATCTCATTGCAATAATTCTCGGAGGTGTGTTTTTTGGTGCTACCTTTTTTCCTCGGCCCAGAGACCGAGGCGCAGCATCCTTTCAGGTGATCTTTAGTCTGCAATAGGGTGAGGTAGACCAAGAAGGAGACTTTTGGCGATTAGGCAATACATTAAGTCCTAATGACGGTAGGCGGTTATTAATAGTTGGTCAAGGATCAAGATCTGAGCGGGTGATTCTGCCCTGACTTCACCATTTTTGGTGACGTTGACTGTAAAAAGGGGCGTTAGTTGAAGTCAGTGTCTAGCACCATCTGAGTGTGAAGCTAAATTGTGATGTTAGTGCCTGAAATAAACCTCAGTGACTCGCTAGAATTAATCTTAATCTTTCTTCACATTGCTTTTCAAGTCTATCAATCCTAGATCTATTTTCTCGCAAAGGAGTACTTCTTCTTGACAGAGAACTGTTTAAACTCGAATTTTCATTAAAGAGAAGATCTCTTTCAATTGATAGCTCTTCGATTTTTATATTTTTTTCTCTAATTTCTTTGTTTTTGTTTTTTACCGTTTGAATTAATTTATTAGAATTCATAGCTAGATCACTGAATACTTTTTCTTTCATTTCGCAGTTATCAATAAGTTCAAGTGCTAATAATTTTTGGTTTATTAAATGAGCAGTATCTTCCAATAGCTTTATCTTCTTATTATCATAAATTTGATCATTTAACAAACAATTTTTTTTTTGTATCTCTTCTTTTAGTTTCAATATTTCTTCTTTCAATATACAATTTTCTTCTAAAAACCGCGCGCATTCTAAATGATCATTTTCTATACTTTTCAATTGTGCCTGCAACAAATCATTTTTTCTTTTGAGATCCTCGATTTCTGTGCTGTTTGGCTTAAATTTCATTTGATACTCAAGCTGGCTTCTTAGCATTGAGATTTCGATAGCAAGGCTTTCACTTTTGACTGATTCTTCTATTAGTTTATTATTTAGTTCGCCAATTTCATATCTCAAGTCCTCGTTCACATTTATTAATTTTTCCCAATACATCTCTTCATTCATTTATTTTTAATTTAATGCTATTAATTGCATTGCAAATAGATTTAAAATATACATGTCATGCCTGATAAAATTTATTTTGGCTATCTCTCTGTAGAAAAAATCATAAAGTTTAATAGCTGAATAATAAATTCTTATTTAAATACATATGGCTTGCATTTTCTTAAAGCACAAAATATAATAAAGCAATTTTAATAAGATGAGTTTCAATAAGTCTTATATTAAATTAAAAGAGCAAAACATTTCAACAAGATTTCTATCTTTCTGATTATATAAAATTTCTTTGAGTTCTTTTGGGGTAATATGCTCATTTCTCGGAACCCCAGCGACTTCAAATAAGTTCTTTGCAAAATTTTCAGCAAGATAGTCAATAATTTCGTCTTGTATAGCGAAATGCATTTGAAGCTTGCACAGCCGAATAATTTCTTCATACGACAGTCCTCCACTATGATCTTCGTCATAAATTTGAAAAAACAAATCAATTTGTTGTTCATGTGTCCCATATGAAATAACGCTCATTGCCTTAATAAATTCTTCTCAACTAATGAATCCATCTCCATCAGTATCTATTGAATCGAAAATCCTGCCTAATAATAACCCTCCTTGCTCTGATCCTTTTTTATAATTATCAACAAATATAGACCGTTTTAGACCCTTTTTGATATCGAAGTTATCTTCGTCTGAAATTGAAAGTAATATAACTCCCTAACAAAAAATTTTATTCTCATTGTTATAAAAAAAATTTTATATATAATTTTTTATTTTTCAAAGCAAAATTAATTTAATTATAAAATTTATGTCTTAAAATGCAAGCTGTTTGAAATTAACAAGAATTAGCTAGAGGTTAATTATAATAAAAAAATTTATATTAAAAAATTTTTTGATCTCTCAAGGGTGGGTTTTTGCCCAAACAATAGGGATTTTTCCAATAGTTTTGTTTCTTTCAAGGAGCGGGGAAGTAAGAGTTTTATATTGAGCATATAATTTGTGTAAATATCCTTCAGAAAAGCTAAATTTTTTAGTCAGTTCTGAAATTTCCGAAGAAAGTTTGGGAAATTCTTTATCAATTTTTAATACAGCCTCTCCCATTTTTACTTTCAGCTCATTTAAAATTTCATGCCGAGGAAGCTTAGCCTTTGGCTTTTTTTGGCTTTTGATCGGTTTCAGCATAGTCTTTCATGATCTTTTACGTAAAGAATTAATAGCATCTTTTTTATCTTCAGAGGAGGTATCAAAATTAATGGTTCCTTTTTTTCTATGGCATGAAGAATATCCTTTATCAACACTGGCAAATCTACTTTCTACGAGATCCACAACTGACTTTTCCATATCAGAAAATTCTGTTTCTCAAAGACCTAGTCTTTTGATTGATCTATAAGTCGGAGTCGTCTTAAGTTTTATACTTTCAAATGATTTTTTAATAGAACTTGATTGCGTTTCAATTAGTCCTAAAAATTCAGTTTTATCACTAACCAATACCACCTTAGAGTCTCTGGGAATTTCATCCAACGATCTTAATAATTTCCCATGCGTTGTAAAAAGAAATTTCAGCTTATTTTTGCATTTAATTTCCTGGTTGCATTTGTTGAAAAATAAACTCAAATCAATCTGCTTTTGAAACTTATTTTTTATATCATTTTTGAATTTATATGTGAATCCCGGTAATTGCTCCCCTTCAATTACTTTTGTTCCATCTTTCATAACGAATATTTCTTTTGATCATATTGATTTGTCCAATAATTGAACGTCTTTAGAAAATGAATTGTCGAAGTTAGTTTGGGTATTAAAAAAAGAAGCAGGAGGTCTGACTAATTTCACAACTGGTTTTGAGCCTGGATTTCTGTATTTAAGAGGCTCATCTGGATGAGTTGTTGTGAGCCTATAAGGAAGAGGATTGAAGCTTATCTTCCCTTCTTGGTCGTAATAATATGATTTTAGGGCATTAGATTGATCAGAGCTTTCTTGGAAACTTTCAAATACTGAGCTTTTACTGTCAAAGGAAAGATTTCGGTCTTTGAATTTAAAATTTTTTCTTCTGAGGGTATGATAATTTGATTTCATATGCATATTATCATGATTTTAAAAAATATTTTATGGAAAAATATATTCGACAAAACCATCAATTAATTTATTATAACCTAAAAAAATTAAGAAGTGTTGACATTTAATGAGAAACATTGACTATGCCGATTATTTTATAATAATATTTCTTTTTCAGTAGATAAACATGATATTTCCACATTTTTTAGTTTTCATAAAAATAAACACATTAAAATAAGTGCAAAAATTAGTCTTTACAGTATATTTTAATCAAAATGTGAATTCATGAGAATGTTTCAAATCTGATTTCGGGGCTTTGAAAATGTTTGTGCCTTGAAGTGAATTCATGTATTTCATATTTACTTAAGAATTATTTGGATTAGCATAAAGACTTTTCAGGAGATCTGCCAATCTATATCCTCCAAGTGCCAACTGTCTTTGAGCAATAGGCTTTCCTCTCAGAACATATGCGGTTGTTGGAGACTTTCCTTGCTCAATATCGCTATAAACATAATCCACTGCAGAACGGAAGCTCTGTAAAGACCAGTCACTCGTTGAAGTATACATCAAATAGCTTGCAAGTTTATCTCTTGGATAATCATCCATAATAGCCTTTGCATATCCAGTAATTTCAGTCCAACAACTGCTGGACAAAGGTCTTGGGCAGTCATCTCCAATGGTGCCTAAGGCCCAGTCCCATAGCTTATGCAAGTTGTTTACTTGAGGATTTTCTGAATAGTAAATTTTGAAGAAATTCCCACCTGCATCACCACTTTGTTGGGTCACTGTAAACCTTTGAGTTGCATGCAATGGCTGATGTAAATCTCCTAGCCAGTGAATAAGGTATCTAAGCTGCATTGATGCCTCCAATGGAGAAGAAGTTGAATTAACTTGCCTTAAAGTGCTCATAGCTTGACTAATGGCCCATATGATATTATTTGTGGTTGGGGCAGTAGCATTAAGTAAGCCATCAACATTGTACGGTTTGTCAATATAATGCCAATCATTGCTAATTTCGAACTTATATGTTTTCAAATCGTCGGCCCAGCAAGCTGTCTCGACGAATGAGTTGCTAAGTCCATGAGTTAAGACACCATTGAGAGGTGCCAGAATCTGGTTTGCCTGTTCGAAAACTTCTGGATAGTTGGCCTGAAGGTCAAGTTGTGCTATCATTGCGGTAACCATATGGCCATTACACCACCATGCAGTTGATACGCCCAAGAGGCATATAATTAAAATATGGCGTCTTCGTCTGGGCATGGCCTCCCGGGCATGAAGCCTCGACTCATATTTTAATTATATCCGGCAAGGTTTTACCATTCTAGAGATGGACGGCAATACTAGGTAAGCAATTTTGGTTGTGTTCAGAGCCTAGACCTAGTCTATTCTCAGGGGTGGATTTTTCCTCGTGGGGAAGGAGAGTACGGAGTTGGAAAGGGAAAGCTCAGCAGAGTCCTCTGGACCAATCGGGCAACTCCCTAGCGTGAGACTGGGCGTTACGTCCCAGGCTACGTATTTTTCCTTTTTGCCGATAGCTGACCAGAAAATCCATTTTTTGGGTTTTCGGAAAAGCAACCCATGTAACAAGCAAGTAGCTCATCCATGAGCCGTCGAAGCCGGAACACTTTCCCAGAAAGCACCCTGGTGATCGAAGCAGGCCATCCCCAGCGACCTGTGGGTCCGATGCGACGAAGGCGAGTGATAGTACCTGGGGTTGTCACCCCGTAGTGGACGTTAAACGTTATAAATTCTAATGATAATGATACGCCCAAGAGGCAGATCAGAATAGAGAACTTCATATTCATTTTATTCACCAAGAATTTTTGGTGAATTAACGCTAATTCTATTTTGGCTCATATATTAACGATTGTAGGGCGTCAAGGTCTGAGTAATTATGGAGGAGGGGAGAGCTTAAACCATAATGATATAACACATAATTTCTAGGTGAGCGAAGCTTCTGAATTATTTGAAAGATTTACTAATCAGATGAACAAAGGTGATCAGTATCGACTACGTCATATTTAGAAGAAATTTAAAGCATAATTATATTTTTGCGCTTTTAATATTCTATTTTTATGATTGGTAAGGGAACTTTTCTTCGCAGGATTAGCGCTAATTTATTCCAGAATCGAAGAATTCTTGTAATTCCATATAAATTCTCTTTACTATAGATTCCTATTTTTAATCAGAAATTAATCTGTCTGTTAAGATTTTTCTCTAATGGTTGTGGTGGTGTTTTCTATGGCCGCTAAAATATTTTGAAAGTGTTTATGCCGAACTATTGATGTAATTATAATTTAGCGCCAATATAAACACTATCTAATTATTTTCATAAAATTACCATCCCAAAAAATATATATATAAATATGGTGAAAGCAGATCACCCAACCTTCTGAACCATTTTTCTTCAACATCTGCAGGAAATTGCCCAGTGTGGAGGGGAAGGGCAGAAAGAGACGGGAATCCTTTTAGTATATCGAACTAGGTTTTTCTCTAGCCCTAGGAGCTAATCCCTGGGACTTTGAGTGTTTACCTTCAAGACCACCATTGGAAAGAATAGGGGCAAAGGAGGTGACATCTGCCTAACGAAAAACTGGGAGTTTCGAACCAGATGGTGTGAGCCCATAGGCTCCAAGAATCTAAAACCATCCCAAAAAAGCAAAATTTCTGGTCAATACAAAACTATATTCAATTCCAGTATAAAATTATGTAATTGGCCATTATCATAGAAGATTTTTGAATTTTAGAAATATATTAAAATTAAATTAAATTTTTGCTATTGTGCTTAATTTTGAGCAGGTCTCTTCCAGTAATGCTAACAAATTTTCTTCTGTGGCTTCTCTTTCTTTTCTTTCCAGTTCCAACTCACTTCTCATCCTTGCTACCACATCTCTACCTCCGCTATTCTTGAATGAGCAAATTATTTTTTTGATTGATGGTGATTCTATTTTTTTTAAAAAAAATTTATATTAAAAAGTCATGCAAAGTAAAGATGTTGTTTAATTAGGTTTATTATAATAAAATATTATATAAAAAAATTTATATTACAATAATTTTTGCTCTCTGCAAAAAGCAGGATTTCTAGTATTTTGCTAACTGGCGAAGGTAGGAAGTAAGCATGCTTAACAAAGCTTCTTCTGTTTCTTCTCTCGTCTTTTTCTCATTATTAATTTCAATCTCCGCTTTTTCTATTCCTTCTCCTAGTTCCGTTTCAATACCTTGCTCAATACTTTCTCTTGCCAATTTCTCATTTCTCAGCGATTCTTCTAAAACAGGGATCTCATCTTGTGCCTGTGATTTTATTTCATCAAAAATAGCAACTCTAGTACGTGTTTCACTCATTATTTCGCTTCTTAGTCTCGAAGCGTTTTCTTCTAAATATCTCAGCATTTTTTGGTCTGTTTCTTTTCTCGCTTCAATTTCAATTTGGAGCATGGATTCAAGCTCTTCTTGTGTTAAGTCTAGGCTTTGTGACTGTTCTTGGAATAGGACATCACGCACAGCTATTTCATCTTCAAGCTGCTTTTGGAGCTTTGAGCACTGCTCTTTTATTGTTTGAAATTTACGGGAATTGGTTTCTAAAATTTCGAGCATGTTATCTTCAATATATTGGTACCTTCTTTCGAGATCGTCAACTCGTGTTGTTTTTTCAGGTTCTGGGGTGAAAGAGAGACTTCCAAGACGCTCTGAAAGTCTTGAAAGACGTTTATTACTGGGTATAGGTGTTCCGCTATGCAAGCTCATTTTTTAGTTATCAGTGGATATGAAAACCGAATAAGAATTGAGTGTTATGGTATTTATTAACAGTCTACTGTGAAGAAAGTGACATGACTGTTTGGCCGAGCGGTCTAAGGCGGTAGCTTAAGGCGCTATTCCGAAAGGGCGTGGGTTCAAATCCCACAGCAGTCATTTTGCAACTAATTCATTTCAATTTTAGCTGATTTTATGCAAATTCATATATTTAAACTTAATTCTGCTCAGATTATTATAAATCAAGTAAATAATGAAATTCTTTATTTTCTAAATAAATTGACCCAAATCATTTCAAAAACTCAGAAATTTTTCTTCTTACTCCCCCCCCCCCCTCCGTGAGCGAACAAAAAAATTTTGTTCGCTCACGGAGGGGGTTAATTTTTTTTTTAAAAAAAAATTTATATATAAATTTTATAAAAAATATTTTTTTTCGAAATTTAAAAAAATCCTAATTTGCAAAAATTGGGAAGCAAATATTAATTTAATTTGCAAAATTTATGTTTTAAAACGCAATTTGTTTAAAATTAAACAGAATTAGCTCTAGATTTCATTATACTAATTATCACTTATATATCAAAATTTTTTTTCCATTAAAATTTTTTTCTATTAAAACAATTTTTGTTCACTCACGGAGGGTGGGTTTTTGGTCAAAAAATGGCGATTTTTCTAATGGTTTTGTTCGCTCACGGAGGGGGGGGGGGGAGTTAATACAAATATAACGCAGAATTATAAAGAAAATGGAAACTGAAACGTTTACAGAGCACAAAGATTCTGAAGAATCAAAACTTTCTCATCAAAACGAAGTTATAAGAGCCTTAGGAAAACACTACACTCAATATGCTGAAGGCCTCATAACCAAAGGAGTTGTTTCTCAAGCAACAATGGACAAAATCAAAAAAATCAGGCAAAATCCTAATATTGCTAGGGCAGAAAAAGCGCTCGCTAACGGAGAATTGGAGCTTGCCTTAGATTTTGCCATGATGGTAAGACATTCCCAGCCTGATGAGATTTACGTTGAGTCTGGGAATTTTGTTGAAAAAGCTATAAAATTAGAACACTATGAGTTTGCTAAATCCCTATTAGAAAGGGGATACGGCCTTCCTCCTAATTTATTTATAAATGCTATTTCAGATAAAAATACAGAACTAGTAAATAGATTAATTCAAGAAGGCTTATATTATCAAGAAAATTCTGTCGAAGTAGAATTTTGATTTTTGCTATACTGTGACTTTGTAGACTCTGCAAGATTATTGCTAGAAAAAGAAGCTTCAATAAAACACCTTTGCAAAAACTTCACGATAGACTCAAAGGATAATATAAGTTCCTTTTTAAAAGACAATGAAGTGATTGATACAGTTATAACAATAGCACTACAGAGAAAACTAGACCATATCGCCTGCATAATGCTTACTATGAATCCTAACTGCATCAATAAGAATATGATCTACATAGCATTAGAAACATCTTGTATAGGGTTTATCAAAATTGTTTGGACTGGAAACTACACAGTAAAAGAAGTAGCGGCTATAAAAACTAGACTAAAAAACAGTGTGATTTGGCAAAAATTAGATCAGGAATTGGTGGATATTGATGAAAGGCGAGAAATGGTTAGAAAATTAAAAGTTTCGTTTATTATAGAAAAGCTATTGGCCATGAAAAAGATCCAAGAAGTTGATGAAGTCCTTGATTGGCCAGGAGCTTGTGATGAGGTTGGCATTGTCAACGTCCTTATGCTAAGTGGCCAGCAAAGCTTGGCAAGAAAATGTGTCCAAAAATGTTTATCAGGCATCACCACCAAGGATTTCACTTCTGCATTTGAAGAAGGCCTTTTTGAGCTGTGTGTTGACATGCTAAGATTCAAAGAAGCAGCCACAGCATTGGAAGATGAAAAAATCCAAGAAGATATCATCAAAATAATTGAAAACGGTGATTCCTGTTTGCAAGCTGTAGAAATGCTAAATGCCATTCCTAATAAAGAATGGTACTTAGAGCACACCAAAGACTTAACAAATAACCTCTATGAGCTGGCTGTAAAAAAGAAAGAAATTTTAATATGCCAAGCCCCAATTTTATTTTGTGCTTTGACTGCTGAGTTCTTAACAAGGCTTTCTTCAGCTTCTTTAGAGCACCAAAACCGATGTATAGAGACTGCTAATCTATATATTGATTTAGGAGCTGCCTTAATAGAATCTATACTAGAAGAGCCGTTTTTGAATTTTTATATGAACCAGCAAGACTCAAGCGGCCGTACAGTGCTTTCTATTGCAGCTGATAATGGTTTTTATAAGTTATTAGAAAGTGAAGGAGTTGGATCTATCGTCCAAAAACTATGAAATGGCGAAAAAGAGTATTATGATGTCATGAAAGCTTCATCAATACACCAATCATTGATGGCTCCTTTACACTCTGAAGATTGCTTTAAATTTTTGAAAAGACTTGACAAAGACGTCCCTTATATGTTTCATTTTGAAAGATGGCTGGATTCTTGCAGCCTAAGGTTTATGGCACAAGGGATCTCTACGGTATTTCTGCTGATTATTTATAACTTGCTGATTTATTATGCAATTGAGAACAACTCATTTTTAGACGTAACAGATAATTCACATTCAGAGTTCTGTTTGAGAATTGCGCAGGTGTGGATTTTTGGGATAATAACGGAGCAAATCCAGCAGTATATTTTTGGATGGAAAACAGGAAGAGGATACACTTTTGATAATTGGAGGATGCTAGACATTATTATGTTCGGATGTATGATACTTATATCTATGTCTTTGGGGAAAAAATATGGGTGGTTGAAAAACCTATAAAATGACTGTAATTTTCAAAAATGGTCTTTTGGTATGAATAAAGTGCAAACAGCACTTTTGGGATATTTCTAAGGTGGGCGAACAAAGTAAATGGTGTTAAAACAGAAAAAAAGCACATATAAAAATCTATATTCTATCAAGTATAAGCAATTTAAGCAGAGAAAACTCAAGATGGGATTGTATAATAAACATTATATATTGCATACTAACAAATAACATCGCATAAATAAATGCAAGAGAGACATGTACACATATAAACTTTTGTCTTCCAAAATATCAGGAAAAAGTACTCTGTAAAATATAAAATGTTAAAAGTGATGATGTAGAATAGTTAAACATAAAAGGCTGATAATAATCAAATATAATTCTCTTCTAAATTTAAACAAAATATATTAAATAGAGGACTCAAAGTTATAAAGAAATATAAGAAAGGCAATTATGAAATAAATTATTGAAAATGTATGAAAAAAGCACACGATTTTTTCATATATGAAAAAGGGAGTGAAAACGTGCTAAAAAAATTTCTGATGGTGGAAAAAGGGAAAAATAAATCAGAGGAAAAAGTATCATCGATTTTATATGCAATATTAATACTTTTAACACTTTCATGGTCGAAATAAGCCCTTTTAGGGTTATAATAAGAATGTATACACTTTTTTCCTCTGTTTTTTCTGTTTTTAACACACCATTTACTTTTTCACTCCCCTGTTTGGAAAAATTCAAAAAGTGCCGTTTGTACTTTTTTCAACCATTTTTGAAAATTAGAGTCACTTTATAGGTTTGAGAGGGGGTTAAAAAAGCACAGTGTTCTTTTTCAACCTCACCCAAAAAATATATGGGTGAAGGAAATAGATACCCAGATGCAGACCCTGTGCTATTTAATGCGTGCATGCATTCAATAGTAGTCACATTGATATGACTCCGCTTTATGGGAGTTCTCCTAACTCACAAAGCATTCGGTCCAATTCTACAAATGATTTATATAGTTATCACTCAAATTATCCACTTTTTTGTTTTATGGTTCTCACTGATTTTTTGTTTTGCAGCTATATTTGCCTGTTTATTTTCTGAAACAAACCCAGATTTTCCAGATTTTACTTACTCAGTAAGAAACTTATTTTCAGCGACATTATTAAATTTCAGCTTTGATAATTTCGGAGATCAGAAAACAATAGGAGCTTTGCTACTGGGTGGATATGTACTTATTTCATATGCAGTCCTACTAAACATCCTGATTGCGATGGTTTGCAATGTGTACTATGAAGTAGAAGCTTTAGTAGATGCAGAGCATCGAGCTGTTGTGATTGCCTATTATGATAGATGGGTATGGGATGAAACATATGGAGGATTAATTTTCGCACCATCTCCATTATCGTTTTTAGTACTCTTGGCTTCTCCTTTTATTCTATTTTCCAGGGACCCAAAAAAATGAAACATCAGAGTGGCTAAGGTTTTTTATCTGTTTTTTGCACTCCCTCAATTTGTAGTATTTGTAGTCCATTCTTTGTTTTTGCTGTTATTTTTATATTTTAAGGCATTTATATTTTATCCTAAAGAAAGCAAAAAAATAGAAAATTCAAGAATCAGAAAAATAGGTGGAGGTAAAATAAAAAGAATGGATACTTTAAAAATAGAAAAATTGGTATATAAATACAATATTCTTAGGTGTATTATTTGGTTTTTCATTGGAATTCCTTGCTTACTTTGGGCTGTTTTAAGAGACTGCTATGATTTTTGGGCTAACATTTATTATGTTCATAAGGACCCGAAAGAGGAGCAGGAAAAAGTCAAAATATCAAGAGTCATTAATCAAGAAATGATAAAAAATGTCCATAGAGTACTGGAAGATATGGTTTATGATGAAATAACAGTTAATGAATTCGTTGAGAATTGGATGGCTTATGATATTATTGATAAAGATATTTCAACTAAAGACCTTATTGAAAGAAAACAAAGAGCTACTGATTTTTTAGTTCAATTTTCAGAATCACTAAAGCATACCGTTATTAATATTCCAAAAATGAGAAGATTGCTACCAAAGCATTACACAAATATAATGGCGAGGTCGCCGATTCGTCCTCTTCAGAACCTACTCAGAGCTTGAAGGCCAGCCTAAAGATAAAGCTAGCAGAAACAGATTATAGGGGTCTTGCACCCTCGTATGCAATAAAAACTTTGTGTCTTCATGGGCATTTGAGAAAAAAGGCTTTTAACCATGAGACTACTAGAAGGCATAGTTGTTTGATCTAGCAAGGAAGCTTATGTCTCTGGAACTCTAGTCACTGAGGCAAGAGCTATCAACTCCTTAACTATGCGATCCAAGGTTCCGATGAATAAAAGCCTTAATCTTTAATAAACCTAACTTACTCCCCCCCCCCCTCCGTGAGCGAACAAAACCATTAGAAAAATCGCCATTTTTTTTTGACCAAAAACCCACCCTCCGTGAGTGAACAAAAATATTTTTAATAGAAAAAATTTTAATAGAAAAAAATTTTGCTATATAAGTGATAATTAGTATAATGAAATCTAGAGCTAATTCTGTTTAATTTTAAACAAATTGCGTTTTAAAAAAACATAAAATTTTTGCAAATTAAATTAGTATTTGCTTCCAAATTTTTGCAAATTAGGATTTTTTTTAAATTTCGAAAAAAATATTTTTTATAAAATTTATATATAAAATTGTTTTTAAAAAAAAAAAATTAACCCCCCTCCGTGAGTGAACAAAATTTTTTTTGTTCGCTCACGGAGGGGGGGGGGGGGAGTTAGCCTACTACCTAAGCAGCCTAACGAAGAATATACAGAAGATTATATAAAAAGAGTAAGATTTATTAATGTCCCTTGGCTATCTAAAGGATTGAAAAATTTCCAAGATGAAATGGGATCAATTACGATAGGAGATGTCACCGTTCCAAAGGATTCTGGAGTTTCTGGAGGACCTTTAGATGTGCTCCATATAAGGAATATTGAAATTACCTTAGAGATGATGGATAAAAAGCATGCAGAGCTTGCAAATACTATAGAAACTATAAGAAGACAAATGGAAGAACAGAAAAAAATTGCGGCGATGCTGAGAGGCAGAGAAAGCAATCGATAGTAATTTTCCTCATAATAATTTTAATGAAAGACTATTATATAAATTTAAAGCGTGAAAAAGCAGCCCAACTCATTCAAGCTGTTTTCAGAGGTTATATGATCCGAAAGCATTTTTTTGCAGTAAAAATCCGATATGAAAGAATCGTTAAAAGCATTGATGGAGACTTGGGCAAAGTTGAATGGAAAAGCCATTATCTCTGCTATCCATCTGTCACAGATTTCAAAATACAATTTCTTGTCAAGAATATTGAAGAAAAACAATTAAAACTTAAGCAAGAGCTTGAAACAGTTAGGAATTCTATGAAAGATCGAAAAGATTATCTTGCGAAGTTATATAGAAAATCAAGCTATTAATAATTTAAATCCCTTAAAAGTATATAGGAAAAAATTAAATATTAGCGCTGCTTGTGTTATTTATGGTTAAATTAGAAGTAATAATTGTTAAATCGAAGTTATAAGCTACTTACTTCTCCTTGGTGAACTAACAAACCATTGGAAACATCCCTATTTTTGGGTAAAAACCCACCTCTCTGTGTGTGAACAAAAATTTTTATGAAAAATATTATAATATATAATTTATAATTATTATATTGAAATCTATAGTTAATTCTGTTTAATTTTAAACAGCTTGCATTTTAAAACTTAATTTTACAAATTAAATTAATTTTGCTTTCAATTATTCAAAATGGGGATTTTTTTAATTTTAGGAAAAAAAAAATACTATTAAAGTTATATATAAATTTTTTTTTAAAAAAAAAAATAACCCTTTGCGAGCGAACAAAATTTTTTTTTCGCTCACGGAGGGAATGTTAATAATCTCTCAACAGCCGCTTCTACATTACCTCCAGTTGCTTGCAGTGCTTGAATAATTAGGGTTTCATTATAAAATCCCATATCTTTAATCTGTTGGATTTGAACAGCATATACTTCACTAGGATTTTGCTGTGGAGCAGGAGGCTGGCTAAAAGCTCCATACCCCGGCATCATTCCAAATCCTCCCATTCCTCCTCCATAAGGTCCCATTCCGCCATAAGGATATCCCATTCCAAATCCCGGCATCCCTTGTCCTGGTTGAGAAGGCTGCGGAGGGGTTGTCTGGGTCGGCTGAGTTGATGGCTGATTTTGAGGTACTGATGGATTTGTACTTGGTGGTTGACCTATCATGCCCATTCCTGGCATTCCCATCCCAGGCATTCCCATACCTGGCATTCCCATTCCTGGAACCATTCCTCCTCTCATCATAGAAAAAATGCTTTGTAGCATGGCTGGGTTTCTCAGCATTTCTCTCATCTGAGGATTTGCATCAAGCATTTGTTTTAGCATTGGGTTTGAGTTGATGACCATTTCCATGACTTGAGGGTTTGACATCATGTTGATTAGCATTTGCTGGGTCTGAGGATCACCCATCATCTGCTGCATCATCTGTGGATTCATTCCTAAGCCACCCATTCCACCCATACTTCCCATACCGCCCATTCCGCCCATTCCAGGGAAGCTTGGCATGCCTCCAAACCCAGATAAATCAGGACTACCTGAAAACGGTGCTGGCTGGCTTGCGGAAGGGTTTGAGCTTGGAGATGGGGCACTTTGAGACGCTGGAGCTGATTGGGCTGACTGAGCAGGTTGTGATGGCTGGCTTTGAGCGTTTTTAGCTGGACTTTTAACTAAATGGACAGAATGACCATCAGCGATGCCAAGAGTTTTTAGAACTGTCTCATCTTTTAGAATTTTGCCTAAATGGATTGATACCTCTATAAACAAGTCTAATTTGCTCGACAGGTATGTTCATTTTATTAGAACACTCGGCTTTTAATTGCCCAACACTCCATGAAAGCTGCGCTTGAACTTTGTTTTCCTCAGTACTTGAGCTTGCTTTTATAGTTAGGGTGATAGTCTGATCTTCCATTTTATTTTCTTCTCAGATTGTTTCGCGAATGTTAGACTTCTTTAGTTTAATAAAGCTGCAGATAATGCTTTAGAGAATGGTGATCATGCTTGGACATAAAATCATAATCAAAGATGGAAATAATTTCAATGTTTTTGAAAAATTTTTCAATATAATTGTTCAATTAAAGATAGGGCGAATTAATCCCCAAAAGAAACAAACAAAAGGCAGGATTATCAAAATCTTTTAAATTTAGGAAAAATACTTAAAGGGAAATATATCTTTTAAATTGAGCAATTAGAAACTGCAATTTTGCCTTTAATTCTATTAAAAATTGAAATACTAAATTTCTTACTTTAAGGGATTATTTAAAAGATCCAAAATATTCTAAGTAATAAAAATTAAAAGAGAGTTTAGAATTTGAAACCAAAAAATTTTGCCTTTCATACAAGCAATTAAAATATTTTAGATTTATTTAAATCTATTTATTAACTAAAAAATTTATATCAAAATTAATTTTTCTTCTTGATAAAGTCATTATTTTGAATTATTTATTTAGTAATCGATTTTTTTTCATGTTATTGAATATTAATGCTATACAAGCAAATAGACCTTTAAAATCAATACACTTGCCTTTGAGATAATTAAATTTTAAAAAAGGCAAATTACTGGAAAGCATAATCCCATTTTAATTGCTTTTCTAATTTAAAAACAAAATTTTTGCTACATTTTAGTCGAATCAATTGATTTTCTCAATCATCTAATTTAGAAAATTAATTGCCTAAAAACTTTGTTTAAATCCTATTCTAAATTATGTGAAATAAAAAATTTTTTGCAATCATGATTGAAAATCATAATATTATTAAATAATTCGTTTTGAAAGAAGATTTTGTTACATTAGTTCTTAGATACCGTGATCTCTCTTTGAGCAATCATGAATTCTGAGAATTCTTTAAAACTAAGTTTTTTTTCTTTTTCAAGTTTCATTATCTTGCCATGTGAAGGCTGAAACTTGTCTCCAACTGCCATCGGAGGGCTTGAATCGCCGATATCGAATTTAACTCTTGAAACTAATGGGTGCTCAAGCTTTCTTAAATTGATTGTAAGTAGTTTGGATCCTTGTTGAATACTCATCCCTATTTAAAATTAATTTTATATATTGCCCATATTGATTATGTCAGAATATTAAAAACTGGACTGCATTTTCTTTTAAGCAAGTAAGTAAATAACAGTGAAAAATATGAATTTTTTTATTTAGCCCTTATTAGTTAATAGAACAGAATACAATTTAATTTATCTCAATTCAGGATTTAGTTAAAATCTGATTAATTTTTAACATTGATAAAATTATCCTTAAAAATATCTAGTTGAGCTCATTTAAATCCTCTTTATCAAATAATTTTGTTAAAAAAGAATCTGCGAGCATCTTTTTATGGCAATAGTCTAATAGAATGTAATTAACAGTTATTAAAAAAACTAAAAATACTTATAAAAAATACATAAAATATATCTAAAATTATATAATAAGCAGCATTATATTTTATTATATCTGAAAAAATAGTTTCTTTTTTATGATCATTATTCTTTAAATAAATTAGAAAAGATTATTTAAATTTTTTTGCTGCATGAAACTTACTGCTAGTCATCTTGAAACAAATCAAATCGGATAGGCTTACTTTAAGACTAAAGATATTCACAAACTGAAACAGATTATAAAAAATCTTAACTTTTTTAATCCTAAGGTTTATTTAAAGTTTAGGGGTTTTAGGCAAAATGTCAGGAGTGAATTTTGTTGCATGGGCCATATCTCCTTTGATTTTCATCTTTCCTTGCATAAAAGCAACTTGTGGATTTATCCTTCCTTGTGCAATAGCCATGAAGTTATCATCAGTCATAGTGAAAGTTGCATCAGCAGACCCGACTCTTCCTTTGGTCATTGATCCAGATCCATTTTTGAGATCAATCGTAAAGACAACAGGCTCATCTCCTGGCTTTGGAAGAATTTCAAGATGGTAAATTGCGCCTATTTGCTTGACCAATTTTGCCCCTGTTGCTCTGAGATGATCACCCATTGCATTAAAAAGAGCTTCTGCCTTTAATGTTGCCATTTATTCTTATTCTGGAATAGAAATTAAATTGTCATTCAAGTCTTAAGTGAGAAAAATACCTTTGATATATCATTATAGTTCTTATTTTTCTACTTTTTTAATATAAACTGTGCTTTTGAATTTGCTTTGTAAAATATTAGAAGCATATTATCAAAGTTCACACATTTGTTATCAGATAAAAGCTTAGAGAATTATGGCATTTTAAACTTTCTATATACATCCATTTGCTAAAAGATCTTAAAAATAATAAAATCAATTAATCAAGAAAGATTTTGACGTAATTAATTTTCTATAATCGTGGGTTTTATTAGCAAATAATATAAATTTTCTTTTAATTGATTAAATTATTTAAAACTGGAGCTGCTACTACATTTTCTACTAGTGTATATGCATAAACGTCATTAAAAGGCATTTGATGTCTATCTCCCCCAAAAATCATCATAGTGTTGCCCAATATTACAGCAGAATGGCCATCACGAGCATGTGGAGCATTACCTCTGATACGCCCTGAAATTGGGGTTGCAGGGCCATCATATAAAGTTTTTCGTCTACTAGGCGAGCTTTCTCCATGAGGAGAGGTATTCGTTGTTGTTCTTTTTATTGGACTTCTTGTTGGACTATTACATTCATTTTTAGGTCTTGGCATAGTTGGGCTTGCTTTTGATTTTTTGTATTCTTCAAGCTGTTCTGCAGTCACAGGGTCTTTTACTTGATGCTCCTCTTGAAAGCAAGCCCAAAGGTTCCTTTCAAAACTAAACGAAAACATTTCATTGGTTTCTCTTGTTATATCTTTCATTCCTCCGAAAATTATTAAGAATTCTTTAAATACAACTGCAGAATGTCCTGATCTTCCTGAAGGAATATCACCTTGGGCATTAATCTGCTCCCATGTATCAGTTTTCAGATTTAATTTTCATATATCATTGAGTTTTTCTCCTTCATCATTTGATCCACCAAAAATATATACTTTTCCGTGGGCCTATACATAAATTAATACATCCCATTCTTTATATTCTTATAAATTTAATGTTTATAATTATTATTTAAACTATAAAAGTAATCCCCATATACAGCACAAGCATGATTGGCCCTAGCTTCAGGAGCTGGAGACGACAAAGGAACTTGCCTTCACTTAGCTGCATTCAAATTAAGCACATAAGTTTCATTCGATCTGTCTCCGGACACATATCCGCCAAACACAACCATATAGCAGTTTGCACCATCATCATATAAAGCAGCTGTATGAGAATCAAGAGGTGGAGGACAAGTTGGACGCTCTGGATTAATTCGTGACCATGAGCGATTCGCAAAGTTATAAATCAATGTGGTGTTGTATTCAGTTATCCCATCACTACCACCAAAAATATACATATTATCATCGTTTACAATAGCTGAATGTCTGCATAGAGGACCTTGACCTTCTGTAGGCAATTCTTCTCAATTGTCTTCATCCCATCTAGACGTTGTCAAATGGAGTTCCCAAAAGCCTCTCTGAGGGCCTTCCCTTAAGTCTTGGCCTCCATAAATGAACATTCGGTTTTGCCATACTGAAGCTGAATGATAGCTCCTCCTTGCAGGGTGTTTTCTTGCTGGGCGAATTTCTTCCCACAAGTCTACTGAAGGATCTAAAATATGCTAATTGAATCTAAATACGCAAGTTGATCTAAGAAATCGTCTTATTTTTAATAAAATATATAATTTATGTTGAATCAACGTCATAGGAGCTATTTTTTAGTATCAACTTTTAGTTCAGTAAAATTTTCTCTTCCCCTCAATTTAGACTCTTCCATTAATTAAAAAAATAATTATCAAATTTAAATTATAAAATTGCCTACATACTTTTTATTTAAAATTCTGTTCTTTTGGCCTATTAAAAAGGTTTTGAGTTGCAAAAGTTATATAAAAATGAACAATTTAACTTATTTCAGGCCTGATGCATTATTTTCTCAAAGCGAAAAATCAAGAAAAAGCAGCTCAGAGACTAAAAGAGACACAAGAATCCAATCAATCAAGGAAAAACTTGAAGACGGGTTTTCCATTTCTCAAAAATACATAACAGAAGCTCCAATTGAGCTTTCAGAAATTCCAAAATTAAAATCTGAGTATAATTTTCTTTCATTTCAAAATTCTCAAAAAATTGAAATCCTCAGCAGGTTGAAAACAGAAATCTCTCTTGTCAAATCATACAGAAAAAGCAATGACTTGAAGCAGTCCTGCACCCCAGATTCTCGAGCATCGTTACACCATTATCAGCAATCTCTTGCAACAGGGTTTAAATTGTCAATTGACGAACAAGAAGAACTCATTTCTAAAATGAACACAGAGCTGCAAAACATTTATTCGAAAATTGAAGAAGAAAACCACATAACCGAACAGCTTGAATATATGAAGGCAAATGGGAAACAAGTTTATGTATTATTTACATAGATAAAAATTCACAATAAAGTTGAAGATATCAGAGAAGTTTTTTCGCATCTAAAAAGATATGAAAAAGACGTCATTGACTCCCACGTTCAAGCTGACAATCAATTAATTTTTGCAGTCCATGAAGTGCAGAGCTGCAAAAATGAAAGTGGAAAAGAAAGGTCCCTCCGCAATGAGAAATTGACGAATTTAAAGAAAAAAGAAGTGAAACTTAAGCATTCTGTATCAAGCTTGACTCAAAGAGTTTCCGAAAAATTTGCAAATGTAGAAGAAGTCATGGAGAATAAAAATAATTATGATAGTGAAATGACAACTGCTTTAAAAGAATACATAAATCTTAAAGAAATGAATGAAAATTTTAAAAATCAGCTGAGGTTTTATACAGAAGAGTTCAATAAAATTAAAGAGTAACCTATATTTAGCATCGTGAAACAGTCTAACTGTTTAAACGCTGACCCACAAATAGTTGATTCTTATACTCCTCAAGAAATAGCCGGAGCACTAACGAGAATGGTAAATATAGAGTCACAGCTACAAAGAAGGTTTGAAGATTTAACAAAAGTCCATATTAATTTAAGGGACAAATGTGACGAAATTACTATGCAGCTTAAACAAATTAAAGCAGAAATTCAAGATTCAAACTCTATGGGCAAAATCAAAGAAAGAGCGATTTCCCTTACCAAAAGAGAAGCAATCACTACTAATGAGCTGTTAACTTCTATTGATTTAATAGGAGAAGATACAGCAAGATCTGAGCTAATTGAGGATTATGAAAAGTTCGAAGTATATGCTGTCAAGTTTATTGTGACTGCATTTTCACAAATTTGAGACAAAATGGAGTATATTGCAGCTAAATGCCCACAGGATGAAGTGATGAGTATTTATTTGGCAAGATCTAAAAAAACATATAAGGAACTGCAAGAAGATATGGCACCTCGGTCATTTAGTAATAAGAGATCATTAACGCATATACACAGATCTAATACTAGAAGAATGAATACTTCTAAATCTCCTGCTGCATCTCCTATATCTAAAGTGAGAATGGATTTTGGCACTGAAACCCCTCATAATCCACAAAAAACATATACAAAGCAAGATATTATAGATGCTTTTATGCAGAAATTCCAAGCAACCCAAGATAAGGCAGAAAATTTTGCGAATGAAATTTTAAGGTCTTATATTTTTCAGTATTTCATAGAAAAATCTGACATAAAAGCAACAATTGAAAATTTTTCTGGGGACACTGAGATGTATTATGAAGAATTGCTTAATCTTCTATACCCAGAAGCTTCGAATAATCTAAGGAATAAGTTTGCAACTAGCTTAGACTCTCTTTCTTCTGCTCTATCTGTAGCACTAAAAGTATCAAGAGAGATAAAAGCAGAGTATGATAAAGTCGATGTAGAAACCCTTCAAAAAAAGAAAGCTATACACTCAGTATTAAGTTTAGCTAAATTAAAATCAGGAAGCCAAGCAAACTTTTCATCAATCGATCAATTGCTCAAAAATGTTATACAGTTTAAGCTTAAAGAGCACTCAAGAAAGAAAAACGACAGGTTGGAGCTTCAAGAAGAGTCTGAAAATTTCCTTAAAAAGTTGAGATCGAAAGTCGATAAAACCCCTGATATAAAATCTGACTCTGAAACTGGAAGCTCAACAGCTGAGCAGCCCACAAGAAGAGAAACCCCTGTTGATGACACTGCTCTGTTATCTACAAGATCAAAGAAACAGATCTCAAAGCATACAAAAAACGCTTCTTCAATGCCCAATTTGCCAAAAATTGAAGAGAAAACTGAAGCCTATAGGAACTTTAAAGATTTAGAAATGAAAATCAAAAAAATTAAAAGGATGGGAAGAAGTGCAGCTTCAGAATTTGGGTCAACTAAGAAAGCTATGAGTAGGACGCCTTCTATATCTATTGACAACTAATATCTATACATTTCAAAATTTTAATAAATTCTTTTGATGATTACAAATTTATAGATCCATGAATTTTTTTTACTAGAAGTAAATTAATCCTTAACATTTGCATTTATCTGCTTTTTCCTTCGGTTGAGGAGTTGGCTCCAGCTTAAATCCATTTCCTCCAAACTCTGCTGCATTTGACATAGAAATGTCTTGCATCCCAGGCAAATATTTAGATAGCGTCCCAAAGAGAAGTTTAACATTATTTCCTGTCTTTGCGCTGACTTCAACAAATAAAACATTTAAGTTTTTAGCTTTTTCTTCAGCTTCTTCATAGCTGACAGCTCTTTTTTCGAGTAAATCACTTTTATTGGCAACAATAGCAATTACTACGTCCCCGCCTCTTTCAGTTTTGACATCTTCTACCCATTTATCTATCTGCCCCTTCTAAATAGGGACAAAATAAATCTTTAGATTCCAACAGAATTTTAATTTAATTTCTATGCATGTAGTTTTGATAACCAATTAATCTGGAAAAATGAAAAATTTAACTATTAACTATTTCTTTTAATGTGGAAGAGCAAATAAAACACTATTTTACCAAAATTAGCACTTTTTGCATAAGATTTAATATATTAAACCTGGAACAGATGCTTCTTTTCTATTAAAAAGGTGAGTAAGCTTAAAAAACTTGATCTCTGAGTAATATCAAAAACAATAACAGCAACAGTGCAGTCTCTGATATAATTAGGGATCAGCGAGCGAAATCTTTCTTGTCCTGCAGTATCCCAAAGCTGCAATCGAAAAGTTCTGTCATCAATATACATTGTTTTCGATAAAAAATCGATGCCTATCGTTGGCTGATGGTTAGGATCGAAAGTCCCATACATAAATTGGTTTATTATTGAAGTTTTCCCTACCCCTAAGTCTCCTAAAAATACGATTTTGAATTTTTTCATATGAGCTGAAGGAAGGACTCCAATACCTTGAGGCTGTGTGTTGGTAACTTGGCCTGGATCCATAATTAAAATTCTTACAAGTTTTTATATTCTAAGCTGAGATATTATAGTTTTTCATTATTATATAATTTAAAATAAAAAATTAATTTTCTATTTATTTATTTGATATATAAAAAATATGGGTCCAAAAGCAAGACATATAATGTGCAAACTAATGAGTACAGCTGAAACAGGATACTACAAAGTTTTTCAAAAAAGCACCAAATATGCTGCAAGAAAGCTGTCGTTCATAAAATTTGATCCAATTGTGAACAGACATGTCTTATTTGTTGAAACTAAGCTACCATCTGGAAAGAAAAAATAAATAATCTAAGACTTTAGCTTAAACTGATAAAAGCATAAGCTGATTTAAACAAAATCGTATAAAAGAATTTATTGATTAATAATTGTATAATAAAGAGAATTTCAAGGCAGATTTGGAATTTGTATAAATATGTAATAAATTATGATATATAAAACTTTACCTGGCTTCGCATATGAAAGCATATGCTTTATTTAATTAGCGATCTAGTTAAATATCATAAATTAGAATTTCTAATATTTTAAATTATTAGAGAAGAAATCAATTCTTTATCCTTGTCATTTTATATACTTATATATTTTATAATGTAAACAGAATTATATTTACTCCCCCTTTAAATTGGAACAAAATATAGGTAAAATTTCCATTTTTTTGGTAAATTAAACCCCCTTTAAATTGGAAGAGTTAGAGATATTAAGTTTAATTATAAAAGTCGTAATTGAGTTGATTTATCAAAATGATACTGGAAATTTAGGCCTATTTAATCCATATATTTAAATCTCACTTATGAAGCTTCAAAATAATTAAAGGAAATCAATTGAATTAAGTTTAGTTTATGTATTCTTCTTGGCTTGGTACCTTAAACTTAAATTAATTAAGATTATAAGAGAAGCTTCCTCTGAGTCCCATCTCTCTCCAGGTAAAACCTTGATCTGTATGTGAACTGCAGTCGGCTTAATCTCCACATAACCAATTAAAACCTTACCTTATACTCATTACTGAACTCCATCCTCTATTCCACATTTTGTCTGGGTCACCCCAGCTACAGGCATTAAGAAGGTGGGCTGGCTTAAGTGCAAACTCTTGGTTCGGTACCAATTAGCTAAATAAACCTCCTGAGTACATTTCTCAGATCCTTCAATAAGCGGCCACAAATCAGCACTCAGCAAATAATAGTAATAATAATTGAACTCTTTTTTCTCCCACCAATCGCTCATGCACTGTATATCAAATCTTCTCATCGTATTGCAGCTGTTAATATTACTTGACTGAATCCATTTCTTTAAATAAGCTGTCACTTGTAAATAAGGTTTATCTCCAGGGAAAATTGAGCAATAACTCGTAGCTGTCGGATTATACCCGCAATAGCAAGTCCCATACAAAATCCCATTCGGGAAAAAATCGTCACGAGTTGAATAGCAGTCTCCATCGACTTGGCAAATATTTGGAAATTCTTTTGAGGACAATAAATTCATGCATTCATAGACTCCATTATTGTCCATGCAGAGACCTGAATTGCTTACTTACTTACTTACTTACTTACTTACTTACTTACTTACTTACTTAATTCAGTGTTTAAGGTGTCCGGTGCCGCAGCCCCTATGGCTTTTGGCAAAACTTGTGATGTCACCGAGCCATCTTGGATTAACCTGGTCAGCCCAGGCCCAAGCCTTCTATCAAAGCTTCGTCGCCAGTCTTGCTGCACTTCTCACTCGGCGTGTTGCCGATGCCTCGCCCTGACTCAGCTCCTGCGCGTGTTCCGCCTAAGGGTCATCTTCCAGTGGAGATGTGCTGAGAGGTAAAACTCCGAGCCTCTGGTTGCACTGAGGAGGCGTTCCTCTGGCTATTCCCAGAGTTAAACGTCTATTGCTGTGCAGAAGTTCTCGAGAGAAAACCTAACCCCATAAATAAAATGCCATGAGGGAGAGAAAATTAGCAAAGCTAATTTCTCTCGAACCGAATGCATTTTATTTATGAGACCTGAATTGCAGAGATAAGAAACATTATCTGCAGTGCAATCGCCCACAGGGAGGTGTGAAGAAATTGAAAAATAAGGTGTACACACACTGTTTTGAGGGGTATCTGCTACATTGCAGCCAGCACTATTTACGCAGTCATAGTCACTTGTGCATTGTGATTGGCCAATCGGGATTTGTGGGGTACAAATTTGATTTAGGCAGCGTAAGCCAGGGTTGCAGTCATCATTTGTATAGCAAACTTCATTGACTTGGGATCCTACACATATCCCGCTTACACAGCCTCTAGGTGCGTGAAGAGAATTGCAGTCCGATGATGAACGGCACTTTTCACCTGGCCAAGCATTAAGAGGAGGGCTAGGAAGGTTTGCTTCACATGTGGAGTTTGCCATGACTGAAGGCGTGCAGTATGGAGCTTTAACAGATGAGCATGCATTGATAAAGTATGTAGGATTTTTAGCTGTTTGAGTATAAAAGATGCAGGTTGAATTCACAAAGGATTGGCCTGAAGTCTTGCAGGTGTAAATAGGACAGTTGGGGTTATTAGGTAAGTCCTTTGATAGAACTAACGATAGAGAAATAAAAAGTAAAACAGCATAGAATTTTTCACCCATTTTCTATTATAAAAATAGTCACATAATTTAGACAAGAATTACAATTATTTTTTATATTCTATTTTTTAAAGTATTCTTTATAATTTTTCATTTATTTATACCATTTTCTGCATTAAAATGGTATTAGCGTTTAAGAATTTATACTATTTTTAGCATCAAAAGAATATCTTCTTTAGTTGCAAATAATTTTTGGCAGCAAATCCCATACCTCCTGATAACAAACTTTGTCAAAATAACGAAAAGACAGATTCCAAATATGATGCTGAAGAAAATTATAATATCTCCCCAACAGCCATCAACCAGAAAACAAAAGATATTGAACCATTGAGGGCAGGATTCAGAACAGCTATCATTTGGATTTGAGTCTGTTGTATTATCTCCATTTAATTTTGGACCGTTTCCTCCTTCACTGCCAGTATCAGTATGTCTTGAAGAAGTGTTAAAATTAACTACTAGATAATCCACAACAATGCCAATAGAATTGTATAAAGTAGCATTGCACTCATATTGGCTTGCATTAGATTTTTGGACGTTTACATCAAATTCCAGATCTTTACTTTCCATTGCTTTTAATGAAAAAGTTTTTGCTTCAATTGCAGCTACCCCACTTGAACAATTAGCACCTAAGGTGAACTGGGCAGCAACGTTGCCTACATTTGAAACTTGGGCATCTAAAACTCCATCATAGCTTAAAGCTTCGAAATTTCCTATATGAGCATAATCTTATCTTATCTTATCTTATCTTAATTATTTATAACGTTTTGCGTCCACTATGGGTAGCCTTGTCCAGAGCTGCCACCGTATTTATCCACTTGTCAGGCCAATGGACCTCTGGATCGACCCACTTCGATTCGCCAAGGAACGAGTAAATACGGCGTTCCGGCTTCGACGGGATATGAGCATAATCAATTTTCCCTTTGCTTACATTTGTAATAAATTTCAGCTTGTCACCATTTAGTTCTATAGTAACCAAGCTTCCAAAGTTTCCATCAATATTCAGCTGCAAATAAGCATCGCTGTTTGAAATTACCTTTGAGAAATTCCCTTCTTTACTAATAAAATATAAAGGAGCTTGTCCATTTGCTGTTCTTTTAATGTCAGTTTGATGCCTGTCTTCTAGCTGATTTAAAAAGCAACTGCGAGGCTGCATCTCGCATTTATTGCCTTGCCCTCTAAAAGCAGTATAGCTTGATCCAACCTTGTTGCACTGAGTTCCATCCCATGAAATGTCATCTCCATCAATAAACATTCAATATCTTGATCCCATTAAGACCCTTGTATTGCTTACAGGCCTTGATGCTGAAAATAAATATTGGTCACTTAAAGTTGGTGGAGGTGTATTTGGGGAAAAATCACCTATTAGCCTTACGATGATATCTTTTTCTGCAGAAGATTGAACTGGGACACTAGGGGAAACAACTATTTTTTCTTGGTAGTAAGTTCCATTTTCGTATGCTTTTGATATATAAGCTGTTAGCAAATAGTAAGTTTGATAGGTGCTGATTTCATAGGCAGAGTATCATAATTCGTCCCATACAAGGCAATGAGCAGACGACGAGCCTGTGCCAAGATTAAATAGCTGACATGACTGCCCACGCGTATATGTAGTGTCGTCAAGGCCAATTATCTGTGAAAAGTCACAGTCACAGCAATACCCTTGGGAATCCCAAATTCTATCACCTTTAGAATCAGTTTTTCAGCCACATGTAGGACTATTGCTGTATGCTCCATCTTGGCAGTCAAAAATTGACGTAAAAATGACTAACTCTCTTGCACGACTATTGAAATCTTGGCGATACCTTAATGGATACCTTGCAGTAACTTTGGTTTTTGACAGAGTGATTTTGATAGGATATACAAGCTGCTTACTCCCCTCACTCGTACTAGTTGTGTTTATTATAGTCTCAAGAGACTCTGTGTCTGCACCTTGGTCATTATTAACTGATAATGAAACAACCAGCTTATTTGTACAGTTCATGTCGTTGCTGCCTGAATTTAAGCAAGATTCGATGGAGCTTGAGGCTATTAAGTAGCTTGAAGCGAGCTGGAGAGAGAGAATTAGACTGATTATCATTTATTATTAAGTATCTTAAGCTTAGGATACGCAAAATTAATTGTATATTACTCTCATATGGGTGTATTTATGGGAATAAAGCCACTCAATAAAATGATTTACAAGCTCTAACAGCTTGGCTTTGTCAAATTCGCATTTGATGGCATCTAGATATACCATAAATCGAGGCAGATAGCATGGAACTTCTTCACAATTGTTAGTGGATAAAAAGCCTTCCGCTACTTCTTCGTCTAGAAATTTGTATAAAAGCACGATGAATAAGACTAATTCGTTATAAAAATCTTTTTGGCAAACTTTGGCATGGTTTAATAGAAACTTAGCAAAAATATCAGCACCAATATACTCTTTTTCTGTGTTTTCTCCATTTTTATTTGTCTCAGAAAGCATTATTTCTTTTAAGATCGGCAAAAGGGTATGCTCATATTCTCTGTGATTTTTGAAAATCCGAGGGAAATTTTCAGTTGCATCTGTGCCATGTGAAGAATAGCATCCAATTTCTCTAGCTCTCTTCTAAAAGTGACCCAAGCATTTAAAAATCATAATTAATACCTCTATAACCGATCAAAAAATTGGTTAATATAAAATAGAGTTATAATAAAATTTCTTTTATTCTCAGAGGAATTTATATAAAACTTATATACTTCTTTGTGATTTTTGGGCACAATGAACAATTTAAAATAAAACTACTTTATGAGTGAGCAAAAAATTTTGGCTTGATGACTAGAGGAGGGTAAGATATGAAGCTTCATCACCCAGGAGTTGTCTTTCATTAATTTCAGCAGCAGATTCAGGCTTTGCAATCTTTGCAGGCCTATTTGTATTAATAATCTTTGGCAGACTTCTTCTTTTAGATCTGGCTTTTACTCGTGGAACATCTGAGCAGTCTGGATTTTGCCTATCATGCTTGGTTTTGATATGAGTAAAGAGGGCGGGATAGCTCAAATATGCCTTGCCACATCCACACTTGTGAATTCTTCCTTTTTGATCATATCTGCTTCTTCTCTTTTGTTTTATCTCAGTTTTGGGCTCTGATATGGGTAAACTTTCAATGATTTTTTGATGCTGAGTATGCAAGAGTACAGTTAGGAAAGTTTTAAGCATTATAAATGGAAAATCAATTATACAAATAATTGTGATAATTATAGACTTACGAGCAGAAAACCAGCCTTTGCATTTATAATAAATTCTAATAATTTATAATATGAATAAAAAGATATACTTTAAATATTAAAGATAATCCTTTTCAGGTGATAAGAGGCCAATTAAGTCTATAGGTATCTCACTTGGTTTTGAAATTATTTTCCAGATTTAATTTTAATCAATAAAATGGACTCTGATAGTGAAGACATCTTAGAATCCGCTCAGCGAAAGGCGAAACAAAAGTTCTTGAGAGAAGAAGTCATAGAACTGAACTACGACCCAAAATTATTCACAGATTTCTGTGAATCCCAAAAAGGCTCTGATATTGACTTATGGACCTTTGAAGAAATCCAAGAATGCGTAAAAGAGTTTAAACTAAAATTTCGACCCGGAGAAACAGCTGAAGAATATGAAGAAAAAGTAAAAAAAGAAAAAGAATTAGAAAGAAGACTATACGAAATCCCACCAAAAAAGGTCCAAAAAGCAGTAGAAGAATATAAGCAGCAAGAAGAGGCCAAAGCAATAATGGAGACTAAAGCAGAGTCCTTAATATCTCCAGGAACAGACCCTAATGGAGACGTTTTCTTTGTTCATACAGAAACTGCAGAAGTAAATGAGCTGATGACTTTCAAGGATATAAAGCTTGAAATTTCTGAGCCTGTGATTGTGCAGGGTGGGCTGTTTGGGTCGAATTATGTGATGTATAATATTGTGACTTCTCCGTTAGGATGGAATGTTAGAAGAAGGTATAAGCAATTTGAGTGGCTTAGAGAAGTCCTCGCACATGAATTTCCAGGATATGTAGCAGCCTGCAGATTATGCACTTTCTATATATAGTGCATACCCCTATATAGATTTCTTTGTCGAACAAAACATGATGAACGGTTGAAAGATCAAGACTGACTCTAACAAAGGGACGAGCTGGATCTCTATACCAGAAAGAGTTACAAAGTGACATATCAAAAAACTGTTGATAAGAGTGAGCAAAGTTGACAAGCAAACGTGCCAATTTAAAATGGCTTTATTATAAAATTAATTTTTATGTTTTAGTAAACATTTTAGACTAGTACTGATAAATATCTTACCTACATTTTCTCTCCCTGGAAAAATTAGGCTCAAGCAAATAAATTAGGTTAAACTAAATATGCATAATTGTTATAAAAAAGGCATTCTTTTTTAGAAGCTTCTAGCAATATTTCTATATTTATACTAAAGTCATTTACATGTGAGCCCATCATTTTATTAAAAATTAGATATTTGAATCAAAATATTATTACGCCCTTTTGATGCATAGTTCGTAAAGAGTTTTTTAATAATAAGCCATTTTTATTTTAACTATAGGTAATTTCATATTCGACTTTAAGAACTCCATGATTAAGAATCCTACGAAGCTGCAAAATTAGCGAATTAAACCTATTACTTCTTGATATAATTGAAATATATGATACAAAAAATTGCTCAGGAGTTTTGATGCACAATTCTTGAAGAGTTTATAATTTTTAAAAATTAAGACATATCATTTAACTTTTAAAAGAAATACATTTTTGGTCTTTCTTACTTCATAAGTGACTTCTCCAACTGTATTTTTTATGAGCACTTATTAATATAAATATTTATAGGTCTTAACTTTTTATAATTATAATGCACTTTAAATTTAAACTTACTTCTAGGTTTCAACTTAAATTCTATAATAAGATATTTATCAACGCCAGTTTAATGGTTTCTAAAATTGGCGCGTTTGCTTATTAACTTTGCTCACACTTGTCAACCATTTTTTGAATGCCACTTTATTACTCTTTCTGGTATAGAGATCTTGCTCATCCCTTTAATAGAGTCATTCTTGGTTTTTACTTTCTAATAAATTTTGTTCACAAAAGAAATCTATATAGGTGCATGAGCTATATATATTTATTAATAATATAAAACCAATCAAATTAGTATACTATATCCCTCCTCTTCCAGATAAAAAAGCCCATGGCAACACAGAAGACATGACCATCCTCAAGCGGCAAAGGTTTCTTCAGCGCTACATGAATTCTCTGATTTCTAACCCTGTTTTCCGATCCTCGCCTTCTTTTGTGCTCTTTCTAAAAGAGAGTTCTACAAAGGAGTTCAAATCAAGCAAAGACCACAACAAAAAAACCAAGCGCAACACAGTCGACCAATTTGTCAGCTTAAAAGGTGAAGTAAATTGTGATGTCAGAGACCATACCCTCAAAATTAACGCCGTTAACCAATATCTGAATACAGGTGAAATCATTAAAAAGAAGCTAAAGCGGCAATCAGAAGAAATAATTGAGGATTTAATAAAGCTTTCCAAGACTATTGCAAGCTACGCAGAAACTGTGAGGCAAGCTGCCGATTTCCAAGATTTATTAGATTTCAATGTAGGGCACAAAGAACTATATAAAAATATCAATGACGCTCTATTAGAATGGTCCAACTGAGAAGCAAACAAAGCGAACTTTATCTCAGACTATTTTAACATGTTCTTCAAATTTGGATATATGGAACTAGGGACATTAAAAGAAATCATCAAAGAAAGAGACGCTGCTCTGGCAAATTTCAAAAAAACAGGAGGAGGAGACAGTGACAAAAGGAAAAAAGCACGAGAATGATATGGGTTTTATAACCACCAAAGCGTAAGCGAAGTAGAAAGAGTAATTTTGAATAGCAGAAATGTCACTTGCGAGCATATTTCTGAGATGGCTAGCAACCAAATAGACAGTGCACTTAAACTCAAAGGAATCTGGGAAAATTTACTGTCAAGCACTTTGACAATAAGTGATAGATACAGCTTCTTTGGATAAATAAATTATAAATAAATATGCTTGCTCTTGGAATTGAAGGAAGCGCTAATAAAATCAGCGTAGGGATTGTGGATGAGAAAGGAAATATTTTGGCAAATCCTAGGAAGACTTATAATGGGCCTCCAGGAAGTGGATTTTTACCGAAAGAAACTGCAGAGCATCATAGAGCAAATATTCTAGGACTAATTGATGAAGCACTTGCAGAAGCCAATATTACTATGGATAATATAGGCTTAATTTGCTACACAAAAGGACCGGGAATGGCTAATCCGCTAAGTGTCGGTGCTCTTGTAGCAAGAACCCTGAGCCAAATGTTCGAAATTCCCATTATAGGAGTCAATCATTGCGTAGCTCATATAGAGATGGGAAGGCTTGTGACAGGCGCTGAAAACCCAACAGTTCTTTACGTTTCTGGAGGAAATTCCCAGGTAATTGCTTATAATGAAGGAAAATACCGAATATTTGGTGAGACTATTGACATTGCAGTTGGAAACTGTTTAGATCGTTTTGCAAGAATCCTGAAAATTCCAAATGAGCCAGCACCTGGATATAATATCGAGCAGCTTGCTAAAAAGGGCACAAACTTTATTGAATTGCCATACTCAGTGAAAGGAATGGATGTCTCTTTTTCCGGACTTCTATCTCATATAGAAAAAATCGCAGATAAATACCCTCCTGAAGACCTCTGCTTTTCTTTGCAAGAGACTGCTTTTGCCATGCTGGTAGAAACAGCTGAGCGAGCTATGGCTCATTGCAACTCAAATGAAGTTTTAATTGTTGGAGGAGTCGGCTGCAATCTGAGACTCCAAAAAATGGTCCAAGAAATGCTTGAAGAAAGAGGAGGAATGCTGCATGCAATGGACGAGCGATACTGTATTGATAATGGAGCCATGATTGCTTATACAGGATTAATCCAGTTTTTAAGCAGCGGAGGAATGAAGCTTAATGATTGTATATTTACACAAAGGTTCAGGACTGATGAAGTTGATGTAACTTGGAGGAATAAATAAGTAGCTGCATATAAAATTATTATGTAAATTTGCCATAGTTTATTATTATTTTGATATGAGCAGAGAACTTAATGAAAGATCACTCAATATTAGGAGGGCAATCAAAAAGACTTATGTTGGAACGCACTCCAGGTGAGTAGATCTCGTAAAGCAATCTAAAAGCGAAAACTCCTTTGTAGAATTGTTGGACAGACGAATAATTCTGAATATTGAAAAGAAAAATCAAAGAATATTGGGCGTAAGTATATTTGGAGGAATTGTATCTTGTGTGGCATCATATAATTATATTCTGAATGGAACTCACAAAGCTTTTAGAATAGGAATCTCACTTATTTATTTTATAGTACCAATAAAGATTGGACAAAATGAGTTTAGCAAGTCTTGGACTCTTAGGAGAATGCTAACCACAAAATACAAAACCAAAATTAATGAAAATAAACTTCCATAAAATAATAGATACTTTAACTAAAATCTGCAGCTTTATAAAACAATAAATTATTTTGCAGTTTTAAATTTTTTTTCAATTTCTGCATCAAATGCGATACTAAGAGCATGAATTCAGATAATAAATAGCCTAATTAGTAATTTGTAAATAGAACAAGCAGAATTCTCATATAGAACAATAATTAAATAAGATTCTAAAACGATATAAATAATTGATAAAAGTCATCCTGAAAGCCAATCAAGCTAAAAAGAGATAAAGGAAAGTATAATTTGATTAATTGGTAAGGCATATATAATTTAAGCTTCAATTGTATAAGTATCTTAATGATAAGCAACTGCCTTTTAGTGTAATAATGAAGTATATTTTAATAATGCATTTATCAAGATTAATTTGAAAAATTTATTAGCTTATAGCATATTTAAATTAAATTATAATACAAGTTTGTCCGCTAACAGATATAATTTTGCTTTGAATAACTGCTTCTATACAACGCGTACGATAAATGGCTATTTATTTAAAAAATTGCTTGTGGAATGTCAATTCTCGAATCTAATTCTATTTTATTTATGACGCTTTTATAGTCTAAAATCATAAAACAGAAAATATTAACTATGGCAAGCGTTTAAGGATGAATGACATACCAAGTTGCATAATATTTTGATTCAAACTTATTTTATTATTATACTGTATATAGGAACAAATTTTTTTAATATAAAATTTTCACAAAATAGCCCTAATCTTCATCCTGATTAATAGAAAATTAATATGAACTTTGAAGAAAGAGACTCTCATTGACAAGAGCTTTTAAAAGAAAAACTCGATTTAATTCAAACATTCAGCAAAGAAAATTGCTGCAAAGTGTGCATTTGTTTCGAATTACTGAAAATTGCGATTTGTGCTGAAAAATGCTTTCCGGAAGGAGATGAAAGGGATTTATTGATTTCGCGATTTTTAGGCAATATTTTTGACGAAGATACCTTGGCTAGTTTGAGTGATAAGGTACGAGAGCATTTCAATAATATTTCGGATTGTGTGACTGCTAGAAAGAAATTAGAAAATTTAGAAGAAAAATTAAACAAATGCTATGATGAATTTCAGAATAAAACCATTGATATAGAAGAAGTTATAAAATTGAAAAATGATGATCCTTTTAATGGAGATTACTTGAAAAGAATTGAAGAGCTGGAAAGAAGAGTTGTGCAATATGAAGAATCGCTTAACAACTTGAGAATCGAAAATTCAGATTTAAAAGAAAAAATAATGAAAGCGGCAACTTTATATGAATCTTATATGAAAAGAAGAAAAAGCGAAATTTTATCTGAATATATTCAGATAAGAGATGAGCAGGATAGGCTTAGGAATCAACTGAATAGTCTAAAGGAACAAACTGATAAAAATGCAGAAAACTTAGCAAGACTACAAAAAGAAGCTTTAAAACCAGAAGTAAGAGCTCAGTTAGAACTTCTACTCCCCCCCCCATCCGAGTGAACAAAAAAATTTTGTTCACTAACGGAGGGGGGTTAATTTTTTTTTTTAAAAAATTTTATATATAAAATTTTATAAAAAAAATTTTTTTTTTTTCGAAATTTAAAAAAAATCCTAAATTCGCAAAAATTTGAAAGCAAATATTAATTTAATTTATAAAATTTATGTTTTAAAAAGCAATTCGTTTAAAATTAAACAGATTTCATTCTACTAATTATCACTTATATCTCAAAATTTTTTTACATAAAACATTTTTCTATTAAAAAAATTTTTGTTCACTCACGGAGGGTGGTTTTTTGGGCAAAAAATAGCGATTTTTCTAATGGTTTTGTTCACTCACGGAGGGGGGGGGAGTAAGCAAGGACTTTCAAAACTGGCAAAATCTTTTTGAGCAACAGAAGCTCTCCTTTGATACCTCCACTTTTGCCTTAAAACAAGCTTCTAATAGATCTCAGGATGCCATCAAAGAGCTTGATAAAATCTGGTCAGAGATCCAATTCATCCGAGAGCGACAAAACGATTTACGAAAATGGCAAAAAGAATGCAAAAACTTATCAAAACACTCCAATAATCTCTTATAATACCTTAGCTAAATTTCTTATGGACGTTATTCGCGCCATTTTCATATGAAATTTCAAATTATGAATTTGCCGCACTAAAATCTGCGTTTTGAAACGTATATTTGGTTTCCACATACCAAATTCAAAATGGCATGCATATGCATGATAAGAAAAAAAATGCAACGCATTATATCAGCTGCTGACTCAGTTTATTCTTCTCAGCAAGAATTCCGTGATTTCCAATTAATTATCCAAGAAAAGTTAGAAAATCTGAGGCTCGAAGTCGAAGCACTGAGGTCACAGAGCAAGCCTTTTGCAACTGAAGAATATAAAAACGACGTTCTTGACCTCAGGAAACAAATGGATGATGTAAAATTATCATGCAATAAATATCACCCTGGAGAGTTAATAAAAGACAGCGCTTTGGGAGGAAGTTATTGGTCGTGCTGTAAAGGCAACCAAAGCTCTATGGGGTGTGAAAGAAGAAATAAATAAATTATTAAGCTATACTCTGCCAATTTTGAATCATCAATTTCTGTATACATAGTAACGCAGCTTGATTCACCTCACGATTAGGATGTTGCATTAATTCCATAGCACGATTTTTAGCACCTAATTTTGACGCAACTGTTTTTCCATATGGATGAAACCTAGCGAATTCTCCTAAGTCATTTAATGCCAGCTGTATACATGTTGGGTTCTCAGAATGCAATAGCATTACAAGCTTTTTAACAGCCCCAAAGCTGTCATTTTCTAAATGTCTTGCATTTTCTTTCCAAAACGCTTCTGTGTGGGTGACCCCAGCGACCAAATCACCTCTTTCAAGCTCTTTGAGCCATTTTTCAAACGATGATAAAATTTTTACCGATCTTTCTAAAGTATCTCCCATGCCTTTGACGAGCTCTACAATATCTTGGTCTTTCAATACTCTTTTTGACAGATTATCTATTATTTCTATAAGCTTGCTGTCAATCATAATTTCAATTGCAGATTCTCCAGCATCTGATAAATTTTTGAGGGTCCCTAAAGCTACTCTGATGACTTTTTCTTTTTCAGTCCTTTTCAGCTCTTTTATTATTTTTGGAATTAAGTCGTAGTCACTTCTGATGAAGTATTCAATGGATTCTTCATTAAATGACACCATCCATAAGCAGCAAATAGCTGCATACATTGGCTGAGGCACTCCAGATTTTTGCTCTAGTAAAGGCAATAAAACTGTCCTTATCCCTCCTATTCTCAAAAACTCAAGCCTAAGGGACTCAACTTTCAATAAAGGCATCAAACAATAAGTAACAGCATCTAATTGCAAAGTATTGTCCATGGCTTGATTTATCAAAGAGTCTATCAGTCTTGAAGCCTGATTTAAATAATCCCCAGCACTGTTTCTCAGTTTAATTATCTGCTCACCTAAAAGTATAGCTAAAATATGACTTGCAGCTTCAACTGCTATAGGAGCAGTTTTATAAGTGCTTGCATACCTAATTAGCGTGGTCAGAATATTGAAGGACTCCTTTCCTCCTATCAGCTGCGACATGACTTGAGATTGCGATACATCATCAACTAAAATCCCATCTAAAGTCGTCAAAATGCTTTGTGAGAGAAGATTGTCATCATTTATACAGTCTAGTATAGAAAATAAAGCACGGTATATTGTGTAGGCTTCATCACTTAGGAGACGTTTGCGCTGAGCTTCTAAGCTGTTCACCATAAATGAGGAGTAAACTTCTGATAATCCACGACCTATGGAGCCTGCTGATTCTGCTGAATATATGTCAGGCTTTATATAGATTGATAATGAAATATATGCTTCTGGGTGTACAATGAAGGAAATTGAGTATGCCATCAGCCTGTCTCGAGATACTGCCATGGTTTAATATATTTGCTTAAATATAATCCATTTTGAAATAGAAGAGAAATAAGAGCAGCTGATTGTATGGAAAAATGATTTTTTAGCTTTCTCCTGATGCTGATGAAGTTTAATATAATGGTAATTATTGGAATTATTTTAACATTCTTTTAAGATATTTATTGCTTGGAGAATTTTAGCAGAAAGCACTGATTTTATTATTTAAAGAGCTAAGATAAAAAGAAAGGCTGCTAATCTCTATATAAATTACAGTGAAAATTATATCATAATCCTAAAATGCTTTTATATGGATAACAAACTAATTTCTATACACGGAAAATCAATAAGGTGCTATTTTTAATTCATAATTTATTTCTTTAATTTGCTAAGATCATAGCCTCCTCCCACCTTTGCCTCAATCCTTCTTCTTCTCTCTTCCTCTTTAGTCTCTCTTTCTTTAGCTTGCCTCTCTCTAAACATTCTCAAAGCGTCTTGAGCTCTTCTGTCAGTTTCTTGTTTTTTCTTTTTATTGATTTCTTCTTGCATTTCTCTTGCCCTTTTTCTTTCCATTTCTGCCTCAATTTGCTTTTGCATTCTTGCGTTTTCTTTTTCCAGCTCTCTCTGCCTTTTTTCTTCTTCTTCACGCTTCGCTTCTTCTTGCTCCTCACTTGGATGTATTGAAATAGGCACTGGAGAATTTATAATTTCAATATTGTTTACTAGGATATGCATCCAATAATCTCCATATCTAAGTGGAACTATTTGAATAGTAGTGGTTGGCTCATTTTCCAGAATTTCCATTTGAAACTCTAGAGCAGATATATCAGTAGGCTTTGATCTTCTCCCTTCAACATTTTCAGTTGTAAACACTATATGGATTAATGGATTCTGACTTCCTCCCTCCATAAACGAAAAAAAAAATTGTTTGCTCACAGAGGGATTAATTTTTTTTATAAATAAATTTTATTGTAATTTATTTTCAAAATTAATAATTTTTATTGTAATTTTTTTCCCCAAAATTTAAAAAATCCCAATTCGCGAAAATGGAAAGCAAATATATATATTAATTTATAAAAAGTATGTTTTGAAATGTAAGCTGCTTATATTATACAAATTAGCTAGGGATTTTATTATAATAATTATCACTTATATATATCAAAATATTTTTTCATAAAAAATTTTTTCACTCTCGAATGGAGGAGGAGTGAGGAAGTACTTCTCCGATTTGGTCATACAATTGTAATTCCAATAAAAACGGCAGCTCTGATGGAACCCTGCTAGGACAATTTATAACTTTTGTGAACTGCGGAATAAGGACTCCCTGCAAAAAATGATGCATTGATCGCCCTGAGTATAATTTCCTTATGTTCGCTAGTAGCTTATATTCTTCAGGTGGCCTTCTCAGTCTTCTCGAAAAAGTCCAATCCCATACATAAAATTTTCCATGAGTATCTACAGCAACTAAATCATGTGTCCCCATCCCAATTGCAGCAATTTCTTCTTCATCATGGCCTTCCAAAGAAATTGGGAGCCATTCAATAGGACTTTGATGCTCAAGTTCATCAGGGTTTATTAGTCCTCACACATAAATATTTGAATTGGTTAATGCCAAACTTATCTGGCCAGCAGCTGCTATTTCTTTGGCTGGGCCTGGAAGTCAAACATGTGTTAGCTCTGAAACTGAAGTTGCAGTTAGGCCTAGCCCAAGCTGACCTACTTCTCCACAGCCTATAGAAAATACACGAGAGTCTTCAGACAGCGCAATAGCATGATACTCTCCTGCACAAATTTGTTTAAGAGTTATCTGGCCTATTGGCTGCAAATATATCTTATCTTGCTGATTAAAAGAAGAAACAGCAACCGTCCCATGATCATTGATTTCGCCCCATAAGAAACAGCCGTCATCTCTTCCAATCACAAGAAATTCGCCTCCGGTTGCAATAAGTTTTGCACTTGTTCTGAACTCAATAAGATTTTCTTCAACTTCTGGTAGGTCTCCCCAAAGCACTACTGAGTTATCTCCTAATATAGCAGCAGACAGCCGTTTGGAGGCACTTACATCTTTTACGTTTTTCCCAACAAAGCATCCTAATCCTGTAGGTCTTCTCACAGGACTATGAGTTGGAACGGAAAGGACCTGGCCATATGAATTATCCCCCCAAGCTAAAACGTCATTTCCTCCATTACAATTTGTAATGTTGTTAGGACAATTTTCATGCCTAGCTATATGCGGGCACCCAGACACTATCAAAATTGTGTGAAAATCTCCACAGGCTGCTTTTATTGGGATTTTCCCTTTCAACTCTATAATTGGCTTACTACCCATTCACAAGCAAAAATTTTGGCTCAGGTGATTTAATTTTTTAGAGATTTTGCGTATATATTCTAGATTAAATGTTATTTTTGACAAAAATAGGACTTTTCTATGGTTTTGCTTGCTAAGAATAGAGAGTTAGGTTTTTCACATGTATTTTGAGTTCCATCTCCAAGAGTAAAATTTATATTAGATCCAGCTGTATAAAGACAGTTAGGAAGATTCGCTTTTTGCAGTAATGCCAGTATATGGACAAAATGTTCATTGATTTCTACTTCCTCATCCGCTATAACTGAAGCTCTTAAGAACTCTGACATTGCACTTTGAGGATCTTTTAGCTGAATTAGCACTTTTGAATAAGTCAATCTATTTCTTGAGCAGTCTTTTATAGAAACCAAAGTTTTACTATCAGCTTCTGCTTCTTTCAGTCTATTATTTTGCAACAAGATTTCTATTTTTTCTTCAAGTAGCGCAACTTTTTCATCGTTGTTGGATTTCGATATTAAAGAATCCATCAGACTCAGCTGAAGAGAAGGGTTTCCTTTTGCCTTGGCAATTTCTCTTTTAAGCTCAGCTGGAGTTGCCATACCTTGAGCCGGCAGCATTGCAGATTTCGGCTTATTTTCTTTTGCTAAAAGTCTAGCTGCAGCTTGCTCTCTGAATGCAGCAATATCTTGCACTTCAAATTCATCTTGTAGGTAAGAATCAATTAAATCAGTGTTCACTGCGTATTTACTTTTGGATTCTTCAACTCCTTTCTTCTTCATATTTAAATAATTATTACTCCCCTCCTCTGTGAGCTATTTTTGGGGGAAAAAACTCATCTTTCGTGAGGGACAAAAATTCTTTATGAAAAATATTTTGATGTATATGAGATAATTAGCATAATGAAATCTCTAGCTAATCTGTTAATTTTAAACAGCTTGCTTTAAAACATAAATATAACAAATTTAAATAAACATTTGCTTTAAAATTTATTTCGAATTGGATGTTTTTTTAATTTTTACAACAAAATTTATCAACAACAACAAAAAACACCAACAGTAAGCATGCAAAATTTTTTTGTAAACTCACGTTAGGGGAGGTTAGCAATTATATTGGATTGATTCCAATGCTTTTGATTTTATAACTAAAACTCCTAAGTCAGTAGAAATCGCAATGCGAGGGCCAAATGCTTGAATTGTGTAGGGGTATCCCATCGAAAAATACTGCTTTTTTTGATATTGAGGGGTCAGCTGGGGTAGCTCGCTGATTTTTATGATGTCAATAACACTTGTGCTTTCCCACACACAAATGCATCCTGAAGAGTCAGCTGAAATTACTACAGTTTTTAAGTTTTCTATCTGGGACTCATGGACACTCTCTTCTATTTCTTCATTTGAGTTTTCATACATTGCATCATCAAGCCTTCCTCTATGATTTCTCCTTTGCTAAATAATTTTTACATTCGGAGGCTGGACTTTTTGTAAAGTAACCACAGATAAGGCAACAACTTCTGCTCTATGAGACCCAAGGGTAGCTTTTTCTTCTCCTGAATTTATATCTAAAATTTTTAGTGTCTTTCTCTTGTGGACATATACAATGGAGTCATTCAAAAATCTTGCAAAGGACACTTTTCCATAAGATTTGTCAAAAGAACTTACTTGGACAAGTCTTGGATTTGGCGTCATGTAGAACATTTTCAAAGTTCTTAAGCCGCTTTGTTCCCATTCCATATACAGAAGACAGTTACCGTCAAAATCAAATGGCATGGTATAGGCTGGGAACCTAATTCCTTCAATGTGCTCTTGAATTTGTGTAGAGAGGTGATTAAGGTAAATAGGTAGAACAGATTGGACAAATTCTTCTTGCATGTCTTCTTTAGGAGGGTCAAGCGTAAACAAGCAAACAGTGTCGTGGTGCATCTGAACCTGAGTTAATTCGCAGTTGACTGAGTTGTGGAGCTTTTCATGGAGAACGTATTGCTTTTGGAACCTGGGAGCGTCAGGATTTACAACTATCATTGCTTTTTGGTCGCCTATAGCTGCGTAAAGAACGTTATCATATGACAGTCACACTCCTGGGATGTACTCTTCGCTGAGCTCATTTATCACTCTTTCTTCTTTTGTGTAAAAATTGTAATAAAGCAAGCGGCCCATCATGCTGCCGTATACCAGACCTTCATAGTTTAGTGAAAGGCTGATGACAGGATCACCAAATCTTATGTCAATATAAGCCTCTAAAGACATTTGAAATATAAATTTATTAACTCCCCTCCTCAGTAAGCAAGCAAAACCATTGGAAAAATCCCTATTTTTTTGCCCAAAAGCCAAACCTCCTTAAGGGAACAATAATTTTTATTAAAACACAAAATTTGATATAATGTATTGGTAATATTTTATTTTGCTTATTTATTGTAAATTGATTTTAAAATGTCAAAAAAATTTTGACATGTCATTATATATAAAAACTGAGTCTATGGTATGTTAAAATTTTTTTTGACATTTTAAAATCAATTTACCATAAATAAGCAAAATGAAATTTATGCAAGGGATTATATGTAAGCAATAATTATTATAATGAAATCTCTAGCGAATTCTGTTTAATTTCAAACGGCTTGCATTTTTAAAACATAACTTTACAAATAAAATTAATTTTTACAAATTGGAATTTTTTTAAATTTCAAAAAAAAATCAACCCTCCTGAAGCGAAAAAATTATTTTGTTAACTCAAGGAGGGAGTAATATAATTTCTTATATAAAACAGCTGCATTAATTATTTTGCAAAGGATTTATATGCTATTAAGATATAGAATTAATACAATCACAAATGAAACGCCAAATACTGGAGAATCTAAAACAATTTAATTAATTGCATAGCCTATGATATGAGCTCTGGATTAGCAATTGGGTGCAATTTACACAGTTGATTTCCCAGCCATGTTGGCAAATTTAATAAATCAGCCGATAGCGAAAACTGGGCTAAAAGTTTTTATGGGCTATATATGATTAAAAGCGATCTATTATAAGAATATTTCTTACAGGAAATTTAAAAATTCCATACTTTAATAATAGACTCTTGATTATAATTTGTCTATATATTATTTTATATTTGAAATTTAATATTTATTTATTATCAATACATTTTATTTTTCATAACTAACTCTTTTCAAAGAAAGATCAATTGCAACTATTCAGTTTCTTATGTTAAATAATTATCTGAACTTATATGTCTGAGTTATCAGCCACGATCAAAAACAAAGAAAATCTTAATAAAACTCTACCTGTTGATGAAAGCTTTATAAAATACACATCGTATTACACTGATGATTTTGTAAACCCAAATTATAAAGACATTCAATTAAATAAGTTCGCCCTTTCACTAAAAGATGCTACAGATTCAATAGAAGCCCAACTTCCAAGGAAAATTGAAACCTTTCCGATGACTTTGCTTTCCTTTAAATGCCTCTCACGGAGTTCAATGTTTCTTGTTTTAGTTTATCGTGGACAATCTGGGCTCATTTCTTATAATTCTATTACAAGTGATACAAGCAATCCTGTAAAAATTTCTGAGGATAGGCTTACTGTTTTAGAAACATGTAAAGATGATACAGTTGCAGCAGTTGGAGTGGGTATTTACGAGCACAGAATATTTTTGTATAAAATTTATCCTATAGAACTGCTGCGAATCCTATCAAATCATCATTTTAGAGTATCTTATTTCGTTGTCAGTTATGATAAGCAGTTTCTGTATTCTATTGCTAGCATAACATATTTTGGGCATATTTAAGGTTTAAATCATTTTTAAGAAAAATATTCTATTAATTTCTTTACCTCATTCTATTGCAAAAAATGAAATTTTTTGCTGAAATTCTGATAATTTTGAAAAACCTTCCGATTCTATTCTTCTTGATGAGTTTGATAAAATAGATGTCTCTATAGATGGAAGGGTTCTAATTCTTGGATCTAAAACTGGAAAAATAGTGAAATATACATTTGATGGAGGTAATGTTTCTGAAATTAAATATGAAAAAGGGATTAAAATTATCAAGATCTCGTACTTTGGGAATTTTATTGCAGTTTCATATAAAGACTATGTCAAAATATTGACCCTTTCTAATTTAAGTTTTATTTATGAGGTCTCTATAAAAAGCAAAATAAAATCATTAGCATTTACGAAGAAGAATGGCTCGTTGGTTATTGGCACCATAGATGGGCAAATTAGTATATGAGAATTTCTCGCCAGAACTGATTTAATTAATATTCCTATCTCCCTTAGCCAAATATCCAAACTAGATGTTGACGATAACGACCAAATCTTTATTCTATGCAAAAAAAACGATTTTTTTGCTTTAAATTATCCCTCCTACTCATCAATGGCCTTATTCTCTGATTACTCTGGAATGGCATTTAATGCAGATACTCTTTATTTCTATGATCAAACTAATAGAATTTTCATAAATAAAGTAGGCACTCAAGAAAAATCAGTTTTAATAACCCACCCAAGAAAAATAGAAAAACTTGTCCCAGCTAATAATATTTTAATTATTTTGGACTTTGAGTATATTACTGCTTATAATCAGCACACATGCGAAACTTTTGAAAAGAAAAAAGGAAGAGAAACAAGTTTCGCTGCAGAAGTGAGCTCAGATTTTTCTTGAATTTGCGTAGGGGGATTGGATCAAAAGCTGAGAATTTACAGCCTGGATACTCTTGAATTGATAAAAGAATTTGTAGGGCATACTAATGAAATAAGAGCAGTATGCATCTTTCGTCAAGACACTTTAATTGCTACTGGGAGCAGAGATAGTACAAGTAAAATTTGAAATTTTAAGAGTGGGGAAAATTTGGTAACATTAAAAGGCCATCAAAGACCGATTTATTCAGTAAAATCTGTGCATGATGATAAGCTACTGTTGACTGCTAGCTTTGATCACACTATAAAAATCTGGTTTTGGGAAACAGGATCCTTAGTCCATACTATATCCTGTGAACTTGAATAGTGCATTTAAGCAATTTTTATTAGTATTCAACAAATATTTATAAATAAGCAACTTTTGCTTATATATAATAGCTCATAATATTATTGATAAAGGTGGAATATACTCAATAGCAGTTTCTCCTAACAATGGGTATTTCGTGTATGGGGGGACAAGTGAAGAATTAAATTTTTTCTGCACAAAAACTTTCTCAAAAATATTATCAATTAAAGGCGAAGGAGTTATCTCAATGATAAAATTTAGCAGTGATGGGAAATATATTATCTGTAAATCTTCATGAGACAGTAAAGTTTATTCTTATGTGATTGAGAATCCAATGAATAAGGAAACTTGTGAGGTGTATGGGTTTGGAGTTAACAAATATAAGTTCATGAAATATATTCAAGGCATAATTAAATGAAAAGACCCTAAAGCTTATGATAGCAGCATGGATGATTGCGTAATGCTTCCAGATATGATCACTCCTCTCCAAATTTACACATTTTTTAATATGACTGAATGCATTTCAAAATCATTAGAAAACAGACCCAATTTTGCATCAACATCGTTTAATTTAGATCCAATATCGATTGCTGTCAAAAAAAATCTGAAAGATAGTCTAAGCATTCTTTTACAACATCTTATGCTATGTGAAAATCCATTTGTTTTTAGTCTAGTTAGCAAAGAAATTTTAATAGGAATTAATAGTGCAGATTACCCCATTATTCAACAATTTTATGCAACTGTATTTAAAAAAGCAGAAAATCTAAACTTGCCTATGCAATGCAGCAAAACTGTTTGGAATCCTATTTTTTTTCACTCTGATATATTCGTGCCAAAGTCGATTGACTTCTTTGGCAATGATAAAATAATTGAAGAAAAAACAATTTCATTTTGATACACTCTTTTGCCTTTGAATCTAACTTTGGGTTCACAAGACAGTATTGATTTTCTGCAGAGCATACTTTGCACTCCAAATAAATCAATTTTTCGCACGCAGTTTATAAAGATGATCCTTTTAGATAAGTGACTAAAAGCAAAATGAATTATGTATGTCCAAGCTTGCATTTATATTTTATATATGACGTGTCTTTCATTATATGTACTTTTTGATAGAAACGGGATGAGTGGGATTATCCCATTTTTTATTTTGTCTATAGTTCTTTTTGTTTATGAAGTTTTGCAAATGGTCTATAATATGGGCAAAAGGTCTTTGAATTTGTGGGTGTGTAGTGACATAGTAAGAAGTGGTCTAGCATTTTTGTACTGTATATACGTATGAAAAAATGATGATAATAGTAAAAGCGACGAAATCTTAGTTTATCTTATGTGCTTATCTTGGCTTAGAGGATTATCATACTTTCGGCTATTTATATGGACTAGATATAGCACAAGCCTTATTTTAGATCCCTTAGGACGAGTGCTTTTATATAAAAAATTTAAGTTTTTAAATTAAGGTAAAATCTGAAAAGTCAATTTTTAAATTGACAAATAAGACATATATAATGGAACTTTTAAATTGATATTTGACTTTTTGGAATTTTTTGGGAATTTAAAATAATTTTTTTCTTTGAAGGGCATTTTCCTTGAAAATCTATAGGGGAGCACGCGCTATATATGATCAACTTGCTTTTTGAAGTGTTAAAAGACATGATATCATTTCTTCTTATTCTCTTTTATTCTGTGCTTTCTTTCTGTTTCATTTTTATTGCTATTGATAGCAGCTCTGACCATTCAAATTTTGCCCATTATATCGAATTTTCATATTTGGTGATTTTAAACAGTTTTGATTCCAGTACATTTTCATCTCTTGAGTGGGTAATTTTTATTATTGCATCAATAATTGAGCCGATTATTTTGCTGAATGTTTTGATTTCTATTATGGGGAATACATATGAAAGAGTTCAAGAAGGATTTGAAGTAGCTGATAACTATGAATTGACTGATATGATTCTTGAAGTAGAAAATCTTTTATTATGGAATAGGCGCAAAAGGAATTATCAATATTTTCAAATGTGCATGGATAATCTGAATGATGATGATAGTGATTCATGGATGGGAAAAATAAAAGAGCTAAAAATGATGATAAATACTATCCAAAAGGGTCAAGAGACTATAAGTGAGGAAAATAAACTATTTTTAACTGAAATAAAAGCAATAAAAGCTGACAGCCAAGCTCTTAGGAACCAAATCTCAGGGATTGAGGCAAATGTTCTGACTTTGTTAAACCACTTTCAAAAAAATGAAGAAAATAAGAAAAATCTATCGAGATATTTTTGTCCAAAAATGCATGATTTGGTAGAAGATGATGACTATGCAAATGAAATTTATGAAAAATATAATAAAGAGCCATATTGTAATAGATGCTTAAAAAAGAAAAATGGGGTATATTATGTCTGTAAAACATGTGAATACCTTATATGTGAAAATTGTCTTAAATTTATGGTTTCTCCAACTGAAAAAGCAACTTGGTTTACTTGCACTCTCAGCCATAAATTAATTTTTATTGAAGATTTATCTGTTTACCAAATATCAGAAACAGCGAAAAAAACATTGATATGTGAAAGTTGCAAAAAATTGAGATTGACTGGAATGATTACTTGTGAAACTTGCAAAATCTACTTATGCTTAAAATGCATCGAAAGAATCAAAAAATTCATCCCAATTTTAAGCACCAAATTTTGCAGAAATGGGCATCAGTTAGAATGGAGAGAAAAAATTACTTACAGAAACCCTAGCTACTGCTGCGACATCTGCCGAGCTTCAGTCCGAAGAATTGGCTCTTTTCATTGTGATTTGTGTGTCTTTGATGTGTGTCCAAAGTGCATCGAAAACATTTAACAATTTAAGCTATTTTATTATATCATGCACCTAAATTAAAATATATCTGGCAAGCCTTCGAATTGTTGGGCTTTTCTTCTATTCCAATACTCTCCATTATATATCCATTCATTATTTTCATAATAGAATCATGATGGTTTATACTCAATTCCAGCTTCTTCTCGCTTTCTTCTTGCTTCTCTTTGTTTCTCTTCCACTCTTACTTTTTCTTCTGCAGCTAGCTTCAAGTCTCCGTTTTCCAAGGCTCTTTGATCAGGTCTAAGTCTGGCGTCAGTTGGCGGTAGCCCAGGTACATATTCAGGAGGTAGATTCAATTGTAAAGCAAAATCAGTAAAAAAGTAGCTTTGTTCAAAATCTGGAGGATTTGGATATACTTCAAAGCCTACAATTGTTCTGTCAGTCTCAATATGTTTGATTGTTAACCCCTTGCTTCATGTTCCTTCAATAGAATAAACAGCATTTCCATTTGTGTCATAGGCAAAGCCAGTTACTTCGTGAGTGCTTTTTTCAAACCAGCCTTTTTTCTTAAAAGTAAGAGTTGCCCGGTCACCTGTGGAGTAATTTGACATTTCTAAATCTCCATGGTTTTCAACATATATTTTGCCCATAATTATATTATGGACATTGGTTTTTATTTTATGCCAAATAAAATGGTCATTATAAGGCCTCAATATTAGATGGAAAGTTCCTGTTGGGTTTACTTGCAAATATGTTCCTTTAAAGCTTGTTTTTACCTCTGTGTTTCCTCAGAAAGTAAAAGCAGGATGTTCACAATGAATTGCTGAAGCTGGAGGGTGATGACTAACTTGCTCAGAAATCACTCTAAGACCATTTTTTTCTAACTCAAAAGTTTCTCCAAGCAGTGGGTTGAATGGCTTCATTGTGCGGCTTTCAGTGCCTGCATACCCACTAGCAGCAAAGCATGCAACTAAGGCAAGCCTTAGCAAAGGGTCAGGTTCCTCGGAAGCTCTATCTACAGTATCAGAATAAGTCAAGTCTTGGCAGAACCTCTGCAAAAAGCTTAAAGGTTCATTAAAATACACAGGGACTGTAATTTTGCTCATTTCTTTTCCTATAGAGTCCTTTATCACTTTCCAAATATTAAATTTCTGGTTTGGGTTCCTTAAAACAGGTAAGCACTTCCTATGAGGAGCAATCACCAATGTTTCTTCTCCTTCTGAGTTGATTGAAAGGTTTGAAGCGTGGCTTCTTGCATCGTGAAACTCAATTTCTTTTTCATATTCTTCTTCTATCTTTTCTGAGTCGTCCAAATTATTATCGAACCCGCTATATGTATCATGGTTTTCTGGAGCCAGTCCAGGGGATTTTTGAGTATTGGAAATGGTGCTCCTCCTTATTTCTTCAACATCAAGGGCTTCTAAAATTTCTGCTGAAATTCTTTTTACTGCTTGTGTAAGAATAATCACTGTATCGAGCCCTGGGATTCGCCTTATCTCATGTTTAGGGATCATGTCAACAGCTTCTTGCATTTGGGCATGGATCCCTCAGAGCTCGCCAACTTTCATTGCAATTGTGCTACCTCCGGATGGGGCTGGGATTTCTGAGCTTCTAGGTGTGAGGCAGCCTAATGAGAGAGATTTAGAGGCATTTTGCTGGTTTCTAACTCCCCCCCTTTAAATTGGAACAAAATATAGGTAAAATTTCCACTTTTTCGTTAAATTAACCCCCCTTTAAATTGGAACAAAATTTTAATTTTATAGTAAAAAATTTTATATATAAAAATCATAATTTTATGTATAAAGTTTTGATATAAGTTAAATGTTTCTTCTTAACTAAAATTAAAAATTTAGTTATATCTTGCTCTTTTTTAAAGAAGAGAGTATAAAGAGCATCTTATTTAAATAAATTTAATATCCTTAATTGCTAAAATTTTAAGAAAATTTAATTTTTATTTTTTTGGATAAAAATGATATTCTTTATTTAAATAATTTTGATATAAATTCAATGTGAATTCTTTGCAAAACTTCAAAATTTACTTATTTCTTGATTTATTTTAAAGAATAAAGTAAAAATAGCATATTATTTAAACAAATTTAGCACTTTGATCGATAAATTTCCTAATTTTTTTTTTTAATCTTTTTTTTATCAATAAAAATAATAATTTTTGTGCAATAGTTTTGATACCAATTAATCGTGGCGTATTATCTAATAATAACAATTAATTATATCTTGCTTTTTTTTTAAGGATAAAGAGTAAATAGAATTTTATTAAACAAATTTATTAATCTAATTCGATAAATTTTTGAAATTTTTTTTAAAAAAATTTTCTTAACCCCCTTTAAATTGGAACAAAATTTTTTGTTCCAATTTAAAGGAGGGGGAGTAAGGGCTGTGATCCACTTATTTGCTTGGATGGGGTTTTCTGCTTTGAAATGGATTGATGAAACCCCAGTTGTGATGATAAACCTCTTCGGATTAGTGTGGGATTGAATTTGTGAGTTGTTTAAAACTATTGTACCTTTCAGCGTGCCTCCTTTTTTCTTGCAGTATTTTAAAACTCCATTTTGTAAGACGAAATACCGTTTTCTCCAGCCATAAACGTAGTTAGTTCACTTCTTCAAGAATCCCTCCATTTATAATGTTTTTTGTATATCATTTTTTATTAAAATTGTTCCTATAACACATTATGATTTTTTCTTTGTCGTATTAGACTGATCTTATTAGCAATTATGAGATAATTTTAAACCATCTTAAAATTTACCTCTATTAAATTATTTTAAAACTTTCCACTTTCATAGTAGAAATATCAGGCTCAATTCCACTTGACAAAAAGTATGTTTCTATAATTTGAGTTGACTCGGAATAAATTTTACTGTTCATATTCTTATCTAGCTTTTCAATTTCCTCAGCAATCCCCGCCTCTTCAAACAATTTTGTGATTTTATTCTCACTTTCATCATTTCCAGCTTCAAGTAGAAGCCTGCAAACGCTTAAAATATTAACTCCCCCCCCCTCCGTGAGCGAACAAAACCATTAGAAAAATCGCCATTTTTTGACCAAAAAACCCACCCTCCGTGAGTGAACAAAAATTTTTTTTAATAGAAAAAAATTTTTAATGGAAAAAAATTTTGATATATAAGTGATAATTAGTATAATGAAATCTAGAGCTAATTCTGTTTAATTTTAAACAAATTGCGTTTTAAAACATAAATTTTGCAAATTAAATTAATATTTGCTTCCCAATTTTTGCAAATTAGGATTTTTTTAAATTTCGAAAAAAAATATTTTTTATAAAATTTATATATAAATTTTTTTTAAAAAAAAAAAATTAACCCCCCTCCGTGAGCGAACAAAATTTTTTTGTTCGCTCACGGAGGGGGGGGGGGGGGAGTAAGTAAAAAAGTAGCATCTGATTCTTCGAAGCATCTTTGGAGGATTTCATGGAAGTTTAGCTCAATTAGCTTAAGCTGCAGTTTTTCATTTCTCCCAACCAAACAAAAATTCTTGAAAATGTGGCTTGCTTCGATTCTTACCTCTTGGCTTCGATGTATAAGTCCTTGGAAGGAAAGTTTAAAAATTGGATGGTCTGCTAGAATTTTAACTTGGCTAATTGATCCACCAGCAAAGTTGCTAATTGCCATATAGATTTCTTTTACCATTAAGTCATTATCACTTTGCATTAGATTTTGCAGTAGATCAAGAATATTTTCGTCTAATATTTTTTGTGTTTGAGAATCAGTCCCTGAAGAAATATTGCATACAAGCCTTACGCAAGCACTCACAATGCTTTCTGAGTTTGCTTTTAGCCCATCTATAATGAAGGTTATATATCCAGAGTCCAAAACCATTTGCACTTTCTCATTTTCATTTTTACTGATATATGCGAGTGCCCATAAGCATTCAGAATGAATGTCATGGTCATCTATCACTATCAACTGATTGATAATATCAATAATCCTTTGCAGCTTCTCATATGGAATGTAGTCTGATCCTCTGGATAAGTTAGATACACACCAGGAAATCACCTTTATGAGGACGTTTGAAATATTGCGAGTCCTAGTGATCATTTCTTGTAGAAGCTCGATATAGCTTGAATTTATCAAAACCTGGCGGTACTCGTGGCAGTCGCCAGAAATATTTGATAATGCCCATAATGTGTGTTCAGCGACTGAAGGACACTCAGGGCAAGTAAGCTTCAGCAGAGCTGGGATTATATCAGATCTCACCAAAGACTCTACGTACTCGTGAGGGCCTGATACCAAATTGCATAAGGCCCATGAAGCTTCTAAAGGGATTCTAAGCCCATAATCATAGCTTAACAGTTTAATCAAGGTTTCCCCATACCCAAGATTTAAAAAAGCTCCAATAGGTGGGCCATGTTTCATAGAAATTATATTCCTCACAGTTCAAATAGCATGCAAAAGTATATCCTGTGGCGGATCACTATCAATGGCTTTTTTGATTATTGCTAATTTAGAAAGGTCATCTAAGTTTTCATTGTTAAGATCAGGACAATATGCAAGCAATTCTTCAGAAATTTCGCCAAAAACTAAAATTTCATCCCCATCGAAGTCTAAATTATTTGTGGACCCAGATATGAGAGCTCTTCTTTTTGCGAGATGTTGGTTTCTTTTTTTTCGTCTAAGCTCAATTGTGTACTCATTATGTCTTTTCATCAAATCTTCATTGCTTGCTGACTCTAAAAAGTGCTGTTTTCTCTCTGAAAATCTTGCCTCAAATTCACTCATTTTTGTGTAATAATTATAAGCGGATTTTATAAATAATTTGTGATCTGATATAAAAAATGCTAGTAGGCGGTATTACGAGTGCAAAAGGGGTATTTTCTCCGATTGAAATAATTTCTGCGACGAATTTGCTGAAAACTGAAGGAATAAACTTAAAAGTTGTACTGTCAAGAGTGTATTATTCGAAATTAGGCAAAGCATTTTATTTAATTTTGATTGTCTGGATTATCTTATTGCTTGTCCTTATGATGCTTGGCTTTGATCAGCAAAATTATAGTGCATTACACTATTTTTGGAGCCCAATTGATAAGAATTTTTCACGTGTGAAAAATTTTTTATACGATCTCATATTGTGAAAATCCACATGTTGATATTTTTTTCCACACGTGAAAATTATTCCACATATGGATCGAGTTCCAAAAATAGTGCAATGCACTATATAATTTGAGTGTCTTTTTATTAACTTTCATGCTTGTTTGTGTGATATTTGAAGCAATTTATAGAGTGATCATGGAGGGAAATATAGCATTTTTTAGCGAAAATTGGAATATTTTTGATATCTCAAGCTTAAGCTTAAGCTGCATTATTTGCTGCGTATCATTTGGGTTGGAAGGATTTTTTGGAAGCGGGTCATCGGTAAAAAACTTAGGTAGGGTTTTTCCTTTCTTGTCAGAAAAAAAAAGTATACCGAATAAACCTATCTGTGCTTTTTCCTCGATTTTCACAGGAAAAAACTTATCTGGAATTTTTCCTGATGACTCATTGGAAGCTGCGGGAAAATTCTTGCAATAGTCATAAACTTAGTCAGACTATTTTTGATCTTTTTTAAATTGCTTAGGATGCTTAAAAGAATGAAAAATACAGGTATTGCAGTAAGTGAGCTAAATGATTTCAGCGACGCAGAAGATATTCAAACTCCTCACTCTCAAGATATGTCTCAAAAAGCTATAAATGCTCAAGCGAAATCTGACTATGATGTTGAATACAAACGGCAAGGATCTTCGAAAACAGATGTGTCTGAAGCCTAAAATAAGTCGAAAGTTTAATATGCATTATGCATAAAGTTTTTAAATTGACTAAAAAATTTAAGTCACTTTTGCAAAGCGCCATAAATCTATTTTTTATTATTAATTTTCAGAAAGCCTTCCTTCCTTCCTTCATTCAATTTCACATTTCAAGTTATGCTTACGCCTTAAAAATATGTTATTTATTCTGATTTCTTCTCTTCTCCAGTTTCTGCTGTAGGAATATCCATTTTATCCCCTTCTAAATCTCCTAAATCTGCAGGTGCTTCTTCTTCCTCTTCTTCCTCATCAGAATCTTCTCCTTCATCGTAATTCATATTATTGAAATCGTAATCAAAATCAGGCTTGCTCTTGGCATCTTCGTCTTCTTCATCAATCCATTTGCTCCAATCAATTCCAAGCCATTGGTTTTTTCCTGTCTGCTTTAAGAGTCTCGGCCAATATTCTGCTGTTTTGTTTTCTTTTGCCAAACTCAATTGCACATTTCTTCCAGTGACCTTCCACTTGCATTCTGCTGGGACAATTTTTTCAAAAAGTTCCAAATCGACTGCAACTTCGCTTCCTGTGTCTTTGCTGAGAGCTTTAAAGTGGATTGCACCTTCCTCAGTGGGCTGAATTGTCCAAGAGTTCTCTACCAAATTGCTGACTTCAAGGGTAATGAAAACTTGTGCCTTTCTTTGTGCCCACTTTATTGGTATGTGCCTAGCTTCCATGGTTTGATAATAAATGGAAGAGGAATTCCAGAATTATCCACTGAGTTTTCGATAAACCAATGCACGATTATTAATAAAAATTGAGTAATTATTTTATCGCTAAGTTCAATGATGCTATCTCAACATTCTCTAAAGTAATATACTTTTATAGATATGCTATAATAAAAAATGAGATTTGCATTGCTTATGCACTTAGACTTTTCTTAATCATATATTATTTGCTAGAAAGACTTTAAAGTTAATAAACTCATAAGAATTGTCTATGCCCAAAATTGATTAGATCAAATGATCCAAAGTAGGTTTTTAGGTTCATCTTAGGAAAGAGTGTTGACTTTTTAAATTATTAATATTTCAACACATTTTTGCATATCATACTTTCTCATAGAATCTGAAGCGGCAAGGCTATGCTTGAAATAGTAAATTAGTTTAAATTAAATCATGAAGCAGTTGATTAAATATAGAACAATTCTGCCAATTACTTCTGAATGTTAAAAATTCAATCAAATTATGATTGCATAAATTAGACACCATAAGATAGTTTGCTTAGGATCTATTAAGATTAGTTATCTCTCTTGCTCTTTGCTCATATCTTGGACGATTTGTGCAATAGAGGAGGTCTGGCTCATAACGATCTCCTGGGTGTGGAACTGGATTAAAAAGTAGTCCTATCAAGCAGCCAAAAATACCTCTAATACGCCAAGAAGGACTTCATTTTGCTTGCAGTTCTCAGCAGACATATCCATTTTCTCTAATGTCGCAATGAAAAGGTTTGTTCTGAAAAATAATTGAAGGGGGTGTATTAGGATAATTGCTAGGAATGTTCAGCGTAAAACGAAAACGTCCACCTTCATAAAGAGATCCTGGAGGTCCTTTAAGTACACAATTTCATAAATAGTAGTTATTATTGGCGATTCTAACCTCAAAAGAAGGATCAGGATTTAAAAAAAAGCTGTTATACTCTTCTAATATTCTTTGCATTAATATTATTAAAGACCATATTTGTAGAATCTATGATAATTATTCAATTTTAATTCGATTTTTTAAATATTATATCCTATTCGTTATTGTTTGATGCTTCTAAGTAAACCTAGCATGCTACTTTTATTTTTTTGGATGCGATATATTTATTGCATGCTTAACGAAATGATTAAAATTTAAAAAAAAATTATTTTCTAACTTACTCCCCCCGTGAGTGAACAAAACCATTAGAAAAATCGCTATTTTTTGCCCAAAAAGCCACCCTCCGTGAGTGAACAAAAAATTTTTTTATGGAAAAATTTTTTGATATATAAGTGATAATTATTATAATGAAATCTAGAGCTAATTCTGTTTAATTTTAAACAAATTGCTTTTTAAAATATATAAATTTTATAAATTAAATTAATATTTGCTTTCCAATTTTTGCAAATTAAGATTTTTTTTAAAATTTCGAAGAAAAAAAAATTCTATAAAATTTATATATAAATCTTTTAAAAAAAAAAAAATTAACCCCCCTCCATGAGTGAACAAAATTTTTTTTTTTGTTCACTCACGGAGGGGGGAGTTAGAAAATTTTCTAACAGCTAGTAAGGATGTTTAAATAGTTAACAACTGATAATTCATTTCTTATAAAAAATCTATGTATATAACACTTCAAAAATTTTAATTCGAATTTTCTAAAAATGGTTATTTTGTTCATATTTAGAATAGCCTCTCTCGCTAAGATCATGTATTTTTCAACCTAGTATTTTTTACTCCCTAATAATTCAAATTTTTATCTTTATCCTATTTCTTAAACTACTTAAATAAATAATCATGCAAGTTTCTCAAATTTCACGAGAGCCAAATCACCAAGCGATAATTGAAGCTATCAAAGAATATCTACATGAACACAGATATACTGAAACTCTTCAATCAATCGAAGTAATCCTCATTTAGAGAGAGCACACAGTGGGCAAGTCAATGTTTTTCGATTCATTAAATCACGCCTTAGATAACGGAGAAAAAGAGTCATTTTTCAATATATGGAACAGCAATGTCTCCCAAGAACTCAAGTCCAGCACTGAAGGGCAAGTTTTGGAATTTTATATCAGAGTATTCTTTGCAATTTATCCTTGCCATGACATAAAAGGCAGAGCATCGATAAAAGACCCAAACAATAAAGTCTTCAAACAAAACATGAACGATTTAAAAAACTTTCTAGAGTCTAGAGGCCCAGCGCTAGCTTCTCTTGAAGAAATCCTTCCGTTTTACGCACTGCCTTATATGCCGAATCCAATTGGCCATAAAGGTTTTAAGGACTTGTTTACTATGAAATGGCTGAATGAGCTGAAGCTCAGAGTGGGGAATTTTATCCAGGAAAAAGACCCACAAACCGTTCCTACAATTCTAGACAAAATGTATATGACTTATATGGAAAACTCCCGCACACAGTCAAGAGGGAGAGAGGATTCAAAACGGAGTCAAGCATTGGAAAAAGAAATTCAAAATCTGAAGCATGAAAATGAAATTTTAGTAGCGCAGCAGAGTCATCTGCAGCCAAATAACTGGGAAATCCAATGCAGAGAAATATATCAAACTGCAAAAGAGTTCAGCAAATTATTACAGCTTTCTCTGACTGGAAAAGCTGTAAATGAAAGCTTATCAAGAGCTGCCTATGAGAAATTAGCAAAATTCGATAAAATAATAAATAAACCTAGCCAAGAACTTATAGAAAATCCATCACCTCAGCCTTCATTTTTCAAGTCTAGTGAAATCCGTCTGATCAAAGGCTATTCCTATCTGCCACCTATAAACTACGCAAGTATAATCCGTGATATTTCTTCTCTGCAAGACGATCTACAGATATGTGCAATTTTACAAGCACTGACTCCCCCCCCCTTTAAATTGGACAAAAATATCGGTAAAATTTCCACTTTTTTGGTAAATTTAACCCCCCTTTAAATTGGAACAAAATTTAATTTTATAATAAAAAAATTATATATAATTTTTATCTAAAAAGTTTTTGATATAAGTTAAATGTTTTCTTCTTAACTAAAATTAAAAATTTAGTTATATCTTGCTCTTTTTTAAAGAAACAAAGTATAAAGAGCATCTTATTTAAATAAATTTATTATCCTTAATTGCTAAATTTTAAAAAAAAAATTAATTTTTTGTTTTAAAAATTTCCAAAAAAATTTTTGTTTTTGTTGATAAAAATGATATTTTTTTATTTGGATAGTTTTGATATAAATTAAATAGGAATTCTTTATAAAATTTCAAAATTTACTTATTTCTTGCTTTATTTTAAAGAATAGAGTATAAATAACATCTTATTTAAACAAAATTAGCACTTTGATCGATAAATTTTCTAAAATTTTTTTTTTTATTTTTTTTATCAAAAACAATAATAATTTTTTTGTAAATAATTTTGATACCAATTAATAGTGGCGTATTAACTAATAATGAAAATTTAGTTATATCTTGCTTTTTTTTAATGGATAAAGAGTAAATAGCATTTTATTAAACAAATTTTATAATCTAACTCGATAAGTTTTTGAATTTTTTTTTTAAAATTTTTATATATAAAAATTTTTTTTTTATAAAAAATTTTATATTGATATTTTTTTTTTAAAAAAAAAAAATTAACCCCCCTTTAAATTGGAGCAAAATTTTTAGTTCCAATTTAAAGGGGGGGGAGTGAGATGGAGGTTAACTCGTTCTCAATTTTCTGTTAGAAAAGAACAGCTTGAAAACTATATCCGATTTAATATCCTTTGCACAATAAAGCCTCATGACCTTTTACTCGACCAGCTCTTGACTTCGACCCGCAGAGTGAAAGAATTTACAGTAAGATTCCTCAACGTAATTTCGTCTGAAAGCAAAGGACGCTCTTATTTATTACAAAAAGACAATTTGATAGCTCTGCTTGTACAAATTTTATATTCAGAAAAACAAGATACCATTTTACGGCAAAATGCTTTGGGGGTGCTGCAAAAATTGTCTCTGAGAAAAGCTGCACAGTCAATAATGATAGAGCTCAATATGCTGGACTGGCTTATGAAAATACTGAAATATGACCTTGACAACATTGGAGACTATACATTAGAATATGCTGCAGCTTTGTTGATGAATCTATCACTCAGAAAAGCTGGAAAAAACAAACTAGAAGAGCATGCCTCAGATGTAATGACCATGCTGAATAAATTTTTAAACCATAGCAACACCCAAGTGAAAACTTATATTAACGGGACATTATACTCGATCCTTACACGGCAAAGCATGAAAGAAGCAGCAATCAAAATTGGGATGGAAAAGAGACTGAGAAATCTAAGCATCAATGCTGAAGAAAGCATAAAAAGGCAAATATCGTTCATATTGGAACAAATTAAACATGAAGGAGAAAGTGAAAGCAGCACAGAAGATGAGCAAGAAGAAGTTGAAGATGAGGAATTTGAAGGGGATGATTTGATTGCGGAAGAAGAAGATATGGACGATATCATTGTGCAGCAAGGAGTGCTTACTGGAGAAGGGCTTTTAAGAGAAAAATATTCACAGCAAGGCCCTCATAGTTCTGAACCAAAGAAAAAGAGGTCGTCAACAGAACAGCCAAATGCTAAGCAGAGAGAAGTTTCTGACTCTTCCACGAAATTAGAAGTCTTGATGAGGGAAAGTCCTAAACGAAAAGATACAAGAGTTGTGCCTGCAGCTGATTTGCAGCCTCCAAAAATAGAAAAAGCGGAGAGTGAACAGATTGACTACACAAAAGCATTCACTTCAAGAAGCAAAATACCAAGAACTCCAATATAAGTGTTAGGAATTGATTAATAGATAGCTTTTCGTATAAAAACATAAAATATAGTAATCTTATCCAAAATATCTTAATAATTCAGCATTAATTAATTCTTAAAACTGTTCTATTCACGTAATTCAATTTTTTACAAGTCTAAATCTTTATTTATTATCTAGAATTGTTATTTCTTAAATGCAGTGCTAACAATGACGCTATTTTAAATTAATTTTGTGTCTTAAATATTATTTTTTAAGCATTTTTGTCAGCATTTCCATTTTTTTTATTGCATCTTCCGGGTTTGACTTCAAATCAAACCTTTCCTTTACATGCTTCATATATTCACTTTGCAGAATTGATTTAACCCTAGGCGCCCTTTCTTCTTCTTTAGGAAATCTTGTTGCATATTCAGTCCAAGATCCATCATATAGCGAATTATTTGTTTTGCCAGCAAGTTCCATTGCAAGTATATTGACACAAGCTGAGATCCCGCTGCCACACATATGAATAGTATGGGCACTTTCATCCATATTAATTCCTGCTTCTATAAAATGCTTCTTCAGTTCTTCAGGATTTTTGAAAGTTCCATCACTTTTGAAATTATACTTGAAACAATGGTTTTTCGTGCCCCTTGCATTGCCACTTCTGATTCCTTCCCTGGGCTCTGGGTCGATTCCTAAAAAGCGCTTAGGTGGTCTTGCATCAAGAATTTGAGTATTAGTTTGTGGAACAGAAGTTCTGGAGCCCAACAAGGCAAAAAAGGATGTCATAGCTTCAAAATTTTTCACTTTTTTCTTATCAAATTGGTAATTATAATCTTCATTGATTTCTCCTTCAGGGTTTTGATAGATTTCATATTCAGAACTCTCTGTAAGGAGATTTTCTGATACTCATTTGGGAAGTCCTCCATCTAATACTGCAATGTTTTTCTTACCAAAGCATTTAAATGTGTACCATACACGTGGAGATGTGAATGCTCCATATCTGTCATAGCAGACTAGCAAATTATCGTCATTTTTTATACGTAGCTTTTTCATAAAGTCCACGAATGTGTCAAGTGTAGGCATCATATGTGGGAGAGAATTAGTCTTGTCTGAAACTTCGTCAATTTCAAAGAATTTAGCCCCTGGCAGTCGGGTTTTAAAATGCTCTGACTTTGAATTTCCGGAGACTCCAGGGATGTCATAGCTTGCATCAATAATATATATGGGGACCCTTTGTAGCATTAAATCTGCAAGTTCATGGGTTTTAATTAAAGTTGAATGGAATCTTCTTATCATTTTATTAAATTTTGACTCTATATAATTATCATTGCTGACCATTTGCAATTATCTTGTCTAAAACGTTGAAATTGTCAGAGTCTAATAAGAAAAATCTATTATTTATATAGATCAGTCGATTGATGTATTTTACTTCAATTAATTTGCCAAATTTTAATACTAATAAAAAAATTTATGAAAGATCTAAACCCTTACTCCCCCCCCCCCCTCCGTGAGCGAACAAAAAAATTTTGTTCGCTCACGGAGGGGGGTTAATTTTTTTTTTTAAAAAAAATTTATATATAAAATTTTATAAAAAATATTTTTTTCGAAATTTAAAAAAATCCTAATTTGCAAAAATTGGAAAGCAAATATTAATTTAATTTGCAAAATTTATGTTTTAAAACGCAATTTGTTTAAAATTAAACAGAATTAGCTCTAGATTTCATTATACTAATTATCACTTATATATCAAAATTTTTTTCCATTAAAATTTTTTTCTATTAAAAAAAATTTTTGTTCACTCACGGAGGGTGGGTTTTTGGTCAAAAAATGGCGATTTTTCTAATGGTTTTGTTCGCTCACGGAGGGGGGGGGGGAGAGTTAGTGCTCTAAACTTAGACAAACTCTAGATTAAATAAAATATTTAGAATTTATAAATTCATATACATATTTTAAATGGAAAAGCCTGAAGATCTTATTGAATATGAAACATATAGCGATGCAAGCATTACATCAAATCATGATTTTCAACAATCCAATATTTCCTCATGTGAAGAATCTGATTATAGAGACGAAAAAGCCATTTTAAGCCCCTCACAAACATCTGAAAACCTTTCCTGTATGGATGAAGAACGAAGCACAAATTTGAATGAGCCTCCAGCACCGCCATTATTTTTGAAAGAAGAAAAGCCAAGAAATCAGCTTTACAAATGCAATTCAGAAAAAAATGAAGAAGAAAACACCAAGAAGAGCGATCCACAGAACTTTTTACAGATATTGAACAATTATTTTTCAAATATTTCTTGCTATAATTTTCGAAGACCTATAAATAGCAATGAAATCTCAAATATGCTTTCAAATATCTGCATAGATCAAGAAGATGCTACATTGGTGAGTTATATTGATAAGCTAAAGGATGATTTCTCCAGATTAACTTCAGCAGACTCCCTTTATAATTTATTAGTACCTCAGGAGGTCTTGAAAAATTTAATAAAGGAATGCATTGAATCTGTCAAAAAAAGATCAATTCCCGATATACAGAGTCTATGAACTAGCATGTGCATTTATGAGAATCAAAGAGTTATGGACTCTGCCAATGAAATTTATGATTCTACCATTATGGATTATACCTCTCAAAAATTTCCAGTAAGTCAAAAAGAACTCAAATTAATTCATAAAGACGCAAAAAAACTAGCACTTGCGCATTACTTTTCAAACTCCATTGGATATGACACAAAAAATTTACTGGAAACTTTAAATGAAAAAATACATGAAAAATTTGAAAATCTTAAAATAGAAAATGAGCAGTCTTAAACTTAAAATTATAGAAAGAGTAGCCATAATGTTAGTCCATTACCAAGAATGTCCATTTTTTAAATTGGAACAAAAATTCCTGTTCCAATTTAAAACGGGGTTATTTTTTTAAATTAAGATTATATTGAATTTTGCATTAATAAAAAAGAATTAAAAAAAATAGATCGAATACAATCTATTCTATTTGAATTTGTTTTAAAGAATTAATTTAAAAAAATAATCGACTCAATGTGGTAACTGCTTAAATAACGTTATGTTTGCACTTTTTCCTTTAAATTATATCAAAGCTAATTTTATAAAAAATTGGCTTTTACCTATAAAATTTTATTATTGAAAAATAATTATATTCCAATTTAAAGGTTTAAAGTACCCAAAAAATAGACATTCTACCTATATTATATTCCAATTTAAGAGTGGACAAGAGATTAATCCGCTTTTCGAATTATCTGAGTTGAAGATTAACGATTGAGGTATTTTTTTTGTCAAGCTATCTCGAACAACACCTTGCTCCTTTTTCAGCTCCTGATGCCATGGACAGCCATAGTTTCGCTTACTGTAATCACCTCTTCCTTGCATTGAGTCTCCTGTTTTGAGCGGGCAAACTATAGATTTCGGTGGCCCTCTTTGATGGATGGATAGAATAGTTTGGTTTTCTCCACAGAAAATCCCTTCTGGTCAACTATCGGAAAAGACAAACTTGAAGTCCATGCTATAGCTCCTAGCTTCATGCTTGAGAGTTTATAAGCTTAGCAGTGGCTTTCCCTTTCCAACTTCATGCTTTCCCTTTCTCACGAGACAAAATCAGAAGCGAATAGGAGACTATGCTAAGTCAACTACTTCTGGAATTGCTTATCTAGCGTGGCTGTCTATTTTGGGTTGGTAAACCTTCTGTATATAATTAAATAAGTGTCGAGGCTACATGGCAGAGACTCCCATATTTGATTATAAAAAATGAACAGTCAAGTAAAGCTTTTCTATCAGCCTTTATGAATGAGAATTTCAAAGTGATTTCAAACAAGATGAAATCAGGGACCATGGCTTATATGGACTTTGAAAGGGAGCTAAGGCATTTCCAAGAATTTGTGAGAAGCCATGGACCTAATTTAGGATGCAAAGAAGAAAGCTTGATGGAATTTTGCTACAATGTGACAGCAGCTGCAAGTGAAAGCTTTCTAACTCCCTCTTTGGTTAGCGATCAAAACCATTAGAAGAATCCCTGTTTTTTGGAAAAGTCAACCCTCTCCATCTGTGAGCAAAAATTTTTTTTATTATAATTAGAAATCTCTACAATGTTTTTATTTATAGAATTTTAAACAGTTAGCATTCTAAACATGAATTTATAAATTAAATTAGATTAATAGCTCCCCACCTCTGATAATAGTAAAAAAAATTGCTAGCCAAAGGGGAAAGTAAGACAAATGAGTCAGGAACTGAAGTTTTATAGAGAAACTTCAGAAAACTCAAAAGTCTGTGTAAGTTCAGAGATGTCACAGATGAAAGAAATCTATAACAAAGAAAAAGAAGACCTTTTGAAAAAAATTGCATCATTTGAAAGTGAGAGAAGCAATTTAGCAGAAAGAGAAAAAAATCTACACGAGCAGATTAAAAGTTTGAAAGGATATATTGAAAAAATCGAACAAGGTAATAGAGATTTGGTCAAAAATATAAAATCTGATGCACAAAAAGAAATTCAAGATTCTCTGAATAAGATTTCAGAGTATGAAGACAAAACTAAAGAGCTTGAAAGGCATATTTATCAAATTGAATCAGAAAAAGCACAAGAAATAGCTCTCCTCCAACAAAAAATAAATTTCCTTGAAAGCTCTCTAGAAGAAGGCAATATTAAAGCTCAAAAATTGTTGAATGAATTGAAAAATGAGAAGAAAAATTACAATCAGGCAATCAAAGACATCCATGTGAAGTATGAAGAACAAATTCAAAGCTTCCAAGCTAAAATTTCACAAGAAAATGAAAAATTCAATGATTTTGAAGGCACATTAAATGACAAAGAATCTGAAATAGAGCAGTTGAGGCTAATATCAAGCAGAAATGAGCTTCAGCTCTCAAACTTATTAAAAGAAAGCAAAGAAGAAATCCAAGCTCTCAAGCAAAAACTTGACCAAAAGGACCTTTTTTATAAAAAAGAATGTGAAAATGTCCAAAAATCAATCGATATGGAACTCAAGCATCTTCGAGAACGATTGATTGAAACTGAAGCAAAACTAAAAGAAAAAGACTTGCAGATAGCTAGCGGCGTATCGTCCACACAAAAAGAAGTCGCAATACTCCAACAAAAATCAGAATTTCTAGAACAAGAATTGTTAGAGTCTAAAAGAGTGCTAGAAGAAGAAAGAAGGATGCATGAAACCATGATGCAAACTTTGAACAGAGTCAGCTGTGATCTTACACAAGAAGAAATGCAAATTGAAATAGAAAAAATTAGAAACTCCTATGAAGACATGCTGAGATCTTCTGAAGAAGCTATTGAACAGCTGAAAGAAGAACTCGGAAACGAAATTCTTCAGCTAAAAACAGATAAAAGAGACACTGAAATGCAAATGGAAACTATCAAAATATCATACGAAAACAAAGAAAAAGACTATAAAGATGCTATGGAAGCTCTCAATTTTGAAAAACAAAAGAACATTGAGAAGATAAAATTATTGCAAAACGAGGTCACAGCTCTCTCAGAAGACTGTGAAATTAAGTCAAAAAAGAAAATCAAAGACTTAGAAGGAAGAATACAAGAACTATCGTTGGCACATAATAAAGAAATATCAGCCTTGAAGCTGGAAAATGAGCAAATCTTAAATCAGCTAAAGAAACTGCATAGTGATGAAAAAGCAATTATTGATCAGAGGGTAAAAGAAGAAAAAGAGCGGTTTGAAAAGAAATACTCAATTGCTTGTGAAGAGTATGAAGATAGGCTTCGGGAAGAGCAAGAAAAGTACGAAGAAGAAATAAACGCATTGCAGGATGAACTGCAAGGCTTCCAAGAATCCAAGGCCCGAGAAATCCAACAGGTGCGCCATAAAGCAGCTTTGGATGTCCAGAAGCTGGAAACTTTGGAAGTGTATTTGCAAAGCCTTAAAGACCAAATAAGCTCAATGCAAACGTCCCATGCTCAAGCAATAGAAAACCAAATGATAGCATTTACCTTACTTACTTAATTATCTGGTGTTTAAGGTGTCTAGTGCCGCAGCCCAAAGGGCCTATGGCAAAACTAGTGACGTAGGCGAGCCATCTTGGAACAGGTCAGCCCTGCCAAGCCTTCTATCAACTCCTCCTGCTTCACCAGCCTTGCTGCACGTCTCACCCGGCGCGATGCCGTCGCTCTTGTCGCTCGACTCAGCTCCTGCGCGTGTTCCGCCTAAGGGTCATCCTCCCGTGGGGATGTGCTGAGAGGTAAAAGCCCGAAATCTTGAGAGGACTGAGGAGCAGTTCCTCTGGTTATCCCCAGAGTTAAACCGCTATTGCTGCCCAGAAGTTCTCGAGTGAAAACCTAACCCTATAAATAAAATTCCATGAGGGAGAGAAAATTAGCAAAGCTAATTTCTCTCGAACCGAATGCCATTTTATTTATGATAGCATTTACCAATGAAAGAAACCTTCTATTAGAGAAAATTGAAAAATTAGTTAATGAAGTTTCCTTAAAAGAAAGAGAAATGGCTAGTATGGAATTCAAGGCTGAAACTCTACAAAATAAGTTTGCAAGCCATGAAAAAGAGCTTGAAGATGTAAAAGACCAAATGAGCAAAGAAAGAATGAATTTCATTGAAAGGCTTGATTGTGCCAAAAAAACTAATCATAAGCTCGCTGATGAAATAAGCCAAAAGAAAAGTGAGTATAAAAGAGAAATCGCCCTCGCAAATCAGCATATTGAATTCCAAGCTAAAAAAATTGCTGACTTAGAAAAAGCTATACAAGAAAACCAAAAAGGAGGAAGCTCTTCAAAGTCGTGGAAGATGGAGAATGGACAAGATGGCTTTGAAATGATAGAAAAATTGAGTGTAGAAAAAGAAAAAGCTTTGAAGAAAATTGATATGAAAAGAAGAACTATTAAAGAACTGCAATGCAAAATAAATAAACAAACAGCCATTTACGAAAAAGAAAAATCACTTTTAGAAGAAAAGGTTGAGCAGCTGACTCAGAAAAAGCAAGAAACTGAAGAAAGATATAATGAAGAAATAAAAGATCTCCGAGAGCAGCTTGCCTGCAGAGATGGAGTTGTGATCCGCGATAAATCAACAATATTAAAAGAAAATGATGCATTAAAAACAAATGTTTCTGACTTAGAGCGAAAAATAGCTGAGCTGTTGGCAACTGCTGATCGGGAAAAAACTTTGTGGGAAAATAAAGTTACCTTTTTGACTTCACAGAGAGATCAAGCTAGAAACAGCACAATTGAATCTCAAAGGAAGTTTGAACTAGCCTTGGAGCAGCTTCAAAAGAGAGGAAATCGTGATAAAACAGATCAGTCTTCTATACTCTCGTCTGTTGAAGCGAATTATAATCACCAAATCAAAGAGCTTCAAGAAGCAAACCAATTGGCAGTCAATGATTTAAATATTAAAATAAGGTCGCTTGAAAAAGACCTGAAAATCATCAAAGATGAGCTCGACCAGGAAAGAAGACTAGCATCCCCTCCTCGCTTAAATTAGAATAAAAAATCCAATTCAAATTTAAAGGGGGTTAATTATTCATTTTTTTTCTATATAAAAAGTTTAAAAAAAAATAAGTTGAACTCAATATTTAATTTTAATTTATTTTTATGAAGAATTCTCTGTTTAAATAACATTCTAATTGCACTTTTTCCATTAAATTTAGGCCAATACAAATAGAGATTAAGGTATCCAAAAAATGGAAATTTTAACGATATTTTGTTCCAATTTAAAGGGGGAAATGGGTAAGGAATGTAGATTCAGCAATGCTAGAAAATCAAGTGCAAGAGCTCATAGAAAATGAAAAACTGCTGAAAGAAGAAATAGAGGCTTTAAATAAACAAAAGGAAAAAGAAATCAAGGAAACATGTGAAAACCTTAAGCACGATAAAGAAATTTTAAGAAGCCAAGTAGCTGATTTAGAGCAGAGAGCTAAAGATTTGGAGCAGCAAAAGAATTCAATATACATTGAATATGAGAAGGAAAAAGCAAAATGGGCACTAGATAGAGATCATTTAATTTCAGAAAAAAATGAAAGCCAAGACCTTATTGAAAGATTGGAAAAACGAAAAGAAACGCTCGTAAGAGAAGTCGAAAAACTGAGAGCAGAAAGAGGAAGCAGAAGCAGAGCCTCCAGTATTGCTAGAAGTCGGCCAAGTGTTGTTCCAAATAAATCGTATTTCTCAACATTCAATGAAGATGCTGCAAGTGTTACAAGCGATAAGAAAACAGAAGAAAATGCAACAGTTTGTAACACTCCTTCAAGTTCATCAAATCATGATTATTCTCCACAACCTTTAAAAGTTAAAAATTATACAGTAAAGCCTACAAGTCCTATCGAGCCTAAGAAGCTAAATAATATTTAATGCTACTTCACAATTAAAGCTGGAAGATCTAGTAAGGAGTAGTTCCCTTACTAGGGCTCAGTGAAAGGAATCCTTGATTCTCTGAGAGTCTGGATAAAAAAGACACTATTCAGTGGCGTGAGTACTGAGAAATGAGTGCTCTGTGAAGCTGGAGGCAAATGAAGCACTAGCAGTCGTGCAAATAACGATCCGTTGTTCAGAGCGAAAGATCTTATCACGTATAAGGCTTCATAAAGTAAAGGACAAGATTATTTAACGTTATCTTATTAACTAGCTAATGCTACTTATTATTTTATTTAGATTTATTTTTAACAAAAATTAAATCATGCATATTACCAAAAGGATTAATAGCAAAACATTCTTTATTATACAGATTAAAATTGATAATCGCTTGTGTTCTTATTTACATTTTTCTATTAGAATTCTTGACTTTGTCTTTAATGGAAGCATTTAAAAATATTATAAATCCAGAATTCTTTACAAAATTCAAAGTCAGTGTTTTATTAATTACAGAGACCAAAAAACTTTTGATTTCTGTTTGAGATTATTAATCACAGAGACCAAAAAATTTTGATTTCTGTTTGAGATTATTAATCACAGAGACCAAAAAATTTTGATTTCTGTTTGAGACCTTGATAGAAATAAAAATTCTTGATGAAAGTAATAAAATTACCATAAATCTTCATTAAAAATACAAAATTTGAAAAACAAGGAATCCAATTATGGAGATATTCTACTGATTCTTAGAAAAATTAATCAAAAGGCTAGAAATTTGTCAAATAAGAATCATTAATTCTTTAATTACAATTAATCTTAAGGTCTTCTTCTAGTTTTGAGATATAGGCATCTGTCTCATATTTTCTCTAACTCTTTATTCGACTCTTATGTAGACATTTTCTTTTATTTAGCAAAGAGAAATAAAAAAATTTAATTAAAATTGAATTTTATTTTTAATATTTTATCTTTATATTTTGAGAAAAAAAGTGATTCTTTTTTAGAGGTATTAAGCCTTTAAATTATCTCCTCCAGTATCTTCAGGAATATCTTTCCTTCTCAATGTTATGCTGTGTTAATTATAGATATTTAAATTCCTAATTCCAAGGTTCCGCTCCGCAGTGGTACACTTAAGGATGGTAGATCGCTAATGCCAAATATCCAGACCGAAACCCCAATTTTCCGGTAGAGCACACCTTTTGATCCAGAATTGGTACTTGCCAGCAACTTCATTTCCAACTCCAGCACCGGCTAAGTTGATGAAGCACTGGCTACACTCAGGCCAGTTCACTAAAGGACACTTTTAATTAGAGAGGCCCTTATGCAGGTAAGCCACTCTGCCTCATATCAGCACTTACTGTGCTTAATCTGCTGGCAAAAAGAGAAGCAATTAACTGCCCAAGGATCCAGGACTGAAATCAGCGAATTCCACTTGATGCAGTTGGTTAAATTTACACCTCAAAAGCCACACGGCATTTAAGACACCTTCCACTGAGAGTTCAGGTTAATCACCTCTTACTCCCCCCCCTCCGTGAGTGAACAAAAAAATTTTGTTCACTCACGGAGGGGGGTTTAATTTTTTTTTTTATATAAAAAATTTTTTTTCTCGAAATTTAAAAAAATCCTAATTCGCAAAAATTGGAAAGAAATATTAATTTAATTTATAGAATTTATGTTTTATAAAGCAATTCGTTTAAAATTAAATAGAATTAGCTCTAGATTTCATTATACTAATTATCATTTATATATCAATTTTTTTTTCCATAAAAAATTTTTGTTCACTCACGGAGTGGGTTTTTTGGGCAAAAAATAGGGATTTTTCTAATGGTTTTGTTCACTCACGGAGGGGGGGGAGTTAGCATTTTATTTACATCCTTCTTCTCAAAATATTGGCTAATATGCCACTGAGTAAATTTATATATGGAAGACAATTCAAGTGTTGGTGAGCCAATATCAATTTACTCCACATCTATCTCTACCCCATACCCCTTGGGCCTATATAAGAAAATTCAAACCCCAAACGCACACAAAAAAGGTTTCAATTCTCTACCAAAACTAAATAACAGTCAGCAATTCGATATCTACAGACTTTTCTGTCTGCATGCAAATTTAAATAACATCATCGCTAAGATCCCTACCACACTTTTACGAATCAGCAACACAAACCTCTGCTATTTAGTGCAGAACAACAAATATGGGGCGATTATCACCCGCCTGTGCACTGATGATGATTTCTTTGCTGAAATCCCTGATAAAAATGACAACGAAAATCCAGTGTGCTGCTACAAAATTCTTGGAAAACCCACACAATTCTTATACACAAAAGAAAGCGCGGTTTCTCTATGAAATTCATCGACAGAAACATCAGACAAAATGCAAATTTTTGTTCAGCCGAGAAGTAAGCCATCTTCGCTCACCAGAGCTTATTGGAGATTTGGAGGCAGAACCAAATTTTACTTAATTGCAAATAAAACTAGGCCTCTTTTAACTCCCCCCCTCCGTGAGTGAACAAAACCATTAGAAAAATCCCTATTTTTTGCCCAAAAACCCACCGTCCGTAAGTGAACAAAAATTTTTTTAATAGAAAAAATTTTAATGGAAAAAATTTTGATATATCAATGATAATTAGTATAATGAAATCTAGAGCTAATTCTATTTAATTTTAAACGAATTGCTTTATAAAACATAAATTCTATAAATTAAATTAATATTTCTTTCCAATTTTTGCGAATTAGGATTTTTTTAAATTACGAAAAAAAATATTTTTTATAAAATTTATATATAAATTTTTTTTTTAAAAAAAAAAAAATTAACCCCCCTCTGTGAGTGAACAAAATTTTTTTGTTCACTCACGGAGGGGGGGGAGTAAGGAGAAGAACAGCGATCCCAACCGATTACACAAAACGAAGCATGACTCTGACACCAAAAAACATTAGGAGTAATATGAACTTGCCACTTTTTAAAATAATTAACAGAAATACAAACGAATGCATGACGCCAGCAACTGAAAGGCCAATGATTGATCATTGCCCTTCATTGAGCAGTTTTCGAAATTTTGGGAATTTTACTGAAAGGTTTTCTGGGGAGGACCAATTTCCAGACCAAAATACAAATCCTATTGTAAATACGAGGGCATCAGATGGAATTATGGTGATTGAAGATACGGTAAAAGTGCCTGAAATTGAAAATATGGTTGACAAAATAGTATCGTTTTTGAGGAAACAAGTTTATAAAGAAGAAGAGCTCAGGGGAGACATGAAAAAATACAATATGGTGGTATTTTAATGGCAAATCGTCATTGATAAAAATGACTGTAAATTTCAGAGTTTTGAAAAAAGTGGGAAAACCCTTATGGATTTTTTTGGAATGAAAATACCAAGCAGTAAAATAAAAATATATATATAGAACTTGCCCGAGGATGGCGCAATTTTGCGCCATCCTCGGGCAATTCCTATATCTAGCAATTGGATTGACAAATAATAATGACAAATTAGCTAAATAAGAGAATTGTCTCAGCATATTTTAAGAAATATTTCAAAGAATTTGCAGGTCTTCAAGCTTATAACAATTGATAAATCCTAGATTGCTTTAAAGGAAGAAATAGTCTTAACAGTATTTATTGACGAAGCCTACAAAGTGATAATTTAAAGATTATATTATGGGAAGCCAGGAGCGATAATGGCTGGGAAATGCTTGAGCTGGTTTTTTCGTGATTTTTTACTTAATTTCTATGATTTAATTATTATATAATTGCAATCTGTTTTTACATATTTTTGCATTTTTCTTCAGGCGTATGATATTTAAATGACTTGTGTAATCTGCTACCTTCATTAGGTTTGAATGCTCTATTTTAATCATTTATATTGCACATTAACATTTTAAGTTTGCTTTTTACTGCAATTTGAAGAAAAAATCAGCAACAACAAAAAAATTGCCCACGCAAAATATAGCTTATGCATCAAATTCTGGACGTTTAACTGGTTTTAGCAAAGAGGAAATCATTTAATCTGCTTCTATTTTACTTTTGTTCCATTCCATTCTATTCAACTTTGATATCATAATTCTTATAACCATTGGCATTTTCATGCTGGCTCATTAGTGAGATTTTACTGTTTGATATTTTCATGCATTTTTTTTCTCAAAAAATCCATTAGTGAAATTTACAGTCATTTTTATAGGCACGAAAATATCAAGAAAATACCACCATATGGTATTTTCTCCCAGGGCTCAGAGAAATTACTTTTGATTTTATTTTGTCAAAGGAAAAAAAATGAACATTTCTAGACTGTGTAGAAATTTCGTTGAAAAACCATGAAATTAAATTGGAAATAGGAGAAATAAACTTAGGAGAGCCATCACAAGTAAAACGAGCGATTTCTTTTATGGAAACTAAGCCCGAAGTCAATATACACGTGCTTAAAGCTTTAAGCACAGAGAGAGGCGCTGAGTTGAATAGCGTTGAAGAGTTTGTGTGCCCATTTTCTAATCTATCTTCTCAGAGGTCATCAAAGGCGCATCATCCCCCTCAGATCTCTCAATCATCAAGCCACATCAGTACAAAGCATGTAAAAATAGTCGCAAAAGATGACCCAGTGTTAAGTTTAAAACCTTCTATAGCTTAGGAGCGCATTTAGCGTACTCTCCAAATTTGCTAAAATGAAACTGAGCCTGTTGACTCTCAGGCTCAGTTATGATAATTTAAGTTCTTTTTACAAAACCCTTCATTAAACCTTTATTTGCCAGATCCAGATTAGCAGAGTTAGAGGGTCTAAGAATTCAGTAACTGTTCTATGGCATTCAAAATTAATCCCGAGCTGTAACTTGGCAAGAATCAAAAACCTGAAAAAGCAAAGCATAAAAGCTTATCAAAACAGGTCATTAACCAAAAAATTAACAATTATGGACCAAATTCATCAAGATAACCAAGCAAAGAAGGTAAAAATTGAAGAGACAGAAGAGAAAAACGACTTTTATAATACTTCAAAGTCGCTATGAGACAATAAATATGACGTCCATATCAAAAAATGTTTTACTGATGCGATTAGAAAAATTGACGAAATGAATATGAACACAGAATTGTTAAAAGTTAGAAGCAGAAATCTAGTGGAGGCATACGGGGGCGATGAGTTTTGGAATAAATTTATTATTTCCTTATACAAGAGAATTTTGTCAAGCGATGATCTAAAGCAGCATTTTTTAGACTCAAATATGAAAATGATTTTTAAAGGGATGTTCAAGGTTTTTAATGGATGTGCAACGTTTGAGTTTAGGAGAAAAATAAAAGTAGCCCATGAAAGGTTGGGAATACCTGAGGAAGACTTCAATCTGTATTCACAAATGTTTGAAGATACCCTTAACGAGTTCAATATAAGTGATGTCGATAAGCAAGTTATAATGGCACAAATTCGATCGATGAAATGCCTGATTTGTAAACCAATCATGCCATAAGTCTAATTATTAGTAGATTATGCATAATTTTAGATACGAATTTCGGACTGTTTAATAAATCAAGTTAATCTGCAAAGAGCGATTAAAAAGTAAAAGTTTATAATATTTATATTTAGTTTTATTGATCATTAAAGTACATTTTGCTAACAGAATCTTTCTTTATAAATGGAAAATTTTATAAAAAGGCTTTTTCACTATCAATTATCATTTAAACCGAAATAAAGCCATTCTAGCTCAATATTCAATGCATCAAAAAATGGCATTATTTTATTAGCATTTTTTTTTCTGAGCTTCTTAACTTATAAGAAGATGATAATAATTCTTATTCAGTTTTCATATAAGCATGTATCAGAAATTTTCAATCTGACGTTTATTGATTTTTTAATTATTCTCTATTTAGTTAATTGCGATAAATATATAGCCCGTTCCGGCTATAGATCGGGCTTAGCCCGATCTTTGCAGGGAAACTCGGGGGTTTGTCTGCGTCACCTTGAGGTGACGAGTCAACTCCCCGAGTTGACAAATAGCCGCTATATGGTGATTTGCCAACTCGGGGAGTTGACTCTTCACCTCAAGGTGACGCAGACAAACCCCCGAGTTTCCCGGCAAAGATCGGGCTAAGCCCGATCTATAGCCGGGAACAGGTTATATATGCAGGCATAATCAATCTGTGCTTAACTTTTATGAGAACTATAGTGCATAACACTAATTTCATTTTTTATATAAAATCTAAAAAACAATTTCAATCTGAAATTCTGATCTAATTATGCAAAGTTGTTTTGTGGCATGAAATTTAAAAACGAAATAAATACTATGCACTATAGATATTTGCTATTCGCCTCATAAATCTTGGCACAAATAAATATAAAAATATGCAGGTGGAGTAAAAGCATAAAATACTTACTCCAAAATCAGCCTCTATTAAAATTTATACAAGGATAAAAAAAAACATTAGAAATTTTTTTAGAATTTTTCAGTCCATGATGAATTTCCAAAATAATGCAAAAGTAAAATTCGAAATAAATAAATTGACTTAAAATACTAGCAATGCGGACCAACCTATATATGCTTCTAATTTTGTTTTTTGATTTTATATTCAATTGTAGTGCTTTGGAAATGTCGCTGATCTTCAGTCGTAAATTTTCCATGGTATTCATTCTTTAGGTCATTTGAATAAAAATCGTTGTTTTTGAACCGTTATAATTAATTTTGATCAGAATTCTAATCGATATACCAGTCAGAACGATCGATCTCACTTGAGGACATCACCAGGTGACTTTTTAGCTCCTCACGGACTTGATGTACAGTTTCTATCGTCTTGATTCAAAGGTCCTCCTCTCCAGTTGTTGCTGTGGCATGTGTGTGGCTCGTGTTGTTAGAGTAATAAGTTTAGGATTTTCTCGCTACTTGCCACATCTCAACTTTCACTGGTTCTACTCTTGCCACTTTTCTTGACCTTCCGCAGACACACCCGTGGCCAGATGCTACGGCTGAGGAAAAACCCTTTTAGTGGGGGAAAATCCACCTGCAGAGGGAGAACCAAATATATAGCAATAAAATAGATTGGAATAATTCGTGAGAAAAAAAATGCTAAAATAGAAAATGCCCCAGAGAAAAAAGACATACAGCCTTTGGAAATAATTACAGTTGTGCCAAATCCCCAAGAAGCAATCTCAGTTAACTGAAAGGAGGAATATTTAATTCTTTTGTCCGAAATTTATACTTCTGCAATTGATTGACACAAATGCAGCCACACAAATCTCGAGTTTTGTATTTCAATGCACCAAAATTCATTAATATTGCTGGATTTATCAGAAGACCTTGATATTCAATATTTTCTTTCAAAATACTGCCAAGACCATTTTTTAGTGCATTTAGTGTACCAAGATGAATTTAAATACATTGATGACTCAGCCTATTCCATAGTCCCCTCATTGTCAAGCCAAAAAACCGCATTTTTAGCTTTAATGAATTATTTTAACTGAACTAAAGGTGCTGTCTTTAACAAAAAATCTTATTCAGCGCTAAAAGACCAATTTTTGTTATTTTCTAATGATTTAAGTTTTTTAACTGTTGACTCATTAACGAACATTGAAGATCTGATAAGTCAATCAGTTGTAAGGATGGGTGCTACTCTTTATTACCTTTGGACAAGCTCTTTAGAGTCACAGAAAATACAAAATGCTTTAAGCAATTCAAAATTATTGCAAAAAGGAAGCGGTATTTTGTTAAACCAAGAAAGTGGATATAATTGCAGCGTCGATGGGTCGTTAATTATTACTGAAATTGGCATGGAATCTATTGAATCTTCTGAAGAGTATTTTAAAACTTCTATAAAAAATATAATTAGCGTTATATTGGATCACAAAATTGAAAATTACAAGGAGCTTCTCAAGCTATTGGATACTGAGCTGCCAAATCATTATAAACGCAACAATTTTTCGATTGTAAATATACAAAACCAAAAAAGAATTATAGTCGGCTCAATTGTAAATAGAAATATTCAAATATTTGGAAACCTAATATTTCCAGGAAACACAAATTCTATTCCAGACTCAGCCAAAAAAATTCTCCATTTAAGTATCACAGCAGGAACAACAAATCCAGGCGGCTCCAGCAGTGACACTACAAAGCTGGCAGCAATGGGCGCCTTTGCAGCGCAAGATGAAATCAATGTAAATGGTGAAATTTTAGCAAACTTTCAGATCGATTTTTTTAACTTCGACTGTGGAGTGTCAATTTTTAACGCAACCTTTGCAAGAGCTTGCTACAGCAAAGACATTGATAAGCTAGGACACGCACATCTTACAGCTTTTGGATCTTCTGTAGCTATTGGCCAATATAAAACTTTTACATACCTTAATGCTACAATTCCAAGCATTGGAGGTGTAAATGGAGATGGCAGCTTAAGCTCGATTCAGATATTTCCTTTCTATGTAAGAATGTTTAACCCTCTTATGTATAGTAAATGATCAATGCTGCTTTATTCTTTAGGATGGAAAAAAATAGCTGTTATTTATGAAAATAGTTTATGAGGGGAAGGAGTTTATAAAACATTAGACTCAACCGCAAAACAAGTAGGATTAGAAATAATAAACCCAGAAAGCTTGAGACATATTCCTGGAAATCTTGATAGAGACACCGTAAAGGACTACATAGACGTATTTCAAGCAATAGTAGATTCTCAGGCAAGGATGGTCGCTTTATTACTTTTATGTCCGCTCTGCAATTATGCCATAGAACTCTTTTATGATTTGGGGTTGAAGAATAAAGATGTCATCTTTTTAGCAGGGACTGGTGATGTTTTAAACTGAATCTCTACTAAAGATGAATATATGTATAAAAGAGCAGAACTTGGGGTTGCTATGATGAGACTTAGTGTGCCTTATTGAGTAGGAAATATAGGCAAAAGAGCACGTAGTGAAATTTCATTAAAGTATAATATATCAATACCAAATACATTTGGGTGCTGCTATTATGACTCTACACTAATTGCTGCGAATGCACTAGATTTCATGATCAATAGAGGCTTAGATTATTCAGATCCTTATAAATTAATGGCTACCCTTAGAAATACAAAATTTATTGGCTGCACTGGACCTGTTAGTATCAGTAAAGGAACTAATGATAGAAATTTTGATTTTTTTTATATTGAAGCGATTAAACTAGATAATAATAGAATTCCATATATTTATTTGGTTGGAAATTTATACCCATTTGGGACACAAGTGATCTCTTATGCAAACCCTTTAATATATTCAGATGGTTCAACAATAAAGCCAACAGACTTAAGAAATGAGCTAGATAAATGTCCATTTCCTGATAAACTTGTGAAAACTTTTAATAAAGGAAGAGGACTCCTATTTGGAATTTGCATAACTGTATGTTTGATGACAGCTGCTATAACTTTTATCATTTGAAAAAAATGATGGAACATCTCTATTGAAGAACTCAAAGAAAAACAAGAAATCTCCTTTCAAGATTTTGTAGTTGGGGCTACCATCGCAATTGAATTTATACAGTTTTCAAATATGGGGCCTGACTATTCAATAATTGGATCATTTTTTTATTCAATAGGGAATATATTTTCGATGGATTTAGAGGACGTGATAAAGCTTAGAAATGGGATTTTTTGAATCGTTGTTGATGTAGTTTTTGGAGGAATTGCTTTATGAGTTATACTATGTATAGTTGTTTTGCTGAGACTTGACGAAAAATGGTCATATTTATGAATCTTTAAATTTTTAGGATGGCTTGGGGATATTTTGATGCCGATTTTGGGAAATCTTTGCTTTATACCTTTTGTATCTGTTTGTCTTGATATTTTTGTGTGTGATCAATCAATAAGTGATGATTTCACTGATAGTTTTCTTGCTTCAGATTGCTTTTATTTCTGTTGAAAAGATGCTCATTTATACTATGCTATCTTATCATGTTTTGCTTTAATTGCTTATGAGCCTTTAGCTGTTTTTTGTAGGCCTCTTTGGCAAGAGCTTCAACCTATGCTTCATGTAAAAACCCTCCCTCTATTTTTGATGGTAAAAACAGTGGTGCAATCAATTTTTATAGGTTTAAATAAAACTCTCAAAAGATCTCAGGATATTGCACATGGTGCTGTATTTATCCTACTTATGATTTGCTATCTAGTGTTTGTATTTAAAGTGCATCCATATAATTATGGAAGATATAATTGGTGGCAAGGCTTAAGCTTGGTTGGAGTTGTCTGGCTAAGCTTTTGATCGACAATTGCAATTTGAATGAAAGATCAAAGCATTTCATATGTATTTTTGATAATCTTGGTAGTTGGATGAATTGCTTTACTCCCCCCCTCCGTGAGTGAACAAAAAAATTTTGTTCACTCACGGAGGGGGGTTAATTTTTTTTTTTTTTAAAAAATTTATATATAAATTTTATAAAAAAAATATTTTTTTTCGAAATTTAAAAAAATCCTAATTCGCACAAATTGGAAGCAAATATTAATTTAATTTATTAAATTTATGTTTTAAAAAGCAATTCATTTAAAATTAAACAGAATTAGCTCTAGATTTCATTATAATTATTATCATTTATATATCAAAATTGTTTTCCATAAAAAAATTTTCTATTAAAACAATTTTTGTTCACTCACGGAGGGTGGTTTTTTGGGCAAAAAATAGCGATTTTTTTCTAATGGTTTTGTTCACTCACGGAGGGGGGGAGTTAGCAATTATTGGATTTTATGTTCAAATTAAAAAATATCCAAGTCTCTTATTTAGTCAGAAATCCAGAGACACTAGTATGCTCTTCAAATTTGCATTCACATTTGGCAAAAAATCAAAAGTCTCTTTAAGTAAAATGAAAGAAAGTCATGAGCAGCAAAAAATTATAGCAGTAAATTAGATATAATCTCTGGCTTTAATTACTCACAAAACTTGAAAATATATATTAAAGATTTTATCTACAATTTTATGCTTAAAAAAAATAAGTTAGGCAAAACTTCTAACGGGAAAGTATATATCAAGTTAATCTTTAATATTTTATAATAATACCTTAAATTTGGTTCAGGTAAGCTGCTTATCTATAAGTAATTATTCAATCAAATTTTGATAACAATCAATAAGTTATGCATTTCATAGTCAAATATTAGCAGAAACCTTAAATTACTGAACCGGATTTTTATTCTAAAAACTAAAATCTGTTAAAATATATATATTAATGGAAAATCAACTTAACAGCGTGCACTTACTTCTTATCTATCCAATAATAAATAACTCTTTTATTTATATATAAGCTCTAATTTTATAAAAAATGAGTAAGCTTTCTTTTGAAACGAAGAGGTTAGATATATCTCGAGGAGTAATAAAAGCAGACGCAATTGGATTCGCAGCCTTTGGAGCGCTGTATCTCCTACTTTCACTTTTTCCGTGGCATCTAGAAGCATTTCTCTGATGTGCCTTACTTTATTCTCCTTATTTCATTGCTGCATTTTTTGCCTATAGAAGCTCGAAATCTCATCATAAGTCAAGCTTAGAGTGTTATAGCGTAATTTTGATGATTATTTGTACTTGATTTGTGCTACTTACAATTACAACAATTTCACTATAGCCGTAGCAATCTTTTGGCTCAGACTTCCCGATATTTTCCTGAAAGAGGGGAGTTTGTCAAGCCAGCATTAACTAATCAAACCAGTATTAGTTGGATTTACTTACATCCTTCTTTCCTGCTGGGGAAAGACCAGGAACCTCAACCAAAGAGTGTTCGGACTATATTTGGATATGCTTTATATGAAATATTGAATTATGATTGTGACCGTGAACATAATGATAGCTGTAGTCTAGGAGAAGGCGTTGGCTGGTTTATTACCATCTTACTGGGATTTATGGGGCTTTTATTGATTTCAAGCTGTGTCCTTACATTTTTTGCTATGGCTCATTCGAACAAGACAATTGGACTGCTATCTGGTAAAATGAAGAATTACCAGCAGCCTTTAATCCCTCCTGCAATGTACCCGGCTTACCCACAGCAAATGAACCAAGATTATTTAAGATAAATTTAGAAATATAGTTAAATTTAAATAAAAACTATTGCGTATTTACAGTTGAATTTTGATTCATTACTGTGTAGATAAACTTAATAGCTATAGTTTATTTGCTTATCATTTCAATCTGTAAACATTATATAATAAAACCGCTTTTAATTTTAAATTATTCTTATAAGTAATCAATCTTGGCGTAGATTTTATGATTTAAGCATATTTTTAAGTCGAGATTATTTAATGCTTAACGAAGCCGAACTCCGCAAGTCTTTAATCCCTCATATCATCTTCCTCAGTCTTGCAAGCTCCATCTTCTAATAGCATCCCTTCAGCGCATGCTGTACAGGTATTTGCATCTGAGCACTCCAAACAGCTGATACTACAAGCCGAGCACTCACTTTGGCTGCTTGGATAAAATCCTGAATTGCATTGGCAAGTTCCTGTTACTTCGTCATAAAACGAATCCTTTGAGGCGCACAAGCAGCTCTTTTCTCTCACACACTCCAAAAGAGTAGGAACATTCAGCAAAGCTGAGCAGGATTTGCATTCGTTATGTCCATCATAGTAATATCCCTTATTGCAGATGCAAGCTCCTTGGTCGAAAGTTGCATCATCCGCAATACATTCACATCCACCATCAACTAATTTCATATGAGCAGGGTCTTGGCAAGAAGTGCAGGTATATTGGTCAGAACAAGTAGCGCATGGCTCGACACACAAAGCGCAATGTGTTGGGGTTGAGAAATAGAAGCCATCAAAACATGCACAAGATTTTCCTGACATGTATGAATAAGCTGGACAAACACAAGTTGGATAGCTTAAGACCATATGAGGGTCTGTGCAGGATAAGCAGACTCCATCACTACTGCAGGTAGCACATCCGGACGGGCAAGGTTGGCAGACATTGTTAGTGTCCATGAAATATCCTGTATCACAAACGCATAAATTGTTGACTAAAGAAGAATGAGCTGAACATAAGCAGACGTTGTTCACAATTGTCATAGTTGGGTTGTTGCATGCTGTGCAGTTTCCTGATTGATCACAGGTATTGCAATCAGAAGGACAGCAAATGTTGTTGTTAAACACAGTTCCGCTTGCACAAGTACAAACTCCGTTGGTATTTATCGATGTAGAAGGGCAGTCACAAGCTGGAGGCTGGGCATGAACTGAGTCAATGCAGGAAGTGCATACAGACTGGCTCGAACAAGTTTGGCAGTTTCCTCCACACTGGTAGCATTGGCCTGTAAAGTTATCCAAGTAAAATCCTGCGTTGCAGACACATGAGTTGCTGGAGCTTGACCAATTTGAGTTTGCAGGACATACACATGCACCATTGACTAATGACATTCCTTGGATGCAAGCTGAACAGCTAGATGTTGAAGTGCAAGTTAAACACCCATTGCTGCAGGCTTGACAAGAGTTAGGCTGTCCAAAATAGCCTTGATTGCATTGACAGAGTAATGTTGAGTTATTGAAAGAGGAGTTTTGGTCAACGCATGTGCAAGCTCCATTGAAAAGATGGGTATGTGAAGGGTCATTGCAAGTTAAGCAATTATAGAAGCCAGAGCAGGTAGCGCATTGAGGAGTGCAGTTTGCAATGCAGTTTCCTGGAGTGCCAATGTATCCTGGGTTGCATTCACAAGTGTTTGATGCGTCAAGAGACGAGTTTGGATCTGAGCATTTGCAGGTACCTGAACCAGTGTTATAAGTGTCTGCTGGGTCATAGCAAGTTTGGCAAGAAGTAGCGCTGGTGCATTCAGCACATCCTGAAGAACACTGAGAGCAAGTGCTTCCGTTAAGGTAATACCCTGAAGGGCAGCTCGTGCAAGTATTAGCAGAAGTTACACAAGTCGTGCATTGGGCTGAGCAGGCAAGGCAACTGGCTCCACTCAAGTAGTAGCCTGATAAACAGCTTGTGCATGCGCCTGTATTGGTGCAAGTAGCGCAAGGAGAGAAACAAATAGTGCACACGCCGTTGACTTCAATGTATCCTGACTTGCATTGGCATTGGTCTGCGGATGGGTTCAATTCTGCATTTGGATCTATGCAGCTGCATACTCCATTGTTCAAAACAAGAGCAGAGCTATCACATGATAAGCAAAATGTTGATGATGAGCATGTAGCACAAGGAGAAATACAGTTTTGGCAAGAGTTTCCGTTCAAAAATTGCCCACTTGGGCAGCCAGTGCATGTAGTTGCAGATCCAGAGCAGGCATAGCATTGAGGACTGCATGCAGAGCAGTCATTATCATCTAAGAAATAGCCAGTGTCACATCCAGTGCAATAGTAAGCTGAAATAGCACAAGTAGCGCATGGCTCTTCACAAGGCTCACAAGAGTTATCACTTCCAAATAAGTAATACCCAGGCAAACACGAAGTACAAGAGATAGCTGATCCATAGCAAGCTTGACAAGGAGATGCACAAGGCAAACAAGAATCTCCAGCAAGCCAATACCCAGAGCTGCATGTATCACAAGAGTTTGGATCAGAGCAGCTACTGCAGTTTGCAGGGCAGTTTGCTCCGAGTTCTACTTGATAATCATCAATATCCTTCATCATCTGCTTTCTTTCAATTGATCCTTTTTCATAAATTGCCCTTATAACTGTTTTGCACAAGACCTTTACTTGGTTAGCCTTGTCAAATTCGTTTAATTTTTCGATATTGATGTACAAAGCAACTGATTCGATCATTTGGCCGCTTCCCCCGCATATTTGTGCGTGCATCTTTTCTTTATGAGGGATTACGAATAAGACCAAATCCGCTGCGATTCCTTCAATTTTAATTGCTTGGCTCAATGAAACTTCGCTGCATTGATCATTCTCTCCAAGCATGATCTTCTCAGATAGAGGCTTGGTAAGAAGCAGGTCAGAGAGAGTCTTGGAGGTTGCCTTAAATACATCAAGGTATTGTGCAGTTTTTGACGATTCTGCATCAATTTCCATGTGGACCCTTGGAGGACTATATAAGTTATCTTGTTGACGAAATTCATTAAGGCTCTTTGGGATGAATTGGAGATCAGAACTGAGAGGTCGAGTCTCGAAGTTGGCAGAGGCAGAAGCTAAACTCACCAGTGTTAGCAAAAGAACCCAAGTTTCTGGTCTTCTCAACATATTTTTATTACCAAGCAAAATTATGACAAATGCTATGTGGATGACTTATAAAGATTAGAAAATGGCTTATAGCTACCCTTAAGAGTTTTAAAAAAGAAATTAATAATTACCCTTTCTATTTAGTATTCATGCTGCTGTATATATAAATTACTGATTATTTTTAACTGATTTAAATGAAGCTATTAATGAAGTCTATATAAATAATTTAAATTCAGGAAATTAAATTACATTAAACAAATTTAGCATTATTTTGAATTCTTGCATTCTTCATGAATCCATAAAATTTTATTTTATTTAATATCTGAAAGGATGATTGATTTTATATTCCATATAAAATCAATAGAAAATGGAAACATTACATGAATTTTCAGTGATAACTTATCTTTTGACATATCTAAAGCCAACCTTAAATCTTAATTTTTTAATTTCACTTTGCCATCTTTTCTTACGCCAAATATTGGGTGCAGTTTATTTTAATTAATATTATCATTGCCGAATAAACTAAATATTTTTAAGAGTTTTTATGGCTTTTAAGCCTATAATTTGATAAAAAAAAGTAAATTCCTTATAATACCAAAAATTAAAATTTTCTTATGCAAGAAACCACTCGATTTACTCAATATAATAAGCAGCTAGCAGCAAATATTCTTTCTAACTAAAGAACAACAATTTAGACTTATTCTCAACCCCATCGTTTAAACTTTCCCTGGGATATTTAAACCATATTTGTCAGAAAGTTAATAAGCTAAAATCACGGTAAGCGCTCTTAAACTAAATTTATTTTTAATTTCCATTAAAATTATAATAGATATTCAGATAATAGTTATTTAAATTTCTTTCATATTCTCCGCTTAAAATAGTTTAGAAATTTTGGAAATTTATCAAATCAAAACTAACTGTATAGAAATTTATTGAATATCAAATCCCTTATTTAATTTCTTTCCAATTTACTGAGCAAATACTGAGATTCTTGGGGTCCTGTAAAAGTAATCATTTTTCTAAACAATGATGTCTCATCTCGACCCAAATCATAAGGTGTTCCAAATTCTTTGCAAGCGCCCTTTTTCATTACAATAATCATATCAGCATCTATAATAGTTCTCAGCCTGTGAGCTACGATAAGCATAGTGCTCTCCTTAAACATTTTTCTGATCTTCTTTTGAATGAACTTATCAGTTTCTGGGTCCACATTCGCAGTAGCTTCGTCCATCATCACAATTTTATTTTTTCTGATAAGGGCTCTTGCTAAGCATACTAATTGTTTTTGTCCTGCTGAAAGATTCCCACCTTCTCCAATTAAAACTGTGTCAAGTCCTTTAGGATAAGATTTTACTAAATCAGAAAGTCTTGTTTGTTTTAAAATGTCCAATATTTCTTCTTCTGTATGCTCATGGAAAGGATCAAGATTATCCCTAAAGCTCGCTAAAAATATTGTTGGGGATTGAGGAATGACTGACATTTGCTTTCTTAGTTGATGCAACCCAGCATTTCTATAATCTTGTCCATCAATAAATATTGTTCCTGACGAAGGATTGACAAGTCGAAACAGCACATGCATGATTGATGATTTTCCAGCACCAGTCCTGCCCACAATTCCGACTTTTTTGCCTTCTTCTATCGTTACAGAGAGATTTTGCAAAACATGCTCATAATTTTCTCTATATTTCATATACAATTCCCTGATTTCAATTCTGCCTTTATTTATTATAAATGGTTTTCCTGTTTCATAATCTCCTTCATTCGGGATATCAGCGTATTCTATCAATCTTTGCGGTGAAGCCATAAAATTGTCAGTTTCCACCAAGCACTTCGACCAAAATGTGACCAAACCTGCTACAGAAATTGTAAGAGAAATACTCATAGCAGCAAGCCCTGAGTTTATACTATCTTTATATAGCACAAGAATCAGAACATTAAGGATATTTACGAATAATGCTCCGAATTCGCAATATCCTTGATAAAATCGTACAGCTATCGCATAACTACATAAAGATTTCAAAGCAAAAACTACTGAGCTTTTCATATCTTTTTTAAACTTTTCTTCTAAGCCGAGCGCTCTTATAGTCACCAAGCCAAGTGCTGAAGCATTGCAAAGCGAAAGAACTGGACTTCTAGATACCAATTCAATTCTTCTCAAAGCCTTAGTAATCGGAGCGACTTTTTTTACTAGGAAAAACACATACACCATAAAAGCAAAAATAACAGCCAAATTGGGAGGTGCTACAATGGCTAATACTATAATATTTCCTATGATTGAGCATGAATTGTTAACAAGCTCATAGAAATATATGTTCAGCATTTCATCCATGAGGACAGTGTCTTTGGAAAATCGATTCAGCATCCTTCCTGTTGGGTTTTTATCGAAAAAAACACTTTCTGCTAGAGTGATTCCTTTTAGAGCTACATTGTGAATTCTTTTAGAAGATGCAAGCATACTTATTCCAATTGAATAAGCTCTTGAAAAGACCAAGATGTAATTAACTACCACGATTATTGCTAGCACATAAATATAATACGCGTTGTCTTGATCATCATCTGACGCTTTAGACCATATAGCAAGTCACCAAACAACAGCTATATAAGTCACTTGAGGGATTAATAAGCAAATGAGGAGAATTGGTAGTATTCATAAGCTTCTAAAAGCATATTTAAAAAAGCGGATATAAATTTTTAATGGGACTTGTCCTGCTGCTCGCTCTTCCTCTTCTATAGATAATTTGTCTTTTACCTCCTTTGGCTTTGCGCTTAAGGCTGGCTTAGCTTCTGGGCTTTGGCTTATTTCTTTTACTGATTTGTGAAATAATTCCCCAATGATATCACTTATGTATTCTCTTTCTTTCAGCTTTTCATATCCTCCAAAAAATACTTGACCGCCATCAGAGAGCACAAGAATTTTGTCAGCATTGGCTAGGACATGAATTTGATGAGTTGCTAAAATCACAGTTTTTTCTTTCAGTAAAGACTTTATGCATTGATTAAATATTATTTCACTCACTTCTGCGTCAACAGCACTTAATGGGTCATCCAAAAGGATAATGTCTCGATTAGTATATACAGCTCTGGCTAAACTTATTCTTGCTTTTTGGCCTCCACTAAGAGTGATGCCTCTGTCGCCCACAACTGTTTCATCGCCAAATGTAAAACTTTGGATGTCTTGATCGAGAGAGCAGGCAGATATAACTTGTCTGTACCATAGATCGTTATATTCCAAGCCCATCAGAACATTTTCTTTTATAGTCCCTGAAATGATCCATGCATCTTCTCCAGAGTAAGCAATACTTCCATTAATTCCTAAATCCCCTGTTATTAACGGAATTTCTTGCAGCAGTCCCATAAATAAGCTGCTTTTACCACACCCTACCGGTCCTACAACAACTAGCAGTTCTCCCTTTTTCAATTTAAAATGTATATCATTAAGTACCAAATTGCCATTATCAATCAACTCAGTCATCTCTATATCACCGGTCTCTGTTTTATTTTTTTGTTTTTCAATAGTTTTCTTGTCCCATGCAAAGCAGGCATGATTTAGTGATATAGGGTACTTTGAATCGTTTGCATAGGACTGCTCAGTGTGTTTATCAATCAAAAGCGTGTCTTTAATACGCTTCATAGATGTCCTAAACAGAACCAGCATCAAAATCCCGAATGCACCAATGTTGGAAATTATATTATGAGTCATTGATAAAATCGTGACTGTGGCAAATACTACTCCTGGATCCATGTTATTGCCCAAATTTACATAAATTACAAAGGTCACAAATAGGATTATTCCAATTCCTCCATTTCCAAGCGAGCGACTTCCTGATCCATATTTGACTCGATTTGAATGCTGCTTTATTTCAGCTTGTCTTTTTTGGAAAATAAGGTCTAAATATGGATGCTCCCAGCCATAGAGTTTTATGATTCTGATCCCTTCTATCAGATTAGTTATCATCTTTACACGGCCATCTCCTTGCTGGGCAGCTCTCAATCGAACTTTACCACTCATAGCCCCAAATATCAAAGAAAGTGGGAAATGCAAAATTACGACTATAAGCCCAATGACACCAGCTGGGCCAACATAAAAGCCGAGAATAAGAAAAGCGCCGACTAAGAAAAAAGGAGTTGATAAAAGAGATATAGTCGACACTATTCCCTCCATGAACTCAAGTTCTGACGCAATTATATTGGCCATCTTGCCCCTGGAGTTTCCCTTGGCGATCCCAGCATGAGAAAATGTAAGAAACCTTTTGTAAATCAGGCAGGGAACAATAGACTTCAATTTAATGACTAGTAATTGAGACCGAAGTGTTGACAGGAAAAACAAATAATATACAGCTATTGATGTGCACCCGTAGGCCAGCACATATAATCCTCCAACATAGGTCTCTGTATTATCGTCATTCATGTATCTGACTAGATAAATGACTAAAATTGCTTGGACCAGACCAAGCAGATAAGAAAAAGCTCCTGGCCATGATGCTTTGATAAACTCTTTACCTACTACTCTCATCAGGGCCTTAAAAAAGCTTGGATTTGGGCTTTTTGACTCTTTTTCTCATTCTTTTTCTAGTTTCTCCAAGTCCTCTTCAAATTTCAGCCTTTTTGGAAGGGCCATTAAGTTTTTTGGAGTTGGGGTGCTCTTTAACCAAAATTTTATTAGGGGAAAGGCCCAAGAAAGTGTAAGATCATTGAAAATATTGGCATTGTCTATTTTGCACTCAGGCTCCTCCATACTATGACTTTTATTAACCTGGGTCTCATAAGAGATTTATGTCACCAGCATTTGGAGAAAATTTGCCCTATTTTAATTGATTTATTGTTTAAAAGTAGTATTTTAGCATTAATTTTTGCATCTGCAGAGTATTATAAATTATGGAACTGTGAATATAGAAATCAGAAGACATCGTCCATTTAAGAATTAACTATAGTAAAAACTATATATCTATAGTGTACGTTATAAATGACGAAATGATTAGGAAAAATACATCTGACAGGAAAAAAGTATTTTTCCTGACTAGATTAATCAATATTGAGATTTAGTGTGATTAGATATTCTTTATTTATTAACTATCCATTTTAAGAGTGAGCAAAATTTGCCACCCCTTGAACTATCTTTATCAAGCTTATAATTGTCTGCAATTGAAGACATCTTTTAGATATCTATTTAAGGATAAATTGAAATTAATTTTCTCTAATATTTAAGATCAAATATCATTAAGAATTATTATGATTTGCCTTTATTACCAAACGAGTTTAACTCTTGAAAAATTATTCTTCGTGCAAGATAAAAACTTATATTGCTATGCATTAAAATATGTTGACTCCACATGTTGTATAATCAAACAAATGTATAATTATAAATATGGAGGAATTTCAATGCTCATATGACAGAGGAAATGTTTTTAATGATTTTTTCATGACATGAGCTTATTCTGTAGCATCATTTTATAAGAAACACAAAGCCACTCCTTCTAATCTTGTCTCAATTCCCAAAAGACTTAGATTTGACGAAGATTTAGAAAAATTAGAAAATGAATGAGAAAAAGAACTCAAAAAACAAAGACCTAGCTTCCTAAAAGCACTTATAAAAGTTATTGGCTGAGATCTAATCAAATATGCAGTGCCAGGGATAGTTTCTTATAATTTAGGTCTTGTCCAATCAGTATTGGTGATTTACTTAGTGAGATATTTAAGAGATAACAACTCAAAATGATACGATGGTGCTAGCTATGTAATTGCATATGCTGGTACAGCATTGGTGACTTATTATTTATTTTGTTTTTGCAGCTTTAAAATTTACATGCTGACAGTGAAGGTGAAATCAATTGTTCCATGCTTAATATATAAAAAAGTTTTAGGCTTCTCAAGCAGTCAAATATTGCAAGGAAACTCAAAAGGCAAGCTAGAAAATGTGATCGCTTCTGAACTAGAATTTCTTGAAGGCGTCGTTGCAATTGTCGCTCTGTTTTCTGTGCCTACACTTTTAATAGGAGCTTTTTTCATTTTGGGATTCTATATTGGTGTAGCTGGAGTTATAGGATTAATTATAGTGCTTTTGCACTTTCCTATAATTTATGCATTGGGAAAAATCAATGGGAAATTCAGGCTGAGAGTTGCTGTTCATAGTGATGCAAGAATCAAGCTTATTACAAACTTAATTGAGGGGATAAGAATCATAAAATTGTATGGGTGGGAATACCCATATCTAGACTTAGTATTTAAAAAGAGAGAAATAGAAATGAGGCAAGCTTTGAAAAGGGTCAAGTTTAACTCACTGAACCGAACGATGGGAAATGGAGGGCTTGGGCTTGTTTTGTTTATAACTTTCGTAATCTATATTTCTCTTGGCAATACTCTGGATCCAGGAGTTGTTTTTGCGACCGTCACGATTTTGACTATAACTCACAATCTTATATTATTTGTTGGCCAAATTTCTAATATTGCTTGACACTTGAAATTGTTTTCCACTTTAGGTGGGACCCTTTGTATTTATTGGCCTGATACAAAAACGCCAAGAAGTTTTCGCATGTCAAGCCCGATAAGAAATTAAAGCAGACATAATATCAAATCTAGGGGCACTTGGAGTTCTACTTTTATTTTTATTCTTTTCATCAATGAAAAGAATTACAGAAACTCTTCTGATAAAACAGCAGAAGACTTCAGCTCGCTCATCGAAACCAAAATTCTCATTAATGATGAAAAATTCCATCTTTTCATGGAACGATCCTGAAGGAGGAAATACTTCATCAGACACAAATAAGTCATTTGAAGAAAGTCAAGCAGTTCTCAATGAAATTAATTTCAAGCTAAAACCAGGAGAGCTTTTAATTGTTATTGGGCCTGTTGGATGCGGAAAAAGCAGCCTATTTATGGGCATTCTGCAGGAAATAGGATTAATAAGTGGGGAAGTCAAAATTAATGGGCAGATTGCCTATTCAGGTGAGGATCCTTGAATAGTGTCAGGAAGTATAAGAGATAATATCTTAATGGGACTTGAGTTCAATGAAGCTTTCTATCAAAATGTTATTAAAGCTTGTGCATTGGAGCAAGATATTGATAGTTTTGCATATGGGGATTTAACTGTTGTAGGGGACCGAGGAATCACTTTAAGTGGAGGTCAAAAAGCTCGTGTCAGCTTAGCTAGAGCACTCTATACAAATAGAGATATATTGCTTCTAGATGATCCTCTAAGTGCTGTAGATTCTGAGGTAAGCGAGCATCTCTTCAATAAATGCATAAAAGGATTCCTTAATAGCAAAAGAAATAAAATGGTGATGTTGACGGAAATTGAACTCCGAGATGCTCCCCTGTGGAGTAGTCGGATCCATTCTGATGAAGTGAAAACAGGACCTCTGCCCTTTTTTGAAGCAGGCCTTCAGGCTTGGGGGTGCCTTGCTGAAGAGGGAAGTTTTGTCTTTCCTCCGAAGGTTTTCCTGTCCTGCCAGATGAGCTAGACAGGTTTTGTCTACACATGATTTTTCCTCATCATAGAGCCTACAGACAGTTCAAGTCGAAATCCAAAATGGCATAATTTTGGAGCCAAGATGGGCGACAGCTATTGGGCTTAAAAATTTTTATGGCGGGTATAATCGTTAATTTATTTAATAGCAAAACTGTGATTTTAGCGACTCATCAAATCCATTATATTTCTGAAGCTGATAAGATTCTAGTTTTAGATTCAGGAAAGCAACTATTCTTTGGAACATATGAGGACTTAAAAACAAAAGATAACATTTCGCACATTGTCGGAGAATTGATGCATCAATTCGAAAGCAAGGAAGAAGAAAGCAATACTAAAATAATTGAAGAGGGTACAAAAAAACAAGTGACAGGTGATAAATTATCAATCCAAGAAGAAGAGAGAGCACAAGGGTCAGTTCCTCTTACTCCCTTAAAGAACTAACAAGATAAATTTAGCTCTCTCTGAGAGGTAGGATACTTTTTTGGTTCAATATTATATATAAAAAAAATGTTTCTTTTAAAAATCCAATTCTAATTAGTTTTTAAATTTATGTTTATATATAAGAAGGAGCATTACTTTAGCCCTATCCTACAGTAGAAAAACCAAGTAAAACTCCCACAAAATCAGAAATCCCACAACTCCCCCAACATCAGAAATCCCACAACTCCCCATCACCTAAGCTTCCACAACTCCTAGAGCCCAGAACTCCCAAAACCCCCAAGTTTATATATAAGGCTTGCAAAATTTAAACAATTAGCAAGAGATCACTTTATAGAATTATTAATTATATAATCAGAGCCTCCTTTTGGCTCGGGACTAAATATAAAATATTTTGCATAATTTAGCATATATTAGAAAAGCTTTTGTGCTAGCTCTCAAATAGGGGCTAATTGTTCCAATAATAGAACTTTTTCAATTGCTTGCCCTTAAGAGGAAGTTAAGATCTATTATAGATTCTTAATGTTTGGATTTAACTCTATTGCAGCCTTTCCATTTATGCTTGCTCTATTGGTTGGTGCACAAGTAGTTTATATTGCAATTTTATGGTGACTTGCTATATGGGCAAGACAAAATAGCAATGACCAAAGTAATTCATATTTTATTTGGGGTTTTGCCATTATTGTTGGGATGAATTATTTGTTGTCTTATAGTAGAGCTTATATTCTCAACTATAGAATGCTATGTGGAGCAAAAAAGCTACACAATCAAGCATTAAAAGGAATGACAATGACTCAAATTACCTTTTTTGATAAAAATCCTACTGGAAGAATGATAAATAGATTCTCAAAAGATACCTTCTTAATGGATGAAGTGCTTATGACATTTTTCTACGAATTTATCAACTTATCGTTTGCCCTTTTAGGAAATGTGATAGTCTTGGCAATCGTTGCTCCTCCAAATATAGCAGTCATTGGAGCCTTCTTTATATATGTCTTTTTACTTATTAGAAATCTAGCGCCAATTACTAAATCCGCCTCTCTGCAAGTGAGAGAGTATTACTGAAAATCAAATTTTTAGACAAGTTCTATGAGCAGAGAAAATCCCTTTTCTCATATAATATTTTGATAATCAAATAACAATAATTATAATATTGTTTTAAAACCTTCAGCTATTTTCTGCTGAAGAGTTATATTATAAAACTTAAAATTAAAATTAGCAATTTTAACTATTACAATTGTAATTTTTCAAATAGATATAAAAGTCTGAATTGTGAGCAATAAAAAAATGTTTTGCTTGCTGGCTTAAAAGGAGTAAAGACTTAAAAAGGATTGAATTGACTTCAAAAAGCCCTGTTTTATCCTTATGCAACGCTACTGTGAATGGAATAGTTACAATAAGGTCACTAGATCTTCAAGAAAAATGCATCCAGGACATGAAGAATGCTGTCACTGCAAGTCTTAGAGCAATGTTTACTTATCAAATGATTCTGAGGTTCTATCAGAGTTATACTGATCTCGGATCAGTTTTTGTGAACATATTAAATGTTATGATCTTAGTTTTATATAAAGACAATATCAATGAAAGTTTGGCCGCTATGAGCATTTCGCTCACGATTTCTGTTTCAAACTTAGTCACTTACTGGGCAAAAACAGTTGTAGAAACAGAAAATCAAATGGCGTCACCGCAAAGACTCATAGAATATGCAGATATTCCTGAAGAAGGGGTCTTTAAAACTGAAGTCCCATTTATAATTGGCAAAGGGAGGATCGAAATAAAGGAGCTTTCAATGAGATATAGAGACAATTACCCATATGCTTTGCAAAATCTCTCGTTCTCTATAGAACCTGGGCAAAAAGTTGGCATTGTTGGAAGAACAGGAGCTGGCAAATCTTCTATCATGCAAGTATTATTTCGGCTAATTGATCCTACTTCTGGTACTATTCTTATTGATGGGCAAGATTATAAAACTGTTGGCTTGCATCAGCTGAGAAAGCAGATGTCAGTTATTCCTCAATCGCCTACTATATTTTTGGCAAGTTTCAGAGATAATCTTGATCCATTCCATGAGCACTCAGAAGATGAAATCTTAATTGCATTAAAACAAACGAGACTTACTGAACTAGTCAATTCTTATCCTGAAGGAATAAACACAATTTTAGCAGGAGAAGGCGGAAATCTCTCTGCAGGTCAAAAGCAGTTGGTGTGTTTGGCAAGAGCTCTTATTCGGAAAAATAAAATTGTCATGATGGATGAAGCAACTGCAAATATAGACCCAGAAACAGATAGGTTTATTCAAAAGAAGATCAGGAAAATGTTTAGGGAAACTACAATGCTTATAGTTGCTCATAGACTGAGGACAATCATAGATGCTGATAAGATTATTGTCATGAAGAAGGGGACTTGCAAGGAGATAGGCACGCCCAGTGAATTAAAAAGTAGAGAAATGTCTTTGTTCAGAAAAATGATTATGTCTACAGGGCCACAGGAATCTCAGTATCTGCTCAATTTTCCTTATCAAAAAAGCAAAGTTTCGCACTCTAATTAATTTTTTTCTATATTAAGATTGATATTAAACTTATTTCAAGACTACGAAAGCATAAATATTTATATAAACTATATGATCTTTCTTTTATAGCATTTTAAATGCATAATGAATACTATTATTTATATATTTACTAATTGAAATCAAAGTTTAATAGGATTTATCTATAAGCTGCTTTAGCTCAATCGTTTTGGCTAACAGTTTTTTGTTCGCTTCTATTTGTTTCTTTTTCCGTAAGATTTTATTTTCAATTTTATCTATTTGCTGTGCCAAAGATTGTTCATGTCGAATTTTGGGGATTAAGCCTAATGCAATTTTAGCCCATCTAATTCCAAATTCGTGTTTCGATCCAACAAAATTAGGTTCTTCTATCATTTCTTTCATCTTCTTCTTGACTTCTGGTAATCTATCTATATCATAGGTTCAATTTGCAACAGAATCTATTCTGGAATTCAAAAATCATAAACTTACCTGACTGATATTTCCAGCATGCTTAGCCCAATTCTTTTGTGGTTTTTGAAAAAAATAAGGCAAATACCCCATAGGAATACTATACTTTTTTCTACCCATCATTAATGGTTGAATCTATCTAATATATACAGCATAAGGAGCCAATTTCGCTTTTGACTTGTTAATTCTGCTCAAAATGATTGATTTTTGAACTTTTACTAAATCATTGTACATTAGCAGATATGAAAATTCAGTATTTTCTGCATTAATAATATGCTCTAGCTTTTGAGCAAGATTTGCTATTGATTCCTTAAGAGATAGGTCTTTATCTAGATTTTTAATCAACTCTGCAAAAATTTCCATTTTTATATCATCTATTTGGAAAAATTGTTTTAAATAATCAAAACACACTAGAAAGTACCCTATAAAATAGACTAATATATAGGGAAAATTCCGATCTTAATGAAATTTAATCTGCATGAAATTAGGTGCCAAAATTATTTAGAGAAATATTTCATATTAATATACGTAGATTTTTAAAACTCGAACTCAACCATTTCTAGATTATTTAGCCTCTTCAATCCTATGAACTCTCTATTTTCGTTAAGCTCGCTCATGAAGTATGTTAAAAATGAAGAATGAGTCACAAGTCCTACGTTTTCTTGTCCACTTCTTATAATTTCTCTCGCTTTTCTTGTTCTATCATACATCTCTCACTGACTCTCAACTATTAACGGGTTAATTTCCCTCATAATATCAAGCAACCTTATTCTGGCATCTTCGAAATTCATTCCTATCAGTTGTTGTGTATATTGATTATTTAATATTTCAGGCACATAGAAATGATTAGGAACATTACTTCAGTCAAAATGTGAGAATTCTGGATAAGGAGTTCCTGAATAAGTAGGAATATCATGGGAATTGTGAATTAATTCAGTAAATAAAGGATGGACTACTATTTTTGGAGTATTTGGGTGATTTCTGAATAGGATATCACAGGTTTGCAGAGCGCGACGTAATGGGGAAACGTAGACTTTAGTGACGTTTAAGCTATGTGCTTGATCAACTTTAGATGATGCTTGCTCTATTCCGATTTCTGAAAGAGGTGCATCACAATAGCTACGATCCCAGCGAAACTGACTCCCCCCCCTTTAAATTGAAGCAAAAATATAGGTAAAATTCCTACTTTTTTGGGAAATTACCCCCCCTTTAAATTGAAACAAAATTTTATTATAATAGAAAATTGTATAAGTAAAAATCATTATTTTATATGTAAATACGTTAATACCCTATTTAATATGCTTCAAACATATAAGATTTAGAAATTAAACTCTATTTTGTCCAATTGTTATGGGGAGAGTTAGAAGAATACCATTTCAGCAAGTTTACACTTTGAGATTGAGAAATTTATGAATTAATTTTTCATGAAATTCTTTTAAATTTATATAATTTATTATCTATAAAATTTTATCTCTGAAAAAATTTTTATATATAAATTTTTTTTATAAAAAAATTTTCTTAACCCCCCTTTAAATTGAAACAAAATTTTTTTGTTTCAATTTAAAGGGGGGGGGGAGTGAGCATTTTCTAGAGAATTCCCGAGATCAGTTCAATCATGTTGGAATTTGTTATATAAAGTTTGACCATGGCGGATGATCCATAATTTTACCATATTTATATTGATAATCACTTAGAACCCAACAACTTAAGTGAAGGATTCATTTAACTTAAATTAATTGTGAATTTAATTATTAGCTTTTTATGACTCAATAGTCTGCATTTCCTTAAAACGAAGAGTTAGGTTACGATTTTGAATTCAGTTAGAATTTCTTGCACTTCTTCGTCTCTAAGTGTTTTATAAACCACCTTATTATTTTGCCTTGACAATACAATAATTTCAAGTTTGTCTGGTGTCGGTGATGTAGTGTCCATTGACTTCGTAATTACCTTAGCCACCAACCCAAGAGACTGTCTTAGTGTAAAATTTTCTTCATAATCTTGTTTTAATATCCCAGAAGCTGATTGGTTATTTGCTCCAATTGCAATTGCTTTCCATCCTAGCTGCCCCTTGGTAAACAAAAAACTATTGCTCAAGCTGATTTCCTCCACTAGCCATATGGAGTGTAAGTAATTTCCGCTGGGATCAGAACAATATAATTGAAAGCCGTAAATCGGATCCCAACCTGCATATAAGAATGAAACTCCAAAAGGTCTGAGTCCACCATGCTGTGTGTAACCTTGTTTTGAGTTGCAAAGTTGTCTGACATGCTGCTAATAATCAAATATGGCGTCATCCGATTTTTCTGTTCTTTCGAACTGAAAATCTTCTTTTGGCTAACTTCGATAATAAGGTTTGGCTTCACATAGCAAATTATCCCAGCTATGACAGGAAAGCAAAAGCCTTCGATATGCAGTGTAGGACTACTGACTTTATTCCTATTTATTAGCGAACAAAACTATTATAAATATCCCTTTTTTAGGAAAATTAACCTCCATTACTTAGTGAGCAAAACATTTTTTTAATATAAAAAAATTTTAGCAAATATATAATTAATAATTGCAATAAAAGAGCTTTAGTTATTTTATTAAATTTAAGCAGCTAGTATTTTTTCAAACATAAATTTTATAAATTAAATTGGATTTTTCATTTCAAATATTTATATCTTAATTTAACCGAATAATTATGCACAATTTTAATATAAAATTTTGATAAAAAATTGAATACCCCTTCTCAATTAGCGAATAATTTTGTTCACTAATAGGATTTTCGAAGGAAAGACATAGGGCCTGGGGAGGCGATGCATTATTGGATCTTAAGCATGCATTAAGCTAACTCCCCCCCCCTCCGTGAGTGAGTGAACAAAACCATTAGAAAAATCACCATTTTTTGCCCAAAAACCCACCCTCCGTGAGTGAACAAAATTTTTTTATAATACAAAAATTTTTTATGGAAAAAATTTTTGATATATAAATGATAATTAGTATAATAAAATCTAGAGCTAATTCTATTTAATTTTAAACGAATTGCTCTTTAAAACATAAATTTTATAAATTAAATTAATATTTGCCTTCCAATTTTTGCGAATTAGGATTTTTTTAAATTTAGAAAAAAAAAATATTTTTTTATAAATTTTTTTTAAAAAAACAAATTAACCCCCCTCCGTTCCGTGAGTGAACAAAATTTTTTTGTTCACTCACGGAGGGGGGGGGGGAGTAAGTAAATAAATCTGACAAGCTGTTCAACAGGCATAAGCTCGTGATAGGTATATTGATATTGCTGGCTGATAATTCTGGCATGATTTATGAGGATATTGGCATCTGCTGTCAGTCCAGCTGCTGCGCACACAACATGCTCGTCGATCTGATACATTTTTTCACTGTGCTTTGATCTCTCCAGAAGCTTTGAAGTTTGCTTTCTTTCAGCTCCGATTACGATTCCTTCAGAGCATAAAACGCCAACTGTTGACCCTGCATTGTTGATAGCTTCCATAGCATATTCTACTTGCATGAGACGGCCTTCTGGAGTAAAGGTAGTTGTTTTTGAATCATATCTTCTGGACTATATAATTTTTACCATTCTAATAAAATTATGATAGATTAATATTTATCCCAATATCCCAAGGCATCAAGTTGAAAATTCAAAACTTGCATTATTATTTCATGAATTTTATTATTTTTTTATCAAATTTTACCCACGCTCCCTAAACTCACTCTAATAATATCTAAAACAATATGAAGTTCTTAAGTGCCCTTTTTAAGCCAGGTTTACTGTTTGCAGGATCATTCTTTTGTTCTAATCAAACACACTCAGACCCTTCCTATTCAGTTTTCTCATGGGGACAAAACACTTCTGGCCAGCTTGGTCTTGGCAGTGACACTTCTCGAGCTCTCCCAACTCTAATAGAAGAACTGGAAAATCAAAACATTAAATCAATCCATTCATCAGGACAGTCCAATTCTAGTGTAGCTTTAGATGTGAACGGCCATGCGTTTACATGGGGAAGCGGCTTGGACGGAGTGCTAGGACATAGCGAAACAGACGCAAATGTTTTGATCCCAACTCCACTGATTCAATTATACGATGCCAAGTTAGTAAAAGTAGCTTGTGGCAGAGGCCATATGGCAGGGCTCACTCATGATGGGAAACTTTATACTTGGGGATTAGATGACAATGGACAGTGCGGCCATGAAGAAAATCTAGAACAAGTAAAAAACCCCAAAGCATTTAAGCCCCAAATTTTCAAAGGAGGAAAGCCTCCTAAACAAGTCAAAGGAGAGCTTGAAAGCAAAAAGGTTGTTGATATTGGCTGTGGAGGACACTTTACAGCAGTAGTAACTGAGGATGGAGAGGTCTATACCTGGGGGCAAGGGAGAGATTATGCTTTAGGCCATGGCGATAGAACTCCTCTTAAGCATCCAAAAAAAGTTCAAGGACTTGAAGGGAAAAAAATAGTAAAGCTTGCATGTGGGAGAAACTTCTGCATTGTTTTAGATAATGAAGGAAAACTGTATAGCTGGGGGAATAATGAGTATGGCCAACTTGGCCTTTCTCAAACTGACAGGTTTAGAGCAACTCCTCAACAGATCAAAGTACTTTCAAATGTTGTTGAAATTGCAACTGGAGACTTTCATGTGATGGCTTTAACTGATAAAGGTACTGTTTTCAGTTGGGGAGCTGGAAGTGATGGACAGTTATGTCATGGAAATACTTCGAACCAGTCAACCCCAAGACTTATTCAAGGAATTCCTTTACTCTCCCTTTGATTAACGAGAAAACTATCTAAAAATAACTAAATGGGAAATAAATCCCCTTTGGTTAGTGAGAAAAAACATTTTAAAATTATTTTATGTAAATAATAGCTTGGTATATAGCTAATGATTAAAATAATAAGATCAGCTAATTCTAGCGAAATATTTTTTTTATATAAAAAAGTAAAAAAATACACTTTATTTATGAAGTAATTTTTTTTACTCATAAACCCAACGGGGAGTTAATATCAAGACTCTTCTGTGGAGGGGGTCATAGTGCATTTATTACACAGGATTTCAGACTTTTAATGGTAGGTAGAGGTAGAGATGGTCAATTAGGGAGACAGGGAAATGTTGAAAGTGTAGCTAGCTATAGAACGGCAACAGTGCCAGTAGAATACTTTACCAATTACAGAGTCTTACAAGTTTCTTGTGGAGCTGACCACAGTTTAGCATTAGGTTTTAAGACTCAATAAGATAAAATAATTTTAATCGTAAATAACTCTCTATACAAGTTATATATGATTTAATTGAGCTCGCTTAAGACCTCACTTTAGAAATATAGCAGTTTTTTTATATAAAAACTTTTGCTCGCTAACGAAGGCTGTTAATTTCCTAAGGCTTGCCCTCTCACCAAAGAGGGAAGAGTAAGGGTGCTTAGTAAGAAAAATCTTAAGTAATGAAAAATTGTATGAAGAAAAAGGTATAAAGAGTTATATCCGTTTGAAGATCCATAATCAGCGATTAAACTTTCTGATAGCGCATCTTGAGACCCAGTCAGCGCTTTTAACTGAAATGATAGCTGCTTAAGCTGTTTGTACGCTTGCCATACTTGAAGCGGTGCAGTTTATATCAAGATGCTTTATGATAATTATAAATGAATCTTAGGCTATGAACATAAATCTAATATGTTATTGCTGTTTGTTTTCTTCATCTACAAAAGGTACTCCATCCAGTGTCTCGTGACTTTCTTCTTCTTGGCCAGCTGGCAAATATGAGCCTCTTTTCGGATCAACCCTCTTTTTCTTTGCATTTGGGTCTTTTGCTGGAATAAAGCTTCCCCTAACCGCATCTCCTCTTAGTGTCCCAGGCTGCATCTGTGTACTTTCAGTTGGTATATTCCCAACACTATTTAATCTCAACGTTCTTCTATCTTCAACATCCAAGTTGCTCAAGCTCGAGCTTGGCATAAGAGAATTAATTTCAATTACTATGACAGAAATATCATCAATCATAACGTCTTCATCCTCACAAATTCCGTACCATCTATATCTGGACTCCTCAGCCAATAAATGAGCTATACTTGAGTTTTCAGGCTAAATTAAAATTACTGAAATCGGGTATATTGTTTCTTTTCTTACTGTCTTTGTTGACCTTCCTCTGAATTTATCCACGAAATTCGCAACCTCTATGTTTTCCATAACATCCCACACTCCGTCACTCCCAGCAACAATAAACTGGTCTTTTCCAGGAAATAACTGAAATGAGTGAAAAATCGGTGTAGCAATGACTCCACATTCTTTTCCAATTCCATCACCTATAGACCGACTCATTGCTAGTCCTGGAAGAGTTCCGTTCTTTTTCCATACTCTAAAAGGTCCTACTTTGTTTCCTCTGTCGTCAGTGAGCTGCTGGACTTTTCCTCCTGCTTTTTGTATTCTTTCCAGCTCTTCCTGATGATTTGGTTTCTGATCAACTGTTAGTGCTAGTGGGTTTAAAATCCTGCTTGGTTCCACAAATCTCTTATAAAGATTATTTTTGTCTACTCTTGGTGGCTGCTGCACTTCTTCATTTTTCTTTGGGACGGTTGCTAAAATTGCCCTGGAATCCCCAACAGAAGCTACATACAGTCCTGTCTCATCAATATACATGACGACTGCGGTGGTCCCTGAAATTAAAGGATCTACCTTGCTACTGGGCTGACTTAGTGCGTGATCACATTCTTCTATAATGCTATCTAATGCCTCTTTAGGATGAGCTTTAAAATCACTGGCATTGTTCTTAAAATATTCCTTCATAAATTTGTTGCAGAATTCCACAACCTTCAGACCTTCACGACCATGTCCATCAAATAAAGCAGCTAGGATAGAGCCTTCTTTTTCAATAAAGAAAAGATTGTCCTGGCATTCTTTTTCCATCATCCCACGGGGATCTAAACCGGGAAGGACACATCCTGATATAAAAAATTTGTAAGGGCTTAACTGAATTTCTTGTGAATGCTGGTAAACAGGAGAAGTTACCTTGAAATCGACTTTTTCATTATGAGTGATTCTGCCTGAGTAGTCTCTTTCTTTGATTTTGATTGAGACAGATTCAGAATAAGAGAAAGTGTCAAAATTTTCAGAGGCTTTTGAGCAAGAACAATTTCCCATAAATATGGAAAAGTGATTAAATAAGAAATTTATTAAAATATAAGAAAAATAAGCAGTGAAAATGATAAGACTGAAACTAGAGTTGAATCAGGAAAAAAGTAAAATTAGGACAGCATTGATAAAATATTTAATAAGTTTTGAATTAAGAGCTATGCCAAGATAAACTTTTGAAGAAATTATGGGAAACGTGAAATCATGCCCCATTTTGTAAAAAATGAGCCATTAGCAACAATTTATCATTTTAAAATGGCTAAAACAAAGTTTTCTGCTCTTCTCCCAAGCGACTTTAATAAAGAAAACCAAGGCACTGGAGTTTACGAAATAAAGCACATTTCATCTCACGTTTCTTCAGAATCTGTTCTCAAACCCAGAGACCCTAACCGCCCTTTTGTCACGAAATATTCCAAAGATTCTAAAGTCTACTACCCAATTCCCAAAGGAGATTCCGTTTACGCTCTTGGCAAAAAAGCAGAATACATCGAAAAAAATCTTGAAAAAGCTGCTGATCTGTACCTTAAAGCAATCAATTCTAATGACAGAGCTGAAAGTGCTATCAAGGATCTCGTAGGCGTTTTACATCAGCAAGGGAAAACTTTTGAAGCTCTTGAAATCCTCCAAAAGCATGAAAACCTGTTTACCAATGAAACAGAAAAATATGAGAATATCTACAAAAATTTACACCAGCAGCTAATGTTTAAAGGGAACCGCTTCAACAAACTGTTGAAGATATCTCCAGTCAAGCCATTTGTTAAAGCGTCTTTTATTTCTTCTCTATTTTCGAAGCCTCAAAGAATAAATGAAATAAAAATTCATGGCAAAGGATACGCAATTTTGAATTTTTCAAGTCACTCGGCAGCAAGGAAAACCTTGGAAAGTTTTAGATTTTGGGAAAAATATAAAATTGAGTGGGTAAATGTAGATGGAGAAGTAATTGGGGACGCATATTTTAGAGGGGAAAGTTAAAAATGTCAGTTAAGGATAGGATGCAGGTCCTGCATCCGAGTTCGGTTAGAGAAGTCAACGGCTTCTTGAGAGTCTCGGATCAAGAGAATGGGTCTATGCTGAGTCTGGTGTAGATCAGAGAGATCCTAAGGGGCTTGGGGACAGAAGCAGGTCGACGGTTATGCTTTTTTGCCTTGAGTGGCGCGGTAACGGGGCGCCACTCAAGGCAAAAAGCTATAGGACAGCAAACCTACGGTTATTCAGAACTGTGGTCCAAACTGAGATCAAGAATACGGGACGAAGAATAATCTTAAACTTAAAGTGAAGAAGCCGAAAGTTTATCAAGAAAAAAAGGCAAAAAATTCCGAAGATGAGATTTTTGAGTTTTCTCAAAAAGAAGCAGAAGAAATATTAGGCAAAGATTTATTAGCTTGCCTAAATAATTAATTAATTAAATTTTGAAAAAAAAAATATATCGTTTAATTAATTGATCGTTTTGTACAAAGCGAATCAGTCCAAATATCAGCTAGACGCTTACTCCCCCCCCCCCCCCTCCGTGAGCGAACAAAAAATTTTTGTTCGCTCACGGAGGGGTTAATTTTTATTTTTTAAAAAAAATTATATATAAATTTTTAATTGTAAAATAAATATTTTTTTATAAGTTGAAAATTATTTTAAAAATATTATGGGGGGAGAGTAAGGGAATTTCCCAAAAAAAAGAGAATACCATTTGATTAAAGGTAAAACACAGCTTAATTTTTTCAATAATTTAATAATCAATAAACCTATTAGTAATAAATATATGCATTCAGTTAAAATATTTTATATATTTTCTTATTTAATATAATAAGCAAATTCTCTATAAATCATAATAAAAATGTACAAAGGGAAAAAGAAAGTACATTGAAATTTGGCAGAAAGTTGAAATTGCTGAATTTTACATTCAACACCAAAATGAGATGAGCATGAGAGATGTTGCTGCAAAGTTTCATGTCAACTCCTTTAGCTCGATTTCCGAATGGGTGAATAAGCTTGATGAGTTGAAGAAATCAGTAAAATCTGATAAAAAATTAAAATTAGAAAGCTTCACTCAATTTCCAGAGCTAGAGAAAGAACTAGTTCATTGGTTTACTGCAATCCGTGAGCAAGGTATTCAGGTTCTCAGATCAACGATTGAGGAGAAAGCAAAAAGTTTGGCGGCAGAAATGGGGATTGGCGCGATTCGGCTGTGGAGATAAATGGTGGCAAGGATTTAGGACCAGAAATAATTTATCTTTCAGAAAAATCAATGCCTCAAGCATTAAGCCAATCGAAAAAGAGGCAGAACTTGTCAGGCAATACCTAGATGATTTAGCGTCATTGCTTCCTCAATTCGTTCCATCTAACATTTACAATTTCGATGAAACGAGATTTGATTGAGATGTAAAAAGCAAGTTCACTTATGATTTCAAGGGAACTCAACGAATTCTAGGCGTTCAAATCAGCTAAAATGAACCATTTTTATCACTGTTATGCTTATGATTAGAGCTGATGGAGAAAAAATGCCTGCTTTGCTCATTTTTTCAAGAGAAAAATGGCCAGATCCCGAACCTTGTAAGAGAAAGACTGAATATTCCAGAAATGTCATCATAAAAATCAAATAAATCTGGCTACATTTCTGACCAGATTCTTAATGACTACCTCAGAACAATATTGAGACGAGAAAACCAACTGCTGATTTATGATCAGGCTGGAAGTCATAAAACTATCATGATTTCTAATGCAATTTCAGATTTAGATGCAACCAAAATTTGTGATCCCTGGAGGGTGCACAAAGTATTTGCAACCACTTGACGCACTGGTAATTGCAAATTTCAAATCAAAAACAACAGATTTCAGAATCAAATTCCAAACAGAGCAGATTGAAAGAAGATCGAAAAGAACTGGAAACCTCAAAGCTCTTGATCGCCAGCAACTGATAAACATTGCTTCAAAGGCGTGAGATGCTGTAAGCCCTCAACTTGTCAGAAAATCATTTGAGTTGACGGGTTCTTATGGCGTTAATCATCCAAAGATTTTCAGCCATCAAGTTAATATGAAGAAGTTAATTATCTAATCGATTTCTTCTATTCATTTTTTTGTCTTAAATTAAAATTGTTAAATTCAACCTTTTCACTTATGGTATTCTTTTTTTTAACCCTTTGAATAATATATCAAACAAACTTAATAATTATTTTTCAATATTATCCTCTTTATTTGTATTAAATATAGATATAATAAACTATATATAAAATTATATGTAAAAAAATTTTTTGTTCGCTCACGGAGGGTGGGTTTTTTGACCAAAAAAATAGGGATTTTTCTAATGGTTTTGTTCGCTCACGGAGGGGGGGGGGGAGCTAGCATTTTTGAGCATGTTGTGCGGAATATTTTATTTAACGGCTTCATTGAGGTTTTTTTTGAGATTTGCTTTTCTTCTTTTATATCTCCGGTGCTTCCTCATTTTTTTAGCTCATTACTCGTCTCTTTGGACTTAATTGAGTTACAAGTTCCTCTCCTATTTAAATATTGATCGACATCTTTACTCAATTTTTTCTGCTTTTTCTTCGATTTTCTCATCTTCGCTAATTGGAGTTTAGGGATTATTTCTCTTTCAGGCTCTTCAATAGGCATAAAAATGCTTGAACGTCGGCTCATAGTGCTGCTTTTCCTATCAGTTTCTAATGGTACTTCGCTTTCCATCCTTTTCATCTCATTTTTATTCAAATGAGGCGTATAGTTATATTCTCCTGATTTATTTCCAAACGTGCTACTTTCATCATTTTTATTTCCAAGCATTTCCATTCATTGCTCAGGTAATGGATCACATCTATAATGATTTTCATCAGGAAGATATACATCTAATATCTTCTCAAGCCCAACTTTGAAATATTTTGTCTTTATCTTATGATCATTCGAAACTCCAATTACAAGAGAAATCTCCCCGAGTATATTGGAATTTTCGCCATAAAGGAAAAGTCTTTTTTGAGAGCTCATGGCCTGATTTGGGGATAAATAAAAAGGGAGTTCAAAAAATAAAAAGGACTTCGAGTAAGCAATTTTGGATTCTCAAGATCTGTCCCGTGTGATGCGAATTTCTATTTGAAAATGCTTAAAAAAGGCTCTTGGAGATTTATCTGCAGATAGATAAAGATAGTAGAGCTTCATATGTGGAATTTTTAATATTTGGAATCCTGATAAGTTTTCGAGAGGAAATACGGTAATGCTGTTATGAAATTTGATGCTTAAATGCAAATCTTTATAAGTGTCCGTAACCATTTCCAATTTGTCAAAATATATTAAAATACGCCATTGGTTTAAGGTTTGAGGCAAAAATTGCAAGTCAGGGTCGGAAGTAAAAGACTTATCTATAGGAATATTCATTGTTTTAGCTAGTTCTTTTTCAACTTTAATTAGTTCAAGCTCGCTGCTTATAAGTGTGAAGCAATAGTCACAAACTCTGACAGATTGAGATAAAGTTTCAAAATTTGCTACATTAGCATTTAAAGTATCAAATGGGGCGTTTCTTCGGCTTTCAATATGCTCTTTAAAAATTACAATCATTCTTTCTGACACAAGATGATTGAGATCTGATTGAGCATAATTCAATTTGCAAGATTTACAATGTGCTAACTCCCCCTTTAAATTGGAACAAAAATGCTGCTGTTCCAATTTAAAGGGAGGTTAATTTTTTTTTAAAAAAAAATATATTTAAATTTTTTTCTCTGAAATTTTTTTTTAAAATACAAATTGACACAACACTTTAAATTTTAAATTTTATTTTTCTATAAATAATTAAATTTAATCAATCAGTGTGAAAAATGTTTAGATAGCATTTTAATTGCACTTTTCATTTTATTAAGTCAAAGTTAATTCTATAAAGATCATATTTAATTTTTTTCTTCAATTTTTTTTTTTAAAATACTTTGAATTTTATTTTATTTTATGAAGAATTGAATAAAACAATTAATCGATTCAGTTTTAAAACTGTTTAAATAATATTCTAGTTGAATTTTGTCTAAAAAATAATTTTGAAATTAGTTTTTGCAGCATCAAAATTTTCCTATCGAAAAGCAATTTTGTTCCAATTCAAAAGGTGGTTAACGTACCCAAAAATGCAAATCTTATTGATGATTTGTTCCAACCTAAAGGGGGAGTAAATTATAATTACCATAATAAACAATTTCCTCAACTTTACTCATTGACTTTGCCTTAGCGTCCTTGATGCTAGCTGGAGTTGAAAATTTTGGAGAAGATAATGAATGCCTTGCAAATTTATCAAAAAATATTAACTCCTGCTTATTCAAGCTCGTTATATCAATTTTGAACCCTTTGCAATTACAAAGTCAGATTTTTCCACTTTGATCTCTTATGAAATCAAGCACTATTTTTTCAAGCCTCAAATCATACGATTTTTCTAAAAATCTGGCTATTTTTTTAGCTTCTACTTCATAAGGCCTTAACGCATGTCCTGTAACATTTACAATATCTCATGTGTTTGGGAGTTTTGTATCAATGATGAATCTTTTATAAGGGCTTAAATATTCCATCTCATTAACGTCGTTTATAATTGCAACCCCTAAATTAGCTCTATGGTCTTTTTTGAAGCTTGAAAAAAATATTCTAGTAATTGATGGTCTATCTCCAGAAGTTCTTATATACCGTTGCAGTAGCACTGACTGCAGCTGCTCATGAGATTCAATTCTTGATCTAAACTGATCCCACATAAGTACACTTGATTTCATCCACAAATCTCCTCTCGCTCTAAAAACAGCTGCAGCTTGATCCATTTCGTTATCTGACTGCACCCTATGACTTAGCACTTTTTTCATGAAATCATACACTTTAAATGAAGTCTCACAATTAGCACAACCTGCTTCATCTGTATATAATAAATAAGCTCTATCAGCTGCATAATAACTTTCCGGTATATTTACTTTGAGCTTGTTAATATTTCTTCTTCCATGAATCAAGCTTTCAAGAAATCCAAAGCCAGGCTTAATGGGGGAATTCTTATAGTAATCTTCAGGCGGCAGATGTTTTGTGATTCTTTCCAGCTTTGCTTTAAATCTTGCATTGACTATTTCTTGATCTTCGTTTGACTCTTTTTTCCTTGGGCTTTTGCTTGCAAGTCTCTGCAAATACTTATTATGCCTTTTTTCCCTTTGCTCTTGTTTTTCTTGCTCCAATAGGTTCTTCATTTTGTTTATTTGGTCATGAAGTGTTGGATCCCAATTCGTAGGAAACCCTGTTGTAGAAGCCAAAATATTGACAAGGTTGATATTTGCATATTGATCAAAGTCTTCATCAATTGGCTTTGGGTGTATCGGAACCATAGTCGTTGTGTTTCTGACGCGTGTCGATAAGTTCACTTTTTCATCAAATAATTCATTTCACATTTTTAAGAATTCAAATGGTTTTATTATGTTTTAGATTTCATTACCCAGCCTTTGTCAGTCTCAGTACAGTTTTTCTGTAGAAACTCTTTAGCTGTATTGATGGGGATATATCGTGATGGGCCACCATGAGCAGGATTCAGCTTAATTCTCTCTGGGCTGCAATAGATATGTCCACGATTGACCCCAACGACTTCTCCTTTTGTGTTGACGAGCGGTCCACCACTTTGCCCGTGCATCATTTCTACGTTTGCAAATAAACTCACTCCATCAGAGCCTTGATAGTATCCTTTGCAGCCTAATAATGAATTAATAACAAGCCCATAATGAAAAATCTCTTCTCCAGACTTCAGCTCTGAGCTGTCTCCTAATTTAATATAATTATAAGTGTGATGTCTTGGGAGCTGCAGTAAAGCTAAGTCATTTTCTTTTTCATAATCAATTACTTGTATGAATTCCCCTTCAGTTGTGGTTGCTTCATAGTCTTTCAAACAGTGCGAAGTTGTCAATGCAAGTCCGCTGCTTGAGATTGCAAAAGCTGTTCCTCTTGTCTGATTTGAAAATTGGATCGCAATTAGGGTTGCTTTGGTTTCCTTATGATGTGCGTAATAACAATATGCTAAAGAGCCTAATCCAAAAAGCTTCATTATTTAATAATTATGCTTATATCTTGGGTGAGTTCTTTGTGCAGTCGGGTGCTCTTTGTATTCCAAGAAGACGTTGTCATTTAGCTTCCAAATTCTCTTCAGAGTTTCTTTGACTGAATTTTTGACTGAGAGATCTTGTCCGCTTCGTATCCAGATAGAAAAGATGTCTTCGTTAGCTCTGATGGACACAGCTACTCCACAGATTTCGTCAGCAACATCAAACTGTTCTCCAATCATAGTAATTAGAAGTTCTTCCCAAAATAGTGAAGCCGCACCTTTTTTAATTCTTAAGATCCACCTTGCTCCTTTTTTGTTGGCTTCATCTTCCCACATAGGCTTGATTCCTTCTTGAAATACGTGATATTCGGTATTCAGCGGGACATCATCAGGTTTTTTGAGATGAGAGTAATATTGCCAAAACTCTTCAATCGTGCCAAAACTGCCTATCATTTTGATAGAATCTCCATAGTCTGTAACTGTTTTAGTTGAATCAGAAGCAGTGAACCAATATGAGTATCGCTTTTCAAGAGGGTTATGCTGTGGTATCATTAGTTAAATTATAAGGAAAAATAAATTTATTGCTGAAGCGCTGAAGATTAAAAAATGGCTGAATGCTCCTTCTAAATTAATTTGCAAAATTTTACTGATGGTCTTTTACTTGTAACTTCATTTATTCATAAATTGATCATTAAACACTTGAAATTTTATTAATAAAATGCTGAAAATTATGCGGCTGGCACGCTATTTCAGCGCTATCCCAGAATCCACCATCAAAACAGCAAGTAGCTTTGAGCAGTTCAATCTTCCCAAATATATATTGGATGTATTTAAGGAAGCTGGCTACACGGAGCCTACCCCGATTCAAGCTATGACATGGCCAATTATCATGAAAGGAAAAGATCTTGTAGGTATTGCGAAGACCGGGTCAGGCAAAACAATGGGCTTTTTGGTTCCTTCATTGCTACACATCAAGTCCAAGCCACCAGTTCAGCGTGGAGATGGCCCTCGAGTTCTCGTCCTCTCCCCAACTCGTGAACTGGCTTGCCAAATCGGTGCTGAATGCGAGCTTTTCGAGCAAAAAAGCCAAACAACATCAGTCTGTGTTTATGGTGGTGCGAATAAGTGGCTTCAAGCTCGCAAACTCCGCCTAAACCCAGAAACAATCATCGCTACACCAGGCCGATTAATTGATTTTATCGATTCCAAAGAGACTACTGTAAAGAACGTCAGCTATTTAGTCCTTGACGAAGCTGACCGTATGCTTGATATGGGCTTTGAGCCACAAATCCGCGAAATATTAAAAACAATCAGAGCTGTTGTATATATAATATGGCTGGAGAAGAGCGAACTGCCCTCCATAAAAGGGTCCATTTTATGCCTGGCATAGTTTTGAGTTTTAGTTATGGCCTTGCTATAATCAGTAGCCTCAAAGCAAGAAATGAGGCCAAGACTGCTGCTTTTGATCACTATTCCTTGGGTAGTTAATTTGATCTCTTTTTGCCAGCAATGCCCATCTCAGCGGGCTCGCGAAATGATGCAGGCTATATAACTGCATAAGCTATGCTCTTAATTGCGAAAGCTATCGAGTATTTTTAGGGATATCATGAAATGAAGGGAGTGAAGCTAGTAACGAAGAGGGGAGTCTCCCTAATTGATCTGGTGCTGGAGGAGCGTAGAGTTGCTGCAAACTTGGGCAACATAGGTGTTTTGATTAGGGGTAGTCAGTAATTGATCCAATGCCATCACCTCGACCGAGAATCAGTGGTTTCGGCCCGAGCTCGAGTCGATATTTTCTACTACTTCGCAAACACTACAGCTGAGCATCTCCGAAATAGGGATTTGAAGGCATTTGAATCTAATCTAATCAGAGCTGACCACCAAACCTTGATGTTCACTGCTACCTGGCCTAAAGAAATCATAGGGCTAGCAAGAGACTTTCTCAGCACCCCTGAAGAAATAAGAATTGGCTCTGAAGATTTAACCGCAAACCCTGATATAGAGCAAACATTCGAGTTTATTCACTCTGAATCTGAAAAATTTTCAAAGCTGCTTGAAGTCTGCCATCATCACAAAAACGAAAAAATTTTGATTTTCTGTGACACCAAGATGGAGTGCCAAAGGGTTGCTGACAAGTTAAAGCACAGAAGTATTAAAGCAGAGGAGCTTCATGGAGATAAAGAGCAATATGACAGAGATCTTGTCATGAAAAGCTATAAAAAAGGTGAAATCGATATTGTGGTTGCGACAGATGTAGCTTCCAGAGGATTGGATGTTAAAGATATCAAGCTTGTCATCAATTATTCGATGCCTAGAGAAACAGTCAGTTATGTACACAGAATTGGTAGAACTGGTAGGGCTGGAGCTAAAGGTAAAGCCTTGACTTTTTACTCAATCGAAAATCCAAAAATAGCTAAAGAACTTATTAAAATACTTCAGACAGCTGGCCAGCCGGTTCCTCCAGAACTAAAAGATTACGCAGGAGGATCATCACCATCATCATTCTCAAGAAGTTCAACAAGCAGCAGCAATTTAAAAAGATCAAGAAGCGCTGATTTCAGTGACGAAGATTCTGGAAGAAAATCATCAAGGAGCAGGTTTTCCGAAGAACCCATAAAACGAAGAGCAGCCAAGCCTCAGCTTGATGAAGAGGGAGAGGGAGAGGAGGAAGAAACCAGGAAGCCAAAAATTTCAAGGGCCAACTTTGATGAGGACGAATTCGAGGAAAGAAAGCCAAGACGGACCAGATCTAGACTTTCATTAAATGAGGAAGAAGATACACAAATTGGCCAAGAAAGTAGCACAAAGAAAAGAGTGTCGAGCTACAGAAGAAGAGAGGATGAAGATGAATAGTAATAAATAAATGTTTATTATGGAATTTAGGCTTTCGAATTAAGGATGCAGTATTAGCAGAAACAATATGGAGCAGCTAATGATTCAGGCTTGGTGCAATTGTGTGAGTAGATATCAAGTCTTTTAATTGAATGCAGCTGAGCTTTCATTGAAATTAATAAGCCCTTGGGGAATCTTTGAGTGAATCTTTCACTGGGGTTGAAACCATAAGGGTCATCAAGCTCAAGCCTTCTGAATTCTTTTGTCGCTTCTGCTGCGAATCCATTCACTTCATACAGTGCCTTTTGGCTTTCTTTGATAGAAATGGTAATAGTTATGTTTCTATTTTGAAATTCTTCACCTCTTATTTGATGCTCTTTTGCAGTTAGAATATTATCTAAATGAACCGGCTCCATGCCAAATGATATATTAATTGCTAGAGAACGGCGCTATTTGCGCCATTCTCTGGCAATACGGAAAATCGGCTCCACACGGGAACCATTTTCCACGTGTGGAGCGATTTTTTCACACGTGGAAGTCAGGATTCTCACGTGTGGAAAAATGGCTCCACACGTGGAAAATGGTTCCCGTGTGGAAAAATGGCTCCACACGTGGAAAATGGTTCCCGTGTGGAGCCGATTTTCGGTTGCCGAGGATGTGCAAATAGCGCCATCCTCGGGCAATTTCTATAGTGGATTTTGACAGTGTACATTTCATCGAAATCCATTTGGTCGAAAATTTTTGATAGTGCGGACATTTGGCCGAAAATTAACGGATTTTTTCGATCAAATGTCTCACTATCAAAAATTTTCCCAAAAATTTTTCGGTGAAATTGACACTATCAAAAAGGCAAAGTCATTTGACCTGCACCCAAAAGAACCAATTGGCAGGAAGCATGCGACTCTTTTATTTGATTATTTATTGATTTTATTGCTAGATCAGCCAAAACAGTTACTGGCTTATATTGCTGCTTATAGGCAATATCAACTCATCTTATGCAGGTGCATAAATAATTTTCAATTCCAAGATCACTGCAAGTCCTATCTTGGCTTGCACTCTCTAATAGTAGGCTTATTGAATCTTTTACAAAGAAGTCCTTTTTCCACTGATTATAAAGAATGCTTTTTGGGTCTAATTTTCCATATGGAGACACAGCTAATTGTTTTAAAGTCAAGTTTCAGTCAAATTTTCCAACCATTCTCAACGAGTTTTCTTTTAAATTGCGAGCTGCATCTATCCTTGAAATAAATTTTCTATTAGTAATAACAAACTGAGAAGGAAGCTTATTTTCAATATACCCTTCATAACTTCTATCCCACTCTTTCGTATGCTTTCCATGATCTGAGCCAACAAAAATCATCATATCTTCATCTGGATTATCATAGAAATATTTGACCAATTTTTCCATGTATTCTACTAAATCATCATCTAGTGTTCTTATAACAGTTCCACTCTCTTCGTGAGCTGTTGAAAGATGAATATATGCAAATTTATTGATTTTTGAATAATTATTGAGATATTGCCAAGTATAATCAAGCATATAGTAATGAGAGTTGTGAAGACCCAAGCACTGCTGGAGCTCTAAGAAATCTTTATAGCCATATGTATAGGCTGCTCCTGACCAAAAATTGAAAGCTTGGTGATCTGTTTGAATTTTTTTTCCAAGTCCTTTAGCGAGAAAATCATATATTGTGTCATAACCCATCATTGTGACAAAGCCATTTTCTTTATAGAAATGTCACAGAGAATTTTGTTGGATTCCTTGAAAGATCCAATCATCAGCTTTTCGCCTAAAACTGAAACCTTTTCCGCCGATTAAATCATCATGAAAAGATGAGTTATGGCCATATAGAACAGGAATCATATTGGGATATGTGTTTTCTCCTTGTGCACTATTTATTAATCCTCCTTATGAAAATAAAGGTATCATTTTTTTGGATTTGGCATTTTTTTAATAGAATTTTGCTTTTGAGGTCATTTTTATATATAAAATTTTAAATTCATAAACAAAATTTTACGTTTAATTGAAATAATAATTAATAAGAGCTAAAATTCTTGCACTATCCTCTCTCAAATTATTATATCTTTTCCATTTCTTAATTGACCTTGAAGTAGGGATGTAAGAAGTCATAAGCTAAAAAGTCCATTGAATATTTACCAGTTACGATATTTGAGTTTAAAAAATCAATAAATAAAGGTAGATTTCTATATAAATGAAGACGAGATAAAGAGTCAATCAATATGTAAAAAACAGTAAGAGGCCTATGCGGTTTTCTTCTAGCTAAAAATTGATTGATTTCTCTTGATTTTTCTTTCGCTTCATCTGCGACTTTTTTGTTGAATTTGTTAACTAAAAACGTTTGAATTTGGCGCCCACATTTCCCATATGCAAATTCCCTTTGACCAATATCAACTGGGCTTGTATAGTTATTTCATTTTATTTGGATTAATAAAGATCCAAATGATTCAGTTTCAATTAAGCTCCCTAGTGCATATTGAGGGTTTTCTGTGCAATTCATTTCAAGTTTGCTGCTTGAAAATTACTTATTTGATGAATTGAAAAATAAAAATTGATTTTTTTCGTCACTGCAACTATCAAATGATTTTCATGGATTAAATAATTCGTCTGCCTGGCTATCTGAGTATCCAAGTTTTAGAGGAAAACAAGAAATATTTGGAATTTGTGAAGGGATTTTTTGGAATCTTTGTGAAGATTCTGCACTTATATCATAATCTTTGAATTCAACGAGACTGGATGATAGCAGGCTATAATACTCTCAATGAGAATTAGAGATGTTAGCTTTGCTATTTTGTTCTGCATGATCATTATCATTTTGATTACTTTCCTCTGAATCTTTTGATGGAGTAAAAATTTGGTTATTATATATAAATTCTTTATCTGAAGGCAAAAATTTATCACCAATATTAGTTTCAAAAGCAAGCCAAATAGTAATTGCTGCATACAAAAATAAAGCTGCAACTGAAATCCCCAATGTAATTTTTCTTTTTAATCCTCATCTGGCTGAGCATGAAGATTCAGCCATTTTTTCAACTTATTTGTCATAATGCCTAATTTTTATATAATAATATTTTTCTAAACCTATTATATCGCTCTTTAAATTTCTTTAAAAATTAAAAGACTTCTATCAATATCTAGCAGTGCGCTCTCTATTCTAGCTTCTGTCTGCTTATACCTTTCTAATTGTGATTTCTCCTCATTAGTCAGTGATCCTACCCTTTGAACCAAATTCCAAGCTTCTTCCATTTCACTGTGGAGCCTAAGCTTAAGATTTTGCATTGAAATATATAATTGGTTTGTTAATTCCTCCTTAATTTGTTCTGGCTTAATTCCATAAACCATTAAGGTAGGTAGCTGCACTAAATGCAAAAATCCTGAAGTAAATAGGTCGTTTATACAAATGCGAGCTTCTTGAGGAGGAAGTAAAGTTAGCTCTGAAATGGTTTTTTCATCAAGCAAGCCCTTGGCAATAAGAACACGGAAAATACGGGAATGATAATCGCCAAAGCGGCCTTTAATAATTTTTTCTATTGTGGAATTTTGGAGGATTGAACGAATTGACGGAAGATCTAGAGAGTAAGTTGTTTGTGAACTTACTCCCCTTTAAATTGAAACAAAACATCGTTAATTTTGTATTTTTTGGGAGTTCAATGTTATTAAACAGCTTTCGCACTGAATCGATTAAGGATTTTATTTGATTCTCCATAAAAATAAATTAAAATTCAAAGCATTGTGCTCAAATTTAAATTTTAAAAATTTTTAAAAAATATTTTGAAAAATTAAAGATGAAAATACTAATTTTGTAAATTAATTTTGACCTATTTAATGGAAAAAGTGTTAGTAGCATACTATTTAAACATTTTTCACACTCAATCGATTAATTTATTTAATTATTTCTTTATTAGATTATTTAATATTCAAGGTATTGTGTTCAATTTATATTTTGCATATAGAAAAATTTAAATATAATTATGTTTTTAAAAAAAAATTAACACCTTAAATTGGAATAAGATTTTTTGTTCCAATTTAAAGTGGGGGGAATTAGTGTAACGAGTTTTGCTCTTTCTAATTGTTCTAATAAGGTGTCGACGTTGTTTTTATTTATTTTTGGCTTCGGTGGAAGATTTTCTATAATTTCATTGATAGAAAATTGCCTATGCGGCCCAAGTTTATAAAGAGTTTCTGCTATCACTGATGCTTCTATATTCACTTTAAAGTTTGCTAAATTTCCAATCATTTCACTAATGATTTCTCTGTTCAGCTTCTGAAAGTTAAGTCTATAATGCACACTATTATTGCTGCTGCTGCTAGGAATTGCACTGGAGATTTGTGGCTCGTTTTTAATTTCTGGATCAATTTTCACTCTTTTCCTCGGCTTTCCAAGGTTTTTCTTCTCTTTTTTGACTTCGATATTTTCCCCAAGCTCAAAATTAGGATCCACAGGAATTAAGTACTCACTCTCTATCAAAGAATTTATCAAATTTGTCAAATGGTTGTTATCAGCTTTTCTCTTATAAACTGGTGAAACTTCTATCATCTGCGCTACAGTCATGCAGCCATTTTCCAAAATTTCTTCAATAATCCCATTTTCATTGAATTTTTGATTCATCAGCTTAATAAATCTGGGAAATCTGACCCTGCTTAAAATTTCTTCAGGATGAATAGAGTAAGTCGAAATTTGGGCTGTTTTTTTGTCTGTTTTTTCCTGAAGTGAAGATGCTAAATTTTTTATTCCATTTGTGGCAGTGTTAGAGGTTGAATGGGATTTTTTGGGTTTTTCAGAGTTTTCCTTATAGATGATGTTTTGCTGAATAAGTAAAATCAAGGCATTTTTTATGTCAGAAAGGTTAAGTCCTGTTGCTACTTGAATCTGCTTTAGCTGCATTTGATTTCTTGATGCTAAAAGAAAGACAATTTGTGATGGTATTGTGCCATAGAGTTCCTCTGTAATTAATTTCAAGAGGTTATCCATTTATTATTTAATCATTACTATTTTCCTCTTTTTTAGTGAACCTTCAGCTGAGAAAAACTATTAAAGCTGCTAGTGATATGTTTAATGAATATTCAAGTCAGTCTGTGTTTGACTCAATATCTTCTTCATCTTCATTTTTTTTGCAGAGAGCTACCAATTCTGGAGTTAACGTATTATTTAAAATAATTAGCATCAAAAAGGTAAGAATTTGAGCACCCATTCATCTTATTTTTTTGTTGCTCCAGAACAGATAAATTGTAAAAGATAAATAAATTAAATCTAATAATGAAGTAATCATATATCATTTACACATAAAAATTTGTAAAAATTTGTTATAGTAGTATCCTACATTCATAAGTCCATGTGTTCCTATAGTCAGCAATAAGGGCCCATTATAAAATTTATAGTGGAATAAGACTAGAAATAAATTAACAGTCAAAACATGATGGTTTGTGTACATGCATGCACTTCTCATAACAAAAGCACAAAGGAAGCTTGTAGTAATTGTTTCACATGCGTAATAGAGAGGGAGCACAGCTATTCCAAGAAAAAGAAATCATGGGACTGGATCTTGCACGTGAGTAGGCTTCCGTAAGTTGAAATATCTTGAAGGATTTCGGCAGAGATAGTAAGTGCAAGCAACTGCATTTATCGCCATAACTCAAAAGTGAGTGATGTTGATGTAGGTTTGCACTTTCCAAATCATGTCATGATTATTCATTATATAAATGCGCAATTAAGAAAAAGCCAAAGCCTTTAAAGATAAATGTGAGTTTGTAAGAGAGTGGGAAATCAATTAGTTTAAATTTTTAAAATTTATTTTTATTTCATTAACTATACAAAATTACACACACAGGAAACATTGTTACTGGTAAACCCAGCCATTATATTTTCTTCTAGATTCAGCAGTGAATTTAATAATAAATAGATAAATAAAAAAATTCTACAAAATGAGCCACTTAAAGAAAGAAAAATAGAGCACTGACTAGTCAGTAGGAATGCTTCTTGTGTGCATAATTTTGTATAGATAGAGAAATATATCAGCTAAATTTTAAAATCGATATTCTTCTTTTATCTAGCCTGTCCTCTCAACAACACGAATTTCTTTCCATTTATAATCTATCTTTTTAATTTCCTAAGCTAAAAAGTCAAAATTTCTTTCCCCACCTCGAATTTCATCTTTTCTTACATATAAAGCTCAAATTATATTTAAAAATGCAAGAACAGGATGAAATCCCTTTATCAGGAAGCAACGAATATTCAGTTCCTCAAGAAGCCTCATTTCCAGGTGAAAGGCCATTGAATGCGAGAGGCGCTTACAACCTTCCTGGGGATGAAATGCCGGTTGGTTCACAGCTTGATGAGAAGCCAATAGGCAGCGCCGGAGCATATAATCTGCCACCTGAAGAAGCCCCCGAAGAAGCTGAAGTTGAGGAAACAGGACCCTTAGAAAAGCGCATTGAATCAAAAGCTTGGAAAACACGTGTAAAGGCCCTTGAAGAATTGACTGGATTACTAAGAACTGATCCAGATCCACCTTTTGCAGCCTATTTAGACCTTATCATCAAATTCATTTCAGACTCACATGCAGGAGCCCAAGAAAATGGTCTTGACGTTCTCAGCGTGTATATTGAAAAGCAGCCTGATATGATTTTGTCCCAGAGTGAAGGGATTACCAAAGCACTTATCGAAAAAGGAATTGCGAACACAAAAGCTAATATTAAGCAAAAATCAGCAAATATTTTGCTGGATTTTTACGGAATATAGCCCATACCCCAATATAGATTTCTAAATGCAATAGAAAGTTGAGAGACCTCTTAAATTTAAATTTATAAATAGCCATTAAAAATAGATGCGTTTTACTTGTCAAATTTGTTCACACATGTCAACCATTTTTGACATGCCACTTTTTAACTCTTCCTGGTTTAAAAGATCCAGTTCGAACCTTTGTTAGTGTCTGTATTTGGTTTTCAACTTTCTATTGCATTTTTTTGATAAAGAAATCTATATAAGTGTATGGGCTATACATAGAACCACTCAGGAACCATTTATAAATGGTCTCATTGCAGCGCTTAATAATAAGAACTTAAAGATCCAAGCAGCTGCTGTTTCAAGTACGAATTCGATTATGGGAGCCTATGGGGCTAAAGCTTTTTCGTTTAAACCGTTTGTAGGGATCATGGAGAAGTTTGCAGGCGTCAGCAATCCCCAGGTAAGAGGGGAAGCTTTATATTGCTTTACATTGAATTTGATGCTATATAGATAAGCTGAGATCCAGATATGCATAAAAAATTTATTAATAATATATCACTTAAAAGAAAATAATTGATGCAGAGCGCTATAAATTTTTATAAGGAAGCCTACAAATGGGTCAGAGATTTAATTTTACCTAGTGTGGACAAGCTTAAAAAAGCACAGCAAGATGAACTAAAAAAATCATTTGAAGAATTAACGGAACCTCCTGTTGTCACTAGATATATTGTAGGACAGCAGCCAAAAGCTGAAGAAACTAAGGCTGGTGGCAAAAGCAAAGGAGGAGCCATTGATATTTATGACATGGCAGATGCCAAAGATATTTTCAATAAATATGGCGAAAGATGGGCAGATGGAGTACTTGCAATGGAAAAATGGGTAGAGAAGAAAGCTGCTTTAGAAGAGCTCAATGCAGAGCTAAATTATCCAAAACTGGCAGAAAAAAGTCCAATTGCCTTGACAACAATGGGTAAAAGGCTCATAAATGATGCCAATGTAAATGTAATGATGCAAACAATGAAAATGATTGGATTGCTCGCTAAAGGCCAAAGAAAGTATTTTGATAGCTATGCTAACTTTCCCTAATTCTTGATAAAAAGATTTCCTATCGTTTAGCCAAGGCTGGAAATTAAAAATCCTCAAAAAAGTATATTTAATTTTATTTTAATTTTTTCATATAAAAAGTTTGAAGCTTTAGTGATAAGAGATATACCATAAATATATTAGCAAATACACTTTATAGCTGAAAGTGGATAATATAGTAATATCTCTTATATTCTCTCTATTTCCAAATATTTGTAGCTAGATTTGAAGCAGGAAGTAGCTGGTTTCATGCCTGAGCATATGAAAATTGCTCAATCAAGAATGACTTTAATTTACCTATATTTTTAGGGAAATAGTTCATTAATATTATTGATCAAGGACAAGGGAGTAAGCAGTTTTTGCCAATATTTTTACAAAAATTCAAAGATAAGAAAAGCTTAGTTATCCAAGAAACCCATACATCCCTTGATAATTTAATGTACAGTTTAAACATTGAACAAGTAATAGACGACATAAAAGAAGCCTTAGAAGACAAAACCCCATCAGTAAAAATCAATACTTGCCAATGACTTGAAAGAGTTTTTGCAGAAATGCCTGATGAGCAAGTGGCTAAAGTAGCAAAGGTAATTGCTATAATTTTAAAGAAAAACACAGATGATAGCACAGCTGATGTAAGGAACTCTTGCTTTAAGATGCTTGCATGCTTATTGAATAAATGCTCTGACATTATAAATCCTCTCATAAAAGATTTGCCATCTGCAAAGATGAAAAAAATTGAAGAAGCTGGCGGTAATGCAGGCACAAGTAAAAGGGAACAAAGTGTGGAGAGAACTGTTACTGTTGAAGAAAGTAAAGACGAAAAGCCAGAGCTGAGAAGATCGAGAAAAAGTATGACTTCAGCCCCACAACAGTCTAAACCACCAGCAAATAGTAAAAAGCAGCCGTTATTGCCACCAAAAAGCCCTGCACCACAAAAAGATAAAGAATCAGCTGCACAGCCTGAAGAAGACCTTGGAGCCCCTATGTCTCCAGAAGACGCTGAAGCAGTTATTTCACCTTTGATCCCAAGTGAGACTTTTGAAAAGCTTAAAAACAGTAACTGGAAAGAAAAACAAGCAGGCCTACAAGAATTCTTAGAATGGATAACCAATAACCAGCCAGTGGCTTCTGAAAACAATGAAGCGATCATGCGTTTTGTAAAAAGTACTGTAAAAGATTGGAAAGAAAATAACTTCAATGTCAACAAAGCTGCTTTTGACCTGTTCTCATATTTAGCCCAAAACTGTAACTTAACGAAGCGTGCAGCTTCGATGGCTCTTAATTCTCAAGCTCTTGATAAGTTTTCTGATATGAAACTAATTGAATCTTATAATTCTTGCATTTTTAGTTTTTGTGAATGTGTTGGACCAAGATTTGTAGTTTCATCCATCATTAAAAATACTAGCGATTGCAACAAGCCTAAAGTCGTTTCTGAGTGCTGCTCAACAATTGGTAAGGCCATTAATGATTATGGCATTCACACAGTAAATCTGAAAGAAGTCATTGACTATTCAAAAGCTGGGATTTCCCAAACAAATGCGGTTATTAAAAAAGCTGCTCAAAGCCTTACTATAATTATATATTCCCACATTGGTGATAAGATTCTTCCATTTATATCAGACATAAAAGAGCAAACTTTGAAAGCATTACAAGAAGAATTTTCCAAAACTGAGGTCATTAAAAATGCTAACTATAAAACTATCAGAGGAGAAGAGGAGTCTAAATTAGATCCAAATAAAATGATGGATGCACAGTTCCCACGCACAAATATAAGCTCACAGATAAATGCAGCAATTCTGAAAAAGCTAGGGGATTCGAATTGGAAAGTAAGAAAAGAAGGACTAGAAGCAGTAGAAGCAGTAATAGACCAAAGTGGAATGAGGATCCTGCCAACTGGCTTAGAAGTACTAATTAAAGCTTTGAAAGCTAGACTTGCTGATCCAAATAAATCGCTTGTCAGACAAACACTTGGACTTATGGGCAAGCTTGCACAAGCTTTAGGTTCAGAAGGGAATTCAATATCAAAGTCAATAGTTCCAGGAATAATTTCAAATTTATCAGACAAAAATTCATTGTTAAGAACAGATGCATTAGCAGCAGTTGATAAATGGTCGCAAGAAGTAAGCCCTGAATGCGTAATAAATCAAAGCGCCCAGCCTTTACTGCAAGAAAACCCTGAGCTTCGTACAGAACTCCTTAGCTGGCTGTTAGCTCACAAAGAGAATTTTCCGAAGTGTGATATGAAATCTATGGCACCAAGTATTTTATCTTGCTTGCAGGATAGAAGCGCAAGTATTAGAAATGCTGCAGAATTGTTATTCGCAGAAACTGTAAACTTGGTTGGGTTTGATACTTTTCAGCCTTTATTAAAAGATATAAAGCCTGCTGTTATGAATACCCTTTCTACTATTTTTGATAAGTATAAAGGCAGTAGCAATAGCCAAGCAAGTGAGGCGGACAGTCCAAGAGAAAACACTTTATCAGCAAGCAGCAGACAAAGTCGTTCCCAAACAGCCAACACAGGAGGATCCAGATCAAACTCCAAGGGCTCTAATAGAAATACCAGCAAAGTTGGCAGCGACACCCCAAAGAACGAAAAAGAGCTTCTTAAAACCCCCAAACCTGCCTCAAAAGCTTCAGAACAAGCTTCTCAAGACATCTCCATAATTCCTGGACCCGGAAAAGACAAAAGACTAGATTATGAAGCTAAGCACAGATGGAGCATTGAAGAGCTTCGTCAAGATTACGTGGATAAGCTGCGAGCAGACATGAAAGCATCCTTTTCCAATGATTTGTTCAACTTGCTATTTTCTGCTGACTTCAAAAAGCAAATAGAATCCATCCAAGATTTATCAATCTTACTAACTTCTCAGCGTAGAGAAATGCAAGACGTTATTGACCTAGTCTTCAAGTTTATCTGGTTCAAACTGCTAGAAGGCAATAACCCACAGATTTATAAAGCACTGTTTGAGTTTTGCGTCCAGCTTGTTAACACTTTTCAAGAAGACAACTATTCCCTAAATGAAGGAGAAGCCATGCTATTTTTGCCAATTTTGTGTGAAAAATCTGGAAATAATAATGCAGTGTTCAGACAGATGATAAGGAACATTATTCATAGCACAACCAAAATTTATCCTGCCGAAAAAGTGTTTTTAATTGTACTACAAGGATTGAACTCAAAAAATGCACGAAGCAAAGTGGAATGTCTTGACGAATTAACAAGCTTAATACAAGAGTTTGGCTCGGTAATTGCGCAGCCTAGAGACATAAGAGCTATTGCGAAGTTTGTGAATAGTCCTGATAATAGTGTAAGAACTTCAGCTGTTGGCACTATTGGAGAATGCTTTAAAACGATGGGTGAGAGAATATGGAACTTAATTGGAGAAGTCCCTGATAAGGTTAAAGATTTATTAAAGGAGAGGTTTAAATCAATTGCAGGGCCAACGAATCCGCCCCCAAGCCAAGGAAGCTCTTTGAAGCCACCAATGAAAAAGAAAGATGAAGAAAGCGGTAGCAAGCTGAGCACGCCAAGAGGAAATAAATTGCAATTTAAGTTTGAAGAAGGGAATGCAGAAGTTCCAACATTTAATGAATCTGACGAAGTAGAAGTTGTGGCACAGCCTAAGAAAAAGCCTGAAATTGCAGTAACATCGCCACCTTCACAGCAGCTGGCAACACAAACTCCAAACCAATCTTCATCAGGAAGAATTCCAACTCTTCAAAGGAATCCTCTACAGTCTTCAATAGACCAGCCAATCCAAATGTTAATCCCAAGCCAAATCTCAGACCAAATCCCTCAAATTTCTAGCCAAATTTCTACTCCTAGCCAAGCTATCATTCCAGCTCCATCTCAGCTTTACAAGCCCCAAGTCATCCAACCTCCTAGCTCACAAATAACAACTCAGTTTGATAGTCCTCCATCCAAACAAGAGCAGATAACTCCGCGCATAAATCGTGAAGAAGAAAAAAAGATTTCAGTTTTAGACACCTTAGTCACTTCTCCAGAAGTCAGTATTAATGAAAGTCTTCTTTATGACCCTCATCGGGCTGAAGAAGCACAGTCAGAACTGGACAGACATATAGACACTTTGCGCAGCGGTGACATGTCTTCCCGTGTAGATGCTTTAGTTGCTATTAATGATTTGATATTGAATAATCTGGATTCTCATAAAGAAGAGTTCCAGAAGAAGGCTAATATGTTAATTGATGCACTCAGCAAAGTCATTATTAGTACTTTTGAAAGACCGATTGAAGATATTCCTTTGCGCTTTGCTAAATATTTCTTAAATGTAGTACATAAAGTTTGCTGCACAAAGCTCATTATGCGTGAGGTCAGCGAAACTTCTCTTTTTGTGCTTACTGAGCAGATCCTTAAAAGATTGCTAATTGAAGATCTTGATAAGTTAGGTGAAAAAGGGGAAGGAGAAGTCATGCTCAAAACTTTGAACATTAGCATTAAGTTAGATTATCGAAAGTTTCCGGTAGCATCTTGCTCTGTGGGCTGCCGCAGTCCCAACAGGGTGGCGAGCTCCTCCCCACCTGAGGCTTGCATCTAAGGAGAGTGAAGTGCTGGCACCTTGCCACACGCCAGACGAGGTTGCCTGTGCAGAAAATCCAAAAATGGGAATTTCTAGTCAATTGCCCACTCCTGTTTTATGCTAGGGAGTTGTCCGATAGATCTAAAGGGCTTTGCTGGACTTCCCTTTCCAACTTCAAGTCCCACTTTCCCCTGAGGTAAAATCTAGACTAGGGCTAGCCCAAAAATGAATTAGGATCGATTACCTAACATAGTTGCCCATTTTTGGGCTGGCAAACCTTGCCAAATATAACTAAATAAGTGGTCGAAGCTGTATGGCTGAAGGCTATGCCCGGCTGAGACGCCATATGTTTAACTATGACATCATTCTCAAAACCTTGAACGGGACCATGCTAAGAGTTTTAGAGCACTGCAAACCAACTCGGATTTTTGTGGTACTTATAAAATTACTAACAAAGTATATAAATGAAACTTCACTATCAAAGATGCCAGGATTGATCATTAGATGCTTATTGAAATTGACCAAAATTTTGTCAACTGTGATCCATCAGCTGGAAGTTGATAAAATCCTAGTGGCTATGCATGAGTATTTGGTTGAACATAAAATCAACAGCTCAGCTAACACTGATGAAATGGGAACGAAAACAATAAAAACTATTATAAATGAGTTAGTGAAATTACAAGGAGAGGCTATTTGGGAGTCATATGCAGCTGTGAGGAATCACTCCAAGCCTGATTCGAACATTGAGAGATGGATTTCTACCCTTCTCACTCCAACAACTACAATCTCCAGTATAACTTCACCTCGCATTCTTAAGGCTCCACAAGACCCTATATTAAATTCCATCTTTTCTCGTCTGTCTGATGATTCGGGATACACTTCAGCAATCACCGAATTATCTGATTATATTGAAAAAAATCCAAAAACAGATCTTGCTCCTTATCTAGGTCAAGTTCCTTCTGATCTTTATAGTAGAATTACTGATGACTTACGCAATCTAAAAGAAGACAAAGCCAGAAATGAGGAGCCACAGCCACAAGCCTTAGAAAGTTATAATTTCCAAGACTTCCAAAACCGCTTATTCCCCTCCTCAGTACGAACAAAAAAATTTTATTCACTAACATTAACTTTTTTTATCAAAAATTTATAAAGCAAATATAATTTATTTTGTAAAATCTATCTTTTAAATATAATCTGTTTAAAATAAAACAGAATTGCTAGAGATTTCATTATAATATTTTATCATGCACATCAAAATCTTTTTTTATGAAAATTTTTATATTAAAACAATTTTTTATTCTCTCACACAAAGGATGGGTTTTTACACAAAAAATAGGGATTCTTTCAATTTTTTTTTGCTTGCTGAGGGAGTGGGAGTTAGCCATGATGAAACAGCGGTACGGCTTAGCAGCTTCAAATCAGCCTGCTCAATTAAGTTCAACTCTAACTGACTTAAAGGCAAAGGTAAACAGCTTGCTAAACAAAACCAATGGACAAGATGAACAAGCAAACTTTATCAGTGAAATGAAAGAAAGGATCCAAAACTTAAATAGAAAATAATGTTCATATGAGTAAAGTTAAATAATATTTCAAAAAATCAGTAAATTCTTATCAAAACTAAATAAAAGTTGTTACAATAAATGGGTTGTGTTTCAAACTCAGCACGCAAAGGAGCAATTGTAAAAGTCGGCAAAGTCGAAGAAGTGAAAGTTGTAACAACTACTGATGACCTTCAGATTCAGCCGAGACAATTCGTGATTCATAAAGAAGCAGATATATTGAAAGACTACACCATGGGACCCAAGTTAGGGTCTGGAGCATTTGGATCTGTAAGAATAGGGACTCATAAAATAACGATGCAACAAAGAGCGATAAAAACAATCAAAAAGTCAAGCATTTCTGAAGACCAATTCGTAAAGGATAAGTTCTTTGCTGAAGTCGAGGTTCTAAAAACGGCTGATCATCCCAATATAGTAAGGCTCTATGAATTTTACGAAGATCAGCTTCATTTTCACTTGGTCACTGAGCTGGTAAAAGGTGGAGAGCTGTTTGACTACATTGTCTCAAGCAAAAATCTCTCGGAACCAGTTGCAGCGCATTTTTTTAAACAAATTTTGAGCGCAGTCAATTATTGCCATACAAATGGAATTGTACATAGAGATCTAAAGCCAGAGAATTTGTTGCTAGACAGGCAAGACTCATCTGCAACAGTTAAGGTGATCGACTTTGGCACTTCAACAATAATCGACCAGTCAAAAAGACTAACACATCGCTATGGAACTTCGTATTACATTGCTCCAGAAGTACTCAAGAAAAATTACGACGAAAAATGTGACGTATGAAGCTGTGGAGTTATTTTATACATTTTGCTCAGTGGAAAACCGCCATTTTATGGCGAAACTGACGCAGATATTTTGGCAAGAGTTGAAAAAGGGGTTTACCAAATGAAAGGCGCCACGTGAGATCGAGTCTCTTCAAATGCAAAAAACCTCATAAAATCAATGCTAAATATGGATCCAAGATCGAGGCCAACCGCAGCTCAGTGCTTGGAAAGCACCTGGCTCACCTTGATGCCAGATGCAACCAATCAAGACTCAATTTTCACTCAAGATGTCCTTGAAAATTTAACTAATTTCCGCGCAGAGAAAAAGCTGCAACACGCAGTAATGTCCTTTATCGCAACCCAGCTTATGAATAAAAATGAAGTTTCACAGCTAGCACAAGCTTTTAGAGCTCTTGATACAAATGGCGATGGGAAATTGAGCAAAGATGAGCTTCTTGCTCAGTATAAAAATACTATGGGAGCCAATCAAGCAGAAGAAGAAGTCCAGAGGATAATGAAAGAAGTTGATGTGGATGGAAATGGCTTTATTGATTATTCAGAATTTATTATGGCTTCGGCAAAAAGAGAATCCTTACTTTCCAAACAAAATTTGGAAAATGCTTTCAGGCTATTTGATAATGATAACAGTGGGAAAATCTCAGCAAAAGAAATTAGGAACATTCTTGGGAGAGAAGTCATTTCGAGCGATGAAGTTTGGAGAGATCTTGTAGGGCAAGTTGACCAAAATGGTGACGGAGAAATAGATTTAAGAGAATTTACAGAAATGATGTTGAAGCTATTTTAAAAAATTTTTAATTTAATATATGGTACATGTGCAACCTTTTGATACAATATCATTTCTATGATGGATATGGGATTCTTTAGAAGTGCTTCCAATGAGAGTTATGACTGAGCCTATTTTTTCGTTTGATTCAAAATTTGTGAAAGATTCACGAGCCCGGGAAGCCTGAGAATTCCTGATGCCAATAGAAATTATGCTTGGACTTAGTAAAGAATCAAAAGAATTATAATCGCAACGGTGTGCTAGGTATTTAGACATTTATAGGATTTTGAATGACCTAAATCTCCCTCTGTAGCGAACCAAAAATTTTGTTTACTCACAGAAGGTTAATTTTTTTTTTTAAATTTATATTAGATTTTATAGTGAATTTTTTTTTCAAAATTTAAAAAATACTCAATTCATAAAAATTGAGAATTAAAAATTATATTAATTAGAAAAACTTGTTTTAAAAAATGCAAGCCGCTTAAAATTAATAGAATTAGCTTGAGATTTCATTATAATAATTATCACTAATAGATCAAATATTTTTTTTCATAAAACAAAATTATATTAAAAATTTTTTTTCGCTCATGGAGGGGTTTTTGGGCAAAAAAGGAATTTTTCCAATGGTTTTGCTTGCTCAAGGAGGGTGAGTAAGCGTTTTCTGATGCTTCTATAGGTCAGCCCATTTATGGACAATTTGCTTGCTAATAGCAAATAACTTATAGCTCATACCCCTTTATAGATTTCTTTATCATATACATAAAATGGCGTATGGCGACCGACCCACCCTCCCAGTGGTGGTTACCCATGTATATCCGGGCATGGTTTTTGGAGCCAGGAATTCGCCCAACAACGTCCGGGACCTCGAAGCGAGAGGCCTAAGCGCGAGAACCGCTGTTTTTGCGACCAGACCCATGGGCAGTTATTCGTGACTTCTTTTTGCCAGCAGCGCTCAGCCCAGTGAGTGCCCGAAATGAGGCAGGGTGAATTACCTGCCTAAGCTGCTTTAGTGGCTCGCCCCGAATGGCGAAAGCTGTTGAGTTCTTTCTCGGGATGACCGGAAAAGAGGGGAGGCGAGTTAGACACCAAAACGGGGGTCTCTCCAGTTGAAAAGGTGCCCTTCAATGGGCAGATCTGGCGGACGACGAAGCGGAGTTGGCGTAAACTTAGGCGACGATCCAAGTTGGAAATGGAGGTGGTCAGCAAAGCCGGTATAAGACGGCCCTTGACAATGCCTCTACCGAGAAACCGGGGGTTTCGGCCCGGGCTTGGTGAACGCTCTGCCACCACACGGGAAACCGTGGCATGCGACCTCGGACGTAGTAGGGACCTTAAATACCCAGCGTAATCTTAATCTTAATCTTATAGATTTCTTTATCGAGCAAAATGTATTAGACTATTGAACGAGCAAAACAGAGTCTCTCAAAGAGATGAGCTCAATCTCTATATCAGAAAGTGTTAAAAAGTGACATGTCAAAAAATGGTGACAAGTGTGAAAAAAGTTGACAAGTAAACTCGCCAATTTTTAAGATGGCTTTATTATTAAAATAAGATACCAAATTAGACTGAGATTGATTAATAACTAAAGATCTTATTTTAAAGGTCTTATAAATTATGTATAATTTCTTTTTAATATATGGATGATTGTCTATTGATAATTATTATAATTAATAAATATTTGTAGAATTAGTCTTTAAAAACTATGCATATATTGATATAGACAAGCCACGCACTTTGCAAATTATAGCTCTAGTCTTCATAAAAAAATAGCATTAAAACAAAGAAATTCTATCGAGCCGGAAAAATGCACATCGAGTTGCAAGTTTTTGATTTTCATTTATAAGCCATATGGAGTTTTTGCTAAGTACTTCTCATATAAGTCGATAAGAATTTTGCATATATTGAGATGCACAAGCCACGCACTTTGCAAATTATAGCTCTAATCTTCATAATAAAATAGCATTAAAACAAAGAAATTCTATCGAGCCGGAAAAATGCAAAATCGAGTTGCAAGTTTTTGATTTTCATTTATAAGCCATATGGAATTTTTGCTAAGTACTTCTCATATAAGTCGATAAGAACTTTGCATATATTGAGATGCACAAGCCACGCGCTTTGCAAATTATAGCTCTAATCTTCATAATAAATTAGCATTAAAATAAAGAAATTCTATCGAGCCGGAAAAATGCACATTGAATTGCAAGTTTTTGATTTTTATAACTATTATTAAATTTAAATATATATATAAATCAAAATATTTAAAGCCAATATATAATGTGTAATTATTATCTTCAGTCTAATTGGGTATCTTAAGTTTAATTATTTTAATAATAAATCCATTTTAAAAATTGGCGCGTTTACTTGCCAACTTTTTTCAGACTTGTCACCATTTTTTGGCATGTCACTTTTTAGCTCTTCCTAATATAGGTGTCCAGCCCATTCCTTTAATAGAGTCTCTCTTGGTCGTTCAATAATCCAGTACATTTTGCTCGATAAAGAAATCTATAAAGGGATATAAGCTATATATGGCTTTTATTTAAATTATTATTAAATTAATTCTTGGAATTAAATGATATATTTGTGATTTATCTTTGCTAGTTTTTTATTAAAATTGGCTGGGCATAGACATTAATATTTATAAAATTGGGCACGATAGTAATTAACTCTTCTTTATATATATTTTAATTAATTTAGAAAAGATTACTATCTTTTGTATAAAAATTTTTAAAACATAATGCGGCAAGTAAATCATAGATAACGATGGAATCATTTAATTGTTAAATCAGTTAAACTTAACTACTATTTTCACCCTCGCTTACATTTTCATCTTGACCAAGTAGAAAATCTACATTTTCATCTTCTGGGTCCATTGTGTCTACAATAAATCCTTTTTCTAATTGAGATCTCAATTTCTTAATACTTTCCTTCTGCCTATTTTCTTCTTCAGCCTTCTCCCTAATCTCTCTGTTCCTCTTTACCTCTTCTTGACTTTCTATAATTTTTTCTGCTTTTTTCCTTTCATTTATCTTCTTTTCCTCTTCATCTTCCTTATGCATTTCATTTTCCCATCTATCAAAAATCCCTTTGCACATTAATTTTTCTTTTGCTTTTATCGATCCTCCTTTTCTTACTAATTCTGCATACAAAGTTGAAATTTCTTTGCTCTCTGGCTGGATTTTTAAAAGAAATTCAATAATTTCTATTGCCTTTGGGATATCATCCTTCATTTTATAAGCTATAGCCTTCCGATAATTCGCTTTAATATTTTTGCTATCATATCCAATGACTTCGTTGCATTTTTCTAAAACTTTATCTAGATACTCAATTCGTTTCTTAAGTCCATTAGCTTGCTCTGCGTTTATAATTGATATTTGTGCACAATTTAAGCAGGCTCTTGTCCTAACTGCGACATATTGTTTTTTTAGTTCTTCATCTTCCATAGTTTCAAATGCTCCTTTTCTTAATGTTAATAATTGGTGAGCTTTATTATAGAGTGTCCTGCAGTCTGCGTATTTTTTAGTTGAGTAAAGCCTGTTACCATCATTCATTATTTCGGAAGCAGCTGCAAGCTTTGAAGGCAAAGGAGCATTTGGGTTGATTTCTCTAGTTACCAAAAATTCTTCAAGGTAGAATTTAAACCATAAGGTTTCATTTATAAAATCTCCTATTATGTGATGGCCTTTTGTAGCTTTTATTCATGCAACTTCCCCTCTTTTCATTGATTCTAAAGCTAAGTGCCAAGCCTCGCTATAAAGTTTGTCATTTCCAATAACAAACTCATTTGGTTTTTGGAATTCGAAACCGTCTTCAGTTCTTCCTTCATATTTCAGCCAGATCTTGGTATTGGCAGGAACAAGATCTCCTTCTCCCTCTTTTACAACCCTTTTAATCACCCCATTGTCACTACTAAGAATTTCCTCTCTTAAAAATGGCTCATTTTGAGGAAGAAGGATATTGGAATTGATTATTATTTCTGTCACAAAAATATATGCCCAAACTGGCCTATTTGCTGCAGAATCTACATAATGGTAGTTTTCAGGGATGAGGACCCAAGCTTCTTCCGAGCATTTCATAGTTTTTAAAACTAGCTGAACTCCTTTATGAACTCCAGGATTCAATATTTTTGTCAAAATAATCGATTTAGTAGCTAAAGACTCTGCTAAAGTTCCATCCATATGTCGAAATTCAAGGTTAAATGATATTTTTGATTCTGGAGTAGGCAAATTATCAAATCCTTCTTGCATAACTTTTTTAATAATTTTAAAGTTATCTTCAGTAGCAATTTCCTCTTCTCTTATTATGCTGAGAGTGTCAGGCATAATTATATCGATGTTTGACTCGATTTTATGAGGATTTATTTTGTATCATATGTCATCCCATGAGTTCCCTTTTACTATATGCCGACCTGCTGACACTTTGACATAAGCTATTTCATTTAGTTTCATCGAAAGCAATGCATAATCAATTGCACTCTTGTCTGCCCCTTCTGCATAATTAATGATGGTGTGAATTAGTGTTTCAGATGATATAGTAATTGCCCGAGGATGGCGCTATCTTGCACCATCCTCGGACAATTCAAAAATGGAATTGAACCCACGTATGGGGCCATTTTTGGTATGTGGAGAACATCGACTTCCACGCACCAAAAATGGCCCCACACGTGGGTTCAATTCCCGGTGTGGGGCCATTTTTTAAATTGCCCGAGGATGGCGCAAGATAGCGCCATCCTCGGGCAATTACAATATCAGCTTTCCGTCATCTTCGTAAGTTTCAAAAAGCATTTCAATTTTTGTATTGGGAACTATGAGGTCGCCGTCCCCCTCTGTAATAACTCTTTTTATTATACAGCTGGGGAGGATTGTTTCTTCTCTTATAAAATTGGCTGTGACTCCTTCCATGTGTTTTTCCCGAATATTATAAAATGGATAAAAGAATATAGACATTTGTGAGGATTTTTTTTAGTTATTGGATTACTCATTCAATTCATCATTTTTCTAAACTATCTTATTTAAGCAAGAAATATATGATTAGAATATATATGCAATTAATTGCTTTAAAACATGAATTTTTTGACCATCATTTTGGGTGTTGTTTCGATTTCCATAATGTCATCCTCTTCATCAGACCCCATATCAATATCTAGAAGTCTTCTCTTTATCCTTTCATTTTTAAAATGCCTGAGATCAACTACAATGGCAGTTATATTATCTCGGCTTCCACTCCTCAAAGCATACTCACAAATTGCTTCAGCCAAAAGTTCTGTCTTTGACTCTTTCCGTTCCCTCAGAAAATTTGCAAGTCCTTCAATATCCCAATTATTAAAGAGCCCATCACTGCTCAGAACCAAAAATAAATCGTCCTCTTCAATCTCTTTTTGATTTATATATGGCTCAGCAATTAAAAATTGCTTGAATCCGAGGTCTCCTATGCTTCTTGTTATGGCTATAGTTCCTTGCACTCTTGGGATTCTTCCTACAGGTATAACATAGCCTCCAGCTTTTTCAATTCTCAGCTGCTCTTCTAAATCGCTTGCTGCATGGTCTTTTGTTAGTATTTGCCAAGAATTCTCACTGATTAAAATAGCTCTGGAGTCCCCTACATTTCCGACTAAAATACTTGAGTTTTGTACTAAGGCTACAGTTGCGGTAGATCCATCTTTTAAAGTTTTTGCTGAGTTGCAGAAAAGTTGATCGATTAAGTTTTAATTGTCTGAGCCACATGGCTATTTAAGGCTTTGAGCTAAAATAGTAACGCTATGGGCCTAATCTACTCCAAGCTAGGCAACTCTCGCAGTTGCTTAGCTGTTATAGATCTGCGAGGATTCTCTGGGAAAGCATAATATCATAATGATAAAATAAATAGCTCAGAAGAGCAAATTCCATATTAGTTGTCATTTTATTATTATGCAAAAAGTTGATCAGTCTCGAGAAAAGCTTGCATAAGGCTGCTGCTATCAAATGATCTGATTTTATTTAGCAAGTGCTCTGATGCGTAAACTGCAGCCTGGATTCCGGAGTGGCCATCAAATACTCCAAAACCCACAAAAGGCTTATACGGAGTTCTTAAAACACTAAAAGTATCTTCCATTTGCTTTCTTATTGGTCCTTTTTTGGCTGAAATTGAATAAAAGTCACCTTGAATGAGTTGATCTTTCCATACTTTTTCTTCAAATTTTTTGGGAAGTTTTTTCTTGGGGCAAGTCGTGTTTATTTTTCTGATATTTAGCCTTAAGCCTTTCTTTTTGCTTGGGGCTGTAACGCATAGATCGGAGAACATGATGAACTTAGTTTAATTTATGGACAATATATCTATAGTACCCCCCCCTCGTTTGTCGCATTTTCTAGTTTTTTGCCATTTGTCGCATTTTCTAGTTTTTTTTTATAAGAGAAAAAAAAATTTTCAGGACCTCATTTGTCGCATTTTCTAGTTTTTTTTTAAGCAAAAAAAAAAATCGGTTCAGGTGTCGCATTTTCTAGTTTTTTTTTCTCTCTATAAATTCCTAAAATTCGTCAAGGGATCAGTTAGTGAAATTTCATCATTTCTTCCTTCAAAATCCTTGCTCCCATTCCTCAATCCCCACAGCTTGCTTTCCCATTGCCTGCTCCCATTTGCTTAAGCCTCATCACTTGCCATTCACCATTCTTATTCCCCTATCTTCATGCCTATTTCCTTATTTGATAGCTTAATTTCTAGTCTTCCATATTAATTAATGGAGTTGCGCGAAATTGAGGACCAGCCGATAAAAATCCCGGCAATGATTCAAAGCATGGCCTATGGAGAGAGGCTCAATGCAAAGCAGATCCAAGAGCGTCTTGCTGCTTGTGGAATGGACATGAGCCTGACGACGATCAGGCACTACACACCAACAAGTTCAATCCTGAAGAGCACACTTTAGAGCTCAGGCGGAAGCTTGTGGACCATGGACTATCGTCTCCTCCTAAGAAAATCAAGTGGAATGATGGAGAGAGCATAGTCAAGAGGATCATTGACGTAGGTTTCTTTAAAAACGAAGAACTTGCGACAATCTTGGGGACTTCTAAACGGACTATTGAGCGAATTGCTGCAGAGAATACTGAGAGTGAATCTGACGAAGCGGCTGGAAGAGAAGAGGCACTATCCAGATCTCCCCTAAAGCATTGAAGTGATGAAGACTTTGCTGAGGTCATTAAGGAATGTGAGAAGGATACAGGCTTTGTCAGCAAGGCAAGTTTGAGGGCCCAATTCAAAAGAAAGACAGTTGACATCAGCGAAGAACAGCTAGGAAAAGAGCTGAAGAAGAGGGGATATGTCTATAGGAAGAAGAGGGTTGTTCTGCAGCTAACTGAAGCTCATAAAGAGCAGAGAATGTCCTGGGCTAGGTCTTTGATTGACTCAGATATCGCTTCATGGATCTTCAGTGATGAGTGCTATGTGCATCTCTTTCGTAACTCTAATTTGTCGTGGTGCAAAGAAGGGATAAACGCAACGATTGAAGAGCCTATCAATTGAAAAACCTCAATTATGATCTGGGGAGGAATTTCTATCGTTTTTGGCAAAATGCTCTTCATAAAGAAGGAGAAGTATGCAATCAATGCCCAGGTCTATATCAGAGACATTCTCCAGGGCTATATTGAGCCTTTAGATGGAGACTACACCTTCGTTCAGGATGGGGCAACAGCCCATACTGCAAGGCAGACTATGGAATATTGCAGAGAAAACGGGATTGATGTGAAGACTCAATCTCCGAAGAGCCCAGATCTCAATCCAATTGAGATGATCTGGGCCAATTTGAAGAGGAAAGTGGAGAAAAGAAGGCCTGACAGCAAAGCCAGACTAATTGCTGCCATTCAGGAGTCATGGGACGAAATTTCTTTTGAGGAAGTGCAAAATTCCATTCTTAAGGTGAAAAATGAAAGAGCAAGGCAGGTCATTGAAGCGCAAGGAGAATGGACTTAATAAGCTAGCTAATTTAATCTATTCTCTAAAAAGGGGAGAGTAAAGTGGGAAGGACTGGGAAGGACTCGGGCCTGCTAACCCCTCTGCAGGCAAATGTAAGGTAAACTCCTCTATAATTACTCAATTAAATTAATCAGAAACTATTTTTTAAAAAAACTAAGATTTGCGACATCAAAAAAAAATTAAAAAAACTAGAAATTGCGACAAATGTATTTGCACTAGAAAATGCGACAAACGAGGTCCTGTAAATTTTTTTTTTTTCCCCTTAAAAAAAAAACTAGAAAATGCGACAAACGAGGGGGGGGGGGGTACTATATAAATGATGATAAATTGTGATGCAAAAGGGGAGTTTTTAGAAGATTTTGGAAGATAGAGATGAAAAAAAGAACAATGGGGAAGACTTGGGATTAATTCAATAGAGAAAAGGTGGTTTAAGGAAGTTTGGCTGAATCTTTTGAGGAAAGGTGTAACTGTTGATGGGAGGGTTTTCATAATAAAAATTTAGGAAATGCTGAGATTATAACGAAAAAGATATGAAGAAAGCTTGAGTGAGAAGGAAGTAGCCTATGAAAGATATATATGAACTTTATAAGTGATTAAAATACATAAACTTTGATAAAAGGCTTCAAAAATTATAGCAGCAATGAAGCCTAGATTTTTCATTATTTATGTGACTGCAATATAATTATTTTAGTCTCCTAATTATAATAATTAATTGAATTGCATATTGATTTTCATTATAATTTGCTTTTATTATTTTCTCTATTTTTAATTTCTAACTTTTTATAAAATTACTTACCTAACCATCCTTGATCAAACTGATCAAGCAATTTCATTAAAAATTTCGCGAACGATTTTAATGTGGTCAAGCATGAAACCCACTCAGCTACCCACCTTAAATCTAATTACCTATCTGAATATTATAATCTTTTCCAAACTTTTTAATCGCCATTCTCAATTGAGTGTTGACAGGGCAATCGATCAAGCATGAGGGAGTAAGACAATTAATAATATAGTCGACTGATTTTTATTAAATTAATTATGAATTTGCATTTTAAGAAGAATATCAAAGAACTTAGTAATTAGTCAACATTTTATTCTAATTTTCCATTATTTTAAGAGTGATGAGTCGAGTTCCATTTGCGCAACTGGTAAAGCTTATATAGAAAGAAGAATCTGAAAGGCTAGTCACAAACATTATTGAAGAATCTTTATCTGACGCAACTTACCAAGAAGATAGAGTAGAGTCTTGGTGCAGCAACATTCCCCAAGCCATTATCAGGAATCTTCATGAGTTTAACAAAGGTTTTAAGTTTTGCGCTACATGTGTGATTACGAGGAAAAACTCAAGCTCGCTCCATATAAATTCAACCTGCTTATGGAATCCTTCACTCGATGGATTTATCGTTGTTAAATGGGAAAATGCAACAATGCATTGCATAATTAACGTATTCGCAATTGCTCTTTATCATAAGTTTCTAATTAAGATAGCCCTAATTTCATTCAATAATTATGAATTATAGTTTAATTACTTATTCTTCACAGATTTTTATTGCTTTGTCTTCACCGGCAATGATAGGTCAGGAAGCTTGAGATAGCAAGAAGTCTTTTTCTTAGCTCCCCCCCTCTGTGAGTGAACAAAAAAATTTGGTTCACCCACAGAGGGGGGTTAATTTTTTTTTTAAAAAAATTCTAATTTGCAAAAATTGGAAAGCAAATATTAACTTAATTTATAAAATTTATGTTTTAAAACGTAATTTGTTTAAAATAAACAGAATTAACTCGAGACTTATATATCAATTTTTTTTTTCATAAAAAATTTTTTTATTTAAAAAAATTTTTGTTCACTCACGGAGGGTGGGTTTTTGGGCAAAAAATAGGGATTTTCCAATGGTTTTGTTCACTTACGGAGGGGAGTAAGCAAAGGGTACTGGGTCTTTGAGCTAGGCTTTCTTGTGAACGCTGACTTTTCGTGGGAAATCTTATTTAAGGTTTCGTTCATTCCAATGCCAGGGAAATGAAAAGATTTGTCAAAATTTTTTTCTAGTTCTATCATATGGTTTTTCAAGCTTTGGTTTTCATTGATTATACTTGGAATTATTGTACATTGGTGCACTAGCTCTTTAATTTCGTTTTCCTTAACTTCTAGCTCTTTTTCAAGTTTGATTTTGTCTTTTTCTAGGTCCCTTATCATTTCTTCTAGCATTGACTGCTCTATTGAAAGGCTTTTGTGCTTATTTTCTTCTTCTTTGATTGATTGGTTTTTGTCATGCTCTTGTTTTAAAATCATTGCATCATAAACATCTTTGATTTTTTTTTTTTTAAATATATGTCTCAGATGATTAAATGCTCATCTAAAAATAAATTTAAAAAATTAGATAGCATCCTTAAAAAAATATATCCAAATTCTTTATCTTTTTTAATCACCAAATTAAAGATTTCACTATAAACTGTAAAATTTTGATGGTTTTTATCAAGCTGGCTGAATTTTTCTGCAATTTTCCTATTAGACGTATCGTCAACTTTTGTCGCTTCTTTAATTTTAAAAGCAGGGTTTGGAGACAGTGCTTCCTTTTCAGAAATAATGTGAATTTGGTATGTATTGTTATGTATTAGCTTCGAATTGCTGCCTGAGAATGAAGATCTGTCTGAGGAGTTATCAATAGAATTCTGTGAGTCAATTAATGACGAGCTCTTTTTTGGAAATATAATATGCCTAGGTCGTTGTATGTCTCTATCTATGCACCCAAAAGGAGACTTTAAGCTCTTCATCTGCTTTTTATAAGACCTGTAAGGCAAATTCATCGAAGAGAAACTTGAAGATAAAACAGCGAAAGTCGACTCGTCAGAATCTATTGTTTTGCTATTTTTTATAGGGCTTGTACTTCTTTTTCTTGCATATAAATTAATGCTCATTTATGTTTATTGAATCTTGAATAACACCCATGTTTTTATGAAAAGTGTAAAGGTAGAAAAAATCTGATAAATTTTCAAAGTATTTAAATAAATATGAGCACTTATGTATCAGACTTTTATGCTAGAACGGTTTTTCTAACCCCAAATATTGAAGAGGTCAGGACCAAAATAGAAGAACTAGTATCGCAATATGTTGGAGAAGACAAGAAATTTAATGATCCTGACTTTGGGCCCACAGAAAAAGATCCAACTGGAGAATTAGCAATTTTTTACCCTCCAGATGAAGCAAATGAAATGCAGGGAGATGCTTCAGTAGGGCAATATAACAATATTGCAGGACTTCATATAGATATGATTAAATGACTAAGGCCACTTGACTTTTGCAAAGACCCTTCTTTATGTGCTTTTATTACTCGAGAGGAGTCAGATGACGAGTCAGATGAAGAAAATAAAAACGAAGAAGACCCTGAAGAAGAGCAAGAAGAAAAAAAGCCTGCAGCCATAAAACGGTCCACAACTAAAAAAGCAACAGTAGGAAAATCCAATGCATCAATGCACAAGAATCGCTCTGGAGCAAGTTCATTAGACGTTATGCAAGGAAATTTACTCCCCCTCCGTGAGCGAACAAAACCATTGGAAAATCTCTATTTTTTGGGTAAAAACCCACCTCTGTAGCGAACAAAAGTTTTAATATAATAAAAAAAATAATTTCTTTCTATATAAGTGATAATTAGTATAATGAAATCTTTAGCTTCCATTTTAAAACAAAATTTTATAAATAAATTAATTTTTTATTCTAAGTTTTGAAAAAAAAAATTTTATAATTAAAAAAAGTTAATCCCCTCCGTGAGCGAACAAAATTTTTTTGTTCGCTAACGGAGGGGGGAGTTAGGAGACTGCTGGTTTATTAGTGGAATGGCTTTAGTCGCTGGTCGAGACGACTTATTTGACCAACTAATTTGCAGAGGCTACTTTGAGGAGTTTGAAAAATTCGGCTTATACGTATTTCGAATGTATAAAAACTGCAGAGTCCATTACGTGATAGTGGATGACAAAATTCCTTGCTTGGAGCGAGCAAATGGGAGGTGTTTTCCTGCTTTTGCAAGGTGCAGAAACCGCAATGAATTCTGGGTGTCTTTAATAGAAAAAGCGTATGCAAAGCTGAATATTAAATACATTAACTTGACGAGCGGGTTTATAGATGAAGCTCTGCAAGATTTGACTGGACTTGCCCCAGAAATGATTCGATTTACTTCTAGTGTAGACAATAGCCGCTTATGGCAGATGCTAAAAATTTTGGGTGAGGCGGAAAAACTACATTGAAATTTTTCCACCTGTTTTTTTCACTAACAAAACAACTGAAAATTCAAAGAATTTTTAATATTAAAAAGCATAACGGTGAAAAAGTAAAAAATAAAAGTGAGGCTTAAAAAAACACATAACGGTGTTTTTGCCCAAAAAGGTGGAAAAATAACTAGAAAAAAATAAATACCTTCAGGAGCAAATTATATTAAACAGAGAGATAGCAGGCTGATATTAAGTATATCAATACACTCGTTGTCTTATAATTTGCTCCTGAAGATATATATATTTTTCTAGCTATTTTTCCACCTTTTTTTTGGACAAAAACACCGTTATATTTTTTTAACCCTCCTTTTATGTTTTTACTTTTTCATCGTTATGCTTTTTAATACTAAAAAAATTCTTTGAATTTTCAGTCATTTTGACAGAAAAATAAAACAGGCGCAAAAACTTCAATGTGGTTTTCCGCCCCCTAAATTTTGGTTTATTCAGGATCTCTTATAGGAGCTTCATTAAATTTCTTAGGCAGGAGAGACATTCCAGATGAAGACAAGCGTGAGCTGCAGGTTGACGCTAGAAGGCATGGGATACAATATGGTCACGCTTATGGAATATTAGATATAAGAGAAGTGCCTTTCGAAGAAGACCCTAATGGCGTTTTACAATTTTTAAGGCTAAAAAACCCTTGGGGAAAAGAGAATAATATGGAATGAAATGGAGACTGGAGCGACGCAGATACAAGGTGAACTCCTGAGCTTAAAGATAAATATAACGAAGTCCTCAAGGATTTACCTGACAAATTTGATAAAGACGAGCTTTTTCATGTATGGGGAGCTGAAGATAACATTTTTATAATGCACGCTGAAAATTTTGCACAGTATTTCAATACTATTATGGCTGTTAGAGATTTCCCTGATGAATGAAGCGGAGTTAGATATTATACAGGATGGAATCCTAGCTACGGAATTCCACCACGAGGGAAAAACTGAACGAAAAATCCTCAGTTTCCATTTTATATTAAAAAAACAACAGACATTTCAATACTCCTTCAGCAGCCAGATCCTCGATCTGTTGCTGAGAATCGCCCTCCCTTCAAAAAACTGACTCTTCTTATCGTTGTATTTAAACTCGACATGGCTGAAAAATCAGTTGGTGCTTTTGTGCCAGATAGAATCGCTTTGCAATCTCAAGGAGCAGACTCGAGATGTGTTATGGCTGGCGGCGAATTAAAAGCAGGGAAATACTCTATAGTCATTATGAATTCCAGTGAGGGTGTCTGCAGTGATTGCTATTTATCTATCTATTTTTCTTGCCAAAAAGATGAAATAGCGTTTGAAAATAAAAGCTGGGAAGTCATATTAGAAGAGGAAGAAGGGGAAAGAGCGAGACCTACTAAGCTTGATATCGGGAAAAGTCTTGCAGACTCTGCTATAAATGCTTCTAAAAAAGAGCAAAATCAATTAATAAAACAGGCTATGCTACCTCATAATTTGCAAAATATGGTCAATGAAAAGCCTTCGTTGAAACCGATAGGGATGGAAATTATTAATAGAGCAATAAAAGGAGAGAAAAAAGAGGAAGAAGAGAAAGCGCTGCCATTTAACTTACAAAGTATGATTAATGATAAACCACTAGTAAAGCAAATAGGAAAAGAAATTGTGAGAAAAGGGCTAAATGAAGAGAAAAAAAAAGAGGAAGTAAAATCAATTGCGTTCGGCAAAGCTGTCACAAAGCCAGCAACACCAGGGCTTGTTACAGATAATTCACAGACTAAGCTTGGCCAAAGCTATTCACAAGGAATAAAAGAATTAAGAAAAAATATCCAGCAAAATGAAATAGAAGATGATCTGGAGTTTAAAATCCAAGACCCTCTTGCACAGGAAATTGAATTTGAAAGAGACATGGCGATTCTGTTTGGACTGGAGTATAATGATTATAAAACTTTCCATAGTTTGCCTACAGAGCAGCAAGAAGCGATTATTCAAGATTTCCAAGATGTAACAAATCAAAATTCAACAATTTTAGATTTGAATTATTATTACCTTGGGAATAGAGGACTGAACGCTATTTTGGATGGAATTGAGGACTTTCCAAATCTTGAATATTTGTATTTAAGAGAAAATAAGCTTGGAGATCTAGCTGTTTGTGAGCTGTGTAGAAGATTAGAGCTCAGCAGACAGCTAGGAATAGTAGAAATTGATTTAAGCTATAATACAGACTTAACTGATAACGCTGGGCTTGCATTAGTTGCTTTAGCTACAAGAATTAGAAATATCCAAAAAATTGTCATAGAGAATACAGATATATCATCAAAAGTACAGCAAAAAATTATTGAGGTTACTGAAAGAAATAGGAAAGTCAAAGGAAATTAATTTAATGGCTTAATTTATCAGTTTGAATTATACTATAAATTTGTCTAATAAAAATCAGACAAAGGTTGGAATTTACTTCATAAAAAATCATAATTAATGAATTTATTGCTTATATGCATTAATTATAAGTTTCATATATTCCAAAATAAAATGCTAAAAACAAGCCAAATTTCAGAAGACGAAGAAAACTCCTCTGAGACTTCAGAAAACAACCATTCTACTGTTTACAATCAAACTCTTATCTCTGATTTTGGCCTTTCTTATAAATCCTATCAGTTTCTTCAAAGACTATCATTAGGTGCTCAATTTATAAGGCAAGAGCCAATCGAGTTTATCCTGTTCCACCTTTGCCAAGTCTCGAAATCTCTAAACCTGTCTGAGCTTGAAATTGTATGGTTTGGCATTTACTTATCAAGATTTGGTTGAACTGATTATGATTACTCCTTAGAAAACGTTTTAAATTTCACAGCATTTGCAACGAAATCGGTGCTTAACGAAAATTGTGACGGGATTGAGCAGGATTTGCAGAAAGACTTTCCTGGTTTTTTAGAAGAGTATCGAACTTGGTTTGGGAAAAATAAGCATTTATTGAATATTGGATACTTTGAATTGAACTCGAAGTATGAAGAACTTAGTTACGTGAAGCCTGATAATGATGAAAGAACTGCAATTGACTATAACTTTTATGTGTCACAGCTGTTGGAAAGTAATAATAATATTAAGCAAGAAGATTAAATATAGAAAATAATTGAAATTAGAAAATTTGTGTATCCTTTGTGTAAATATTCCTTCACTCTTGTTTAGTTGAGATCTTCATCATATTCACTATTAATAGATGCTGCTTTATAGCTTTGATCAGATTTTCTCATTTGTCTTTCAAATGGGATTCTTTTGCATTTTTCTCTAAAAGTCAAAAACGCTTTGATTAAAATCTTTTTGTATAAATATTTTAGAAGCCTAGAAAATTTTTGAAACCTATAGGCTCTATTAACCCTGCTTTCAGATTTTCATTTATAAAAGGCATTTTCAACCAAGAGCTTCAAAGTCATCTTAAAAAGTGGCCTAAGCTTATAATGCAACCCCATTATGTGAATCAATCCAAGTTTTTTTGTTCTGATAACAGCTTCTTGAAGCTTTATAATGTCATTTCCATACCTCTGTTCTGCTAAAATGAGCAAATTTTCGAACTTTGTTTCTTCTGTGACTGGGATATCAACAAAATTTTCTCCTGTAGTATATGTATTTTCTTCGTCCATTTCAAAAGAATTTATTTTAGGAGTTTTTTAAAGAAAATGTAATAGGAAAGGCTCAGCTGTTGTAAAGGAGAGAATGAGAAGAGAATCAGGACTATGCAAAAAGAAAAGAGACAAAAAATAAAAGATGTCGGTACTGGGAATCGAGCCCAGGTACTTACGGCCACAACGTAAGATTCTACCACTAAACTATACCGACGACTGATATTTCACTAACTAATGGCAATATATATTTAGCCAAATAGTTTTTAAGTCCAGATATTGCTGAAAAGATAATTGAAGATTGGAGAATCAGTTTTGCAGAGGAAATAAAAGAAATTCCTAAAGGATATTAAGAAATAAAATGGTGACTTCGAAGGAAGATGGACTCCGAGACACACTCCTTATGGAGCAGGTAGGACCCATCCCGATGAAGCTGAAAATAGTGCCCCTTTCACTTTTTGAAGAAGCTTTTGGGCTTGTGGTACCTGCCGAAAATGGAAGTTTTGTTTCTTCCCTGAAGGTTTTCCCTATCCCTTCCAGGTGGGCTAAACAGGTTTTTCCTCCTACTTATTCTTTGCTTATCGGAACTAATGGGGAATCCGCAAGAGGTGGCTCTAGCCTAGTGAGCTAATTCTTAGGTTAGGTAGATTTAAGCCAAATAGGAAGGCTATTGGTCTGTCCATTTAACTTAACCTTTTTAATGGATATTTGATGAAATATATAGTTAAATCTATCTTATCATTTATATTACTAAATTTATATTTCTCACTAATTTTTGAGCTTATGATCAAAAACATTTGTTTAAAATATTGTCTGCTTTAAATCGTTTACTTCTTGTCTGAAAAACTGAATAAAACTTCCAAAAATAACAAAATTTCAATAAATTTTCCAAGAGAAATAGAAAATTTCCTCATCAGTTGGCTTAAATTTGAAATGATAAGTGATATAAAATTTATTTTCTTCTCTACCCAATAAATGGAGCTCAACAGTTTTATATTTCCAGCACCAAGTCCATCCTACACAGTTATTAGCTTCCCAGGAGAACTTTTAAAAATTCCAAGGCTTAAAGGCAAGCGTCAAGGTGTTCCCTGCATTTTTCTCCCATTTTCTCGAGGTTCAAGTAAAATTTTACTTTATTTCCATGGAAACGCAGAAGATCTTGGTCTAGCTTATGAAATGTTAAATCATACACGAAACACACTAATGGTTCATGTCCTTGCATTAGAATATCCAGGCTATGGGATTTATAAAGGTAAGCCAAGCGCTTCTCGAATTTTAGAAGATTCTGAAAATGTTTTTAACTACCTGACAGATGTCTTGAAAATTTCTCCTACAAATATTTTTATATTTGGCCGATCGATAGGAGCAGGCCCAGCAGTTTGGTTGGGTGCAGAAAAAAATCCTGGTGCTTTACTACTAATGTCAGCTTATACGTCCATAAGGGCTGTTGCAAAAAATATTGCTGGGAGCTTATTAATGTATTTTGTAAAAGAAAGATTTAGGAATATTGATTTAATGCCTAAAGTAAAATGTCCTTGCTTTTTGGTACATGGACAGAACGACACATTAATTCCTTATCAGCATTCACAAATTTTGCATGAGCTGTGTGGAGGGCCATCTAACTTGCTTTTACCGAGCAAGATGGATCATAATGGATTTGATTTTTTTGAAGATTTGACGCTGCCTTTTACAGCATTTTTGATACATTGTGGTATTAGTACTGTTCCGGACAACCTTCAAAGCGCGTTTATCAGTTTTCCAGAAGAGTTGTTTTATTCGAAGAGATCATAGTTAAGTAAATTTAAATAAATAGGATTAAAGAAAAATATTATTTTTGAATAAAATTGCTAAAAGTGTATATTAAGCCCTTTTAAGGCATTTTTTAATATACTTTTTATTAGACAATGAATAATATTCTAATATGGTGAAATCATGGATACTAAATTTCAAGAGAAAATTCTATTATCTAGCTTAAAATTATATCTATTTTTGCCTTTATAATGATTTTCTAAGAAAAATATTTATAATATACCCCACAAGCTCATGCTATAAGTATTTCGTCATACAATTAATTTTAATTTCCCGATATTTTTTGAGTAGTTTATTTCTTTAAAGCCTTTAATTTTATAAATTCATTGAAGACAATTAGTTTGATTTAAATTTGAATAGTTTTGTAAGTATTCATTTTAGCATTGATTGCTTTGCAAACATATGAATACATCAATAGAATTTAGAATATGAAAAATTCAATCTAGCATCAGGAAATTTCAATAATTCTTGCTATGCTACTTATAAAATATAGAAATTTAGCGATTCGTACACCTCAACAATTTTTATTGCATCAAAAATTGATTTCCTGATTTCCAATTGTCTATTAACCCTGCGATTCAAAATGGATGAAGCTTAAATCCCTCATAGCTTAGAAAGATTATAATAAGAAATATAGTCTAAAATAAAAAATGCTAACAATTTCTAATAAAACACCTTAATTCTTATTTTTTAAGTTTAAAATTTTTGATTATTTAAATTCTAGATCTATAACTCCATTTGCAAATGCTGATTATTTTAGGTAACAATAATATTATTCGATGACCCAAAATTTTGAAGATAAAAACTCAGTTTTTTCTGGAATGTTTTCGCTCCTTTGCAATTTTTCAGGCTCTTCAACAAGCCTAAGCCTTCCAAAAATTTTATTTGATGAAGAAAATCAAACTGGAGATACTGAACATAGGAGAAGAGCCAAAAAGCTTAAGGATAAAAGCAGCCTAAAGAGCTCTAGAAAGAGAATTACTGCTTGTCCTCATGTAAACAAACGACATTATGCTAAGAATATGTGCAATAACTGCTACCACAGGGTAGGAAGGGAAAAGAAAGCATGGGCATGCCCTCATGAAGAGCGCAAGCTATATGCCAAAGGAATGTGCCAGTTTTGCTACTTACAAAGTTATCATAAAGCGAGGTCTTACAGCGTCATCAAAAATGAGAGTTTCAGTATTTAAGCATTTAACCCTTAAATGGCCTTTTATTCTTTTAAGTCTAGTAAAACCTATTAAAACTTAAGTTTATCAAGGATCTACTTAGCCAGCCCATTAAAAGAAAATTATAAGGACTTTATATTTGAAATAAATCTGCATACTCAAATTTAATAAATTTATGATTTAAAATTTCTTCAACACAATGGTATATGGTCAGGCAAGACATTTTTATAAGAATAATAAAGTCCTTTATTATCAAAAAAAAGCTTTCTTAGCTTTCTAAACGGGTATTTTTCATAACCCTAAAGATAGTAATGCATCAATTTATTTCTATTGTGATCGTCGAACAAGAGTATCATATATATTTTGGTTTTTAAAAATTATAATGCTTTAAATTCTTGATATTAAAATTATTAAGAGTAAATTCTTTTTTAAATATAAAAATCCATCGATTTGTGATATATTTAGTCTAAAGCACTTTAGAATATATAGCTTGAGCATCCATATGGATTGCTCAAGCTTTTGGCTCCACCAGCTAATTGAGGAGCTTGCGAATTAACTCCAGTTGACAAGTTATCTGCAATTCTTCAGGATATCGCAGATTTGCTAAATTGAGGCTTGACTTGCCAACTGGATTTGAGTTTGCAGTTTTTCCACTTAACTGGTGGAGTCAAAAGCTTGAGCAATCCATATGGATGCTCAAGCTATATTGTATAGAACTTAATGATATTAAATTATGCATTTAAAGTAAAATTTTACATTTGCAAATATAAAATCACTAGACTAATGAGCTTAAGGTCTCAATTATCAGGTCCAAGCAATTATAAGATAAAATATACGATAAATTGAATTATAGCTGTATTTATTTCTATAAATTAGGATTATATTTTAAAATAGAAGAATAGATATAGCATTACCCTTGCATTTTTGTCATTAATATTGATATTTAACTTAAGAAATGTTTTATTAGAATTTTTTAAATTCAAATATTATTATATTCATATGATTATTTAGGGAGACGAGAAACTTCATCCCTGAAAATCCCTCCGAAATCGTTTGTTGTCATTTTTCCGCTATTTCCTGTGAAGTATTTTATATCTTTTAGAAACTCTCTCATATCATCATCATTCAAATGCCAGCTATACTCTTTGAAAAACTCACTTAGATTTCTGAGAGAAATTGTTTTCGCGCTTTCATCCTTACCTTTTGCCAGTTCTATGTAAGCCTTGAAGGTTTTTTTAATGACTTCTTGAGGTTTATAGCCTTTTCCAGCTAAAATTCGCTCTAGTGCTGTTTTGAAGCCTTTAAAATTCACATTATTATCTGCGCTAGGGGAGCATTCTTTAGCTAGGAGTCTAAGTTCATCTTCAGTGAGTCTAACTCCGACTAGTTCTAATATATTATCAATTTGTGTAACATAAATTTGCTTATTTTGAGCTTCCAAATGATAGACTTCATCAGTTAAATTTAAAACATCTGGCTTCAGATTTACTAAATTTTCTTCATTACTACTACGCTGGTAATCTCTATAGATTGACTTCACTTGTCTATAAATTCTCATAGTCCTCATCGATCTTTCTGCCTTTTGAACTTGTACTGCTTCATTAATCAGATTTCTATCTTTAAGCATTTCTATTTTTGTTGTGATGCAATATAAGCGAACTGCTAGAGGTATACAAATGCATGCTAAGATTGTCCAAAAGAGTATAGCAAAAATAATAAAAATTGCTGTGAGTCCACCTACTTCGTCATCAAGCATAGAAATATAGTAAATAAGTACTACAACTAGTCATAGTGTTAAAATCACGTTAAGAGCTTGGATTATACTCCCGAAGAATTGTGGCCCATAGGAATCAAACCAAAAAAGAAGTTCATGCTTTGTGGGGTACTGTCCAATAAAAATATAGCCACAAGTCAGTTTCATGGGGTTTATTTTATAACTTTTCTAAATGAATAATTATCAAGCAGAATAGCGGTCGGCCATCTTTATGATAATGGAAATTGTTAATCTATCAAGGTATAAAATATAAAATTCGAATCTCTTCGTCTGGGATTTGTCCTTCTAGATATAAAGGCATCGGTACAATATTTTTTATTTCTTCTGGGTTTATTTCAGGTGATACTTTCCTCTCAAAATTGTCTACCTGTGGCACTAGAAGTTTAAAGATCAATTTTAGCTTCATATAAACACAAAACCAAATTAATAATAAAATGGCTGGAACAACAAAAAAAATTGCGATTTCTAGTGTATTATCTCCTTCAAGAGCAATTCTTCAACAAAAAATAGCAAAAAGCATAAGAAAAAATCCCAGTCATGAGAACGAATACACAGATTTCAAAATCTCACCAAGAGCTCGAGTTAAATATTCAGCAAAATTGAAATTTGAGCTTAAATATGATTCTGTAACTGATGGAAAGTAAGATGGATTTAAAAAGAGATATCGCATTATTCCATATGAAGCTAATCCAGCTGGCATTTCTTTATCTGGATTTCCAATGATTTTTTCTTGCCTTTTCCATTGTTTTGCATATAAATGACATAGGAAAATCAGCCAAAGTCCTTGCATCATTCATATTAGGATAAACAAAGCAACTCCAACGACTATCATGTCGAAGTCAAGCCTATCTTCGTCAAACCAATCTCCATAATCAGCAACGACAGTTGCAGATCATACCACAACTAATAATGCAATATCTGCCATTAAAGCATAAATTCCTGTTTTCAGGCCATTTTCAACTAAGGCTCCAAATACAGATCGAGCTCCACGGAGTATTAGAAACAAGAATCCAAGCCCAATAACGCATACCATGGTAGAAGAGGCCTCCAAATCTTCATCCTCATCATCTTCATTATCTTCTTTCTGCTCTTCCTCCTCAGCCTTTTCTTCATTAATTTTTTCAACTTCAGCTTTGATATTATTTGCCGCTTCCACCACTTTTTCTGGATCATTAAGAATGGCTCCATAGTACTGATCTAAAACTTTCATTTCTTCATTTAATTTACTTACCAAGTTTAACTCGCTTAATCGTGCACTGTTTATTTTCCCTACTGCCCCATCTAGCATTTCTTCTAAATCTTCAATTTCTCGGCTCAATTTTAAATTTGTCATATACAATTGATCATTTTTATAAGCATATTCTAAGACTTGACTGACGATTCCGTTTGCTGCGTCCTTTGCACTTGCAGTGGTATTTAATTTTTCTTCGTCTGAGTAGTCAACTGTCATCATTTGAGTAGACTCATCTTCTACTTCAGCAGGAGCAGAATCACTGTCTCCTTGAGGGATTGTTTGGCTTTCTGCGTCCTCATCTTGGACAGGGACATCTGTCACTTCGTCTGAACTTGTATCTTCTGTTAATTCAGTTTCCAAAAATGACTCTAAAGGGACTTGCACATAATTTCTACCAGTTTTTAAAGTCCCTGAGTGTGCTATAGCAGATATCAACAAAAAGGAAATAAGTAAGATTTTTACCATATTCGTTTCTCATATAGCAAATTGATTTTAAGCTTATTTTATTAAAGAGATTGTATGAAAATTCTCTAGATATAAAAGAAAATCTATTTAAAAATTTAATCTCAGGTGCTGAAGAAATTATTTTCTTTTTGTGGGCATATGAGAATAAGTTTTATATAAAATATCACTCTGTGAAAAAGAAGGAACACTTTTATCAGTAGAAGCCCTTGATGTTAACCCTTTAGCTTGATATTTCTTGTTTATATTTTTATTGCTCAATTTTTTTACTTCATTAAGCCTTAGTTCTAGCTCCCCGAGACAAAAATTTTAATATAATTTTTTTTCGAAAATCCTTTCAAAAATAAAAAAATGAGTTCTCTGGCCAATTATATTAAATATTAGAGAGACATTCTAATACATAATTTTTATTAAATAAATTAGATTTTTCCTTTTTAAATATCCAAATTTGTATTTGCAAATCTGATAAAACAGCTTTATACTAAAATAATTGACCTTTTGTCAGCAAGAAAAAAATTATTTATTGTCAAAGAGAGGGTAAGAGTTTGACTTCTTGAATCACATTTCTCCTATCTTGCTTTGTAGGTATCTGATATAGTTTAGGCAGATTTGTTTTTCGTTTTCTCTTCGTCCTTGGTGACATTGTTGACTCATTCATGTTAGTATGGCCTAAATTTAAGCCGCTTTGAGAATCAGTTTCTTCTAAAATTTCTTCTGTGTTTAAATCATTTATATTAACTTCATTTATTTTAAACCTTTTCACAAAATCTTCAAATTCTGCTTTGAGGCCTGAATGCGCTGAAGACTTCTTTTTAATTAATTCTTGGACTTTCATCTTGATAGCTGAAGTGAGGAGGTCAGAAATTGATTTTGAATTGTGTTTTGAGACTGGAGCTGATAGAACAGAGCTTAACTTGGGTTGTTTTTGCTCTGGAATTTCATAAGATTTTACAATAATTTCAAGCTCCTTTGTCAATTCTGCATGGCCTGATAAAATTTGTTGGAGAATATAAATGGATGATTCGATTTTTTGGCCTATAGAGGAATTTTGAGAACTATTAGATTTTTTGGGACTTTTTTGAAAGGAATCTGAAGATAAAGTTTCTCGAACTTCTGTCAAAAATGTAGAATTTTCTTGTAAAATTGCTTGACTTTTAATGTCGCCAGTCTCTAAAAATAATCTTTGAAGAGTAGAAGCTACTTTTGTGCATGTTTCAGATAAAAATTTATATGTAAAAAATGATATATTTTCATATTTCTCTATAAGTTCTTGCTTTTGAGTATCATTAGAATAGGTGTCTCATGAAATTATTAAATCTGTGAGTGTGATTCCATTATTTGCGGTTTGGCATCTCAAAACTTTTGTATGATGTTTTAAGTCATTAAAATTTATACAATTTTCATCTAGTTTTTTCAGCATACTCAGATCATAAGAAATTTTATCACATTTGTACTTCAGTTTGTTATGAATTGATGTGAGATATTCAAACCTTTCTTTAAGCTTTGTTTCTATTGAAATCATTTTACTAAAACAGCTCGTAACTTCTTGTGGAATGCTGAGTCCAGGACTTTCTGGATCCAAGTCTAAGCATTTTGATTTTCCAGTCAGCCTAACTCCTTGTCATTAGATCTATTCCAATTTAAAGAATTAGTTAAAACAAACACTCTATATGAAATTTTTTTAAAAAAATTAAAAATTCATTACATACCAAAAGTGCTATTGCTCTTCTTTTACTCCACCTTTAATAGAGCAAGCTATAGGCAAATTTCTGATTTTTGTATCATTAATGAATGTTGAGTCTATTCGCATTTAATTATATTTTCCCCCTAAAAATCAAGATTTGTTCCAGTTAACTGTAGTAAATTTATGACTTATTAAAATTTAAAAAGGGGATTAAATATATTTTACTCTTTTATGTGAAAAAATACTTCTTCATACGCTTCAAGTTTAGCTTGAATTTTTTTGCTCATGAATCTTAGCTCGTCATGATCTGACAACGCTTCTCTCAAATCTTGTGACAAAATCATCTTGAATTCTTTTTGATCATCATTTTTTACAGTATCCTCGACAAATTTTGTGGTCAATAGCTCTGTGTCTTTTTTTAATATAATTTGCTTTTTGGCTAATAAAGTAAGTTTTTCTTTCCGAGCTATCCTTTCAGTTTTAATGCTTGATCTTTGTATCGTGTTTTCAAAATCACATCTAATTTTTTCGTTATCTGCAGTCCTTTCTATAATCATTGTCTTATTTTCATATTTTCTTACTGTGTCGCATTCTGTTTGCATTTCTCAAACCTTTTTCTTTATATCAATCTAATTGGTATTTACAAGCGATTTTTTTGCTTTTGATTTCATAGCAGCTAACCGTTCTGAAGTGAAATATTCTTGCTCAATTTTACTATTGATTTTTACTATTTCTTCTTTAAGTTTTTCAATCAGGTCTAGTTTTTCAGATTCTGTAGCAGCATATCTACTATTTATAGAGCTTTGTATATCTATAAGTAAATTTTCAGATTTTTTCTGTGTAAAAATAGCTGAAGAGTTAGATTTTTTTAAATTTTCAATGATATCTTTGAGGCTGTCTAATTCTTTGCTTTTTTGCTGATTGGTAAATAGTAATTGATTGTATTTTTTCATTAGTGAATGCCGATCAGTTATTTGTGAAAAGGAAAACGCACTTGATTTCATTAAGCTTAATTCAAATTCTTTGTCTAGCATTTCAGTAATTTTTTGAATCTTTAATTCTCTGTAGCTTTCTTCTTTGGATTTTTCAGCAGTTTTAAAGATTTGAGAATAATTAAAAGGATTCATAATATTATTATTTAGTCATGATGAGTGATAATTGCATTTTATTTTCACGAAGAAATCTAAAGAGTTGCAATCCTTAAATCACATTAGTTTCAGTATATTTAGCAAATTTATGTCTGATATTTGAGGAAGATTTTAATAAGATCCTTTGAATGGCATCTATCATTAAAAAATGCTTACTCCCCCCCATCCTTGATCGAACGACTCGCCATCGTTCGATCAAGGATGGGGGCTAAAAAAAAATGTTTTGGGACAAAAATTTTATATATAAAATAAAAAATATATATATATATATATTTTTTTTACTTTTAAATAAGAGGGTTAAAGAGTATTTAATAATTATTTTTACAGCAAAAAATCGAATTAATTTCATAAAAATACAAATTTTTAATATTTTTGATTTATTAGTTACCCCTTTAAACTGTATAAATTTTAATTTGTTCCTTACTCCCCCCCCTCCGTGAGTGAACAAAAAAATTTTGTTCACTCACGGAGGGGGGTTTATTTTTTTTTTTTTCAAAAAAAATTTATAAATAAATTTTATAAAAAATATTTTTTTTCGAAATTTAAAAAAATCCTAATTCGCAAAAATTTGAAAGCAAATATTAATTTTATTTATAAAATTTATGTTTTAAAAAGCAATTCGTTTAAAATTAAACAGAATTAGCTCTAGATTTCATTATACTGATTATCATTTATATATCAAAAATTTTTTCCATAAAAAATTTTTCTATTAAAAAAATTTTTGTTCACTCACGGAGGGTGGGTTTTTGGGCAAAAAATAGCGATTTTTCTAATGGTTTTGTTCACTCACGGAGGGGGGGAGTTATTAAATTAAATTTTTTTTTTTAAAAATTTTAAAGAATCTGTATTTTATTAGATTATTGAGTTTTTAAGCCTAGGTTGATGATTAAATCACTTCAGATAGTTGATTCCGAAGCTTTCTGTCGTCTTAAAGTCTCTGAAAACAACTTCATTATGTACATCTTCCCAAGCTTTTGATAACTAATATATTTTTATATATATAAAAAATTGTCATGATATTAAAATCGTTCGATCAAGGATGGGGGTTAATTTCCCCAATTTTTAGGAATTTTTACAGTCAATCGTTCGATCAAGGATGGGGGGGGAGTTAAAAATAATTTTTCTTAGACTAAAAAATAATTCTGGTATAAATTTTATCATATCATTAATGGCTTTTTTAATTAAAACTTGTATGAAGTTAGAATTGTGCAATTTATTTATCATCATTTTTTAATTAAAATTCATTATAATTATATGCTGTCTATCTTATTGATATAGCGCTGCCTTATTGTTTGAGTTTCAAGTTTAGCCATATCTCTTTCATGCTCAGCCTTTTTAAGCCTTTCTTCTGTTTCTGTGATTTTTTCTTCCATTATACCAAAAATACTTGCATAATTTTCAATTTCAGCAGTAACCAACACAATTTGTTTTCTACTGGTAATCGCTACCTCATTGACTTCTTCAAGCTCAGCTTGCAGCTTTGCAACTTTTTCTTCTAAACTTTCATTCCTTTCCTTCAATTCTTCTACTTCATTTTCGTATTTTTTCGACTTATTAACAGCCGTTTGTAAGCTTTGCACCTTTTGCTCAAGATTATTGCAATAATCTCGCATTGCTTGAACTTGGGATTCACTTTTTTGATGGTGAATTGTTTGCTTTTCTTTGATTACTTGCAAGAGCTGATTTCTTTCTTCTTGAATGCTATTTAGTTCGTTAGTCACTAATTCTAGTTCGTGATGAAGCAATGAATTATCATGGTTTGCTTGCTGGGAAATTTCTTGATACTTTTTTAACTCTCCTTTTAATTCAGCAATTTCTTTATTATTTCTTTTTTCTGAAGATTTTTGAAGCTCTTCTATTTTTGCATTTAGTTGGGAATTTTCTTTTATTAGTTGCTTAATTTTATTTTTATCAGGATTTTGCTGCAAATTTTCTATTTCTTTTTTAACTTGGTTCAGCTGATTTCTTAAGGATTGGTTAGTTTCGTTTAATTTTTGTAGATCATTTTCTTTTTGATACAATAAATTTGATTTTGATTCTATTTCGTCTTCAGACTCTTTGAGATGCTTTTGAATCTCCTTTTCCTGTTTCATATAGAATTGCAAATTGGATGACAGGAGTTCGTTGCTTTGAGCACATTCATTGATCTGTACTCTAAGGTCGGTAATTTCTTCATTTGCTTGAGAAAGTTTTTGGAATAGTTGCTCTTTATCTTCTTCCAAATTTTCTATGGCTGATGATAGTGAAATTATTTGTTTGCGCTGCTCTATATCATTTGCTTGGAATTTTGATTTTTCAGTTTGCAGCTGAGCAAACATGTCTTGAATTTTTTTAATTTGGCCCTTAAGCTGTGCATTTTGCAGCACAGAGACTTGTCTTTCATCTTCATATTCTTTGATTTTTTGCTTTGCTGTATCGATAAAAATTAAAAAGGTGTTTCAATTTGACCCAACCGTTTAATCTGTAGCTTGGGCGTTATCATAATTTGAACCTTAAGGAACAGAGCAAAGCGTTTGATATATGCATCAGGCTAGGCTTTACTGGGTTTTTCATCTACATTAGACTCTATAATCTAACAAAACTAAAATGATTTGCTGTATCAAGCTCATTTTTAAAGAAATCTTTTTCGTTTTGCTGAGTTTTAAGTTCTTTTCTAAGGTCCATAATTTCTTCGTTTGCCTGTGATAAACTTCCAAAAAGCTTTTCTTTATCTTCTTCTAGGCTTTCTAATGCTGAAGTCATTGAAATTATCTGCTTTCGCTGTTCTATATCATTCGTTTGAAATTTCGATTTATCAGCCTGAAGCTGAGCAAGAACATCCTGAAGTTTTTTAATTTGGTTTTTAAGCTGGGCATTTTGTATCATTGATTCTTGTATTTCATTTTCATCCTCTTTTATTTTTTGCTTTGCTGAATCAAGCTCACTTTGCAAAAAATCTCTTTCATCTAATTTTATTTTTAACTCTTCTTTTAGCTCAGAATTCACGATTAAAAATGGGAAGTTGATGATAGGGCAAGGTCCCTATAGCTCAGCTTAGTGAAGGGAATCTCGGTTCCTGGAGAGTTGGAGCAGAAAGAGAAGATGCTGAGGCTGTGTCTGGTCAAGGCTGTGAGTCCTGATGGGCTAGAAAATTGAATATCAAGTCTAAAGGTGTTTCGTTTTCCCACCGTTACTCAGAGTTGGTTCAATTTGGCGAAGACGATTCAAGACAGGATTAAAGAAAGAGTTATCTATTAAAGTTAAAGTTAAAGCTCAGAATTTTCCTTAACAAATGTATCAATCTCAGTTTCTGCTTCATTTATATATTTTGCTTGGTTTTCCTGTTTTAAATTATCAATAATATTTATAATACTTGATTTATATATCAATCCGAATGGCAACCTTAATTGGTTTCTCAATAAATTTAGAATTACTTTGCCAAGTATTTTAACATTTTGAGAGCAGTCTTGCTTTGATGACCATTTTTTAAAGCAATGTTCCAGCGATCTTTTGCTATATGAGTGGCTCTGAAGCAAATAATAGATTTTTGCTCCAAAATTCCTAGCTTTTTCTTGGGTAATTTTTCTATTTATCACATTTTTCTTCAATTTAAAAATAGAAGCTTTCATCTGTTCTTCGAAAATTCTTATAATAATTCTTGGCAAATAGCTTGAAGTTTTTATTGGTTTTTGAAATTCTCTCCACACATTTTCAATATTTTTTTGGTGGTTTTTAACTAAAATATGTTTTAAATACATTGCTCCAAAATTCATTTTTTCAATTTTCAGTTGATCTTCCATTCTTTCTTTGATTTTTGCCCAGGTTCCTAATTCAAATCGTTTTCATGCACTTTTCAGTTTCCTTGTAATAATTCTTTCTATTCCATCAAAAATTATTGTTTGTGTTTCGCAGTTATCCATCTCTTTGAAATTTTCGCTTGTATTTAAAGTTGATGATAAAGAAGCCGCTAAACTTTCAAGCTGCTTATCCTTACTCCCCCCTCCGTGAGCGAACAAAACCATTAGAAAAATTCCTATTTTTGACCAAAAGCCACCCCCGTGTGCGAACAAAAATTTTTGATATATAAGTGATAACTAGTATCATGAAATCTCTAGCTAATTCTTTTTAATTTTATACAAACTTTACAAGTTAAATTAATATTTGCTTTCCAGTTTTTGAAAAAGTGGAATTTTTTTAAAAATTTCGGATATAAATTTAAAAAAAAAAAAACTAACCCACCTCGTGAGTAATAAAATTTTTTTGTTCGCTCACGATGGGGGGAGCTAGTAATTAAAAGTTTAAGCAAGCTTTTTTGTTGGACATTCAAAATTTCATTCTCATCAGCTAACTGTTCGTTGATAATTGCTTGTTCGTCTAGCAAATATCGAATTTTTTTCCGAGCTTTTCTTTCTTTTTCTACGTTTTCTATAGAAAAATTCGTTGATGATAGAGGTGAGAGCATTGCATCAAAATTAGGTCGAGAATAACGATCTCGTAAAATATCATTATGCTCAGGAGATGAAGAAAACTCAGGGTATTGACATAGAGACTTGGCCATTTTATAATAAATTACTAAAAATGGGAGCGTGCATAGGCAGTGAAAATAATCTCAGAGTGATAAGACTGAAGCAAGAAAAACAGCCTGACCCGAGAAAACTGGATGAAATAAGGTATCAAATAAATAAAGCCAAAGCCTTAAATGCTCCACTACTTAATTTGGAGCTCAACAAATTATACATGAAACGTATGCAATGGATTCCTACTAGAGCAAGCATAGATGTAGAAGATGGGCAAAACTGTGAGGCGGTAACGGTAGAGTATTAAAATTGTCACAATATATTAATTAATTATGTTCAGTAAGTTTAGGTAAAGGTATAGGCTAACAGTTAGTGTAGTGCTTAAGCCGCCATGCTTTTCTCGAATGTGGCTTCATATCAGAAATTCATGCCCAGCGAAGTAAGACTTCTAGGAATATCTTTCGCCTGCTTAATCAGATTGCTAACCCTTCTCATGGGTTACACTAGCGATGGAATTTTATAGCCAGCCTGATTAAGGACCAAAAATACATCATAAAAAGCTAAAAAATTAAAGCTTCAAATTAAGAGAATACGATCAGTGAAGCATTTTAAAAAATAATGGCGTAATCTATTAATCATGACATATTTTTTCATATCAGTAAGGACGACAAAAATTTAGAAAAGCTATAATTATTTAAAAATTAAATTTTAAAAAGTATTAATATTTATCTTTCAAGCACATAAACGGCTGTATTTAGTTAGTTCACCATTACGGCATTATTTTATGTCTAAATTCCATATTTCTTATTTAATTCTATTGAGCCTTGCCAAAGCCTTCAACTTTTTTAATTTGACAGTTTCTAACACCCCTATTGATCTGTGATCAAGATTTTTAGTTCTCGAAAGAAGAGTTTTAAATAAATTTTTTGGATTTGAAGTTAATCTAATTTAATTCATAAGGCCTATGTTTAGAATGTAAACTATCTTAAATTTTAATAAATGATTGAAGATTTCATCAAAATTATCATTACTTATATGCCAATTATTTTGTATAAAATTTTGATATTAGAATGATATTTTATTACAAACAAAAAAGTTTTTCAAAAATCGAGATTTTTCTAATGTTTCTGCTAGCCAACTAAGGAAGAGGTAAACATAATTACTTCGTCCATAAATGACCTAATGAAATTTCCATGGCTCACCATAGCAATAACTTTTTCATCTCTAGTTTTTAAAAATTCCTTAATCTTATCAATGAAATAAAATAAAATAAAATGATGACTTCAACGGAAGTTGGACTCCGAGGTGCACCCTCTATGGAGCAGAAGGACCCATCCTAAATAAGCTAAAAGCAGGGCCTCTGTCCCTTTTTGAAGTAGGCCTTCAGGCTTTGGGATGCTGAAGAGGGAAATTTTGTTACTCCCCCGAAGGTTTTCCTGTCCCTGCCAAATGGGCTAGATAGGTTTTGCCTACCACATGGTATTCTCTTGTCGGGATCATCAAAGTACTCGAAGGCGCTCTGCCTTAGGGAGCTGATCCCTTGAAAGGTGGTTCAGACCGAAAATCCAAAATGGCAGCCTCTGATTTCCACATTTCGTCTATCGTGACGTTGGAGAAGGCTATTTTTGAGCTGAGACGATGCAAATGCTAGTGGGCTTGACCACTTTATGGCTAGTTTAATCGTTTAATTTAATCTTATCAGCCCTATGCTTTACATTCTCCCAAGGCTCAATTATAATACCTTTCGGATCTTCTCCTTTATGATATCACCATAGCTCTTCTTCGAAATGGCAAAACTGGTAATTTGTGTATTTTTCCTTCAACTCCTTCAAAGGAAGTCCTATATCACAAGAGTGATGAACTTTTTCAGCAATAAGCGGAGTTAAAATCACAGGACATTTAGCCTCTGCGAAAACTCCTTGCATGGTCATAATGGTCCTTGATAATGGGGAGCAAATAATCAATTCAGTTCTCTTTATAATATCTGCATATTCTTGTCTTGCTTTAATGGTTTGCTGAATTCCTTTTTCTGTCAGTTTTGCATCCCATATAAATGGATCTTTGACAAACCATTCCCAAGGCTTCAACCATTTCATATGATGCCACCTATTAAAAGCAGATTGGGCATGGCGGACCAAGTAGAGCTCCATTTTAATATATCACTTACATTTATAAGATGATGCATTAAATTTATTGATTCAAATTAATCCAACGATATTCTAATTATCGCAGAATCTTGCCAATAACATTATTTTCTTTTTCTTTTAGCTAATTTACTGATTTCTGTTTCTTTTTTTCATGAATTTAAAATCATTCTCATTACAAACTGTGTGGTAAAGCTTCTCTTTTTCTGATTTAATAAAAACTCTTGGTACTCCCTTATGGCTCCATGTTAAATGACAGTGGATTTTTGACAGTGTACATTTCATCGAAATGCATTAGGTGGAAATTTTTAATAGTGCGACATTTGGCCGAAAATTAACGTTTTTTTTTCGGTCAAATGTCTCACTATCGAAAAGTTTAACCAATTTTCGGCCAAAAATATTTCGGTGAAATGAACACTATCAAAAAGGCAATGTCATTGGGCCTGCACCCCTCCCTTATAAGTGTCAATGAAGGCTTAGAATTGGAAATCTTTGATAATTTTTGTGTGTGCCGAATTTTAAAGCTCTCCAAAGAAGATTTAATCTCTTGGAGCTTTGCTTTATGGTCTATAGGAGATGATCTAGTTCTTAGATCTTCTTCATTTTCTGTCAGCTGGCTATTCAAGCACTTTGGGTGCTTTGCCTTGAATAAAATGTTTGTTAGAGGAGCACCTTCTCCAAGTTTAGAGTGCTTAGGAGGGATGGATTGCGACTGTTTTTGAGCTAAAACTTCTTCATTAAGCTTGGTGATAATTCCATTCGCTTCTTTTGCGAGCTCAAATGGATTGCTTGCGTTAGGATCAGTTTCTGATTTAAGTGAAACAGTTACACAAAGAACTTCTTTCTGGACTCTTTTTTCTGTTTCAAGAAACTCTTTTAGATCTCTCTGATCATCAAAAAGTTCGTCTACATCCTTGCTAATGTATGATGCATTTTTTCTAAGCCTGGAAGTTGTTAAAGGGGCTTGGCTAGGAGTTATACTAGACAAGTTCAATTTAAAATTTGGCTTATTGCCGCCCTTAGGAGATTGAATTGCACTCATTGTAGGCTTGATGACTTTTTTCACTTCAAAAGTTGATTTTTGGCTTACCGTTCTCGAATGTTTTCTGATGATTTTGGCTGGCGCATTTTCTTTTCTTACAGGAGATTGGCTATTGCTGTGTAAATTTTCTTTTTTCTTAACTCCCCCCCCTCCGTGAGTGAACAAAACCATTAGAAAAATCGCCCAAAAACCCACCCTCCGTGAATGAACAAAAATTTTTTTAATACAAAAATTTTTATGGAAAAAATTTTTGATATATAAATGATAATTAGTATAATGAAATATAGAGCTAATTCTGTTTATTTTAAACGGATAATTAAAATATGGCGTCTTCGTCTGGGCATGGCCTCCCGGCCATGCAGCCTCGACTCATATTTTAATTATATCCGGCAAGGTTTTACCATTTCAGAGATGGACAGCAATGCTAGGTAAGCAATTCTGGTAGCTTTCAGAGCCTAGCCCTAGTCTATTCTCAGAGGTGGATTTTTCCTCGTGGGGAAGGAGGGTGCAAGGTTGGAAAGGGGAAGCCCAGCAAAGTCCTCTGGACCATTCGGGCAACTCCCTAGCGTGAAACTGGGCGTTACGTCCCAGGCTTTGCATTTTTCCTTTTTGCCGATAGCCGACCAGAAAAATCCATTTTTTGGTTTTTTCGGAAAAAGCAACCCATGTACAAACAAGTAGCTCATCCATGAGCCGTCGAAGACGTGGACATTTGCCCCAGAAGCACCCTGGTGATCGAAGCGAGTTTGTCTCCAGCAGACTGGTGGGCCCGATGCGACGAAAGGCGAGTGATAAACCTGGAGTTGTAACCCCGTAGTGGACGTTAAGCGATATAAATTCTATGTAATGTAATGTAATGTAATGTTTAATTTTAAACGAATTGCTTTTTAAAACATAAATTTTATAAATAAAATTAATATTTGCTTTCCAATTTTCGCGAACTAGGATTTTTTTAAATTTTGAAAAAAAATATTTTTATAAAATTTATTTATAAATTTTTTGAAAAAAAAAATTTAACCCCCTCCGTGAGTGAACAAAATTTTTTTTTGTTCACTCACGGAGAGGGGGGGAGCAAGCGCTTCTAATGCTTCTCTAATAGATGTATCTAAACTTCCATTTGTTTCTCTTTCAGCAAATATTGGCGGTATGATTATTCCATCGATTTTTGGTGGCTTAATTTCTTTTTGTTCGATAATTCCATTATCTCGTTTTTCTATAACAAGTGATTTGACCTGCCTTATGCTAATTTCTGAAGGTTTTATGATTTTGGATTGATCATTCATAGAGAGAGCTATATTATAACTCCTCCCTCCAGTGAGTGAACAAAAAAATTTATTTGCTTGTGGAGGGATTAATTGTTTTTTAAAAAAATTATAAAATAAATTTTAATAAATTCCAATTTGTAAAGATTGAGAAGTAAAAATTTATTTAGTTTGCAAAAAATTTATGTTTTAAAAAATGCAACTATTTAAAATTAAATAGAACTAGCTATAGAATTTATCATAATAATTATCACTTATATATCAATTTTTTTCATGCAAATTTATAAACATATTAGTTCACTCACGGAGGTACGTTTTCTAGGCAAAAAATAGGGATTTTTCCAATAGTTTTGTTCGCTTACTTGGAGTAAGTATTCTTTACCGCATGCAATATATGCTGAAACAGCATTTTGACGCAATCACATGAATTTCCAGCCTTTTCAAACCTACTTATAGCAATCTCCTTAATAATGCATTCAAATTGTTCATAATTTATTTTAGCTCTGCTTAATACTTGATTATTTGCTGCTCTCGTAAAAAGGTTTCTGATATCAGCTTGCATTATTAGTTCCTACATAGTTCCTACATTCAACAGTCTTGCATTTTTGCAAAACTTCTGAAAGTCCACTAAGCTGACTTTTCCATCAGTCCCTGCGTGCTTCTGAAAAATCGTTTTGAGTTTTGCTCTATTTACATCAATAAGAGTGAATTCCATATTATTTAAATAGAATATCCCTAATAGATTAAGTTATCTATTCTTCTGATTCCTCAACTTCTTCTTCCTCACCATCTTCAGGAAGGCCTAAGGCTCTTCTTCTAGCCTTTTCAGCTTCAAGGTGCTCTTTCCATTCTCTTTCTTTCTTATATGCATATTCCATTGTGCATTCCAAGTTGTTGTATCTTGTTATTGAATGAAGGATCCAAGTATCTACCTTTTCAACAGTAAAAGCGGCAAGAATCACCATAAATAGACGCTGCTTTCTAGTAGCGAAAAGCCATTTGCCACACCATCTTAAGGCTGCCTTGGTGCGAGCATCATTAGTCCAACGATTGTAAACTTGGGGTTGTCTCTTACTCTCTCTTCCGTAGCAACCAAAATAATTTTTTCGCTTACAAAGAGGGTGAGCTTTTTTTTTGAAATTTTTGTTAACTCCCCCCCCCCCTCCGTGAGTGAACAAAAAAATTTTGTTCACTCACGGAGGGGGGTTAATTTTTTTTTGTTTTAAAAAATTTATAAATAAATTTTCTAAAAAATATTTTTTTTCGAAATTTAAAAAAATCCTAATTCGCAAAAATTGGAAAGCAAATATTAATTTAATTTATAAAATTTATGTTTTAAAAAGCAATTCGTTTAAAATTAAACAGAATTAGCTCTAGATTTCATTATAATAATTATCATTTATATATCAAATTTTTTTTCCATAAAAAATTTTTCTATTAAAAAAATTTTTGTTCACTCACGGAGGGTGGTTTTTGGGCAAAAAATAGCGATTTTTCTAATGGTTTTGTTCACTCACGGAGGGGGGGGGGGAGTAAGATAAAAATAATTTAATTTGAAGAATTTATGCTGTTAAAAATTAAACAGAATTAGCTAAATATTTTATTATAATAATTATCACTTATACAAATTAATATTTTCCAATAGCTTTGCTCGTTCACGGATGAGGGAATTAGGCTCTGGTACAACTGTTTGCACTGGGCCTCTGAAATTTCTATATAAATACCAAGGCTGGTTTTTTGCGTGAGCTGCACCCTTGTGCCCATCCGTATATCCCTTCCAATAATCTTTATATTGCTCGGCTGCCATTTATTATTATGGTCACGAAAATTCAAGATTCCGCATAATTAGCCAAGTGAAAAATGCATGAAATTGAGTAAAAGTGCATTTTTTATAAATTAAATAAAATGTTCAGCAAGTATCCAATGATTGAGGTCGAAGAAGCGAGAAATATTGTGAAATCGCAGTGCGAAAATAAGAAAATCGAAAGAATTGAGTTGATTCAAGGACTAAATAGGGTGCTAGCTGAAGATATAGTTGCAAAGAAACCTTTTCCAGAGTTCAGAGCAAGCACAATGGATGGGTATGCAGTGAAAGTGCAGGATTGTCCTGGAAATTTGCAGATAGATGGATCTATAAGAGCAGGGGAGGCTTCAAATGAATTAGAAACCGGACATGCTAAATATATTACGACGGGAGCACCGCTCCCTAAAGGTGCAGATGCCGTTATCCCCATAGAAGAAGTCAAGATTGAAAACGACACTTTAACTGTTCCACAAGCCAAACTTGGCCAATGAATTAGAGAAATAGGAAGTGACATAGAAGAAGGACAAATCGTTATTTCGAAGAACAATGTTTTAGGTGCTGCAGAAATTGCGCTACTAGCGTCTTTAAATGTAAGAGAAATATCTGCTATAGCAAAAATTAAAATAGGTATTTTGTCAACTGGCAATGAGCTCAAAACCTTAGGCGAAGAAACGAAATATGGAGAAATTATTGATAGCAACAGTATCATGATTAATATGCTGTGCCAAGAAGCTGGATGTGAAGTAAAAAATTATGGAATTGTAAAAGATGACCTGGATTTAGTAAAAAACACTTTGATTACTATGAGCGAGGAATGCGAAATTATTATCACAAGCGGAGGTGTAAGCATGGGCGATCGAGATTTCGTTAAGCCAATCCTTGAACAAGAAGGACAAGTATTTTTTGGCAGATTGAATATGAAGCCTGGGAAACCCACAACATTTGCAAAACTTAATAATGCCTTGGCCTTTGCCCTTCCTGGAAATCCTGTCTCATGCTTTGTTTGCTTCTACTTGCTAGTAAGATACGCAATTGATCTAATTTCTTCCAAGCCAGAGTTTCCTATCATCACAGTCAATTTGGGATCACAAGAAATAAAGCTTGACAGCAGGCCAGAATATCATAGAGTAATTGTCGCTTGGGATGGCTCAGAATTCAAAGCTGTCACAACTGGGTCCCAAGCCTCTTCCAGACTTTTAAGCGCATCTAAAGCAAATGCTTTATTGATGCTGCCCAAATCTTCGCCATCACTTTCATCTATTTCAGGCAAAGTCCAAGCTATTTTAGTTAAGCCCTTCTCCAATATCCAGCCTGAAATGAAAGCTGCTCGCATTTCAACACAGCATCATGAGTGTCCACATTTTGCTCCGAGAAATGACAGTGTAAAAATAGGGATTTTAACTATAAGTGATAGGGTTTCTGAAGGAGTAGCTACAGATACCAGTGGAGTAATTTTTATTTAGCCACATTTAATTGAAAAATCAAAGGAACTGTTTAATGGATGCTGCACATTTTATCAGATTGTCCCTGATGAAATAGAGAGAATAAGAGACGCATTATTAGAATGATGCAATGAAGGATTCGAATTAATTTTTACAACTGGAGGGACTGGATTTTCTGAAAGAGATGTCACCCCTGAAGCGACGAAAATGGTTATTGAAAGAGAAGCACCTGGAATTTCGACACAGCTGATTGTAGAAGGGCTTGCTAAAACACCGCTGGCGTCACTTTCAAGAGGAGTTGCAGGAATAAAAGGGAGGAGCTTGATTATAAACTTGCCTGGAAGCTTGAAAGCAGTCAAAGAAGGCTTTGAAATTCTTTCACAAGTGATTCCTCATGCAATATCAATTTTAAGAACATAATAATTATGACTGATAATCAAACTAATCAATATTTTGCTGCTTTTCGATTATGAAGAAATTTATAGTATCCATATCTAACTTCCTCCCAGTTTAAGAGCAGGCAGAAAATTTGTGATTTAAAATTTCAATTTGCAAATATTTGAAAAAAGCTAATTCAATTTATATGAAATTTATGTTTAAAAAATCTTCGTATTATTTATAATTTAATTTGAATTTTTTTTACGATTTTTAAAGAGCTTGGTTTTTTGAAAATAATAGGGGTTTTCCAATGGTTTTGCTTACCATCAAAGAGAGTAAGCATTTTTCTTAATTTGAGCCAAAATTGATTAGTTTGGTAATGAATATCTTCGGTGGATCTTAATAGAAAGAGTTTGGTTTAAAAGCAAATAAATAAATTCCTACCATTTAATATCATGGGTGTTATGGATGAAGAATACTTCTATAAGGAGAAGACTGAACTAGCTCCTGATGCTCAAAGAGACGCTGACCACGTTTGCGACAACTTGCGTATGAAATTTATCGAAGACTGGGCACTAAACAAGAACTTAGACACCTATAAAACTGATGCTGAAAGAGATTGGGCTTATATCGTCAAAAGAGAATACAGATTTGCCGTAGTTTTAAGGTCCTTTTTTGATGGCATGTTTGTAGGGAATCTCCTTCAACTTGCAGTCAGCTTCAACCGCAAAAGACTTGTTTTTTATCCTTTGTTTTTGACTTGGCCTGTAGTTTATTATTGGCAAATTGGGAAGAGGTTTAATCAGCACAACACAAATAAAATAGCGACATTTGGAAAAAAGGCTTTTAACCCCCAGAGACCACTGGTGCTGACGACGAAGGCATAGTTGGTACTGATATTAGCTAGGGAGTTTATCCCTAGCTAGAACTCTAGTCACTCAAGCAGCAGTCGTCAAGTCCCAAGCCTGCATACTTCAAGGTTCCAAGACAGCATTAAGAGCCAGGCCGAAAGCCGGAGGAGGGCTATCTCTGGTGGAAATGCTGACATACCAGGGAGGTTCGCTAGCAGTTGAATGAGTCTTCTACAAAGACTCGTCTCGGGTGAGACGTAAAAGGAGGAAGATCCTAATCTTTAATTAATGTTAATGGTTTAATCAGCACAACAGGCGCTTTTTTGAAATGCTCAATGTTGGGACAGAGTTTGAGCTTGGAGCTGAAAGAAATCGAGTTTTAGAAGAGTGCAATCGTATTGCCCGCAGGGCAGACTTTTAATCTTCTAACTTAATCGCTTCTAAAGATGAGCAAGATATTGTGAAAAATCTTAATTTTAATGATCTATATTTTATATATAAGTAAAGATTTTTATCAATATTAATTCGTATATCAAAAAAATTAAAAAAAATAAGATAAAGTGTTAGAACTTGACTAAACATCTGTGCATATGCTATAATCATTTTAACTCATAAAATACAAAATAGCTTAGCTATTAAATAAATATATTGACGTGATCAAGCTGTTTTAAAATGAAAAAGCTTTTTTTGATATGACTTTTGGCTGTATGTGCAACTGCTTCTGAATGTAATTGCTCGACTGGTTCTGTTAGTGGAGTAGACTGTGACCCTTCATGCTTTCCTGAATCTTGCCAGTATTGATCTAATTGCACTAAAAGTTCAAGTGATAATGACAGTTCAAATGGCTGGATTGGAGGGATTTTGGCACTCGCCACAGGGGTCGTTATGTAAAATCTATTTAGATTTTTGTGCTGCTGCTGTTGTTGCTGGAAAATGATAGCGAGAATCAAAAAATATCGCAATGAATGGGAGAATAATTGGGCAAATGAAAATGGAAATCCACGGTCTCATTCGTCAGATTCTGAAGTGTTATTAACGCAAAGTATGATTAATAATCATGTGCAAGTAGAATATTATGGGGACTCAGTAGAGTTTAAAGGGCAGTCTGTTTGCAGTGTGTGCTTGGCAGATTTTAAAACGGGGGAAGCTATTAGGGTGACGGTTTGTAAACATATTTATCATGTAGCATGATATATATAAAATGGTAATGACAGACGGCCGACTTCCTGACCTTATTTCTTCAAAACCTGCAGACAACAGCACAGAGTGAAGGGGAAGGGCAAAAAGAGGTCAGTATCTTTGTGAATGTCGTGCTAGGTTTTTATCTGGCCCTAGGAGTGGGAATTTGAGTTTTAATTCGAGATATTCTTTGGAAAGGACAAAATCAGCAAAAGCCCCAAGTGGAAGATAATTGTTTTGGCCCGCTCAAGAGGGGACATCTACTTTACTAGAAGCTGGAGTCTCGACCCAGGTGGTGGGTTCATATGCCCCAGGAGTAATAGAAGTCAAGAGTGGTCGTGCGAGTCCCTTTTTCTGCAGCGGTATCTACCAGGGTCCATCGAGGACAATGAGCATGCAGGAATGGAATCTCCTGTCCTGTCGAAGACGAAGAGCTTAATTTAATTTAATTTAATCATGTAGCATGCTTAGATGCGTGATTATTGACCTGCCATCGTGCAAAATGCCCTAATTGCAATTTTATCATTATTGAGCAATAATTCATACAGTCAAGATATTGTTTATTTATATTAATCAGTTTAATTAATTTATTTTTCAAGAAAATCTGGAATATAAATATGCTGAGTAGATCCAAACTATTAGGTTAAATATACATAAGAGAGAGACAATTTATAAATATATTTTGATTTTTATGTAAAATACTTTATATTAATACTTAATTTTAATGAATTTCATTAATATAAATTCTCTTTGATACTTTTAATTTTAGTAAGAATTTCTCCAAAATAATTATTTTTAAAATGCATGATGAATGAAGTAATTAAAAAGGGATATGACAGATAACCAAGACAGCCTAATTATCGCCGGTTGCTTGATAGTAGGCCTCTTTTTCTTTGTGTAAGCTTTATTTACTCTTCCTCTCAGTTAGCGAACAAAAAATTTTGTTCGCTCACTGAAGGTTAATTTTTTTGTATTAAAAATTTATATATAAAAATTTTTTGAAAAAAAAAATCCGAATTCGCAAAAATTGGAACGTAAATATTTATTTAATTTGTAAAATTTATGTTTTAAAATTGCAATTGTTTAAATTAAACAGATTTAAAAATTTGTTGATAATTACGTAAGTTTTTGGGTAAAAATAGGGATTTTTCAATTTATTCTGTTCGCTCACAAAGGGGAGTTAGCTTTTTGGCCATATATATTTATTGCAGAAGGTATTTTTCAAGGTTGAAAAGACTTTCCAGGCAATTCACTGCTAATTCTGCCGGTCCAATTTCCAGTAATATTTCTGGACCAAATCAAATAACTTCAGAAATCACAGAAACCATGCTAAATAAAAAGATGCCAATGCTGTTTTACCCAATAAAGAAAAAATTCAAAGGAGAGCCTGCTTGCACAATTTGTCTGGTAGATTTTAAACAAGGAGAAGTCCTAAGATTGACAAAATGCAAACACATTTTTCATGTCGGATGCATTGATGAATGAATAATCTCGTCTAGTAAAAAAAAGTGCCCAAACTGCAATTGGCAAATCTTAAGATAGAGAAAATTGTTTAATGCTTAAAAAGATGGCACTATAAACTCTATATTTTATAAGAATAATTTAGATGCTTATTATATTTTTATTGCTAGGAGTATACTATAACGATTTTTCCATGTATCAGACTTTTGTCTGAAAAAAGGAAGCCATAATATTAAAGTAATTTTTTTTTAATTTTTCTCTAAAATCTGTCATCCTTCAGCTAATTTGTTAGCCTTAAGAGTAATCATTAATATTAAAAGAGAAAAAATGGTTCTATCTGCACCTTTTAAGAATAAATTAGGTTTTCAATAATTCTTAAAAAACAAATGGATTTAAATTGATATCTAAGTGATAAGGAGTCAAAATAAATTTGACCTAAAACCATATATAGCAAGTTTATAATTCAGATATCTCCATTATGTGGCAATATTTTATTTTCTTTAGGCCAGAATTAATATATCTGCTATTACAAATACAAAAATAAATAAAAAAAATATTGGTCCATATAAAGTTTAATTTAATTCTATGCTATTCTTTCGATCGTCCATAGATCATTATCATCCCTTCCCTCATAGCAAGTCACTTCTTGTTGCCAAGAATGTGTCTGGTGTCCTCCATGAGAATGCAGCGCGAAATTTGTTGCTACATGTATTAATTTTACCCTCATATTGGACATCCAAGGCTCTTTACTCTCCCCACCAGGAATTTCAAGCTTCCAAATGTCTTTCTTATCGCCAACTCCAAATTCCCCAAAGCAAGTAACTTCTTGTTGGGAAGTTGCAGGAGACTGAACCCCTGAATTAGAGTGGAGGTTTTTCTTTGTGGTTAGATGCATGAGAGTAAAAGTTGTGCCATTTGGAATCTCAGCGCCGACTCGAAATCTGCCTCCCTTAACTTTTTCTCCCTTTTTGGGTGGAATAGCTCTTATAACCCATCAGTCGTTCTCATCTCGGCCTTCATAGCATGTGACTTCTTGTTGGCGAGAGCCTCCTTGATAATTAATGGAATGTGAATGAAGAGCCCATCCAGTTGTTGCATGCCGAAGCTTAACGGGAATTTCATATCGAACTGCTTGTGGAGGCATTTCAACTATTGTCTGAGGTTCCGGAACCTCAGGCTCAACTTTAGTCGGTTCAGGATCAACTTTAGTTGGTTCAGGATCAACTTTAGTTGGTTCAGGATCAACTTGTGGCTCTTTGGTTTCTTCTGCTTTTTCTTCAATTACTGGGCTGTTTAGAATTGCTTCAAGTTCTTGCCTTAATTCTTCGACTTCTTTTTGTTCTTTATCTCTTTTATCAAGCCTATGCTGCCTTTTCTTCTCTAGCTCTTCAATCTCGGCTTGCAGCCCTTGAAGCTCTTTTTCGTAATTATCGTTGTTTTCTGTTATTCTACTGTTCAATTCATTAATACCCTGGTTTAATTTTTCATTTAGCGCTTCTTCTTTTTCACGCTTTAGCCTCTCAATCTCTTCTTGGATTCCATTTATTTCATTTTCCAGACCAGTTTTTGTGGCATTATATGCATTCTGTGTTGACAAAACTTCTTGCAATTTATCAGATAAATTATTTCTCTTTTCGTTAGTTTCAGTTGCTTCATTAATCGAATTGGTCAATTTCTCAATTTCTTTGTCTAATTCAAGCTCTGCAGCAATTTCTTCTTGTGTGATTTCAGCAGATTGAATATCTTGCTCCAATTTTTGGTTTTCATCGAGCTTTTCGTCAGCTTCTCTTTGGATTTCTTCAATTTCATGAATTTCATCTTTTACTCCTTGAAGCTCCATCAGAGTATTTTTAGTATTTCCTAAAATCTCTTCAATCTGCTTTTTTAGATCATCTTTTTCTCTATTTTCTGCTTGCTTTCTCTTGATGCTTTCCTCTAAATCTTGGATTGTTTTCTCCTTTTCCTTTAATTCTTGTTCAAGCCTTTCGCCATCATTATCCAATTCCAAGATCTGATGCTCAGAGTTCCCTAAATTTTCAATTTTTTCTTCTAATTCATGCTCTGCTTGCAATAAATTATTTACTTCTTGACTTATGCTATTATAGCTGTTCTCAATAGAATTTTTTTCATATTCTGCAGATTTTAGTTCTTTTGCTAATTGTTTTATTTCTTTTTTGGTGAGCTTAAACTCAGCTTCTAAACTATGAAGCTTAGTTCTTACTTCGTCAGCTTTTGGGTCAAGATTCCTCAACTGTATTTCAAGGCGTGATTTTTTTTCGCATAATGATTGGTTTTCATCATTGAAATTTTTTATGATAAGAAGCTCCTCAGCTTCTTTTTTTTCATAGTCTCTTTTAACTAGATCAATTTCCTGCTGCAATTTCTGGTTTAGACCTTTAATATAGTCAGTTTGTGAATTTAGTCCCGCAAGGATACTCCTTTTACTGTCCCCACAACCCATCTTTATGACGTTTTTTAAAAGTTAAGACATAATTTTGAAATAAAAATAGCATTTAAGTGTAAATTAGAGTTATTTATATCAAAATGCTTTATTATTCTTTGTGAAATTTTTTTATATAAACCTTGATAAATCATAAATATAGGGGTTTTCCCTATATCTCAAGCTTTTAATATAGATGACAATTTTTTTCTAATTAGATTTTTTCTGGTAATAACTTTGCTAAATTCAAATTCAAAAAATGTTTTGAATGTTTTAAAGCATAAATTAAATCGACCCAAGCTCATCCGACCTCTTGACGCAATTTTCTCAACCTTATGGAAAAAGCGAATTTGGCGAGAACCAGTGAGATTTAGGTCTGATAAGGCTTTATGCATTTCGGGTAGGCTTTTGACTTGGCTCCTCCAGTTGGAAAGAGGCAACCAAGCAGCTTCCTTCGGGACCCTTCAGTCTGCCTTCACCGCGATACCAAGGGTTGCGTCCTGGGCCTGGGGACTGAGCCTTTTTACCTGTAGCTTCTGAGGAAGGCGCCAACACCATTAGACTCCGGGTTTTTCTAGATCAGGCTACTACCCAATTAGCCCGATGCAGAGTCGCAGAGATCTATAGTCTGCCCATTCAAAATTGTAGTCCTCAACCTTGCAAGGAGAAGAAGTATTACCTCTTGCACACTCAATCCATCCTGGCGATTAGGCAGATCTAAAAGAAGAGGAAAAAGAAGAAGATAATTCAAGCACCTCGCCGGCAATCATCTTTATCGATCACGCCGAGGAGTAGACGCCACAAGCGGATAAATCTTTGGGGTCCTTGGTGACTGCTAAACAATAAGGCACTCTGCTCGTCTATAATGATAATGATTTAAAAGCGAAACTTCTGCATATACAACATAAGCTAATTATCAAGTGCATAAATACAATTTTCTTATAAGTGATAATTAATTACTTATATATTTATTCTTTAAAACTAAATCTAAAATCGGCGATAATATTATGTCTTTATGTTTTGGTTAAGGATCTATCTTAGCACCAAAAGAACCACTGATATTTTCACTCATAGAAGAATCACTTCATCAAAAACTCTTGCTAGGCCCATATAAAACACCTAAAGTTCTATTGAGATATCTACTGAAGAATATCCATATTAAAAAACTCGACTATTGCAAATACACTTTATCTAACCCAGGCAAAGCTAAGCTTCGCCTCATCTCACATACTCTTTTTGCAAGAGCCTAAATTTGCAGATCCATTTGCTATAAAGGCTGCGATTGGCTTCTTTCCTCAATTGGTGCTATAGTCACCATCATAGCTCTGCTCATATGATTATAAGATTGAGAGAATTCTTGTATTTTGATCAAGCTAGATATGCTCATTCAAGCTCATTCTAAAATGAAAAGATTAGCTAATTATTAAATAATTTTTTTACGATAACTCACACAATATTTAGCTTGGGATTGACACAGACGATATTAATCTCATCTTGATGATGGTAATATGCATCGACTTGTGTGATTAGCAATAGCAGTGATATATTAATAGAGGTACCTTTTAAAATGGATATTCATTAATAAGAAATGCATCCAAATCGAAACCTCGGGTTTTATCCTAACTTAAGAGATGAAAACCTCAATAAACCTCCAGGCTATGATCCTGATGGATATGCGAAACATTTGAATCCTTCTGCTGAATTTTACAACCCTCAAGTCTACAGACCTCCACCATCAAATTTTTATTTGTCAGCTAATGAGTTTGTGCCCAACTTTTATAGATCAGAAGAAGAATTTCCAAAATTATCCCAGCCAAAATTTATAGTCCAGGACGCATTATAGATCGTCTAGGGTTATGACTTGATGCTTCACTTCTCGGAGTTTATTTTGCTCCAGAAGTTATCAAACCAACTCCATGAGTTGGCAAATACCAACTATAGGCGTGTTTATCAGCTCGTGGAGTTGGTTTGGCAATTTCTGGGTCAAAACCAACTCCGCAGAGTGAAACGAAAATTCATAGCTCTGGACGATCTATAATGCGCCTTGAGCTATACCAAATTTTCAGGCAGAAGAATTTTATCCTCCAGGATTTTCGCAATCTCAAGTGCAGCCCAAAACACTGAAAGCACCAAACCCCAACGCAGTCAGTTTTGTGCCTCTGAGTGTTGCGCCAAGCCCACCTCCTGCTGTAATAACTCCGCCACAGCCAGCTCCTGACAGTGAGGAAATCGTATATGGGGTAAGAGGAATTTTATCTTTACAAAAAGATACTACAAGTGACTTGCATATGCTTGCGAGAGGAAGGGACCTGACGAAACTTGGACTGAATATGAAATCCTCAGAAACGCTGTCTTCAGTATTACCAAGCGTTTTTCAAGATGGAGACCTTGAAGCAACAGAGCAGCCAGAATTTTCGCTGCCGTCGTGCTATTATATAAGCAAGCCAATACTGAGGATGAAAATGTTTGGGATCTTTGAAATAAAAACGCTTTTTTATATTTTCTATATACTTTCTACGAAAAGAATAGCCATTTTAATTATATGCAAATATTTCAAGAAATAGAATAGAGCCTGGTATAACATGCCAGGAGAAATGCTGCAAGCCTTGTCAGCAGAAGAGTTATATAAAAGAGATTGGCTATATGACCCTAATGCGCAGAAATGGTACTCAGGATTTGGAAGCAGCTGGAAAACTTTTGATGCAGGAAGCTGGGAGATTCTGCAGTGCAACTCTCCAAACACAATTTTCTTATCGAAAGATGATGTTAGAGTAAAGCGAGCCTCAGCCTAGTGTATCTAATCCTCTTTAATTTATATACAAATACTTAAAGAGTAAATTATTAGCATATAAATAAACAATAAAGAATAAATCATAAAATCTATATAGAAAGCTGACCTGATAATAACTATAAAGAAATTTCTATAAATTGAATATAGGCATTGTTCAGTGCTAAATAGAAAATTATTAATAAATGGAGAGAAGAATAAATCTATCAGATTTGGAAGTCCTTCAAACACTTGGTACAGGATCATTTGGAAGAGTTCGGCTAGCTCGTATGAAAACCTCAGGAGAGTACATTGCTCTAAAGATACTAAAAAAATACGAGATTCTTAGAATGAAGCAAGTCGACCACGTGATTTCAGAATTTTCTATACTTCGTATAATACGCCACCCTTTCTTGGTGAACCTAATTGGTTACACTCAAGATGACCGCTATCTCTACTTAGCACTTGACTATGTTCCAGGTGGAGAGCTTTTCAGTTATCTCCGCAATGTCGGAAAGCTGGAAAACGATCATTGTCGTCTCTACGCTGCCCAAATTACACTGATGTTTGAATATGCACAATTAGATTATGTTCTAGATAAAAATCGCATTTATTAAGTCAAGTTTATTCTAGTAAAAAAATGCTATTTGATTCAAATTCAAGCTAGAGCAGAATATATGCATTCACTAAATATCGTTTATAGAGACTTAAAGCCAGAAAATTTACTAATAGCTTATGATGGCTACTTAAAACTTACAGATTTCGGCTTTGCAAAAACAGTAGAAGGCCGAACTTACACTCTTTGTGGGACTCCAGAATACCTAGCCCCAGAAATTCTACTTAATAAAGGACATGGAAAACCGGTTGATTGGTGGACCTTGGGAATTATTGTTTATGAGATGATGGCAGGGATTGATCCCTTCAGTGATGAAGACCCCATGGCAATTTATCAAAAAATCCTCAAAGGAAAAGTAAAGTTTCCTCGAAATTTTGATAAAAACGCCAAAAGTCTAGTTAAGCATCTACTAGTCGCAGATTTAACCAAGCGATATGGAAATCTTAAAAATGGGGTTGGCGATATAAAGAACCATAGATGAAATGCGGGGCTGGATTGGGTAAGACTACTGCAAAAGCAAATAGGCATGCCCTATAGGCCAATAGTCAGAGCGCCTGATGATACATCAAACTTTTCGCATTATCCAGATTCAGGAACAATGTCACCACCAGTAAGAGCTTCAGATGATCCTTTTATTGACTGGTAATTGGATTATATAATTGAATATCCTTTATTAATCTAAAATGGAGCCGAATAGCAGCAGCGGAGATGAGTTTTTTGATGCCTGCGAAACAGAAGACCAGATAGATTTATATCAAAGATCCTGCACAGTTCAATATAAAGCAGAGGCGGTTTCAATAAAAACTGATTTCCAAACTAGTTCATTTGAAAATAGCCCAACTCATATAGCGAGATCGTACACCGAAGCAGTCCCTCCTCTACCTCGTGCTCATGCAATGCCAGTAGAAAATAAATCAGTATTCATTTAGCGTATAACTAGCTTCGCGAATATAATGGTGCTAATTTTAAATCCAAATTATTTTAGAATATCATCGTTAGCTAATTCATTAAGATGCTTTATTATTGGCTCATTTATTTTCCAAATGATTCACACTTGTCAAATATTTTTCGAAATGCAATTTTTAACCCTTCATGGATAGAGGCCCAACTCTTTCCTTTGATAAAGTCTGCAGTGATATTTGAACTGTCTATTACATTTTTCTCGATACTGAAGGCTGTTTAGGGGTATGAGATATACATGACTTTGAGATAGAAAAACCGAAAGATCAGCCTGTAGTTTTGCTCGAGCACAATGGCGACTATAAAGTATTGATCATGTAGATCACAAAAAAAGAATTTAATGAATTCAATAATTTGCAACTTTTAAAATTAATCAATTAAATTTGTTAAGATCCTTCGATTAACGTCCACTATCAGGTTGCTTGCTGCCACAGCTGCCTTCAACAACGCTAATGTGCATTCGCGCCATCTTCCTCCGGCCCGCCAAAGTGTGGTCACCTTGACTTTGATTCATAATGAATACGCTGGTCTTGAAGTTTGGACCTCGATGACTATTCTTTGAGCTCAGGTTAACTTCTTAGGTCACTAGGTATCCTAAAGTCCCAGGAGGCAGGTTGCACCCTTCTGGAAAATTCTATTGGAGTCCGGTAGGAAAAGCCAACGGTGTCCTTACTTCCCTGACATAGCTGGAATAATTTTACCAAAAAAAAACAAAATAATTAAAATATGCACGAGATAAATTATCGGTTGATAGACCAGAAAATTTGAACGATGCCATATTTTTAATTATCATTTGCAGCTTTTACAAGAGATTGAACTTCCTCACAGAGAAAATAATGTGATTTGCATATTAAAATTCAGCTATGATTCCCGAAAACTCACTGTTGGTGGAAGCAATGGGAGAATTATAATTTTCGATGTAAATCTTTCAGCTGGAGGTGCTATTTCTAGCGTCCCCTCACACATATTGAATGAGCATAATGGCCCAGTCACCGATATTAGCTGAAGCCGACAAAACAATCTATTGTCTTCTTCTGCAGATGGAACAGTAAAATTGTGATCTTCAAGTCAAGACAGCTCAATTGATACGATTCAACTTCCATGCGAAGTGAGTGCAGTCACATTTAACCCTATTGATTCAAATTATTTTGTCACTGCTTCTGGAGATTTAATTATTCGGCTATTTAGGTTTCCAGATAAAATAATAGAAGGGTTTTACCAAGCTCCAGGAGAAATTACTTCAATTTGTTATTCACCGTCAGGTGAATTCTTAGCAGTTGGTATTGATAAAGGGCAGGTTGTTCTATATCAAGGAAGATCTGACCACAAGCTAAGACTAGGAACTACCTTAATATGTAGAAATCGAAGAGGACTTCTATCGGGTGGAAAAAGAGTTACAGGACTAGAATTTATGGATGAGGAACATCTGTGTGTGACTACCAATGATTCAAATATTCGGCTATATAGATATAAAGATAACTTATTACTGCAAAAATACAAAGGCACTGAAAATATCAAATTTCCTATTAGATCAAGTTTATCAGAAGACGGAGAGCATCTTCTTTGTGGGTCTGAAAAAGGGAGAATCTTTATATGAAATACTAATAGATCATGCGATTCTCCTGGAAAAAATAACTCCCATGAAAGCTTTTGTCCTAGGAAAAAGAAGTGCCCTGAATATGCAGTTTTTGCTCCAATTAAGATAGTGAATATGGTACAAAAAGGAATTTCAAATGAATCAACCGAAATTAAGCATGTAATTTTTACGATTGGCTCGAAGCAAAATATTAGAGTTTTTGCTAATCAATCAAAGTTAAATAATAGCTAGTTTTATTATCTTAGATAAGCAAAAATTTAATATTTGATACAAAGTAAATATTACTAATTTGAGATTATTTTATCAAATATATCGCATATCCTGCTTTATAGCCTCAATTTAATCTATATACGCTGAATGAGAAATCTATTCAATATATGTCTTTTTATATTACACGATTGCTATAGAAATAAATGAAAACTTCATACGACCAAGTTGAATCTGAATCTTATCTTATTAACTTATTAAATCTATATTGTTTAACGTCTCCAATGAGATTGCACACCTCCTGCTATCAATGTTCTCACTCTGTGTTTGGCATTTCTCGCCATGAAGGAAGGTTGAGGGAGCTAAATTTCAACACTTCTCAGATTGGTTGAGCAGAAAAACACTATGCATTTCATTTTCCTAGGGCTAGAAATCCACTCATCGTTGGCTTACCTGATATATATGGGACGGGAAACACCATAAAGCTGAAACTCATAATCAAAATATGCCATAATGCCGAATAATTAGCTCCGCTAATTTTTTCTCATTCAGCAATATTTTGATTATGAATCTGAATCTTATCAATGCTTCGAAAATCTCGCATATAGTTCTTTAGTTGGGGCTGGAATAGCTAGCGCAATTTCCTTACTAGTATTGAAGTCAAGACTTCCTGCAATTTTATATGGAGCTGGATTTGGTGCAGGCTTATCAGTTCACCAATGCCAAATTAAGTTTGAAGAGCTAAATACTGAGAAAAAGACTTATCCAGCAGAAGCTGAAACCTGGGTCAGCGCACTTGCAATGATGGGCAGAGTTTTAAATGCTAACTCTTAAAGTTAATAAAAATTATACAAAATAAGGAGCTGTTGCTTCCCTCATTGATTCAATCGCACACTCATCAACCTCTTTTTATCCTAAAAAATCCGTTCTCTCTCCAATTGATCCTAGGTGTTTAAAGCTTTTCTAAATTTTAACAAACTCTCAATACCCAATCCTGCAATTAAAACTCTGTAGTCGATTTCTTCCCAATCTAGGGAACTTTCTCTCATATCTTTCTCTTGGAAAGCTTTCATATATCCTACTTATATGAAAACAAAATCTCTTGATGGTTTTAAATTGGCAATGATAGGCCCTCTCGCACAGATTCTTTCATCATATTTTCTTCGTTAGAATCTCTATAATAGCCTCTATATAATATTAGTCTAAAACAGTAACAGAAGAGCATCGTCACATTTTATTTGGCATTCTGCATTTTTGGCTTCATAATAGGCGTATGATTCTGAGATAAATCTTTTTAATAATGTGGGCAGCCTCTATGACAACTTTTAGTGTAAAAATTGCAGCTTAAAGCATATTAAATGCTTATAGATGCTGCAAATTCTTATTATTCAGAATTCGTAGTCTTGATTGATCATTTCAATAGTTGCCAAAATATAGCAAGACCAGTAATTATTTATCCTCGATGATTTGGAGCATAGTTTACTCCATTGATATTTGTTCAGTCCCATAACTCAGGTAATTCGTCTTCTTCTATATCATTACTTACTTCATTTCAATATTTTTAGTTTTTCTCTATTTTCTATAGACGCAATTTGCTGTTTAATTGATCATTCCAAGAATGTTAGGCTTTTCTTCCCATTTGATGATTTACTTGAATAATTTCCATTCCTTTGAAATCTCTGATTAAGCTCAGCTGTCCAGGATGCTTGTCTCGTTTATTTCATTAGCTTCACCCTCAAGCTCATCATAAAGTGGGACTACTTGTAAAAACATACTGTTTCTTCAGGCTGAATCCTCTGAAATTTATACGTTTTGACCTCTTGAATCTCTAAAGCTCTTTCTTCATTTTTGTCCCAAAGAAGTATCTTCAGTTTTTATGATCTTTAACTCAAAAGTATAGATTTAATTATCTATGATATTTTAAAGAACAAATCAATCTATAGTTTTAATCTTGAAAACATTATTAAATAAATGATTAAATTTCTTAATAATAAATATCTCAGCAATCGCAACTCATCTCCTTATGATCTCTGACTATAACTTCCTTTTTAAAGCTCCAAATCTTTGAGCTAGCATTCTGCCATAATGATTTAAGTATCCTCGATTTCAGAGTTAATAAATATAATCGTAAAAATGGATACGGCACTAGACAGCTACGACTCACTGCTGAAAAGACTTTCCATCAATCTTTCCTTTGTTAGAGGACTAAAATCCTTCCTAAAAGAAGCTTCAAAATACCACACTAAGCTATCTCAAGCTTACGATTCCAATTTCAGCAAAATCCCGACTCCGCCGACTGTAATCTGTCAAAATATAATTGAGCAATCCAGGGCTTTCTGCTATACCCTTGTTGAGTACAGTGACAAAGCTGTGGAATCTGCTAAAAGAGGCCACTCCGAGCTGAAAAATTTGTCAAAAAAAATAAAAGATCAAATTGCTAATATGAAACAAGGCAAAAAGACTATGATAAATATGTCTAAGCTTTCTATACAGTCTATTTCTAATAGTAAATCTTCATTCAATCTATCAACATCATCATTGTTGTTAGAAAGTAAAGATAACTCCAAAGGGATCTTTGATACATTAACCACCATAACCAAATCCCTTGAAGATGAAACTAATGTCCAAGCTAGAAAGACATTAAAATACCATTTTAAAAGCATATTCACAAAAGGGAACTCAAAATTATCATTATTCGAGTCTACAACAGCATCAAGAAGAGACAGCTTCTTAGATAACTCTGCCTCAATTAGAGGATTTGATGAAAGCAGCATTCACTTTCAAGACTCCAAAGTTTATAAAGACTCCTATTTAGAAACTCCATCAAATCGTCCACCGACTTCATCTTCCTCACACATGAGTAATTCTCGACTTGAAGCAACAAATTCCAATTTGAAGCCTCCTATTTCTAGGCATAAAAGAAATTTACTCCTTCCTATAAGAGCGAGCAAGATTTTACTCATTCTTAAAGAAGAGTTAAGTTTCAAATAAATTTTCACATAAAATTTAATTAAAAAAATCAAAAATCTCCATTTGCAGGCATTTGAAAAGAAAACTCAGTTTAACTCGTAAGCATTAAGGAAGATTAAAATGCATTTTTTTTTAAAATTATAGAATAAGATAGAAATCTCATTTAATAACTATTGATTATATTTAAAGATGATTTATAAGACTTAAATTTTTATATTTAAACAAATTTTTGTTGCTTTTAAGGAGGAGAGGTAACAAATTGCGAGTCTGAAAGCCATAAAGTCTCAAAATCCCACATCAATGAGCATGAGAGAACTGATTCTTTAACACTAAGCCATCGCTCAAGTCGCAAAGAACTTCCTAGCCATTTTCCTACTGAGAATACAGTAATTAAAGACAATTCTTCTAGAAAAAAAGATAAACAATCGCTAAATGCTTAATAAAATAATTGAAATAAAAAATTGGCATGCGTTTTATATACTGCTATCCTTGAATATTGCATATTTATTCATAAAATATTTTATATAATTTAAGATAAAATAGTATAATATCTGTTTCGTTTTGCAATTACTCATCATAATTTAAAAATTAATGCTTACTCATCCCCTTAGTGAGTGAGCAAAACCATTGGAAAAACACTATTTTTTGGTGAAAATCCATACTCCGTTAGTGAACAAAATTTTTATGGAAAATATTTGATATATAAATGATAAGTATTATTGTGAATTCTCAAGGTAATTCTGTCGGGTTTTAAATAGCTTACCATTTAAAATATAAACTTAGCTAATTAATTAATTTTTGTAAATTTGGAAAAAAATAAATTTACAAATTTTGTAAATTTTAAATAAAAATAACCGCTCACTGAGGGAAAGTTAATCTCCTTTATTAATACTAATCATGCTTGCTAAATGAAAATATTTATTGAAATCTTATCCTCTTTCTCATTTTTTATATTTTTTTATTGTTATTTATACGAAAACTCCATTTTCACTTGCCAAAGTCGCAACCGATTTATAATTAAAATAATTTAATCATGTCAGCATTTCTCAAAAGCTTAAAAGCGCCTTCCTCTGATTCTTTACCAAGTATTAGAAGTCCTCGAGGCTCAGAAACTCCAACGCCCAGATTTGCAAGAAAGAGTCAGCATGGCAAAATTTCTGTCTCATCAAACTCAGTCCCAAGCCTTAATACCCTACCAGAACTTAAGCATAATAGTCCTAGAAATATAGAAGTTTCGCAGACATATCCCCAACTTCCACTTACAGACCGTCTTTTGCCACAACTACAGCCTTCAGCGATTTCCAGTTCTTCCTGTGGTAAAGTTAAAGCTTATGCTGCTAATACCAACCAAGGTCTGACTCGGCAATATAACGAAGACAAAGCGATTATTATACTGAGAATTAAAAAGCCGCAGCTTCAAGCTAAAAAAGACTGGCCAGATTGCTCATTTTTTGGTCTTTATGATGGACATGGTGGCAAAACTTGTTCTAATTTCTTAAGAGAGAATTTGCATCAATATATTATAAATGATCCATTATTCCCTGATTGCCCAAAGCAAGCGATATTAAGAGGTTTTGAACAAGCTGAAACTGATTTTTTGAAGCTGGCCAAACAAACTGGAGAAAAATCTGGGTCTTGTGCTCTCATTAGTTTAGTTATAGGAGATACATGCTACGTAGCTAATGTTGGGGACTCTAGAGCCATTATGAGTGGCTGTGGAGGTCAGCAAGCTATTACTATTACAAAAGACCATAAGCCTTCAGACCCTGAAGAGCAAGTTAGAGTCCAAAAAGAGGGAGGTAAAATTTACTATCATAAAAATTCTCCCAATATAGTTTATAGAGTCTCTCCAGGTGGACTTTCAGTCAGCAGAACCATTGGCGACCTTGATGCTAAAGACTCAGAATTCGGGGGCAACCCAAATGTGATTATTGCTAAGCCAGAAATAAAGTCATTTAAAATAAAAAAGGATCACGATTTTATGGTTCTAGGCTGTGATGGAATTTTCGACGTGATGAATACTCAAGAAGTCGTATCAACTGCATGAAACAGCAATTTTAATAGTGATGAATTATCACCAAATTTCTGTAGGAATGCAGTTGAAGGAATTGTTACGCAAAGTATGAGAAGAAGGAGCGGAGATAATCTCACAGCAATTATCATTGCATTTGATAATTTTGAAAGCCGTTTTATGGAACAAGCTAAATGTTAATTTTAAATGAGTTATTATAAAAAAATATGATTTATGTGATTGATTTATTCTTGAAAAATTATTGGTCATTTTTTAAGGCTAATTTAGAAAACCTAAACTCTGGGTTTTAGCAAGGATTATTGATTAATAGATGAGTTGAATTATATTGAAAATTATTTTGAATGATGAGGATGCCCAAATGAATGTTTAAAGATAAGTATCTAGTTTCAGTTTATTTGAAAAAACTCTCCATATTTCAGACGAAATTAAAATTTTTCCATTCTGTTTCATTACTGAGCTGGCGAATTTAAAATGGCAATCTGATCACCTTGATAAGCAAATTTATATTTCTGTAAGCCCTTGTACTTATACTTTCCTTTAAAAGCAAAATTTCTTAAATCGTAATTTAAACAAGATTTTTGACTTAGTAGAGCTATTTGTTGTTTTAGCATCCTACTTCTCTTTATTGCACAATCACAGATTTAGAATGGTCTTCCTAATATTTACGATAGTAAAGGTATACTTCTCAAGCCAGAACCCTAAAAGATAGATCACTTGATATACTGGATAAGTAGCTAATTTAAAACCATAATATTTATGAAACAGAATAATAAATCTCATTTTTGAAATGATGATCGTGTTAACTGTTTTGTGCCTAGCAATTGTATCCTATGGGAATCAAGAAGTTTTTAGTTTAAGCCCTGGGGATGCAATAGAAACTACCAGTATGAATCAATGGAGCTACTATAAAATATCAGCAAGCTACTCTTTTAAAACGTACATAAGAGTATGACTTCGAATAAAGCCAAACCAAGCAAACGCGAGACCAATTCTGGCACTATCCCAACAAAAGCCATTGTTTTTAAGCAATCATTCATCAGTTATTGCAGACTTTGTTGATTTGGAGGATCATTACAGTGATTCAACTTATCACTCAATTATATTGCTAAGCTCCGATATTTCAGATTGATCAAGTATATATGTTGGAGTTGGGAATGAACATTTTGAATCTGGCCCAATGAGCTACCAAATAGGCTTAGATGCCAAAGATAGAATTTTGTGCCCAAATGACTGCAGTGGCAAAGGAAATTGTGTTTCTTTGAACAAGTGTGCTTGCTATAGTAATTTCATAGGTAAAAATTGTATGATTCCTGCAATCGAGCTTAAGGAGTCGGAATCTGTACTTAATGCTCATGCATATGGATACCGCTATGGCTATATTAATATCAATTCCATTAGTTCAGACGAAATCCAACTTGAAATGGAATGGGAAGGATTGTCTGGAATTTTGCTGCTGAATTATGATGGAAATACGTAATTTTTACTTAGTCCCTCAAGCCTGCCATCTCTTTATAGTTATTATTTATCCATTATTCTCCAAGGTTCAGATAATTCAGCGTCCATTAATATCGATGTTTCAAATATCAAAGACCGTTTGTATTTTCTTTTATATAACAAAATGAGCCCAGACCCATTGAGTCTTTATATCAGGTATAGAGAATCCAGTTCCTCAGAGAATACTGAATCTGTTCTTTGATGAAGCATAAGTGTAGTAGCAGGGTTCATCGCTTTTGTTATTGCTGTTACTTTATTTTGCAAATGGAAGAAGTGCTGGCTTTTTCACGCTACTTTACTCGAGCAAGAAGGGTCCCCAGGGCTTGCAGCTTCCTTTATAAATAAAAATTACCCAGCAATCCAATTTTCAAATATAAATTCGTTACAAACTCCGACCGTGAATTGTGCGATTTGCTTTGAGCAATTCCAAAAGAATTCTATGGTAAGAATGCTTTTTTGTGGCCATGTTTTTCATACAACGTGTATCGAAGAGTGGTTTCTTATTAGCAAAGTAATGACTATATAGACTTGCTGCTTGTGTAAGAGAGACTGCTCTGCTGACGATGTTATTAATCCTCAAGATAATAACAGTATTTGTGAGACTGAAGATAGCAGTAAGTCCATTCTTATGATATCTGGTGAAAAGGGTATCTAAATAGACAAATAATAAGTAAAAATATGGTTTGTCAATTTATCCTTAGATATGGAGTATCAAATGAGAACAGATACATCTTCTACAAAGGAAATGGAAATAATTTTATAGCTTATCTAATTTGTATTTTCTGTAGATTTGGCATTAATTTGAAGGAAAAAATACTATATTGAATAAAGCAAAGCTCAATAATCAAAATATTTCAATTTTCTTATATTATTCAATAAACTCTTTATAATGAATGAAAACTCTAAATTGAAATCAGGTAAGCTGAAATGATATTAAGTCCTTGTTGAATCATAATTTTTTTTCAAGTCAATGTAATACGTTACCATCTGCAACCTGCGACTCTAATTTTTCAAGGCTGCCATTTTTGATCGTTGAAAGGATTTGTAAATTGAGAATTTTAAAACTTGAATCCAACATTTTTGATAATTTCCCTTAATTTTTTAATAAAAAATTGTAAAATTAAAATAATATAACAAACTATGCCATCTCTTTACAACTATTTAATATAATCTTACAAAATATCTTTTATCCATGCATTTCAATATTAAATTTAAAGTAAATATAAAATTAAAGCATCTCATTACTAAAACTCTTGTAAATTCCACTAATTAGTTCTAAAAATTTCATATTTTTCATCGGAATATATTCTCTTTTATTTTTTTGAAAAATCTTTTTTCCTTCTTCTTTGTCGAATCTTTTATTTTCCTTATAATATGAATTAAAAGTTAGTTTTGTTTCATAATCATAGAGAATTTTTGCTAACTTTCCATGAGTCCGAATGCACTCTTCACATTGACGATAAAAACTAGCTAAAATTTCATCGAATTTAAAATTTCTATCTCTAATACTATAGTAAAATTCTAATATCAAGGATGAGCGTTCATCGAATTTATAGCTTTTTTCATTAATCTCTCATGGATTATGAGCTGAATGATTATGGTAAATAAATCGATGATGCTTCCACTTTGACCTATAATAGTTCTTTTTAAGAAAATATTTCTTGATTGAGGATTTAGCAGATATTGAAGTTTTTGAGCTCTTTTCATTACAGTTTTTCTTTGGCTGGTTGATATATACATTTATCATTTAAAAGCTGCTGTCTAATAACTTTTATTTTATAAAATGATCAGAAGACATTAATTCGTGCTAAATAAATACTTTACAGCTTATTTACCAAGCACAATTAATATTAAGCAAAGCTCTTATTTATTGAAAATTTGCTAACTTTATTTAATTTCAAGCTTTTTATGATGATTTCTATTGCTGTAACTAAACTTACAAATGAATTAGTTAATAATTCCGAATTAATTGAAAAATGGTCAGATGAAAAAAGAAATAGCGGATTTAAAAAGGGTTTTTATTGATAAAATAGGTTTTGTTTGTTCAATTAAAGTACTTCATAGTGCCTTGCATTATTAGCATCCATTTATAGTAGATGATAAGTTTATAAAGCTTTATGGCAAATCAAATAATAGATAGAAGAAAAATCGTTTCTATATATTGAAATTCATCATTTTATCAGCTCCTCAAACGCAGTTGGAGATCTTTGTGACCAAAGAGTAGCTTGCAATATGCAAGATTAAATTAATAGGTAAAAAAGCATTATAATCTTTTGGGCATTTCAATTATCCATTTAAAAGATTATTAATTATATAATAAAATCCTTATTATTTCTTTATATCTATTTATTTCTAATCCATTTCTATAAACATATAAAGTAGGATGAAGTCATTGTTACTTTTTTGTTTGCTTTCAGTATTTGCTAAAGGTCAAGAACAAGAAGGTCCTAATGAGATATTATTACAAGAAAATATAACTTTCAAAGATAATGTCGATTCGAATCAATATCGATATTATCGTATACCTTATCATTATGGGCATAAAAATATCACAATAAAAATAATTCCAAGCTGGGGAGATCCTGATCTTTATGTGAATATTAATTCTAACAATATTCTTCCTAGTAAGAAAGCTTATGATTATATTTCTTCTACTGCTAAAAGCTTTGAAGAAAGGAAAGAATTTTATTCGGATGGAAAATCTTCAGCTAATTGTCCTTCGCTTTTATCATCTACATCTACAATTATATCGAGTCCATGCTTTTATCACATAGCAATATATGGATATTCAGCTGCATCTTATACGTTTACTATCATATCAACCCCAATAATGCCTGCTGAGATTTGGCCTGAATGACAAACAACAATTTCAACAAAATTTGGATACGATTTTAATCATTTCAGCATAATTAATTCTACAAGTCCATGAACAGTATCATTGGTAAAAATAATAGGAAAAGGATCAATTTATTTTTCTATACATGACTATGCTAAAATTGGTAAAAATCCAGAAAATTGGCCGAATCATAATTATACCGATGTTAGTTATCAAATGATAACAAATGGGACAAATGAGGAAATTTACTTGGGCTTTGAAGCATTTGCAAAAATTTGCCCAAGTGAAACATGTGTATTTCTTTTTTGCATAACTTGCTATAGCTATGATTGCAGCTTTAACTTTACAATTCATCAGTTACCTGGCACGCCCATTGAAGAAAATGAAGAAGAGCAAGAACATGAAGATAAAGATAAATATAAAGATGAAACGGATAATAGTTTTTTTGATGGAATTTACGAACAATTTTCTTTTCTTTTTGAATGGCCTTATATAATCCCAACTCTAAGTGCGTTATTTTTTACTCTAGTGATCCTATTATGATTAATTTGTAGAAAGATCCGCCGAGTACCAAAAATTAAGGAAGACTGTTATCAGTTACTAAGCGAAAATCCTGAAATAAACCATTTCCAAAGTAATATGCTATATACCTATGGGCCACCTGATGCAAACCTAGCAGGGGATTCATATGCTGACTTGAATTATATTCCTGAGTACAATCGAAGTACAAGAACAATAAATTTAACAAGACATTATCAAGATCAAGGCAGCCGGTCGCTTGAGCTATATAGAACTGTAGCGCCGTTATTAAAGTAAAGTAATTAAGTCAGAAATTAATAAAATACTTAAATCATTTACAAGTAATTTCCTAAATTCGTAGCTGGCTCTTAACTATAGAATTTAAAAACATAACTTTATATCCATTATAAAATCTTACTATGGAAATCAAGAAGGAAGAAGATAATGACCCACTTATCGCAAACGAAGTATTCATAGGAGCATCAACCCCACAGCGGCCATCTCATCGTCCTATTTCTCATCCATCTCCTTTCTCTCAATTTTGTATGTCTTCTCTATCTCCTCTTCCTCCTACCAATTTAATATATTCCCCATACCCAGCTAATCATCAAGATCTAACTCCTCGTAATCTTTGACCGTTAAACTCTCCATTACAGACAGAAACTCATCCTCCAAAACCCTCAACCCACCGGTACATCCAAAAGCTTGATTTCAAGTCATTTCCTACAACTCTCAAATTCCATGCGAGTTCTCTTACAGTCCAAGTGCGAATTTCCCAAGAATCCCCATCCTCTCCACAAGATATCCCTAAAACTCGGCCTCGTAAAAAGTCTAGACCTCGTTATGATGCCCCAAAACAAGTAACTTGTAATTGCTCTAAATCCCGATGCCTAAAACTATATTGCGACTGTTTTTCTTCGAATCAGTATTGCAAAGATTGTGCTTGTAAAGACTGTTTAAACAGAGTGGAATGTGAAGCAGTAAGAAAAGAAGCTGCAAATTTGGTTCTTGACAGAAATCCATCAGCATTTAAACCAAAAATCAATTCAATTGTGGTGAATTCAGAACTTAAAGGAAAACATAATCGAGGGTGCAATTGTAAGAAAAGTGCATGTTTAAAGAAATATTGCGAGTGCTATCAGAGTGGTATAAAATGCAGCGATACGTGCAAATGCGAAGGGTGTGAAAATAAAGAAGAGGACAGACCTGTGAAGAGAAAAAAAGAGAAAATAAATAAATAAATTTTATTAATTGTGAATATTTTTAAGATCAAAATAGTTCACTGGGATTTATATAGGACTTTATATTAATTTTATGCTTTGCTCAGTTCTGAGTCTAATTTTGCAATCTCAGCTTTAACTTCTTTATATCTTTTATATTCATTTTCTACTGGTAGGATATCTTTGTGATATCTTATCTTTCTCTGGTTTGTTTGAGAAAACTCTAATTGAAAATTATGAAGAATTGCTTTTAACTCACTTCTTTCCTTTCTTAAAGTTTCTAATTTTCTTGCTACTTCATCACGATTTAATTTTTTATTGCCTTTTTCAGCTGGTCTTTTAGAGATAGCTTGCTTAATCTTTTTGTAATACATATATAGTGGCCTCATAGGCTCTTTTTCTTCTCTTTTAGGTAATCGACCGAATAGTGATTTAAAAGTGGTGTCATATGCTTTGAGCTCATTTTTAACTTTCTTTTTTTCAGTATTTAGTTCATCAGTTGTTTTATTATTTTTAATCTTAATCTTAATTTTATTGCAGAGCGGCTTGTACCTATTGGCTAAGCAGTCATAAAGATCCATAAGGGTTCATCCGCTTTGCGACGCCGCCGGTCAAGCTAGTTCGGTTGAGATAACTCCACTGAAGAGAAGTAGAGATCTGTTATAATCTTGCTCCTCCTTCGGCCCCTGACGCTACGGGGACATCCAAAGTATTTGCTCTTCCTCTTGCGTCTCCTCCTTGCCTTTGCTGTTGGGATGAACGAAGGTTACCCGTACAAGATCTCAAAAAATGGAATTCCTATCAGACTTTATACATATTTTGCCGTAATGGTGAAGTGAGTATATGATGGGGAGCGGCTTGGAGATGGAGAAATGCAGATGGTTTCATGGAGATGTGCAGGTGAAATTGATGAAGACTCTTGAAGCCAAAGCGGAATCACAGAACATGTGTTACAGTTCGTCAGTCTTTGGGGAAATGAGTTCTTTTGAAAATTTTATCAGAATTCAAATTTTACATCAGAATCAGTTACATTTTATTTTATCAGAATTTAAATTTCAGATCAGAATCAGTTATAATCGGGAATGGTCAGATTGAAAAATCTTATGGCCGTAATTTGATTAGTTAGTTATCAGACTTTCAAAAGTTAAAGGTTAAGAGTTAAGGCTCGGGGTGTAGCTGCAGATTTCACTCTAGGGATTTGCACAATTTGTCTATTTGTTTCTGCAGACCTTGCTGGCTTCCCCTTTTCAACTCTGAACCCACCCTCCGAGAATAAATCACCAACTCTGAGAGTGGACTTAGGCTAGGCTCCGGAACAATATGGATTTGCTGCCTAGCATTGCTGTCCATTTTTGAGTTGGAAAAGCCTTGCCGATATACTTTAAATATGTGCTCGAAGCTGCATGGCCAAGAGTCATACCAGGCTGAGACTCCATATTTAAAGTGCTGCTTTTTATTATTCAGCTCCCTTCCATTTGTAGTATTTCTATCGATTCTTAATCGCCTAAGTGCCATTTCAAGTTTCTGATTGCCTTCTACCTTTACCCAGTCACTTGAGTTTGGAGGGGGTAATGAGGCTAGACTTGATCTCATTTGTTCTTCCATTCCAGGATTTTTCCATTCAAATAGAGACGAAACTGTACTGGTTAGGATCTCATTCAAAATATCATATTCCATCGAAATTTTATAAAAAGCGTAAAATTAATTAAAAGCTGCGAGTGAAACCATTTAAAAACTAAACAAATTATTAAATCTATCAATTGGGACAATTTAGCATAACCAATCTTCTTCGATGACTAACGAATCTGTTTCCCATAGCCAAAAAGCTCAAAAGGTAAGATTTTGGTACCTAAAAGATAAAATAATTAAAGCATATAGAATTATAGCGACTTAGGATGACTAGCACCATAAGGGCACGCTTTTAGTCCATCCAAATCACAGCATGAACTGGGAATGATGACTGCTCCAGTAGATTCAATTGAATTTGATGCACAACTGGCTTTTGCACCTTTGGAAAACAACTCGTTTGTGGGTTCATAATTAAAAGTGATAATTTTAAGATACGCCTTTCCTAATCTCCTAGATATAAATTACTCAGAGATCCTAGCATCAGCTGAGTTTGCTCAGAAATTTTCATTTTTACAGGTAAAAAAATTCCGTTCGGATTAATTAATTCTGTTCAACTTAAATGATTTTGGTTTGCTTAAAATGGATTCTCACACGCACGAATTCAGCAACATCATTATGAATCAAGCACTTGGAAATCTTGACAAGAGAAGCCTTTATCAACTTCTAAGAAAGTTGGACTATTTTTTGCTGCACTTGAATTAACTACTTCCGAATTTTTAATTACTGCATATCTATCAGCAAATTCTCTGCCCAAGAAATCTCATCTCATGCTTTCTCCACAGCGTTCTAAGGGCGCAAGAAAAGACTTCATTAAAATAGCACAAATGCACAATCCTTCAATTCAGTGGAATGAGTAATTTATATCTAGGAGATTAGGAAAGGCGCATCTAGAAATTATCGCTTTTAATTATGAACCCACAAACGAGTTGTTTTCCAAAGGTGCAAATGCCAGTCTTGCATCAAAATCAATTGAATCTACTGGAGCAGTCATCATTCCCAGTTCATGCTGTGATTTGGATGGACTAAAAGCGCACCCTTATGGTGCTAGTCATCCTAAGTTACTATATTAAAATTCAGTTGAACTTAGGTCTAACTTTGAATAGATATAAAATTATGGTAGATGAAGACTCTTTAAATAGAACTCATTTATAAAATTCTTACTCCCTTCATGAGCGAGAAATCTTTTTTGTTCACTAATTGAGGGGGTTAAATATTTTTTAAAACAAATTATTTATAAATTTATAGTAATTTTTTTTTTGAAAATTAATGAAATCCCAATTAGCAAACATTGAAAAGTAATAATTAATTTAATTAGTAAAAAATTATGATTTAAAATTCAAGCTGTTTAAAATTAAGCAGAATTAGCTATTTTTTTTCATAAGACATTTTTATATTAAATAAATTTTTTTAACACACGAAAGGTAAGTTTTTTACCCAAAAATAAGATTTTCCCAATGGCTTTGCTCGCTTACGGAGGAGAGGCAGTCAGTATTTTATATATCAAGATTTCATTTTGCAAAAATTAATTCCAGTCATTTTTTACGCTCTTTATATCTAAAGTTTATCATCTCAAAATTAGTAGATTTTAACCTCAATTATTAAATAGTTATGATCTATATTAAAAATTGAAATTAATATCTTTATAATCTGAATTGACCTCTTTCTATAAACCCATTCTTCATAGCATATGAGCAATAGTCTAAAGAATCGTCCATATCCCAAATAACATTTTTCTTTTTCAATTTTACTATTTTTCTTTTTTCACGTCTTCTATTTTTGATATAACGACGAAAGTCCCAAGGAATTAATCTTTTTCTATCTCTATGAAGCATTTTGACAAATATTGATTTAGTCAAGTTATAAGAGTTTGAACACAATTGATGAGACCGGTTGTGCAAACTCATATGAATCTTATTTGTGGTATACCAAGTATTTGGATCAAGGATAAGCCTTATAAAGCTCATGCATGCTATGCATCTGCAAGATTTTATAGTCTGGCTTGTATAAATTCCATTCTTGCAGTTTCGTCTCATTTTTTATTAAAAAATTAGATATGAATAGTTTAGGTTCTTATCAAATATAATTTGTTGGATTTATTTATGTGAACAAAAATTCTATATGAAGCGATTCAAGCATGGAATTCTTATGCGGGATTTTGATTTCATTTGTGGAATAATTTTTCACTTTTGGAGCCGATTCACAATATATTAATATATCGAATTAATTTTTGCCCACCCAAACTTGTATTTTAACAATAAATAGAATTTATTAAAATTATCATTATGATCGCTCGTCCTAGGATCATAGTAATAAAATTTTTATTAGCTTCTTATGTAGTTTAATGAGGTTCGTTTATCCCAATTACCCGTTGCAAGATCCTAGCAAGCTGAAAATACCTAAGATATAAATTTTTTTCAAAATCACCTTTTATTTCACTTATTAGATTTTACAGAGGGAAAAAATCAACTTATTTCTATATTTATGAAACTTTCATCTTATAATAGGCACATATTTAGCTACTATCCATATCTATTAAAATTAAATATGAGAAGGAAGAAAATATTTGGATGCTATACAAACCAAACCATAAAGTCTTGCTGCTGCAAAGACTGCGAGCAGAGTTTAATGTATTTATTTAGTAGATGAGATGATGGTAGCCTGAACTCTAAAACTGCTAGAGAAATAAAAATTGACTTAAAACTTCACAAATATGGATTTTTGAAGCCGAAATGCTATAAACTTGAGAAGCTGTATTTGAAAAAGTGACACAATATAAAATCTGTAAAGAAAAGGAAATGAAAGTATTGCGAATATGTAAAGGAAGCTAAACTAGATAAAGAAATGATGAAAAATGAGCTAAGAGAATCATTGCTTTTGCACTCATTACAAAATTTAAAAGTTAGTAGGTTTTAAGTATTTAGCCCTTAACATGCATTAATTGAAGCAAAGAATATAACTTTTAATTATTTTTTTGCTCAAATTTGAAATTTAAAATAATAAAGCCATATAAAATATATTCAAAACTAACCAAGATATCTGACGGAAGACTTAAAAATTAAGCAAATCCTTAGTGATTTAAATTACAAAAATTAATATGCAGTCTTAGATTTATCTTTATACTAGATATTGTATTTTAAATATTATATCTACTCAGCTTTAACTTCACACTCTAATTTATCCAATTTCTCAATCAACTCTTCCCATTCTTGCTTTGTCCTTGAAGCAGCTACTATTTCATGATTTGCATATTCTTTAAAATTCTGACAGCTTTTTATTGTAACATTTCTCAAAAACCACGCCGTTTCATTTTGTAATTTAGAATTAAAAAATCCATACATGTTTTTCGTTTTTTCGACACTTTTTGTTTCTTTGCTAAGCATTTTAGAAAAAGCTAAATCTTTATCATTCTTTAATTTTTCGACATCAATATATACTTCTTGTGAGCTGTCCCACCATTTCATAACATCTCCTTGCTCCCAAAGCTTCTCCTTTTTTTCTTTTATTTTTTTTTCTTTTGGAATGTATTTAGCTAACCAATTATCTCTTTCTTTTATAAGGTTTTTTAATGGGAGAATTTCACAGTAAGAATATTTGAAAAAAGTATTGAAATGATCTTTTATTGATTTTATGCGCTCCAAGTCGACATTTTGCCATACTTCAAGTGTATGAATAACTGAATCATAAACTTCACATTGAAATTTATTTTTCGGCAAAGTTTCTTGAATTAGCAACAATTCTTTGATATAATGAGACAATTTTCCAACTGTAGACACAACTTCACCAAGTTGATTTTCAAGCTGCTCTGACACCTTTTTAATACTTTTTTGTATCAATTCTGCATTGCGAATATATTCAGACAAGTGCTTGCAAAATTCATTATTTGTTGAGGAGTCACAGGACACATCACTACCTGTTGAGTACATCAGCTTGACTTTTTCTGGACTCTTAAGCTTTTTTATTTGTTTTTTAAATAATTTGTATTTTTCGTTATCATCTTCTTTCAAAAAGCCCATAACAATTGGTGATCGCTTTAAAAGCGGATGAGAAATAACGTCATTAATAAATCTTTGAAGAAATGTAATGATTTTATATAAAGAATCTTCTTTATTTTTGCCGATGTTTTTGGGTAAAGGTGGAGGTATAAAAGAGCCAGGGAATGATGAAGTAAGTCTTCTTATGAGCCACCCAAAGTCTTCAATTTTTCGTTGAACAACCCATTCAAATGGCAGAGTTGTCAATGTATATAATTTGGAATCGGTTTGCGAGCTGTCTTAAAATTACTTACTTCCCGTTCTGCGAATGATCAAAAAAGTTTTTACAAAAATAAAATTATTTATCATATAGGTGATAATATTATAGTAAAATATATTAAATTTCATTCTAAAACCTAAATTTATAAATTAAATTAATAAATATTTGGACAAAAATTAGACACATTTCATATGTGAGTAAAAAATTTGGTTCATTCATGGCGGGGAAGTCAGAAATAGAGATCTGTAGATCTTGGAGTGATATTTCATTTTCTGGGAGATTTTGGGCTGAGACTGTATAAACTTCAGATAATAGCTCAAGCTTGCGAGGTGATGAATCTACTGAGCTATAATCATCTAAACTACTGCTTTGTTCTAGTTGTTGAGGATTTTCGGATTTTGAAGTTTCTTCTATAGAACAATTTTTTGGAGGACTTTCTAATCCCTTATTTCGATATTCTTCTATAAGAACTTGAAGTTGGTTTGCATTTTCAATTGAGCTAATTTCTTTTTGTTTTAAAAAACTTATAAAATCATCAATTGGTACCTGCTTTTCTATTATTTCTCTATTCAAAATATCTTCTTTAGCTTTATTTTCTATATTTCCTGAAAATAATATTATCGCTAGTGCTTCATTTGTCTGGCCCAAGTAATCTTGAAATTTTTTGCCTTGATTCCTCTCCATCTTATATCTTTTTATTAAGCAGCTATAGATATATTATTTTGAGGGAAAATTATTTATCATTTAAATTATAATTTTTGCTAATTATTATTTAGTTCTGCTTCCAAATTTTGCAATTTTTCAGCAAGCTCTTTCCACCCGTCATTATCCCTTGCGCCAAGGCTAGCTTCCTGATCAGCAAATTCTTTAAAATTTTTGCAATTTCTGATGGCTGAATTTTGGAAAAACCTCAAAGCCTCTTCTTGGAGTTATATGCATAAAAATCTTGGCGCAGTAGTCAAGACTTTATGGCTACGGCTAACTAGGACAGACTCCAAGTCGAGAATCAAGTGCAGGCTCAAGAGATGTGTATCCGGGTAGGTTATGGCTGCTTTCCTGTGGCTGGAATGGAGGGGCTCAGCAATGTCCTTTTGGATTCGAGAAACATAGGCATCCCTCTATCGAGAAACCGGGGGTTTTAACCCATGCCACAGTAGCCTTTTTCCTGTAGCTGTCGAAAAAAGGCACTTCGACACCTGATAGACTTCAAGGAGATGATCCTAGGAATCAAGTTACTCCTATCGCCCGTAGCAGGGCCGCACAAATCCATAAGCATTCAGGACTGAAGCCGCAACGAAGAGACAGAAGGTACTGTAAGGCACCCGTTTTTAGGGAATAGACCCTCTGGGCTGGGATCCAAAGTGGTAGAACCTCCCCATACGGGAGGTCTTTTGTGACCGCATCACCGATATGTCTAACGCCTGTCTTTAAATAGCCTAGCCTAACCTCTTCTTGGAGTTTATAATTAAAATATCCATAAAAGTTTCTAATTGTCTCCAACTGTTGAGTTTCCTTTTGGAGCATTTTAGAAAATGCTAATTCTTTATCATTTTTTAGCTTTTCAATATCCATATATGCCTCTTCTGAGCTATTCCACCATTTCAAAGCATCTCCTTGCTCCCACAACTTTTCTTTTCTTCCCATAACTTTTTTTTCATTTTTCACATATTCTATATTCCAATTTTCTCTTTCTTTAATTAAATCTTTAAGTTGAGCAACTTCATTATAAGAGTACTTAAAAAACGTGTTTATATGTTCTTTTACTGATTTTACACGCTCTAAGTCAGAATTTTTGCATGATTCAAATGTTTGGCTTACTCCCTCATCCTTGGCCTAACGATGCCATTTTAAATTCAAAAAATTATGAATTAACGATCAGTTCGATCAAGGTTGTTGAAATTAGAGAAATATAGATTTCTTGTTGGATTTTATTTTGTGGAAAAACTTCTTGAATCTTAGCTAATTCTTGGAAAGAATAAGCCAATTTTTCAATGGTAGCTACTGCATTTTTAAGCTGTTCTTCAAATTGATCGGACAGTCTTTTTATGTTTTTTTGAATCGTTTGGGCGCTATGAACATAATCATTCAGATTTTTACTAAAATCATTACTAGTTGAGATATCGCAGTAGGAAACATTGTCAACAGAAAACATTAATTCAACTTTTTCAGGTGTTTTGAGCTTTTTTGATTGCCTTTTGAAAAGCTTGTATTTGTCTTTGTTGTCTTCTTTTAAGAATCCATGTACGATTGGTGATCGCTTAAGAAGTGGGTGGGATATGATATCATTCATAAATCTTTGTAAAAAGGCCTTAAATTTATAGAGAGAATCTTCTTTGCTTTTTCCAACATTTGTAGGGAGTGGTGGAGGGATATAAACTCCAGGATAAGCTATTGTAAGGATGTTTTGGAATCATGTGAAATCTTCTATTTTTCGCTGAACTGTCCAATTCAAAGGAGAAGTTATTAGGGTATATACCTTTGGATCAGAATTTGGACTAATTGAAAATTACTTACTCCCCCCCCCCCCTCCGTGAGCGAACAAAACCATTAGAAAAATCGCCATTTTTTGACCAAAAACCCACCCTCCGTGAGTGAACAAAAATTTTTTTAATAGAAAAAATTTTAATGGAAAAAAATTTTGATATATAAGTGATAATTAGTATAATGAAATCTAGAGCTAATTCTGTTTAATTTTAAAACAAATTGCGTTTTAAAACATAAATTTTGCAAATTAAATTAATATTTGCTTCCCAATTTTTGCAAATTAGGATTTTTTTAAATTTCGAAAAAAATATTTTTATATAAAATTTATATATAAATTTTTTTTAAAAAAAAAAAATTTAACCCCCCTCCGTGAGCGAACAAAATTTTTTTGTTCGCTCACGGAGGGGGGGGGGGGGGAGTTAGATACGGTTACAGTTGCAGTTTGAGAAGATAGTTCATTTGATGGCAGATTTAAAGCAGGAATTTTATAAATTCCAGGTGAAAGAGGCTCCTGTGAGTTTTGAGCTGTTAGACCAGGGATAATAGTTGCAGAGCGCTTTATTTCTTCTTGGGTAGTAGAGTTTGGCCTATTTTCCTTATAAGTTTTTGATGGCTCTCTTGTAAATGACGAGTCAATTGTTGTATCATAAACGCTACGAATTTCTTCAGAAGAAATATGCTTATCTGGCTCATTTTTGTTTTCATCTTCAAAAGAAGAAGACACAGTCTTAAAATCCTCATAATTTGGCTCTTCATTTGAGATCTCATTAGCTGACTTTGTGCTATTTTCATTTTCTTTTGGACTTTCTTCTAATTGGTCGATTTTTATGTCTTCTAAATTCCCTCCAAGCACCATATAAGTTTTCATCCTTGACCTAGTCTGGGCATCGTTAAAATTTTTTTCTCCACAATCTTTTAGCTGCGTTTTGAACTCTTTTATATAGCTTTCCAGCTGATTTACATCTTCAATTCTCTTTATTTCAGCTTTATCTAAATATTTTGTGAACTCTTCAACTTGCAATTCCTCATTCTGAAATTCTTTAGAAAACATTTCTTGCTTTAATTGGTAGTCTATGTTTTCAAAACCCAGAATTTTGCTAAATAGGTCATTAAGTTTGTTTAGGAATGGGGATTCAGCTGGTTTAGTTGGAGAGCTTATTTTTTCCTCCATTTCAATTAATACAAAATAAACTGGAAATTCTAGACTTTCATGTATAGATTATTAATAAAATTTTGTTAGAAAGTTAGGTCTTAGAAACCGAGTTTATAGATATTTAAATGCCAAAAAATAACTCTAGGCTGATGTCTTCATTCAGCTCTTTGAAGATTCCTAGTGGATCATAAAATAAAATTGTGATGCTGGAGGAAGATGGACTCCCTATAGGGTAGTAGGATATATCCCTTCGAGCTGAATTCAAACGTCTGTGCCAATTTTCAGTTGGCCTTTGGGGCTTCGTGGAAGAGGGAAGTTTTGTTTCTCTTGAAATTTTTCCTTTCTCTACTTAAACTAGACAGGTTTTGCCAGTTTTTCTTATTAGGGCTGTTGGGGTACTTTTAAAAGGCAGACTCTGTCTCAAGAAGCATATCATTGAGACAGGTAGCTCAAATCGGAAATTTATAGGGCAATCTTCCGTTTTTCTCGTTTCTCTCTATGGAGAATTGGCTTTTGGAGCCAAAGCATATCCTCGCTATGGCTGAAAATAATTATAATGCTTGACATTATTTTTGGATGGGCTTTATATGATGGGAAACTTTTCACATGTGAAAGCCATCCCATAAATAATGCAATAGATAATAACTAAATAATTATTGGATCATCTTCCTTAATGATATTTGGGTCTGCATCCACATCTTCCGCGATTTTTGGCTCTGCAATTGCTTTTGTAATTTTAGGAAACGTTGAAATGTCTGTTGTACTTTCCATCACAAGCCATGGCTCGACACACAAATTGTCAAGCATAATCTTTTGTACATAAAACTTCAGCAATTTCCAACTTTCTAAACACTCATAAGTGTGATTAGGAGATCTGCAGCACTTGATTTTAAATTTTTTGCACAAAACACTCGGCTCAAATTCTGCGAAAATGTACTCTGTGTAGTAGAAATATGACTCTCTTACTTCTTTTGGAGAAAAATACCTTTTGCAAAACTTTTCATTGAAGCTCTTACTCCTCCATCCGTGAGTGATTAAAAAAAATTCTGTTCGCTCATGGAGGGTTCAATTTTTTTTTGAAATTTATATATATATTTTATAGTAAATTTGTTTTTGAAATATTAAAAAATTCCAATTCACAAAATTGGAAAGCAAATATTTATTTAGTTTGTAAAATTTATGCTTTAAAACGCAATTAACAGAATTAGAGATTTCATTAAATAATTATCACTTATATATATATAGTTAGGGAGGATGAACTGCACGGGGCTTTTTTTGGCTTGCCTTCAAACCAGCAGTTCATCCTCCCTAACTATATCAAAGTTTTTTCTTAAAAAATATTCCATTAAAAAAATTTTTTGTTCGGTTCATGGAGGGTGGGTTTTTGGGCAAAAAATAGGGACTTTTCCAATGGCTTATTCCTTCACAGGGTGAGAGTTAGGGATTCCATTTTCATTGCCATTTCGCTTTGTTTTCCCATCAGTTTTTGGTCCTGCTTCAGTCTTACTTTCTTCTATCAGTATATTTTTGTTAGCGTTAAAGCAGTTAGTTAGTTTGCTTCAATAGGACTCAGCAATAGCTGAGTATGCGTTTATAGTGCGCTTGGGGATTACGCCTTTTTCAATTTGACGGTTAGCTCTTTTGTGGCCACGGATCATCTTGCATCTTAAATATTCTTTTTTAGGAGGATAAGGATTGGAAACACTTTGGAACCTCCCTAAGATTTTTGTGTCAACTATTTGTTTGCGGCCAGTCGATTTAACTTCTGTGCAAGTTTCTTCAGTTTCGCGAACTTGGATTGGTGCTGGGGCTGGGAAATCGAGAAAGTCGTAGAAATCGATCTCCCCGAGTGAAAGGTTGTCAGCTTTGTTAGTGGATTTTTGCATGTAAATTTTATAAATTAGCCAATATTTAAATAAACAAAGAAATTAAAAATTAATTTAGTCCATAAGTTGCGGCATAGCACATAAATAGTTGAAAAGCGATTATGAAGGTATAAAGTATATGTCGGATATATATTATAATCCAACGAAAATAGGGCAGAAATTGAATAAAAGAACAAAAGATGGGTTTTCATTGATTAAAAAGATTGTGGTAATTATATAAATTATAGCACTATATAACATTATTTATGAGTAAAAGTTTTTCGATAAATTTGAATTTTAAATAAATTAAAACGATTTAATCATACATCTATTGTTGTATTTTGGCGGAGAAAAAATTAATAAAGTAAGATAAGTGCTTATTTTATTCCTGTTATCAAATTTTACGTTATCCAGTGACTAAACTTATTTTGATTTCGCGCCCTTCTATGCTTGGATATCTAATCTTTAAAGCAGTTTCAACACCTCTTGAATCAGCAAAATCAACATAAGCAAACCCAGCTTTTTCGCCTCTAGGATTATAAGCCATCCTCACTTTTTTTACTTTTCCGCATTTTGAGAAATATTTTCTTATAGACGCAGGAGTCGCTATAGTAGCAAGCCCTCCAACATAAACTGTGCAGCAATTTTGAGAACTTCCTGATTGGTTTATGCTTAAGTTCATCAACAAATAATTAGAAAGAATCCCCCATTAATAGTTGATAATTTTATTAAAGATTTTACTAATTAATTAGCGAGCACTTCCATTTTGAACTTGTCTAGCTTTTCCCCAAACTCTGTCCAGCCATCCTTCAGCCTCTCCGCTATATTCCATTCATGATCTGAAAACTCTTTGAAGTTTTCACAATTTCTTATAGTCACATACTTCAATAGCCTAAAAGTTTCATCTTGCAGCTTATAATTATAAAACCCATAAATGTTTTTCAGATCTTCTAAAACCTTCGTTTCTTTTTGCATCATCTTAGAATATGCGTACTCTTTATCATTTTTTAACTTGTCGATGTCCATATAGACTTCTTCTGAGCTTTCCCACCACTTGTAAGGATCTCCTTGCTCCCATAGTTTTCCTTTTTTGTCCATTAGTTTTTTTTCATATTTTGAGTAGTCTTGATAAGAATTTTCTCTTATCTTTATTAAACCGGATAGCTGGATGGACTCGTTGTAAGAATACTCAAAAAGCTTGCAAAGGCGGTCTTTAACTGTTTTTATTCTTTCGTTATCGACTTTTTCCCAGATTTCTAAAGCGCTGCTTAAGGAAGAGTATAAATCTGACTGATATTTGTTGTTAGGAAGAATTTCTTGCATTTTTCCAAGCTGCTTGATATTATATGCAAGTCTGTTGAGAGTTGACATAGTGGCTCTTAATTGGATCTCGAACTGATTAGATAGCTTAATAATAGTTTTCTGGACATGTTGAGTATTTTTGATATAATCAGTTAGGCATTTAGAGAAATTTGAATTAAGCGAACTGTCACAGTTTGAAGTAGGGTTTATTGAAAACATCGCCTCAACGTTTTTTGGTGACTTTAGGCGTTTTGATTGCTTTTGGAAAAGCGTAAAGCCTTCTTTAGTATTTTCTTTTAGAAAGCCAAGGAGGTATGGGGATCTTCTAAGCAGTGGATGAGAAATTACATCATTTATAAATCTTTGTAAATAAAATATTGCATCTTCTTTATTTTTTTTGCTAACTTTAGGAATTGGTGGAGGAACATAAACGCCCGCATAAGAAGTAGTCAGCATATCGCGAAACCATGAAAAATCACTTATTTTTCGTTGAACAACCCATCCAAATGGAACTGTTGTCAAAGTGCATAATTTTATGTCAAGAGTAGGGCTATATTAAAATTACTTTGAGACTTTGACTTCAGATAGCTCGTTTGAAAGCTCATTAGCAGGTAACTCAATAGAGGGGACTTGATAAATTTCAGAAAATAATGAAATTTCCTCAGTTAGACCATCTACATGAAAAGAAATATCACATTCTTGGGTTAAGCGGGCTGGATCATCAGAAGATGAATAAGTGGCTGTATAATTTATGTACCATATTAGATCGCTATAATACTTTTAAAAAAAATATGGTCCAGGACGTCTGTCTTATACAATCTAAGCCTGGTTAGGTATCTTGAACCTATAAGCGGAGATTTGCAATTTCGTTTTTACTTTTCAAAAAAGCTGATAAGTGCACTTTAATTTTACAAATTAAATGGATAGCCAGTTATGATCTAAAAAAATTCAAGGGGTATATTGAATTTTTTTAATGGGATTAATGAAGATTTTTGAGCTTTTTCTTCATCTGAAGAAGAGGATGATTTTTGATCTTCAACTAGCGAGGTTCAATAGCGAGCTGTTTCATTTGTTTCTATGCTTCTATCAGTTAATCCTTCGTTGATTTCTATGTCAGAACCCATTTCTTCAACTTTTATAGGAGATCTTGGCTTATTCCCGGCTTTTTGAGAATCTTCTACAGAATCATCGATTTGTCCTCTTTCAGTTTCAATATGATTTTTATAATTCTGTATAATGATTTCCAACTCTTCTATACTTTCAATTCGGCTTTTTTGATTATAAATTAAAAATCTCACAAATTTTTTCATTTCCTCATTTCCAAATTCTCTTTTTAGAACTTCTGATTTTTCTGCCTCATTTTCTCCTAAAAGGTTCTTTAGATATTCCTCACTCCCCCCCTGTGAGTGAACAAAAAAAATTATATAAATTTTATAGAAAATTTTTTTTTCGAAATTTTAAAAAAATTCTAATTTGCATAAAAATTGGGAAGCAAATATTAATTTAATTTATAAAATTTATGTTTTAAAACGCAATTTGTTTAAAATTAAACAGAATTAGCTCGAGATTTCATTATACTAATTATCACTTATATATCAATTTTTTTTTTCATAAAAAATTTTGGTTCACTCACGTTGGGTGGGTTTTTGGGCAAAAAATAGGGATTTTTTCTAATGGTTTTGTTCACTCACAGAAGGGGAGAGTCAGTAGCTTTTTCACTTTATACATATTAAAATGGCGGCATGTGTCGATTTCCCATCAAGGAGTCAATCTTGGAATCAACCCACTACCAAATGTCTGTCGTAGCTTTATCACTTTGCCATGGATTTACTACACAAATTTCTTGATTTTGTTCTAAGACAACTTCTCTGATATTCTTCACCTCCATAGTTAACAATAGTTTATTATTGATTGTTAAATGTCTAAGCAAAGCCAGTCTCCAATGGCCCGGTTTCTTCAAACTGAAAATATTCGAGTTAATTCGCAGTCTAAAACTTCTCATAAAACTCTACACAGAAAAATTCAAACATCCTCCGAATTTCAAATACAGAATCTAATGCAAGAACGAAAAAAATTAGACTTGAGAGTAAAAACATTAGAAAATCGAATTAAATTTTTAGAAACAGAAAGACTAAAATCTGCCCGATTAGTAGATTTAGCCAAAACCTTAAACCAAAAAAGATTAGAAATTCGAAAAAAGCACAAAGAAAGTTTAGATTTTACTGAAAAAAGCAAAAATCTAAAAGCAAAAGAGCTGGAAAATAAGAAAAAATATGTATCGCAGCAAAGGAAAAAAAGAGCAGATAGCTTAAGCCAAACAAAAACAAAAATTCTTGAAAATAAACATCGAGCGTCGTCAGCTGTAAAACTGGAATCAAAAAACATTGAAAACTTGATTAAAAGCCGAGAAGAAATGGAAAGAACTGTTGCCAAAGAGAGGGCAGAATCTATTATTCAGGCTGCAAGAAGGAGAAAAGAAAAGCTTGATTTAAAGCGAGAAGCATTAAAAATCTCTAACGAGATGAAGTTTATGGAAAGAATGGAGCTTGAAAGTAAAGCTAAAAAAAATACTCAAAAAGAAATAAAAAAGCTTGGAATGGCTGAAGGTACCATAACAGAAATGCTTAATCCCCCTCCGTTAGAGAATAAAACAATTGGAAAAAATCCTTATTTTTTATGTAAAAACCCACCCTCCATGAACGAACAAAAAAATTTTGATATATAAGTGATAATTATTATAATGAAATCTCAAACTAATTCTGCTGAATTTAAAACAGCTTGCAATCTAAAACATGAAGTCTACAAACTAAATAATATTTGCTTTAAAATTCTTTCGAATCAAAAAATTTACTATAAATTAATATATAAAATAAATCAGGGGAGAACAAAATATTTGTACGCTCGCAGAGTGGAGAGAAGCTAGCAAAACTTTAGAAAACCAAAAATCAGCTTTTAAAAAAATGATGGAGAGTTCCCAATCTTTAAATTCCTCGTTTTCTTCTCAGAGTTCCATATCTCCTAATCAGAGTGGAATCTTTTATTCACCATCATTAGACTCAACTGAGTGCTTTGATGACTTGAAAATGAAATATATAGAATATGTTCCATATAATATAATCGATATTACAAATTCCTAAATAAATTTAAATTTAATAAATAAAATGATGAAGTTAACAGAAATTAGTCCCTAAGATTGCTAGAAAGATTTGCCTGCCACATGACTTCGCTCATCGGGACAATTGGGCACTCTGCAGAGGTGGCTCTGCTTTGGGAGCTGATCCTATAGACAGTGGCTAAGGTTGTAAATCCTTAACCTTTTGGAGCCAATATTGGCAGGTTTACCTGATTATGGCCAGCATAACTTTTAACTTAACTTAATAAATTTAAAATCCTTTATTTTTTATTTCACATCTTGTTTCTTGATGCCTGACTATAAGCATAAAATGCGTTGCCATTGTGGCAGTCAAGATCACTTTGAATAGCAAAATACTGTGTCTTAAATTTTTTAGAAATAATATTCAATGCAGAGTAAATTTAATATTAATTATAATTATTTTTAAAAAAATATAAAAATAATTTTTATTATATTTTGCCTAAAATACTTCCAGATAATGTGAAAATTTCTTCTAACTCCCCCCCCCCTCCGTGAGTGAACAAAAAAATTTTGTTCACTCACGGAGGGGGGTTAATTTTTTTTTTTAAAAAATTTATATATAATTTTATAAAAAATATTTTTTTCGAAATTTAAAAAAAATCCTAATTCGCAAAAATTGGAAAGCAAATATTTAATTCAATTTGCAAAATTTATGTTTTAAAAAGCAATTCGTTTAAAAATAAACAGAATTAGCTCTAGATTTCATTATAATAATTATCATTTATATATCAATTTTTTTTTTCCATAAAAAATTTTTCTATTAAAAAATTTTTGTTCACTCACGGAGGGTGGGTTTTTGGGCAAAAAATAGGGATTTTTCTAATGGTTTTGTTCACTCACGGAGGGGGGGGGAGTAAGACAATTATCAATCCACGAACTCCAAAAGAAAATCCTACTAAGTTAGCAGCCATCATCAAAATTATATATATTCCACCTCCAAATGCACACAGTCAGCTATACTTCAGAGTTTTCCTGAAGTTCAAAAATTTGCTTCTTTGAAAATAGCTCTTTACCAACACTTCTGGCATTATGAACAAGCACATTCCCCAGCCCCATACTAATAAATTTAAATTTAAATCATGCCAGAGAGCTACAAAACCAAAGACTATCCAAATGTTGAAGATTTTATATTTGCTTCCTCCGAGTGGCACAAATAAATACCTAATCAGTCATTGATTAAAAGCCCTATGCCACATTCTTCAAAAGCCTTCAAAGCAATAATTATTTGACATGCATCTTCCCATATTCTCTGGGGTCTCTATGCCATCACAAAGTGCCCACATCCTGAAAAATCTCCAAATCAATGTAAATTTTAGCCAAATCCATTTCAATATAACATAGCTTGCAATAACAAGCTCAAATGGCGTAAATGATTCCCAAATTCACGTGTTTTTATCATTTCCAGCTATGGCTGGAAAATATAAATTATGAATAAATAATTCAAGTATTATAAATACAACAACGATTCTCAATCCATAAATAATTAATTTTTTTGTACTTTATAATAACTTATTCTCACTCCAAATATTTTTTAACAAATTTTTGATTTTTATTAATAATGGCATCAGTCTTAGACCCTATGATTTCTAATTTAATCCAATGCAGCATATCATAGCTCCTTTGTGGACTCTGCACTTGAGATATCCAAGCATTATAGCACACAGTTGGTCCAGCAAAATACAGAGGTGGATAAAAGAAATAAGCAGCATATGCTAATAAAGAATAATGACTTGCGTGTGCTCTCATTCTATAGGTGAAGCATACATTTATCTCATTGCATTCATTACAGTCAAGCTTATGCTTATTTAAAGGCATATAATCATCTTTGGAGAGTGCCCAATGATAATCAAGAACAAAACTTAAGGCTTTAAGCATGCACATTTTATTGACTCCAGACCAATTCATTTCCACAGGTAAATCATCTAGAAACTTTAATGATGGAGCAAACCATGAGAATTGGAACCCATGATAATATTCTGCTAAAATTAAATATGTGAAGTTAAAAGCCCAAGCTAATAGAGGAAACCCTCGTTTTCCTGCATATTTGTAAGCTAAAAGATAATTAAATAAGAGCTCAAACAGTAAAAATAAAAATCCTGGGCCATGCAAATATATATTCATTCCTATCCCTATAAATAAATAGTAAATTAATTGATGCTTCAATTCAAGTTTTTGACTTATAAGTAATTTGCGTCCGGATACAAATAAGGTGGCAAAAACTAGAAGAGCTGGAAGATTACTTAGAAATGTGGCAAGTTGGCCATCGTTTAAATCTACGTAACCACTGCTAGAAATTGAGCTTTTTTCTAAGCCATCAATGGTTGTAGAAGCTGCTACCCTTGAAGAGAGAATTCAAGCTTCAGAAAAAATAGTATAAATAATTCATGTGAGGAAGGTCACAGTGATTCCAATCTCTGCTTTACGAAGAAAATTGACTGTCGGAGAATCTTTTGCTGCCGGGCTGACAAGCATTATTTATTATTAGATTTAATGGATGCTATTTATAATGCCAAGTGAAAGGGTTTTTATAGGTTATAAAAAATTTTTGGGTTCGTAAGAACATGCGGAAATTTCTAAATTCGATTATCTCTTAATTTAAACTCCTTGGTTCTTCTTGTAGCCTTTAATATGATAGGATCAGTGTCATCTCTGAGTAACAGTACGGGTGGTCGTCCGTTAGAACCTAACTGCCTCAGCCCAAGTAAGAGCTCTCTTTCCAGCACACTTTAGCGAAGTGTCACAACTCTAGGAAGCTGTCTTTTGGTCTCACAGACCTGCAAAAGGAACCAAAGTCCCTTTTTTAGGACCTTTAGAGGAACTATGACCTCTAAGGTCTTGCCATTTAAAATTGCGTGTATGAGGAAATTGAAAATAATTTAATTGGTACTCAAATTTTACAGGATAATAATAAGAAGCGAAAGCAAATAATTTTGCAAATTTTTAAAGCAATGGTTCTAGAAGTTATCTTTAGGGATAAATATGGGTAAATAAAAAATCATAAATTTTATTAAATAAGAAGTAAACTTGGCAAGAGAATAATTAAGAGAATAATTAATCAAAATAAAGTGAGGTATAAGTGAAGCTCTGAAAAAAAATATAATTATAAGAAAATTTGAAAAGCGTGGCATCTTCAGGTATTAGAGCTTGCTCTAAGATTTTGGCATGATTAGGCCACTTCTGAAGTTGTAAAGCTTAAGATGAGTAAAAGAGAAAATTGCTCAAAAGCTCAAATAAGAAATTCAAAATATTTTTACGGTTAAATCTGGTCTCAATGCTTCTCTTCTTATTAAATTATTAATGTAATAAAATATAAAGGAAACATTGTGCTGATATAGCTTGAAAAAGAGCCTCAATGCCTATGAGCAATTTATTTTTCTCAATTATGCTAATAGCTTTAAATTGCTTTATTTACCTTTGAATTTTATTTTAAATAATCTTTTATTATATTTACATATTTCTCAACCAGATACTCTTTTTAAATCTCATCTTCCCTTGCCTATTTTAAAAATGTTATTTAATTTAAAATCCAATTAAAACATTTTAATTACTTTGCATATTTAATTATCACTTTCAGCATTTTATCTTTTCCAGCTCTAGAGCGGACATAATTAAACGCCTTTTTCTTTACCTTATCTATGTTTTCGACTTCTATTTCCATATTGAAAATGTCTAAATTTTCAACGTATTCATAAGTTTCAAGTTTAAAATTTCTTTGTAAAATTTCCAATAATTTTCTTTTATTTTCTCGTCGATATTGTCAAATCGCTTTTTCAGCCATAAATTGATAAGTGACCACTCGATTAGGATAAGCCCTTGCAAAATTCAAATTTAGAAAAATTGGGTTTATCCCATATTTTTGAAAAATTTCTTTTTTACTATAAAGTTTGTACTTAGGTTTATTATTACGGCAGTCACTACAAATAGGTTTTTTCAAAAAAGGACATCGATAAAACGACTCATTGCTAAAATATTTTCTACACCCCACACAAGTTTCTAATGAAAGCAGAGCATAGCAATTTTTCCATGAAGTTGTAGAAGAGTGAATTCCATAGTCTTGGGAGCAATAAAAACATCATAATTCATCATTTCATGCAAGCTCATAAAAGGACTTTGACACTAGAGCAATGATATTTAGAGTTTCGAATGGATCAATGAATTTTAAAATTTCTGTTCAAGCTCGCTTTAAATTGGGGAGCTGTGAATTCAAAGTTTTTACTATTTTTGGCGGTTTATCGAATGGTTTGTATTTTGGTAAGAATTTTTCATTCCATGTTTCCAATCAGCAAGATAAAATGTATTGGTTCTGAGGAGTTAGCCTGATTGTAAGATCACTTTCATAGATATATTGCTGTTGTTCTGGCTTAAAGCACCATAAATGATAATTCCTGCAGTTCATAGTCCAAATGGTTATGTAGCCTATCTGGAGTTCACTACTGCAATAATCACAGGTCTCAGCTCTTAGTCTGCTATCTTCTGCCAAAAATCAGGTTTCTTTCATAATTCTCATTTGCTGGCTATTCTATCTATATTTATTATAATCAGAAAATTTTAAAACCGAAATTTAACTGGAAAAATGACTATCAAAATTTACTGGCTCGACAAAACATTCTGATAGATAATCTAGCACTAAATAAAGATCATTTATTTCTCAAAAATTTTAGGGTGTCTTGGATATCAATGAATTTGATATAGAGGTTGACTTGTATATAAAATTTTAGAACCTACTGAATTTGATTTAAAATATCAGACAAACGAGGAATAATTGAGAATAATTTTTAATAAAGTAAAAATAATGTTATTAAGAAAATATCAACTCACACTATTAAAGATATTTGTATAGGAACTTACTCCACCCTTGGCTAGTGAGACATTTTTTTTAGTTAGCCATAGATTGTTAAAATTATATATAAAAAATTTTTTTGCAGATTTTAAATTCCAAATTTGCGAATACTTGCAATGAAAATTCTAATTTAATGTATATAATGTAAAACTGTTTAAATTAAAATATGTAAAATTATAAAAAAGGTGACATTCTTAAAGTGCCAATCTTCAAGCACATTCTTTGCTATTATGATTATGAGGCTTGGCTTTATATAGGACATCTGTCCTGGCAAAGACAGGCAAGCAACTTGAAGGTGAGATGCCTGCCATTTGGCTGTTTCAAGGAACCTGAAAGGCCTAGAAGGAGCCTTTAGTCATCACACAGTGTCAAAGAGGACGGAGGTCGCTCTTTCATGAGCATTCAAAGCTAGCAACAAAATTTGAGGCATGCCTTGGTGATCAAGCAGTTTAGTCCAGCAGCCTGTCAGTCCAACACGTGCAAAAATGGCCAAAAATTTTAGTGCGGCCACTCATTAAGAGACGTAAAGCGTTATAAATCCTATTAAATTAAGTTAAATAAATCTGATTATTAAAATTATTAATTATATATCGAATTTATTATTAATAAATATTTTCTATACAAAAACAATTTTTTTTGCTGGCCTCGAAAGTAGTTTTCCCACAAAGGATTTTCTTATTTTCATAATAATTTTGAGTTTTTTTATATTTTTAAAAATTATAATTCATATAAATTAATAACTGTCTATGTCTAAGTTTGCGAATTGCAATCTTATCCATATAAATTTAAATTCAAAATCAGATAAAATAGTGATTTATTTACAAGATCTAATAAGTTAATCCCTCATCATACAGCAACACAACTAATTCTCCAGGCCCTGCAAAGCTTGCAAAGCAAGGCCTATCAAAAATCATAAGATTTTGATGATCAACTGGCTTCAACTTTTTCCTCTCATCAAAGGCTAATGCTAAAATTGTTTCCCCTCTGTCCAACACAATTTTTACGGGACTTCCATCGGGAGTTTTTATATACTCTCTGCATTTTGAGCATATATGTCTATGGTTGAAATATTCAACAGGAATGTGCTCTTGTCCACATGTCGGGCATCCGTCTTTAAAAATCATCCTTTTTTTGTTGCTTTTTGACCTTAGTCTTTCTCTTCTTCTCTGCGAAAGCATCTCTTCTCTCGATTTTTCTTCTTCTTGCCCAGGACTTGAATTATTTTTTACTCTTTGAGAGGACGGTAATAAGGGTGCGAAAGCATTGTCTTCCAGGATAATCAATTTCATGTAAATTTACTAATAATCGATAATTATAATTTTTTATAAGAAATTCATTGGGAAATATAATACTTTTATATTGATGTTTTGTAACTACAAATGTTCGTTGGATAGGCGGTACAACGTCTTCTGGGGTTAGAAGATAAAGATTGAGGGCACGGTTTCGGTTAAGTTCGTCTAGATGATGCATTTTATTAACTCCCCTTAACTAGCGAGTAAACTGATAGAAGCAATACTATTTTTGATAAATTAAGCAAGTAAAATTTATTTAATATAAATTTATGGGTGTTGACTATATTTTAATTATAAATAAATCATAATAATGAAATCTAAATCTTATTATATTTAATTTTAAATAATTAAGTATTCTAAAACATAATTTCTTCTTTTCTTTTTTCAAATTAGCCTGCCTTGTTCGGGGGCAAATATTCTTTTGCTCGCTAATAATGGGGGAGTAAGTATTTTATCTTAATCTTTTCTTACCGACCATACTAACTAGCATAGCATTGTGGAGGACTTTTTGAAAATAGGCTACATCTTCTGGTAATGCTAATAGAAAATTTTTTAAGATTTTCAGCATGCCAAATTTTCTTTCTTATCAAATAAAATTAGGTCCACAAGAATTTTTTAGGTGAGAGAAAAATTTTTCTATCCGAAATAGAACTTTGGTGCTGATTTTTTCAGTATCTGTTTTTGCTCTAACTAGGAGCATGAGTGGGACGCCTTCTTGGTTTTTTCGTTGCCGATCTTCTTTGCGTGCAATTTTATCTTTGCCTTTCCTGTGCATTCCTTTTCTTCAAATTTCATCATACTGCTTAAATGTGATTCATACGCTTCCTTTTTCTCCTTTTTCCTGGTAAAGCTGCTCTAATCTTTTCAAGAAATTTTCATTATCGAGCAACATTATATATATAATAAATATTCTAATTATTAAATTATCTCAACTTTATATCTGAATTTGGTGGGTTTTCATCCTTTCATTGTTTTCGAATTCTGCAATTTTTGCTTCTCTATCATTGAGTTCTGTTTCTTTTGCAGCATTTTCATCTTCAATTTTTTTGATTTCTTCTTCCTTTTTCTTTAACTCTTCTTCTTTTTTTCTGATTGAAGCTTGTATTTCTCTTACTGCCCCTCTGTGAGCAAAAAAAAAATCTTGTTCGGTCATGGGGTTATTTTTTGTAAAAACTTATAGAAAATATGTTTTTTAAAATTGAAAGTAAAAATTAATTAATTTAATTTGCAAAAATTATGTTTTAAAATGCTAGCTATTTTAAAATTAAACAGAGAATCAGTTGGAGATTTCATTATAATAATTATAACTTATATATCAATTTTTTTCATAAAAAAATTTTTGTTCGCTCTCAAAGGTGGATTTTTTGGCAAAAAGGGATTTTTCCAATGGTTTTGTTCGCTCACAGAGGGGTGAGTTAGCCTTTTTTCTCTTAATCTTAGCGAAACTTGAGGAAGGTTTAATAATTCCTCAACATCTGGTCTTTGGCTAGGCTCACTACAAAGCATCCAGCTGATTACTCTTTGCAATTCGTCTGAATACGTTCTAGGGATTCTTTGAAAGCTTCCTTGGCGAATTTTTGTTTCTAATTGCGGCTTATTAGTAGCTTCAAAAGGCGGGGATAATGCAACAATTTCATATAATAAGCAGCCTAAGCTCCAAATATCACTTTTTTCGTTATAGTGGCTTTCAACGATTTGCTCTGGAGACATATAGTAAGGAGTCCCTACATGGGTGTGGGCATATACACTTTCAGATCCCATAACCCTTGATAATCCAAAATCTCCTAGTTTCACATTCATATTTGCATCTAGGAATATATTGGCGGGTTTTAAATCTCTATGTAAAATTTTTCCTTCTTTTCTCTTATGACACTCATAGAGGGCCAAAACAATTTGCATGAAAATTTTTCATATGAGGTCTTCAGGCATTGGGTCATTTTCTCGTTTACATCGGCGAATAACGTGGGACATGTCTCCGTTCTCACAAAATTCCATGACAATGAATATTTTAGCAGCTCTTTTGTCAATAATACGATCGTAATAGCGAACAATGCTAGGGTGATGGAGTTCCCTTAAAATGTTAACTTCAGTGACTACTTGTTGTTTTTCTTTATCATTCATCTCGCCATAGTCAATCTCTTTTCATACAAGAATTTTGCCATCGGTTTTTCTACGAATTTTAGTAACTGAGCCAAAAGAGCCTGTACCAATATCACCAATTACCTCGTAGTTTTCCATTTAAATTTATATGAAATTTTATAGATAAGAGCGGCGAGGAAAGTGAATCAAAAAGCGAGCTTAATCAAGAAAAAAGAATAATTTCTCTTTGAGCTTGAAGGGGAAATAATAGATATGATGCCAATAGCATTATTTAAAACGCTTTTATATTTTACGGCATAGCAATGGCTTAGCATAACTATTAGATATTTTATATGATTTGCAGTGGCATTTTAGTGGCCTGGATAAAAAACAAAACTTCATTCTATTCTTATCTGTTTATTTAATATAAAATAGATTAAATAATGCCCGCAAAGAAGAAGCCTACTGAAGAAAAGAAGCCCCTCCTCGGACGTCCTGGCAATACTTTAAAAATAGGTATAGTAGGTCTTCCAAACGTAGGCAAATCTTCAACATTTAATCTTCTTTCAAATTTATCAGTTCCCGCTGAAAATTACCCATTCTGCACTATAGATCCTTCAGAAGCCCGCGTACCAATTCCAGACCAAAGATGGGATCATCTCTGTGAAATGTACCAGCCAAAATCTCGGGTCCCAGCAATTCTCTCAATTACCGATATTGCTGGACTTGTCCCAGGCGCATCAGAGGGTGCAGGTCTTGGCAATGCTTTTTTGTCTCATATAAATGCTGTTGATGGGATTTTCCACGTTGTCCGAGCGTTTACACTTACTGATGTCATTCATACTGAAGGCGAAGTTGATCCTATTAGAGATTTAGAAATTATTCGAAATGAATTGTGTCTGAAAGATCTTGAAAGATGTAATCAAAGAATAGAAGAAATAGAAAAACAAATAAAAAGAGCAAGAACAAAAGAATTAACTGAAGAATTAGAAATAATGATAAAAATTCACGAAACACTCGAAAGTCGTAAAATGCTTAAGGATGGAGATTGGCACAGCAAAGAAATCGAAATGCTCAACAGTTGCCTATTTTTAACTGCAAAGCCTATGGTTTATTTAGTGAATCTCAGCACAAATGACTATTTAAGAAAGAAAAATAAATGGCTTGCAGATATTAATAGATGGGTTCAAGAGCATGGAGGTGGTGATATCATCCCTTACTCAATAGAATTTGAACAAGCCATCCATGGAATGGATCCGATTCAAAAATCCAATTATTTACACGAGCATAACACAATTTCAATGATTCCTAGAATTTTGAGAACAGGATATAAAGCATTGCAGCTAATTCACTATTTCACATGTGGAGAGGATGAAGTAAAATGCTGGACTATCAGAAAAGGCACTAAAGCTCCACAGGCAGCTGGGGTCATTCATACAGATTTCGAGCGAGGCTTCATTTGTGCAGAAATCATGAAATATGAAGATCTAGTTGAGTTAGGAAATGAAAACAACGTTAAAGCAGAAGGAAAACTAAGGCAATGCGGCAAAGATTATGAGGTAGAAGACGGAGAAATTATTTATTTCAGATTTAACGTAGCCCCTTCAGGAAAGAAATAAGAAGTTAAAATATAAATTTATTAATAAAATGTTGCGGCTTAAATGCCATTATCTATGAAGAGAATTTACTACGGACAACAAAAGTTTTAGATGTAAATTTTATGTAGGGCTTGGAAGCACTTTAACAGAATCTGCTGTTGTTTCGATAATTTACTTGTCAAGGCTAAAAAAAAAAGACTTGATCTCTTCATTAGATCATTTTCGAGAGCATTTAATTCCAATAGAAAATCGAGAGAAAATACCTATAAAAATAGCAGAGCTATTCAACCAAAAAGATATTTTAGCAAAATTGCCTGAATTCAAGCCCAATTATTTGTATGAGAAACAAATATTTTTAAATAGATTTGATCTCAATAAGAAAGATAAGCTCTTGAATGAAGCTAAATCAATGGACTTAACACCAGCAGGTATATCAGATGCCTTGAAAATATTTTATGAATTTTGTGATAAATCAGGAGTCGGATTTTTGACTGGAGATATAAGCATTGAACTTTACGATATCTTAATAGCCAATCTCAACAAATTTAGGAACGGCAAAAACAGCAATTCAGTCGAAGTCTACGACGAAATCCGCAAATTTATGAGTAAGCAGCAATTCTCTTTGCCAATAAACGGTATCAAAGAAATCCAGCACGAAAATCAAAAAGCGCTCTACCAAAGGCAGCTAATTTTAGAAAAAGATGTCTCCATCATTAAGCTCCAAAATTCTGACAGTGACCTCGATTTATTTAATCTTAAAGCTTTAGGACTAAATACCATTACATATAAAGAAAAAATCATCACTTTATTTTCGAAATTTTGTGAAGCAATTCGCACAAAACAAGCAGATTCTCTTAAAAAGGGATCAAAAGAAAAATATTCAGAATTAATGACTGAAATTGAGCCAGAAAAAATTGCCGTGGTCACTTATAATTCTATTACAAGGATGCTGGCACCAAAAACTGATGAGTTTTTTGGAGATGTGGAAGTCAAATACATTGCAATGCTTTCGCAATTTCAAAAGGACATGCAAAATCATTTAGTTGAAGAAGAAAAACAAAAAATTTTTCAAGCTTTTAATGAGAGTGAGGTAAAAAAAAGACGCCCAGCTATAAGAGATTCTTTGGAATTGATAAAAAGATGCTCGAAAGAAATTAAAAAAGCTAGGGAAAAGTATCAGGGAGAGCAAGAAGCTATAATTGCGTTTTGCAATTTGATTTTAGAAATGTTTATAAGAAGCTCAAAGATTAAAGGGGATTATGGGAATGATACCAGTGCTGTGGAGCATAAAGTTTCGCAGATAAAAGTTGGAAATGAAATAAGGAATTGCGGATATTTAGTATTTAAACATGAATTTATTGAAGCTTTGTTATCCAGACTTGGGGATAGCAGAGACTCGGAAGCTGTTGTTTATCTTGAAAAAACACTTCCAATGATATGCAAACCCTTAGATTGGACCTCAGCTAATAAAGGTGGTTATTATCATAAAGGATTCTCTATTGTACGCTCAACTGGCTCTGATTTACAAAAAAATGCAATGGAAAGAGGAAATCTGTCTAAGGTCTTTGAAGTATTAAACCTAATGGGAAAATGTCCATGAAAAATCAATTCAAGGATCCTTGACGTTATAGAAGCTCTTCATAGTAACGGTGGCGGGGTTGGCGAGATCCCATTTACTAATATTGATGAAAAATTCAGAATTGAAGCTGGAATCACACCAAAAGAAAAAGGAAAAATCGAAAAAGCTAGAAGGGACAATTTTTCACTTTTAAGTGATTTTGAAATCAAATTAGGGATTGCAAGAAAATTCAAACAAGTTTCAAGATTTTTTATGCCGCTAAACCTTGATTTCAGAGGAAGAATTTATCCGATTTCTCCTCATTTGAATCAGTTAGGGAATGATTTGTCAAGAGGGCTGCTAGAATTTGCAGACGGAAAACCAATAGGCAATAAAGGCTTATGGTGGCTGAAAATCCATGTAGCCAATAAAATGGGGTTTGATAAATTGCAGCTCGATAAAAGGGTTGATATTGCTGAGCAAAAGCTAGACGATTTTTTCAAAATAGCAAAAGATCCAGTACAGTATTCAGAATGACTTACTTATGAAGACCCATGGCAGTCTTTAGCCGCAATATTTGACTTAACAGACGCACTACAAAAAAAAGATCCCAGTCAACATATCTCATACCTCCATATACATCAAGATGGTAGCTGTAACGGTCTTCAGCATTATGCAGCAATGGGAAGAGACATAGAAGGTGCTGAACAAGTCAATTTAGTTGATAAAGATGTCCCAGGAGACTTATACACTGCAGTTTCTATAAAAGTCCAAGAAAAGGTTAACAAAGATGCTGCTGATGGCCATGAGCTTGCAAAACTCCTTGTTGATAAGGTAAAGCGAAAAATCGTAAAGCAGACGGTTATGACTTCTGTATATGGCGTCACCTTTATAGGGGCTAGAGACCAAATTTTAAAGCAGCTGAAAGAAAGAGAAGTTGTAGAAGAAGACAAGCAATGGGATTGCGCTATTTATTTAGCCAAATTAACACTTTCTTCAATTACTGGTTTTTTCCAAAATGCTCAAAAGATTAAGGATTGGCTTATCGATTGTGCAGGAATAATCGCAAAGCAAGGCTACCCAGTTACATGGATAACACCGATGGGTTTTCCAGTAGTTCAGCCATATCGTCAAGAAAGGTTCGACTTATCAATTAGCACTGCATTTCAAAAAGTGAATCTTATTAGGCATCATGATAATTTACCTGTCAATATCCCTAAGCAAAAAAGTGCATTTCCTCCAAACTATGTTCATTCATTGGATAGTACACATTTAATGAGAACTGCTTTAAGATGCCACAAACAAGGAATTGCCTTTGCAGCTGTCCATGACTCCTATTGGACACATGCTTGCGATTTAGATGAAATGAATAGGATGCTAAGAGAAGAATTCGTGCAATTGCATAGTGAGCCTTTATTGGAAAATTTGCTAAAAGGGTTCAAAGTGAGATTTCCAGGCGTGAATTTTGAAGATGTGCCAAGTAAAGGAAACTTTGACTTGAGAAATGTTTTAACTAGTAAATATTTCTTTGCGTAGTTATTATCTTAAATTATCGATGGATTCTTCTGAACTAATAGCAGGGTCACTCACATGATCACTAGAGGAAGATTCACTTCCTTGGGAGTTCAATGGACGATTTGTTTCAATTATTTCAAGCTGGATGGCATTTTCGGTAGAATTTTCTCGTTTTGTATGATGTCTAGCTCCTCTTACAATTTTTTTCATAAGCTTAGCATAGGAAAATTGAGTTTGAACCACCGTATGGCTGACAGCACCAAGCATTCTTGCTAAAATTGCATTTTTAATAGAAAGTCCATGAGTTTTGTTTTGATATAGTTTTAGCAAATTCTATATAAAATATACCTTCACATTGACTCTATAATAAACTGCTCCTCTTCCAGCTTTTTTAGTATTTAAAGTAACTCCATAATCTAATCCATTTCCATCTTCTCTGAATGTGACTTTTCTCTTTAACCCACTTTCATACATTGTTACATACTCCACTACACCTACCCAGCTCCAATTGCCCATTCTTTCGACTAAAACTTCTTCTTCCCCTTCTGAATTGGTAACTCTTAATAATTCCAAATGAGAATTTGATGCTTCTAAATCAGCGACTATAATTAAATCATCAAAAGGATTCCCAGCTTTAATTATCTGTGTCCCGTCCACCCTTGCCCGTTCTCTGGTAATGCAATTATCTTTTAATAATTTAAATTCCCATCTATTCATAACGTCTTTAAATACGTTCGTGTAAAGCTGGTCGTAATGTTGCTCAAAACGAACTTTATGCATTTTGAAAAAAATTAGGAAGATATGTATAAGGGTGATGAGTATTTGGGAGCCAGACCATACCATTGTGTCAACTGAATATGGTAAAACAATAAGACCAAATAAAAATATGCAGGTTTGAGCAGCTACAATGCAGATTCTGAGATATAATTGGTTCCATTGGATATAGAAGTTTCCTATGTTTGGCGCTGTAAGGCCGATAAATTCTGATCGGAATTTATCGGTTGGTTGCACCAAATCAATGCCTTGGTCGGACCAAAAAGCGATTTGGTCCGACGAACTTGGAAAGCTCCCTGGAAAAATGTCTGCGCTTTCAGCGCTATATAGAGGAAACCTCTATATATGATATTGTAAAAAAAGCTTGGGCAAGCTGGACAAGTCAATGTGAGGCTGCCATAATTTTTGTGATAGTTTTAGATTAATATATCGGTAAAAAATGAGTATTGCTATAGTGCTTGCTATAGAATTTATATTTCTATTTGAAGGAGAAATTAAGATTAAGATTACAATAACTCTCTGTCGACCCCCACTTAGCTTAGGATCTAACAATACAAGCTCATCCTTCATGAATTCCATCCACTAGCGAGCAGCTCTGAACAACGGTAGGTGGAATCGGCCTAACCGTCGAACCGTTACAGTTGCCTATGGCCCGGACGAGTCTCTCTTCGTTCCTTGAGTGTGATTCAAGTACACTTGGGGCTGCCGGAGCAGTCCCAACGCTGATTTCCTTCAGAAAGAATGAACTTCCCTCACTAGGACAAGTATAGGGGACTGAACCCCTAACTCATATATTCCATATTTAATTTGTGAAGGAGAAATTAATTAATATATAAATTCATAGCCAGTCCTGATAATATGAGATTTTAGATATTTATCAGCTTAATAATTTAACTATTATAAAATTTATTTAAATCACTATCGAAGAGTAAAAAGTTAATCACGATTTTTAAAGCAAAGACGATAAGAAAATAGATGCTATTTACCTAAAATAATATAAGCTAAAAAAATAATTAGTTATTTTATAAATAAAACTTCCCAAAATTTAATAGAAAAGCTCAAGCAAAAAGTGTAGCTAAGAAATAAAGCATAATTATTTTAAACCATATAAAGAAAAAGACATTATAGAAGCATATTTGAATAAAATACCCAAAAAATGCTAATTCTTTAATTTCCTACTTTAAAAAGCTTCATTTCTGAACAATAATCTAATAAAAAAAGGCAAATGAAAATTTCTAACTTTTTAATTCCTCAAGATTCAAGCGATTCTTCTCCTCATTCAAACTCTCCTGAATCATTCTCGCTTGATTTATGCTCATTTCCATCCTCAAGCAGCTCTCCTTCCACAACAAAGAAAAAACATATAGGAAGGAAAATAAATTCCGACACCGAAATTCTTTCCCACTTTTATACTTTTCGGGCTTCATCAACAGGCCAGCCTAAAAAAGAGTATTTACGTTGCAAACTAATTCGCGGTCACAAGAAAGCAAATCGACAAATAGAAAAAAATATTTTATATAGAAATTTTTGAGCTTTGAAATTATTGAAAATTATTTATTTTATATATGAAAAAGGCACTGATTATTATTATAAAATGCATTTTCTCATTATATAAGTATATTATCCCAATAAAATCCTTCAATAGCTATAATTATCACAACCCTCAATCAATAGCTCTATGAAACAAGCTTTCCGAAATTTACAAAAATTATTCATTTATATTAAAAGATCTCTCAAGAACAGAAAATACAATAATAGCAAGCAAGAAAAAAAATAAATTAAAAACTCCAAGTTTAACAAAGAGCTTTAATGCTTGCTTCTGCACAGAATATTTCCAAAGATTAGAAGTAAGGGAGTCTTTCTATTACTACGTCGAGTATTTGTTCAGTGATTTTGAGCCTAATGTTTTGTGTCGCAAATTTAATTTTAACTGCTGTAAAAGCCAAAAACATAATGAAATTTGCTATGAAAAATGGGAGAAGGTAAAGCAATATATTAATAATGAAATGATTTTAGAACTAAAATTAGAACCTTGGTTCCCAAATTGTGAAAAAATACTGGATGAGCCAAGAATTGAAGAGGCTGAGAAGAAAAGTCCTGAATTATATTTGGATTTTAATCAGCCTTCATGGATCAGGAAAATTTATGTACAGAAAATTGAGCTTATTAATCCAAGTGATATTTTTAAAGTGAATATTATCAGGGATTTGAAGGTTTAAAATGATAATTTAAGTTTTTTATAATTAAAAAAAGAATTTTTCTTATTCGATATTTTACGTTTTCAATTAATCCCTCTATCCTTCATCGAACAATTCCATTGAAGATTATTGAAAATTAGCCCACACCCTTTTTTGGTGATTTACCTTATTGCCAAGCATTAACCCCTCCTCGGCTTCGTTTCAATTCTAATTATATATTATCTATAATAATTAATATTAGATATATTACCTTATAATCACTTGAATAGAATCCTTATACAATTTTGAGAATATTTACAAATGTGTTGCATATTTATACTGATATTTTTTTTCCACCCAAAAAAATTGTAAAATGGTCTTTTATGTTAAAAAAAAGAGATGAAAAACGACCGTGATTTTTTTTCCACCTCACCCAATTTGTTTTATATATGTGAAAATATTTTTAATATTGTTAGGGAGGAATGACTAGCACGGGGCTTTTTTGGCCCCGTGCTATTCATTCCTCCCTAGCTATAGAATAATTATGTAAATAAATAAAAATCTATAATAAATGTTTCGAAATTTATCCCCATCTTTATCGAGCAACAGCTCACTGTTCAATTAACTCCCCCCCTCCCATGAGTGAATAAAATCATTGGAAAGATCCCTATTTTTTGTCCAAAAACCACCCTCGGTGAGCGAACAAAATATTTTTAATATAAAATGTTTATGAAAAAATATAAGTGATAATTAGTATAATGAAATCTCTAGCTAATTCTGTTTAATTTTAAACAAATTGCATTTTAAAACATAAACTTTACAAATTAAATTAATTTAAATTCTCAATTTTTTTACAAATTGGAATTATTTTAAATTTAAAATAAAAATTTAGCCGCCTCCGTAAGCGAAAAAATTTTATTTTCTTAGCTCACAGAAGGAGAGGAATAAGGATTTTGGGAGTAAGAATCATTTATAAAGATTTTAATCCCCAATGGAAACAGAAAACCGTATCGGAGGAAAATTCATCATCGGCTCTAAAATTGGAGGCGGCTCCTTTGGTGAAATTTTTAGTGGAATAAATATCAACACAAATGAAAAAATTGCAATCAAGTTTGAGCCGACAAGTTGTAAAACCCCTCAACTTATTTCAGAGGCAAAAATTATGAGATCTCTAGAAAAAGGCACTGGAATTCCAAAGATTTTTTGATATGGTGGCTCAGATAACGGGAATTACATGGTTATGGAATTATTGGGATCTTCTTTAGAGGACCAATACAACTTTTGTCATCGAAAATTTACATTAAGAACCACAATAAAGCTAGCTGATCAGATGCTGCATAGAATCGAATTTGTCCACAATAACAATATTATTCATCGAGATATAAAGCCTGATAACTTTATTATGGGCTTAGGCTCAAAATCTGGAATTGTTCATATAATTGATTTTGGGCTCAGCAAAAAATATAGAGATCCTCGCACTAAACAACACATTCCATATCGTGAAAACAAAAGCTTAACAGGCACAGCAAGGTATGCGTCGATAAATACTCATATGGGTATAGAGCAATCTCGTAGAGATGACTTGGAAAGTATCGGATACTCTATTGTTTATTTTTATAGAGGAAATCTCCCATGGCAAGGAGTTATTTTAGCTCTTAGTTAAGATATTGAGTAGGTCCTGCGAGATCTTACTCCCCCCCCCCCCCTCCGTGAGCGAACAAAACCATTAGAAAAATCGCCATTTTTTGACCAAAAACCCACCCTCCGTGAGTGAACAAAAATTTTTTTAATAGAAAAAATTTTAATGGAAAAAAAATTTTGATATATAAGTGATAATTAGTATAATGAAATCTAGAGCTAATTCTGTTTAATTTTAAACAAAATTGCGTTTTAAAACATAAATTTTGCAAATTAAATTAATATTTGCTTCCCAATTTTTGCAAATTAGGATTTTTTTAAATTTCGAAAAAATAATATTTTTTATAAAAATTTATATATAAATTTTTTTTAAAAAAAAAAAATTAACCCCCCTCCGTGAGCGAACAAAATTTTTTTGTTCGCTCACGGAGGGGGGGGGGGGAGTTAGGTATTTTTCTCCACTCATGCTTCAATTGTCTGTTTCCGCTTCGCTCCTTCAAAATGTGCTTGAACACTAGCTTGAGCGTAGGAATATAGGCCACCATGCCGTACACATGACTTGGGTAGATCTTTCCCAGAAGTAAACCCTGACTTGAACGTGAGAATACGACCGTCTCAGAACTTGCTACAAATCCAAATTAAAGCCTAGCCGGATACTTTCGGAACGCTATTCTCCTTTCCACAAGGTCCCGGTAACCCCAGCAGTAAGTGTTAGGAAGACAGGTTGAATCGCATCGGCATTTTTAATGTATATGGTATAGGAGTCCGCACAGGAACAAAGCAAGAAAAATACCAAAAAATTATGGAAAAAAAAATTGGGACACCAGTTGATCAGCTCTGTCGGGGTTTTCCTCAAGAATTTATATACTTTTTATAGTAAATCTAAAATAATCATTTTTTATTTCATTTTATGAATATTTACTAAAATTTATATAAATTATATGAGCTATTGCCGATCGTTACATTTTGAGGAAAAACCTGATTACGATTATTTAAGGAGACTATTCCAGACTGTTAATACAAATGAGCAATTTTCAAATGATTTTAAATTTGACTGGGTAAAGTCAACTGCTTCTTCGCATGGGAGTTCAAGATCTGGAAATAGAAGACATAAGCATAAGAAGGTAAAACATACAGAGCCACAGCCTCTGCCCCAGGATGAAAAAATTAGCTCTTCAGAGTCAGCAGAAAGCATAGCTAAAACTATTGTTACTGATAGTTGGCCTGAGTTTAAAGATAGGGAAAAAATATTTAAAACAAGATATTTAGCTGAATTAGCAAATCATGTCACGATCGCTCAATTAGAACAAGGGTGTATTATATATACTAATTTAAAGGGAATTTACTTTTAGCTAAAAATTAGGCAGTTGCATGGTATTCAATTTTATATAGAATATATTAATGTTTATAATTTAGAGCAATTCAATTATAATTTTGCTTTATTATTTCTTTCGCCTTATATTAGTAAATTTATAATTATGAAGAATTCATCGTTTTTTACACTTTTTCTTGCTCTTCAAACTCATTCATTTCACTCCACGTCAAGGTTTTTTCTCTCTTCAAACAAAAACAACAGCTTGTAGTGTGCTTAATTGTGACTTCACTTACACCATAGGCTGAAATTCCACTCATTGTTGTCAGATCATTTTCTTCAGATGGTAGCAGCATCGAGCTTGTATCTGAATCTAGATTTTTTCCTGATTTTCTTGCTGACTTCTTAAAGGCAAACCTTTCATGTGTTGTTGTATTGCTTAATAGATTGACAACTTGTACATAAAATAACGGTAAAACTAATAGAAATGCTATTCCACATACAGAAAAAATAATAATTAGAGAAATTTCTCAGAATTGATTGATTTCATTGAGATTATCATACAAAGGATCATCGCTCACATCTCCATACGCATCTAAAAGCAGCATGAGGCTTATCGCCATATGAAATAAAAAATCAATTTCAATAAAAAACAAAAACGAAAAAAACCATTTATGGTTTCTAGCTCCTACACAATTATTTATCCATGGGCAATGATGATCAAATTTTTGGACGCAACGATTGCAGTGCTGGCAATGCTTATTAGATTTTGGTCTCTTTACTTCGCAATAAGGGCACACAAAATCTCCATTATACTTTTCATATAAATCCACCAAACTCATCTCAGAGTCCTTTTTTACATATCCAGGATCAATACCAGAGGACGCTGCGAAAGTAATTAAAGTTAACATAAAAATCAAAAAAGATGATGCAGCAACTGGAATGTGAACAAATGGAACTATACACATAAAAATCAAAAAATATCGGATAATAAAAACAGCTATATAAAAGATAAAGGTTTTTCGAGAGTTTTTTATAGGCTGTATCGGTGGCCGAATAGGATTTATATGAGCTAAAATGCAAGGTTTTTCTAAGACTTCTTGGATTTGTGTAGGTGAGCCTATTTGTTCAGCGATTTTGAGAGGAGTAGAGCCTGCGTTATTTACTATATCTTTGGAAGCTCCTCTCATTAATAAGTGTCTAACAATTCTGTATGATTTTGAAATGGCTGCTAAATGAAGGGGTGTGTGACCTTCATCATCTTTTAAATTCATATCAGTTGTAACTGCTATTAAAAGTCCTGCGCTTTGTTCTTGGCCTTCTAAAGCTGCAATGTGTAAAGGTGTTTTTCCTGTATTGTCCCTTAAATCTATAGGAATATGCAATTCTTTAAAAAAATAAGCCAAAAGTGCTAGCTGGCCATTTGAAGCTGCAATATGTGTGGCGCTTTGGCCTTGATTGTCTTTTAAAGAAAAATCAGCTCCATTATCAATATAAATTCTGGCTAATTTCTAGTTGGAAATTACTTTTCGGCCAGTTAAAATTGCTACATGCAAAGGAGTTTTCCCATCATCATGATTAGGGTGATCAAGCATTTTTTTGACGATATTTTGGTCAGGATAGCGAGTATTTATCTAAATTTATAATACTTCTATAACAGCTTGCTGAAAATAGTCTATTGCAACTGGTTCTCTTACTAGAGAAATCGCAATTTCATGAAAAACTAAATATAGATCACTGTTGTTTCCATTGTAGGTTTTTAGATCTCAAATTTCGAAGAGTTGGCTTTGGAGAATTTGTCTGAACTTTTGGGTATCTAATGATAGAAGAGCTTGTAAGAGATCATCAATCTGATTATTTGCATCAGTCATTTTTACAACAATATTAGTTCAGATAGTTAGCAAGCTAAATTTTCAAGATTTATAAATTGATGATTAGAATACATGAGCAATTATTTAATGTAGCACTTATTTATAATTAAGCTGGTTTATGATTCGAAAAAATATTGAGTCAATCTATTAATTCAGCTGATCTATAGCTATTTATTGCAAATGATTATAATAATAAAATCACCATGCTTCATCTTTTTTCAAACAAAGCACACTGAAATTTCTATATAAATTTTCTGCATCATAATTTAATAGTTATCATCTAAAATACTAAATGTTTCTATCACAAGATCTTCTAAAATCATATCAGCAAGATCTAATTTTACTTGAGTTTCCTCAAACTCATACTCAACCCACACATCATCTTTTTCTACTAAATCATCTGTTAGTAGCATCGCTAACTTTTCTTCTCTAGTCTGCTGCAAAAACTCTTCATCAAAAGCTCCTCCAGTTAAAAACATATCCTTGGTAAGGATTTTCCCAGCTTGCAGCAAACTCCATTTTTCTGTTTCTTTTTTGACCTCCTCTATAATCACATCTAAGCCTTTATGCATATCCACCATTAGCCTATTTGAGCTACTCCAAGGCATAGGGACTCCTTTAAGTCCATAAGGCCTATGTTTTTGTAAAGATTCGTTTGTGGCATCAAAAATCATTTTATTATGAATATGCTCACATTCTGATAATAGCTGCAAGGTGCTAGGGCTCACATTTTTTTTTGAAAATGAAAGGTCCTGATGTTCTAATTCCAAATAATAATCAACGTTAAATATAGGAGGTGGCTGAATGAATTCACCCTCCACATGAGTTCCTATTTCAGTTTCTTGCATTCTTGATAATGCATCTAATGGGTTTCGTTTTAAAGGAAGTGTTAAATTTTTAAGAAAATCTTCAATATAGTTTCTTCTCTCTTTTGGCCTTTTAAAGACCCAAAATAAACTTAGGCCAAAGAAGAAGAAATATTACTTTAGCCCTACACAATTTCCCCAACATCACTTCCACACACCACTCCCAGAATTCCCAAAACTCCCAAAACTCCCAAAACTCCCAAAACTCCAAAACTCCCAAAAACTCCCAAAACTCCCCCAAATTCCCAACTCCTAAACTCCCAAAACTCCCAACTCTCCCAAAACTCCCAAAACTCCCAAAACTCCAAATTTAAGCCAAAGGAAATTAAAATTTAATTTCTAATGGCTTAGTTTGCATCTCTTTTAGCTCGCTAGACATAATTGGCAAACCAAAAGGGTGCAGAAGCTATATTGTGTAGCCCAAGGTTAAAAATTTGTTCCACATATTTTTGGACTGATAAAGAGTCAGTTTTAATCATAAGGTCTTCAGGAAAGCTTTCATCGGTTTTTATAAGCTCTTCAAAGTTTATTTGGCTTGATTGAGAAAGTTGAGGGATGACTTCATCTCTTATGAGCATTTCTAATATAGACTCAGAAATTCGGGAAATAAGTTCTGGGGTGATTTCACGAGTAAGCTTTGGGCTGGGAGGTTTTTCTTCTTGAAGCTCAGGAATTGGGGTGGTTGGCTTTGACTTTTCGTCTTCACTGTCACTAACCTTATACTGAAATGGAGACTTTTCTATAGGGTTGTCTGGCTCTGTAGTGAGCTGTTGTAGTTCATCAAAAAGTGAAGAATCCTCTTCAGTCATATTATTAGCAGGATTTGAATTTTCTGTTGATTTCCCTTCTTCAATAAAAATTGCACCTTGATGAGGACTGCTTGAGCTTACTGGTAAATCAAATGAGGTTATTGACGGCCCTTCACTCATATTTGGAGACACTGCAGGTAAGTTTGGTTTAGAAAATTCAGGACTTTCTGTAGAAATGCTTGGAAATTCTAATATTTTGTCTATAGCATTATCTAATTCTTTTAATATTTCTTCAGACTTAGCCTCAATTTCTGATAAACTTTCATTTTTTTTGATAGAACTTGTAACAGATTCATTTACACATTCAAAGCTAGTTTTTTGAATTTGGGAATTTTCTTTATTTTCTTCAATTTTCAATGGTTCGTTTTCGGGGCCTTTAAATGATGCATCACTAATAAGATTTTTGAAAATTTCATCCCCTTCATCAGTTTCTATATTAGCCACTTGATTAAAGTCAGGAAAATTTATTTTTTCTGATTGCTCTGCAGTAATATTGCTTAAATATGAAGGGACATCACTGAAATTTTTACCTCCTTCATCATTTTCTTCACTTTTTCCGATAATATTCAAAACCTCTACACTTTCCTCAGACTTTTTATTTTCTCAAAAGTCTTGGAAAATTTTTTCATAGCTGACTGGTCTTAAACTGTCACTTTCTGATTCACTGAATTTTTGTTTTTTTTTATTAAACATTTCCATAAATTTATCAGAAGCTTGGGACTCGAAATAACTGCTTCCACTTGAGCTATCTTCTGTATATTCTTTCATATTTTCTTCTTCATTTTCTTTATGAATTGAAATATGCTCATGATCTTTGGTTAAAGCTTCCTGGACATTTTCTATATTTTCTTCTATTAAATTTCCTAGATGCATATAAGGACCCCCCCCTCATTTGTCGAATTTTCTAGTCTTTTTTTTATAAGAATTTTTTTTTTCAGGACCTCATTTGTCCCAAAATCTAGTCAAAAATGATTTGTCCAATTTTCTAGTCTTTTTTTGGATTTTTTCGAATGCCCTAAATTCTAGTTTTTTACTTTAAAAAAACTAGAAAATGAGACAATTGAGGTCCTGAAAATTTTTTTTCTCTATCAAAATTTTGACTAGAAAATTGGACAAATGAGGTCCTAAAAAAATTTTTTTTTTTCCTATAAAAAAAAAACTAGAAAAATGGACAAATGATAAAAGACTAGAAAATCGGACAAATGAGGGGGGGTCCTTATCTATCTTCTATTATTTTTCTTAACATTTTCTCAATGTCTTTTCCAAGGCCTGATTTTTCTGTGATTTCTTTGAGTTCCCTAAGCTCTTTTTCTTTTAACTTTTGAAGATTTTGCTTTTGGTTTCCTTGCCAAATTATTTGGTCTTTTAAAATGTCTTTATATTCATCTTTTTGGTGCTTGATTTCTTCTATATTTTTAAGTTCTTCTATTAAGCGGTCTTCTAGATGTGCTGTGCTCATTTTTGGGCTTAAAATATCTTACTTACTTAATTATCTGGTGTTTAAGGTGTCTAGTGCCGCAGCCCAAAAGGACTATGGCAAAACTAGTGACGTAGGCGAGCCATCTTGGCACAGGTCAGCCCCGTCCAAGCCTTCTATCAACTCCTGCTTCACCGGCCTTGCTGCACGTCTCACCCGGCGCGTTGCCGTCGCCCTTGTCGCTCGACTCAGCTCCTGCGCGTGTTCCGCCTAAGGGTCATCCTCCCGTGGGGATGTGCTGAGAGGTAAAAGCCCGAAATCTTGAGTGGACTGAGGAGTGGTTCCTCTGGTTATCTCCAAAGTTAAACCGCTATTGCTGTCCAGAAGTCTTCGAGTGAAAACCTAACCCTATAAATAAAATTCCATAAGGGAGAGAAAATTAGCAGAGCTAATTTCTCTCGAACGAATGCCATTTTATTTATGGGCTTAAAATATCAATTAAATTTTCAGCTGGAATTTCAGAGCTTGTTTCTGAAGAAGAATAAGGAGATGGTTCTACTTGAATTTCTAAATTTTTTTTGGATTTTTTTTCTTTTGATAGGATTTGTTGAACTTCATTATCCTCGTTAGTAAAAGTCTCTTTCTCTAGTCTTTTTAGCAATAGAAATTTCCTAACATAGGATTGAATTTTAGCAGCTGCTTTATTTTTGGAACTCGGAGAGGGTTCTTTGAAATTTTCTTTGACTCTTCCTATACGATTTTTCAGGTCATCAATTCTTTTTTTGATATCATTTTTTCTTATTTCTATCGAAATGTTCGAATCTGAAATAAATTTTCCATTTGATAAAGAACTATCTAATAATTTGGGATTATTTGTTGGAGATGAATCCTGAAAGTTTATATTGCTACTTGGCTCGCCTTCTTCTAAATTTGTATCTGAAGCAATATATATCTTTAAGCTGTCTTGGAGCTTTAAATCCTCTTTAGGTTTATAACTAATTGTGCTAACTAGATTTTCTTGGAAAGAGTCTTTACTTTCGGAGTGCTCGTTAATTAATTTTCTGGTTGTTAATGGCTGAAAAGTCTGCTCCTCAATTTCACTGATAGGAGACTCTTCTATCCAAGTTTTTGTCGATTTTTTTTTATTCTTTTTCTTATTTGTTTTTGATTTTTTCTTCTTTTTCAGCTGAGAAATCTGTGATTTTGCAAAAATATCTAATTGTTTTAGTTGTGTGAGCCTTTTAGCCTCTTCAGCTTGATGATGCAACATTTCCTGAACTTTTGATTCTTTTCTTGATTTTTTTTGAACCTTTATAAAAGCTTGAATTTTTGGGTCTGATTTTTTAACAGCCTTAAATGGGATTATCATATCTTGGTTTACACTTTTACTTCGAGGCTCTTTTCCTATTTCTAATTTCAGTTCTTCAAGAAACTCCAATCCAATTCGATCTTTTTCAGCTGATTTTGTGTGGGCTCGAATTTCTCTTTTATGCTTGCGCTGCTCTTCAATTTCTTTTTGAAGCTCGACCATGTCCAAACCTAAAACTTTTTTTTCGTTAGCGCCCCAAGCTATTTTTGGTTGGAATTTTTCTTGTCTAAATTTTATTGAATTTTCTTGGCGAATTTGGTTATTTTGGATTTTTAATTCGATTTTTCTTCGCTCTGTTTTAGCTTTAAGCTCTTGTTCCGCTTTGATTTTTCTGACTTTTTTAGCCTTTTCTTGAAATAATGTTTTCTTAACAATATCGTCGATTTTTGTGACAGCTCTTGGCTTATTTTCATCAATTTTTTTGGCGATCTCAGGTTTTATCCCAACCTCTTTTGTTTTTATTTCAGGAGTCGAAAATGACTTACTAAATGGAGTTTTAACTTCAAACAGCTTTTTCTGAGACTTGCTCTGCGAAAGATGTCTATTCATAATCAAATTTTTGCTCATTTTCGTTGCTTCTTTAGCTAGTTTTGTTTTAGAAGGATGGATAGGCGGTGTTTGCTTTACTTTTCCTAAATATTTTCTTTCAGTATTTGATTTTGACAAAAATTTTTGTGATAGATTTGAATTGTCATTTTGGCTTTCTAGTGTTTTATATGGTTTTTTTGATTTTGTGAAAATTTGGACAGGAATAGGAAATTTGCTTAAATTGTCACTTTCTGGCCGATATAGTGTACTTTGTGAAAGAATTCTTTTTCCAGTTACTGAAGCGGAACCTACTCTTGTCCCTGTAAATGATCGATATGTGGTGCTAATTTCTAAGAATCCTGTGCTTTGGCCTGAGAAAGAAACAGGGGAATTCAATTGAGTTTGTTCCCCTGAAAAGCTGATAACTTGAGTCATATTTAAATAGCAATTTTAAAAGGGTTTTATAATTATTCTTTTGATAATTTGGCATTATATTTAATGATGCTTTAAGATCTGTCGTTATTGTTTGTGATAAAAATAAATAAAATATTTTTGTTGAATCTCAAAACAATTTTAATTTACTTTTTCTTCATATTTTAAGATATTGAGATCTGGCATAGGAAATAAATCTAATGAATCTAAATTTCAATATATGCGTAGAGAAAACAATAAAAATATTTAATTTAGGAAAGAGTTCACTTGTTAAGGGATTTATAAAATTAAACATTCTATAAAAATAAGAGAATATTTAGAGATATCACATGCAAGGGTATTTGGCATTTTCTCTGTCAAGCAATTAGATGTTAAAACTAATAAGCATATAAGAATTAGAACTAATAAGAAGCTTTAAGCTAATTAAACTCTTTAGCTGATGTAGCCAGTGGCATATGATCTAAAATTTGGTAGTCGAATTTGATTTAATTAAGTGTGCGCCATTTAAATTATGGAAGGTCATCATAATGCTCTAGCTATTTCTTTCTTAGTGTTCAATTAGATTAAAAATATTGAGCTTTCAGATTAATACTTCGATTATTATGAGACTAGTATCGAATTTATATAGAGATTTTGGAATCTGAAAGCAATTTAAAAATATTCTTCCAATAAAGGGCTTAAAATATGCTTTTACAAAGTTGAAAAAATTATTATATATCTTTTCAAATTCTTACTCGCCCAAATAATTCAAACATTAATTTAAAGTAATCTAATTTTAATTTATGTTTATTTTACCCATTTACTTTGCTTATTATGCGAATAACTCTGCTGAATCCCCTTTTTAGGAGCAAAAATTCCAGTTCCGATTTCAAGGGATTAATTTTAAAACAAAAATTTATATAAACTTTAAAAATTTAAATAATAGAAATGAGCCCATTACTTTTGAGTTTTAGATTTTTTTATGGAAATTTAATTAAAATATTTAATCAATAAAATTTAAAAAATTGTTTAAATAATATAATTTAATTTATTCCATAAAGCCATATCAAAATTTGTTAGGTACAAAAAAAATAAAATTTAGCGATATTTTGTTACAATTTAAAAGATGGAGAAGAAAATAGCGAAATTTTTCGAAAACATTTAAAGTTTATTTTTTCAAATTTACCAATATTTCATAAAACAATCTGTCTTAGCATCTCTTTTTAGCAAATACAAATTTTAAACTTTGGAATTTTTACATCATATAGATAGGCTTAAATATAGATTTCTTAGCTTTCCATAATTAATAAAAATTATTTCGACTTTAATTTGAATTAATGTTTAGCTAAAAATTAGTTATCCTTTTAACTCGGCAATTAAATATGCTCAAATATTTTTTTCTTTTTACATAATTTTTATAATTTTTAATAGCCAACTATAGCTTTTCTTGAGTTTTAATCTTAAGTCTCCTAAATTATGCAATATTCGTCCATGCTTTATAGCTAATAAAATTAATGGCAAGGTGTAACCAACTTAGTGCTCTCGTCCTCATTCTTTGCCTTTCTTTAGGCCACACTGCATATTCCCCATGGGCTCGCTGGATCCTAACAAACAAATGACTAGACAGTGGAAAAATCAAAGACTCTCTTGGTACAGCTCCGGACATTGTTCGCTCAGATAGTTCTCCGATTACCTCATCCTCTTGCACCTGTTCATCTTATCAAGCTAAATCTACCGAGACCTATAATATTGTCGCAGACTTCACAAGTGCTGTAAGTGCATCACCTTCAGAATTTGGGATCAGCATTTGGGTTTACTTCGATTCAACTCTAAACTCAAAACCATTCTCTTTTGATTTTGGCCCTTCAGAAAATCCCCCTTATTACAAGGGATCTTCATCTTCAGATAACGGAAAAATAACTTTCACCTTTGCTGATAGTTTATCTACAATTGACAATTCCATAGACTTCGATGTAACTGTAGATCTTAGTCTTAGTCTTAGTTAAATTTATAGAGTAGCTCCCGGCCAGGACCGAAGGTCCTTTTCTTCCGCCTTTTGGACGTCTCGCTTGCTTTCCTTGCCCTGCTCCCAGTGTGCACCTAAGTGCCACAGGCTACCACTCAGCTCCTTCCGGTCATGGGGCTTGGCCATGCTATCCCGGAAGTAGGCGGACTGGGTCACCGTGCTTTACGTCGCCAGACTAGGGTTAGAGCTAAGGATTAACTCCTTAGCTCTTGTCGGCTCCTGCAATGCCCTCAAAATTGGCTCTAGCGGTCCCTAGAGGAAAAACCCTTTTTACCCCGTGCCCTATCGGGACGACCCTAGGATCGCCATTGCTGGACTGGGAGGGAAACCTAGCCGGACACAAACTACCAGTACCCATTCCAGACCTTTCCCTGGGCGGATTGGCTTCAGGCCGCAGCAAGGTCCCCAATCTCGCCACAGTTCCGGGAGAGGACGGGTCGGTGTCGTCGCCATTTTATTTGTGTGATGTAACTGTAGATACTGGTAAATTTTACATAGGGAAGTGACTATTTTTCGCTTTTTATTGGGCAAAGCCAGCAAGCGATGTAACTTGGAGCATATTCACTCCAAGCCTTGCTACTGTTGAGAAGACATCAAGTTCATCTAGCACCGCTTATGTAATGCCTGGTGGCTATTTAAGTTTTGGATCTAGCGTAGCTGGATATTATTATGAAATTCAAGTTTTTAAGACAGTTTCAAGGGCTTCAACTACTGATCTTGCTATAACTCTTGCAGATGCAAATGGAGTAAGCTATGCAGCTACTACATCCACTTGCTCAAACAGTTGCTCCACTTATTGCTACCCAGACTATGGATGCTTGAGTACCACAGCCTGTCAATGTCCACTTAATTGCGCTGATTGCTCGATAAATACCGTTTGCACTCAATGCAACCCAGACTATTATCTCCATGATACAAGTTACGGAACTGAATGCATTTGTAATCTTTATGTAGCTTGCACCGCTTCCTGCAATTCCTGTGAGCCAGACGCAGCTTGTTATGAGTGTGCTCTCTCAGTAATCAAAGTTGAGGGAATGTGCAGGGTTGATTCTGTTGGATTCCAAGTCAGCTTTAGCTACCCATATCTCGTGCTTGATTTTGCCCATCCTTTGAACAAACCATTGACAGTAGGAAATCTAGTGGCAAAGACAGCTGATGGTACTGCAGTTAGAACAAGTGATTGGACTATTGATGCATCTTCAACACTTTCCAAATTAAAAGTCAAGACTAGTCTAACGCAAAGCCAGCTTCCTATCAGTCTGGATTTAAAATTCGGAAGAGCTTAATAGATAAGCATTCTCTTTAATTTGTCTGTAGCTAAATAATAAGGAAATAAGCTGGGTTTCTGCATAAAATTGAAGCTGGAGCTAGGCAAATAAAAATTTTAGATAATTATATATTTTTTAACAATCCAGCCTTTAGCAAGGATATTTAGAGAGATTATTTCCTTTATTTGCTTTATTGTGAGCACTTTGAAATTAATTTTATAAATAAATTTAAATAGCGTAATCAAAATTTCAGATATAAAGCATTATACCTTTCTAAGGCAAATGAATCATTCAGAAGAAATCCTTATACATAAGAACTATAGAATCTAAAAAAGAAGAAAAGTGCATAAAATAAAATTGCTGTGACAGAAATAAACCATTAATCAAAAATTCAAAATTCTAATAAAGGTCAGAACGTTTGATATTTATTACCCTCTTTGTTGTTAAATTTATAAATAAAGCCAAAATGTGCAACATGATCAAAAATTTCTGGGCTGAATTAATTAGCATTGCAAAATCTTGACCAATTCGGCGACAAATGCTTTTTTGTTATATTTTTTCAATAGCAGTGATTCTTGCTATGATAATTACTCTTGTTCTATTAAATACCTTACTTCTACTAAACCAAACTGTTCTCCAAATCGACGAAACCCGAAACACACAATCCAGCTCTGACTTAATTTCTCTGATTTACACAGGTGGGGCTGCATTAGCAGCTGAAATGTCCACAACAGAAATCTTCTTACGAATGATGAACAATATGCTAATTTTCTCATATCATGAATCAACTTTCGCTCTTGAAGACTTAAAAAGTTTGCTTAACTTAACTTATCTGTCGGTGTTTAAGGTGTCTAGTGCCACACCCTAAATAAATAGGATTTAGCTAAACTAGTGACATCACGGAGCCATCTTGGGAATCGCGGGTGCCAGCCCACGGCAAGCCTTCTATCGACGCTTCGCCTCCAGTTACCGCACATCTCACCTGGCGCGTTGCCGTTGCCTTCCTTGACTCAACCCCCGCGCGTGTTCCGGCTAAGGGTCATCCTCCCGTGGGGATGTGCTGAGAGGTAAACTCTGACCTCTTTAATGCACTGAGGAGCTGTTCCTTTGGTTATCCCCAAAGTTAAACAGCTGTTGCTGTGCAGAAGTTCTCGAGAGAAATAAATCAAATTGCTTGAGGAAAGAAAATTGGCAGAGCCAATTTCTTTCAGGCTGAATGCCATTTTATTTATACTTAAAAAGTTTGCAGTTTCAAGAAATCCCAGAGTCTTCTCTGCAAGTTTATGAAGATGTTTATGGGAATAGAAACGTAAGCTTTGAGTATTCAGCTTATTTTCCATTAGGGACAGTTGATCAAAAAATGTTAAATCGATCATCAACACTTAGCTATCTATGAAGCAATATCAGATATTTAGCAAATCAAACTACTATAAGGTATCTTATGTATTTTGAAGATGCTAATTTTATTATTGTGTATCCTGGATCAGAACTCCCAGAGGATTATGACCCGAAAAATGAAGTCTGATATCAATCTTATGCAGAAAACGATTATAACGATGTAAGGACTACAGCTTATAATGATACGCTAGGAAATGGCCAATCAATCGCGTCTTTGGTTTATTCTCTTGTAGATAATGATGGGAAGAAGATAGGAACAATGTCAGTAGACATAGCAATTTTAGCCATGTTTAAAAAGCTTGATTTACAATATTTAGGCCATGGAGACGTATCAATTATATATTGAAATGGAGATATTTTCAGAAGCGGTGAGTACGGGTTTTGAAAATACAGCTACAAGTCCATGGATGATATTGCTTATCAAAATTTTTGAAGCGATATTCAAAAGAATGCAAGCGGTGTTAACTATCTTATAGAAAATGACAATATCTACAGAGTAGCTTCTACATCATTAGAAACAACAATTGATATTTCTGATGAAGAAAGTGCGACAGAAGGGAGAACTTGGTATTATATAATTATGCTGTTGGTAAATGAGGCTGACATCATGATATATAAAGAAGATGCAAAATCCAAAATAAAAGAGCAAGGGTCATTGTTTATAGGAATTACATTGTGTTGCTCATTAGTGACTACAATATTAATCATTTATTTAATCCATCATCAATCTAGAACAATAACAGAGCCTTTACAAGGGATAATCGATTTTACATATAAGCTTAACACAGCTAAAAAGATAGATATGGATGAGCTAAATCAATTAAAAGAAGGCGATTATCAAGTAGAGCGGCTTGTTCAAGCTTACAAATGCTTAGCAAGCAACTTAATCAACAAAAAAGATGAGTATGAAACTCCAGTTGTTAATGCACAAAGAGCTTATCCGCCCAATGAACTTCATAGGCCTGGAAGAATTCTATGGAAAGATTATATACTTGTGTTAATAGATTAAAGAAAAATGATAAGTGCTTATATAGAAAATAAGCATATAAATATATTGAAAATTAATCGGCATTAGTTGTGCAGAGATTATTGAAAAAATCCCAAATAATTAAATTTTATAATTAACATGGCTCAACCTGTCAATCCCGAAATTCTTGAAAAATACTCTGACTCTTCCCAAATAATAAACAAAAAATCTACTTACTCCCCCCCTCCGTGAGTGAACAAAACCATTAGAAAAATCCTCCCTATTTTTTGCCCAAAACCTATCCTCCACGAGTGAACAAAAATTTTTTTAATAGAAAAATTTTTTATGGAAAAAAATTTTGATATATAAGTGATAATTAGCATATTGAAATCTAAAGCTAATTCTGTTTAATTTTAAAAAAATTGCTTTTTAAAGCATAAATTTTATAAAATTAAATTAATATTTGCTTTCCAATTTTTGCGAATTAGGATTTTTTTTAAATTTCGAAAAAAAAAATTTCTGTAAAATTTATATATAAATTTTGTTTAAAAAAAAAAATTAACCCCCCTCCGTGAGTGAACAAAATTGTTTTGTTCACTCACGGAGGGGGGAATTAATATTTCAGAGCTGCTTTAGCACAAAAGTTGCAATGAATTTTAGATGAATAATTGATAATTTCTTATTATTGGGTTTCTATAAAATCCAAATTTTATTCATTTAATTATAATAATTTCGATTTGCTCATATAAAAATTTCTATTTGCAACTTTTAAGCTAAATCCTCAATAAAAAGAAAATTTTTATTTATGAGAGAGTGAGTGATTATTTGATGAGCTATCACCAGAACTGCAGTCTGCATTTAAATTAGCACTTGATCAGCTTTATGAGGATTCTTCCCTGCTTGCTATTAGATTAGATTAAACTCTTCGTCCTCGACAAGGCTGGAGATTACCACATATGCATGCTTAGCCCCAAGAAGCCCTATCAAAAACCCTTCCTTACCGCCGCAGGCAAGGGATCCGCACAACTGATCTTAATTTCCATAGATCCTGGAGCCTATGGGCTCACCCACTTTGGCCGAAACTCCCAGTTTATCGCTAACTCCCCCCCCCCTCCGTGAGCGAACAAAACCATTAGAAAAATCGCCATTTTTTGACCAAAAACCCACCCTCCGTGAGTGAACAAAAATTTTTTTAATAGAAAAAATTTTAATGGAAAAAAATTTTGATATATAAGTGATAATTAGTATAATGAAATCTAGAGCTAATTCTGTTTAATTTTAAACAAATTGCGTTTTAAAACATAAATTTTGCAAATTAAATTAATATTTGCTTCCCAATTTTTGCAAATTAGGATTGTTTTAAATTTCGAAAAAAATATTTTTTATAAAAATTTATATATAAATTTTTTTTTAAAAAAAAAAATTTAACCCCCCTCCGTGAGCGAACAAAATTTTTTTGTTCGCTCACGGAGGGGGGGGGGGGTAAGGCAGATGTCACATCTTGATCCCTTTTCGAGAGATTCATTGTTCAATTGGGTCTTTTGCTTGCCCTGCCCTGTAAGATTATAGTCTAGGAGGCAAAATTCAAAAATCCCAGGATCAACTCTCTAAAGCCTGAGAATAGCCTAGCACGATATAAAAAGCATTATCAGCCTCTTCTGCCCTTCCACTCATACAAAATCCTTTCCTGCAGGTTTTGAAGAAAAAGGGTCAGAAGCTCATGGTCTGTCCTTATCATTTTTTGTTTATATCTCAAGCTTGCTATAAATGAATCAAATAACCTTAATGAGCACGCTAGCTTTGTCAATCGCCAGCTGTCAGAGATGCTGCAATCCTTGAATTGCCAACTTGAATGCACGCAGGGCCAAGCCTACTCAGACTTTTCAGATCCTTCTATCCTAGCTCCTGCAATTGAGGCACTCAAAAAGTTGCATGAATCTACAAATATGCTGAAGGCTAAGGCAAAGGTAGCTTTTCCAAAAGAAAAAATAGACGAGAATTCTAAAGTCAGCATCCTTAGATTCTACTGTAAAAAGGACGATGAAGACAATCTCAATTGGGTCCTTTGTGTAGAAAATGCAACTCAAGATTATTTCCGAAAAGTCGAATTTTTCATATCAGAATCGAACGAAAAAATAGCTGAAATCAGACTGCTCGAGCCAGAAATTAACATAAAAAGGCATCTAGGTAAACTTAACCCCAGTTTTGATTACTATGGAAATCACATCATTGCAAAAGTTGATGGAAGGCCAGTCTCCGAGCTGTTTCCAATAATGAAGGTTGAATTCAAGGGTGCAGAATTGGGAGACAACGACAATTTGTGCTGCACAATTGCTAATTCTTCGAATGAGAACTTAGATAATCTCTATGTATTTTGTAATGAAACTTCTCAGTCATATCCTGTTGGGAAAACCCTGCAGCCTGGAGAAACCCACGAGTTGGAGATATCTATTGAGAACCTGAGCAGCATTAGCATAAGAGTGATGAAGGATCATGATGTGGTGAGCATTGCATATTCATTATTGAATTTAGATGAAGATGAGGAAGATGAGGGGTCAGAAGAGGAAAAAAATGAAGAGAACAGCAAAGGATTATCAATGTCATGTCCCTTTCCAGGGTTCAGAGCTCCAGTAATTGACCCAGCAATCCAAAAAGTTAATGAAGCTTTAGTAACACTGGGAGAAGCTAAAATACAGTTAGCTGAAATGATAAAGAGGGAATACCCAGAAGTGGCTGCTAAAATGCAACTTTATAAAGCAGTGAGCAGATATAATACTTATGATGACTGCATTGGGTACCTAATGGACGCGGGAGTAATAAACTAAGCCATAAATACTTTCATTAGAAATTTTATTAATGCTTTTTATTTGTGTAATATGAATTTACCGGTCCATCATATTTAATAGTGTGAAAATTTCTTGAGGAATTTAGTTGCATTTTTTAAGAGTAATACATTTTATCGAAAAAAAAGGGTAAATTTCATCAAATATTTTTACTATAAAAAGTTTGGATAGATATCCTTAAGAAATGTTATAGCTTGCTCCCTGTTATAACTCTTATAAGAAGTAGAGTGACAGAGCAACCCAAAGAGCTGACTAATCAACTCAGTTCAGCGAGCCAACTCTCAAAGTGGCATAAACAACAGATAACACAGATTGTAACTTTTGAGAGTTGACTCGCTGACTGAGTTCACTATTCAACTCTCTGGTTTACTGCATCACTCTGCTCCCTATGATGAGCTATAGCGAGCGAGCTTTAATCTATCATAAGTGTACGATTATTAAGCAACACCCAATTTACCATGGTTTAAAGTGAAATTTTTATCATTTAATTAAAAATAAAATTAAAGCAGATTAAATTATTTGTTCAAACCAGGGGGATTATTTATATTTAATACAATCGTGATTGACCAATGGATCTATTTCCTTTAAAGCATCCAAGGAGGTGACTCACAATTGCAGATAAACTTAGCATAGTTGACGAGTATAATGATACAAACGCAACTTTAAGAGATTTAGCTGAAAAATACAATATTGCTCATAGCACTATTTCTAAGTGGGTTAAAAAGCGTGATAAAATGATTGAATTTGAGGATCCATTTGCTCGGAAATTACGTAATAGTAATTTCATAGAGCAAAATTCTGAAACACTTCCAATGATAATGAAACGGAGAACTTCAGAGAAAAAATTGGTGAAAAAGTTGCTTAAAAGAAACACAAGCCTTACTGAAGAAAATGAAAAATTAAAAACACAAAATGAAACTCTGAAAGAAAAAATCAGTGATTCGAAAGAAGAAAAATCCAGAAAGCCAAAAAAAGAAGACAAAAATGCCTTTTATGTTTATTTGCAAGACTTAACCAGTCGAAAAAAGGAGAAAATAAAAATCAAAGATAATGCTACAGTAGAAGAATTAAAACGAAAAATCTTTAAAAAAATTCCATCTGAAAGTGAAAGGCTTATTTTTACTTTACAAGAGTTGAATGATAGTCATAAACGGATTTCGCAATATAATGTCAAGAATTTAAGCACAATAATGATGATTTAAAGTCAAAGTGTTTTATAATAATTCTTCAAGCTGCATAATTAATCATAAAAGAGAAAATAAAAATAATTTATTATATCTTACTAAATTATTAGGATTATGCTTTAAATTATGTATGATAAAATCTATTGAAAATGAATTCTTTAATTCAAAACACCATTTTACCATTAATATCAAAATAAATGGCTAAAAATTATAAGTATTTTTTAAACTAATCTTGCCAATAAATTTATGCATATACTTAATAAATTGTTAATGGAAGGGTCTGATCAGTATATGCCAAATGAGTATCTATGCCCGATAACTCAAGAGCTTATGGATGACCCTGTGATTGCAGCAGATGGTCACACCTATGAGAGAGCAGCCATTGCGGCATGAATGGAAATAAGCAATGCCAACCCATTAACAGGAGAAGAGCTCTCAAGCCGAAATCTCACCCCAAACTACAATATAAAAGCTCTAATTAGCGACTACAAAGAGCAAATCCGCAATCAACCCCTAAATCGTCGCCCTGAAAATGGCAACAATCAGCTGCTAGAGCGCCTGATGAGTTCTTTATATGAGCACATAGCCTCAAGAAAAGACTATATAAGCAGCATCAGAAAATCTATCGACGCTCTTATAAGCTTAAAATATGATTTAGAGCAGAATCTCTTGAATTGTAAAATTTCTAATACTTCTGGAAATGCAGGAACTGTCATAGGAACAGCGTTGCTTTTTACGCCTTTTCCTTGGATTGGAGCCTTAGCATTAGTAGCTGGAGGTCTTACATCAATAGGAACCTCAATAGCTCAGCATTTCATAGAAAAAGACAGACTGGCCCAGATGAAAAAAGAAAAATATGACTGAAAGAAAGAATTAATTTGAGCTACTCCGGACTACTCTTATTTAGGTTTATTTTCTACTCGGATGAGGTTTTTGCTCAGCTAAAAAAGCTTTAAGAGGATGACTGACGAGATAGACCGACATCAAGGAGCGTAGGACTCTGCATGATTCAAAGTCGGCAGAGAGTTGGATCATTAACGCAATATGGAAGCGAGTCCGCTGCTCATTGGTCTCCAGTGGGGAGATGGAAGTTAATTGATGCAATCGCATTGATACAGGTGTTTTGGTCAAGACAACAGGTGTGAGATGATAAGCCGCATTGTCATCGCTAGCTATGATAATAACGGCCTTAAGACTTGAGCAGTGAACTTTGACCCTGCCTTAAAATAGCCTTACGACCTCAAAATGCAGAAATTAACGCTAAGATCTAGATGAAAAAAATATTAGAAAATGAAGAGAACGCTGCTAATAAATTTTATTTTACGCTTATAAGACTTGATAAATCTATTGAAGCTACAAAAGGAGCTGCACAAGCTTTATTGATGACTAGTAAAATTAAGAATACGACGATTTTCATCAAAGCTTATAATCATTTTAAAGCGGCGAGAGCGGCAAACGCAGCTTATAATTCGGCAAAAACTGCAAATGCTGCAAAGGCAATAAACTTTCCTAAATTAATGAGGATTGGACCTGGGGCAAAAATACTTGGAGCAGCTGGAGCTGCACTTAGCGTAGCTGATATTGTGTTGACTTGGACTATGAATAATGATACATTGGAGCAAATAAAAGTGTGCTTAGCAGAGAGAGAAGAATTAATAGACTTGCAAGAAAAGGAATTGAAGCAACTCGAAAATTTGGTAAATGAAAAGCTTAGCCATAATTAATCGGTAAAATGATTAATTTTTATATTTTAAGATTATCGTTAAATACATTTATATTTCTCTATAAGATTTCAATTGAAATTGAATGTTAGAATATTGAGAAAAAAGTTCAAATATATAAATTTTTGAGATATAGGGCTATTCAAGGGAAAGCCCTATATTTAAAATTAAGACAAATAAAAAAATAAATTTTTAATGCCTTTAAAAAAAATTACAAACTTGAATCATTCAGAATTTATCAAATAAATTAGGCATTAATAAATATAAATTCTAATTGGCTTATATAACTATTTATAAAAAATAAATTGCATTTTGTGCTATAATTCGGCTTGCTCTGTCAATGAATCTCGTTTTATAAGTATAAATGAGTATAATTACCTTTTGACTTACTCACCATTGAGAAGTGCTTAAAGCGTTAGAAGACTTAAATTAAATTATAACTGAGATTAAAATATCAAATTTAAACTTTAAATATTCAAATTTTCTATGAAATGTTGACTGGAAAAACTACCACCTTCGGCGTTGGATCTTCAGACACTATTGATAATGTATAAGCTAAAATCAAATAAAGAAGGGATTCCTCCATCTCACAAGGACTCATTTTTGCTGGTAAAAAGTTAGAAGATGAAAATTAAGATATCCAAAAAGAATTAAAACATCATCTGCGCTAATACTCAAAGAGGAATGCAAATATTTTCAAAGCCCTTGGATGGAAAAACAATAATTTATGATATTTAGTTTGGAATTGTCACCAGATATTATGATATAATATTGTACATTGTTTATAATCGAGCCAGTAAGCTAATGGCCTTTTCATGGATTGATGAAATTTTTCAAGAAAACAAAAAAACTCGACTAAAATTTTTTATTGGTATCTAACTAAAAATATGAATTGTTTTCTTTATGAAACTTTAGAAACATCTAAATCATGCTAACATTATGCACCTTTATATACAGTTAAAAAAATTGGCATCGAAATTTCCATATTTGAAATTAATATAAAGTAAACTAGTCCATTTAAGCAAATTGCATTAATTCTTATATCACTTTGGAAATATTATTTTACAATTCAATAGAAATTTGATCAATATACGTAATATATTAGAAATTAATTTGTTTATAGTTAAAAGTTTTAACGAGGGTAAAAATTCCATTTTATGTTTATATTTTGATGAATTCTATCTTATAGCAATTAAGTAAAGAATTCAACTGTAACTAAATTAATACTTATAAATCTATAAATAATGATATTTGCATTATTTTCTTTTAATAATATTATATTTTAAAAACCTTTATATTGGATTTTTCACCTGAATTATGACAAGAGAAAAGGAGATACTCACTCAGCAATTTTAAGTGAGTGAATTTTATAAGATAATGAACTATTAGAATAAAATTATTAAGCCCTTCTATTTTAATAGAATTAAGAAATACTTGAAATCCATCGCTGGAAAGGAATTTTTAATTATATTTAAATCTAATAATATTTCTTTAGAAGCTGCTGTTTTTTTTTATTAATAAATATGCCTAATCTCAGTTCTCACAAGCAAGTTAAGGCTTGACTTTATTTGTTGATTCTCTTTGTAGCATCAAGTTCCTTTGACGTATTAATCGTTTATTCAAATAGAACAAAAGCAATTATGCAAAATTTGATGACAAGTACAGAGTTATTCAATAAAAACTCAACCGAAATATTTTATTGCAATGATTTATATTTCGATGAAGAAATATCAAATCACCCCAATCTGATTGCAGTTTTCGACATTACAAATAATCTGAACTCTCAATTTGAGATTGCAAAAGTTTGTGAGTTCAATTTACTGGTACATTTTTTAGTTTCTGATAGCTTGCCTTATCAAAGCAAGTGAACATTTTTACTTTCAAGCTCTAAAGAAGACTTAAGCAAAGCCATAGCTTCAACTTTGACATATTTCAATTGAGTTGATGGAGTAGCTATAGCTGACGTAGAAAGATATGCAAGCTTATACACGATGGCTTCAGAATATTCATCAAAAATTAATTTAATTTCAGTTGGCTCAAACACCGTTTTTCAAAATCTGGTTGGAAGAGAAATCATGGAATTAGGCTGCTCTCTATTTTATTTATTACTAGATAAAGCGCTTTCTCTTGAACTTCAGAAAAATTTGGTTTCCTCAAAATTAATAGTTAATGGAACAGGAATTTTGCTCATAGAAGATGGCAGCTACGGATCGAGTATTGAAGGTGCTCTCGCAATTGTGGATAAAGGAAGAGAATTAGTAGACTCAAAAGAAAGATATTTAATTGATATAATTTCAGAAATGATTGATGCTCTTAGCAATGTTTCAAGCTCATATAGTATGCAAAAGGTACTTGAAGAAAGATGTATAAATAGACATTGTTTAACAGAGTTTTCGCTAATAAATATTCAAGAAGCTAAGAGAAAGATTGTTGGATCAATCAAAAATGGCAAATTGAGTTTAAATTTACCAATTATTTTTCCTGGAAACTCTACAAATATACCGATTTCGCAGAAAAAAGTGCTGTTTTTTAGCGCTAGTAATGGGCCAACTGATCCTGGTGGAAATCCAGTAGCGCTGGTACCCATAAATACAAGAGGAGTTACTTTGGCTGTTAAACATATGAATACAGGAACAGAAATACTGCAAAATTTTCAAATTAAGCTAAACGGTTTTGATTGTGGAGTTAATATATATAATCCTGATTTCTGCCTATCTTGCTTTGGCAAAGACATTAATAAAATAGGCTTAGCACATATTGGAGGTTTAAGCTCTAGTATGGCTATGGGAGATATGATAACATTTAAAAAATTGAATAAAACTACTCCTCTTGTCAGTGCTACAAATACTGAAGTATCTCTCGGGAACTCGACGAAATACCCTTACTATTCTAGAGTGAATTTGAATAATTATGACTTAGCAGCTCAAATTCCATTATTTTTAAAAACTATTGGGTGAAGGAATATAGCACTTATATATCAAAATAACAGTATAGGGGTTAACTTTAACTTTATTGTCTCGCAAGCTGCTGCCAAGCAAAATGTAAAAATCCTCAATACTAATAGGGCCATTCCAGCTTCAATGACTCGAGAACAAATAAAAAATTGAACAAATGTTTTCCAAGAGATTATAGACTTGAAGGTTAGGCTCGTAGTAATGACACTAAATGCTCCTGTGTGTAATTATGCAATAGAAGTTTTTTATGATTTAGGATTAAGAAAAGGGGATATTTTATTTTATACAGGCTATCTTGACCACCTTAACTCAGTGGGGACTAATGATGAGTTTCTTTATAAGAGAATAGAACTTGGAATACCATTAATGAGCACTTGGCAGTCAATGTTCATAGGGAATAAAGGAATAGAAGTTCACGATGAGCTTTATTCCACTTATAATAATACTGAGCCAGGATTATTTGCATGCCCTTATTTTGATGCTGCATATTTGATTGGTTCAGCCTTGGATTGGACAATCAATCGTGGGCTTGACTACGAAAACCCAGCAATCTTTCAAAAATCAATAAGAGATGTCAAATTTATAGGATGCACTGGAACAGTTTATATTCAAAGAAATACTAATGATAGATCTATAAACAGTCTTGCTATTAAAGCAAATAGTTATAGCCCTGATAAAGGTGTAACAGTTTACACACTAGGCTATCTCGAACCTTCTAGCGCTGATTTCCTAACCATAATTCACCCTATTGTCTATTCAGATGGAACAACAATTAAGCCTCCAGATTTCAGGGGCACTAATAATAATTGTCCATTTGATAACAAGCTAAAGCAAACATTTTATATGGGCCGAGCTCTGGTTTTTGGAATTTGCTTTATTATAGCTGTTATAACCGCTATTATAACCTTCATAATTTGGAAGAAATGATGGAACATAAAGATTGAGGAGCTCAAAACCCGCCAAGAAATATCGATCCAAGATTTTATTATTGGTGCCAGTATTGGAATTGAATTTTTCCAGCTTCTTTCTATGGGGCCTGACATTAGGCCTTTAAATTCTTTTATTGCTGATATTGGAGATCTCTTATCGTTAGATCTTGAATCATTTTTAAAGCTTGAAAATGGCAAGTTTTGGTGGCTTTCAACATCAGTCATTGGTCTCTGTGGGCTTTGAATATTGCTATGCTATATAGTACTGTTTCGAATTGACGAAAAATATGAGCACATTTCTCTTTTCAGAGCTTTAGGATTTTTTGCTGACAAATTAATGCCAATATTAGGAAACTTATGCTTTATCCCATTTGTATCAATCCTTCTTGATATTTATGTATGTGATGAGTCAATAGGTAACAGTTTTACTAAAAGTTTCCTTTCCAAAGATTGCTATCAGTTTTGTTGGCAGGGCTCTCATATTATTTATGTTGTGCTATCCACCTTTGCATTATTTTGCTACGAGCCTTTAGCAGTATTCTGTAGACCTTTATGGCAAGAATTACAGTCTAATTTGCATGTTAAATCAATTCCGTTGCATCTTATGTCAAAAACAGTTATTCAAGTAATATTGGTGGTGATGAATAAAACTTTGAAAAGAAGCAGCGAAATAGCTCATGGATGCGTATTTACAGTCTTAATCATTTTGTATACAGGATTTATATGGAAATTCAAAGCTTATAATTATGGAAGGTTTAACTGATGGCAGCAGTTAAGTTTGATTGGAGTTGCTTGAATAACGCTTTTATCAACCGCATGCGCTATTTTTGGGAATGCTAGTTTCCCTTATCTGCCTTTAATTTTATCTGGATGGTTTTTAATAGTTGTAGTAGGATTGATTGTTCAAAGAAAGAAATATCCAAGCTTGCTATATAGACAAAAAGCCAAAGATACTTCAACTTTATTCAAGTTTGCATTTTCTTTTGGAAAGAAATCACAGATGCTACATTCAAAAATTACTCCTCAAAAATTAGACTTTTATAAGTAATGTTTTAGAATAAAAAATTAAAACAATTGGGAAAAGAAAATAATCAATTTATTGCTTTTCAGTTTTTAAGTAATAGTATACTCTAACATTTCGTTTTATATTTTTTCTCATCATTTCTCTAAAATAAGTTATAAATATTTATTTAAACCATATCACTTTTATTAATGGCATGAATTAAAAAATATTAATAAATTAATAAATATATTATTCTTGCAGCTTTTATATTCTAAATTTGATAAAAATTGAAGATGCCAAGATTAAACAATGATTGGAGCTGTATCATACATTAAAATACTCCTCCTGATATTTGGAAATGAAATTGTCATTAAAGAAGAATTTCAATAGCAAGTATGCATGCTGGAAAGGAATTTTTAATTATATTTAAATATCTTAATTATATTGATTTATGAAGTTATTTTTTTTTTAATAAATATGCTTAATCTCAGTTCTCACAACCGAGTTTGGGCTTGACTTTGTTTATTGATTCTCTTTGTGACATCAAGTTCCTTTGACGTATTAATCGTTTTTTCAAATAGAACAAAAGCAATTATGCAAAATTTTATCACAAGTACAGAGTTGTTCAATAAAAACTCAACCGAAATATTTTATTGCAATGATTCATATTTCGATGAAGAAATATCAAATCACCCCAATCTGATTGCAGTTTTCGACATTACAAATAATTTGAACTCTCAATTTGAGATTGCGAAAGTTTGTGAATTCAATTTACTGGCACATTTTTTAGTTTCTGATAGCTTGCCTTATCAAAGCAAGTGGACCTTTTTGCTTTCAAGCTCTAAAGAAGACTTAAGCAAAGCCATAGTTTCAACTTTGACATATTTCAACTGAATTGATGGAGTAGCAATTTCTGACGTAGAAAGGTATGCAAGCTTATGCACGATGGCTTCAGGATATTCATCAAATATTAATTTATATTCAGTTGGCTCAAACACCGTTTTTCATGATCTGATTGGAAGAGAAATCATGAAATTAGGCTCCTCTCTATTTTATCTATATCTGGATAAAGAGCTTTCTCTTGAACTTCAGAAAAATTTGGTTTCTTCAAAATTAATTATTAATGGAACAGGAATTCTGCTCATAGAAGATGGCAGCTACGGATCGAGCACTGAAGGCGCTCTCGCAATTGTGGATAAAGGCAAAGAATTAACAGACTCAAAAGAAAATTATTTAATTGATATAATTTCTGAAATGATTGATACTCTTAGCAATATTTCAAGTTCATATAATATCCAAAAGGTGCTTGAAGAAAGATGTATAAATAGACATTGTGTAACAGAGTTTTCGCTAATAAATATTCAAGAAGCTAAGAGAAAGATTGTTGGATCAATCAAAAATGGCAAATTGAGTTTAAATTTTCCAATTATTTTTCCTGGAAGTTCTACAAATATACCTATTTCGCAGAAAAAAGTGCTCTTTTTTAGTGCTAGTAATGGGTCAACTGATCCTGGTGGAAATCCAGTAGCACTGGTACCCATAAATACAAGAGGGATTGCTTTGGCTGTTAAACATATGAACACAGGAACAGAAATACTGCAAAATTTTCAAATTAAGCTAAGCGGGTTCGATTGTGGAGTTAATATATATAATCCTGATTTCTGCCTGTCTTGCTTTGGCAAAGATATTAATAAATTAGGCTTAGCACATATAGCCCAGGATCTCTTATTTCACATTTCCCCTAGGCTGCCCAATTGGAGGCCAAACTTGAAGTTGTTCGGCACCAACTCAACGGATTAAATAATATATCGATGACTACTTATTTGCTAACTGGTGAAGTTGATTTGGCAACTTTTTGTGCTATACCAATTTCACGAATTTGCCCTTCAATTGGCAGCCTAGAGCAATTAATAATCTAATATTTGCTATATTGGAGGTTTAAGCTCTAGTATGGCTATGGGAGATATGATAACATTCAAAAAATTGAATAGAACTACCCCTCTTGTCAGTGCTACAAATACTGAAGTATCTCTCGGGAACTCTACGAAATACCCTTACTATTCTAGAGTGAATTTGAATAATTATGACTTAGCAGCTCAAATTCCATTATTTTTAAAAACTATTGGTGAAGGAATATAGCACTTATATATCAAAATAACAGTATAGGGATTAACTTTAACTCTATTGTCTCGCAAGCTGCTGCTAAGCAAAACGTAAATATCCTCAATATTAATAGGGCCATTCCAGCTTCAATGACTCGAGAACAAATAAAAATTGAACAAGTGTTTTCCAAGAGATTATAGACTTGAAGGTTAGGTTAGTAGTAATGACATTAAATTCAGAAAATAAAATCGTGAGTTAACTGAAATTACTCCGAGGCCTACTCCCTTGGAGTAGGTTGGACCTATCTTTATGAAGCTGAAAGCAGGCCTCTGTCATTTTTAAGTTTTGAGATGCATTGCCAAAGAGGTTCTCCCCGAAAGGTTTATTCCCTACCATATGGTCTTCCCTCATCGAAAGCTATCGGGACATCGTACAGGCGATGGTCTCTCCTAGTGAGCAATCGCTTGGGTAGGTAGGAATACGATATTTTGCCCGCTTATGGCCAGCATGATTGTTTAATTTATTACACTAAATGCTCCTGTGTGTAATTATGCAGTAGAAGCTTTTTATGATTTAGGATTAAGAAAAGGGGATATTTTATTTTATACAGGCTATCTTGACCACCTTAACTCAGTGGGGACTAATGATGAGTTTCTTTACAAGAGGATAGAAATTGGAATACCATTAATGAGTATTTGGCAGTCAATTTTCATAGGGAATAAAGGTAAGGAAATTTACGATGAGTTTTATTCCACTTATAATAATACTGAGCCAGGATTATTTGCGTGCCCTTATTTTGATGCTGCATATTTGATTGGTTCAGCCTTGGATTGGGCAATCAATCGTGGGCTTGACTACGAAAACCCAGCAGTCTTTCAAAAATCAATAAGAGATGTCAAATTTATAGGGTGCACTGGAACAGTTTATATTCAAAAAAATACTAACTTCCCCAACAAAAATATTTTGTTCGCTCACGGAGGGGGCTAATTTTTCTATTTAAAAAAATTTATATATAAATTTTTATAAAAAAATAATTTTTTTTAAAAATTTTAAAAATCCTAATTCCAAAAATTGGAAAGCAAATATTAATTTAATTTATAAAATTTATGTTTTAAAATGCAATTTGTCTAAAATTAAACAAAATCAGTTCATAATTTCATTATATTAACTATTACTTATATATCAATTTTTTTCCATAAAAAAAATTCTATTAAATTTATTTTTGTTCACGGAGGGAGGGTTTTTTGGGCAAGAAATACGGATTTTTCTAATGGTTTTGTTCGCTCGTGGGGAGTAATGATAGATCTATAAGTAGTCTTTCTATTAGAGCAAATACTTATAGCCCTAATGCAGGTGTAACAGTTTACACAGTAGGCTATCTTAAACCTTCTAGCTCTGAATTCCTAACCATAATTCACCCTATTGTCTATTCAGATGGAACCACAATTAAGCCTCCAGATTTCAGGGGCACTAATAATAATTGTCCATTTGATAACAAGCTAAAGCAAACATTTTATATGGGCCGAGCTCTGGTTTTTGGAATTTGCTTTATTGTAGCTGCTATAACCGCTATTATAACCTTCATAATTTGGAAGAAATGATGGAACATAAAGATTGAGGAGCTCAAAACACCCCAAGAAATATCGATCCAAGATTTTATTATTGGTGCCAGTATTATAATTGAATTTTTCCAGCTTCTTTCTATGGGGCCTGACATTAGGCCTTTAAATTCTTTTATTGCTGATATTGGAGATCTCGTATCTTTAGATCTTGAATCATTTTTAAAGCTTGAAAACGGCAAGTTTTGGTGGCTTTCAACATCAGTCATTGGTCTCTGCGGGCTTTGACTATTCCTATGTCTTATAGTACTGTTTCGAATCGACGAAAAATATGAGTATATTTCTCTTTTCAGAGTTTTAGGATTTTTGGCTAATTAAAAGCAATTAATCAATTCAGCGTAAAAAATTTACATAATCTATTTGAACTTTTCTCTTGAAGAATTAATGCCAATATTAGGAAACTTATGCTTTATCCCATTTATATCAACCCTCCTTGATATTTTTGTATGTGATGAGTCAATAGGTAACAGTTTTACTAAAAGCTTCCTCTCTAAAGATTGCTATCAGTTTTGTTGGCAAGGCTCTCATATTATTTATGTTGTGCTCTCCATCTTTGCACTATTTTGCTATGAGCCCTTAGCAGTGTTCTGTAGGCCTTTATGGCAAGAATTAGAATCTAATTTGCATGTTAAATCACTTCCGTTGTATCTTATGTCAAAAACAGTTATTCAGGTAATATTGGTGGTGATGCATAAAACTTTGAAAAGAAGTAACGAAATAGCCCATGGATGCGTATTTACAGTCTTAATCATTCTATATACAGGATTTATATGGAAATTCAAAGCTTATAATTATGGAAGGTTTAACTGATGGCAGCAGTTAAGTTTGATTGGGGTTGCTTGAATAACGCTTTTATCAACCGCATGCGCTATTGATGGGAATTCTAGCTTCCCTTATCTGCCTTTAATTTTATCTGGATGGTTTTTAATAGTTGTAGTAGGATTGATTGTTCAAAGAAAGAAATATCCAAGCTTGCTATATAGACAAAAAGTCAAAGATACTTCAACTTTATTCAAGTTTGCATTTTCTTTTGGAAAGAAATCACAGGTGCTACATTCAAAAATTACTCCTCAGAAATTAAACCTATATAAGTAATGTTTTAAAATAAAAATTTAAAAAAATCAAGAAACCTGATAATTCAAATATATAAAGAAAATATGATGGATAAATGCAATTTCTTTCTTTTCAGCTTTTAACTAATGCTATACTCTCACATTTCGTTTTATATTTTTCTCATCATTTCTCCAAAATAAGTAACAAATATTTATTTACTCTAAATTTGAAAAGAATAAGATGCCAAGATTAAACTAGAGATTGGAGCTGCATCATATATTAAAATACTCCTCCTGATATTTGCAGATTTAAATTATAATTAAAGAAGAATTTCCTAATAAGATTTTTAAGCTTAATCTCTTAGGCAAGTATCCATGCTGCCTTAAAAATACAGTGAAGAATTCTGAATAGTGGTTAAGTTTTCAGAAAACAGCTGGGTCAATTTTCTTAAAAATAATGGCAAATTTAATCAATAGTTGGCTAGTTTATCTTCATCATTGAGCATTTAAATTTCTTGATCTTTTTACGGATCTGATTTTTATATTTAATTTCTAAGTATATTCAAGCTCAATCTCTTTTACTTTTAACTTATCCGTAATTTTTAAAACAATAGACGTGCTCGGCTAAGCTTTATTTAAGAATTATTTAGCTTAACTAACAGCAATCTTAATTTATAAGTATCAAGCTATAATTTTTTATAATTATTAATAACTCTTAAACAACCTTTATACATTCCCTGCTAGAAATGATCTAAGTGAACAATTAGTTGCCAAACATTTATCCACTTATTAAAAATTATTTTGGTATAGTTAATTATTCCTTTTGAATTTTAATTTTTTTTCCTAGAGTTTTGTCCCTCCAAGTCAATATAAATATTTGAAAATTGTTCCTATTTTGTATTCAGTTTGACTATAATGCATCAATATTAATATAATGCTATTTAGGCTTTGATCCCAATATTTACTTAAAAGATATCAATTTGCAGAATTTTTGTTTTCACAATTTTAATTGTTTTTCTAATTCAAATCGCAGGTAAAATTTTCTTATTTACTGCAAAAGAAAAGAGATGAATTCAATTCAGATCTCATAAAATGAAATTTGAAAAAAATTCCATTTTAATTTAAAATTTCTGCATAATGAGCAGTCTTATGTTTCTATAAAACGAAAAAGTCTCCTCAGATTTCTTATGCATGATAGTGAAAAATATTAAAGTTTTTAGATTTTTACCTCACAACCTGAAGATCTGGGAATACCTATAGAAAAAAATTTTGGTAAAAAGAGAATTTAATCTATTTTGAGGCCATTAATAAATTAATTTAACTTAAAGCACTCATAATTCCACAGCAGCAAGCTGATAATAAAACGCAGCATCTACCTGCTGTCTTTACATTTTTATTTTTGCAAATTGTACAGAAACCACTTTTGTGGTATGTGTTTTTTTTGCATTGTGGGCAAGTCTTTAAATCAGATTTCTTTAACCCTTGAGCTTGCTGTTGATGAATTCATTTTTTATCTTGGTTTCTCTTTCTGAGGTCAGCCAAATTTATTATCAAATTTTCTGTATTTTGATCTACAGAGGCTTTGGTAAATATTGGTAAATCTTGAAGGGCATTTTGCTCTAGTTCATCATTACAGGGTAAGATCGCGCTAATTTTGCGAGACCTTATTAGATGTGCATTTTCTGTTGCTGAAATCTTATTTTCTCTCCCAACTTCATACCTCTGAGAAGCTTTGTCAAAATGATGAAATCTTTCTTTTTTGTTAGAAGAAGATGCATAGTTTTGATCTATATAGGCATCTTCGATTGTATTTTCTATTGTCGGAGTTTGAGCTACACTGCTTATATGGTGCATTTTATTCGAAAAAATCCACAGTTTAATTTTAATATTAAAATTTTTTTCCACTTGCTTAGCTCCTCGATTGCATGAAAAATACACTTGGCTATACTTCATACTAATTATTGAGCTTCTTATCTGCTCCTAAACAGCCTCATCTCAAATTGCTTTCATAAATTTTCCCATTACCACATTTAAACGGAATTCTCATGAATGAATTGCTATTAATTGAGTATGCAAAAGATTGCAAGACATCGCTCCAGAAATCAAAATATCCCCATTAAAGACTATAGAATTGCAAGAGAAATCGGAATTTGGCAATGGCCTCAATTTGATTCATTGATTTCCATTCAAATCAAATCTCTCTGAAAGAGTTAAGTCGCTATAACTATCCATTCCACTAAACAATAAATACTTTTATTGAAATAAATAGCAGAAGAATAGGAGCAAGGAGTTCCAGATGGGAGCATTCGAACTTCCAGGTTCACATCATCAATTATTAGCGAAACATAACTCTTTTAAGGATACTTTTATTATCGAGAGCTTTTCTCAATTCTTCATTTAGCCATTTTACTTCATCGTCTTTTTCTTTAAATCTTTTGGCATAATGCTCTAAATTTGCCTTCAAGGACTCAATCTGATTATTTTGACTTTTAATAGCCATTTTATATGCAGCTAGCTTAATTTCTAATAAAAAGTTTCTTTCTTTTTCGACTCTTAACAAATCGCTGATAGGGTCAACTTGTTCTCTTCAAAGTAATTTTTTCTTATTTTATAGCCTCTAATAAATCCCTTTTAACTTAATTTTTCTTTTGATCTTTCTTATTTATTTTCTAAATATATTCGAGCTCAATCTCTTTTACTTTTAACTCATCTGTAATCTTAAAAAATAGAGGCTCTAGCCAAGCTGTATTTAATAATTATTTAGCTTCAATGACAGCAATCTTAATTTGTAATATCAAATTATAATTTTTTATACTTATTCATTTTGAAAATTTTAATTATTTTTCCCTAAGAATTTTATCCTCAAAATCAATATAAATAACCAAAAATTGTTTCTATTTAGTATTCAGTTTGGCTATAATGCATCAATAGTAATATAATACTATCTAGGCTTAATTCCAGTATTCACTTGCAAGATATCAATTTGCAGAATTTTTGTTTTTACAATTTTAATTACTTTTCTATATTAAAATCGCAGTTAAAATTCCTAATTTAGTGCAAAGCAAAGGAGATCAATTTAAGTAAGTTTTCATAAAGTAAAATTTGGAAAAATTCCATTTATTTTTAAAATTTCTGCAAAATGAACATTTTTAATTTCTTTACAGTGAAAAAGTCTCCTCAGATATCGTACGCTTGATAGTGAAAAGTATTAATTTTTTTAGATTTTACCAAGAACCTGAAGCTCCCGAAATGCCTGCTGAAAAAAATTCTGGTAAAAATGAGAATTTGCGATCTTATTGAAAATTTGAGGTTATTAATAAATTAATTTAATTTAACTTAAAGCACTCATAATGCAACAGCAAAAAGTTGATAATGTAACGCAGCATTTATCTGTTAAATTTGCCTTTCTATTTTTGCAAATCGTACAGAAACCACTTTTGTGGTATGTGCTTTTTTTGCATTGTGAGCAAGTCTTTAATTTATATTTCTTAGATCCTTGAGTTTGCTGTTTATAAATTCATTTTTTATCTTTGTTTCTCTTTCTGAGGTCAGCCAAATTTATTATCAAATTTTCTGTATTTTGATCTACAGAGGCTTTGGTAAATATCGGTAAATCTTGGGCATTTTGCTCTAGTTCATCATTACAGGGTAAGATCGCGCTAATTTTGCGAAATCTTATTAGATGTGCATTTTCTGTTGCTGAAATCTTATTTTCTCTCCCAACTTCATACCTCTGAGAAGCTTTGTTGAAATGATGAAATCTTTCTTTTTTGTTAGAAGAAGATGCATAGTTTTGATCTATATAGGCATCTTCGATTGTATTTTCTATTGTTGGAGTTTGAGCTACACTGCTTATATGGTGCATTTTATTCGAAAAAATTTCCCAAAGTTTAATGTTAAAATTTTTTTCCACTTTGCTTAAAAAAAATTACTCGTGAGAATTCCCAATGTAGCTATGCAAATATGAATTCCTAAAAGTTTAAACAAACTTCTTAATTTATTGAAATTGCAGATTTGAGTGTTTTTTCACATTAAGTTCATTAGGCATAGAAAAATCTTAAAAGAAAAAATTAGCTATAAATTAATACATTTTTTAATATTTATTCCTTTATCTTATGATTTTTTTATATGTTTCATTTCATAATAATTTTACGCTTGCATGGATAATTGCACTTTCTGCTGTTAACAATTTTATTTAGATTATATCCACTCACTATTCCTTAAAGATTAACCATTATTTTATCATCTAAACTAAACTTATAATATTTGTCAGGCTTTCTGCATCCAATGAAGATAGCTCTTCTGTTGTATGAGCAATACACTTGGCTATACTTCATACTAATTATTGAGCTTCCTATCTGCTCCCAAACAGTCTCATCTCAAAATTTGCTTTCATAAATTTTCCCATTACCACATTCAATCAGGTATAATTTTCCCAAATCTATCAAAATCTTTCTTTTATTTTCAGAAAATCTAAAAGGGATTCTTGTGAAGGAATTGTTATTAATTGAGTATCGCAAAAGATTGCAAGACATCGCTCCAGAAATCAAAATATCCCCATTAAAGACTATAGAATTGCAAGAGAAATCGGAATTTGGCAATGGCCTCAATTTGATTCATCGATTTTCATTCAAATCAAATCTCTCTGAAAGAGTTAAGTCGCTATAACTATCTATTCCGCCGAAACAATAAATATTTTTATTGAAATAAATAGCAGAAGAATAGGAGCAAGGAGTTCCAGATGGGAGCATTCGAACTCCCAGATTTACATCAATTATTAGTGAAACACCAGAGGGAGGATAGCCCTTACCAAAGCAAAAGATTTCATGGGTTGGAAGCTGAGCTGCACATGAGCATTCATCTATTCATTCTGGAGGATTTACTCATTTAGCTTCTTCTATACGATTTTCTGTATTATAAACAATCAGATTGATCCTGCTATTCTTATCCTTCTCAATAAGATAAATAGGCATCATTTGATCAACTCTACTAGTTGATAAATCAAAAGCAGAAATATCAGCTGACCAAGATCTCCTTAAATATTGCTCAGTTTCTGAGCCTAAATTTATTGCATTTATCTCTTGGAGGGATAGGCGGTTTTTACTGTATTCTCCAGAAGAATTCTGGAATTTCTTTTGCGTTTCTCATTGAAGCTCTTCCCTTCAATTCTCAAGCTCTCTTTTGCTCTTCTCAATATTTAATTTTAAGTCAAAAAGGGACACTTTAATTTCTCTTAGCTGATACACAGTCAGACTTCTAGAATCATCATCCCTTCCAATAACTGTTTCTATTTTTATGAGTTCATCTATAAGTATTTTAAATTTAACATTAATCAAACAGTCAATCATTTTCTCAATTTCTGGGCTCAATCCACAAATCATTTTGCAAGTATCTTGGGCTTCAGATTCTGTTTTAATTTGTGCTCGTCCATCAGATTTAATGCTTAATTCTTCTTTTAGGAAACTTTTATTATCGAGAGCTTTTCTCAATTCTTCATTTAGCCATTTTACTTCATCGTATTTTTCTTTAAATCTTTTGGCATAATGCTCTAAATTTGCCTTCAAGGACTCAATCTGATTATTTTGGCTTTTAATAGTCATTTTATATGCAGCTAGCTTACTTTCATATAAAAGGTTTCTTTCTTTTTCGACTCTTAGCAAATCGCTGATACTTTCAATCTGTTCTTGCCCTTTTCTAATGTGGTCTTCAAAGAGTTATTTGTCGTTTTTTTTGCTTGTTTTGGCAGTCATATGCATACCTAGCAATAAATTAAGATTAAGATTACGATAACTCCTTGTAGACCCCCACTTAGCTTAGGATCTATCAAAACAAGCTCTTCCTCCATGAATTCCATCCACTAGCTAACAGCTCTGAACAACGGTAGGTGGAATCGGCCTAACCGTCGAACTGTTACAGTTGCCTATGGCCCGGACGAGTCTCTCTTCGTTCCTTGAGTGTGCTTCAAGTACTCTTGGGGCTGCCGGAGCAGTCCCAACTCTGATTTCCTTCAGAAAGATTGAAATTCCCTCACTAGGACGAGTATAGGGGACAGAACCCCTAACTCATTCATTCCATTTTTAATTGTGGAGCAATAAATTAAAATACTAAACTATTAGAACTATTAAAAAAAAAACCTACAAATTTGCCTGGGCAACTGTCTGAATATCAAAAAATGCAGAGCAAAAATCACACACCAGCCTCTTCAAAGTAATTTTCTCTTATTTTGATAGCCTCTAATAAATCCCTTTTAACTTGATTTTCCCTTTGAATTTCGGGCATTGTTTCCTTGAAACTCTGAATTATTGCCCTTAGCCTATGGTTATCAATTAAGAATGTACTTTTTAAATTCTCACCGGTTAAAGGGCTGGTTTTTTGTCTTTGGAATCAAGCGGTAATCGCTGCTCGCTCATAACTTTGTCCGTCTGGAGCTAAAACTGGATCTTCCATTAGCTCACCGGTTATCGGGCAGCAATAATCACTTGGGATGTCAATAAAATATTCAGCCATGCTTATATAACTGTAGAAGAATTAGAAATAAATGTGTCTCTTGCATGAAAATATAGTTAATTATATAAATTTTGAGATAAAAATATGAATATGGCGCATTTATGAACAGGAATAGTATGTACTCACATGAGCTTTCACCATAATTTGAAATTATATCAGGCTTTACTTTAAAGCGCTTTAGCAATAAGCTAAAACCCCAAAGCAAGAATATTATTATTAAGAAGGTTAATACATCTATTTAATATAATAATTTTATATTAATTATATTTTTTGTATTTTAGCACATTTAGGGATAAGAAAGAGGGTCATTTCCTTTTGAGCTGAAAATAATATTTAAATAGTTAAAAATATTGAAAGTATAAAATCAGTTTTGAAAAAGGATAAGCAAAATGTCTCACCCTTTTCCATGTGATTTAGACTTTTTCTCACCCCCCCCATTTTAAAATGGAACAAAAAATATCGGTAAAAATTACATTTTTTGGTAATTTAGTCCTCTTTAAATTGGAATTTTTAATAGAAAAGTTTTTATGATGATTTAGCATTATTTTTAATCAGTTATTATTAATTTTTCTTGTTGCTCTTCCCAGTAATAAGTACTTATTCATTTGAAATTTTCAAATATAATTATTATAGAATAAATCTTATTATTGGAGTGTAAATACCCAAAATTTGCTGTTTTATCTGAAAACAAATTTCACACTATTCATTTTGATTTTTATTACTTAAAAATTTAAACAAAAAAAACAATGCTTTTCACTGGGGGAGATAGTGAAAATAAGTATAATCAATTTTATATAATTTTCTGCTTAATTGAAGTGTTAGAATTGATGAAAGAATTCTGACAATTATTAGCCAGTTTAAACTTATAAGGATTAATAATTTTTCGATCAAATCCCATATTAAAACAATTTAAAAAAAATGGATTTCAATAAATATGAGCATTAAGAAAAGTCATTTTATTAATAATTAAATGAAGACTTTTAGTGTCTTGATCAAAAATGAAAGATTTTTAGGGAAATAGTATATCACATAGCTGGAGAAATGCACTTATTTTATATATAGAATAATTTAAGTTTATATAGTATTTTCGATAAAAGATATTTATAAAAATTCCTAAAGATTTTATAAATATATTAAAATTATGAATCTATCCCCATTAATGAAAATATTTTTTTTTAAATACTAGTTGCTATATTTCAAAGTAAGAAAATTAATCAGTCAATTAAAATTTAAACCCGATGAAGTTGAAATGATTTTTTTTTATTTTTGCTTGATTATTTATTACTATCTTTAATTATCAATAAGCTGCTATTTAAATCCCCCATATGAATGAATCAAAAATATTTTATTCGCTTACGGAGGGGCTTCAGTATTTTTTTAAAAAATTTATATTTTATAGTAAATTTTTTTTTCAAAATTAAAAAAAAAAACCATTCGAAATAATTTTAAAACAAATATTCATTTAATTTATAAATTATGTTTTTTTAAAATTAAACAGAATGGGTTTTTTGGCAAAAAATAGGGATTTTTTTAATGGTTTTGTTCGCTCACGAAGGGAGGAGTAAGCAAGTAGCTTATAAGAGTTTGATGATTTTAAGAAGTACTATTGCTTTTAGTGTTAAATCTAATTTCAGTAATTTTCTTTCTAAATTTTAAATAAGTATACCCTCTCTCATTATTTGATTACCCCAACTGAAATAATTTTTGTATTTGAAGAGACAAATTTAATTATACTAACACATAATATGGAAACTAAACCTACTAGAGGAAAAACAGGGATAAGAAGCGTTCATTGTGACCTCAAATACACCGAATATGATAAAAGGATAGCAATAAGCAAAGTAAAATACGGCCTATCAATTTTGAAACTTAATTCCAGAGGTAATCCAAGCCCAAGACGTTTTTATCTCCTAGAAAATAACAGCCACATTCTTCAATGAATATCTCCAAAAAAGCCTCCTCAAGAATCTAGAGTCCACATCCAGCACATTTGAAAAATAGAAATTAACCAGAGCTCAACTAAATTCAGAAAAAAACCGAAACCAAAAGCAAAAGGGAAATCTGCGTCAATTTATTATGGTAGCAATGTATTAGACCTCATTTTCAAATCTGAAGAAGAAATGATGATATGGCTAAGTGGTATTTTATATCTGATTGACCAAATCAAAGAAAAGGATACAACTGATAAGGAAAGAGAGGTCATGAATATCCAGCATGTATGGAGTCAAGCAGATAGAGATCTAAGTGGAGGATTAGATATTGATGAAGTAAGAAAATCACTGATTGCGTTAAATATTTATGCAAATGAAGATATTATTCAAAGGCTTTTTATAGGCTGTGACGCTGATAAAAATGGAATAATCGATCAACAAGAGTTTGATATGCTAATGGACTCTTTATTAAACAAACCAGAACTTGATGATTTGTACATGAGTTTTGCTTCTACTATAGCAAATCAGGTCGGTATTACTAGACGATCGTTTTGTAATTTTTTGAAAGAAACTCAAAGGATGCAAAATATAACAAAGCAGGACTCAGATGTCATTTTTCAAAAATTTTGTGAAGAAACCCCTGAAGGGATTCAGTTTATTTCGAAGAAAGGATTTAGGCTTTATATGTTTAGCCCTAACCATAACTCAATTTTTTCACAAGATAAGTTTGATGTCCACATGGATATGACTCAGCCACTGCAAAATTATTATATTGATAGTTCTCATAATACATACCTAGAAGGAAATCAGTTAACAGGGACTTCCAGTGTCGAGCAATACTCCAAAACTCTTTTTCGTGGATGCAGATGTGTAGAAATTGACATTTGGGATGGACCTAATGGAAACCCCAAAGTTACGCATGGGAGGACATTAGTCAATCATATTGAATTTCGAAGCGTAGTTGAAACAATCAATATGTCAGCTTTTAACTCTTCTCCTTACCCGATTATCTTGTCTCTTGAAAATCATTGCTCTTTTGAGCAGCAAGGAGTGATGGCAGACATATTTTTAGGGATTTTTGGCGACAAAATTTATATACCAGAACCAGGTGCTACTTCTTTTCCGTCCCCTGAAGAGCTGAAATATAAAATCCTTATCAAAGGTAAAGTGTCTGCTCAGCCGAATGATTTTGACACACAAATGGATGGAGAGGAAGAAGAAATAGGAAGAACCTCCACAAGATCGCCAAGGACTATGAAGCTGAACCCTAAGTTAATATCTCTGATTTCAATAGAAGGGCAAAAAATGGCTATTGGTGATAGGCCTTATCAAATAATGTCTTCAGTCACCGAAACAAAAATGAAAAAAATGGTTGAAAAGTATGGGTCAAAAACCATTATAGAGTACCATAAAAAGAACTTAACAAGGATATATCCAGCAGGGTCTAGAGTTAGTTCTACTAATTATAATCCGGTTGATTTTTGGCTTGCTGGTTGTCAAGTTTGTGCTTTGAATTACCAGAAAGGAGACCTGGGAATGCTCTTAAATTATGGCTGGTTTCAAATAAATGGAGGAACGGGCTATGTTCTAAAGCCTAATATTTTGACTGATGCAAATACATTGTTTGATCCTAATGGTTTGGGAATGGAAAATCCACTATTTACATTTGAGGTAGAAGTAATATCAGCGCACGGATTGCCAAAGTCAGGTAAGGAGCTAGGACAAATTGTAAATCCTTATGTCGAAATTAAAATTCATGGGATCGAAAAAGATCAGGCCACATCTTTAACTTCTGTGATTCAGAACAATGGCTTTAATCCTATATGAAATGAGGAGTTTACCTTTTCTATAAGAATGCTTGAAATGTCAATGGTTTCTTTCAGGGTTTATTCAAAATCATCTTTTAAAAACCGTTTACTTTGCCAGTTTGCAATTCCAATAAATTGTGTTCGAAATGGATATAGAGTAATACCTCTAATAGGGAAGCACTTCTTTATTTTGCCAAATACATTTTTACTTATTAGAACAAGACTTACACCAATATTTAGTAGTTAATATGTTATCTTAATGAATAAAATGTTAAGGAAAATAAAGATTTAATGATAACTAGATATCCATAAAACTCAAAATATATAATTAAATTTTAATATCAATTAAACAAAATAAGAAAGGTTTATGGTTAAATAAACTTAAAATTCAATTAAAGCTTGCACAAAAACTACATTAAATCTACTCTATATTTATTTATATAACTTGAGGATCGGAAATGTCGCATCTCAAAAAGTTATCCGATAGACTCGCCGAGAAGCTTGCACCAAGTGTACAAGATATATTGGTCTGCAGAAAAAGCAATAAAAGCGATCCTCTTCAAAACAAAAGCTTCAAGGTGAACGCTTTATCCAAAAAAATCACAAACTTTTATATCCCAAGTTTGTGCATGACAGCTGCTCATCATGGGCTTGCCTCCTTGTCAGCTGTCCAAATAGGCTACCCCTATGCATTTTTTGCAGTTCTTAAGGTTTTAGTTGACGACAAATGGAATGGCTATATCGCAACCCCTGATGATTACAAAATTTATTTCAATCCAGCCTATTCAGGAAAGTTTGAAAAAAAATTATACGGAGAAGAATGCATGAGCTGCCCCAATATCATCGCAGAAGTATACAGAACAAATAAAATCGATGTTGAATACACAAATATCTCGTGAGAGACAGTGACTGAAAGATTGTATGGATTTGAGGCCAGAGTTTTTCAGCACGAATGTGACCACCTTATAGGCGAACTAATTACGAATTTGTCAAGGTCTGAAGGAAGGTGAAAAGAAAAGCAAGAGTTCAAAAAGACAGAAATGGGGAAAGTCATAGAAGAATACAATAGTAAGATGGAAGCTGATAAAAAAATATTCGCACAAATGTATAAAGAAAATCCTGAATTTAAGAAAAAGTTTGATGCTGCAGAGGATAAAGAGAAGCTAATTCATGAAATTGTTGTTACAAAAGAGTTGCAAGAAGAAATAGTAGAAAAACTTAAGAATGCTCAGAATCTTGATCTAAAAAACTACACAAAAAATAAAAAATAATGTAAACTCATTGGATTAGATTTAGTTAATTTTGTAAAAGCAGCTTTTTTTGAGTATCAGTTAGTTTGAAATCATGAAGCTTAACGTCAAGCTCTCGCTTAATGATTTCTCGAAATGAAATTGCTAACTTCCCCTCCATGAGCGAACAAAATTATTGGAAAAATCCATGTAAGTGAACAAAATATGTTTTTATATAAAAATTTTATGAAAAAGTGTGATATATAAGTGAGTATTATTATAATGAAATTTTTAGCTAATTCTGTTTTAATTTCAAACAAATTGCATTTTAAAGCATAAATTTTTTATAATTTTACTTTTCAATTTTAGAAAAAAAAATTATTTAAATTTATTAAAAACAATTTTTTCATGGACATTTGGAGTAAGGGTCTGTTTTCTTTTTTCTTTTTTGTTTCTTTGAAGATCTCTTTTAAGCCAAAATGCCCGATTAAATCACCTTGCAGGAAGTTCGTTGTGGCTTTAACTGCAGGGCGAGCATTGGATCCATCTCCTTCCATTTATAAAATATTTTGATACTAAGCTTTTGCATTATCATGAAAAGTGGGCTATTTTGAATCAGAAATAATTTATTAATTCTCTCTTGCTAATTGGAATAAACTTTGCTACTTATTTAAAATAATTTTTAATTTTCCCTGAAATTTATAGGTTTAAGATTAAAAATGATACCTTTGTTTAAAGAGTATTTTACTTTTAATATAACACAAGTTATAAATAAATTTTTGATTTTTGGGACATTATTTGGTAATCAAAACCTATTTATATAACTATTATTACCTATTATAATTAAAATTGTGTCTCGATTTAAAGAGGAGTAACTATTTATTCAAAGTTTATTTTTGGAATTGATTTTATACTTCAAATTATAAAAACTAAACTAATTAGTACTTTGAGATTTTAAATAAATAAAGAATCAATTTTAGAATTATTAGATTTCAATTAGAGCTTCTCATTTAGTTATTTATATGGTCTTAAGCTCTTTTTAGGCGCATATGGCAATGATAAACTATTTTTCATACTCATGGTTTTGTAGTAGTGGCTTGGCAATGGAATATCTTCAGAAATTATTACAGATACTCTTTTTGTCTTTGCCTTTTCTGATGGAATTTCCGAGCTTTCATAGCTTTTGTTATTTCCCCTTGACTAGTGTGCAAATTTTTTTTTCATTATTCAAGAGAAGATTAATTATTTTAAAGTTTTAGAAATGAAAAAATATAATTAAATTTATAAAATTGGTATTTAATAATGAAATCTGTTAAATTTAATAGAATTTAACTGGGTCTCATTATTTTAACCATCAAATTATTATTTCTATAAAATGTATATATTATAAAATTTGCATAAGATGATACTCTCAAAAATAGGAATTTTTTTAAGGTTTGCTCGCAAATCATGAGGAGTTATTAATCAATCTTTTGCTTTTCTTGAATATAATTGGTGTGAAAGCCCCTTGAACACTTGAAGATGAATGAAAATGAAGCTTATTTGGAGAAGAGGGAAAAACTTTTATAGCTGACGCTGCAGATTCTTCAATATCATCCTCAATGGTTTCATTAATTTCTGTGCTTTGGGTGCTTAAACTTCTAACAGATGATCTTTCAAACCCTAGAGTTTGAGAACATGCCACCAGACTTTTCTCAGATTTCATAAATTCTATTGAAGACTTTAGCATTGAGTTTGTGGCTTTAAGCTCGTCATTTTCTTCATAAGCACTGCTAAGCGATTGTAAAAGATCTTGGATAATCATTTCAAACCTTAATTTATTTCTTTCAAGCTCTTCATAGCTACAGTTTTTCAGAATGTCTCTGTACATAATTTATATACACATATAAATTTTACAAATTTTGATAAAAAATTTTAAATTATACAGAAGCAGTGAAGCTGGAAAATTCAAATGAAAATATGGAACAAAATATCCGATTCGGCAATGTCAAAAGTTTTCGGAACTTTGCGAAGAAATTTAATTAGCTTAATATTTTCATATTAGAAAAGAAAATTAATTAACGGCCATTTTAAATGAAAGAACATGCAGATCCTGAGCTTGAGCCTCTTGCAGGGCCAGTGCCTCCTCAAACCACAGTAATAGGATCAATTCTTCGAAGCTTAAACTCTCTATACCATTCTCCCCGAGATTTATGAATTTTATATACAATTGAGTTATTCTCAATGACCAGCATGGAATTAATTATCATCTGTATGAAAACCTACTTAGAAGACTCAATCGGTTTAACAGAAAATCAAGTTGCGTTAATTATCACTTTTTTCATTTTCATGTCAGCCATTATTTGCATTGTATTTGGGAATTGCATTGACAGGTTTGGAGTAAAAAACACAATAAAGGTGTCTCTTTTTATTGGAATTTTTGGCTTTGTCTTGCTTTGTGCTGTAACTAATAAGTATGCTGTACAGACTATAATTTTGCTATTTCACGCTCCTAGTTCAGCACTACTATTAGGCTGTTTCAAAGTCGGGATAAAACATTATACCTTAGAAGCTGCAAGAAGTCTTGGATATTCTCTATTCTATATGGTTCTCATAACTTCATCAATTATTGCTAAAGTTCTTAAAGATTGGATTTGCAATCCACTTGATAACGAAGATATTTTGACTTTTAGATACATTTTTGGAGTTGCCATTTGTTTCTTACTAGTAGCTTGATTCCTACCTTATTTTTTGAGAGAACTCGATTTCCAGGTTTCTGGGACAACAGAAATTGTAAAAGATGACGATCATGGAAATATGTGAAAATTTGTTAGAAGCGTACTGATTTTATCATCATTTTGAAGACTAGTCAGATTTGCCCTTCTGGTTTCCTTTATGAAAGCAGCATATTCACATGTATATGTGACAATGCCTCTATATCTCAATGTAACAATTGAATTTGACGCTCACATTGAATATGCCTTTATAGTTCATAAGATGACAGTTTTGATAGCGATTATCCCATTGACATTTTTAGTCAATTTTATTAGCAATTTTAACTTGGTACTCATTGGATCATCCATAACAACTTTATCATTTGCCCCAATAATTATGTATGAAGATCCAACCTATTTCCGGGTGTGTCTTTTTGTGTTTTTCCTTTCTATTGGTGAAGCAATTGTTGCACCGAGGTTTATAGAATATGCAATTCAGATTGCTCCAAAAGGAAAAGAGGCCACATTTTTCTTAATCGCTACAGTTCCGATGATTATTTATGTCATTATTGCTGGAGGAGAGTCAGGGAGAGCTATTAAAGAATATTGTAACCCTGCGAATATTTTTAATGGACAGGGAAATGATTGCAGGCTTGTTTGACTTATTATTTTCACAATTACTTTGGTTTCGGCGATTTTGCTTTTATCTCTTGTCAAATATCTGAGGCAGCCAGAAATAGAGACTCAAAAGTATATATCAATGTCCAAAGAAGCAAAAGATCATCAATCAAGTCAATAATTAATAATATTATTAGCAAAAAGCTGCCTTTAGTTAATTTATGCTTTTATTTTTAGAATAAAATATTAAATAAACTTTGAAAAAGAAAAAAAATAATAATTATAAAATACAAAACTTCAGCTGTTTAAGCCTCTTATTAATTTTCATGCCTCTTTTCGTTAAGTATTCAATGGTCTTTAAAAGAATTGATTAATTAAACTAAAGTTCATTAAAATTATAGCATCATAATATAAAAATGGGAAATAAAATAAATTCTGTTTTATTTTTTTAAAAGGATATGGATTTGCTTTTATTTTGTATAGTTTTGAGAACTTAAAGAAAATGCTATTTGACGAAGAAGTAATAATTAATTTGTTTAAATTTTCTAGAATTTGATAGCTCAGCTTCGTCTAGCACTTGATGATTCAGTATAAGTGTCATTCATTCTATAATCACTTCGATATCTTAATTCATTTTTAATAATATCGTAGATTTATAAGATTTAAGCTAACTTTTGATGCTTTTGTTGCGTGCTCTGTTATTGCTTAGATTTTCTTTTTCAAGCCTATGCTAGAAAACGCCTATTATCGCTTAAAAAATGTTTATTGAGAATAATTAGTAAAAATGACTTTAGGCATTGACAATGAAAAACGTTTACAAATACTGACTCTTGGCGGCTTAATTTCATTTTTCTCTGGAATTATTCTTGGCACAATTAAAGCTGATGAATGAACAGAAGCTGCTTGAATAACAGTCATGATACCATTGATAGTTTCAATTGGGATTGGCCCTATTGCTATGCACTGCTATTTTGATATGACATGCCCTAGAGGCAAATCAAGACAATTTGTGCTGATAATCATTTATAACATAGCGATCTCCTTTATTATTTTTGTGATTCTGGGGTCTTTAGTACTAGATGATTATGTCGATATTTCTTGGTCTATAGCGTTAATTCCAATTTGATATGGGCTAATTGCTTATTTTTTATTTATTTGCTTTATGCTCCCTGGTCTACTTAATCCTGAGGTTAACATGCAAAGGCAAGCATTTTTACTTTTTCTATGATTCTTTGCGTTTTGCAGTTTTTTAGTTATGCTCACATTTTACCTGGACAAAGACAGCCCTGACTCTTTTGCAGTTGTGGTTATTCCAATATTAATTGCAAGTTCAATCCAAATAACAGTATGGGGAATATCAAAATACAAAACCTGAAACAGTGAGAGCCCAGACAAATTGATTACTTCAGAGGTTCTCATCGTTTTTATATTGATTATTACAGAAATTCTTATTATTCTCCGAACAGCCGTGAGCTCATCAATTCCAGCAATAGTTATTGCTACGCCTGGGCTTATTTTTCTTCTTTATTGAATAGGCTTCTCGATATACGAAATCATCTTTAAAGGGGCAGGCTATGAAACATTATCAAATGAAACACTTAATTAATATACATATATTCCTAACTCATTATAAAAATAAACATTATTTAAAAAGTGATGCGTTAAATTAACAGCTTTTCAAATCTAGTAATTTGTTGAACTTGATTTGAATCATAAATGGATAAACTTGATCAAGGAGACACCTCAGATAAATTCTCTGATTTTTATATCTTTGTAGCAACAATAGGCAGTGGATCGTTCGGAAAAGTTGTGCATGCTATCGATAGGTTCACTGGAGAAGAGATCGCAGTCAAAATAATCAAAAAGCACAGTTTAAAGCCTGATCGAATTTTACAGCTCAAACAAGAAGCACAAATTTTAGCATCCTTGGATCATCCAAATGTCATCAAATTTAAGCATCTGAAAGAGACTAATACAAAGCTGTTTATTGTCATGGAAATGATTTATGGTGGAACTTTGAAAGCGTATATGGACAAGCATGATATCTCAGATTCTCAAGCAGCTCAAATAATGAAAGGGATTTTACAAGGACTCGCCTATATTCATTCAAAAAATATCATCCACAGAGATATGAAGCCAGAAAACATGCTGCTTCCTGACTTTAGAGATCTAAGCCAAATTAAAATTGCTGATTTTGGGTTAAGTGCTCAATTTGATGCCTCGTCCATGCAGCCAAGAGAAAATGATAAGTGTGGAACACTTCTTTATATGGCTCCTGAGCAGGCACAAAGCAAATTTTATAGCCAAAGCATTGATATTTGAAGCTGTGGGATTATTTTATGAATGCTGTTGACTAAAAATAAGCATCCACTTTCAGCTGCTCATGAATCTGCATCTTCCTATCTAAAAAAGCTTCAAAATCCTATATGAAAATTTCCAGACAATTTTCCTGAAGGAGCTAAATCTCTATTTCTGAAATTGACAGAAATGTCCCCTATTGATAGATATACAGCCAACCAAGCATTAGCTCACCCTTGAATTGGCCGAAATAAAAAGAAAGTGCCTTTAACATCATTTGAAAAATTTAAAAGATACAGTGAGCTATTGAAAATGAAAGGAATTTCATTTGCAATTTTTTTTGCCTGCTTAGCTGGAGATCCTGAAATAGGTAAAAGAGAACAGAGCAGGGCAAATATCTCGAAAAGTATGGATAAAACTCCTGAGCACATTCCAAGTAAAGAAACAGTAGATTTAGCTAAATCAGAAACCCGTGATAGGAAGAAAAGAATTCTTCCAATCCCAACACAGAAAAAGAAACCAGTTCCAAAATTAGTAGAAAAATTCATGAGCTCTGGCTATGCGAAAAATTCTGAAAGAATTCCAAGCGCAAAAAGAACAATTCCGCTAGGGGATAATGTTCTGAGAAGAAATTATTCGTTTCAAACACCTGAAATCGAAAATCATATGTTGTCAAAATATTCAAAAGCTCCTAAATCTACAGAGCATAAGCGAAAAATTGTACGTGCATTGACGGCTGTTTCAAGACATGAAAGCTAAATCATTTATGCAAATGTTTTGATGAAATTATAAATAATTTAATAAACTGTTATATCTTTGCTTTAAGGCCATCATGCAAAGGAATTTCAAATTCCCAAATTGTTTGTCTAATCTATATCTTAGCTTGTATTTACTGAATTTTATAAAATGAGTCTGCTATTTTTAATGTGATCAAAATTTTATTGATTAAGAAGACTTAATATATCATTTTCGAATGATAATGGGTCTTGATTTGACTTATAATAATTTATAACGTTTCCTTGCCTATCAATTAAAAACTTCCCAAAATTCATATCGATATTTTTACCAGCCAAAGAACTTTTGAATCTTAAATAAATATAGAGATCGCATGCATTTTTTCCATTGACATTAATTTTACTAAACAAGTTGAATTTTGCCTTCAAATCGTTTTTAACATAATCTTTTATTTCTTCATTAGAGCCAGCTTCTTGATTATAGAATTGATTGCATGGAAAAGCTAAAATCTCTAAACCTTTTTCGTTATATTTTGAATACAGTTGGTTCAATTGATTATAATTTCTTCTTGTTAATGGGCAGCTGCATGCAACGTTAACAATTATAAGAACTTTTCCTTGATAATTTGAGAGTTTAATTGGCTTTTCGTCAATATCATTTACAATAAAATCGTAAATCGTTTTTCGTAGCATTGAGTCTTTCTTGGAATTTGATAAGCCCATAATTATTGATTCTCTGATGCTATTTATATAAGATCAAACATTACTTCTATCAAAAGCTTTAGTTTTACAAAAAAAGCTATTAAAGATTACCCAACAACATATTTTATCTTAATTATATTAATGCCTTGATATTTATAGCTGACTATGGGATTTGCAGTAAATTCCTTCAAATTCTTAATAAAATATGTTAATTATAAAGTTAGTGACTTTGTGAGATTAAAGAGGCTATATTAGCAAATCTATTATTTGAGAGTTCGAGAAAACACCTTCATCATATAATTTGAATTGAAAATCATTCGAAAATATAAAAATATCTCAATAAATTATGACACATATAAAATGATGATGTCACCGATTCGCCCTCTCCCAGATCTGTTTAGAGTTTAGAGCATTGCTATGACCTAAAGCCAACCCTACCAGGAAACAAAGTCTATGAGTAATAGACATTTAGTTCCGGCTAGGCTTTGCCTCCCGATTCCTGGGAATTTTGAAAAAAAAGGCTTTTTACTCCTGGAGGTCACTAGTACTGACAATGAAGGCATAGCTGATACGGGTGCTAGCTGAGCTCAAGTCCCTAAGCTGTTTACTCCAATGTTTTGAGACAGTACCAAGCCAGAGCATTTATATCCAGTGCAAATGCTGAAAAACTGAAAAAGCCTTCTTTGGATGCTTGCCTTAGGCATAGCATTAACAATGATACCCGAATTTATAATAATACTAATCCTAATATCAATAAATCAAAAATAAAATAATTAATTTCAGGGCATATTTTAGCCCATTTACCGGCAACATGCATTTGGCGGGTTATAATAAAAATGTTCGAAGCATTGCTAGGTAATGGACTGATCCTCAAGAAGATAATTGAAGCCATAAAAGAGCTTGTCTCTGAAGTTAATCTTGAAGTCACAAGTGAAGGGCTCAGCATTCAAGCAATGGATGCCTCACATGTAGCATTAGTAGTCCTCAGCCTAAGAGCTGAGCAATTTGAAGAATACCGCTGCGACCGCCCACAAACCTTAGGAGTTTCTATTGGAAACCTTGCAAAACTTATGAAAATTGCAGGAAACGATGATTCCATCACTCTGAGAGCAGAAGACGATGCCAATATTTTAACTTTGACATTCACTGGGAAAAATAACGAAAGAGTCAGCGAATTCAATCTTAATTTATTGACCTTGGACTCTGAGCATCTTGGTATTCCTGAACAAGATTACTCTGCAGTCATGAAAATGTCAAGCGCTGAATTTTCAAGAATTTGCAGAGAACTGACTCAAATTACAGATACCCTTAACTTAGCTGTTGATAAAGAAGCCGCTAAGTTTGCAGTGTCTGGAGATATTGGAGCAGGATCAATTACTATGAGGCCAAATGACTCAGATAAAGCTGAAGAAAAAATGTTTTTGAGAGCGACTGAGCCAGTAAGCATGGAGATAAAAATTGTGTAGAGAGCCAGCATGCTCTCTTAACACCTGTAGTCAGAAGGGGAGTCTGAGGACCTTGCGGAAGAGAGAGTAGCGTTTGGTGAGTGTGTCTGTTCGAGTTTTACTTGGTCTGGTGGAGCACAATATCGGGTTGGCCTATCGCAGGCTCACATCCAAGGCAATGTTTTACCTCGAGGGAGGATGGAACTTGGAAGATGGGAAGGGATAGCTCAGAAATGTCGGAGGCATTTTTTCAATCAATCGGGCATTTTTCTTAGTGCGATACTGAGAGTTGTCACCTGGGCTTAAATTTCATCTCGGTCGGAAGCCTGACCAGAAAATTCACTTTTGAATTTTCTGGTAGGGTAACCAAAGTTGACGTACTGCACGGTGATCCAGCTTCTTTACTTCGGGTATCAATTCATGTCCTTGTCTGGAGGGAGCAACACAGTCCTCACGCTGTGCAATCAGACTAACAAGCAAGGAGGTGGTGCGAAGCAAGGGACATGAGAAGTCATAAGTGAGCTGGCCGGGAGCTTCTCTATAATAATCGAATGAATGAGCCAGTAAGCATGCTTTTGCTTTGAGATATCTCAACTTGTTTAATAAAGCAGCCAGCCTTTCAGATGAAGTCACTTTAAGCTTGTCACCAGAGGTTCCAGTTGTATTGCAGTTTGGTTTTGATTTAGGAGAGCTGAAATACTTCTTAGCTCCTAAGATTGCAGAAGAAGCGTAATTATAATTAAAAATTCAATTAATTAAACATCCAAATATTTTAATTTAATCATCATTGACTTATTCAGAGAAATTCCAGCAAAAACTACTCGTTATTCTAAAAAGAAAATATTTATAAATGGACGAAGAGCAACAAAAATACTTAGATGATGCAATAGCTGTTGTTAAACAAGAAGCTTATGAAATGCATCAAGCACTCGATTCTAGCAATCTAAAAGAAGCTCTTAAGCATGCAAACAACATGATTAGTGAACTTAAGACATCTCTGCTATCTCCAAAAACTTACTATGAACTCTACATGCAAATTTTTGATGAGCTAAATAAGCTTGAAACCTACTTTTTAGATGCACAAAGAAAAGGCCGCAGCATGATGAGCTTATATGAAAAAGTCCAACAAACCCCAGCAGTTTTACCTAGAATTTATCTATTAATTACAGTTGGCTCAGCATGCATACAAACAAAAGAAGCTACTGCAAAAGAAATTCTTAGGGACTTGATAGAAATGGTAAAAGGCGTTCAATTTCCAATTAGAGGGCTTTTCCTTCGTTATTACTTGAATAAACTATGCAAAGACAAATTACCTGACAGCGATTCTGATCTTGATGAGCAAGATGGTACTGTGGCTGATTCTGTTGATTTCTTGTTAGCGAATCTTGCAGAAATGAATAAATTGTGAATCAGGCTTCAAAATACTGCAAATACACAAGAAAAGAGCAAAAGGGAAAAAGAAAGAAATGACTTAAGGGTCACAGTAGGAGAAAATATCAATAGGCTATCAAGCTTACAAGGGGTGAATCAAGAATTGTACCAAACTTCAGTGCTACCGAAGATTCTTGAAGTGATAACATCAAGCAAGGATCCTATTTCGCAGCAATATTTAATGGACTGTATCATTCAAGCATTTCCTGATGCTTTTCATCTTCACACTCTAAGCACCTTGCTGCAAGCTTTTTCTGAGCTGCAGCCAAGTGTAGATATAAATTCAATTTTGGTCAATCTATTAACAAGACTTTCTGAATTTATTGGAGAGTCTGAAATCGGGATTGCCAATGAAGTCGATATTTTTGGATTAATTGAAGCTCATCTAAATAAAATAATTGAAAACCCTAGCTCAGACCTGAAAAAGCTTTTGCAGCTTCAAGTATCCTTTTTAAGCTTCACTATAAAATGCTATCCAAAGAGCACTGACCATGTAAACACAATTTTAAATTCTTGTGTCAATATAATTGCCAAAAATTGCCCAGACAAAAAAGTTGATGCTGATTCTGTAAAACATATAGTAAAACTATTATCAATCCCTTTAGAAACGCTATCATTGGCAATTTTATCAATGAATCATTATCCTGAGCTCTTATCCTATTTAGCATTTTCTGCAAGAAAACAGGTTTCATTTAAAATTGTAAAGGCTGCGATTTCTTGCCGGAAAATATTAGATAGCTTGTCAGTCGTAAATGAACTTTTTGACTTTGCAACTCCTTTGTGGGCGTGTGATAGTGATGAAGATGATATAGATGATTATGAATTTGAAGAAGAGCAGCAAAATATGGCGAAGTTAGTACATCTAGTGAAGTCTCAAAGCTTAGATGCTACTTTTAAAATCTTAGAAGTCTTTAAGAAAAATTTTTCATCAGGAGGTGACAACAGAATTAAATTCACGTTTCCTGCATTGTTCTTTGCTTATGCCAAACTCTTACCATTTGCTGACTCAAATAATGATATAAACGCTATTGACTCAATTCTTAAAATTATGGCAGAAATAATCAAAAAAATATTCAAAATCGATCCTGAGTCTTCACTGAAATATCATCTTCAATGCATGCAGGCAATTAATTCTTTGAAATCTAAGGCAGAGTTTGAGCAATATGCTTTTGAGTTTGTAAGCCAAGCATTTCGCGTTTATTTTGATGAATTTGCAAACTCAAGATCAAAATTTTCAGCAATCAGCATGATTGCAGGAACTTTAGTTGGAAGTAATTGCTTTGAAGAAGAAAATTTTGATACACTGGTTTTCAAATGTACACAATTTTCAGCTAGACAACTAAAGAAAGCAGATCAGTGCAAAGGCGTAGCAATATGCACTCACCTTTTTTACAATAAATATTATCAAAATGAAGTAAGAGTGCTTGAATGCTTGAACAGAGCTGCTAAAACAGCGAGTATTTGCATTTTCAATCCAAAAAATGTGTTTCTTTTTGTTGTTTTGTTGAATACTTATAGAGACGAGCACCTTTATTGCTGGGGCTTCCGACGGGAAAAAGAGGAGCTAATCTAGCACATTAATGTTGATTTGGCCAACTCTCAAGTGTCAGTACCAATGATGTATGGTTTCTGCCACTTGGGGATTTTGTCAAACCAATATTAGCTGGCTAGACCAATTCCCTTTTTTTGTCGAGAAAGATTGGGCAGTCCAAGCCATAAAGGTGCCTAGGCTGTATTTATTATCACAATTTGGGTGTTGATTCAATTGGAAGCTCTTCAATCAATAAGATAATTCAATTGATAAAAGATCAACTGGAAAGCATTGAAAATGGCCATGAGGAAATATTTGATACAGATGAAATTAAAACATATTATTTTAACACAATAAAATACATTAGAGCAAGACAGTTAGAAGATAAGCTAGTTGGAATTATTATTTAAAATAAAATAAAACAGTAATTAATTGTCTAGCTCTCTCTTTTAATAGCAAATTTTAGCAATTTAGTTGGAATTTACTGAATTTAATAATGCACAAATTTAATTGAGAATCTATTTATCTGGGCTTAAACTAAAAAAATTACTTTCAAGACTTAAGTTCTTGAATTAACTAAAATCCATTTATTATTATAATTAGTGGCAATGAACACTGCTTTTCGACGATCTAGCTTTTTCATTTTCAAGCAGTAGCTGATATTCAGGTGCCGAGCACTAATAACTACTCCTAAAGTTCATACAAAAACTCAATTCAGATCTGTGGCGCAATTGTATTAAAAACTTACTCCCCCTTGATTATCGAATAATAATTTTGTTCTTTAAAGTGAACGGTTATTTTTTCAATTTCATAAATTTGCTCACTAATAAATTGAGAATTAGCAACCAGTTCAAAGAAAACTTGGTCAAACTTTCTTATAAGCCTTTATACAACATGTCAATTTATGAATTATTGACAGCTGTATCTGAGGATAATGAAGAAAACGGTATTTCATAATTAGAACTTGATGAAGAAGATGGAATGTAAGATTATTATATGTACTAACGTAGACCATGGGCAAGCTCTCAGTCTAGCATATCAAGTTAAATAATATCAGCTTTAATTGCTAACTGTGTGTTTTAAAGCTTTAAAAAATTCCTTACTCCCCTCCCCTCCGTGAGTGAACAAAACCATTAGAAAAATCGCCATTTTTTTGCCAAAAAACCCACCCTCCGTGAGTGAACAAAAATTTTTTTAATAGAAAATTTTTTTATGGAAAAAAAATTTGAGATATAAGTGATAATTATTATAATGAAATCTAGAGCTGATTCTGTTTAATTTTAAACGAATTGCTTTTTAAAACATAAATTTTATAAATTAAATTAATATTTGCTTTCAAATTTTTGCGAATTGGATTTTTTAAATTTCGAAAAAAAAAAATTTCATAAAATTTATATATAAATTATTTTAAAAAAAAAACAATTAACCCCCCTCCGTGAGTGAACAAAATTTTTTTTGTTCACTCACGGAGGGGGGGGAGTTAAAAAATCTTTTGTTTTAATAGTGATCATTTTATTAAATAAATTATATAGATTTTTCATCTTGCAATTTAAAATTTAACATACCTCTTAAAAATTTCAGTATCGAGCTTACACTTGTCTGATGAGTTTTGGCTTGCCAGAGAATAGAAAAAGGCTTAAATTGCAATTAATTTTCTTCTATTGATTTCTTGATTTTTATTATTTAATTGCATAGTTTAAATAACTTAACTTCTAATTAATGAAAGGTTAGTTCTCTTTTATAGCATACCGATTTGTTCAAAAATAGAGTTACCGTCTACCTATTGAATTTTCACGGCTATGTAATCAGTTTATATTTATCAATGTAAAAAATCTGATTGCTACTGGGAAAATCTAAAAAATGGCATTATTATTTAATTATGAACAGTTTTCAATTCCTCAATATTTTTTATCTGCATTTTAGTTTGGTTTACAAATGCTTCTAAAGTAGCCATTTTCTTATAAAGTTCTTGTAACCTTCTTCTTTTCTCTTCAGCAGATAAATTTTCACTATTCACATTTTTAATTTCATTTATAAAATTCATACTTTCAAGGGAAACCGAAAGATTAGCAACAGTCGGTGGCTTTGGAGGTGTTTTTCCAGGCTCTGAAAGTAGGCTGTCTATAAGTTCATCCTCATTCCATGCTTTTCCCATATACTTTACTTGATCCTTGGGTTCGAGTAAAGCGGGCTTTTTTTTCTCTGGATCCTTCTTAATCGATGACATTTTCCTTTTGATTGTGCCATAATACCGATTTTTAACCGCTACAGAAGGCCTTCCTTTTAAATATCCAGCAATTTTTTTCCAATTGCCTCCATAAGTATTGTAAAGTTTGACTATTAAACAGTCTTCTTCATGTGTTCATTTATTTTTTTTCGACGCTGAGTCGTGCTTGTTTTTTCATTTTTTGTGTCCGCCTTCAGGTAATTTATTGTGAATTGGATTTGAATTTTGTTCAATGTTACTTTGTGAATTCTCAATTGGGTTTAGATGGATAATGCCACTTCGAGGAGTTTCGTCATTTCCTGAAAACTCGTCTTCTTCAAAACTTCACTGGTTTTTGTGCTTTTTTGATACTTGATTTAACTCATCCAGCTCTGATAGAGCTGGAGATCGCGGAACTGGCGATCAAGAATCTAGATTTAGCCAGGGATCATCATTGATTATTGCCAGAGGTTCATGTGCTTCGAGGTTGGATTCGCATATGTTTTCGATTTCTGGCAAGTTTGCATCCCAGTAGTCAGATGCAGTATGCATTGCATTTTGCCAATCCATTTAATTATATCTGAATTTTAGAGAATTTAAATAAAATGCGCAGTAATCCTATATTGCATTATAAAAAAATCAAGAGGCTGGACATATTAATTTTTTGTATGATAGGCGTTTATCTCATAACGCAACTCAATACTAACAACTTAATAAATAAAGAAAGGGCTGCCCAAAACAGGATGGCATTATTAATTAACTTTGCCTTCGGTTTGCCTGTTTTATCTTGAAACTCTCTCCAGCTATTTTAATGACAGCCAGAGATATAGCAGTATATAGCAGCATTTGGTAGTTTTCACAAACCCATGACTTTTGTGTAGCATCACAGCCAAAATACCCTGCTAATCCTACAGATAAGCATAAAGACATAGCAAGAAATAGAATCCAGTCCCAGTTATATTCTGCTTTTATTTGTTTTTCAAGTCCCTGCTGTCTAAAAGCCACAATATCGATTTTTTTCCCTTCTCTTGTAGCTTTAGCATAAAAAACACTTTCAGGTGGAGGCTTAGACAGCACACATGTAAAATCCTCACCAACGATGACATGCCAGAAATTAGGCATCAAAGAATGGAGTTTTGATTTAATAGCATCACAAGTTTCTGAGCCTTTTGAGCAATCCAATCTTTGTATGTATTTCTTTAGATAATCACTGAAGCCTTCTTCGTCTTTAAAAGGCTTTTGAACATTAATAGTTCACAAAACTTGATGATTATTCAGCTGTTTTTCCTCTTCTGGAGGTGCACTTTCTTTAAAAGGTGGACAGTATATAATAAACCTTGTCCTATAGCCATCTTCTTCTGTTTCAAATACTCCTCCACTATTAGGTCCTCTTGATATATTAAAAGAAAAAGCTGTTCCTTTGATTACGATTCAGGGATTTGGAAATTTCTCTGTAAGCTTATCTCTAATTACTGATGGATCTTTGGTTTCATTTAGTAGATATAGGATCTCTTGCTCTATTTTCTTTGGAAAGAAGGAGTTTAAAATCATTGATAAATCCTAAAATTATAAATGTTTATTAATCTTTTAGACCATTTCTGGGGTTAAAGTAGACATGTCTCCTGTTTTACTTTGAAAACTTTCTGATTGTATGTCTTCTAATTTTTTAGGTGAAACTTGGTGCATCATTTCTTCAATTGGAGGTAGTTCACCAGAAGGGTTGTCTTCTTTTTCAATCTTTGGCGATGCTGAAAATTGACTTGCTCTATGTGGGAAAAGTCTTTCATAGAGCATTATAAGGACTTGCTCGTTAGAGATCAAAAGCTCTAAAATTTTTCTTTTATCTCCAGGAGTGAAAGCGTCTTGTCTTGTTTTTCTTTCAGATGATTTTGTTCTCCTTCCATACTTTTGCTGTGACATGCTTTTTGCTTTTCGCCTTTGGACTTCTTTTCTGACTTCTTCTACGCATTCTAAAAACAAACTTTCAGAGTCCACTTTTTCTAAATATATTGATGACTGCTGAGCAGCAGCACTTTTGAATTTCTTTTTTTCGTTATCAATTGTATTTTTATAGTGTTTTATTGCTTCATTATACAGCTTTTCTTGATTATTCATGTATTTTTCGAGCTCTATGAAAAAATAGCCATCTTTCAAAGAGTACTTCTGCATTAATTCAAAAATAATCAGACCGCATCGACTAGTTGGCACAAAATTTCTTGCACTTCGAAAAGGAGCAGGAGTAAAGGCATCTCTTTGTGTTATAAAAGATTCTGACGCTTGATCTCGATGAGATTCCGAATGAAAATCTTTCAGTTTTGCTTTCGCAGCCCTTAGTTGAGCTTCTAAAAATCTACGATCGTCTTCTAAGCTCTCCGCTTTTGCTTTTCATTTATCTGCTTCTTTTTTGTAAAATTGTGCATTTTCTCCAAGTTTGACGGCTTCTTCCCTAAACCAATTCACAGAGCTTTGCAAACGATTAATTTCTTCATCTCTTTTCATTTTGACTTCAGTTTCATTGGTTTTCTTCTTTAGTTCTTTTAGCTCAGCATACATTCCATACATTTGACATTTAAATGCGTTTAGAAAGTCCTGCTCGTGTCTTTGAAGGACATTATCGATATGAGAATTTAATGAGGACATTTGGCTTTTGAGAGCTGAATAATATTCGTTAATTTTGTCTTGATTGTCTGCTTCTTTGGGCGGCTTAGTAAGCTCAGTTAGAAACGATTTATCGAGAAGTGGAGGAAGTTTACTAGGACTAGTTTCAAGCCTTTTCGAGATTTGAGAGTCTGCCATACTTATAACAATACATACAAATGTTGAAAATCATATATAAGACTGAATTTATATAATTTTAGAGCTGCTCAGCAGTTAAATAATATTTTATTAACAAAATAATCTTGAATTAATTTTAATAAGTGCTTTTATAATTTTTAAAAATCTTTATAGTTTTAGAAGGCTCTTGCTAATTCCTTCTCAATAAAATATTTTACTTCAATTTCAATTAAAATGCTAAGAGTTGATTTGTGGTATTATATAATTTAAATATGTGTCGAGGATGTATGGCCGTGAGGCCATACCTAGACGAAGACGCCATATTTTAATATATCCGGCAAGGTTTTTTCTAGCCTTGAAAAGGACAGCAATGCCATGGTAATCAATGCCCAAGTCCAACTTCGAGACTGGTTTTTACCTCGAAGGAAAGGAGGGTTCAGATTTGGAAAAGGCAAGCCCAGCAAGGTCTACAGGTAATACCTAGACTAATCGGGCAACTGCCTAGCGTTACGTCCCAGAATCTGGACTTTATCCTTTTGCCGATAGGCTACCAGAAATTCCATTTTTTGGAATTTCGGAATGCCAGCTTCGTATTCCCTCAGCCTCAGGAGGCCGCACAAACCCGTAGCCTGCCCAGTCAACACTAAAGCTTTCTACAATAAACAAGGAGGAGACCGGACTGAAGGAAGGTCGCAAAGCGGGTGAATCCCCCAGGGGATCCTCGGTGATTACGTTAAAATTAAGTGCACGAGCCCGTCTGTCTAATAAGATAAGATTTGTGGTATTATAGACTCCATATTTAATATGTATTTTATTTATTACTCAAATACTTATAAATCTAACTCGTCTGTAATTATAATCAATAAAGTTAGCTGCTGTATTAAATCAAATCATTTATTTAATAATCACTCCGCATTTGTCTAGCTGGTTAGGATATCAGGCCTTCACCCTGAAGACCCGGGTTCGAGTCCCGGATGCGGAACTCTTTTTTCAACTTTTTAGTTTCTTTTTCAAATCAAAAGACAATTATGCATCTAAAATCGTTAGATTTCTTACAAAGATTTATATTAATTCTTTCCCCTCTTGCCTCTTCCGTCATTCCTTGGATTATTTTCTCGACTCAAGCCCAGCAAGTTTTTCAGATTTTCCGTTGCAGCTTCATCTTTTTGTTTATATCCAGCATTTGAGTATCTTTTATTTCGATTGTCAGCTCTTTTGTCTCCTTTTTCAGGCTCATCCAAAGTTTTCGCTCGGTTGTGGCCTCGGTTCTGATTCTGAGACCAATTTCGTGAATAAATAACAGGCTCTGGCAGTGGTGGCAATGAGTTAAACAGATTCATTGGGACAAAAAATCCTGTATTTCCAATCCCAATTTCCAAGTCTGGAGGGAAGAAGCCATTGATTGTCCAATTAAACATCATGATGGTGCTGAATGGCCCCTGGGTTTTTGCTTCTTGATCTTTGTAAAACCAAATCTTTTCGAATGGCTTTGAATCTGGAGGATAAAAGTAGCGATTATTTTCATCAAGAATCCCGAAACTAATAAGTGTTGTTGCAAAAGGGTTCCCAATAGCAAGATGGTAGTCCAGCAGTGTTTTGTCATATGAAGGGACAACAGGCGCTATAGGCACTTTTGGGGCCTCCTCAGCTTGTAGTTCTTGTTTTGGCTGTTCTGGAACGGACTCTTCTTCGACCTCCACTGCTACTGGCGCTTCTTCTTTCATTACCAAATCAATAGGATCCGGATCATCCCAATCAGGCACCTCTTCAGTCTCATCAAGCAGATTTTTCAATTTTTCTTCGACTTCTACATCAACTTTGCTGTACTCTTCAAATTCATTTTCTTTAAATTCGCATTCTTCTAGCTTCTCAGTCAGGTTCTTCACTTTGCCTTTGTTTACAAGAATTACGACTTCTCCAGCGTTTTCCACCCGAGTTGGGGACTCTTGTTTGGGTTCTTCAATTACAGCTGGCTTGGGCGGAATGATTTCGAGAGCTAGGGTTGTTTCTTCACTGTATCACTCAGGAAGTTGCTCAGATTTTCGCTCTCGAGGAGCTGGCTTGCGGCTGTTAAGATCTTCACCAATCCCATTTGGAAAAGCAGAGCTTGGGGTTTGTAATGGGGGAAGAGATTTGCTTGAATAAATTGTTTGGAGTATTTCAGAAATCAAAATCTCAGGAGGTGGGCAATCATGGTAAGATTGAAGGACTTGCTCTCGGGAATACTTCAGCACTCTCTTTTTGGCAGGCTGCTTAGGCTTCCATACTGTTTCCTGCTTGTAATGAGGAGCAAGTTTCCTTGACCTATTATTATCAGCCATTTTATATAAGTTTATTTCTATAGAGAGAAGTTACAGGTTTTTTTATTCTTAAGAATTCGGGGTCTGTTTGAGAAATGATAGAAAAAAAGGATTATATTTCCAATCTTAAATTTTGTTTTTTACAGGTATTTCTTTTTGAAAATGGCGTTTTGTCCCTTTTTATTGAGGAGTTGATATTGTGTCGGTATCCTGCGGTAAAAGATTTATTGATATAATATAGAGGGCTTTCGACTATTGTTTCGGTGCTTTCTCTGATTTTTTCTCTTTTTTGAGGGTCTTCTTTTAAGCGTTTGGTCAATTTTGTCTTTAAAGGAGGCAGCGATATATTTGCTTTATTCCCTGCGATTTTTAGATCAGGCCCGTCTTCATTCAAACTTTCTCTGAGTCCTCTGATTGGAGACTCAACGCTTTTCCGAAAGTCAATTTTCTTTTTAATCGCTCTGGCTGATGATGTTGTTGATGACTGATTAGTCTTTGGCTGAATTTTCATTTTAATAGGCTCATACAAACTTAACCTTTCAAAAAGCTTATCCGACAGAGGGCTATATATTTTGTAATTCCTACAAAATTTGGAAGTCTTGAGATTAATTTTTGTTGAAGGTTGTGGAGTATAAAGATGATGAGATCCAGGGTCATTAACGCTGTAAAGGAGATCTTCATTGTTGACTCTTAAAGAAAAATCCAATAAATTCTGTATCTTTTGAGAAGCATATTTTCAAAATTCAGCTCGTGAAAACTCTTCCATGTTAAGCATTTTAATGTTTTAACTGCGTATATTAAAGTGAGAAATTTATAAATTGGCTTTAAATTATTGTTTCTTCTTGAAAGACTTAAATATTGCTTGGCACTTTTGCTGGGTAGTTATTGTTTAAAATGTATAGATAATAAATTTATGAATCGTAGAAGCATCAATGAAGCAGACCTAGTTCTAAAAAAATTCATTGAAGATCATTTAGGATTTATTAAAGCGAATATTACTGAGTTTTGTGTTTTAAGAAATATAGATGAAGTCTGATTGAATGGGCTTCTCATCTTTTTGACAAATCAACAGCTACAAAAGAACGATTTAGCTAAATCCTTCATAAACGTAGATAAAGAAAGGGTATTTGAAATTGGACTATTAGATGAATTCGAGGAGCTAAAATTGAAGCATCAACAAAGTTTATCATCAATGTTTGATAAACCAGACTATATGGAGTATTCTACGTTTTTACAAAATTTAGTAACAAGAATAATGTATGATAATCAACCAGCAAACATTAAAGGCAGCATTTATGAGAACATGAAATCATTTAGAACATATTTTTCGAATTTCAAGATCCGTATGATAATAATTACTGCTGAGTCAAGAGATAGGAATTATAAAAGAAGTATAAAATGGCTGCATACGGAGTTGTATTTATTTGTATGAGGATATGTTTTTTAAATTAAGCTTTCCAGCTGAGTCTGGTAAGCAATTTGAAGAGAATATAGCTTGTCTCTTGCCATATCTAGGGAATATGAAGGCATGTAATTTTTTTACTTCCATCTGAGAATGAAGGCATAAGCACTCACTTTCAGTCGTCAAAATCGGCAATATCATTTTCAAGTATCCCTGGCAATCAAAGCAGGCATAGTATAGCGGATAGTAGATCCGACTAGTAAAACATATTGAGGCCTGGGATCCAGAGCACCGTAAGGGACATAAATAGTCATAAATATAATAGATATAGGAACTACAGAGTAATTGAAATGACTTCTCATGCAGCTAACATTATTTTGCTAGTTATATTGGAAAATAATATATTTTTCTTGATTCTTGACTCATTCCAAAAACTTTTGGCTCATCTGAATAATAATGATTTTGAGAAAAAAGCTCAAGAGTCTAGAGTCATAACGCTTTCATGTGGATGCAAATTAGAAACTATTGATACTTTCTTTACAAAATGCCCTAAATGCAACTCCAATTTGTATACATATGAGATCGATCTGATTAAGATTATAATTAAATAGTAATTTATAATTACCTCACTTCTCCGAGGCATGAGCTGCGGATGGATGCTAAGTGATTTAGCTTGACCAGGACCGAAACTTTTCGATTTCTTGGTATAGGAACCCTATAATCCTAATCATATGGAAGGTACTGGCTCCGCCCTTCTTAATGCAAGAAAGATTATTTTATTTACTTTGAAAGGAAATTATTTTTTTAAAAAATTTATTATTATATTAGCCCCTGAAATATTTTAGATCATTATTGGCCATCCATTTTAATTTCAAAAATTAATTTGTACTTGTCAGCTTTTTTGAAAAGTAAAAACGAAATGACAAATCTCCGATTATGGTTTAAGGTACCTAATCAGGCTTATACTGTATAAGGCAGGTGCCCTGCACCATTTTTTTTCTGGTCGGTATTCTGTTGAGGTATAGAATCTATCAAGGTGCATGAGCTATATTAATCTTTCGGAAATTTAGCTCAATTACGAGTAAAAAGTGCAATAGGCACATCACATTGCCTCTATATCAGGCATCAATCTGGGCATTACGTATAAAAAAATGCAAAGAAAAAATTCTTGAATTAGGCTACTAATCAGTGGGAAATATGCTTATAGAAAATTCCTGGGGATAGCGCGGAATACGCTATCCCCAGGACCAACCGGGATCGGATCCCACATGGAACGAGGGTTCCATGTGTGGATCCATTTTTCACACACGTGAAAGTAAATATCTCACATGTAAAAAATGGATCCACACATGGAACTCCCGTTCCATGTGTGAATCCGATCCCGGTTGGTCCTGGGGATAGCGTATTCCGCGCTATCCCCAGGAATTATCTATATCTCTCAGCCGAACACTAACCTAGCACTTTAAAGTTTCTATGCCAAAAAAGCCGCATGAGGATATAGAAATTTCCTATAGATGGCGCTGTTTGCCCTTGATTTGCCCACTGGGGAAATTTTTTGGTTTTCGACCAGTACCATATGGTTTGGTTAAACCAAAAACTTTTCTTCATGGGCAAATCAAGGGCAAGCAGCGCCATCTATGGGAAATTTCTATAGCAGCGACTGGAGAAGAGCCCGCTCATCACCGACTATTTCATGTATATATATCTAACTGATAAAAAAGATAAAATTGCATAAAACTGAAAGCCCAGTTGAAATGAAAAGTAAGTATGAATCATATTTGAATCAGAATCAAGCATAAACATAAAATGGCGACATTCGTACGGTACCGATCTGCCGATCGGCACCATTCATTCTGATTTATGTTTTATGAGGCTTGGTTTTACATAGGAATTCTATCCTGGCTGAGGCTAGTCTGCTTGACCAGCCCTTAGGGAGCTTGAAAGGCCTGTGGTTTTTTCCACTTCCATCCTACGGCAGCGAAGGAGCCTTTACTCGTCAAGGAAGCAGGATGAAGTCGCTCACTCATGAGCCGTCGAAGCCGGAACATCATTTACAAGCGTGCCCTGGTGCAACAAAGCAGACTGGCCCAGCGGTCTGTGGGTCCGACACGTCTAAAAAAATGGTGGCAGCTCTGGGTAGCGGCTACCTCGTAGTGGACGTAAAACGTATAGATTTTATCTAATCTAATCGAATCAGAATCAAGCAAGAAGTAATCTTAAGAATAAGGACGAAAATCTCCCTAGACGTTCAAGTTCTGCACATAAGGCTGAAACACGAGCAGGGTATAATTTATTGTACGTTGACATAATTTAAGGAGGATCTCCACACGTAGGGACATTTTCCCGCATGTAAACAAAATCCTATATGTTGAGTTACTCAAGTTGGATTTTGGTTACAAGTGTAGGAAAATGCCCCGACATGTGGAGACCGCCCCGAAATTATGCCAAAGTATAATATCATTCCAAAGCATTACTAACAGGATTAAAGAAAATGACACCAAAGACAATCGTAAAAAAAAAGAATTAACATATAATATAGACAATAACAAAAACAATAGAAGCAAATCTTTAGCACCTGGAGAAAGGAATAGGAATAATTCGAAAATAAATAAAATTGGGCCACTACCTATTGAGAAAAATCAATCACCAAAACAACTCAAAGGTGAGATTACACATGCTCCTTGAAATACTTTTGTGAAACTTACCGAAAAAGAGCACTATACAACAAAAGACTTTAATGGCACAATTATAATTGACAATTTGCAACACAAAGATGAGGTCAAAAATGTTTCTTATGTAAAAAACAGAAATAAACCTGAAGATAAGGGCGAAATCAGCAATAATGTTATGAAATTCATCGAAAAAGAATTAGTTTCACCAAGAAATTTAAATAGCACAATTCATAAACTTATGCTCAAAAATCCTATTGAATTAAATTTTAAATCAAAACCCGTTCCAATTAAATCAATAAACAATCTCTCCACTTCAATTAAGCCTGCAGCATCTCATAATATTGAAGCAAAGTTTTTAGCCAACCAAGAGAATACAAAAAATCATTCATCAAAATATAATTCTTTAAAGTATAGATCAAGCTCTAGACAAGCACAACCATCAAAAACGTCTGGAGATGTTGCAAACCCTACTAAACGGCCCTCTTCTACATCTGCAATGATATGGAAGTAAATTAAGCAAATTACTTCTCCAAGAAAGTTAATTTAATAAATCAAAAGCTCCAGAAGTTTTTAAATAAGCCAACATTGTTTTAAAAATATCCATTATAATAGCTATATTAATATTAAAAGCTTCCTAAGTTGATAAGATAATTTAATAATTTATAAATCTATTAATTGTTACATACAAAGGTTGAACTCAACGTTAAAATGTCAGAATCAAAAGAAAATACTGAGTCAATCATTCTCAAACTCAACAAACAAGCCATGGAGTCCCTTCGGGATAAAAATTACGAGCAAGCTCATTTCCAATTAATCAAAGCCAAGGAAAAATTAGAAAAGCTAGATGATGCTCCTAAGTACAACCAGCTTTGATCAATCACATTAAATAATTTCGGATGCTATTTCAAAAGAATTGGGCAACTGCCAGAAGCCCTCAACTATTTAACCATTGCATTAGAAAAAGAAAACCGTTTTTCTCATGATGTGGCTAATCTTGCAGGGACCCATTTGAATATGTCTGCAATTCTCTCTCAGCTTGGCAGCCACGACAAAGCCTTATCTCATGCAGTGAAAGCTTTGAAAGCTCTAAACACACAAAATGACAAAAAGACCAACCATTGAGTTTCTGTAGCAATCGCATATCATAGTATGGGCTTGGAGTACGATTATCTTTCACAGAGAATGGAGTCGCTAAAAGCATATAGGACAGGCTGGGAGCTTGCAAAAAATCACCTTGGGGAGTCGCATCAGCTTACAATTAGTTTGAAACGAAGCTGCCTTGCAGAAACTGAGCATGCGCAGTCATTAGATAGTGTGATGGTAAAAAGAAAGAAAAATAGCAGCAGGAATTCATCGTCACCCAGAACTGATCAATTTACACCTCGAAAGAGAGGAAACAAAAAAGTGCCACATTCAGTCCCTGCGAAAAAGAGTCTGGAATTTCTACCACGAATCAACACTTCATGATCAAATAGTAAAAGAAATAGTAAGAAACTTGTATATTACAAAGAAAATTCATTTGACTCAGAAATGAGCAAATATTGGAACTTTGAGCCTGAGCTTCAAGCTCGTCCCACATTTACTGCTCCCTTATATCGGCCACTAGTGACTCCTCCATTGGTTCCTCCAATTAGCTGTAATTCATTTACTCCTCCTTCCTTAAGCGAACAAAAATAAATTTGTCCTCTAATGGAAGGATTATATAAATTTATAATAAATTTTTTTAAAAAATTTAAAAAATCCCATATTCGAAATAATTTTAAAGCAAAATTTAATTTAATTTGCTAAAATTTATTAATTAAACATAATTAGCTAGAGATTTCATTATAATACTTATCACCAATATATCAATAATTTTTTCATGAAAAAATTGATATTAAAAACGGATTTTTCCAATGGTTTTGCTCGCTCACGAAGGGGAGGGAGCTAGAAAAAGAAAATATGAAGCTTTAAGCTTAATAGAGAACGAGCTGAGAAATAGCTCTGAAGATACAAACTCCACTACAATTTACTCAAAATCAACATCGAGCTCAGTAGATTATCAAAAGCCATCAGTTGGAATTCAAGCTGATTTAAATAAAGAATGAAGCCACGAGAACTATAAAATGCATCAGTCAAAAGCTGCAATTGCAATCCAAAGAACGTGGAGAAAATATAAAGCCTTAAAAAAAATCAAACTAAGAATTTTCAACAGGAAAATCCAAAGCGCCCAAATTAAAGCTCAAAGAGCAATGGATGAGCTTGAAAATCTCAGGAGAGAAAAACAAAAAGTTGTAATAAAGCAGGAAATGAGGAAATATAAGCAGCTGATACCTATTCCATTTAAAAGTAAAACAAATTTATATTGCAAAGATATGAGGGTGCTGCAGACAATACCAGAGTCAAGGCTGGAAGACCAAAATGAAAGTATAAAAATGATTCAAGCCTATATAAGAATGTGGCTGGCAAGGAAAAGATATTTAAGAATAAAAAAATCAGCTATTATCATTCAGAAAAATGTAAGAAGGTATCAAATACAGAGCTTATATAAAGCAGTTCTTGGAGCTGCTATTTTTATACAGTCTGTTTTCAGAGGATTTAGAACAAGAAAGCTCTATAAGTTTCTGATAAGTTAAATGTGATATATTTAAAAGCTTTATGAATAATTAAAAATTATAGATAAGTTGTTTAATCTTCTTCTCGCATTGTTATTTCTGCCATTTCTGGCTCTGGAGGAGGAGGTGGTGGGAAATATTCCAATATTTTTAGATCGCAGAGAGTTTTTGCCTTTAAAATAAGTAATGGCTCTTTGAGCTCATGATTTCTTATCTTCAAACAAAAACCGTTTTCAAACTTATTTAAAAGCTCTTGGTCTGTCCCTGATTTCACTAGCTCATTGATTTCTTCTATTGATATCTTCCTAATATCTAGATGGAATGGACCAAATGAAGTATTAGGGTACTCATATGGCCTTGGAACATACTCAGCCATTTTCCAAGGTGCGACAATCTGCTTTTCCTTATTCTTGTTTCGTTTTTTCTTCTTTTTTGAAGCTTCTTCCATTTGAAGTTTTTTATACTCAGCCTCCTCTATTAATTTGCGAGTTTTATATTGAGAGAGCTCTTCTCCAAACTCATTCAAATATTTATATCCTTCCTCAATAGTTTCCTGAATCGTTTTGCTGGCTCCCTCAAATGGTTTATTGACTGGCAAGTTAAATATCTCAAGTACCCAATGTTGAGGAGTTTTCGGATACTCAATATTAGGAGTGTTATCTGGGTTTAAAGTGACTTGTATAAGGCGAGGGTTTCATTCAGTTTTGGAAATTTTATAAGCTAGATATAGAGGAGCTATGCCTTGCTCCTCAAGTGGCTGGAACTCTTCAGCATTGATGAACTTAGAATCTATGTCTTGAGAAGTTTCAAAGTCAAAGATATGATATTTGGCGTGTTTGAATTCTGTAGCAATGTTTCTGACTGTAGAAGCATAGAGAATAATGTGATGGGCTGCATCAGGAAGCTCCTCAAGCTTAATCACAATTTTTTCATCATCAGATGTTTTAAGGCTAGCATTACGGCAGCTGCTATAAACTTTAAATCCCTGGGGCACTTGAGAGCTATTAATATCTACTCTGCCAATTAGATGCCCATTTTCACTATAGATCTCAGCTTTAACTCCATATTTTCTTCCGTCCTTTGGAGTATCTAAAAATGGGTGATTTGCTAAGGCAAAACCTATACGTTTGAAATTATCAATTTGAATAGTAGTAAACTTAGCCCATTCTGGTCTTTGGATCTCTTTAGGCTCTTCCAATGGCTTTTCGCTATACACTTTTGATTTCTCTTCTTCATGAATCGACATGCTTGATTGTTCTTCTTGAGGCTCAATATCTTTTAATAGCAAAGAGTCTTCTTCAGGGCGTCTGTATTCTTCCCCTTTAATTTTCGTTTCAATTCTCATTGTGAATTCTGATTGAGCTATATATCTAGGATTCACATATAGAAATCTCACAAAGCGCACATCATCACTGAAATTAAGAAGCCTCAATTTTTGCTTTGCAGCTTTTATCTTGTGGCTTTTAATTAATTCTTTTCTTGAATTAATCAAATCTGTGGCCGCCGAGCTTAATATTGAGTCTGGAACTTGTGAGGCTGCTTCTTTTGTCTTGATCTTTTCAACAGTTTTATCAAGCAAAAACGGCAAATAATGAGTATGCAATAAGTGTGGGAAATATTCTGGGTAAACATTATCTTCATATATCTTTCGAACAGTCTTTGGGATCAGCTGGCTTAAATAGGTTTTTGCTAAGTTCAAATTTTGAAATTTGATTACCAAGTTTTCAGTTTTCATATACTTTGTCCTTCCTTTCTGGACCTCAGCATCCTTCTTTTTTATTCTTTCAATTTCTTCATTGACTTCTTTTGCCCACTCTGCTTGTTCTTCATGTTTTCTCTGCTTATTTTGTTCTTTGTACGTTTCCATAGTATCAAATTCAGTTTCTTCTTCTACTTCTAGGAGTGACTGTTCAAGCGTTTTGTAAACTAAAACATTCAAAATAGGCTCAACTGCTTCATCAAAATTAAATAAATCGCCGTCTTCAATCTGCGTGGTCACATCAATACCAGTTTTCTTTGGGACGTATTTTGGAGAGGGCGGCTTAGGCAAAAATGCATCAGTTTGAGTGTTGATTTCAGCTTCGTCTGGCTTGATGTCTTTTTGGTCTGTCAAAAAGTACGTGAGATCTACCTCAATGCGGGCTGCAGCTGCTGGACGAATGTCGTAAGGCGTTTGTTTAACTTTGGAATTCTTGAAAGCGTCTAACTGGGACTGCATCATTTGGAGCTGCTTTGTTTCTTTTTCTTTTTCTAGGTGGATTCGTTCTTGTTCTTGAGGAGTTATGTCAGCTCGAATATTGTGGATATCATGGACGTGCCCACGATAGACTCTTTTGTCGTACATGAGGTTCATTGTCATGCGCTCTTCTGGCTTGTATTTTTCTGTACGGTTTGCTACAACTCGAGGCTCTGAAGTAAATGAATATGATGCCATATAACTGTTATTAAATCTTAATTTCAATAAATTAATAAAGATAGTTATAAATAATCCATTGATTAAATTAAAAAATTGGATATGAAGGCATCATTTGGATGCCGCAAGCTCCTTTGCCATTTACAACAGCAATTCTAATATATCCAGCCTCTCCCCAAAATGCTCCCCATGAGTTCTTAACTTTCCAGTATGGTTGCCAGTTAGTTTGGTTGTATCCAACAATTAAAACTGAGTGGTCAAGTTGGGTTCCGCATCCACTGCTAACAATCCCTGACTTGTAGCTTTGCCAGAAGGCTTGGCCGGCATCAACTGCTACTGAAACAGGCTGTTGGGCTACTGCCTTGTATAGTTGATCAACGTTATTTGCAGGCACATTTGCATATGAAGAAATAGCTACAAATTTTTGAGAAGCCAAATAATTCTTGCAAGTTCCTTGCTTACCAATGTATGGATAGTTTGAAGAGCTTGTAATGCCACCATTCTTTATGACATATTCGAAAGCATAATTCACAGTTCCACCTTCGCATCCTTTATTTCCATAAAGTGTTGAGCAATCAATCAATTGCTGTTCTGAGACAGCTATAAGTATACCCCTAGAAATCTTCCAAATTCCTTCAATAGCCCCAGCAGCTGAAAAAGACCAGCAGCTTCCACATTGTCCTTGATTTAAGACTGGAGTTACAGCTCCTTGTTGAGTCCAATCGATTGAGGAAGGAATTGAAAGTGATTCAATCCATTTTACGTTTTTAGTCACTTTTGAATGGTCAAAAGGTCTTGAGACTCTATCTGAAAATTCTTTAGCTGTTAAGTCTGAAAATTCATTTATCCCGAGTAAGTAAGTCTCGCCAAGTGTATTGAAAACTCTGGCATATGCCGCGTTGTCGCGGAAAATTCTGAAGCGTCTTTGATATTCTTCTTCAGTGGAGTATTGTTTATTGTAAAATGCCATGAAGGACTTGAATTCTCCCTCTTCAAGTTCAATTTGGGCTAAAGCAAGTGGAACTTGTTTTTGGGCTGAAAATGCAGCAAGAGCTGCAATTGTACCTATAATTGCAAGTGCTCCAAAAATAGCTACCTCTCCCCCTCCGAGAGCGATCTAAAAAATCTTGTTCGCTCACGGAGGGGGTTAATTTTTTTTTTTTAAAAACATTTATATATAAATTTTTATAGAAATCGAAATTTAAAAATTTCCACTTCGCAAAAATTTGAAAGCAAATATTAATTTAATTTGTAAAATTTGTGTGTAAAAGGCAATTTGTTTAAAATTAAACAGAATTAGCCGAGTTTCATTATACTAATTATCACTTATATATCAAAATTTTTCTTCCATAAAAAAATGTTTGTTCACTCACGGAGGACGGGTGGGTTTTGGGCAAAAAATAGGGATTTTTCTAATGGTTTTGTTCGCTCACGGAGGGAGGGACTAAGCCTTTTTTCCAGCTTCTTGGTTTTGCTTCAACAGCGAAGTAACCTTCCATAATTATTATAAATTAGCCACATTAATGGTGATAAATAAAAAAATATGTATTTTTATTATAAGTAAAATCACTTTGCTCGGCATTTATATTTTTTATTAATTTTCTAATATGACTATTTAAATTATAAATAATAAGCTTTTAATTGCAAAATTTTGTTGGTAACAAAACTGTTATAAATTAATTACACCTTGGACTTCTTGACCTATCAAAACTTATTTTTTCATTATTTCCTTCGTTGTCTCCGTTTTCTCTTCTTCTGCCTCTTCCTCTATTTTCGCCTGGATTTGGACATTCTCTTGACATATGACCTTCTTGCCCACACTTAAAGCATCCTTTGTTTCCTCCATTATCCTTTTTAGGATTTGGGCATTCTTTAGACATATGTCCATTTTCTCCACACTTGAAGCATCCTCTTCCTTTTGGCTTTTCTTCCCCTTCTTGGCCTTCTTCTGCCTGCTCTCCTTCTCCTTTCGGCTTTCTTGCCAATCTTCTAAGTTCTCTGGGAACGTTTTGTTGGGCTTCTTCTAAAACTTGAATTAGCTGCTGTGCCGACTTAGCGTTATCTTTTGTAAAGAACGAAATAGCAGTTCCTTTATTCATGCCTCTTGCAGTTCTTCCAATCCTATGCACATAGTCTTCAATTCTTTTAGGAAAATCATAGCAAATGACATAGTCCAAATCTTTCACATCAAGGCCTCTGCTTGCCAAATCAGTCGAAATGACCACAAAGTTCCTCCCAGCCCTGAAATCAAGTAGTGCAGTCATCCTATCTTTCATTGATTTATCACCATGAAGCGTGGCAACTTTGACTTCTTTTGCAGTTAGCTCAGCTGCCAGAGTGTCGCATTCAGCCTTTGTGTCAACAAATATGAGGATTCTTTTTTCTGCTAAAGGCTTGATGACTTCTATAAGCTTCTCAATTTTTTCTTCTGAGTCGACGACATTGATGACTTGGGTTATGTTGTGGTTTGCAGTGACTCCGCCTTCTTTGCCGATGTGGATCTCAACTGGGTCTTTCATGAATTCTTTGGAAAGCTCTTCAAGTGTGCTTGGCCAGGTTGCACTGCAAGTAATTGTTTGGCGATCCGGCCGCGCTTGGCTTAAGATTTTCCTCAGCTGTGGAGCAAAGCCCATGTCGAGCATCCTGTCACCTTCATCAACCACGATAAGACTTGTTCGTTTAAGGTTTATAGCGCCACATTCGAGAAAGTCAAGGAGTCTTCCAGGAGTTGCTACTACAAGCTGAGGAAGTGCTTCTAAGTCTTTCATTTGGAACTGTCTTCCGTTGCCACCATAAAGGCATACGCTGCGAATTTCAAGAGATTTGCCAAAGCGGTTTGTTTCGAAAATTATTTGTTTGGCAAGTTCACGGGTTGGTGCTAAAATGAGGACTATTGGACCTTGGCCAGGCTGAATAGGCTGTTGGGCTGTGATATGCAATAAAGCTGGAAGAATATATGATGATTTACCAAGGATTGCGAGCTGTGAAAATAGCTTGAATTTCCTACTAGACAATCTAAGAGAAAGCGCTATAGCTAAGTGTTTTCCCACTCCCAGTGCAAGCAATTCCAATAATATCTTTTCCACTAAGTGCAGTGGGCCACATTAAAGACTGAACTGAAGTTGGTTTTGCAAATTTGCAAGCTTCAAATTGAGCAGTCTTATCTTATTTATTATAGCACGTTTAACGTCCAATACTAGGCAGCATCTGCTGCAGCCACCTTCAGTACTGCACTGGGCATTGGCACCTCTCTCCTCCATCTGCCAAGTTTTGATTTGAATCAATCCCTAAAATTGTGCAGTCACTGCTTCAGGAAATCCTAGTTCAGTGAACGACAGCATTGGCTTTACTTCAGTGCCTTTGACAATTGAAGTATTCTGTGCAAAGAAGTTAGTGACTTCTTCTTGTGAAAGAGTTAATTCAAAAGTTTTCGAAATGATGGGAACCAGAGTTTCTGAATCCCAGTCGATTGGCTGAAGCTTTTCACCTAGTGTGTCATAGTTAAGAGGAGGAAGTTGAGGTTTAGCATTGGGGTCTTGGTTTTCTTTGTTCTCAGGCACAGCTTCAGGGTCAGAAGGTTTGGAGGTCCCATCTCCCCACCCAGCTGCAGTAGTTGTTGCTGTTGATCCCCAAGATGGAGCGTTGTCAAAAGTAGTTGCAGACATTTGTTTTATAAATCAAATAAGCCCCCGCTATTTATAGTTTCGAAAAATAAGGATTTAGCTCTTAACCTGAAATCATGCCCCTGCTTATTGTTGTAAGCTAAAATGGTAATTAGGAAGTTAGAGCCAAATTTTATTATTAACTAATAAAATTAAACATATTTCATAACAAGTTTATTAATATTTATATTGCAAGAGTTTTAAAAATAAAAGCTACCTTAATAAAAATAGAAAAAAAATTTCAGCTGTCTATGTAAGCGAAAAACTTTATTTGATTTTATAAATAAGTTCAAAATGATAAAGCGGGGAATACCAGCAATAGATATTTTAGTCTGTACATCATGCCTGGGTGATCTCTTTGCCTCAGTTTATCAGTGCAGCAAAGGGCACTCATTCTGCGAATCTTGTCACAGCGAAGGGGTAAATTGCCATCTCTGTAAGACTCCAATTTTGTCAATCAGGAATCGCGTCATTGAAGAAATCACATCTGAAATTGCGATCCCCTGCAAGTGAAAGCAATGTAAAGATGCTTTCCCCTGCAAAGATATTCTATCTCACGAAAGAGTCTGCAAATTCAAAGCAATCCAGTGCAGCTTATGTTGAGGTTTTGTCACTTTTCCTCCTGACATCATTGTGAAGCACATTGAATCAGTCCACAAAGTTAAATTTAGAGTAAAAAGCCAGCCTATCAAAATAAAAAACATAAAATCAAAGAAAAAAGAGAAAGGATTGAAGATTGACGATAATTTTGTATTACTTAAGGTTGTAAAGTCTGAAGATAATCACATTTACGTGACATTTCAAACATTAGACTACCAACTGAAATCAATCAGGACAGTCGCTACAAGATTTGATCAAGTAACCACGGTATATGGAGGAGAGCCACACTTGATTTGGTCTGGAAGCATTACAGAAGGCTTGAATGTTATCCTTAGATGTGATAATCTTTAATACATAGAATTATAAAATGCAAGATTATGGCTCAGTTAATTTAAGTGAATGCATTGAAATGTGTGTAGATAACTGGTTTGAGGAAAATAGAGAAGAGTCAGAGAAAGGGCATACTGAAGCGATGCTGATTTATTCACAGTTGCTTTTCCATGGAAGCGGAAATCGAGAACCAGATATTCGGCAAGCTATATATTGGCTGAGGAAAGCCTGCAAAACTAGCCCTGAAGCAGCGTTTAGATTAGGGAGATTATACCAAAAGGGAAAATACATAGAACAGGATTTGGAAAAAGCTTATTTTTATTATAAATTGGCAACTGTGTTCAGATGTAAGTGTGGAAATCAAAAAGAAGCATACCACACAAATCAAGTTAGCAATGTCCATCCATGCTATCCGTATGAGGCTACAGAAACAATTAACAGTCTTCCTCTCACAAGTTCAGCAAAAAAGAAATGTGAGACAAACTTTAATAATTGGAGATCATCCAGTCTAAAATAATTTAATGTTCTATTATCAAATAAATTAATAAAGCTATTCTATTAAACATTTTCAATAAATTAAGAAGAAATCTGGATATTTTTCATTAAATTCGATCCCTTATGAAAGTTAGAGGCAGCTTCACCTTCAGAAATATGTTTTATTCAAGCTTTTAATAATTAAAACGATATGATAGTAATTTATGTGTGGAAATTTAAGAGCTAGTTACCTTACTTACAGATTTTGTATCTTTATTTTCTTTATCTTGCTGGGCCAGCTTCTCAGAGACTTTTTCAAAATACTTATAATAATAAAATTCACTCAATTCTCTGAAACCTCTTGGCGGAAATCAAAATTGATAATAAAATAAAGGAATGGATCCAATTGATAAAAAAATAAAGCTTCGCTGAATCATTGAATAATTTAAGAGTCGTTTCTTTAATAGTAAGATTGCTACACCAGCTGGAATTGTTAATATGCTAGATTTTACCACATTTACCTTTAAGTAATATTCAAATAATTGAGAGTCTTCTTTGGTCATAATATTCTTATGGTCTTCTTCTAGTTTTTTCAAGATAATTTTTTTATTTAAGTCTTCTTGATATGCAGCTTGTGAATAAATAAGTTCTCTTTTATGGAGTTCTATTTCCAGGGGATCGCTCATAATCTTAGTTTGATAAAATTAGATTATAATAAAATAAATGGAAGATTAAATTTTATAATTAGATTAAATTTATAAGCATTTCCTTTTATAAAATTTCATATGTGTTTAGCAAAAATAAGTTTGTTAATATATAGACTAAATAAAATAAATTAAAAATTTATTTCTTTATTTTCTTAACTCCCTCATCCTTGATCGATCGGGAAAATTAACTTCCATCTTTTTATCGAACGATTTTTCATATAGTCAAGCATAAGCTACTCCCCGAATCTAGCTACCTATCCTTGATAATTATGGATTTTATAGATTATACCGTATAACTGCTCCTTGAAATTCTAATGCTATTTCTAGTATGTTTTCTAATATATGCAATTTATCTCTTGTAGTTACCGCATAAAATGTTTTATATGTAAAAAAATTTTAATAATAAAATTAATAAAAAGTTTTGAGTGAGTTTAATGAAAATAGAGAAGTAAGCAATCATGGCAGATAAAACTCGCAAACAAAGAATTTTGAACGAATTTAGTGATAAAATTCTTATAAAAAATTTTATAAAAAAGAATGCTAAATGTTCCCATTTTTTTAATTGTTTACATTCTCGTAACTTATTTATGAAATTATCAGATCTTAAATTAATCTAATAGAGAAAAAGCTACCAAAATTAATGAACAGTAAATAAAATATATGGAGTATCAAAGCTATTTCGATGACTGGGAATTTGAAAACCAATGCAAAGGGTTCACTCAGCATGAGCAATTCGGCTCTTTTGTCAACCTTCTTTGCGATATGGATCAATATTTGGAATCTTCTATTCCTTCAGACATTTTAAAACTGGATCCAGAAGACATCCCTATATGCGATCCTGTAAAAATTGTACAAACTGACACAAAACCAAGTGAAAATGACACAAAATCGAGTGAAACAGCAGTAAAGTTGGACATCACTCAAATCCCACCGAAGGCAGAGAGGCTTTCTTTACAGCAAAGGAAGGAAAAAGTGGAGAAATTCTTGGCTAAAAGACGAAAAAGGCCTTGGCATAAAAAGTTTGACTACAGCGGAAGACGAAGAGTTGCTGAAAAAAGATTAAGAATCAAAGGGAGATTTATCTCCAAAGAGCAAGCAAAAGTGCTTGGATTAGATAAGATCCAACCTTTCTAATTGCATGATCAAGGCTACAAAATGTAAATATATAAATATGCAAAATTATGCTCAAGGGAAACATTGCTTCTGGCCAATCCAAAAAGTTTCCTATTTCTTATTCAAATGAGTCAAAGAAAAATAGGATACTAGCTAGCCAGTAAAACTGTTTCTCGTGTGTAAAAAAAATGTATAATTTTTATTTTGAAAAAATTAATCAGAATTTAGGCAAGTAGTTGAAGGCTAATATAAAGCAAAAAGAAGTTAGCCATATTTAAAAAAAATTTTGAATATAAGTATCATAATTTATATTGATATAGAGCTGCACGTTTTAATTTCTCATAGAGAGCAGAATAAACACTAAGAAATTTCTGATTAATATAAATAGACATAAATAAAGATTTGAACATTTTACATTACTCAATTTTAGAGAGAACAATATTTGTGAATTCCTCAATATCAATCTGCCCATCTCCATTTTTATCGACTTGGTCTAAAACTTGTGCCCATACTCGATCATCACTTGCTTCGGCTTCAAGAGCTCTTTTGAGCTCTGTTAGTGATATTGTTCCACTGCCATCCTTGTCAAACATATGAAAAGCATATCTCAGATTTTCAGTTGAGAGCATAACTCTACTATCAATTGAAGCTTTTAGAAATTCTGTATAATCAATGAAGCCGCTGTTGTCTGTATCTACCTCTGACATGATTTTATTTACTTCTAGCTCAGCTTCTGCAGGGCTCATAACAATTGAGTATTGCTGAAGCAGTTCTTGTCTACTTAGTCTCCCATCGCCATTTAAATCCATAGCTCGGAAAACTTCTCTTAGAGCCTTTGTATCTTTTGATGAAAGGCATTGGGAAGTAATAAAAGTGTGAACTGCATCTCTAAGTGTATTTGTTGAATGAAATGACTTTAAATTTGACAGAACCAAATGAATTAATTCTTCACTAGGAGGTAATATCTCTGATCTTCTGACAATTCATGAATGAGAATGAGCTTCTTGAGCAGATATTCGTCTTTTTTGCGGACACAAAAGCTTTCTAATAAGATCTTTTGCTGAAGCTGAAATAAGAGGCCATGGGTCTTCTTCCAAGCTATAAACACCAGTCTTTACTTTTTCTAAAATTTCATCGTTATTTTTTCCTGCAAACGGTGGTTTTCCAGAAAGCAAAATATAAAGTATTACTCCACAGCTTCAAAGGTCACATTTTTCATTATACTCTCCCGAAATTACTTCAGGTGCCATATAGTATGAAGTTCCTACTTGACCTGATATCAGTTTCTTTCCATAAAAATTTCTCGCAGACCCAAAATGATGCACTTTTATGCTCAAAATCTCATGCTTTTCTTCTAATAAAATGTTTTCAGGCTTCAAATTCCTATGCATTATATGATGTTCATGCATATATGCAACTGCAGCAAACAATTGTTCCATTACTTGTGCTGATTTCTGCTCATCAAAGCTTGGCCTACTTAATAGCTCTGTAAATAGATCTCCTCCTTTGCAGTACTCCATCACTAAATAAATTCGCTTGACTTCTTCAAAAAATTCTAGCATCCTTACAATATTAGGATGGTCTAAAGACTTTAAAATGCTTATTTCTTGCTCAATAGCAAACTTTGAAGCTTCATTAGTGATTAGATCTTTTCTGTAAATTTTTACGACTCTTTTTAAGCTTGTTTCTCGGTTAAAACAAGCATGAAGCATCACAAGTGGTCCTGAAGATATCAGCTGTCCAAGCCGATATACATTGTTAAAATGATGCTCATTTTCTTGGACAAATGTACCAGGCTGTACGTTTATTTCGATAACTTGGCTTGATTTCTCATCTGTACCATCAGAGATAGGCTTATTTTTGAATTTAGTTGTGATTGAACACCCCATTATATTTTTTACAAATAAAAAATGTACTTGTTTTTAAATAGAATGATAATGAGCAAGAGCAGGATGCTTTTTCTCAACATATACTCCTTCCTTGAAGAGTGGCATAGAATTAAAACGGATTAAAGAGGATTATTGCTTTTAATTTTTTTTTTAAAATATTAAAAAAATCCAATCTCAAATAGTTGAATGAAAAATCTATATAGAATTAGGCAAAAGAATTCAACTGCTCAAAAATAATAGGATTAGCAGCCATTAATATAATTGTTAATTATATAAATATATTTTTTGTTCTCTTTTAGATAGGGCTTAATTTTCTAAAAATAGGGATTTTACCAATGATTTTGCTTTCTTTAAAAAGAGGAAGTTAAGAATTGATAAATTAAAATGTCGGTAAAGGCAGATTTAAATAGATAAAATTTTTTTTAAATATCCTTCAGATGCAAAAGGTTATTTTGCTTGCTAATTTGTCTCCTTGTGCTATTTAAATGATAATTAAAATAATAAGCTCCTTAGAAAAACATATTGTTTTATGAACATCTTATCCAATAATTAATTTCAGAAATTATGAGTGGGCAGGAAATTGATGACGGGGAATATGCTGTTGCAGAATCACCCGAGCCAAAGCCAAACATGCCGAACATGAAGCCAACTAAGTTCGAGAAAACCCCATTAGGCCACATCTTTTCTCTTTATCCTATGATGAAAACGGAAAAAATTGTATCAAAATACATGGAATTGCCTCCTCTTAACCTTGAAGTTTCGCTATTTCCTCCTCTATGAGTGAGTAAAGTACTTTTGATAATTTTTTAATAAATTTTATATTTAATATATTTATATTCTATCCATCAAATTTTAAGTATTCAAAATATTAAAATATTTATAACAAAATCTAATTTAATTAAAAAAATGAGTTTTTAATTTTCCCAAAATAAACCTTTTCAATATTTTTGATTTTTCACTGATGGAGAACTAAGCGATACTCTAAAGCACAGAAAAGCTGTAAAAGGTACTGACAACGGAATATATACAGGAACACTAAACGATAAAAATCAAAGACATGGTGTTGGGCTATTAGCTATGAAGGATGGCTCTATTTTTGAAGGACACTTTGAAAATGGAGCTATAAAAGGATTTGGCCGACTAGTTACTATAGCAGCAGATGTTTATGAAGGAGAATTCGAAGGAATCTACTTAAAAAACACTGGGATCATTTGCTTTGCAGGAGAAAATAAGTTATATAAAGGAGAAGTCCAGGAAAATGTACCCCACGGACAAGGAGAGGAAGAGACAGCAACTGAAACTTATAAAGGAGAGTTCACAAGAGGAAAAAGAAATGGGTATGGCGAAGTAATTTGCACAGACGGAAGCTGATTCAAAGGGCATTTTCTTATGAACAAGCTTGAAGGAAAAGGCACTTATCATGGAGTCAACGGCAATGAATATTCTGGAGACTGGTCAAAAAGTAAAGTTCATGGAAAAGGAGTTTATACCTGGCCAGATGGCCAACAATATGAAGGAGAATTCAAAGAAGGATTCAGAGATGGTTATGGAATCATGAGATACCCAGATGGCAGGTGGTACCAAGGATATTGGGAAAAAGGAAGACAAGACGGTGTCGGTAAAGAAAAAACTGAATCAGGAATAATTGTGACCGGACTTTGAAGATTTGGACAATTAAAAAAGAAATTAGGAGAAAGCAGTAGCGAAGCAGGCTCAACTGACACAGGAATGGATGGTGTCGAAGATGTTCCTGGCAATATGAACGATTTGATAAAGAAAGTTGAAGAAATGCGAAAACAGAAAAGAATGAATGAAGATTATGCAAACTCTGACGTCATGACAAATCTGGCTGATGCTATTGTTGAAACCAGAAATATCAAATATGAACAGATTCATGATAAGAAACGAAAAGAAGTAAAAAAGAAAAAAGAAGAGAGAAAGGTAGAAACTCGAAAAGAAAAAAAGAAAAAGAAGAGAATGAGAATGGAAAATGACAAAGAACTCACGCTATCGCTAAGTGCCATTAATTTGCCTCCAGGGTCAGAACAGCTGTTTGAAAGGGCAATGAAAGCACGAGAAGCCTTGCCAGCTTTTAATTATTATGAGCCAGATTTCGAGTTGTCTGAGAAAACTGTGTTTAGGAATGACTGGGCTCAAACTGGGGATAATCAATGGTATAGAGGAGAGGTGAATCATAAAAATAATTCATTTGTTAGAGGAGTGCTCCTGCAAACTGGAAAAATATATGAGGGATACATTTTTGCTGGCAAAAAATGTGGACTTGGAAGACAAATTTCATCAAAAGGGGATATTTATGAAGGATATTGAATAGATAACAAAAAACATGGATTCGGAGTTTTGCATTCTAAGACTCAAAATTTAAGCTATGCAGGAGAATGGCAATCTAACCAATTTCATGGGGAAGGCATTTTAAAAACTGTAGATGCAAAATATACTGGAAGCTGAAAAAATAATCAGCAGCATGGGTATGGAGAATTGATTTATAATGATGGAAGGATTTTTAAAGGAAATTTTAAAAAAGGAATAATCAAGGGATATGGAACTATTCTTTGGCCAGACGGGACAGGATATGCTGGACAGTGGGAAAACGGAGAAATTGTGGGGATTGGAACCAAAGTGACTAAATCTATAAAAAAAATTAAAGAAAAGCATACTAAAAAACAGCTTGAAGAAATCGATACTGAGCCAAAAGAAGAATCACTTATCCCTGAACATGATTCAATTCCACAAGAAGTTAATTCATTAGCTTATGAAGAAGCCAATTCTCCAGTTCCTGATGAAGAAAATTCATCAGCTCTTGAAGGATCCAATTCATCAGCCAATCAAGAAGCTAATTCACCAGCTGCTGAAGAAGTTGACTCACCAGCTCCTGAAGAAATCAATTCATTAATACACTCTGATATCTCTGCATAGCCCCGCATGACCTAAATATGCTGATTAATCTTTTAAATTTATAAATAATCTAATATTAGCTCTCTTTCTTGATAGGGAGTTGCACATTATTCTTATCATTTTCCAAGCCTCTCAATGCTTCAGCTTGAATTTTTGACACAAATCTACCTCTTATCCTTATTCTGTCATCAGCAACTCTTTTTCTGCACTCATAGGAGATCTTCTTACAGAAATTCCTTCTCTTTCTCTTTTCTAGATATTTTTCTATCTTTAAATGTCTTTCTTCGATAGTTAGAGTTCCAATTTTAGCAGTTTTCGAGTACATGATTTGAGGCTTGGGAAGTAATTGGTTTTCGAATTTTATATTTTCAGGCTTTTCTCTAGCCGAGTTGTCTGAATTCACCATTGGAAAAAATTCAAATGGCTGGCTAATGAACCGATGGATGTCTTGGGCATCAGGTGCTAAAAACGAGGGGTCAAATGAGAAAAATACACTTGGGTCGAAAGGGTCTAGGTCTTGGCGAGGAGGAAACATTGTTTCCATCATGTCTTCTCTCTTTTGGAAGTCTACATTGTCTGTATCAAAGGGCATATTCGCCATGAAAAACTGCTGAAGATCTGGAAGAAAAGATTGACCATTTCCTTCTGCATCATTAGCATCTCTTTCGCTCAAAAATATATTGGGGTCAAACATTTTCAATTTAATTATATGCCTTGCAATCAGAAATAGGCTGTTTTAATAAAATCACTTAATTTGAAATTACTGATCTATTTATAAGTTCAAATCTGAAATTATAATTTGGGTAATAAAAGACTTAGATTGTTTTAATTTTGTAATTAAATTGAAGAAAGAGAAACATTTACTCGAAGTAATTTATTTTCATTTTATGATGATAAATTCAAAACAGATTTTTTTCGCACATACATAATATAAAGAACTACTTTTTTTATAGCATGCTTTTGAGTATCAATTGCTTGGTGAACTAAGGTGGACTATTTTTGGGTATTGCATGATTTTTTTATGAAATAGCTAAACAAAAATTTTTATATTTAATAAATAATAAATTTTACATTTCTCATTATTTGCTGTTAATTTAATTTTCTTTCTCACAATAGTTAATAGAAATATAATTTTGATTAAAATTTAATTCAAAAATAGCGAACATTTGTATTCATTATTCATAGACGAGCAAATAGTCTTAGTTGGGTTGAATATTTAGTCATATTCGAGAAAGAGCAATCATATATAATTGTTGAATCAATTTAAATCTTGCTTTTAATATTAAAATGGACGAAAAAGCTCATTTTATTAAACAAGGATTGCCACATGAAGTTCTAGACATATCATTAAGATGTAGAAGACAAGCTTTGCTACTTATAATATTTTCCATTATTACCCTGATAATTACAATAGCCAACTTAATCACATACTCTTATCATAACCTGTATTCATGAATAATCGAATTATTTACAAGCCTAGTCGGAATTGCTATCGGAATTTTAGGACTGCACGCAGTGCAGTCTCAAAAGCTACATATTGTAAAGCGCTACAAATTCTGTATCATTATTTACGCATTTTATTTCTTAACTTAACTTAGACAGACGGGCGCGTGCCCTTAATTTTAACGAAATCACCGAGGATCCCTTGTGGGATTCATCCGCTTTGCGACCTCCCTCGCACATATAGTGTGAGTACTGAGGCCTCCTCCTTGCCTCTTGTAAAAGGCTCCAGTGTTGAGTGGGCAGACTACGGGTTTGTGCCTCCTGAGGCTGTAGTTGACGAAGTTGGCGTTCCGAAATTCAAAAAAATGGAATTTCTGGTAGCCTATCGGCAAAAGGGTTAAGTCCAGATCCTGGACGCAACGCCCAGTTTCACGCTAGGCAGTTGCCCGATTGGTCTAGGTATCACCTATAGACTTCGCTGGGCTTGCCCTTTCCAAATCTGAATCCTCCTTTCCTTCGAGGTAAAAACTAGTCTCTGAATTGGGCTTGGGCTAGGTTCTGCGCTCCTGCAGAATTAGTTGCCTAGCATGCCGTCCTTTCAAGGCTAGAAAACCTTGCCGGATATAATTAAAATATGGGTCGGAGGCTGTATGGCCGAGAGGCCATACCTAGACGAAGACGCCATATTTTAATTACGCATTTTATTTCATTGCCAGCACTATTGCTACAGGCCTTCTTGAATTCATATCATATTTAATGTCTTCAAACAATGCTGCTGAAGATGGAATTATAGGAGTTGCTTTAGGTTTAATAATTGTTGCTTCAATTCCAATATGTTGGTGATGCTCGGTTAGTGCTATTATTTACAATAGGAATTTAGAAAGCTATGAAAGAAACCCTTATGATGCTGGTATAACAATTGAAAAAGTATCAACAGAAGTAGGAGGATCAAGTCTGAACCCTATAAGAGGATCTATGATAAACATCTAATTAAATGTAAATTATTCCTCCCCGAACCCTCCACCTCCTGGAGTGCATATTCTTACGATATCGCCTGGATTCACTTTGCAAGTGTTTTTACTTCCTAAGTTTATGGTAACTCCATCATTTCTAATTAATAAATTCAGTCCGGGCTGGGCATCTTTACCGCCTTTAAGTCCAAAAGGTCTCATCGCTCTTCTTTCACTTAAAATGCTAACTTGTAGCTCTTCTAAAAATTGAAACTCCCTCACCACTCCATCTCCGCCTCTCCATTTCCCTGCACCTCCACTTCCATTTCTGATGCTAAATTGCTTAATTAAAACTGGGTATCTCCTTTCCATTATTTCTACATCAGTAATTCTGGTATTTGTCATATGAGTTTGGACTCCACTTGCTCCATCCCACCCAAATCCTGCTCCGCTACCTCCACATATAGTTTCATAGTACCCGAATTTTGAATTTCCAAAGGTAAAATTGTTCATACATCCTTGAGAAGCTGCACAAGCCTCGAAGGCTTTTAAGATCACATCTGTGATTCTTTGAGATGTAAGAACATTTCCTCCGACAACTGCAGCATCTTCTGAAGGATAAAGAATAGAGTTTGGGGGAATTGTAATTGTGATAGGGTCTAGACATCCTTGATTTAGAGGAATATCAGTATCTACGAGGCATCTCAAACAGTATATGACTGCAGATCTGCATACACAGTATGGGGCATTTAAATTGCTCAATACTTGATGTCCTGTCCCTGTAAAGTCAAAATGGGCTGTCATTGTAGCTTTATCAATAGTTATCACTAACTTCACCTCAGTAAAGAACAAAATTTTTTCGCTCACAGGGTTAATTGTTTTTTAAAAAAAATTTATATATAAGTAAAACTTATTTTTTCTCGATACTTAATTCGCAAAAATTGGAAACTAAAAGTTAATTTATAAAATTTATTTTTAAAATACAAGCTGTTTAAAATTCAACAGAAAAAGCTAGAGATTTCATGATAGGAATTATCACCTATATATCAAAATATTTTTTCATAAAAAATTATATTAAAAATATTTTATCTGTTGACGAAGGGTTTTTTTACCCAAAAATAGGATTTCCCCAATGATTTTGTTCGCTGACAGAGGGGTAAAGATATAGGAGACCCATCGTCCATATAATCTACAGATCTTAATACAACTGAAGTTTCTGAGACCTTTGACAGCAAATCTTTTACACTTTGGCTTGCTGCTTGCTGAATATAAAGCATATAAGCTTGAACAACTGGGAGACTATACTCCTCTATGAGATCATTCAATAATGATATCCCTTTATTATTTGCTGCAATTTGTGCTTTAAGATCACTCACATTGTCTTCAAGGCCTCTGCTTTCTCTGAATAAATCTCTAACAGTTGCTTCCTGGAACTCATCATCAACCACAATTTTGCATGATTTAATGCTTACCCCTTCTTCAGTCAGATATCGTGAAAAAGGAGGCATGGACCCTGGTGTGGATCCACCTATGTCTGCATGATGTCCTCTGCTAGCAAGATAAAATACAACTTCTCCTTTGAAGTAAACTGGAGTTATAACCGTAATATCTGGAAGATGGGTACCTCCTGCTGATGGATGGTTTGACATAATTACTTGGCCTTCTTTCCAATCATCGCCTAGAAGTTTTATTTGTGATTTTACTGCTTCTTGCATTGATCCTAGATGAACTGGCAAATGCGGAGCATTTGCTACTAAGCTACCTTTAGGGTCAAAAATGGCACATGAATAGTCGAGTCTTTCTTTTATGTTTGTAGAAACTGCAGTTCGTTGTAGGACTCTTCCCATCTGTTCTGCAATGCTCATGAATCTGTGACCAAAAATTGATAAAAGGATGGGATCACATTCAATTTCAGAGAAGGAGGGATTGAGACTTGAAACGTGGATTTCGACGTTTCCATGAGGGGAAATTGTTGCTGTGCATTTATATTCAATTATTATTGTTGATGTCTCGTTTAAAATTATTGCTGGGCCATTGATCGTTTGATTGTGCGCAAGAGACTCAAGTCTGTAGACTTTTGTTGGGAGATTTTCAAAACCAGTTTCTGTTTCAAATCATACATTTGTAACTGCTATTGGCTCAGCTTCAGCTCTATCTGGTATTTCTATTTCATGAATAGAATCTAAGGTTGCAGAGCCCCTAACTCTTAATATATCAATAACTATGTCTCTCTTTCCTAGAACAAATCCATATTCTCTTACTCTCCTCTTTTTGCTCAATCAAGAAAGGAGGTTAAAAATTTCTAGAAAAAAATTATATCTATAGCAATGCATATCTGATTAAAATTAATAGAAGCATTCCTATGATAATCTTTATCTTTTCCATATAATCGAAAGGATATAGCTAGTCGTTAGAATTGATTTTATTCATTATATATTATTTTTATTGTTCAATGAGCTTTTTATATAAGAAAGCTTATATATTATTGAACAAGTTTTATATTAGAATCCTATATTAAAGATGAGGAGAGATAGGTATATTTCATAAAAAGCTTGTTTGAGATCAAGACCTTCAGTGTAAAGAATTGAAATCGCTGTGTCAGTCCCCACAAATCTCAAGTGCATGAAATTTTCTATTTTTATGTTTGGTTTGACGAACCCTTGCTGTTGGAATTTATCAACTATTTTCAAACTCATTTCATTCAGTTTCTGAATAGAAAGCATTATATTTTCTTCATTTAGATATAATGCACAAGGCTGCTGATCTTCTAAAACAACATCTGCCATGCTTAAGCCATACGCACTTAAAATCCCTGAATACTTATGAACAGCTATTTTTGTAATCCCAAGAGATCTCGCAATAGCACAAGCATGCTGCCCACCTGCAGATCCAAAACAAGCCAAGGTGTGCTTTTTTGGGTCATACCCTCTTGATTGGGTAAGTGCTCTAATAGGTCTGCACATACTTTCATTAGCAACCTTTACAAATCCAAGTGCAACTTCTTCACATGTCAAATTAGAATTTTGAAAAGCATTTATTTCATTAGTCAACTGTTGAAGCCCTTCTCTCGCAGCATTGTAATCAATTGGCAAATTTTGGTCCGGGCCAAATATTTCGGGGAAAAACTTTGGAATCAATCTTCCTAAAACCAAATTAGCATCAGTAATAGTTGCATAGCCATTTTTTCTGTAGCATAAAGGGCCAGGATGTGCTCCAGCGGAGTCTGGACCTACAACATAGAGCCCACTTCTAAAAAATAGTTTTGATCCACCTCCTGCTGCCACTGTTGTAATATCCAGATGAGCACCTTGAAGATGGACTCCTGAGATTTCAGTTTCAAAAAGATGCTCAAAGATGGTGCAAGTGCAGTGATTTTTTACTTTTGATAGTGTACATTATTTCATCGAAATAAATTTGTTTGATTTTTAATAGTGTTACATTTAATCTAATTTTTTTTTCAATTAAATGTCTCACTATCAAAATTTTCCAACAAATTTCCCCAGGATATTTCACCGTCAAATTTGCATGATCATTTGGTATAGATCCGCTCAAGATGGCCTGCATACCTTGACACATCTGTAGATGTTCCTCCCATATCAAATCCTATAAGTGGAGAAGCAGCAGTCTGTGAAAATCCAATAACACCTCCAGCTGGCCCTGAAAGAATTGCTTTACTCCCCAAAAAATTTTCGATTGATGACAACCCTCCATCTGACTGCATGAATAAAACTGGAATTTCTGACAAATGTGCGTCGAAGCCATTGCAGAAATTCTGAATATATTCTTTTATAATAGGGGTTAAATAAGCATCAATGCATACTGTAGACGCTCTCGGATACATCTTAACCATTGGCATTATTTCTGAGGATACTGAAATATGACTAAAGCCTAGTGCTCTACAGATTTCAGCTGCTTGGATTTCGTGTTTCCTATAAGCATAAGAATGAGCAAAGCAAATAGCAATAGATTCAATTCCTTTCTGTTTTAAGTTCTCTAAGTCTTGAGTGAGCTGTTGGGTGTCTAATGGAGTTATGACATTAAAATATTCTCCTGTAGTCCCAATTTCTGCATTTTGTGGGTTTGAGACAATTTGAACTCTTTCATTGACTTCAATTACTTCAGAAAAGAGCTTTTGTCCTCTTTGGATATTTAGTGCAAAAATGTGAGGGCGAGTCTGATTTCCAATGATCATTAAGTCTTTAAAGCCTTTAGTGATTAATAAGGCAAATTGTTTCCCTTTACGTTCAAGAAGAGCATTTGTAGCCACAGTTGTTCCCATTCTTATTGAACTGATTAGATGAGTGTTGACTGGGATATTTTTTGGATATTCAATTTGAGTGATTTCTTGGAGGATTCTACGAATCCCTTCAGTTGGCGCATCAGGGTAGTTTGCTGGGTCAACGCTTAAAAGCTTCATGATTTTGCACATTCTACTTCCATCAGCAGAGAGATAGTCACAATAAATGTCTGTAAAAGTCCCACCTCGATCTATTGAAAATCTGAAGGAATGTGCCATTTTATTCTCTAGCTCATGATTTCAAAGATATCTATATGAATTAGTCACCAATATTACTTAAATATAGGATTCTATTTTTATTCCGAATATAATATAATATTTTGGCGTTATTTCTGATCGGCTTCCACGAGTCAAAATGGGTTTCCACGTGGAATTTCTGGATTTTCACGCGTGAAATCCATCTTTGGCTCGTGGGAGCCTATCAGAAATTTAAGCAAATTCATAATAGTAATTTGGATCTGATTTAATTAATTTAAGATTAAAGGCTTTATTAATAATGAATTAAAAAATTAGCATAGCGCACTAATACTTTTAACAATTAACTTATTAATAACACAATCAATAGTAAAATTGTTTTGATAATGCATAATTAAAAAATCTGAATATGATAAATCCAAAATGTCATCTTTGAGTTATACAGAGATGGTTGGGATGGAGATCAAAGTCGTCACAACTCTTGATGAAGAGCATAAAGGGAGAATCTACACAATTGACGAAGATGCAAATGTAGTCATACTTTATCGAGGAAATGAGAATTCAAGAGATTATGTTTTTTTGAATGCAGACTATATCAAAGATATCGTTATACTTGACCAGGAACGTCATAAAATCGACACAGAGATACCTTATATCGATGTCACTAAATACCTTGAAGAGCTTGATAAGCAAATGCAAAAAGAGTCCCAAAGCTTAGAACAAATAAATAGTTTGGCAAGTCCTGAAGGCCAGCTTATTTTCAATGAAATTTCCAGAACATATAAATGTGACTGGAATGGGCTCAATATATATTTGGTCGACCTAGACGTCGAAATTAGTCCTCCTTATTCCAATGACCAGAACGTCACAGGAAACCCAAGTGCGACTACAAGAATTTCAAACGTCTTAATGCAAACCCGAAGGAAGCTAAACCTAGACTAATAATCCTTTTTGCAATTTAAAATAATTCGCACTAATTTCATTGCGGGCTTGTATAAAATGGAACGTCAACGTACAGGAGATATTCAAAGAAATAGAGAAATTCATGACCTTCTTGACCAGATTGAGGTTCCTGAAGAAAGTATGAGTGATCTTTCTTCAATGGTATCAGGCCGTTCAAATTATGAGCCTGAGTCTCAGGTATATGCTAGAACTCCGAATTCCCCTCCTAGGCAATTAGAAGAGTATTTTGATAATTCGATAAATTCTTCAATAGCGCTTCACACTTCGCCAATTGATAATGTTAAATTGCCGTTTGAAGAGGAATCGAGAGATAACAGCAATTATTCACAGCACCATTCTCAAGCATTTACTTCACAACAAGTGTCTAGAATGATGGATTGGAGCAAAAGCCATATTACTCCGACTGAAGGGATATTTCCACAGGTTTCAGCACCAAGTATGAGCATCGACCAGGACCAAGATATGTGGGATGAGTCTGCCGCTGATTCTTCAATGGTGCAGCATATGAGATCTCGGACTTCTTTTGAAAAAGAACAAAAAAGATCAGACTCATCCCATGGATTGCCTGTTTTAGACTTGCCGACTCATGAAGAAATGCCGAGCAGAGAAGTTATAACGTTTTCTCCTGGAAATCAAGACCAAAATTGGTATTTTAATCCAGGTACCATAATTTCGAAGAGATCTTCAACTAATCATAGCTTTAGGACTTATCAAAGATCAAGCTTGTCTACAGAACTTGTCGCGCAAGGCAGCGCACTTCTGGCAAATGCAGGGAACCACCATTTTGCCTCAGAGTATTCTTTAGCCCAAGCTAGAGACAATGCAGTTATATGTGATGAAATGCAAAAACTGAAAAATGAGCTGGTTAATATAAAAATTGCGCTGAGAACAGAACAAGATCTTCATGAAAACACAAAAAAAGAGCTGTATGACTGCAGTAACTATTTACAACAGCTAGAAGCTGAAAAAAGTGACAGTGAACAAAGAAAGGCAGAGCTTGAAGAGCATCTAAAAATGATCCAGGCAAAAACTAAAGACAACTCGAGTCTTGACCAATTGAGAGGCAAAGCTCTTGAGTATGCAAGAATTGAAATAAAACAGCTTAAAACATATTTATCTGAAAGGGATAAAAAAATACAAGACTTAGCACACGCACTCTCACAGAAAAATATGATAGAAAGCAATACTGCGAGAGAAAAAGAAATAGAAGAGCTGACATCAGAGCTCGCAAAAATGAAAATCTTGAACTCAACTCAGAACAAAAGAATCCAAGATTTGATAGAAAAAAAGGAAGAGTCATCAAAATCGAATGATAAATATAGCTTGGGTAGACTTTTGGCATTACCAGTTTGGAGTTGATTTGCCGATTTAAGAAGTTTCAGGAAAAAACCTACATAAGGCACGCCAAAAGCGTTCCAAAGCTATACAAAAATGAATTGATGGCTAAATCAGAATCATATCAATCAAAGATTAAAAATTTAACTTCTCAGGTAGACGAGTTGGCAAATATTATAAAAGAGAAAAATGAAGAAATAGAACAACTTGAAAACGAATTAAACGCTGCCAAAGATGAAATTAAAGAAGCAAATCAGATTAAAATGAGTGAATTTGAAGACATACAGAACGCAAAAATTATGATTGAAACTTTACAAAGTCAGCTGAATGATGTTCAAGCTGGAAGAACAGGAGCTGCAGATTACGACTCTCAGCTTGCCAAAATCAAATCCAGTTATGAAGAAAAACTAAGTGCTGCACAAAAAGAAACCCAGCAATATAAGAAAAAGACTTCAAATCTTGAAGAAAGAGTAAAAGGTTTCGAGGTACAAATTGAAAGGCTTATGAAAGGCGAAAAAAAAGAAATTTCTATTGATGAATCTGAAGCCAAAGAAACAGTTGCAATTATGCAAGCAGAAATTGAAAAACTGCAAACTGAGATTGCTGAGCTGACAGATAAAGTCACTGATTTAAAAAATGCTGAGAGGCAGCTGAATGAGGAAAGATTTGCAATAACAAGAGAAAGAGAAGAATTAATTCAACAGATCAAAGATGATAAAGCTAAAAGAAAAGAAGATCTGAGGAATACTGAAAAAATGCAGTTAGATCATAATAAAGCAATTAGGAAAATTGAAGTAGAGCTGCAGCAGTCTAAAGATTTGAATAGACAATATAAAGAAGAAATGGAAAGCCTAAGGTTTGCAAGGGATCAAGCAGAAAAATTGGTAGATACTTATAAGAAGCAACTGGACGACTCAAAAGTTGGGACGTCAAGAGAGTTTAAAGTCAATAAAGAAAAGGCTCGGGATACTGAAAAGGAGATTGCTAAGCTTAAGTCTACAATAAAATCAATGAATGCTCAATTTGAAGAAGAAAAAGAAGAGCTTTTATATCAAATTGAAGATTATGGAAAAAAAATCCAGGAATTAGAGGACGAAATAAGGGCTTACCCTGACCCTGAAAAGCTTGAATATGAAATTCGAAAAGAATGCGAAGAAAAAGCTGCTCAAAATCTTAAAAAACTAAAAGAAAGCTGGGAGGCTGAAAGAACTGAGTTTTTAAGAAAAAACCAAAGATCAACACAAACAAGCTTTGACATAGCCTCATTTAAAGAAGAAATAAAGCATCAACTAGAGGTAGAATATGTCGATAAAATGAACAAGAAGCAGCAGCTGTTAGAAGATAAATGGAAAAAAGAATGCACTCAAAATTTGCAGCCACAGCTAGAAAAAGAAATCAAAGAAAAATTTGAAAAAAAATTTGCCTCAGCTAAACAGATGTTAGAAGATAGCTACCAGAAAAGAGTTGATGAGCTTAGCGAAGACTATGTAAAAAGAGTAAAAAGCCTTGAAAGTGAATATGAAAAAAACGCAAATAATATGGAAGAAGATTTCCGAAAGAAACTTATGTCAATTGAGAGTGACTACAATTTAAATCTAAAAACAATTAGAGAGCAAAAAGAAGCCAATCAAAATGTGTATGATGAAGCAAAAGAGGAGCTGCAGAATGTGAAAGAATCGTATGAAGAAAAAATAAAAAATATGGCAAATAAAACTCGAGAGCTAGAAGGAGAGCTAAAAAATAAAGAAAAAATATTGAGGGCACAATATGAAGCTGAAATGAATATGAAGTTAAATGAAATGGAAAGGGTACTAAAAAACAAAAAAGAAGAAGCTGAAGAAAAATTGAATAAAGAAAAATCAGAATTAATAAATGGATTTGAAACAGAAAGAAACGATTACGAAAAGCAAATATCACAGCTGAAAAGTGATTATAAAAAGGCACTGGATCAATTGAAAAATTATAAAAACTTAGAAAAAGACTTTTTAAGCAAAGACGAAATATTGGAAAATAAGCTTGAAGAAGTAGAAAAAGAATACCAATCTAAAATAGAAGAGATGCAAAGAAATTTTGAAAGAGAAAATTTAGAGAACAGCAAAGCCTTTACACAAAAATTAAAAGATCGAGAAAAATTGCTATTTAAAGAATATGAAGATAAAATTCACGAAATTCATCAAGAATTAGATAAGCAGCTTGAAATTGAAAGAGTTAGGCACAACGAATTAATGAATTTAAAAGAGCAAAATACCAAAGCCGAAGTCCAAAGAGCACAAGAAGAACTTCTACAAAATTTCAAAGATAAAGAAAGGGAATGAGAAGAAAAATTGCAAAAACAAAAACTTCAGTATGAAAGAGAAATCAGAGCAAAAGACATAAAAATAGAAGACCTTAGCGAACTGAACTCTCTTGAAACTAATAAAATTAGAGAAGAAATTAAAGAAGAGTTTAAATTAAAAATCAAAAAAATGAAAGAAGAATTTGCAAAGCAAAAAAGAGATATGGAAAGCGACGTTAGAAAATCAAAAGAAGCATCTCATAACGCTTTAGAGCTCGCCAAAAAAGATTTGGAAAGATTTGAAAGCGAAAAACTTGACCAAGAAAGAAAAGAATGAGACAAAAAACTCCAGCAAAAAATAAATATTCTTACATCCAAGCACCAAAAAGAACTTCAAGATAAAGAAACACTAATCCGCTTAGAATTTGAAAAAGAAAAAAGTGACTCCTTAAAGCAACTTTCTCATCAATTAAAAATGAAGTTTAAGAAAAGAGAAGACGATTATAAAAAATATTTTGAAGAGCTTAAACAAGCTGCAATAGAAGATAAAGCTCATGAAATTGAAATTCAGGTTAAAAAAGAAACACAAGAATATTATAAGAAAATAATGGATAGGTTAAAATCAAAACATGCACAAGAAAAAGAAAAAATTATAGAAGAGACAGAAAGAAAGCTTGAAGAAATGAGAGAAAATTATAAAAATGATCCCTCTATTAACTCTTCTTATTCGGACATGCCATTTGTTTATAATAAAAAGAGAATTAGTTTTGGTCAAGAAAATTGTAATGATAAAGAGATTCTTTCGAGTCAAGTTCGATTGTTTTCGAACAGAATGAATATGATTATTGAAGATTTAAGAAGCAGGGAAATAGAAAAAATTAGTGCTGCTGAGCCAACTCAATTTTTTAAAGTTGGATTGCTGCGTATTCCTGGAATTTAAAATAATTAGATGTATTAATTAAACAATAAATTGAACATAAAAGCTCTGTTCCTTTATTAAGTTACAGAAATGATGGTTTAGGTAAAGCTAACTGCCTAACTCCCCCTTTAAATTTGAACTAAAAAATCTTACTCCAATCTAAAAGTTTGTTTTTAAAAAGCAATTATATTAAAAATCTAAACCCAATATTTTGATATTAATTTATTTTTATAAAGAATTAATTCAAAAAATTAAACAATTCTGTATGAGAACTGTTTAAATAATATTCAACTTTCGCTTTTTCAATTAAAGTAGACCAAAAATAATTTTATAAAAAATAGTATTTTTTTATCTATAGAATTTTCCTATTGCTAAAAAATATTTTGTTTGATTTAAAGGGGAGAATGGAATTTTGCCAATATTTTTCTTCCGATTTAAAGTGGAGAGTAAGAGCATTTAAGAAATCATCTGAATTGATTACTTTATATTTTGGGCTATAAGAGCTAGATTCCTTAAAATCCTCATTATACTGCATTTCATTACTTAATACAATTGAAGGTTCATTTCTTCGTTGTGTCTTCATCTCAGAAAAATCTATCTCATTTTCTTCTGATTCTTTTTCCGAGAATTTATTTGCATGACATTTTTTAAAGAAATCAGTTTCCCCTATAAAATTTTTAGATCTATAAGATATTGAATTCAAATCATTTTCTTTATTTTCTATACATCTAGGACTAGCACTACATCTGGATGAAAGAACTGACGGATTAAAAGTTAATTCTCCGTTATCCACACTTTCACATAGCTTTGATGAAAAATTATCTTCCTCATTTTTTGGAGTTTTATTTATTTCTAACTTTGGTATTTGTAAGGGACTTTTTTCACCTACTTTCTTTTGAAGCCTTACTGGAGAATGACTAGGGGTTCGATTTCTATTAGGTGATCGATTGCAAAATTCATTGCTATATGGCTTTTTAATTTCTCTTCTTTCTCGATGATAAATTTCTAATGGTAATTGTATATGATTCGAGCAAGGAGATAGAAAAAATGATTTTCTTATTGGGCTTATAGGAGAATTTATCAATCCTTTTGATGTTGGACAATATGATAAATTATTTAAGTTTAACGTCGGCTTCCTTGTAGGACTTTTACTTGGAGAGATTTGAAGATATGATGAGTTTAAAGATTTTTCGGATCTTATTTTATAATCATATGAGGTTTTTGAAATATTTTCCTTATTAAAAGAATGATCACCAATTGAGATGTCTAGTCTATTTTTCCTTCTAACTGATTCCATTTTTCTATTTTAGAGATAATATAAGAGCGTTGAATTTTTGCAAAGTTAGATGAATGTAAAAATAACATAAATGGGTTTGAAGTTCATTAAATAATTAGTTAATTTTAGATTTTTTATTATTTCTTACATATATGCTATAAAATACATAATTTTATATGAAATCATTGCAATTCTCTTAGCAATTAATTAAATATTATTTTCATTAAAAATATTTATCTTTTTATAAGAACAAATAAAGATGCTTATACATAATTTTAACACTGAAACAAGTGCAAACATTCAAAATAAAGAAACTATTAAGCTAACTGAGCAAATAAATTTATCCCGGCTATCAAATACAACTAAGCTCGAATATGTTCCAATGGGAATAACTTCACATACTTCAACAAAAGGAGTCATACCATCAAAAAATAATCAGCAGCTTAAACTGCCTCTTGTGAGCCATTATTCGTCCTTAAAGCCTTCTGAAAGTAAAGAATATCACTTTAAACTCAACAAAATTAGACTGCTTTCCAAGCTCGGACCTTCCAAAAACAATCAAAAGATATTTCACAATTTTAAGAGAAACTATTTACTTCCTGAGCCGTGTGCTGGCCTTTCAAGTACTCTTACATTTATCAAAGGAAACGCTAGTCCAATTCCTCAAACCAAACTATCTCCTAAAATTGAAAAGGTTGAGACAAATGAAATCTCAAAACAATTGACACCTAGAGGGACCCAAGTGAATAATTCAAAGCATATTAGAATAATTTCGCATTTACCAAGGAGGAGTAAGTTAAAAATTAAAGAGGTAGGGATAGTTCCTTCCCATACATTGAACGATGTTGGAAGTGTTGCTTGCAAGTCTGTAAAAATTAATCCAAAGGAGATATTAAATGGTGGAAGGGAAAGGAATGCTACAAGGTACTTAGCAGTAAGAGCAAAGTCTTTTTCTGAGTCAAAATTAACTGGCAGATTGGTAAATGTGCCATATGAGAAAAAAATTAAAATTAAAAGGCCAAAAATTCAAAAGAGCAGCAACTCAATTACATATGAAGCAATTTCAGCTTGGGATGATTTAGATCAAGAAGACTCATTGTATCAGCATTAGCTGCATGCAATTAATTAAATAATGAAATCTTAATATCAAATTATATTTAATAAGTCGCTATAAATTCAAACCCAGCATCTCTCCAGGCTATCAATTACATAAATATAGAACCAAAATAAATAGATATAAATAAACTTTTATGAAAAAGAATTATGAAAGAGATGAATAACAATGTAAAAAAGCATCCAAGAAATGATTTATTATGGGAAACTATCAGAACCTCTTCAAAGACGATTTCTGACATGGACTTCAGGCTACTTTTAATATCATCTTATATTGAAGATCTAGAAACTATTGATGAACGAATAGAAGGTCTAGTCTCTTTAACGAACGTATTCACGGCTTCCTGCTTTGACTATCTTGCTGAAATTTATCCTGACAAATGCAGAATCTTGATCAGAGAAGACACTATCGAACTTTTGATTTTCCCTTCACTGAATTTGTTTGTATATTTGATTCTTGATAGATTAACCCTTCAGCTTACAATAAAATGAGTCAAAAAGACAAATGAGCCAAATAACGACGAGTCTAAATTTATCACGGATCTAGTAAACAGAATTCTACACTGGCTTTGGATACACATGACAAGAAATAATTAATTTATTCTTATAATTATCTTAATTACATTAGCTTTGGAACCAAGGCTCTTCTAGTACACTTTTTGCTGTCGATCTTAAATTTGGATCATAATTAAGCATTTTCTGAATAAGCTGTTTCGCTCCTTCAGATATGGTTTCAGGCATTACATAAAATCCCCTTTGGATCTGTATATATAAGTCACCATGATGTGCGGCTCTGAATGGAAATTCTCCTGAGAGCAGAACATATAATAAAATCCCACATGCCCATATATCGGCAGGCTGTCCTAAATACTCTTTTTTCATTACTATTTCTGGAGCCATATAGCTTGGAGTTCCGCAGAATGCTTTTATTTTTTTGGTGTCTGATAATAAAATAGCAAAGCCAAAGTCAATTATTTTTACTTTTAGCTGTGAAGTGAGCAAAATATTTTCAAGCTTTATATCTCGATGACTTACATTTCGACTATGAAAATAGCATACTGCTTGCATGATTTCTTTAAAAATCCTTTTAGCTTCGTCCTCTTGAAGCTTCCTGCCTGGCATTTTCCTAATATAATCATGAAGTGAGCACCCATCTACGAACTCTTGCACCAAATTGATCGTTGAAGGTGTTTCTACTGTTTCATGAAGTTTTACTATAAACTCGTGATTAAGTTTTGACAAAATCCTTGTTTCTCTTTGAACATTTTTCTTTTTATTTGGCTCAAGAAGACTCAGTTTATCGTATATTTTAATTGCCACTTTTTTATTTGTTTCTTTGTGGATTCCTTCTTTGACGATAGCATAAGCTCCTTTCCCAATTTGATTCCCAATTATATAAGAATCAACAGTTCCTTCTTTTTCTTCAACTTGCTGCCTTGCTGTGTTCTGGTCTGAGTGTGAAACTTGCTCAAACCTTAGTCTAGGCCCAAAACATATTTGGGTTGGTGATTTTTCGTTTTCTTCTTGTGTCTTATTTTTTAAAATACTGCTGCCTGCTTCTTTGAGAGGGGAACAGATTTGAGCAAGTTTATTGGAGGAAATTGATGATACTATTTCTTGCTTCTGATTTGGCTCGTCAGGTGGATTTTGCCTTAAAAATCCTGGAGATTTTAGCTGTAAATGGGGCATCATCTTTTCAAGCCCATCTTTGTCCTTGCTGGTGAATTCTTCGAGGCTGTCAAAGTTCATTTGATCTGATAGAACTGTGGTATTTGCAAGGGAGTTTTTGGAGGTAAGAGTTTTGGGGGCACGGTTTGTGTATTTTATTGAAATTGGATTATTGTGAGAAATTTTAGAATCCTTTGCTCCCGATGCTGCAGTCTTTTTGGTTTTATCTGCGCCCGTCTTTGCTTTTCCAATTCGTTGAGTTCGTTGAATTAGCAAGTTTCTGATCTCATGCTTTCTTGGTGATTGGGTTTTTATCATGGCAGAAAGTTTGGTGTAACTTTTAATTATTCAGGGTTATTAAATTCTTTTTTTCATTATCAGGAATGTATATGAAAAAGAATTAGCAGATTTTCATTTTCTATGAACAATCTAAGCAAAAAATAATGCTGATATTTTATTTGTTTGCAAACCATTTGTCTTATAATCACGAACTAGTTGACGATAAAATATTATTGGCTTACTTCTTCTTACTCCTCTCCAAGCGAGCACAACATTTGAAAAAGTCCAACGATTATAAAAAGATTTGATAAATAGTTATTATTATAATATATTGAATCTCTAATCAATTCTATAAATTTAAAGGCTTGCATTATAAAAAATTTTATAAATAAAATTAAGCTTATGAAAATTTGCAAATATTAATTTTGAAAAAAAGAATTTAATAAAAAATTAACCCCTCTCCTTGAGCAAACAAAATGCTCACTCGCTAGTGAGAAGTTAGCAACACCAACAGTCTTACCTCTTCTGCCTGTAGTTTTGGTCTTCTGTCCTCTACATTTGACTCCCCACCAATGTCTCAGCCCTCTATGAAGCATCATTTTCTTCATCCTTTCCAAATCCTCTCTCATTTTTGCATCCAAAAAGTTAGCAACTATCTGTGAATCAGTCCCCACAACAATATCCCTTCTTCTGTTCAAAAACCAAGTTGGAATGTTATATTCAGTTGGCTTATTGATGATGGTGACGATTTTCTCGATTTCTTCCTCAGTCAGTTGTCCAGCTCGTTTGGTAAGGTCAACTCCAGCTCTTTTGAGAATGAGGTTCGAAAAGCGTCTCCCAATTCCTTTAATTGCAGTCAAAGCGTACATAACCTTGCGGCGACCGTCAATGTTGGTATTGAGAATACGTAAGATGAAATTGAATTCGCTTTCTTGAGTTACCACCAGAGATGACTATGTAATCCTTACCATTCTATGGATGCTATCTATTACTTAAATGGTGAAAACATAAACACAAAAAACTTATACGCCAGCGCGGAGGATCATATAAAGAGGTGAAAGTCTTAACTCCCCCTCAACTGGGCTTAAAAACTCAATAATCTAAAAAATAGAGATTCTTTAAAATTTAAAATTTTTTAATTCGATAAGGAACAAATTAAAATTTTACAGTTTAAAGGGGTAACAAAAAATCAAAATATTAAAAATTGGGTATTCTTATGAAATTAATTCAATTTTTTGCTGTAAAAATAATATATTAAATACTCTTAACCCTCTTATTTAAAAGTATATAAAAAAACATAGTTTTTTTTTAAACCCCCATCCTTGATCAAACGATGGCGAGCTGTTCAATCAAGGATGGGGGGAGTAAGAAGTAAGAGTTAGGGTGAATGAATTTAAAGGGTTAAGCAGAGACAGTTCTATCAAGAATATTGTAGTTCAAAAGCTTTTCGATCAGGTCCACATGTGTTAGCAGCATTCTTCGGCAGCAGAACCTTTTCAGGTTAAGTTTGTCTAGAGCTTCGCCTTCAGTGATGTCTTGCTCCAACAAGTTCAAGTAGCGCTCCCATTTGTTCCCTACAACCTTGCCGCAGGTAAAGCATCTTACAGGAATAATCATTTTTATAATTTAGCTTGTTTAGCCATAATACTTAATTTAATAAAAATTTATTGATATGGAGCCAGGATTAGCATCAAAAGTGTTTGAAATTTTAAAGAACGATAAGTTTAATAGATTTTGCGCTGATTGCAACATTCAAAGTGCAGGCTTTGGAGATATTGACTATGGAACGTTTATATGCTATAAATGTGTGGCTTTACATCGAGAAATTAATGTAGACAGTATAATTAAAGTGCTAGCTGATGAAGTCTGGGATGTAGACGAGATTAAAGTTATGATTGCTGGAGGAAATGCAGCTTTACGCGACTATTTTAAGTACTATAGAATCACCATAGAAACTCCGATGCTTTTGAAATACAAAACGCGGGCAGCTGCATTTTATAGAAACATGCTAGCAGAAATAGCAAGAGAAGGAAATTTTGAAGGAAGTTTTTTATCCTTTGAAGATGGAAATCGTCCAGATCAAGAAGAACATATTAATTCTCCTCCCCCTCCTGCTCAGCAAGCACCAGAAGCTCAAGCTTTAGCATCAGTTCCAAAGGAAACCCCACGTGAGATGTTTTTCAGTCCTCCGCCAGAAACTGGGATTAGAAGTTGGTTTGTCAGAAAATTTAATCAAATTAGAGAAGCAGGAAATAAAGCTTTTAAAACTGTAAATGAGTTTGGAAACAATGATGTCATGAGGGATATTGAATTTATTTCTGTAGGCATAGCAAATAATGTTAAAAGCCCTTTTATATCTACAGCTGAAGAAGATATAGATCACAAATTTTTAGAAAAATATAAACAAAACATAGCTACATCCACGGCTCATACATTTTTGGAAATAAATTTGAATTCAAATTCTCAAAGTATTAAAAAAGAAGCTATGGACACTTTAGTCAAAAAAGAATCTATGGACACTTTAGTCGATCAACAAGCTAACGAAAATTAAATAAGCTTACAATAAAAGTTTAGCTAATTAATTTATTATAATTATTTTGATAGCTACTATGCAATAATAATTAATGAAAATTAATATATAATTTTTATATATAACTACTTTATTTAAAGTGCTTGTGCAAATTATTTACTATTCATTCTATTCTAAAGGTTAGAATAAAATTTACTACTTTCTTTTCCTTTTGTTTTTTCCTTGCTTCACAATAATCCCTTTTGATCTTAAAAAGTCTAAAGGTTCATCTTGCTTAACAGGCTCAGGAATACTTGGAATTACAGGCTTCTCTTCTGGAACTGGGGTTGGCTCTAGAGGATCTTTCATTCCAGGGCTCAAGCTTGGAAAATCATCTGCTGGTGGTGCTCCCAAGCTTGGGAAGTTTTGGTTTTGCCCAAGACTTGGAAATTCATTATTGGCCCTTTGCGGAAAAGGTGAGTTTTTAGCTCTTGACCAATTATCATTAGGCCCTGATTGGCTATTTCCGCTTAAAGATGGGAAATTTGGTTCATTTACTCTTGGTGCTTTAGCTTTTTTCTTCATCAAGACATTGCCCCATCCTACTCTCTCGTCTTTTTCCTCTTCTTCATTTTTAGTCTCTTCTTTCTTTACTTCTTCTTGAGCTTTTTCTTCTTCCCAATTCGATAATAGCTTTTGGTCGTCTTTAAAAGGCAGCCCTTTAAGTTTTGCTATACACATTTCAAAGTACTTATGCAAAATATATAGCTGCTGTGGCTCTAAATCACTTACAAAATAGTCTTCATATTTAACTGTAAGTTTTTCATTAAAAGCTCTGTCATTTGCTTTGTCAATCATATTTAATATTGCGCCTTTTGTTTTGTCTGTAACTATATGCATTAAAATGGCGTGGTGAGCCAGCCTGCTCTCTTAAGTCCTGCAGCTTGCATCCCACAGAATGCAGGAAGAGAGGGGTTTGGGAATTTGCATCGGTCAGGCTTTTCTAAGTTTGGTGAAGCCAAGTTGTGGAATCTGTCTAGAGGCTACTTCCAGATCAGATTTTTTCTCTCAGAGGGAAATAGAGCTGAGGGTTCAAAAGGGATCTTCCAGCAGAGTCAAGGGTTAGTTTCCTGCCCAATCAGCACTGTTTTCTTCTTGAAGCCAGGAATAACGCCCAGGTCCTCGGATTTCCATTTATTCGAGAGTCGACCTGAAAAAATTCGATATTTCGAATTTTTCATAGTGGGCAACCTTTGCTGATGCATGAACAGTGGTATAACTCATCCAGCTACCGTAGCAAGCATAGGACTCATCCTGCAGAAATAGCTTATGTAAAGCCGTGCATGAACTGGGAAGCGCGTTATGGGTGAAGGTAGTCCTCCAGAAATTTGCAGAGGACTTTTTATAAGTTAAATGAGTTAGTAAACTTTGTCTGTTACTCCAAAGTTCATTATAAACATAAGCCTGACCATATCCTGGTCTTTTAAGCGATCAACAACCGCAGCCATTTGGAATAGATGGGCAGTATGGATAAACAATGGTTTTTCTTTTGGCTCATTTTTCCTTCTTTCTAGCTCTTTTGAAACAATCTCAAGCAGAGTTTTCAAAATTGAAGCTTCATTGGAGCAATCCGCGAGGGAGTTGTGACATCTGCCATCAGATGTGACGTTTTGTCTTGATTCCATATAATGAATATACTCAGCAAAAAGCTCTTCTTGCTTTTCATTTTGCCTGACGGTTGTTATAAGTATTGGAAATAAAGCTTCTCCTTGAACGTTTCCTAATAAATCGATAAATCTAGAAAGCATTACAGCAGCTGTGATGTAGCCTTTATTGTAGTCAACAGTTATGGTTTTGAATTCCGTGTACTTGTTTTCATCGTTATCTAATGCCTCTTTAATCATATTTATCACTTCTTTATCAGGCCTTTTTGGTAGTGTCTTATAGTCTACGATTTTTTCAGGTCTTTTGTTGACGACGTATTTTTTTGTATTTTTCGGTTTTGGCTTGGGTTGATCTTTGACTTCTTCCTCTTCATTCTTTTTAGGCTTAAATTGAGCTCTGAAGTCCACTCCTTCATTATTAGGTCTGCTAGGCATTTCATCAGTGCCCACCTGAATAGCCGCTAGCTGCGTTTTTTGAGCTTTTGTTAGTTTTTGATTGCTCATATGGACACTCACAGTGTGCATTTGTAAATCATAAGGTGTCCGAAACACAGAAAACCTACTATCGGTACAAATCGGGTCATGGCATACATAATGAGCCTTCTGGAAATGCTTTTTCAATTTGTCATGGTTTGCATAAAAAATATAATTTTCCCCTTCACAGATATTACAAAAATAGTGCTCTCTATCTAAGTGAAGCTTAAGCTCGCTTTCGTCATAAAATAACTTGTTGTCAAACAAGCAAGTTCTATGTGGAGGGATCTCATCGATTTCCCCAAATTCAATGTGACGGGCTATATCACTTGGAGGGTACAGTTTTTGTTCTCAAATAAATATTAGCCTAGAGTTCAAGCAAACCTTGCAAAATCTGAGCTTATGGACGTACTCTATATGCTTTTTAAGCTGAGCTTGAGTTCTATGCTTGCTTTCCCTACAGTTTGGCAGCCAACAATTGTAGCTAGTTATGCGACTAAATGCGTTTTGGGCTGCTTCGTCTTCACAGATTATCCCGTACTCGTTTTCGTTTGACTCGAGACCAGGATAGTCTTCAAATCTTGCATTAGGATTTTTGGTAATTAAAACTTTTGGTGACTCAGTCTTGCAAATTGGGCATTTTATATCTTTCATGAGGATCCTAAGTCTGCAAGAGCAGTAAAGGCACATATCGTTGTGGCCGCAGCTTCCAACTGCATGAAAATCAAGTTCTCGGGCACAGACCCAGCAGTCTATGTTTGCCATTTATTCTTTACAATTGATCGTGATTTAGCTTAATAATCATTCTAGATGCTATTTCAATGAAATACTCAAAAATGTTATATGTCTTTATACCTAATTATAATAGACATTTTTCTGGTTTTATGGATAGGTTTTAGGCATAATCAGTTAAGGTTTGATCATATAAATTGATTATAAAAATCTTTGTTTATTAAATACGTCTAGATCTAGACGCTATTTCTTTTTTTGGAAGAAAATTTTTTTCAAAAAAATTTTGGTTTGAACGATTAAGAGAAGGGGTTTTATTTAGCAGTCCTCTGAGAGCCTGATACATGCTTCCTCTGGACTAATTAACCGTTTTATGGATAATTAAGGCGTAATTCTTAATTTCAAGCTTAAGAAATGGCCTAACGCCAGAGATATAATTAATAAAAAATTGATAGGATAATTTATAATTATTAATTTGCACAGCATTCGACACAATAAGTATCACCACATCTATATCTTAAAATTTAGGCACTAATTCGGTCTAAGTCTTAATATTTGTAATTATGAATACTGGCAAGGCGTTGAATTTATTTGACATTTTTGATGGTAACTATAAACTATAAAATGGGATCATGCCTCAGCTGCATCAAGAAAGACAGTTCAAAAACTACCAAGACTTTTGAGTTAAGCTACCCTAGGAGTACAGTTATCGAGGTGCCAAAGTGAAATAAACGAGGAGAAGTTGAAGATTTAATTCAACAACACGTTGAACTCACAAACCCTAGTCTGGTCCTCGCTAGGGAAGTCAGACATAGGAATAGGAAGTATTTCATCTCAGCCTGCATCCTCCCAGGCCTTAAATCAGAGACCCTTGCCCCAAAAATATGCCAAGACCAGTTGCTAATATCTGAGGACGGCAACAACATTCTCATGGTTATCTATGATGGCCATGGTAATGAAGGTCATAAAGTAAGCGCCTTTTGCAGCCAAGAACTTGAATTTTACTACCAAGAGCACAAGCAAGACTTCTTACACTCTCCAAAACAGTCACTAACTATAGCAACTCAGCATTGTGATCAAGCTCTCTGCCAAAGTGGGATTCCGATCAGTACTTCAGGGACAACCCAAGTTGCAGTTTTAATTCAAGGAAGCCAAATTTACTTTGCAAATGTAGGTGACTCCAGAGCACTTTTGGCATCTGGGGCTATAGGACCTATTAGACCAACTATGTCTGGAGGGTCTAATGAAGATTGGGAATCAACCTTAGAAGACTGCCGAAAAGACAGATCAATTCCAGACGCATACCCAATTAAGCCATTTCAGCTGACTTCTGACCATAAGCCTGATTCAGATACAGAAATGATGAGGATCCTTGAGAGTGGAGGCTGTATTAAGAAAAAGTGCGATAAAGGCTTCAAACATGGGCCTTATAGGGTCTATAAACTAACTGAAAGTGTTCCAGGCCTCGCCACTTCGCGAACCATTGGAGACAAAGTAGCAAGGCAGGTGGGGGTTATTTGTGACCCTGAAATCAGCACCCATGACCTTGAATTCGAGTACGATGAGTTCGTCATCATTGCTACTGATGGCCTTTGAAATGTTATGTCAAACGACGATGTTGTTAATTTCGTTGCTGCTTATAGAGATAAGTGCCAAAAAGAACTGGATCACTCCTTAGATGTTGAGCCAAACCCTAGCAATGCATGCATTGCCCATCTCCTTTGTGAAGAGGCAAGATTAAGGTGACTTAAAATAGCCTCAACCAAAAAAGTAACAGTTGACGACATTTCTTGTATTATTTTAGATCTCAACAAAGACAAAAACGACTCATACCTAGAAGAGCCAACTGTTGAGAAGTCAAACAAAGTCATGCCTGCTATGCCAGAGCTGGTACCACATGTGGAAAGACACAAAGATCTATTTTTACAGAAAGTTATGAACTATGTTCCATTTGAAGCTGGAAGATGTCCTTAAATGTATGTAAAAATTCAATTTATTTTTCTTAACAATTTTTGGGTCATTTTGACACCAAACTGTCTGAAAATGCTCCGGAAAATTGTCTTATGTCTATAGTGTCCATACAGCGAAGATTATTTAAAACAGCATTATGGTAATGCTCATAAATAATTCAAGACTGCATATAATTTTGTCTTTTAAGTGTGTTGCATTATTTAAGTTTGTCTTGTATATGCGAATCCTTGCTTGGTTTGCTGATAAAATATTTTTAATTTTGGTATTGATTTATTGTATTTGCTTACATAAATATTTCTTCTAATTGAAAACTGATAGAATTTTATTAGGGCTTGGGCAATTATATTAAAATAATTTGGATTGATATCTCCAATAAGATTAATTAAAGTTAAAAATGGATTGGCTTAGAAAAGGCAGCTAAGCATGCTTCTTTTATAGCCTCACAAAATCCTGGATGAGCATGTGTTGTTCTTGCAAGATCTTCGGATGCCGCTTTGTATTCCATTCCAATCACTCCTTCCATAATCAATTCTCCAGCAGTTGGCCCAATAATATGGATTCCTAATATCCTATCAGTTTTTTTATCTGCCAAAACTTTGACAAACCCTTCTGTTTCATTATTAGCTCTTGCTCTGGAATTCGCCATAAATGGAAAAGTTCCTTTATTGTACTCAACATTCATTTCTTTCAAATTTTCTTCAGTTTTTCCTACCATGGCTACTTCTGGGTGTGTATAAATGACCCCAGGAATTGCTTCATAATTAATATGTCCTTTACCTCCTCCTAGGTTTTCTGCTACAAAAATCCCTTCTTCTTCAGCTTTATGAGCCAGCATAGGACCTTTAATGACGTCTCCAATAGCATAGATGTTTTTTACTGCAGTCTGCAATTGGTCATTTACTTCAATTCTGCCTTGTTTATCTTTTGTAATGCCCAATCCTTCTAGATTAAGTCCAATTGTATTTGGACGTCTTCCTACAGAGACCAATGCATAGTCTCCTTCGAGAGTAGTTGGTGAATTTGTGCCTTCCAGGTTTAATTTTACTCCATTGCTGGTACTTTCTCCTCCTACAACTTTTGTGCTCAAATAAAATTTCATGCCTTGCTTTTCTAAAATTTTTTGTAAAGCCTGGGCTACTTCTAAATCGTTTCCTGCTGCAATTCTATTGAAAAATTCCACAAAAATAACTTCAGAGCCAAGCCTACTCCAAACACTTCCGAGTTCAAGGCCAATGACACCTCCTCCAATAACTAAAAGTTTTTTAGGGACCTCTGCAAGCTGCATTGCTCCTGTTGAGCTCAAAACTCTATTTTCGTCAATTGGTAAAATTCCTCCTGGCAGATTTGCTGGCTCTGATCCGGTCGCAATTATGAAATTCTTAGCTGTGAGTTTTTTGCCATCTACCTCAATTTCATTAGCTCCTTTAAATGTAGCTGTTCCAGGGACATGAGTGACTTTATTTTTCTTACTCCTTCCCTTTAAATTGAGAAAAGTATCGTCAAATTTCAGTTTTTTAGATATAAGTAGCTTTGACCCTCTTTAATGGAGGGAATATAATTAGAATCCTACTAACTGGTACTCTGAATATATTAATTTTATTAATCAATTATTCTTAAAAAAATAAAAAATATGTATCTAATTTATTTTAAATTCTTTTTAAAAAAACCTTTAAATTGAACCGGAATTTTTTGTTTTATTTAAAAGGAGAGTTAAATAAGGATCCAATTCCTTTTGTAAGGCCATCTACAGCCTTTTGCTTTGCTTTCATCATTTGAGACAGATCAAACCTTGGGTTCTCTACGATGATGCCGTGCTTTTGAAAATCTTTGCAGGCCTCAGCGTATTTGTGTGTGGAGTTAGCCAGTGATTTTGCAGGGATGCATCCTACATTAAGACAAGTGCCTCCAAGCGTTGCTCTTTTCTCAATGCATGCTGTGTTCAAACCAAGCTGAGCTGCTTTGATTGCTGCTACGTATCCTCCTGGGCCTGAACCAATGACTGCTAAATCATAATCAAAGGATGCGAACTTCCTACATATTCTCAATTTTGAAAGCATATTGATTTAATTATATTTTCGTAATAAATATTAAATGGTTGATAAACTCATCAATCATTCAGCCTAAAGATAAAGAAGGTATAGCTGATTTAAAATTCTCAGAAATGAAGCTGCTTAAAGAATTTATACTCTCTGAATAAAGAATAAAGAGAAGACAAAGATTTATTATAATCAATTTTCCATCAGATATCCTAAATTTGAATCGAGAATAGGTTTATCAATACTTCTCCTCGTGAGCAATACAAAAATATTGCTCGCGTTGGAACCGAGGAGATAAAAGCTGTTCATGCTGAAGACATCCCTGAGTATTAAAACCTGAATCCTCTAAACAAAATGGCTTGCGTGAGTTGAAGATCAAGAAAGTTAAATAATAAATTTATGCAAATTACAATTATAAGCCACCTGATTGATAATCATTAGCAAAACTTTTATGGTTCCTAACTTGGTCTCTGCGCATGCCTCGGACTGGCTGCTTTCTGTTTGGCTGAGGTCTTAAAACAAGATTCTCATTCGGGTCTTCTTGATTCGACATACAAGAAAACATTTTTGACGGCCCTCGGTCTCCAACCCCTTTAGTGATCCTTGAAATTGCCCCATTTAGCATTGAAGACCATGATCGTTCAGATGATGGGCGATTATGTGATGAAGCTTCATAAATATCCATAGTTTCGTGAATCTGCATGACAATATCATTTAATTTTCTTTCAAACGTAGAAAAGTCAGCAGAATTAATTGTGTAAATCGTTTCTCCTTTTTTTGAAAGTTGATTTCCCTCCATCATCATTTTCATAAGAAGTTTGTATAGATTTTCTAATTCTGATTTGAATACCTCTATGATGTGAAATTCTGGGGGTGTAATGCTTTTAACACTAACATTGAGAGCGTCTTCAGGGTTGTGGGAAAAAGAGCTACTATTACCCTCAGATTTTTGGTCTAGTTTCTGTGATAATTTTATTATTTCTTTTCTGGCGAGGTCTCTCTTTTGGTTTGATTTGTTCAACTTATCAGAAATTTTTTTATTTTCTACTTCTAATTCCAGAACTTTGGCTTGGTAAGATGCGCATTCTTCTTGGTAATTTTTCAATTTTTCTTGAAAATCTTTATTTTCACTTTCAACACTGAATAATTTTGCATTGTTGCCTGTGCTTGTTTCCTTTATCCCTTCTAATTGTGATTTCAAGTTTCGAATTTGAATGTCAGCATTTTCAAGACTTTCTTTGTAAGAGCTCTCTATTTCGCTTATTTTTTTTAATAATTTTCCGTTTAAATCAATACTTTCTTTTTTTTGGGTTTCTAATGTATATTCAGCGGCTGAATATTCCCGGGATTTTTGAGCAAGTTTTTCTTGAAGCTCTTCAATTTTAGCTTGCTTTTTCTGTAGTGCTTTTTCTTTTTGTTCGAGATTGTCCTTACTCTCCCCCCATCCTTGATCGAACGATTGACTGTAAAAATCCCTAAAAATTGGGGAAATTAACCCCCATCCTTGATCGAACGATTTTCATATCATGTAAATTTTTATATATATAAAAATATAATAGTTATCAAAAGCTTGGGAAGATGCACCTAATGAAGTTGTTTTCAGAGACTTTGAGACGATAGAAAGCTTCGGAATCAGCCATTCAAAGTAATTTAGTCATCAACACGGGCTTAAAAACTCAATAATCTAATAAAATAGAGATTTTTTAAAATTTTTAAAAACAAATTTAATTTAATAAGTAACAAATTTAAAATTTATACAGTTTAAAGGGGTAACTAATAAATCAAAATATAAAAAATTGGTATTTTTTATGAAATTAATTCAATTTTTTGCTGTAAAAATAATTATTAAATACTCTTAACCCTCTTTATTTAAAAGTAAATAAAAAAACAATTTATATATATATATAAAATTTTATATATAAAATTTTATATATAAAATTTTTTTAAACCCCCATCCTTGATCGAACGATGGCGAGTCGTTCGATCAAGGATGGGGGGGGGAGTTAAGTGATCTTATTTCAGTTTCTGATGAGTCTCTTTGGAACATCAACCTAGCATTTTCTCTTTTAATTGATTCAATTTCAATAGTTTTTTTGTGATTTTCTATTTCACCTTCCTGATGAAGTTTTTCTAAGCTGAAGATTTTTTCGTTTAGATTTTTGTTTTGATTTACTTGATTTTCAAGTTGCAAAATATAGCGTCTCCACACTTTTAGCCTGCCTTTGGCTCGATGTCTCCCGAGGCAGCTTCACTAACTTATGTTGGGGGAGCCCCCTGATTGTCTCGGGAGACATCAGGACAAGAGGAGGCTAAAAGCGTGGAGCCGCTATATTTTTTTGGTTTTCTGAATCAAGCATTCTATTCGCAAGTTTCAATTCTTGAATTTCTTGGCCCAGTTTATTATTTTCCAATATATTTGCTCTGAGCTTATTTATTTCTGCTTTTAGATTTTTGATTTCTACTTCTTTATCCACACAACAGTTTCCACTGCTCTCAGGTCTCATAGCAATTTCTGATCTCAATGCTGAAATTTGATCTTGCAAATCTTCATTTTGTTTTTTATAATTGCTAACCAGCTCATCCTTAGAATTTAGATGCTCCTTAAGTAATTGAATTTCTGTTCCTTTTTGCTCAAACAAATTTTGTGTATTGGCCAAGTCAGCTTTAACTTTTGTTAGCTCGAGCTCTAAGGCTTCTATGTGTTCCTTATAGCACTTTGTTTGGTCTTGAACATTTGTGAGGTCTTTTTTCGACGTTGAGAGCTGTTCGGTCAGCACTGTGTTTTGAGAATTTAGAAGCTTGACTTCATTATCAAATTTATAAATTATTTCGCAGAGGTCTGAAGTAGATAAATTATAGAGATTTGAGCTCTCCATAACAACGTATCCATCTTGAACTTGAGCAGCTTGATTTCCTTCTGGATCGGCTTCTTTAGGGTCTTTATCCTTTTTAGCAAAAAATTTTTTAAACCCTCTCATAATATTTAATGTCGTTGTATTGTTTTTTTGTATATGTCTTCAATAGAAATTTATTTAAACTTGAAAAAATAATAAATAACATATAGTCCTAAAGAAAAGCCTATTATTTTTATTTTTAATAAAGACTTGCATTATAAACCCAAACCTTAAAATATCAGCTAAATCCATGAATAAATCAATAATATTTATCTTCTTTAAAATTTAGATATTTTCTTTATAATAGAAATGTGGGTAAGCTATTCATATGACGTAGGAAGTCTAAGCTCAGGCTCTGAGCTATTCGGCTTCCCAATCCCTGAAAACTTAGTTACTAGTAATAAAATTTCTTATTTGGATCTTTGAAATCTTCTTCAAGAGTATCAAGCATTGACTAATTCAAGCACAATTGTGAGTTACTACGACGAAGAAATAGGGGCCTACAAAATTCTTTCCTCAAGCACAGAGCTCTCCACCGATTCTGAAATCCAACTCCTTATCCAAAGATCCCAAATAAGCGAAATTGGCAGTCTATTAGAAAGAGTAGAAGACTTAGAAAACAATATTTCTCAACTCCATTCTGTCTTCAAAAATGATATCGAATTCAAGCCTACAAATCAAGTCAAAGCAAACTCAGAACCGCTTGATATAGCGATGCTATATGCAGCGCCGCTTACTCGAAAAGATGGCATCAAAATCAAAGAATGTGACAATTGAAATTTGAATTTTGATATGGAGCGGAAAAAACTGCTAGAAGCTTTTGAAAGAAGCCAAATCCATGCTTCAATACGATTTGAGACTGCTACGCTGGAGCATTTAAGAGAAATAATTGAACTGAAACCGAGAATTATACATATAAGCTGCCATGGGTATTATCAAAGAAATTCACCAAATGAGTTTGTACTGGCATTTGAAGATAGTAAATGCCTTGGTATGAGGGATGAAGTGAACCAAAGCCGACTGAAAAAAGTTTTGGAAACCCAAAGCCAGTACTTTAATATAGTCATAGTCAGCGCTTGCTTTTCACAAGCCATTGGACATGTATTTTTGGATGCTGGAATTGACTGCGTAATTGCAATTCATGACCAATGCAAAATATTGGATGATGCTGCAATTTCGTTTGCAGTCACTTTTTATAGAAGTCTGCTCAGAGGCAAAACAATAAAAAATTCTTTTATTGAAGCAAAGAAAAATGTGAACTTTGAGCAAGCAGCAATGAGAACTACTTGTTGCTGTGCACACAATCATAAGAGACATTGCACTTGGAAAGTGAAAAATGATCATATGGAGCACACTCCGAATGAGCAGTGTGTATGTGAAAAGAGAAATAATGATTCTGTCCATAAATTAAACTGCGAGTGGGCTTTGAAATTTTTAGCTAACTTTTAGATAATAATTTTTTTTAATAAACAATGAAAGAATTTAATATTTAATATTTTTAAATAAATAGATTAAGTATAATAAAACAAGAGTTCCAAATGATCAAGAAGTCAAAGATGGAAGCTGAGTAATTTGCTGCTGTTCACCAGAAGTTCCTCACAATGAGGCTATGAAATTCAAGCTGCTAATGAAAGATAAAGAAGCTGCAAATAAAGTTCTGTTTTCTGAAAGGGCTCAAAAAGAAATCCAAGAGCCTTACACATATGAAACCTTATTTAAACCCCCTCCAGTTCGCCAGAAAATAATAGGAAGAAACAAAGAAATGCAAGAGCTGTTGGAGCTCGGCAAAAACAATAGAGTAGTGATAGTAAATGGGAAACTTGGAATAGGAAAATCTCTTCTAGTTAAAAGTGTCGCCCATTATGCCTGTGAAAGAAGAATTTTCAAGCATGGAGTTTTATATTTGAACCTTCAAGGCAAAACAAATTCCAGCACCATCAACCAAATGATAGCTAAAAGCCTTAACGTCCCTTGGGAGAAAAGTAAAGAAGAAATCGCAAGAATAATTGAAAATATGCACCTTTTAATAATCATTGACAATGTTGGCGGAATAATCGCCCATAACAAAGAAAAAGTCAAAAATAAAATCGCGTCATGGGTAGAGAGAACTCAATTTCCGAAATTCTGGATTGTTCTAAGCGGAGAAAGCAATATAAAGCTTGATAGAGCTGCCGAGTTTAAGCTTGAAGAGCTAAGCAAAAGAGCTGCAGCTAAGCTTATAAAAACAAGGACAGAAGTCTATCAAAAAATTCGCAATGATATTTTAAAGCTTCTAAACTGCATTGGCAAGTCTCCTACAGAGCTATTTCAAGTGATGCCTGTACTTATGGAGAAATCAGTCGACGAGTTTTTAATTGACTACCAGTCTCATCATTCCAATCCTACAGCCAGTGAAGAAAGCCGCTCACTTTATTTGTCACTTACATATCTTCAGAATAGAAAGCCAGAATCTGTCAGTCTTATAAAACTGCTTTCTTTACTCCCTGCAGGAATTTTTAGAGAAAATTTAGACCTTGTATGTCACCAGCAAGCTTGCAATTGAAGAGATGCCCTGAATCTTTTAGAATCCCATGAAGGAGAAGAATGGCTTGTGAAAATACATTTAAGCGATCACCAAGGAAATAATGCAATGGGTGATGAGGAAGAACAAAACCATGACTTGCGATCTAGTATTTCTTTGGATGAGTATGAGAATATCAATTTAGTTAAATGTGATTCAGCGACTTCTGAAGAAATCTTGATGGTTTCAGAGCCAGTTAAAAAATACATAAAATCTGAAATCTCTTCATCTGCGGATGATGCAATTATTTGTATGGAATACTTAACGTCTTTGTCGAGAGTACTTATGCAGGTTATTAGTCAGCAGCCATCTATGGCTTGCTCTAATGTGATGAAATCGGTTAGTAATTTTAATGCTTTAACTCCATCTCCTACCTGGAAGCTCTGTAACTGTGAAGAAATAATTGCTGAAGTGTTAACTACAGTTACAAATTCGAAGCTTTCGCCTCAGAAATTATTCGAAAGTATGGAGCGCAATTTTTGGGATTTTCCTAACTCGATACTTGATTGTGCGATATCATTGAAAATTTTTAAATAAACACCCATTTTTGTCTAATGATTTTTCTATGATCAAAAATAAAACCCTATAACTTATTTTAAAGAACATTAAAAATATTACAGTATAATTGCTCCTATACAATTATAATGTGATTTCTACTAATATATAGCATAATTTATCTCTTGTTGCTCGTGCATAAATATATTATTTAGATAAAAGTTAATAAAAAAAATCATTTATTATTTTATTTCTTAATTTTTTTTATGATCGATTAACGGCGATCGGTTCGTAAAGGGAGAGTAAGTGAAACTTATTTAAGACAAATATTTAATAATCGGAGAGAAGTTGAAATAGGAAATCTTATTTTTGAAATGGGGCAATGTGTGATGTGCATATATTTGCTTTTGGGAAAGAAAAATCAAGCATTTAATTCAATTGATAGCGTAAAAAAATGTTTAAAAACTTTTACGACAAATGATTCTTTAAAGCATAAGCTGAGACTATCTTGGAGCGCTATGAAAATAGAATTTAAAAATAAATTCAGAATCGAAAAAGCTATTAAGCAAGCTGAAAAAGCTTCTCAGCATTTCGAAATCAATGGCCTGCTTGACTGTCTGGCTGAAAGCTATTTATTAAGAGCAATTATCTCAATCAATGCTCCTTTAAAACCAAAAGAAATGACAGAAAGCCGAATTGAAGAAATAGAAGAACACTTACTATCCTCATTTAATAATTTACTTGATTATTAGTGGTTATGACTATAAAATCATAAAATTTTTTATTTGAAATATTATTGAATAAAATTAATGCATCTATTTACCATTATTTTTGCTTTATGCAGAGAAGTTTTCTTAAAATCAATGAGTTCATCTTTATCAATTGGAGGAGCTAGAGCAAGCAATTAATCGATTTAAGGACCTCAGATTTTCTATTGGGAGTGCAGGTCTTGCAAGATCATATTTAACTTATTGTGACTGGAAAATTTCCAATAGCCATAGCGACGAAGATATAGCCAGAAAACTCCAGTACTCATATAAAACATTCAAAGAACTTAACTTGAAAGGCCTAGAAGAAAGATCACTTTATCTTTTGGGGAAAGTATATTTAAATATGGAAAGGTTAATAGCTGCTGAGGAGTCTTGAAGATTTGCTTTAGAAATGGCTAGAAAATATAAGGACAGAAGATATGAAGTAGAAATCAATGAGCAGCTTAATTTGATATTTGAAAGGATTAGAAGAAGAAGTGGCAACGTTATTGTTGTTCTAACTCCCCCTCCCCTCCCCGTGAGCTAACAAAAAATGTTTTAATTAAAAATTTTTTAAAGAGAACAATTTTGATATATAAGTGATAATCATTATAATGAAATCTATACCCAATTCTGTTTAATTTTAAACAGTTTGCATTTTAAAATTAAATTAATATTTGTTTGCCTCAAAATTATTTCGAATTTGGATTTTTTTAAATTTTGAAAAAAAAGGTACTATAAAATTTATCTACGAATTCTAAAAAAAAAAAAACCCTTCATAAGCGAAGGGGGGAGTAAGAGCATTTCCTCTAGTTTCAGGCGATGTAAACACTGAAAATTTTGCTCAAGATTCAGTTGTTTGTACTCATTTTTCGAGCTTCAAAAAAAGCCTTCTGGATACTTTATATCAAAAGAGAAAATTAATTTATATGAAATTCGATGTAGGAAACAGACAAAAGCTTATAGAGTATATTAAAGAAGGATGCAAAGTGTTGCATCTATCTACATGCATGCCACAAATGGAATCTCTAGTCTTAGAGAGCAGCAATTTTAGCGCTGATAAAGTCCCCATATCTGAATTGCATGAACTCTTTGGCTCTGTTACAGAAAGACCTGGCCTTGATCTTGTAGTTTTAGCAATGCCTTTTTCTGAAAAAATTGGCGAATACTTAATCAACCATATAGGAATAAATTTTGTGATTTGTTTTGACTACAAAGAATTCCCACTATGCAAATATCTCACCCAGCTCCAATTGATGTTTGAAAAAGCAATAGAAATATTCTGCGAAAAATTTTATACCTTATTGGTAGAAGGAAAAACAGTTAGAGATGCGTGAAAAGTTGCCAAACAAATCAGCGACGATTTTGTTGATTCTAATGTAAAGCTATTTGAGCACTTAAATGATGATGATTTTAATATTGAAGAATTATATGAAGGTAAAGGCCCAATTTTATTAGGAAAAGGGGACACAGCGTTATTCAGTGACTCTTCAAGTGACATCCTTTCTCATGAGTCTGTGCTATTTCCTGGACATGTGCTGCATACATCTAAGCAAGGACAGTTTGTGAATATTCAGAAAACAAATAGTAGCCTAGTCGGAAGGCACAGGGCAGCATTTGAGATTATTGAAAAACTGCTTCAATCCCGACTAGTTCATATTGTCGGACAAAAAGGTATAGGGAAAAGCTCATTAGCGAAGCATATAGGGTATTACTTATACGCCAGAGATAAATATCATGATGGTGTCTTCTGGATCAACATGAAATCCCAAGGAAGTCTTGCACAATTTAACGAAAATTTAGAAAAAGAAGGCTTATTCATGTCATTCGAAGACAATGATATGGAGCAGAACCTTACTAATAAAAGCATTCTTTTGATTTTAGATGACTGTGATGATATCATTAAAGACTCAAACGCCCAATTCCACAATTTAATCGAAACTTTGCATAGTAAATACAAGCTCAGCTTAATTATTACAAGCTATCCAGTTGAGCTTGGATATCCTTGCGAAAGATTCGAGCTTCAGCCTTTGGCTCCGTTGGAGTCAGCCTCAATGCTTCTAGCATACGTTGAAAGAAATATCGAGAGGAAAGAAATCATTCCCTACAACAAAGAAATGAATATCGCTGAAGACTTAACTGAGTCCGCCCTTCTAAAAGAATGCATGAATTTACCTTCAAAAATCAAAGAACTCGCTGCAAATTTGACCCATGAAAATTTCAAAGTTTTGGAATTCAAAAGGAGACAAAGCAATGACTCGCCTGTTTCACTTCCACCTCTTTTGTCAAAAATGACTGAATCAAATGAGCTTAGATGGTCAGACGAAGAGCTTGCTGAGGAAGAGGAAAAGAAAACTGTGAAAGAAGAAAGGAAAAGACCGAAGAATCGTGAGCACTCTGGGAAAAAGAAAAGAGGGACCAGCAAGGTGCTGAAAAAGCAGAAATCCAAATTTTAAGTTATCAATAGTCAATTTAATAATGAGAAATTTAATTGCCAGTAATTTGTATATTTTTATCAAATAAAGAGTACAAAGCATTAGTTTAACTTATGCACAATTGGCTAGATTAAGAGCAGCAATCGATCTGGTTTTCCATAGGAGGCTTGATTTTTCCTTCGTTTTCTCTATCTATTTGTGATGCTCTTCTTTTATAAAGCCTGTTTTGTATTATAGGCTGAAGTATAGGGGCGTTATTGGTCTTTGCAGAAGAAAGTAAGCAAAGTTGGCTCTCTTGATCCAGGTACTTCATACAGTTCCCCATTATATTTTTACTGTTAAATCGAAGACAATTTATTAAATAATTTCTTATTTGAACTTACAAAAATTGATCTTTAGCAGGAAGAATTTAATCTAAAGAATTTCGCATTTATTTGTGCAAGAGCATACTATATTTTCTTCTTCTTGATCAGAAAAATCAGTTGCAGCAGTGCCTGCTAGTTGGTTGATATTTTGCTCTAGCTTTTTGATAGCCTCTTTAAGTTCTTTATTCTCCTTTTCTTTTGTTTTCAAAATTTCTTCTCTTGTGCTCAGTCGATTGTTCATTGTCTGGACGTCTCTCTGCAAGGTTTTTAATTGCTCGAGAATTTGAGTTTCTGCATCATAAACGGAATTGTCATTGTATTCATGTAGAGAAAACATTTTTTAATTATTATTTTTAGACATTAGTTGTTTATATTAATACTTTTTTATTTTATTTTTATTTAATTAAAAGGTAAAGATTGCATCTAGGAATATGATGTTAAATGTTTAAACCCAAATATTAATAATTCTCTAAGAGTTTCATATAATTTACTCATGTGTTATTCTTTTATCTGTTCAGATTTTTGCTTTTTGTGAAGTAATCGCCTATACTGTCTCCACGCAGGTGTTTTCCCTTTAATCGCTCCTCCATACAAAGCAGCCTCTCTAATCGCAAACATTAGCAGACCTGTAAGAGGGCAAAAATCAGTAAAATATTGAGGATTAAGTTTTGAGTCATTCCCAATTATCATATTTTCAATCACATCAATATTATCTTCCGAAAAATCAAATTCATTGACTTTTTCAATAAAAACTCTATCAATTGATTTCTTATTACTATCCTTATTTCTTGCAGCAATTAAAAATTCTCTACAATAATTCCAAGCCTCATTATCATCTTCAGGCACAGCTAGATTTAATAATTGGAAAAATACTCTAAATGCCCATACGACATCAGGGCTAGGATATCTGTCTAAGTAGAATTTATCGTCATCCATAGTGGTTAGGAGGCTTAAAGCGCTTTTTGCTCCTACTGATAATTCAAATTTCTTTTCAGTTGTTAAGTCTTCCATACTATGCAATGCTTGTAGTTGGGCTATTTGAGCATCGATTTCTATTGGATATAATGAAGAGCGCCTTTTGGAAGATTCATCTATTGTACAACTTCTACGAGTAATTTTTGCCTCTTCCTGGTGGTCAATTACTACAGATCTTCTGGGATCAAAAGGATTCACTGACGGTGGCGAATTATGCCCGTTTGTATTAAATATTTCATGGTTTTCTTGGATATTTGAATCCTTTTCAATTGTATTTCTATGCGTTCTTATAATTTCTGGCTTAAGTTTGATATCAATTTTCTTTTTTTTCTCCTCTTCAGCTTTGCTTTTGGATTCTGCTGGCTTTTTTTTGGATTCTTCTGCATGCTTCTTCAGTTCTTCAGATTTTTTTTTGCTTTCTTCGATTTTTTTCTTTTCTTCATCCAATAAAGCTTTTTTATCTGCAATTTGTTTTGCTTTTGCTTCCTCTTTTAATTTTTTCTCTTTCGCTTCCTCAGCTTTTTTCTACTATATACTCCTCTATAAGAAAGCAAAACCATTGAGAAAATGCCTTAAAAATTTTTAAATAATTTATTTTCATATATAATATCTTTTTAATTATTTTAATTATTTACAATTAAAAAATTACTAATTCTATTGAATTTTAAGCATAAATTTTATAAATTAAATATTTGAAAATGAGAAATTTTAAATATAATTTTATAAAATTTTTATTAATGCAATTAAACCTTTTAAGAGTGAGCAGAAAAATCTCGCTCGCTCTTAAAGGGGTAAGATAGCTTCTTCTTCCTTTTTCTTTGCAAAAGCAGCTTTTTTCTTCATTTCTTCCTCCTCTTTTTTCTTTTTATGCCCTTTGACTATAATAAGCACAATTACTAAAAACAAAATTAGGCATATAAAATATTACATCAGATATTCAGCTCTATGAACTTAAGTATAGCTTCTTCAAATTTCCTTTTTTTCGCCTCCTCTGCTATTTTTTTTGCCTCATCAGCTGCTTTTTTGGCTTCTTCTTTCTTTAATTTTTCCTCATTTTGTTTTTTGAGTTTGCTGTCTGTAGTGCTTGGCCTTTCAGGCGTCCCAAATGATTTTCTGGGAACTTGGACCTTAGTTGTTTGAGGCCTATTATCAATAATTTTTGACGAAGTATCTTCATTGAGATCTATTGTTAACTTATGCTTTTCAGGCTTATTGTTTCGAACTTTTTCTTCAATAATTTGAATTGCTTGAATTATTTGCTCAATTGTGTTCCGTTGAGAGGCTAAGCTTGTGCATATCCCTTCAATCCTTGAATTTATTGCGTCATTAACTGCTGAGTTTAGATCTCCCCATTCCATTTTATTATTTACCAGAGCTACAAATCTTCTTGATTATTTTAAGGATTTCGAACTGTTTAATTAAGATAAATTAGCGATTTTTAACAAAATGTATGATTGAGATTTATAAATCCATATCTTTTAATAAAGCCCATCCTCATTCATTGCTAGTTATGGTTTTATTATGGTGAATTAATAAATGTCTTTTTATGTTTTGCTCTTAGCAGTTGCTCTTGCTGCTCCCTTATCAGACTTAGTAATAGGCCAGCCAGGGTTGCCAACACCTGCAACTTTTGATACCTATTCTGGGTATCTTGATATTCCAAACAGTGGTGGAAAATCTTTGCATTACATTTTAGTCGAAAGCCAAAATAACCCAGCGACTGATCCTTTGCTACTATGGCTTAATGGAGGTCCTGGCTGTTCTTCATTAGATGGCTTCATTTATGAGCATGGACCTTATGTATTTCCTGATGAAGGAACAGTTCTTTTTAAGAACCAATATTCATGGAACACAAATGCAAGTGTCCTTTACCTTGAAGCTCCTGCAGGTGTAGGCTTTTCAGTAATGGGCGATCTCCAAAATAATTTAACAGATGACGAAACAACAGCTCATGACAATCTTCAAGCACTTTTACAATTTTTCAGAAAATTCCCTGAGTACAGATACCACGATTTTTTCATCTCAGGAGAAAGCTATGCCGGTATATATGTTCCAACGTTGGCTTACAACATTTTGATGTATAATTCTTATAGTCCTCATAACAGCATCAACCTGAAAGGAATCGCTGTTGGAAATGGCTGCACAGACTGAACTGTTGACTGTAACCCTGCCTTTATCAAATTGGCTTGGAGTCATGCACTATTTGGCTATGATTGGTATGAAAAAATAGTTAATGATTGTGACAATTTCAATGAGTGGACGAGTGAAGCCTGCAATAACGATATTAATTACATTTCAAACGTGTTATTAGCCAATATCAATGTATATGATATCTATGGGACTTGCATTTATCATAATGACACCCAAGCTTATAAAGACAACCAAATCAGATTAAAATACTTGCTTGATCAAAATCCAATGCTAGGGGAAATTCCTCCTTGCTGTGCATGGGATGGCGCTTATCAGTATTTCAGAACTCCTGCTTTTAAGAAAGCTTTTAATATTCCGAGCAGTGTCCAGGATTGGGAATTTTGTGTAAATTTGGATTACATTTCAGATTATTTGCATGGATCTTACTATGTGTATCCATATCTAATTAGAGCAGGATTGAGAATTATGGTTTATTCTGGTGATGTTGATGGCTCAGTTCCTTTTATAGGAACTAGGGACTGGATAAACAGCCTAAATCTAGGAGTAAAACAAAGTTATTCATCATGGTATGTCGATGAACAAGTAGCTGGCTACTACATTGAATATCAAGGCTTAACTTGGGTAACTGTAAAAGGAGCTGGTCATATGGTTCCACAATGGAAAAGACCTCAAGCTCACTATATGATCAATTCATTTTTAACAGGAAATTCTTTATAATTCGCCTTAAAATATAAATAAAATGGAAGATTATGTAGTGTTTATGCTAAGATATGGAGGCAGAATTTTGGATGATATCAAAGATCAATTTGACAATAACAAGGAAAATCTTGTATTTTTTGATAAAAACGGGAAAAAAAGTGTGAGGATTCAAAAAGATTCAGAAAGTATAGAGATTTGTGAGGATGGAGATATTAGGATAAAAACCGGGATTAAAGCATCTCCATTGTGGAAAGATGTAATAGCTGAAGAACGCACAGAAAAAAAGAATAACGTTAGAAGAACACATAATAAAGCTTATGACAACGCCTTTCATCATAAACCTAATTTTTCAGCTGATATAGGAGTCTCCAAATCTTTAGCAAACTCCCCTGTTTCACACAGCCTTCAAAAAGATATAAAACCTAAAAGGGTAAGATTTGATATCCAGGATCTATAAAATACAAAATTAAGCATCCATAAATAAAATAATAAATTCAAAATTTATATAATCAAGCATTTTCTTCAAATTAGCATTATGCATAAATTATCAATAAGCAAAATTTGAAATAATTTTTTTAAAATCTTAAAAATATATTCCTCAATTTAATTTAAAAAATATTTAAGTCGTGTATATAATTTTCTTTTAGCATTATATCTCTCTCCAAGAATTTATTAGAAAATCTTTCGATATTATATATAAAAATAGCTACTGCCTGATCAATCGAAATATAAAATGGGAGGAAAGCACAGCCGAAAGAAAAGCAGTATCAAAGACGAATATCTAAAAATAATTGAAAACAAAAAGCGAGAATATTATAAAAAGAATGAAGAAGTAATTAACGCGTGCGATTTCAGAGTAACTTCCAAATAGAACTGGAAAGACTTTATCATCGAAGAAATCGAGACAGCCAAGCAGAAATTCCCAGAAGCAACTTGGCCAGCAAAGCTCCAAAAGCTCTGCAGAAATTGAAATACAATTAAAGACCACAAATGGAGGTCCAACGTCCTCTGGTACGATTACCTTCAAACTTACAAAGTCCAAACTCCCCAAAGTCAGGCCACACCTCAAGTAACCCTAAAAATCCCGATGCCTTCTAACTTTGTGAATACTTTTGAGGCCCAAAGCTTGATTGATTTCTTAAAAAGCCACTTTAAATCCAAAGAAGACCATTTTATTGCAGCCATGATTTCTAAGTTCAATATTTATTTCACTCAACAATATTTAGATCCAAATACCAATTCAAGCACTGACCTAAAATTAAACGCAGAAGTTTTAGCTGACCCCGAAAAGGTTACCAGCCAGCTTGTAGAAGAAGTCAAAGCTTTTATTATGGTCACTCTTCAGTCAATGATACATTACTATGGTGGAGTTGTTGCCAGAATGATGGAAGAAAAACCTGGAGAAATGTATGACTGGATCTTAGAAGAGGTTTTTTCAGAAAATTTGCACAGCGTGCTAATGGCTGCTTTTAGACTTCTAAACCAGCAAGCAGAAGAAAAATATCGACAGCAGCTTGAAACGTTTGGAAATTTAAGTTGTGCGGATTTGGGTCTGGAAACACCTTTTCAGCTTGATGTTGAAAGAGGAAAAGGGATTGATCAAGGATACCAGAAAGCAATTGATAAATTAAAGGAAATAGAGCAATGCTATTCTCCACTGAATAAAGTGAACGTGATTATTAGCACCACAAGACTGATATGTGAGTGCGTTGACGATTATTGGAGAGATGACCCTGATATCAACCCGAAAGAGCTTGTTATTGACGCTGATCAGATTTTAAGCATCTTTCTTTATATTGTACTTAAAGCCAAAATTTATAACTTAAGAGGTCATGTAAAACTGATTTATGAGTTTGGGAGACGAATTGTTCAACATGGGTCAATGGGCTATTATGTCACGACGCTTGAAGCATGTATAGAACAAATCGAAAGCTTGGGGCCTGATCTTCTTGATAAGATCAAGGAATACTTTTCTAGAAATTAGATAACTCATTATTAAAGTGAATGATAATGCTTTATATAATTATATTCATATAAACCACAAGTGTTTAATTTTATTTGAAATCTATAGAAAAAATAAATAAATTGCATGAAGCTTTATTATTTGCTGGTAATTATTGATTAAATTAAAATTTCAGTTAAAATTTTTATAGGATGCAAATACTTCTTAATGCAAAAATGGATCGGTAGGATACGCTTTGTCTGAGTATCCTATTTTTTCAATATAATAATTAAATAGCTATGAAGTCAATTGAAAGTCCTAAAATCAGCTTCAATAAGGGCAGATGGTCAAGAGAAGAGCATGAATTATTCTTGAAAGGCTTAGGAGAGTTTGGTGAGAACTGGCAAAAGGTGTCTGGTATTATTAAAACAAGAGGAAAAATGCAGGTCCGAAGCCATGCACAGAAATATTTTATGAGGATTAAGATCCAGAAAGTCTGCGAACTGAAGAGTGAAGCATTTCCCTTGCTTATCAGCAAGAAGTATGAAAAAGACTTTGAGTTCGGTCTCTTTAATTATGAAGAGAATGAATATGGACTTGAAGCACTTGATGACTCTGTGATAATTTATTAAATTATTTTTAATTGCCAAGATTGATAAAATCAAATTTTTTAATTAGCCAGAGATTTAATAATTTCAACTTTTTAAAGTAAAATTGAGCTAATCAAAAGATATTACATTCAAGCATATATAATGCAAATATATATCTTTATTGGCTTCATACAGCAGTATTGTATGATTATTCTCCTCATAAATTAATTTTTTCGCAGGCTGATTTAAATAGATAAATAATGAAATAAGTGAAAAATATGTATTTAATTAATTAATTTTAAAATAAGACTTGTCTGTAATTACAAAAATGATTAAATTATGTGAAATATATAAACCAAAGTATTGTGGTAGACACCTTTAGAAATCAACCAAAAAATTGGAAGGCGAATCAATGTCATTGAATTCATTACTATCGTAGGAGGAAAATGAATTCCTCCTTCCTTCTTCTCCATTTGTAAAATTATTTTCTTCACTATAAAACCCATTTCCTTCCCCAGTCTCTCCTCCACTTTCAATTCTAATAGTTCCCAATAACTCACTTGCCTCAAGCCCTGCTTTTTCTCCTTTACGTATTATACTTTTTCATCTATTTTTTACACTGTTTTCAGTTCTTCCTTGAAGCTCTTTACTCTTCCCCTCCGTGAACGAACAAAACCATTATTTTTTGGCATAAAATCCATCCTCTGTGAGCAAACAAAATTTTTTAGAAAAAATTATTTTGATATATAAGTGATAATTATTATAATCAAATCTCGAGTTAATCTGCTTAATTTTAAACAAATTGCATTTTAAAACATAAATTTTACAAATTTACTTTACAATTTATATATAAATTTTAAAAAAAATAATTAACCCCTTTTGTTAGCGAACAAATTTTTTTTTTCACTCACGCAGGGAGAGTTAGCAATTTGACTTCATTTACTTCCAATTTCTTGGTGTCTTTTTAGAATGTACATATCTTCATCTGCGGTTCAGCCTCCTTTTTTGAGAGAAGGATTCAAATGATTCCCTCATCTTTCTCTACATTGTTTTCCATGCCTTATTTTTCTTCCATTATACATAATATCATTAAGTTCTTTAGAAATTGCAGTCCATTTTTTGGTTCCTCTAGCGTGAACGAGTTCCATTAACACTTCATCTTCTCTTTCAGACCATGATTGCCTTTGCGCATTTGCTCCATCATTTAGATCTGGCCTACAGACTGGGATAAATTTTTTTGAGATATCATCGATCTTGCATGGAACCATCCAAATATCATCATCCACTTCGTATGCTGTGCTATTATTGCTCATTTTTCTTTTTCCTTTAGACTCCATTTCATTTATAGTTGATATCGTAAAAGTGTTTTTTAGTATTAAAAACAAATGAAATTTCAAAATTTTATAAATTGTAATGAGTGCTTTTTTGGTTGTATTAATATAATTGAAACTCGAATAAGCTGATTATAACCAAAATTTAGATTATTTACTTAACAAAGTATATTGCATTGCTTAAATAAGAATATGCTTTAATATTTCTTTTATTTGAATATATATTTGTTGTAAAATGTTGGCATATATATATATATATTAGATTTTACATAACAGTCATGCTTTAGCTCGCAAATTGACATTTTAAAGAAAATTTAATATTTTATTAAATTTAGCACACCTCTATAAAAAAATTTAACGAATAAAATACTTTTTTTTAATTCTCAAGGTTAATTCTATCTCATAAAAAAAATTTCTAATATTTTTTCTATAATCATTTAATACTTGATAATTTTTGTTGAAAGATACATTTATTTTGAATTTTCTTTAAATTTAATATTTAGAATATTTAGGTGTATTTGATATTTGGTATCATAAATGTATCAACATGATTAAAAATTTAATTCCATAATTATTAAAAAAATAATTTCAAAAAAATTATATAGCCTTAAACATCAAGCATATCAAGTCCTATACATATTATCAAATGCTTACCTTGTATATATTTAAATTTTCATTTATAAACTTAACCTTCATCAAATTAGCCTGAGTGAAATAGGTTTATCCTATGCTAAGCATTATTTTAGCTTTAAACAGATTATTAAAAGTAGTAACGGAGCACTTCAAAGCTGCTGACTTTATTATGGAAATTAAAATAAATCTGATGAGTTTCCATTTTATTAATTCTAGAGAGGTTAATTCTTGTAAAAAACCATTTAAATTCAGGTTACTTACTTATAAATGGATAAAACTAGCAAGAAAAAACAACAACGCTTTGAGGATGACGCAGAAGACAGCTACTCAGAAGTCCAGCTTGAAGAAATAATCACCCAAGTGAAGCCAGGTGACAAACCTCCTCGGAGATCCTTCAATTTTTATTCCGTTGCTCGACTCATATATTCATTTTGTTCCTGTTTAAAAGTCAAAAACAGAGAGCCATCAAAAGTAACCGAAGAAACAATACTTCTCCCTCCAAAAGATTTTGCACTAAAAGCAACAAAAACGCTTGTATTGGACTTAGATGAAACTTTAGTCCATAGCTCACTTAAGCCAGTTGATAGCCCGGATATGGTTATCAATCTTACAATAGAAGGAATTTCCCACTTGATTTATGTCAAAATAAGACCAGGAGTCCCAGAATTTTTAGCCAAAGTTTCTGAACTCTATGAGGTCGTACTCTTCACTGCAAGCCTGGCTAAATATGCCAATCCAGTCATCGATCTATTAGATCCAAACGGCTATATAAATGCCAGACTATTTAGAGATAGCTGTGTTGTGTATAATGGGAGTTACGTTAAAAACTTAGACCATCTTGGCAGAAATATAAAAGATGTAATTATAGTCGATAATTCACCGATCGCATATTCCATGCACCCAAATAACGCTATTCCTATAACTTCATGGTTCGACGATCCATCTGACACAGAGTTATCCAAGATCATCCCCGTTTTGGAAAGCTTATCAAAAGTCGAAAACATTCCTCTCGTAATTCAAGACCTAAATCAGCGTAAAATCAAATTGAGCCCGAAAAACATTTCGAATTTGACTTTAAATGTCCAGCAGCAAGTTGAGCTTTCTGGACCTAAAACACATAGAGAAGAAGATAGAAGCTTTTTCAATTCTCCATTACATCGATCTACTCCTGAAAAAATATTTAGATTTGAAACTAATTAAGCACCTTATTTTAAAAAAAATTAACTTCTACTTATTCATTGATCGAAATAGCCATCGTGGCATAATGATACTCATTTTCCACCTCCCATAAAATATGAAAACAATCAGCCAGCTCAAAGCAGAAAGCAAGCCAGAGACATTGCTGAGAAAAAGAGAAAGAGCTGATGACGAAAGGATCAGGGACCAAATAACTAAAGAAAGAGAAGAACAGATGAGAAGGAAAAAGGAAAGGGTTCCAAAAATCAAATCCATTGGCTCATTTATCGCTTCTCAAAGAACTAAAAACAAATCAGAAAAAGCGTTGCTAGTAAGAATGAAAAGAAAGTATACTTAACTTAGTATCTGGTGTTTAAGGGTCTAGTGCCGCGCCCTAATAAATAGGGCTAGAGCAGACTAGTGACGTCACTGAGCCATCTTGGAATCGCGATGGTCAGCCCATCGGCCAAGTCTTCTATCAAAGCTTCGCCGCACGTCTCACCTGGAAAAGAAAGTATACAGATATCCCTTCTGATGGTCAATTAATTTTTGCCATAAGGATCCACATGTAATGGTTATTTAGCTCTGTGAATGCTGCAAACCCAATAAAGAAAGCATTAAACACCTTAAGACTCACACAAAGATATACAGGTATATTTCTAATTTGTGATGAAGCTACTCAGTTGCTCTTGAAAACAGCTGAGCCATTCATTACATTTGGGAATCCAAGCCCTGCTTTGATTGACAAGCTTATCAGAAAACGAGCTAAAGTCATGAAGGATAATTTGGAAATTCCTTTAAAAGATAACACAATGGTCGAAGACGCGCTTGGGGAAGCTGGAGTTCTTTGCATTGATGACATTATTCATGAAATCAGTCACCCTGCAGAAAACTTTAGCAAAGTCACCAATTTCTTATGGTAAAACCTACTTAGCCCTTTCAAACTTAATGTTCCACCTAAACAATTCCTTAAAACTCCATTCAACAAAGGAGGAGATTATGGGTTCAGAGCTGAACAAATCAATGACGTGATTGAAAAAATGACCTAATTGATCTATCAATAATCTTTTTTATCAAATTTTATGTGCTATTATGGATAATCTTTTTACATTTTAATTGTTAAGTTTTAACATATTTCTATTCTATGGACTTTTCTGAAGAGTTACAAAAAGCATCCAGACTGGGAGACATCGGATTAATTAGAAATGCACTAGATCAATCACCTGAGATAATAGATGAACTTGATAAAAAACTTGGATGAGCTCCTTTGTATCGAACTGTTATCTGCGGGCACTTAGAAGCAACACAATTTTTACTATCGAAAGGCGCAAACCCAAATATTCAAAATCGTCTAGGTGAAACTCCGCTTCACCAAGCTGCTGATAATGACCAATATAAAATAGCTGAATTGCTTATCAACTATAAAAGTGATCCAAATATACAGCAAAATGACGGTGATACAGCTCTGCATCATTCAGCATATAAAGGCCATTTGAAAATAGTGAAGCTTTTGTTGAGGCATAAGGCAAACCCAAACATACAAAATTTTGTTTTTGGCAAAACTCCGCTTCATCTGGCTGTTGAAGCTGGGAATTTTCAAGTTGTCCAAGAACTCCTATATTTCAATGCCTCTCCTCTTATTTTAGATCGTTCTGGGAAAGCATCAATAGATTATACTCACAGCCAAGAAATTTTGAAAATATTAAATAACGCTATCGAAAACCCCAGCTTAGGATTAGATTTTAATGAGAAAATTGATTATCCCATTATTGAATGCAAAACAGAAACTATTGATGAAGGGCTAGATCACAGTATGGACGAATTAAGATATATTCTTAAAGACACTCCTTCATTTGAAGAGGATAATGAAGTGACAAAGTCTGAATCAGTTCTTGAGCCTGAATGTGAAAGAGTTAGCACTGGGAGTGTCAATATTATAAATTCATCGAGAACTTTTTCATTTGGAGGAGATTTGAGTAAAAATAACTTGTATAGGTGGCTATGCAATGCAAGACTTGAAGCTTTATTTCAAACGCTTATACATAATGGGTATGATGATATTGAATGTATTTTTCAGCTGATGAAATCTTCGGAGCCACTTAATATAAAAACGCTTGAGAATATTGGGGTAAGGAAACCGGGATATATTGCTAGGTTTTTAGCACTTTTGGAGCTAGAAATAAAAGAGAAAAAAGTTAAGCAGCCTAAAAAATCTGCTTTTTCGTGCTGTTCTGTCCCGAATTATGCTCCAGGAATTAATTTATTACCGACTCTGCAAGAATGATTAGAACAGATGGGCTTAGGATATTTTCATCGATTTTTTAAAGATGCAGGCTATGATGATATGGACCATTTATTGATGCTAATGCACTCTAATTACCCAATTACTGATGAGGTACTCAAAAATGACATTGGGATTGAGAAGGTTGGACACAGACATAGAATTTTGGCAAGGTTAAGAGATGAAGCTCAAGTGAAAAGACACAGAAAACTTACTTCTCAAGTTGCTTTGTCTATAGAAAATAACTCTAAAGCAACTGCATGTGAATTCTGTATAATAGTCTAATTTATTCAAGATCTAGTCACGAGTAAAAACGACTTTAATGTTTCGTATTAATAAAAATTTGTCTATTGCTTGGCTTGTATTTTATGTTTTATAAATCTTAAAAGTTTAGCAAAAGTCTTAACCCTCCAGGGGAAGGACAACAATAAATGATATATAGCTCATGCACTCTTATTGATCATACAATGGGAATCAATAAGCAGAAATGGGCTATATAGCAACAATTTTGGAGCTTATTTAAAATATGATTTAAAGTTAAGTGATGAAATTAGACTTTTCCCAAAACATTTGCATGCATGCAGGCATATATTTATTTATTTTTTGAACTGTAAAATTATGGCTCAATTAATTTAATTATCCTGATCGGATAAATCTGGGAATGAAAGTTTCGAAAGCGATAGCGTGTACTAAATAAATTAATTATTTAATAAACTAAATTCAATACCTAAAGAAAAATAGACATGTGACTTTTTTTACCCGAATTCCTTAATTTATGATTTTATTTTTTTTTTGAAAATTTATAAATTAAAATATGATTTATCTACTAATTAATCTCATTTATAATGCCCATCGTGAATTGTAACTCCAAGTCAAACTTAAATTTCAGTAATTTGCATTTTTAAAGTATATCAGTAATAATTCCTAAGCCATAATAACTTTAAATTATCACTTTGGCTTTATAATAAAATGCAATCGATTAGGCGAAAGTGGCAAAATTTTCGAACTTATCGAAGACTTCAAGAACTATGGAACGAATACAAAGCATTAGCAAGCATAGAGTAAGCTCCAATTAGTACCAAAATTAAAGATTTAGCGCCTCTCAGCAACTTTTTAGATTCCTTCCAAAATGCGGTAAAGGAGTTTTACAATTCTTCTGACCGTAGAGCACAAATTGAGCAAATATTCGGAGACTGTACCGAGTTGCTCGACCTTTTATTTCAGCATTTAAAGCATTACCTCGAAGAAGAAGGTCTACAGCCAAATGAACAGAATTTAGGCATATTTCTCAACAAACTTCTTGAAGCTCTTGAACTATTAGTACGTAGCGAGCACTATCGTAAGTATGTAGAGCGTTCCCCTGAGATGATCAACAATATTATCACGCTTTTCGAAAGAGTTGACGATGAACAAGCCCGAGTCTTAGCATTGCGATTAGTGAACAGCTTTAGCATTGAAGGGAAAAAAGAAGTATGCAAAAATGGAGGCTTACAAAAAATCATGCAATTGCTGCTGGATAAAAATGAAAAGCTGACAAGGGAGGTCATAAAGACAATAAAACAGTTTTTGGACGCCAAACCTATTGAAATTGTGGAAAACAATGAAGGGATTAGAGTCAAAATTAAAAAAGTGATAGGAGGAGTCACCAAACTTGCATGGAGCTTGTTCCCGAATGATGACTCTCAGAGATCAGTTAATCAGTCTATGGAAGAAGAGGATGAGCCGACGATTTTCCCACCCTCTGAGTCCATGATAAGGGCTGCTACAAATAACTATATAGAACGATTTCAAGCAATAGAAGAGGCTGAAAGATGTCTCTCAGCAGGAAATTCTCCTGTTAAAGAAGAATCCAAAAACGAAATTATTGATGAGTTTTCACAAGTCCAAGGAGCAGTTACCACTATTGTTACAGCTTTGCATCAAGCTGCTGTAGAGGTTCAACTAGATTTAATGGAAACATTGAGTATTCTTTTAGAGCATAACGTGAAAAATCAAAAAGAATTCAGAAAAGTTGAAGGCTATGACTTAATTTGTGACTGTTTTAACAAAATTAAAACAGAAACCACCAGCAGTATTGAATTCCTTGGTGGATGCTTCAAAATCCTGAAAACCATAGTTATGGATGGAAGAAAGTCAGACCATATTGGAAACCTCAAAGCATTTGAATTATTAGGAAAATTATCTGCCACTTCACCTAATATATGGATAGTAAAAGGAGCAATTTCGACCTTAAGGCATATCATTGAAGTCAACTGGAAAAACGTGCTATGCTTCTATGAAAAAGAAAACCTAGAAAATCTAGAAATTGCTTTACAAAGAATTGTGCTGAGAACTGAGAATCCTATAGGGTTTTATAAAGATGGAGAACTTCAAGACATTTTGGCTGAGGAAAGGCTGGATTTGTTAAAATCATTTGACGATTTAACCAGGAATTTAAGCTTCATAATGGGAAATGCTTGGGAAAAAAATGTTGCGATGATTAAGATATATGGGAGCTGCATAAAAAATAACGCGAGAGAGATAGAAAAAGAATACTTAGCAATCCTAAGTGAGACTTTATCAAGTATGATAAGTGATCTAAATGCTAGATGCTCAAATAGGACTTTGCTAGCGAAAAACGCATTCCTCTCCTCATTTGATGGGATGAGAATTGCAGCTATAGCGTCATTAGAAGTTTTAAATGTTTCAGAAGAGTGCGCGTTGCCTATCCTATGCCACTTAATCCAGTTTGAGCTCTTATATACTGAGCTTATATTATCTTCTCCAATGGCTATAGATTCCAAGCTAACCTTATTCACAGCAGACCAAGTCCGCGAGTTTTCTAAACTGAGGGGCTTTGGGCCTACTGGAGAATGGATATTTGAAAGGTCTCTTCTAACTAAAGTGGGTATTGAAAATATTTCTGACGTCTTAGTCAGTTTAGTGAAAGCTGGAGAAGTCGAATTTGCAACTAAAATTCTTATACTGGATGATTATGCAAATATTGACAAATTTAGAGGATTTGCAGCAAGAGAAGAGTTTTTAAGCAGTGGAGGATTTGAATTGATCATAGAGCACATCACAGAAGAACCTTATCAAAACTTGTTATTTGCGTCTACAAAGAACTCTGGAGAGCTTAAACTAAGGATCAATAATTTAATTTCCCATAAAGAGCTAGCAAATACGTTGCCACTTACAAGCCTATCTTTGCATTTATTGTTAGATCTTAGCATAGAGTCAGGGTACTTGGAGCACTCCGGGTATATTTCTCAGCTTTTAAGTACATTACCTACCTATCAATCAGATCTGATTCTTTCTGCTGTTCATCCTAAATATTTATTCGACCCTCATACTAATAGTAGACATGGCAGTACTGCTCCATCAAGCTCTATAGCTCAGCCTTTTACTCCGACGATTTCTTGCTGCAATGCGTTTGAAATGAGCCATAGTAACTTAAAGCTACTTAATACTCCTCAAATAGTAGGTTTATTGATTTATCTGCTTAAGTCAGCACATGATATACAAGTTGAAGGGATTAAATGCTTGCATGCTTTATCAAGATTTTACTTGAATAAGAAAATTTTATATTTGCTGCAGGTCCCCAAAATTTTATTGAAAACCCTAGAACTATTTTCTCAGCCTGCAGCTGAGCATTGCTTGAAACTTTTAGAGTCAACTTTGACATACTCAGTAAGCAAAGAAGAGGCCGGGCTTCTGTTACAGATTATTAAAAATGAAAACCATCCTTATCAGAAACAAGTCCAAGGGATATTGTCTAAGTGTTTACAGCTTGAATTAGCTAGTTCTTTTTATTATCTTGACAACACCAGACTAGACTCCCCAGAACTTGTATCATTTCCGAAAAACGGGTACTCACTGTCTTTCTGGATCAAAATTAAAAGATCAAGCTCTGACCAAATTCCTATATTTTCATGGGTCGACCATAACAAAGGGCTTGTGCTGTTTCAGCTTTCATATAAAAATTGCCACAACTCTGATAAAAAACTTTTACCATTTGACTTAATAAAAAATTCAAGCCTAATCCAGTCACAAATTATCGTAAATGCCCCAATTCAAACATTTTTACAGTCAGCTGACAGCTCTTGTCAATTTGATTTTGAGTTTACTGATAGGTGGCAGCATTTTGTATTAGTCCATGGTAAACAAGGGGTCACAATTTATATAAATGGTAAACAATACGCACTGTTTAAGTGCAGTTATTTTGCAGGATTAAAAGAAAAATATGCAATAACAGGGATTTTTGGGGACAAAGAAATGATATCTATGGTGTCTAAAATAAATTGCCTAGAAGGCTGTTTAGATCCAGCTGTAATTTCATCAATGTATTCTGAAGGATTATTGGGAGAAACCAATTTCTCTGAGACAAAATCAGTGTTTAAGCTTCCTGAAGAAGAAAAAAAGCAAGAACTCTCAAATTTGATAGAAATCGCCCATGAATTGCCAGAAGAAACACCTGAAGGCACAATAAAAGTTGGCAATATTTGGCTTACTCATAAAGGTGTTCTCAACCAAATTGAAAATTCAAACTTTTACCAAGCCACCACAATTAAGCAGTCACTCTATGAAATCCAAGCCCTCCCAGAGTTTATCGCAATAATGAAAACTGAGCTCCAGCCAAGAGCAATTGAATATATTTGTGAGCTCATTACAAAATCGCCAAATAATTACCAAAATTTCTTAGATATAGGAGGCTGGAACTCAGTCATGACTTTAGTCGCAAATTACAAAGAATACGCCAGTGCTGACTCAATAGAATGCCTCATATCTGCGATCTCAAATGTTCCTCAAGCTCATATATCTTTGAGAAAAATGATTGTTATGAAAATCGAAACAATCCCAGTTATCCCTCAAAACAGAATTGGCGGGTTGTGTGCTTTGCTTAACTTAATATGTGTTTTGCCTCCAAATCTCATATCAGGCGTCATTGAAGAAATCAGCAACTTAATGTGCCATGAAGAAAATGCAAAAATATTTTTAAGCTCTGAAGTGAATGGTTTCCAAGTCCTTATTGATTTAATAAAAAAACAGACAGAAAAAGAATACCATTGTTTAGAGTATCATTCACTTTCTTTGTTTGAACATTTAGTTATTTCGATGGGACAGGAGCATCTTGATAACTTGCTTGATCTTTTTACTTTCCAAGAGCTTAAAACTCATCTTGCATGTATGGAAAACTCAGCTGTGTCTATGCTGAGCATAATAAGTCTTCATATTTTTATTGGGAATCAAGCACTTTTAGAGAAGTTTTTAAATGCAGATGGGGGGGTTTTGCTGTTTGGTATTCTTTCGAGCCCTTCTGAAGCTATTAGATGTGCAGCTATCAAGTTTATTGGGCTGCTGCTCCATATGTCAGTGAAGCTCTTTAGGAGCTGGTTTTTCAAAGTCCGTGGCTTTGATATGATAAACAGTGTTCTGCAGAAACAAAAAAATAATAAATACACTTACCAAATGCTCCTTATACTTGCCCAAAATGGTTTTAACCAAGTAGGCTTGTTATATCCTCCAGAGTCAGGGATTCTAAAAACAATTATCAATCTATCCTCTATTGCAGCCAAAGCAATTCCAAACCAAGGCCCAGAGCCAGTCAAAAGAATTGTGTTTCCTGAAGCATTAGAAGTCTTAATAGATTTGTTAAAGCAAGAAACCAATGAAGAGCTTATTTCTGACGTATTCAGATCAATAGAAATCATTCTTGACCCAGAAAACTGTGAAAAGCTGCTTGAGGTTCCATTTTTAACGTGGTGTGCTAAGCTAGTTAAATCTGATGAGCAGCAGCCAATTGGATTTTACCAAAGGCCAAGGGACGATAAGCACTTATTCCAAATTTACAAAGTCGTTACAAGGCTCTGCTATTTCGACATGAACAGGGCACCTAAAGCAATTAAATTCATACATTGGCTGAATAAAACAATTGATGCTGATGAGTATCGAGCAAGGCTGGTTGAAAGCATCATTTCTTGTATTGAAAGCAGCCCAAATATGGACACACCCGGACTTGTGAACAACCAGACAAATTTCTTAAAAAATCTTATGGCTTTCTTGCAAAATAATGACGTCCTTATGACCAGGGTGGACCTCAGCTCCAGAGTTATGCATTTAATAAACTTATTAGCTTCTGAAAATACATCAGCATTCCGAGCCCAAATGAAAAATACTGCTTATTTTGAGTTTAGAGACGATTTGATGATCCAGTTCTTCAAAGAAGACCTCCCTAAAGAAGAGTACATTGAAATCCTGAGGCACTTTTCTTTTGAAGGTCTAGCTTCTCAGCCGAAATTCAGAGAATCCAGCACAATTTTTTATTTTATTAAGCTTCTAATTGAGTTCCAGTCAAGCCCAGATATCCAGATAGAAATTTTAAATATTTTCAAAAAAGACATATGTGTCCATGATGAAAATAAAAAGTTTTTGAGGAAATCAATGGACAATAAAAACTTCTTGGAGTTCATATTAGGGTCAAGGCTTGATGAAAATATCAATGCAATTGCCCATTGTTTTAGATCAAATTTATCAAGTAAGCTTGAACAAGAAGAGGAGGATGATACACTAAGTGAAAATGCTACTCAGGAAGAGTTTTTGGCGTGGCTTAACTCTTCTGAAAAGAGACTAAAGCAGATGTCAGCACAGATAGCAAAATTCATAGCTCCTATTGATCAAGACTATAAAAAACAAAGGGCAAAAATACTGGATATGAAAACAGCGAAACGAAAGAAAGCTTTTGATGCAATGATAAAAGAAAAAACAACAGTTCAGAGATGTGTCCAAGATCTAGAACTCAAGCTGATGACATTAGGAGAAAGGTGCAAGCTGCGCTTCCAAAACCATCGAAATGATTACTCCCAACGCTTGTCGGTATCTGCAAGGAAAAGTCTATAATTTTTATTAATAAAAATATTCTTCCATATCTTATTCTGTAAAAACTGTCATTTTTGCATATCCCTGGAATTTTTAATATCACCTAATATTATAAGATTATTTCTACTGCAAAAGCTAGCTTTTCCTATATTTTAATACCAACTTAGCACAACCAGTATCTAAATATTATAAAGACTTAATAAAAATGAACTTCGACACAAAAGAAGCACAGCTTTTTCGATCCACATTTCATTCTCACAGATATCATCATAGTGATCATATTTGTTTATCCCCCAAATTTCCAATGATTTTATCAGCTAGCCAAAAAACTAGGCCAAGTCTTCAGGGATATTCTAATCAGAAACGTGCCTTTACATCTCATCTCAATTTTGCGATGAAAAGTTTAGGCACAAAATCGACTGAATCTTTATGTGGCCGATATTCGACCTCAAGCAATATTTTTAAAACTTATAGCCATGCTGAGTCAAAAGATATTTTTCCTGAATGACTTACAGAGAGAAAAGATTTTCAAAAACAAATAACAAGAATGAGTAATTTGGCACTTATTGATCTTGGGCTTACTTGTGAGAAGCCAGAAAACTTGAGAGAAGACCTTGAAAAGAGAGCACTTAGAGAATGATGCCGGCTATGCCCGTTTTTTAAACCTTTAAGCGAAATTACAGGAACAGAAGTTTGCAAAAAACTTACTCCCCCCCCCCCTCCGTGAGCGAACAAAAAAATTTTGTTCGCTCACGGAGGGGGGTTTAATTTTTTTTTTTTTAAAAAAAATTTATATATAAATTTATAAAAAAATATTTTTTTCGAAATTTAAAAAAATCCTAATTTGCAAAAATTGGGAAGCAAATATTAATTTAATTTGCAAAATTTATGTTTTAAAACGCAATTTGTTTAAAATTAAACAGAATTAGCTCTAGATTTCATTATACTAATTATCACTTATATATCAAAATTTTTTTCCATTAAAATTTTTTCTATTAAAAAAATTTTTGTTCACTCACGGAGGGTGGGTTTTTGGTCAAAAAATGGCGATTTTTCTAATGGTTTTGTTCGCTCACGGAGGGGGGGGGGAGTTAAGACTTATTATTTCCCTTCAGGATCAGTATTAATGAAAGAAGGAGATCATGGAGACAATCTATATATAATATACAAAGGGATGGTCGAAATCTATAAAAATTCAGTTGATGGGTGTATTGCTGTAGTAGCTCCAAGAAATCATGTGGGGGAAGTTGCCTTAGAAACTGACGGAATACGTAAGGCAACAGTTAAAGCTCAGGGGGATGTTGTAGCTCTTGAATTGAAAAAAGCTGATTATAATGAAATCATCTTAAAACAAAAACCAAAAGAAAAATACGAAACAGCCGATTTTCTGAAGCAGGTGCCATTTTTTAAAGAATGGGGCAAATCCAAATTAGCCCGAGTTGCATGAGATATGTTCCAGCAGCAATATAATGAAGGTAAAATAATTTATGAAATAAACTCCAAGCCTCTGCATTTTTTTATTGTAAAAGAAGGTTCTGTCGCCCTAGAAGTTGACGTAACTCTAAAGCACAAAAACAGGCTCCCTGTTGACAATGAAGGTTTATACTTGGTAAACATGAAAAAATATAAAAAAACAATCAGAATCTGTGAAAGCACAGATTTTTTCGGAGAAGAAGAACTTATTTTGGGGATCCCGAGAAAAACAAGAGCTATTAGCATGTCTCCGAATACTGTTCTTTTTCAGCTTCATGCTGAAGATTTTAATAACCAATTTAAAGAAAAAGATAAGCAAGACATGCAAAAAATTTATGAAGGAAGACCTAGCACAGGGGCATTAAGAAAGTCATTAAATAAAGAGCTGCAGGTAAGAGCATCGAAATATCAGGCAATATTGCAGGCATCTCAAATTAGCCCAATGCCTCAGGGGAGACTGTTTCAGGATATCAGGATGAATAAAAAGGTGGATTGGGCGAAAAAGCTTATGACTCAGCTAGCAGGTAAAATTTCAAAACAACTAATTGAAGAGGAAAACTATTTAGAAGTTCCGTCCAGAAAATCAAAGTAGATTTTTGTTTATTAATAAATTTAAAAATGATATCTTAATTTATTATTAGAAGAAATTCAATAAATTTATAATATGGCATGGAATGTATCCACAGAATGGGACGATATACACAGAAGATTAGGCAATAAACCTCCTAAAGAAGTCGAGCCTACATTGGAAGATCTCACCAAACAAGCAGTTGAAGAGCTTGAAAAAGTCGACCCTCTTGAATCCAAAAATCTCCAAGAACTAGAAGAGCTTGAAGAGGATCAAGACGAAAAAATATTTCAAGAATACCGTGCGAAGCGACTAAAAGAGCTTCAAGAAGCAGCCATGAAGCCTAAATTTGGAAGAGTCATTGAAATTTCTCGTCAAGATTTTATTCAGGAAGTAAATAATGCACCCACAGATGTCTATGTTATCTTGCATCTTTATCAAGAGCATATCGTACATAGCCGTCTTTTAGACCAGATATTCCCTATATTAGCAGCAAAGTTTATAAATCACAAATTCATTAAAATTCAAGCCACAAGGTGTGTGGAAAATTTCAGAGATTGCGATGTACCAGCACTGATTGTATATAAAAATGGGGCTTTAGGGCAACAATTGTTGGGCTGTGGGGAGTTTCTTGGAGGAAATCGAATGACACCGGATTCAGTAGAGTGGACACTTGCTCAGGTGGGAGTGTGGACAACGGAGATTGAGGAAAATCCTTTGAATAATGCAAGAGCTGTGATTAAGAAAAAGGAAAAGAGGCATAATGAAGATGAAAGCGACTCTGATGAAGATAGACAATACAGCTCGAATCAAATTAAAAAGAAGTGGTAATTAAATTTTAATAGTTTTAGATTTTGAGAATTATAGTTTTACAGATGAGGATGTTTATTATTTAATGTCTTTTTTTGGACAATCCAGTTTGCTAAATTTATCAGATTCCTTAATAGAGAAGGCAGAAATAAAATGTTAACGTTGATAAAAATTAAACTCAGAGGTGAAATCCCTATGGAGAAGTAGGACACATTCCTTGCACAGGTGATTTAGATAGGAAATCTAAAATGGCGACATTTTCCAGCCAAGGTGGGGTGACGGCTAGTGAATTTACCCACTTATAGCCAGCATAATTTAAATTATTAAGCATTGGCTCTTTTTTGGCTCAAGTGATGGGCCATACTGATGACCAGTTCCGTATTTTCCTAAGTCTGGGATGCGGAATTGGTCATCAGTATTATGCCCTAAAGGGGCCACTGCACAATAGTTTATTTAATAGAGAAAAATTAATGCTTTTTCTTTAAATTTCCTAATTTATTACCTCCATTAATGAACAAAATAATTTTGTTTGCTCACGGAGGGGAGTTATAATTTTTATAATGCTTTTTATAATGAAATCTCTAGCTAATTCTGTTGAATTTTAAACAGCTTGCATTTTAAAACATAAATTTATAAATTAAATAAATATTTGTTCCAATTTTTTTCGAATTTTTTTTTAATTTCAAAAAAAAAATTTACCTTAAAATTTATATATAAAAATTTTTAAAGAAAATAATTAACTAGTGAGCAAACAAAATTTTTTATTCGCTCACGAAGGGGAGGGAGTAAATTGCTTTTTTAACACGTGTATAAATATGTCTTTAGGATACTTACTCCTCTTCTCCTTGAGAGAGCAAAAATATTTTTGATGGCTCACAGAGAGTTTTTTTCAAAATTTTTATATAAAATTATATAATAAAAAATCATTTCATAGAAAAACTATTCAATTCATGAAATTTATGTTTTAAAAATACAATTGTTTAAAATTCAATAGAATTAATTGATAATTATTACTATATAAAAAATATTTTTCCAAAAAACCCTCTTCCAAAAAATAGGGGTTTTCCAATCGTTTTGAAGCTCGCAATGGGGGAAGTTAGCATTTCTACTATTCTTGGCAGCCCACGGACAAGAAGAAGTATCAAAAGATCATGAATTAACAACTCTCGAAGAGACTTCTGAGAAATACGAGTTCCAAGCAGAAGTCGCAAGTCTCATGGATATCATTATAAACTCTCTTTATATCAATAAAGAAGTCTTCTTAAGAGAGCTCATTTCTAACGCATCCGACGCAATGGACAAAGTCAGATTTCTCGCTCTAATGAACCCAGAAAAAGACTACGGCGACTTAGAAATCCGCATTTCTTACGATCCTGCCAAAAAAACCCTCACTATTTCAGACAAAGGAATTGGAATGACCAAAACCGATTTAGTTGAAAAACTAGGAACAGTCGCAAGATCTGGAACCACACAATTCTTAGAAGCCATCGCCAAAGGTGGCAGCATTAATCTAATTGGCCAATTCGGTGTTGGGTTTTACAGCAGCTTTTTAGCCGCCGACAAAGTTACAGTCGTTAGTAAGCATGACGATGATGACCAATACATTTGGACCTCTTCTGCAGGACCTCAGTTTACTGTTAAAAAAGACCCCAGAGGAAACACTTTAGGCAGAGGAACTGAAGTGATTCTGAAGCTTAAACAAGACGCTGAAGAATTTTTAGATAAAAAGACTATCCAAGACACAATTAAAAGCTACTCAGAGTTCATAGATTACCCAATTTATTTGTATTTAGAAAAAGACAAGTATATTAATGTGCCTATGAATGAAGAAGAAATAAAGGAAGAAGAAGCAAAAGAAGCCAAAAAATTGGAAGAAAAAAGAGCTGCTTTATTAAAAGAAAGAGAAGAAAAAATTGCGAATGGAGAAGAAGTCCCTGATGAAATAGAAGAGCCGACTCTTACTGAAGAAGAAATGAAAAGAACTAAGAGTGAGAAGACTACTGAATGGCTATGGGAACAGGTCAATACCAAAAAAGCAATATGGCTGAATGAGCCTAAAGAAAATAAAATCAAAGACTACGTCAAGTTGTACCAAACACTCAAAAAAGACGGCTCAGAGCCTCTCTATTTTACTCATTTCCATGGGGAAGGAGAAGTTGACTTCAGAGCTATTATTTTCGTCCCTATATATAAATGGCCGAAGGTTTGCAATCTGTTCCCTTAGTGATAGCTCGATATGTATACCGAATTTGTTTTTTGGATCTAATTATAGCCTAGGATATTCAGTAGGTGCTTAGCAATACTCAATGGATCTTTCTACAGAGAAAATGGGGATTTCGACCTAAGCATCTGCCAACCTCAGCACATACTGCAGCAACCAATGAACTAGGGACTTTAAACACCTACCAGATTAATCAAATTATCTAATTTTCGTCCCTGACAATCCTCCAGTTGACATGTACGAAGAAGTCACCAAAACTAAATCAGGACTGAGACTCTACGTCCGAAGAGTTCTAATCACTGAAGGCCCTGAAGACTTAATTCCAAAATACTTGAATTTCTTAAAAGGAGTTATTCATTCTGACGATATGCCTCTCAACGTCTCCAGAGAAACCCTGCAGCAGCAAAGAATCTTCAAAATCATGAACAACAAAATCGTCAAAAAGGTCCTTGACACTTTATTAGACTTAGCCAATGATAAAGATGAATGGAAAGCAGAAAGGCCTAATGAAGAAGATTGGAAATATACAGGAGAAGATGAAGACCTCAAAAAAGAAATGGACGAAGAATACCAGATTTTACTCAGATGGAGCCTTAAAAAAGGAAAAGAAAGATATGCAGAGTTCTGGAAAAACTTTTCGAAAGCAATTAAAACAGGAGTTATTGAAGATGCAAGTAACAGAAATAAGCTGGTAAAACTATTAAGATTCCAAAGCACTGCTAAATAAATCAAATGGCTACGTTAAGGGAAGACTGAATCTGAGGCGTCCCTATGGAGCAGGTAGGGCCCATCCTAAGGTACCAAAGTATAGTATCTAAAGCACTAAAATAAGTCCTTATGGATTGGGGATGGGAAGCTTTGTTTCACCTCCAAATGTTTCCTGCTCCTATTTAGGCTGAACAGGCTTTTTCAAAGCTTGGTCTTTACTTATCAGAGCCAACAGAGCACTCTCCAGATAGTGACTCTATCCCAGGGAGCTGATCCTGAGGTTCTGTTCGGAAATCCAAAAGGGAACGTCTACTATATGCTTCTCCACTTGACTCTGGAGTCCATAGTGGTTTGTGCCTCTATTGGGGTTGAGACAAGGCGAATTGCTATTACTTTATGCACTTATAGCCGGCAACTTAATAACTCAACTAAATTAAAGCACTGCTACAAGTGGAGATGAAAAAGATCTTACCTCTTTTGCAGAGTATGTGGAAAGAATGCCGTCCACCCAAGAATTCATTTATTATCTTGCAGGAGAAGATTTAGAAGCTCTCAAAAAGGCTCCTCATATCCAAAAGCTCGTGAAAATGGGCTATGAAGTTATTTTGCTTGATGACCCTCTCGACGAGTTCGCGTTCAGCTATATCAAAGATTTTGACGAAAAAAAGGTCAAAAATCTGGCAAAAGGAGAACTTGACCTTGGAGTCATGACTGAATACGAAGAAAAAAAGGAACAAAAGCTTAAAGAGTTGTTCAAGCCACTTACTGATTGGTGGAAGTCTCAACTTGGCAGAGAAGTTGACAAAGTGACACTTAGCAGAAGACTTACTACAGATCCAGTCGTCATTGTAAGCCAGGAATCAGGGTATACTGCCAATATGTATAGGATTGCCAAATCTCAAGCCTATTCAAATCAGCAAAAAATCCCTGACCATTATGTCCCTAGGAAAATTATGGAAATCAACCCAGCACATCCAGCAATCAAAAAGATGCTTGAATTGGTAGAAGATGACCCAAGCACCCAACAATTAAGAGACTACTGCTGGATGTACTACTACACAGGCTTGTTGGCATCTGGCTTTGCTCTTAATGAAGATCCTGATTTTTCCAGCAGGATTTATAGGATGATGAACAAAAAGATGCAGGTTTCACCAACAGAACCTTTGGCAGAGCCTGATTTGCCTGAAGGAGATGATGAGGAAGAGGGTGAGGGTGAGAGTGAAGAAGGAGATGTAGAAATTTTGGATGAAAACGAAGGAGAAGTTGAAAATGGTGATCAAGCAGAAGTAGATACAGAGGAGGAGAAGGTACAAGAAGAGCCTAAGGAAGAAATAATTGAAGATCGAGAGCAAAAACAAACTGAAGAGTCCGCTGAAAAACCTAACTCCCCCCCCCCCCCCCTCCGTGAGCGAACAAAAAAATTTTGTTCGCTCACGGAGGGGGGGTTAATTTTTTTTTTTAAAAAAAATTTATATATAAATTTTATAAAAAATATTTTTTTTCGAAATTTAAAAAAATCCTAATTTGCAAAAATTGGGAAGCAAATATTAATTTAATTTGCAAAATTTATGTTTTAAAAACGCAATTTGTTTAAAATTAAACAGAATTAGCTCTAGATTTCATTATACTAATTATCACTTATATATCAAAATTTTTTTCCATTTAAATTTTTTTCTATTAAAAAAAATTTTTTGTTCACTCACGGAGGGTGGGTTTTTGGTCAAAAAATGGCGATTTTTCTAATGGTTTTGTTCGCTCACGGAGGGGGGGGGGGGAGTAAGCAGGAAAATTCAGATGAAGGGAAAAAAGTTGACCTTTAAAATAAAATTAGATTAAATTTTAAGCGCTTTTAAATGTTATAAAAAAATTATAAGCCCTTTATAAAGCTGGCAGCACAAAGAATTAATATTATCAGCTGTCCTTTATTAAAAAATATCTTATCACTTAGACTTATTATCTTTTAAACGGTATACAAATTTACCATAAATAAGCAAAATGAAATTTATGCAAAGGATTATATAAATTTCCATCTTTTGCAGTTGAAAACCATTTTACTATTTTTCTTTCTTAAAGTGGCCAATTTTGAAGAAATAGGATCCTGGCTAACTGGCAAATAAATTTTAAATACAAATTTGTTCCCTCACGAGCGGGGTAAGTATTTTTAAATCAAATGGAGGAAGAGAACTCAAAAATCACAATGACAGTTGATATAGGTGACGGGGAAACTGGAATAATCAGTATTAGTGCCAGCGATAGCCCTGAAGAGCTTGCAAAGGCTTTCGCATTTAAGCACGGCTTAGAAAAAGAATTAGAAAAATCACTAGCAAGATTAATTAAACAAAACAAAGATATAATGATGGGCACCTCATCCTCGAAAAGCTCAATTTCAGAAGAAGCCAAGCAAAGCTTCGTCCAAATAACCGAGCATCACGCTGAAGAAGAGGAAAGTTCTTCACCTACAATTACTCAAAAACAGACAGTTTTCAATAGGGAAAAAGCTGAAGAAGAAGTCTTCAAACGTCTTTACTCTGAAAGAAAGCCAATCTCCAGATCCTCTAATGTTAAAAACAGTCCACGCACATTATCATACGCGAGTGCTCCACCCGTGAATCATTGCATAGCCTTATATGAGCAAGGAAAAATCCAAAAGCAGGTCAGTTGAAGGAAAAGCTTAGCCAAAAAAATGCAATCACAAGAAAAAGCTGACAAAGAATTGACTTTTAAGCCCGTGATCAATGAAAGCTCAAACTTAGTTTCTCCTAGAGTTTTACATAAAACTGAAGATATATTGATCAAAAGTATAGTCCAGAAAAGAGAAAATATTTGTGACTTAGCTAATCATAAGGTGCAAGAAATGATGAGAGAATGCACGTTTTCACCAAGCATCGACCCTTTGAGCTCTTTAATTGACCAGTATAAGAATCAGCCTAGCCCAAGATTTGAACGACTATTTGATAATGCAAAGGTGAAGGAAGATAAGCTACTAAAATTGTTAGAAAACGCGGATGCATTTCCTTTTAAACCGACACTAGTTGCCAAGCAGCAGAATTTAGATGATAAAACTAGGGAAGCGTGCATACAAAGACTGCTTTATTCTAAAGAAAGGTTCAATCGGCTAATGGACGAAGCAAGAAGGAAAAAAGAAAGCTTGGTGGATGAAAAAACGGGCCAACCACTGTTTAGACCTATAACTGGCAGAAGCCCAGAGTCTCCAAGGCCAAAACAAGTTTGGGAACACTTATATATTTTAGGCAGAGAGTCAGCTAATTTAAGCACAAAAGAGCCTGAACATTGAAGAAGCTTAACAGAAGTCCCAAAAACAACAGAAATAACAGACAAAATTTACCAAGACTTTAACTCCCCCCCCCCTCCGTGAGCGAACAAAAAAATTTTGTTCGCTCACGGAGGGGGGTTAATTTTTTTTTTTAAAAAAAAATTTATATATAAATTTTATAAAAAATATTTTTTTCGAAATTTAAAAAAATCCTAATTTGCAAAAATTGGGAAGCAAATATTAATTTAATTTGCAAAATTTATGTTTTAAAACGCAATTTGTTTAAAATTAAACAGAATTAGCTCTAGATTTCATTATACTAATTATCACTTATATATCAAAATTTTTTTCCATTAAAATTTTTTCTATTAAAAAAAATTTTTGTTCACTCACGGAGGGTGGGTTTTTTGGTCAAAAAATGGCGATTTTTCTAATGGTTTTGTTCGCTCACGGAGGGGGGGGGGGAGTAAGTTAAAACGATATATGAAGATTTTTTCACGATTAGATGCTGATGAGGATGGAGTTATTTCTATTGAAAATGCTGATTGAGCTGCTCTTGATGAAAAAACTGCAGAAGTTGCAAGACTTGCTATGATAAAAGCAGGGGTCAGCAATGTTAAATTCAGCATATTTTTTGAAAAAATCGATCCTATAGTCATGAGACTCGGAGTTGAAGAAAGGGCATGAATTCTGAAAAGGGACGAAATGGCCCATGAACTTACTAATCATTGGAGGGAAAGCAGAAGCCAGATTCAGTCAATCAGTAGGCTGGATTTAAGGAGTAGTGTCTCTATTGCTAAATAACGATAAATTCCAAAATTTTACTTGTTTTGATATATTTAGCAAAATATTAAAATTTTGATCAGAAATGTTTCTTTAATGCTTGATTCATTAGCTTAGTTCATATTCGTTTGTTAATTGGTTTTATAGGTTACATCTAATTTACTCGTCTTAAAGGCATAGAGATAATTATTAACTTATATATATATTTTCATTTAAAGCTAGCAGTCACATTCAGGTCTGTATGTTGAAGAAAGATTTCAAGACTCATCTATACTTAATAAGCTGAGTCTTCTAGAATCCGCTGTTGGCTGCTTGCAATCATTTTTTCTTGATAGCTTGCTAAATCTTCTTACCCTGGATTCTTCAAGGCATGATGAAGCTTCGCTTATTGCAAATAGACTCCATTTTCGCTCACTGGATACTACTAGTTTAGGAGAAACTGAAGGAATTCTTTTTGAAGGCATATGCTTATCGTCGCCTTGGGTGATTTGAATTCTCATTTTGTGGTGAACACAGCCCATTATTTAAAAATAATTTTCCATTAAAATGGAATATTACGCTTTGTAGTGATTATTTTTTGCACCAGGAATGCTAAATTGATGTATTGTATAGACAATAAATGAAAATTAAGCAAATTTTAGTTTTTTATATATAGTTATTATAAAAGAAGCTGGATTTTCAGAAGTTTTAATATCTAGAGTAGGAGAAGCAGTTATTAACGATATAGAAAATTTTGTGCTTAAAATATTCACTCATGAACGAAACTGCTTTAAGTTAAAGCAAAAAATGGGTAAGCTTTGATAAATTGCAATACACTTTTATTTAAATATGATATAGTCCAAGTTAATGACTAAAAATATGCTTACTCTCTCCTTATCCTTATCAACAATCCATTGAAAATTTCTTAAAATGGAAAAACTGACCTCATCACTGATCGAATGATCTTTTATATAGTCCAAGCAAGAAAAGCACTCTCTTTCCTCCTTCAATCTAAATACGTATATTTAATAATAATGAATATTAGAAATTTTACTATATAGTCGCTCAAGCATAATTCTAATGCGATTTATAGCATATTTTCTATATATTGTATGCTATGCTTTTAATCAATATATTTTATAGGAAAAAATTTTTAATAATAATGATTGGCTAATAAAAGATTTTATATTTATTTTATCCCGAGAATTGTTTTAGCCCATTCTTATCAAATAATGGCTTGTGTTAGCACTTATATATTAATTATTCACAACCTTTGAGTGAAATTTGATTATGATTAAATTTAGCACAACAAAGAGTCATTATAAACTTTATGTATTTTGTCTTCAACAGATTCAATTGGCAAGCCTAGATCCAATGCCAGCTTTGACATCATTGATTCTGAAGGCTTGCTTATAGCTTGACCCATCAAAACTAGCTTGATTGCTTCACAAATTCTAGACAAGTGGTCTTCTGCAGCCTTACAGCATTCACCAGCGCTATAAGGAAAGTTCAAACTTATTAATTCAGGCAAGTCAACAAGCGGCCCTGGATAGTCCGACAAATTAAGCCATTCATGCTCCAGTAAACTTACAGCAGAAGGCCGCCTGCTTGCAGTATGCTGCAAGCAAAGGCACAAAAAGCTTTTAGCCTTACTTGAAAGCCTATCAATAAATGGATCTGAGCCTAATGAGTGCATCAAGCAGCATTCCTGAGGCGATGTATCTTCAGTTATAGTGATACCCCCACACAAACATGTTAATAATAATTGCCCTAAAGCATAAATATCATTAGGGATAGACATAACTTGATTTGATCTCCTTTTTGTCAAGCCAAGGCTCAATTTCACATGCCCATTTCTTGAAAATAAAATCTGGGTAGGAGAAATCCCTCCATATATTTCGTTTTTACAATGAAAAAACGCCAATCCTTTTAAAACTTTTTTTGCTATATATGCAAGAGGTTTTTCAGGAATTGCTCCAAGCGTATGCAAAAGGTTTGAGAGGCTTCCTCCATGCATGTGGTCAGCAATAACACTTACGCACCCTTCTGGCGAGTTTCAAAAACTTGCACTCACATTCACAAGAAATTTACACTTTTTTTGGAAATTCTGTCATTGTCCAATCCAGTCTTTCAGTTTTGTTCTTTCTTCAACAGTGCTAATGGGCATCTGTTTAACTGTGAAAAGTGCCAATGTAGGGGCATGAAGAACTTTTTTAATGCTACCTTTGAGAGATTGAGAAGGATAATGGCTAAGTGTTATCATTTCTTCAAGCTGAACTTGACAATGAGGGAGGATTGTTTTTCTTTTGCTACTTTTCTTTAGAAAAAGTTCAAAGGATTTATCGTCATAGTTAATTGGGATTTTTTCTAGCTTTTTTAAAGCTTTTGTCAAGCTTGAGTGCTCTTTTGGACCGAGCTTGATTGGTGAGAGTAATTTTTTTAATTTTTTGTGCTCTTCGATTCCTTCTATATCTTCATATGACTTTTTCTTTAGTATATGAGACGCTTGAGAAAATGCTTTTGGAAGTCTGCAAGAAATAAGCGGCTTTGTTAATGGTTTTTGTTTAGATTCGTCAGATACTTTGTTCATTAATTTAAAATTCTTTGATTATTTTTTCAATAAATATTCATAAAAATGGATTCAAGCAATATAAACACCTTTGAAGATACCGCCATAAAAAATATACTGTTTTTTGAAAATTAATCAAGCTCATATGATTATTCTATTTCTATATTGCAATTTGATAATGTTTTATTGAGTTTTATGGTGATCATCATAAAAATTTGATTAAACGTGCATTTGCTATGAGTTTATTCAAATCAGTATTATTTAAATTCTCTATTTTCTATTGGCCATTTAACCCTTATTATTGGCACACTTGATCTGAGGTAATCTGATAAATGGAAATTCAAAGAAGAAGACCCAGCGTTGATGCTGAAATATTTGCCGAATTACTTAAAATCCATACTGTTGCCATTCAAAATCCAGCAATTGAGGACGCTAAAGAAAAACAGCCGGACACAGAAATCACAGTAGCCCCACTTATTACTTCAAATGAAAATAAAGAGCCAGAGAAGGCTCCAATTATAAAAAAATACTGTAAAATCTGCATGAATGACGAAGAAGATATTATTGCTTTTGATTGCGCTCATCAATTTTGCAACAATTGTGTCAATATGCTCCTTTTATATTACATAGAGTCAGGAAACGTATCTGAAGAATTCGCAACCTGCCCTGACTGCAAGCGGCCTATATCTGACGATATTTTCCAGATTCTTCCAGAAGAAGCTTATTCTCGATATAAGTATCTATTTGAGAAGCATAAAGTTAATAAAATAGTAGCGTCCGGAGTAGCCATTTTGTGCCCAGTAACTGATTGCCCAGGATACGCCCATATAATTCCAGAGCAGCCAATCTCTGCTTGCACTGAATGTATGGCAACGATATGTGTTTTATGCAAATCAGGGACTCATCCTATGCAAACTTGTGAAGAATATGCAGCTGAAAATAAGGATACACAAATGGACTCATTATTAAGATCAAGATATTGAAAAAGATGTCCCACGTGCGGTGTTGCTGTTGAAAGGACAGAAGGCTGCAATTTTATGGTATGCTATTCGACCTTCTGCCAAGGCTCTCATGCATTCTGTTATGCATGTGGAAAATACTTGGTTGAAGACACATATTATATGCATTTCACTAATCCTTCAATTGATGACAATAATTGCAATACCCTATTGGGTGACACTGATCATGACTACTAATTAATATATAATTAATAATATCAACTATCAATATATTTTCTGATGTCAACTTTTTCTATCAATTTGATAATTATAACTGCTTCTATTAAAATTTAAAAATAATAATGGCATTTTAATTTTTTGTACTTTAATAAAATTATGAATTTTTTATTGATATATTTGATTATCTTTAAATTCTCCGCTTATGGATCAGAAGAAGGAAGATATCTATATGAAATAGCTGAGGAGATGATCAAAGACTACAACTCGCACACTCTTGATATTTTATATCTTAAGCAAACTCTAGAAAAATCCTTAGAATTAGGAGTTGTAGAAGCGTTAACCAGGCTAGGTGAATTATATTTATTTGGCTTCCCGATATCCCCTGATAACCCAAGCTTCAACTCTGAGTTTATTGATGAGCAAGGCCATTTTAAGCACGATATTCCAAAAGCAATAAGCTATTTTACTCAGGCTGGAAATTATGGAGACACTGATGCTCTTTTTTATTTATCCTTATTATACCAGCAAGATAAAATCGTCAGTGATTTTGAAGAATACTTATACTCTTTTACTTTCCACAACGTACAAGAAACCTATGAAAAAGCAGGCGATTTCGACTCAATTCTGCTAAGGGCGGCTTCTGCAAGTGCCTTTAAGACTTGCAGGAATCTAAACCCGGAATTTATTGATTTAGTCGTAAATATTTCTCAAGTAGAGTTCATTCAGGTCCCTTTTGTTTCTGAAGCTTGCCCATTAGATTGTAATGAATATGCAATTTACGCTTACAGTGTAGCTGAAGATACCATGAAATATATTGCTAAGGTTGGGACTGACGAGCAAGACTTGGTAATATTAGAAGAAATTAACGAAAGCTATGACGATCATGAAGCAGAAAAAATCTTAAACCTAGCCACAATGCAAGCAGAGCATACAGGAGGTGACGGAGCAATGCATCTAGCTGAGAACTATTTATTTGGCAACCAAGAAGCTGGGGTCGAAAGAAACCCAGACCAAGCAATGCGATACTATGAAATCGCTGCAGAAAATGGAAACGTTAGGGCTTTAGAAAATTTAGGACTATTACACATCCAAGGAATCGGAACTGAAAAAAATACAACATTAGCACTAGAATACTTAGAAGAAGCCAAGTCATATGGTTCAGTCCAAGCCTACAACCTCCTAGGATATATCTATTTTAATGGTGCTGGAATTCCTCAAGATATCGAAAAAGCTATAAAATACATGGAAAAGGCTGCAGAAATGGGAAGCAAGGAGTCTATGAGCAACCTTGGAATTGCTTACCTTCATGGAACAGGAGTACCAAAAAGCCTTGCAAAAGCTTACAAGCTATTTGACACAGCAGCAGAGCTAGGCCACACTCCAGCGCTATTTAATAAAGCTTATATGATATATCAAGGGCTAGGCGTAAACTCTTCATGTGAAGACGCAATTGATCTTTATATAAGAGTCATAAATAAAGGGAAACTAGCACATTATGGGAAAAGAGCTTATTCATTTTTTAGGAATGGGGATTATTTAGGCGCGTATCTGAATTATATGCTTGCAGGGGCAATAGGATTCGAAAATGCTATTATTAACTTAGCTTATATGTGGGAATCAGGTTTATCACCATTTCGTTGCAGAGATCCTAAAATGTATTGTGCAGCTAGTTATTATAGTTTAGCAGCAATATCAAGCCAGTCTAGTTATGCATATTATAAGCTGGGGAATATTGCATTTGATAAAGAATATTTTGAAAGTGCTTATACGCTGTATTTGAATGCTGAAGATGATATAGGTGCTGCAGCGTTTAATATAGCGTATATGAGACAGTTTGGAATAGGGACTTCGATCAGCTTGGAGAAAGCTGAGAGTGACTATGAGAATATTATTTATAAATCACGAGCAGAAATATATGATCATGCTGATATGTTTCCTGCATATTTTGCACTTTATTATATGAAGTTAAAGAGATTTGTACAAAATCTTCCATTAGTTAATACAGTTTGATAATCTTTAAATAATTACATTATGGTATAAAGCTGCTTGATTTTCTGATATAAGCATTTATAGCGAGCAAAGACTAGGCAATTTAAGCTTCACTTCTGAGCTTCTGTGCTCCAAATTTGGTACTTTTAAAACACATGGATCTCTTAAAGACTCATCAATTCTTTCGAAACTGATATTTTCATTACCATCGCAAAATTTTCGATCCTTTATTAATTTGTTGACCCCTAGACTTAAAATTCGTTTTTGAATCAGTAATAAATCATTTCTGGCTGAATGGTTTTTTAGTATAAGCCCATCAAGCCTTTTGAATTCTTCATCTAAGGAGCTGTCAACAGAAAAAAGCTTCTGCTGCTTGCTTGGAAGTGGGGTCACTGATTTTATGAGTGGTAGCGGTTCAACTGATCTGGAATCTCTTCTTAGGTTGAAATGAGAATCTCTTCTTTTTATAACTGAGAGAGTTCTTAGAGAATTTTCTTTTTTAATTACTATGGGCTTCTTCTGTATCAAACTTATGTTTGAGACCGAGTTATCGTTTTTCGGGATGGACTTATTTATTTGGTATGTAGGCTTTTGTCGTTGTTTTTTGACAACTGGCCCATAAATAGATGCTATTTGCGCGATACTAGATTTCATATTTATGCAGAATAATTTTAGCTGATATATTTCAGCTTTTATATAATAAATATCACGATTTTTTACTTTAGCGTTAAAAATTTAGGCTCAATATTGCTGTTTCTTCTTATAACTGTAAGCTTAGAGCTATATTTTTTCCCTAAGCCAAGCTAATTTAATTTTCTCCTCATTTTATGGCTCGAAAATTAAAGTAAGCTGTAGGTTATTTGTTGGCAAATTCTAAATGCTTATCAGAAAAAATCTATTTTAATCACTTTGACAGTCTAGATTTACTTATTTTAATAATTTTTAGCTATTTTTTAAATTATAGAATTTACTAATAGTGGTTAATCCAAAGAAAAAGCTGGATTTAATTTGCTCTATTACAGCTTTGCTACCTCTTGCAGCAGTTCCCTATATACATCATAGTAATCCCAATGATACCCTGAGATTTTTGAGAGACCTACAAGCAGTTTTTCATTTTGCAACGTCATAAACACATTAACTTCTATAGCTTGCTCATTGTATATAAACCTAGCCTTCATTTCATAATTAATCGGATCAATTTTCACATTCCCATTTTTCAGCTCAAAAAAGTATTTAATCGCTTGGAACAAGTCATCAGGGTGTATATTTGAAAAGAATTTTGTGGTCTTTAATAGACTTTGGTCAATATTTACTACTCTCCTACTTGTCTGTCTCAATAAATTTGTTTCTGGGTCACTAATTGATCTATATCCTAATGAAGATTCTCCTTCAGATGATAATTCTGGAGATTCTGTACTTTGGACTGCGGGGGTTAAAAATGCTTTGGCTTCTTCTAATGTGGCTGTTGGGCCTTGGAACCATTGATGATTTTTGATTTCTTCTGAGCTCATTCTTTCTTCTGGGTCGTAGCACAACATTTTTTGAATAAAATTTTGAAATTCTTCAGAAATTTCAGGAGTCCCAGGCGGACTTTTATGAACTTTCCAGAACCTTTCTCAGTTTTTCATGAAAATGTGGACAAAGTGAGGGTTTTGTCTTTCAGCCCTAGCAAATGGAGGCCTCCCAAGCATAAAAATAAATAAAATAATCCCACACGAAAATAAGTCAGTTGAGATTCCTCGATATGGCTTTCTTTCCAGTATTTCTGGAGCCATATATGGTCTCGTGCCTTTGAACGTATTAAGCTGCCCTGATCCATCTCTCCCACTTGTAGGTCCAGCATATCCAAAATCTGAAAGTTTTAGCTCAAAATTTTCAGTCAAAAAAATATTTTCAGGTTTAAGGTCTCTATGAACCACCCCTGCACTATGTAATGCTTCAACAGCCGAAAGCAAACACTTGAAATAAAATCTAGAAATAGGTTCAGGAAATGCACCTAATTTAAACACAAAATCAAAGATTTCTCCGTTTTTAGCTAATTCTAAAGCGATATAAGAAACGAATTTGGTTCTCTCTTGCTTTTTGTGATAAACAGCAGATTTAGAATAGTCTAGTAGTTTGATAATGTTGGGGTGATTAGAAACATTTTGAAGAACATCAAGCTCTGTTTCCATGCTGGAAAGCCTATCAGGTCGAATAACCTTTAAAGCCAGCATCTCACCAGTTTCTGTGTTTTGGACGAGTTTAACTTTAGAGGTTGCACCTCTGCCTAAAGTTTTAAGGACTTTATACTTGTCTACTCAGCTCTTATCAGACTCCATATTTCACAATTATTTCTTATGAAAATGGATATATTTTCATAACTCCCCCCCCTCCGTGAGTGAACAAAAAAAATTTTGTTCACTCACGGAGGGGTTAATTTTTTTTTTTTAAAAAAAATTTATATATAAATTTTATAAAAAATATTTTTTCGAAATTTAAAAAAATCCTAATTCACAAAAATTGGAAAGCAAATATTAATTTAATTTATAAAATTTATGTTTTAAAAAGCAATTCGTTTAAAATTAAACAGAATTAGCTCTAGATTTCATTATACTAATTATCATTTATATATCAAATTTTTTTTCCATAAAAAATTTTTCTATTAATAAAATTTTTGTTCACTCACGGAGGGTGGGTTTTTGGGCAAAAAATAGCGATTTTTCTAATGGTTTTGTTCACTCACGGAGGGGGGGGAGTAGTAAGTAAAATTTTAATAAAAAACGAATAAATTTTATTAAATATAAATAAGTTAATAAGAAAATTTTCAATTAATGGTATATTGCTATTTTGCCTGAATAGACAGTATTAAATGAGTACATTCTTCTTAAATAAAGCTAGATTAATTAATTAGCAAATTATATATACTGAAAACTTTAATGCCTAAATTTTCGTTATTAAAATTCTTATTATTTATCCTGCAACAAATTCAACAGATAATTTTAAAAAATTTCCAGTAAAATATCACTTTTCAAACAATATGAGAATCCATCAGAATTTCTTTGGATTTCGCTTAAGATTTTACTTACTAGGTTTGCTATACTAACAAAAATCATTAATTAGATATATATCAGGTTTCTTCTTTCGTGGCGTTATTAATGGATTATGTTCATAATTGATCCTTTCTCCAGCGCAGCCTATAGTTACAGTTCTCGCAAGAGGCGTATGATTTTCAGCTGATTGCAGTTCAAAGCAATGGCCAGTTTGTAAATTCAAATGAAATTTCGGTGTCGTTCTCATTCCTATATCATCTTTGATTAAAGGAGATCTGTTCGGTGTGTATGTAGATGCTATCCTGGAAGTTCAATTCTTGGCTGGCATAACGTGAGTGTCGATTTTTAAAGACAATTTCTCATCATAAATCTGATAAGAGCTGATTATTGGAGCTGATGACCTTTTTACATGCATTGAGCCAGATTTTTCGTTGGAATTGTTAGATTTTATGGTTTTTGAAGTCTGTGAGTGCAATCTATCGAAAACATCTAAATTGTGAGAAGGCTTGGGAGAGAGTCTTTTAGTTAGGTTTGAAGGAGGCTTTCCTGAATTATGCATATATTTAATTTATTGCAATTTAAAGAGGTAATCATATGCAAGTATTTTACTTGCAAATTTATTAGAGATAATAATATTCAAATAGAGTCAGTATTTTTATATAAGCTCGTTCATTGTTTTTAAAAGTAAAAATTTATTCTAATTGAAATATGGTTTTACTGACGCTTGCGAAATAGAAAGAAAATTGCTATTTTTATAGTCATTTGAATTTGATAAGCAGAAGTATAAGTATAAGTTAATGCTTGGAAAATTGAATTAAGTTATTTTACATGAACATTTGGCTTCATGCCAAATGACAGTGGATTTTTGACAGAGTACATTTCATCGAAATACATTTGGTCAAAATTTTTTTTTCGGTCAAATATCTCACTATCAAAAATTTAACCAATTTTCAGCCAAAATTTTTTCGGTGAAATGGACACTATCAAAAAGGCAATGTCATTTGACCTGCACCCGAACATTTATGGGACTAGACTCACCGCGTCGTATGATATCAAACTCCCAGGGGTGAAACAGTTATTTACAGGATCAAATAAAAAATAAGAGACAATGTCTCCTGGAGGTATTAAATATTTCGACCCATTTGGCCAAGCACAGATCCCAACCCCCACCCCTAATGGATCCCACCCCTCTGGTCAAAATTTGCTAAGTCTACCTGGCTTATAGCTCTACATATGGTAGTTTGGCATTGAAGTGTATGGGTGGGGGTTTGGATCTAGGCTTGACCACCCATTCACTCCTGAGATTCTATGCAAATAATTTGTGCTGTCATCTTTATAATAAATCCCCAGTAAATCATTTCGCCTATTAAAAACCAGCACACATATCTTTTTTCCTGATCTCTCTATAAGGTCGAAAATCCCTTGCCTTGTAGCAATTTGATGAGGTTTTGTAAAAAAATTTTTAGTTAAAGCCAGCTTGATTTTTTCAACATTTCCTTGAAAGCTATCTTGAGACCTAAATGGGTCAAATTTAGCATTTTCACTCTGTTCAACAGCCATTTCAGTAAAAGCTATCGAGCTTCCAGGGCCAGTTTGCGTTGTATTTGTATTCAAAGACTCCCTAACTCCGTCATCTGATCTCTCTGTCAGTCTTGCATCTCTTAAAGGTAATCCATTATCTTTTTCTCCAAAAATCATTAATAATTTTTTCTTTATGTCCATTCTTGTAATCTCGATTTTTTTTACCAAATTTTCATGCATTGAAGTTATTTCGTTTCGAGGATCTTGCTCTTGAATTTCTGCCTCATTGGTGGGAAGATTTCAGGATTTTCTTTCTGAAATGATATTTCTGATGTTTTTTTCATCTTCTGACATGCTGTCTGAAGATGAAGACTCATTTCTTTCTTTTAGGATAGGCAGGCCTGTCTGATTGAGGTATTTTGCAAGTGAATTAGGGGTTAGTCTCTTTTCGTGGTAGTTGGATTTTGGTGGGGTTTTATTGGTGATAATCTCAGTTTCTGGTGGATGTGGGAGGACTTCACTTACAGTTCGTTTATGAACTGGCTTTATCTTTGAAAAGTCATTATGATTGAAAGAAAGAGATGGCCGATGCTTTGGCTCTTCTGCTTGGTATTCAGGTAAAATAAGGGAATCTGCCTCACACCTGATGAATTTTTCAATATTTACGAAATTATTGGAATCTTCATAATATTTGTTACTTACAGGATCTCTTGATATAATTTTATTGCTTCTATTTTTCATTTATCAATGATTTCTATTATAAATCCCTTTTTATTATTGGAGAGCATTTTACCTATTATGGAAACTATTTATATCCCAATTCAGGTCCCAAGGTTTGATTAATTAGTAAAAATTGTTTTAAAAAATTGTATTTAAAATAGAGATAATTTTCAAAAGGACATTGAAAAGGGAAATATAGTAATTGTATATAAAATTCAAAATAATGAACATTGATCCTATTCTTTTCTTCAGTAACCCCAACTTACCTGAAGAAATTTCTTCATCATTGAGGAAAATAGGACTGCAGGTGCTATGCGTTCCAGTCTTACTCATCTGTTTAAATTTGAAACAAAATATCTGTTCCAATTCAAAGTGATTTTTAAGTATTTTTAAAAAATTTAGAAATTTTATAAATTTACAGTGCTATTTGTTTTAAATAGTATTCTGCATCACTTCTCCCTTTAAAATAAAACAAGCTAGAAGTTAATTTCGGTTTTAGCGACATTAAATTGGGTATCAGAGATAATTATAAATTAATTATAAAATTAAAAATTTTCCCAATATTAAGGGGTCCAAAAAAGGAAATTTTACACTTTTTTGTTCCAATTTAAAGGTAGGGTTAGAGACAAATTACGAAAAACACGAAGGAAATGTAAAAAAAGCTTTTGAAAATATTCAAAAAGTAAAGGCAATCGTCTTCCCAAGCCACCGATCTGTGCTTGCACTTGGGAGGACTGGAATCAATGTAAGGCATTTGAAGTGGTATGCCCTAAGAGAAAGTACTGCTAACGTTTGCTTGGATATTCTGTCCAAAATCCCTGAAGTTACTGTCAAAAAAGGGCTTCCTGAGCTGATTGATACTTTAAGAAATGATACAGATTTGATAGGAAGTCAAATTATTTTTCTCAGTGGCTATCGTCAGAAAGTGACGCCTATCAGACAACTAAAAGAATTTGATATAATTATTTATAGTAAATAGGCAATGACAATTTTATTATATAGCAAAATCTAACTATAAAGAATTTCTATTTATATGAACAGGTATATATCAGTCCGGAATGTCTGCTGCTTCTCTACATCTTCTGTTTATAAAACTGATATCCTTAAAACACTTAAAGGAATTACTCCAGTTGCTTGCGTGTTTTTTAATGTAGCTGGAGTAAGAATTGTCTGCAACACTTTGAAAAACACTGGATGAGAATGAAGAGACAAGTGCATTTTTGCAACCGAGGAAACGGTTGCAAAAGCACTCAGGGAAAAGAAAGAAATAAGGCGTTGTGATGCGATACCTCAAGATTCCAATTTGGAAGGCATTAAGCAAATGCTGCAGAGCTACTTTCGCTGCAAGTGCTAATTGCATCTGCAAGCTAGTATTTAATGTACAAATTTACATATGTTCTTAGTTCGAGTCAATTCATATATTAGATAATTAAGAAATTATTACCTAAAATGGAAAAGGAAACATATTAATCAAGTATTTCATTAACTTTCCCATGAGCAAACAAAAATTTGTTATGCATCCACAAGGAATCGCTAATATTTTATAAAATCAAAGAGGAAAATAATTAAACTTGATGTGGCTCAGAGCTGTAAGCAATATGCTTAAATCTATCTTATTTTAATTTTTGGCTTTATTTTTCAAGTATTTAGCTTGATATTAGCATATAATTTATAAGAAAATATGGGAGTGCTCCACGTACTTTTATTACCAATTTTACTTGCATCTGCACTTTACTCTGCTTCAAGCCCAGTAGTCAAGCTTACCAGTGCTAACTTCCAAAAAGAAGTTATAGAGTCCGACGATATTTGGCTAGTCGAGTTTTTCGCCCCATGGTGTGGCCACTGCAAACAATTAGCCCCTGAATGGGAAAAAGCTGCCAAAGCCCTCAAAGGAATTGTAAAAGTAGGTGCCGTCGATATGACTACTGACCAACAAGTAGGTGCTCCATACAGAGTTGAAGGTTTCCCAACTATCAAATTCTTTGGCGAAAACAAAAGATCTCCTCTAGATTACAATTCTGGAAGATCTGCAAAAGAAATCACATCATATGCCCTTAGCCAAGCTGAACAAATAGTCCAAAAACGACTCGGAGGGAAGCCAAGCTCAAGCAGTTCAAGCGGAAACTCTCAAGGAAGCCAAGAATCCGTAAAAGATGACGATGTCATTGTCTTAACAGATAGCAATTTTGAAGAACTGGTACTTAAAAGCAAAGACATGTGGCTCGTTGAAATGTATGCTCCATGGTGCGGCCACTGCAAAAAACTTGCCCCTGAATGGGCTAGAGCAGCTACCCAGCTTAAAGATTCTGTAAAATTAGGCAAATTAGATGCAACTGCTGAAACTAAAACCGCACAAAAGTACGGCGTCAAAGGATACCCAACCATCAAAATTTTCCCTCCTGGAGAGAAAAACAATGCAGAAGACTACAATGGGCCAAGAGAAGCTGAAGGAATTGTAAGGACAGCTTTAAGCAAACTTGATCAATATGGGGTTGCTCCTGAAATTCCTCAGCTTGTAAGTGCTGAAGTTTTTAAAGAAAATTGTGATAAGCAAGTATGTATTATTGCGTTTTTGCCTCATATTTATGACAGCTCAAGTGTGGAAAGGAACAGATATATTGAAGTCTTCCAAAATGTTGCTAAAAAGACAAGAGGAAAACCAATTAGACTTATGTGGGCACAAGCTGGAGACTTTTTGAAGCTTGAACAATTGCTAGGGCTTGGAATGGGGTATCCAGCGGTTGCAGGGATTAGTACACAGAAAACGAGATACTCTGTCATGAAGAGTGCATATAACCCTACAGAAATAGATACGTTCATTACTAAAACTCTCAGCGGCTCAGTGCCTCTGATTGAATATAAAGAACTACCAAAATTAAGTAAGGTAGAGCCTTGGGATGGTCAAGATCATCAGCCTGAAGTTTCGCAATCAGAAGATCTTTAACTTCATTTATTAGTAGAATAAGCATTGGCATATAGAATTTTTTATGAATTATTATAATTTAAACTAAATTTATGAATACTATAGCAGATTTAGATTGAATAATAGCCTTGATATTAATTTACTAGTATTTGACAAAACTTATATGAAATATTTAAAATTAAAACGAATAGTCTTTACTGCTTCAAAAGAGAGTAAGTAAAATAAACCATTCAAAAAAATCATTTCCTTATTGTATTCATATAAGCGAGTTATTTAATTATTTATAAACACTTAGCGTCCAATGAGAGTTTACTTCCTTGCTCGTAGAAGCTCACAAGCCATCAGGCAACCTGCTTTGATCACAACTGTAAACTTGGGGACGATTTTAAATACTTCGATAGCTCATAGAAGAAGAACTGCTTTCTTCACCGTATGTAAGTTGCTTGCACGGAAATTCAAAAAATGGATTTTCTGTCGACTCTAAACAAAAAACAAAATTTGAAACCAGGACTTAACCCCTGGTTTCACGCTAGAGAGTTGCCCTAATGGCCTAGGTACAGCTAGCCTCCTGCCAACTTTACACCTCCTTTTCCCTCTAGGTAAACTCCAATCCTAAAAGCAGACCTAAGGCTAGACTCTGTGCATTATCAGAATTGCTTACCTCGAATAACTGTTCATTTCTGGATTGGCAAACCTTATCGATATAATTAAATATGTGCTCAGGCCACATAGCCAGTAATTCATACCCTTTCCAAGACACCATATTTAATTATATATTCATATAAGGAGCAAATCACTTTATTATGCTCACATTATTTGCAATATATAAAAATAATAAATAAATATGTTTAGGTACTTTGCGATTCTTAGTAGAATGCGATCAAAAAAATCTTCAGTTTCAACAGAAATTTCAATCCTAATCAAAGAAATCAAGGATTCTCTGGCCAATGCTAACAGTCAAGGAGTAGATTCCAAGAAAAAATGTGAAGAAATATCATTATTATTGAACAGTGAAGCAGCAAATTCAGATTCATTAATATCAGAAATCCTTAAAAGCAGCATTGCGTGATACTTGATCCCTGATGAAAATATTTTTAATTTGCTTTTCAGTCTTACAGAAAACTATTTTCCAAAACATAAAAGAAATCTTCTTTCAAATCTTATATCGATAGAAGGAACAAGTGAAAATTCCTTCGTGCCAAATTTTCTTCAATTAAATGCATATTATCAAAGCACACATTCATTGAGCCTGCTCCCAGTGAAAATAGTCAAATCTTCTCAGAGTACCAGTCAAGAAAAATAATATCAGAAGGTTCTTCTATGATTGAGCATTTTTCCTGAAACGAGCTAACCAAAATCGTAAGATTTATGAAAAGAAATGATTACTATGACTATTGATTACTAGACAAAATAACACAAAAGTTTATTTACAATGATCCTTCCTTTGAGCCTCTTATTAACTATTTGAATTTGACATGAACTCATGAGCCTATAAGCTTAGAGCTCGTTTATAACTTCCGACAAATAATTAGTAAATCGTCACTTGAAATCCCAATTTACAATATTCCTCAAATTTTAAATCTACTAATCAAGTCAGGAGCCAAGTATAAGCTTTTACCATGAAAGGCGCCATTTGGTTATGATTGGCCACGGCGTTTTTTTTTTTGGTCTGACAAGTAAGACCAAATTAAAATTTTTAATCAATTTTGGTCTGAGCAAGATTACTTTTTCAGACCAAAAAAAGCAGCCCCGTGGCCAACTCATGGTCAAATGGCGCTATTCATGGGGAAAATTTATACAATATGCTGAATATTCTTAATCTTCTAGAAAGAGTCGACTCAATATCCATAAGAAAGTTAAAAACGTCCGATCAAATTACGCTTCTAATTGCATTAGTTAAGTGCAGAAGAAATCAGATTTTTGTTAATCAAGAAGTGTTTGATGCTCTTGCAGAAATTATAAAAAAAGGAATAAAACGGCATGATGCTGAATGCTTGGTAATTATTGGGAAGTTTTTTGCTGAGCTTGATTATTGTGATGTTGAACTGTTTAAATCGATAAAAGAAACTGCTGATAAGTTTGGAGAAGCTGATGAGCTACTCGAATACCTTCTCAAAACTTCACCTGAAATTCAAGTAATTTAAGTCCTTAAAGGAGTATTTGAACTGCTAAACAGCTGTTAAATTACATAAAATAAATGAAATAAATAAACTCCTTCAAGAAATCAATTGAATTATTTAATTAAGATCAGTTTTTCGAAATAGAACTATAAAAGCACAAAAGATATAAAGTCTTTGTTTTAGGATTGTAGATTTAAAAAAATATATAATATAATAAGCAAAAATACTCAAAAAAACAAATAAAAATCTAAAGGCTAATAATGAGATAGTTCTAATCACTATATGAAAAAAATAGAAACAATTTTTTATTATTTTCTTAAATATTAAAAATTAAATATAATTATATTTTAATAGACATTTAACTTTTAAATATTTTGTTTACAAAATTCCTTATTTTGTTGTAAAAACTGGATTTAAAATCATTGCTAAAACGTTTTAATCATTTTTAACAATTAAGAAAGCTGAGAAAGTGATTTTTATAGCAATTTCTCAATTTTTATATATATTTTCGCATTATAATTAGAGCTGTAAAGTCTTAGTTAAGCTTATGCTCTTGAAATTAAATATTCTTTGAGCTCTTCATAGCTGATTAACCCATCTTGATTAGCGTCTGCAGCCTTGAAGAAGTCAGCCCATTCACTGCTATCAATTCCAGGGAAACTGTTTTTGAAATCATTTAAAGCAAGCTGCCCATCAGACCCAATATCCAAGCTTTGGAAAACCTTTTCCAGTTCCTCTTTTTGCACAGTCTTCTTCCAATTTCTCGAAGCCATCATAAATTCAGTGTACCCAACAAATCCACTATGGTCTCTATCAATTTCTGAAAATAATTTTTTCGGATCTACATTTGTCCCTGGGCTCAAAAGCTTTAGCCCACTTTCAATTTCTTCTAATGTAAGTCTTCCATCTCCATTCTTATCCATAGCCTTAAATTGCTCTTCTAATATTTTATCTTCTGCTGAGTCAGAAATTTGAGTCGCAACAAAGGAAAACAAGGCATCTGACAGTTTCGACTCAGAGTGGTGTCTAATTAAATGACTTCCCCATTAATTATCAAGCAAAGCCATTAGAAACTCCCTTTTTTCCGGAAAAATTTAAACCAAAAAATTTTGATACAATATATATTGTAATATATAATAAATAATTATAAAAAATTAATTTCAAGCAAGTTATATTGAATTTTAAATACTCGGGTGCTTTAAAAAAATTTTTATTGAATCAGATTTTCGTTTTTAAAAATTTTATTTTAGGAATTCATATCAATTATCAACTATTTTTTATTTCTCACTAACCAAGGGCAAGGAGTGAGCAAAAACTTCTTCAGTTAAGGGAATAGATGAAATTGTATCGTTATTGTAACTTTTTATCCATTGATGCTCCAAAACTTGCTGAGCACTTAATCTAGCTTCTGGGTCGACAGATAGCATTTTTTTGAGGAGATCTTTGGCTTCACCTGAAAGATGTTGGCAATGGGATTTATCCAAGTGTAATTTGCCTTCTTTTATTGAAGCAACAATATCATTAACTTTATGTCCTCCGAACGGAGGCCTTCCAACAAGCATAATATAAAGGACAACTCCAGCGCTCCAGATGTCGCATTTCTCATTATACTCTTTATCGAATACTTCAGGTGCCATGTATTGAACCTAAATATTTTTTACACTTCCAATAGGCTCTTTCAATGCGTGCTTGTGCTTCATTTTCTTGGAGAGAGAAAAGTCAACCAGCTTGATTTCTGAGTTACTTTCTTGATTTTGGTATAAAATAGTTTTACTCTCTCATCACTCACGATGAGAAAATACCTTATTGCTTGTTTAAAGAGAAATTATTTTTAAAAAATATATATAGAATTTTAAAATTTTTTTTCTTGGAAAATCCACTTTTAAATTATTTATAAAAATATAATTTGTGGATATATGCCTAAGATGCAAACTGCATAAATTTAATAGAACTAGCTAGAAATTTAATAATAATAAATTTATAAATAAAGTATTATAATTTAATTTAAAGTAATTTTGCTTGCTCACTAATGTTTGCTGATTTTTTAAATGATTTCTTCACGTATGAAATTGGAGGAGTTAGTGCTTATATTTCTGTGAACAATTCCATTTGCATGACAACAGCTGATTGCAAGCATAATATCTTTAAATGTCTTCGCAGCGTCTTTCTCACTAAAGCTTTTATTTTTCGAAATTTTGGCTGTTAGCTCGCCACCTGTGCATAATTCTGCTATTATATTCAAGGATTCGTCTGATTCTATTACTTCGGTGATTTTTACAACATTGGGATGATCCTAATTAGATTTTACTATGCCGTAGAGTGTTTCAATAGACTCAAGAACTTGCTCAAGCGTCTTTTTGCTAGTTTTAGCTTTTATGTATTCTTTTAAGAACCTTTCGACATTTGTCTTAACGTTCATAACCTGAAAGTACGAGCCATGCTTCTCAGTCCCTAAAAGTTTGATGATTTTATACTTTTCACCGACTTTGCCTTTCTGGATGACTAATTTAGGTTTCTCAGCACTAATAGCGGCTACTTTCAGTGGCTCGCCTAGAGATTTCAAATTCTCTGCCTTTTTTTTGGATGGTTTGTCTACTTTGGAGTTGCAACAGCCCATATTTAGGATTTATTGGGTTCATATTTTTATGGACTTTTCTCAATAAAAAATTGGCCAATAAAAACTATGCTCTTTTCTGATCTCTCAAATGTAAAACATCAAAGGAAATTATTCTGTATGATTTAGAAAATTGTTTTAATGAAATTAAGGCTTAAAATCGTAAAGTAATTATATTTTGAAGAATTATTAATATTTAAAACATTTAAATATATTGAAGCAGTTTTTAAGTATAATGAGTAAATATCTTATCAATAAATTTAAACTGAGTAAAACTTTATTCTGCAGCATTTTTTAATAATCATAAAGATCTATTATAACAGATTAGATATCTAGAATTTAATAATCTCTCATTGAAATCTGAAAATAAAAATATCTTGACCGTCAATAAAGGCTTAATCCTAAAAAGATGCTGAGAATTATCTTAATTTTTTTTATAGTCAAATTAAAAAACAAAATGAAAAATTATTTTATTTGAATGATTAAAAATATGTAATGTAAATATATCGGAATCACATAAGATTTATTGGAAATTCTATTAAGTTAATACACTATCAATTTAAAACTAATTAAGTTCATAATCAATATGTAAGACTCCAGCTTTTGCTACAACTTCTCCGGAATATTTATGAATTATAGGGAGTAAAACATAGCATTGGTCTCCAGGTCTTACAAATCCATCTATAGCGTCATGAAGTAACGAATTAAATTGAATAATCTCGCCAATACTTTCCCAAGGACATGTTAAGGGTGGGTCACTTATATAGTAACAAAATACTAATTCTTCGAGCTTCTTTAAATACTTTACTAGCTGATTATCGCATTTTCCTAAATTTAATACCCTTTGTATATCCTCAACAGTTCTATTAATTGATACTTTATCAAAGCAAATGTTTGCAAGCCTTTTTCAAGAAACTTGATATGATTTCCTTAGAACATTTAATATAGGTCCATCTAATGATTCAAGTCCTGTCGTTCTTTTAATTTGGTCTTCAGTAGGTGAAAAATAATTATTAACGAAATCGTTAATCCTTGAAAAAGAAGTCCTAAAAAAGTAAATAATTCCTTCAATTGAAAGCTCTGGGGATAAAACTTCAAAAAATAAATCCTGACAATCACATTTATAAAACTCATCAGTTAGTGATCCTAATTCATTGAGTAAGGGAAAGGTATTTGAGCTGTTTTGAAAGCCTGGGACCATATGCCTGATGTGAGATTGGAGCTCCATAATTTCAGTTTGAAGTTGCTTATTTTCTTTCTTTAAAGTGTCTCTTTCTTTTCGAACATTGGCGAATTTTGTAGTCATTATTCGCAGTTTTGACTTTAAATCTTTTGATTCTTCTTCGTCTTGGTTTTCTTCGTTCATTATCTGGAGTTTTCTTATTTGTTCGTAAGCTTGCTGAAGCTCTTCTTCTAGCTCTTGGACTCTGGACTTACTTGTTGTATGAACTTCTTTTTTGTGAAAGAAATGCTTCATATTTATCTGGAGCAATATTTTGTATTTTATGGGATTTTTTATTAAAATCTATTTATATGCTTCTTTAATAGATGTATCTATATAAATTTCAATAGTCATGAAAAATTTGAGATCTATCCTATAAATTTTTTGTCAATTATTATTACTATTTCGTTTTTGTCAATTAATTTTTTTTATTTGTAGAATAGCTCAATATTTTTATATTATTTATTTATCTTCAGGCTCCCTGGCATCGCTGTAAATTATATACAATGAATAAAATTATCCAATCACATTCCAATATTAAAAATTTTAAATGAAGCAATGGAAATGCCAAAATAGAATCACACGAAAAGTAAAGCTAAAAGATTTTTCTGCTGAATTTCGTTCATTTTCTGAACAGTCTTCTATAAGAAGCCCTGTGAATTTGAACACTTTTAAAATTGAATCACATTTATCACCAAGAAAAGGATTTAACTTAAATCCAGTTTTAATGCTAGATATACCTAAGAAAAATATTCCAGCTGCATCTGAAGATCTTGCTTTATTTTCATGAGGAAGTGGTAAAGAAGGAGCTTTAGGCATAGGAAAGCTATTGGATTCAACTGATCCTGCACCTATTGAATTACTAAAAAACCGATCAATAAAACAAATTGCCTGTGGCGCAGGGAACACTCTTGCTTTAACAGAAGACAATTGCATTTATTCTTGAGGCTATAATGTTGCTGGACAATTAGGACTAGGGGATTTCAAAGACAGACTTGTCCCTAATCTTATAAAATTTGATTTTGGGATAATTAGCAAAATCTCTACAGGTGCAGGGCATTGTATTGCCTTAAATGTAAATGGAGAAGTTTTCTCTTGGGGATGAGCAGGGAGCTATCAGACAGGTCATGGATCTCAAACCCAAACCTCAAATCCAAAAAAAATAGAATGGTTTAATAGCAAAATCGTTACAGATATTTCTTGTGGAATAGGACATTCGCTGGTTTTAGCTGATGATAAAGTTTATTCTTTTGGAGATAATGAGCATGGACAATGTGGAGGCGAAGATCCATATTATATTTACCCAACTCTTATCCCTATATCAAATATCGTCAAAATCAGAGCTGGAGGAGCCCATTCTTTATTTTTGAATGAAGAAAAACAAATCCTCTCATGTGGGTATAACAGCTGTGGACAGCTAGGACTAGGCGGCTCAACCGCAGAAATAAGGACCCCAAATTTTGTAAAAAAACATAGAGATTTGAATAATGGAAAATCTGAAATCCTTACAAATATCAAAGACATTGAAGCTGGAGAAGAAACCTCAGCTGCCATAACTGAAGATGGAAAATTGCTGGTCTGGGGATGAAATGGCTGTGGACAGCTCGGCCAAGGCCATTTCAGCAATCTATATTATCCAACTATAATCGAAATTTCTCAAAAAATAGTTCAAGTTTCTTTAGGAGTGTCTGCATCTACTTTTATCAGCAACACAGGAGAGCTTTATTCTTCTGGATGAGTAGGCGAGTTTAAAAGTCTCTGTAATAAAATTGAGCCTCAACAGTCAGCAGGTTTAGCTTCAAAAAATGCATTTTGCATTGACCCTCTTTTTTCACACCCAAGAAAATTGTTTGACAAAGACTGCACAGTTAGGCTTGCTAGATGTGGAAGAACCCATGCTGTAGCTTTAGTTGAAATGCATCCAACAAAAACGGTAAGGGAGTCAATTTCTTTATCAGCTTTAGGGTCAAGAAGAGAAAGCGTGCCAGGACACCCGATATTTGAAAAAAGCTTAAATAATCCTTTGCCTCCGCTGTATATTGATACTGATCTTGATTCTCCAAGACTGTCGCCAAAACTTGATGAAGCAAAAATTTCGGCGTTTATTAAAGGAGAAGAGGAGGGGAAGAGAATAAATAGTAGAGAAAATGGGAGAAAATCGATATTTAGATTATCGACTGGGTTTGAGGATATGTGTATTAATGATGAACCTATTTTTGAAGGAGAAAATGCGAATATTTTTGAAAGACCTAACTTTTTATGTATATTAAAAAATGGTTTTAATAGATTTTTATAGGCATTTAGTTTATAATTATAATTAAATTAAGGCAGTAAGACAATTTTCCCACAAATGAACCCTTTGAATATCTTAAAGGCTTTTCAAGTAGCAAAAGAAGAAGCTCACAAAAAAGCCAAACTTTTCAGACTCTACGATAAACGCCCTCCATCTTCCACAAAAAACGTAGAAAGTCCATCTAAATCATATTTTAAGCCTCAAACTCCAAACCGAGAGACCAAATCTATAGTCCCCAACCTTCCTCTGATCCAATACAAATTTTCATCCTTCTCTTCTCCATCTTCAAATGGAAAAGTCAAAGAGCTAAAAGAAATAATTTCAAAATACGACCAAAGGATAGAAAGACAAAACAACATGCTGAGAAGCAATTTCACTCAAAGCAATAACACTAACTCCCCCCCCTCCGTGAGTGAACAAAAAAATTTTGTTCACTCAGAGGGGGGTTAATTTTTTTTTTTTTAAAAAAAATTTATATATAAATTTTATAAAAATTTTTTTTTTCGAAATTTAAAAAAATCCTGATTCGCAAAAATTGGAAAGCAAATATTAATTTTATTTATAAAATGTATGTTTTAAAAAGCAATTCGTTTAAAATTAAACAGAATTAGCCTTAGATTTCATTATGCTAATTATCATTTATATATCAATTTTTTTTTCCATAAACAATTTTTCTATTAAAAAAATTTTGTTCACTCACGGAGGGTGGGTTTTTGGGCAAAAAATAGCGATTTTTCTAATGGTTTTGTTCACTCACGGAGGGGGGAGTAAGAAACTAAAGCGAATTGGTGGAGGATTTATGAGGTAAACTGATATTTTAATGCATTTAATATTGCTAATAATAAATATATTCCATTGAGAAGTAATTTATAAATTATTTAATCTTTAAATAATAAAATGGCTTCAAAGAGATTAAAGTGGCTTGAAGGGTCTTTGAGAAAGCCTCACTTTCAGTACGTTATGTCAGCTAACATCACTCATTATCCTTACAACAATGACTATGGCAAGCACTTTTTAAAGAAATTCACTGAACTGTGTGTAAAATACGACTCAAAGAAAGTCCAAGAAACATTTGTATGGAAAAAGGAAATTATAGGTCATAGAGATTTGGCTAAGGTACATACATGCACAATGGAGTTCATTGATGGGTCAAAAGATGAATTTGATTATTCGCACGTTAAGTGGGAGCATTTCATGATGTGGCTTAAAGACAAGAATGAATATCTCGAAGGCAAGAGAAACTTAGAAGGCTTTGATGATGAACCAGATGATGAAATAAACTAACCTAAGGACTTAGAAAGAAAGCTTACAATCAATGTCTTTCATTAATTATTAGATTTATAATTTAGCTAAACCAAGCAGTATATAAAAATACTAAAATACCCTAAATCATAATACCTAAAGAAAAGAATTTTTAATAAATCAGCATCGTTATCAAACTAAAAATGTCATCTAATGGAATTCAAGAAGCTTTGCTTCTTCAGCGTCTTGAGTTTCTTCAAATAGAGCTTGACGATGCCAAAAAACGAGAACAAAACCTAAAAAAAGTAAACGAATCTCTACTACAAGCTATGACTGTAAATGATCCAAACCCTATTAAAGTAAAATCTAGTTAGGATCACACAATTGAAGAACTTCAAAAATCTAACGAACAGCTTATGAAAGATATTCAACAAACCAAAGCTAGGCATAAGGAACAAATAAACAGTCTTGAAAAGCAGAATAACGAGCTTAGTTTGTCAGTGAAAGAACTTCAGCTAGACTTAAAGCACCAAAAAGTATAGGTGTTTTCCCCTATATAGCCCTATAAGGGCCGTGAGTTCTCCGTGGAATCCCTCTGCTGGTTTGACCAACAGAGGGATTCCACGGAGAACCCACGGCTCTTATCGGGCTATATAGGGAAAACCCCTATAATTTTTGAATCTGAAAAATTTGATTTGTTGTCAAGAATACAGAAATTGGAAGCTGATAAGCTTTCCTTAGAACAGTCTTCAAAAGTAAACCAAGATGATAAAAACCACGGCCACGAGCTCTATAAATTGAAAACTGAATTGAAAATGCAAGATGTCAGAAGAGAAGCTGACATCCTTAAAGAAGAATCCAGAAACGAAATTTTAACTGTCAGACAAGAAGCAGATGCCGCTATCCTTGAACTGAAAACTCTTTTTAACAAAGAAAATGAAGCTTTAAGAGCCCAAATCAAAAATCTCCAAGCCAAACTTCGACAACAAAGTGGAAAAATGGACAGATACCAAAACGAAGAAGTAGAAGGCATGGTCAAAAAAATTGATGAGCTTGAAGTAGAACTCGACAAATATAGAAGCACTCGGAGCTCTCCTATCCATCGAATGCAAGAAACTGAAAAATCATTCAGAATCAACCTTACACAAACTGAAAACGAGCTCTCAGGGACTCTCCCAGAAATCAATGAATGAAGAGTAAAAGGAGTCGTTGAAGATCGGCCCTTTAAAAGCTCAAAAGAACTCACCCCAAGACTGAATAAATCTTATGGAAGATATGAATCCATGAACACACAGCAGCTTTATGAACATTTATCATTAGCAGAAACCCTTTGCGAAAAAAAAGATAAAGAAATTAAAGACCTTAAAATGCAGATCGAAAAAATTTTATTGCAAAAAGAAAGGATTCAGTTAGAGCTTGATAGAATTATGCTGGAGCTTAAGCAGAATAAGCTTGATAAAGCTTCAATTGACCAGAAAAGAAACGAAAATGAGCAGGCTTTGAAGAATGAAATCAAGTTTTTAATTGGGAAACTACTGAAAGCGAAAAGCAAATTAGCGGCAGAAAATGAACTGAGTGAGACTATTAAAAGAGAAGGGATTTATAGCACTTCTAGGAGCAAGTCAAATTTGAGGACAAAATTAGATATTAGTAGAGCGTCACCTAATGAAAGACCGATTTCACCATTGAATTTGTCAATTATATCGAGATCTGAAAGCCCATTTGGAGTTTCAGAGTATGACTTGAATCGCTATTAAGCGTGAAATTAATATAACGGTCTTTTAATCTGTATCAATTTTACTTCATAATATTTACTGATTAACGATGTTTATTAACATAGATTTTACTAAAAATGTATAGGGATCTCATAAGATATAGTTGTACCTTCTAGCTCTATCTGATATATATGATTCCATCTCTTCCCAGTAACATAAATATTTCCAGTATTATACGCAATGCCATTCAATACATCTCCTCCATTCCACGAATTATATTCCCCAACTTGATCTATTCCATTTAAGTTTACCCAAGAATTAACATTTCCAGTGCTTGGATCAATCCTTATAATATAATGCTCATACCAAATATTTCCCCAGATTTCTCCATCAATCCATTCAAGCTCATTGATTTTTGCTATTCTGTTACCTAAAGAAGTGACAAAAATAGTTCTAATAATTGAATAATCTTCAGGGTCCATCACATAAATTTTATTTGATCCATCTGATATATAAAGATAAGACCCATCTGAGCAGATTCCCCAGCCTTCTTTAAGAATGTCAGGATATTGAACTGTTTCTATAAGATTAAAAGTCTCTATGTCGTAAACCATCATATTGCTTTCTTTCCAAGTCAACTGATAAAGCTTGCTATTTAAGTCTGTTAAGCCTTCCCCAAAGTAGTTGCTAGTAAGAGGTTTTGACTTGATTTTTGAATTGTCAAGTAAATCAAGCTGCTGAAGCTCGCTTTTTCCATATAACCCTGTTGATTGATAAATAGAGCTTCCTTTGATAAGAAATCCTTGGCTGCATAAGACTTACGTAAAATCTTGGCTAGAATGTGGAAAAGTGTTGACAATTTTGTACCCATGAATAATGATACTCTCCTGGGCAGATATTAAGCAGACTGAAAGATTAACTTAATTACTTATAGAGAAGTGCCTGCAATACTCACCTCCGCATAATGCGCCACCGCTATGCTTGCCAGTCCGGACATGGCCTTCGCTGTGTTGCTACTCACGGACAGTCTTGCACTTGCTACCTGATAGTCAAGGACGTTGGGGCCATCATGTCGCACGTCAACTGGGTTTGCCTTCCAGAAAATTCGAAAAATGAATTTTCTAGTCGGGCTGATACCAAAATGGAACTCAAAGCCCCAGAACGCAACGCCTTGTATAGTGTAAGGGATTTTCCCCCATTGGTCAAGTGGCATCCTCTGACCTTACTGGGCGTCCCCCCCTTTCCAACTCCAGTAGGCAAAGTCCCCGCTAGGTAAAACCTTGACCTAGATGCAAGTATGCTGGTCGGCTCAACCCTACATTGCGCTCCACCAAACCAAGTAAAACCAACCTTGGCCTGGATGCAAGCTGGCATCGGCTCAAATCGACATTACGCTCCTCCAAACCAAGTAAAACCTGGCCAGGTAAACATTTCCGAATGCTGCCTCCCTCATGCAAGGCCCCCGGCTTTCCCAATGAATCTCCCAGCTACAGCAGGCTAGCTCATCATACCATTTTATGCACAAGCAAACTGAAAGCAATAAATAAATCACAAAAGCCATATATTATAAGAATTAAGCATTAATATCAACGGATATCTTTAAATAACTAAATTCTTTTATATCAATTTCACAATATTAAATGGAATTGCTCAGTCAGCATTTATCCCAAGCATTTCTCAAGCCAGGTACAAGAGTGATCATGCTAAGGCATGCTGAGAGTGTTTGCAACTTAGCAGGTACTTTAGCAGGCTGGACTGACAGCAAGCTCAGTGACTACGGCAAGCGCCAAGCAAACTTATTATATCAAGGGCTCCACCCTTTTTACTCACAATTCAAAGGGATTTATTCTTCAGATTTAAAAAGATGCATAGACACAACTTTATTTGCCACTCTTTATTCATACCCTTTTCGAATTGACGAAAGGCTGAGAGAATGTTACTTTGGAGACCACGAAGGGGAGCATTTTGATACAATGCCAGAGCTTCAAGCTACAGTAAACAGTCCTACCTATCAAGCCCCAAATGGAGAAAGCTGGGTGATGGTAAAAAACCGTGCAGTTAAATTTTTTAAAGAAAAATTAGCTGAAGATGGCGTTTACCTTTGTGTTTCCCATGGAGGGCTTATATGTACATTGACTATTCCTCTTGGGCATACAGATGCTGTATCAAATGCCTCAATTGTAGGAATTGAGCTAAAGAATGGAGTCCCAGAAAAAGTTGAATTTAGCTGGACATGTCCTGAGATTTTAACTAGGTAATAACTTTATTAAAATGGAAGAAGAAAGCCCAGAGGTTTTAGAGAAGCTAGAAGCAGCATATACTGAAGCAATGAATGAGCTGTCCGATATATCAGGATGGGAACCTATTAAAGATTGGGCTGACCTTTATACGTTTAGAAAACCGACTGAATATGGCCTAGACAAGATAAAAATTGAAGCATATATTGATAGGCCTCCTAATAAAGTCTGTGATTATTTTTATGAAAATTTACAAAAATCGCATTATGAGCTAAATAGAGAAATTGTTCTGAGGTCTGAAATGGTTAGAAGTTTTTCGAATGGGACTGGAAAAGTTATGTATGATTTAATTCATGTGCCTTTTCCTGGGATTTCTGATAGAGAAGCGGTGATTTTTTGTAAGAAATTGCAGTTTGATGAAAATACTTGTGGGTTTGTAGATACTTCTATTAATTATGATGGGGTAGAAACTGCTGAAAATGCTGTAAGATGTGATGTAAAATATGGGCTGCATATTTTTGAGCCTTTAAGTGGAAATAAAGAAAAAACACATCTTACAACAGTTGGTCTTGCTGATCCAAAAGGGAGTATTCCAACTTCAATGGTAAATTTGGGATTAGGGAGGAGATCAGATTTTTATAGAGCTTTCATAGACATTCTTTTAAAAAATATTTAATAGTGACGATATATCAATTAATGTCTTTTTGAATAATGTAAGTTATTGTACTATTTATGTGAATATTTATATATGGAATCAAAAATCCTGACTTTACCCTCTGTGAACGAAAAAAAATATTAAAAATCCCTATTTTAAGGTAAAAAACCATCTTTCGTGAGCAAAAAATAATTTTTAAATATCAAATTGTTTATGAAAAATATTTTTGATATCCAATTGAATAATTAGTATAATGAATTGGTGAAATTTCATTTTGCTTTCTATGGTAAATTAATTTTAAAATGCCAAAAAAGTTTGACATGCCATTACATATAAAATTGATTCTATGACATGTCACAATTTTTTTGACATTTTTAAAAATTTTTTCACTTATGAATACAAAAAAAATTATGCATGAATTATATCATGAAATATCTATAAATTTCACAATAATTAATTTTTGCTTTTCAATTTTAGCGAACTGGGGATTTTTTTTAAAATAATTGACTATAGAATTCATAAAGAAATTTTTAAAAAATAAAAGTTAAACCTTCTTTAGCGAACAAATTTTTTGCACGCTCAAAAAGGGGGAGTGAGAAACTAAATAATAGCCTTTATAATTAATAGGATCAATTAAAGATAATTTTCCCTAAAATGAGTTGGGCTGCAAAAAGAGAGATCAGACAAAGAAATACTCATTTCAGCTATCATCAATAAATATTTGAATCATTTCATTATTTCAACTGCTAATTTAAATCCTCTTTATAAATAAGTTAACATATATTATGTGGCAGCCTCATATGCCTACTTTGCAAGGAATTACTAAAGCTCTTTTAGACGCATCCAAAAACAAAAGACGAAAGCCCAACCAAAACTTTTGGGTCTGCTTAGACAAATATAAAGATGACCCCTACTTGTCATGCTATTTAATGTTTATGTCAAGAAACATATCTTTACAGCCTACACTTAGAAATCTCATAAATGATTATATAATATCAAGCTTGAAACTAAAAAGAGAGATTTCTGCAGAATGCATGATATTTATGCAGCAAAATATCGTAATGTATTTAGATGATCCCGAGGTATCATCATATATGATAGAATTAGCGAATATTTTGTATAACACTCAAGACACCTGTCCACAAATAATTGAGCTGCTTACTCCCCCCCCCCCTCCGTGAGTGAACAAAACCATTAGAAAAATCCCTATTTTTTGCCCAAAAACCCACCCTCCGTGAGTGAACAAAAATTTTTTTAATAGAAAATTTTTTTATGGAAAAAAAATTTGATATATAAATGATAATTAGTATAATGAAATCTAGAGCTAATTCTGTTTAATTTTAAAAACAAATTGCTCTTTAAAACATAAATTTTATAAATTAAATTAATTTTTGCTTTCCAATTTTTGCGAATTAGGATTTTTTTAAATTTCGAAAAAAAATATTTTTTATAAAATTTATATATAATTTTGTTTTAAAAAAAAAATTAACCCCCCTCCGTGAGTGAACAAAATTTTTTTGTTCACTCACGGAGGGGGGGGGGAGTTAGCAACAGCCTTGATTCGAATGCTGCGATTGTTTTATTTAAATATAAATTTTTAAATTATATTCTGCTATTTGGAATTTCTTATATGTTTTTACCCTAAAAGTCTTTTTCTTTATATTTTTAATAATGCTGCTATTCGAGCATTGACTTTGATTTTAAATAAAGCAAGCTCAAAAAAGGTAGAGTTAAATACCAGCACTGAGGCTTTAAGAAATATTTCTCAAAAATTGATATCTCAAACACAAAGAGAACAGGTAAATGCAATTTATTGTATGAACAATTTAATTGCACTCAATTTGCAAGTCGTTGATTCTTATATAATTTCTTATTTAGATGCCCTATTGAAATTAAATAACTCTGAACTAGACCAGACTTTAGAAGCAATTGCAAGTGGATTTTTAACTATTGGAGCAGGACACAAAAACCTAATATCAGCCAGAATTCAAGATTGCTCTAAATTAATGATAAAAGGCTTAAGAAGTAAGCTAAAAATTTGCTGTGAGTTTTGGAAATTCTGTATTATTGCAAAAATTCCTATTTATCCTTCTCTTTTAAGTCTCTTATCCCTCCATGAACAAGCCAAACCATTGAAGAAATACCCTCCGTAGGAGCATAAAATTTTGTTAATAAAAGTATTTTGGAAAAAATTTAACTTAAAAAAAAAATCAAATATCTGTGAAAAAAAATATTTGCTCAGGAGGATTAGAAGCTTCTATAAGCAACTTGATTATAGACAGCTCTCCTAGCTCTGAAATTATAAGAAATTGCAGCATTGAGCTGCTTGAATTACTCGCACCTCATTTTAAAGAGCCTTGCTTTACTGCACTACAAGAATTTATAGACAGCAAAATCCACAATGAAAACTGAATAAAAGCAGAAGCAGCCATAAAAGCTTTGGCATGTTTATCTAACTCTGGAAATGAAATCCATAATTATGTAAGGAATAATATATCATATATCATGAGATTTTTGCAGCACGATAAAAAACAATTGATTAGTACAGTCATTTCTATGATATCTGTGTATCCAAATGAAATTATTCAAAGTGCACAATTTAAAAATTATATTTGAAGGCTTTTAAATCTTATAAATGGAAATGATAAAGAAATAGGGGTCATAGCTTGTTCTGCACTATTGGAAATAATAAAAACGAAGCCTGAGGAAGTAAATGAATTTTCGAGAGAGTGTGCAATTCAGCTTTTAGCACCACTGGAAGAATGAGACAAAAACAGCCTTGATAAAATCCTAGAGCCTTTGTATGAATTAGTTATAAGCTATAATGAGCTTTTGGATAACAGTAATAGCAGAATTTCCATTTTCGCAGTTTTATTCGATTCTCTAACTCGCTTATTAAATATAGAACATATTTTTGCTCTAATCCCTATTTCTTATGGCCGTTATACGCCATTTTCATATTAAATTTCAAATGATGAATTTTCCGCACTAAAATCTGCGTTTTGAAGCGTATATTTGGTTTCAACATACCAAACTCAAAATGGCATGCATATGATAATAAACGTATCATCTCTTATAAGTATTTATTTGTTAGTTTTAATTTATATCAAAAATCTTTAAATTTTTTGATACAAATGTAATATTAAATAATATAGTAAGAGGTATCCAAGATGATAATCCAGCATTAGCCATTGCATTTAATTTGATGATAGCAATAATAAAAGCTTCATCTGAAGGCTTGAGAAAATACTTAAAAAGCGTTTTGACAAAAGCTCAGAGAGTTATTGAAGTATCAGTTTCCAGAAGGAATCCTGAGCTTTTCAACACTTGCTTATATTTAATTATAGAAATTCTGAAATCAAATGTCTTAAAGCCAAAAAGCTACTCGCTTGTCCCTACATTGGAATTTTGCTTGAATTCTCGAGATAATATTGTGCTTGAAAACTGCTTAAAATTCATGATAAACTTGCTTGGATTTACTAATGAATTTGACTCTATATCATCTAAGTTTATATATAAATTATTGGAGATGCTTGATGTGAGAAGAAATTCTTTAAAAACCATAGCAATAGCCTCTGAAGCCTTACTCCCCCCCCCCCCCATCCATGAACGAACAAAAAATTTTGTTCATTTTTTTTTTTTAAATTTATTTTTAATTTAATAAAATTCATTTCGTAAAAATTGAGAAGTAAAAATTAATTTAATTTAATATTTTAAAATGCAATTTGTTTAAATTAAGCAGGAATTATCTAGGAATTTCATTATACTAATAATCACTTGTATATCAAATTTGTATATCAAAAAAATTTTTTGTTCGCTCACGGAGGGTGGGTTTTTGGGCAAAAAATAGAGTTTTTCCAATGTTTAGTTCACTCAAGGGGATTTAGGGAATTTTTCTATTAAATATCCTGAGGAAACAAGCAAGCTAGTACCAGAAATCGCTGAAAGAATGATGCTGGCAGCTAGATTAAATAACTGTAGCCAAAAGCTTAGAAGCTCAATTTATTTATCGATTGGAATGCTTGGGCTCTCGAATCCGAATGCTTTGTCTACTATTTTAAGTGAATTTGCAAAGAACTGAATTGATGGAATGAGAGGTTTTCCAAATGATTCTGCTAAAATAAACAGTTTTAGAGGAATTTATGAAAGCATATCTTTATTAAAGCACCAAAAGAAATACGATATATTAATTGAAGCTTACAAAGAAATCCAAAATCCTCCTCCAGATCTCCAAAATAAAATGGGTAGGATTGCGCTTGGGAATATAAATCAATATAAAAAATAATCGTTTTATTTATACTAAAATTCATTAATTTGAGCTATATCTCTTTCTATTTTTTTAATATTATCAATGGCTTATATAGCATTAAAAAATTATTTTTAAGCCTAGATTTCTTGATGTAAGTATTAATTATTCTCGAATTGTAATAGAGTCTTCGCAATAGTTAAAAATAACTTTATCATAATGTTAAATACATTTTTGGAATATGGATATCCTTAAGAATTCGCTTGCACATGTCCTAAACTTCATATCAATGAAAAGAAGCAGATCAAGCAGTGACGATAAGCTTATCAACCTAAAAAGGAAAAAAGTTGATATCGATTTACACCTGAGGAAAAATTCAGAAATTGAGTCTTATACACAAAATGCATCCAATGAAGATTCTCAGCCCACTCACTGGGTATCAAATATTCAAGATCCTCATGAGCTCTACAGATCTGTCGTTACAAAAGAAGAAGAAAACTCTCCTCTCCAATTAAAAGAAAAAGTAAAAACAATGAAGAGTGTGGCCAATATTATCGTTGGCCACCTAATTGAGCATTCTAAAAGTGCAAGCTCAGAAAAACTATCAAATAAAACTATCAACAGCACAGACGACTCAGATTCCAGCCATAAACTCAAAAATCCGAAGCATGCCTTGACTTTTGAAGAAATGATAGAAGTCGAAAGGATTTTTAATTGCTTTAAAAACAAAGAAATCTTTAGCCAAAATCATTTGCAAGCTGTGACTTATAGCGATATAAAGACCTTGAAACCGCAATCCCATGTGAATGAAAAAGTTATTGATTTTTATGTAGGCTTAATAGATACTCCAGACTCAATGGTTATTTTTGATCACAAAATGTTTTCGATGCTAGAAGATATGGAAATGAGGAATGAATGGGATTCTGATAGACTAATTGCGCATTTAAAACGAACTATTGGAGACAATATATATGCAGATCAGCTTATTTTTCCAGTTTTGCTTAAGAATAATCATTGGGTGGCAGCTTTGATAAATAATGATTATAAAAGTATTGATTATTTTGATAGCATGGGAGATGCGAATTTTGATTATGTGTGCTCTATTTTAGAAAAATTTGTGTGTGTTATTCAGAATGGAGAAAATGAGCCGTATGATTGGAATGAAATGAAAGTCCCAGAACAAACTTTTCCTTACTTCCCCTCTGTTGACAGACAAAAAAATTTGCTAAACGGGACTAATTTTTTTTTAAAGTTTAATCTAATTGGAAAGTAAAATTTAATTAGTAAATTTATGTTTTAGAATATAAACTCATAAGAGCTTCATTATAGCGACTATCACATATATATTAAATTTTTTTTTGATTACTCACAGAAGTTTGATTTTCCCCTTAAATAATTTTTTTATAATGGCTTTGCTCACTCAAACCACAGAGGAGCTATGATTCTGGGGTTTTTATGCTGAAAACGCTTACTTGTTTAGCAAACAGAAGAGACCTGGATTTTTGCCAAAATCAAATAAGATTTTTAAGAAAAATGATGGTATTAGAGATCAAAAACGTCCAGTTATTTAAGGGTCATCAGGAAAAAATCTAACTGTGTTTTTTTCTCGATTTTACAGGAAAAACAACTTTTTGAAAAGTATTTTATAAGGATCTAATTATATTTAGCTGGAGATGCAGCCTCTGAGATCTAATATATAACAAAATTGCTGCAATCTTAATTCTAAAACCTAAAAACGTATGCCAAATGAAGAAAGAAGTTGCATTGCATCTTAGCCAATATATTTTTTGGCTGTCAAATTTTTTTATTCAAAAATTGCATAAAAAAACCATAATAAAAATTGAAAAATTCATATATCAAGAATTTAGACTTCTCTAATAAATATATATATAGATTTATTAACTATAGATCTCTAAATTATAAGTAAAAATAATGAATGCGTGTGACGAAATTTTAAGCAAAAACGATATAAAAAAACACCATTTTTGACAGTAAAAAGGCAGCATAAAAAACTGCCTTTTTTTCCGGCTCAACCCGTTATTTAATAGCAAATATTAAACAAATAATTTATGGAATTTTTTAAGAATTATTAAATCTTGATTTAACAAAAAATATTGTGAATATCCTATAAAGAAGAAATTAGCTGATCTCCTCTATAATTTGTATAGGATTTTTTCAATATCTGACAATTCAGCATGCCACTTTTTTTCTTCAGCAATTTTTGAGAAACTATAGTTGTGTCTTCGATTTGATTTTGGCAAAGTTGGTGTGTATGGATAATCCAAAACAATATTTTTTAAATAAGGATTATTCCGATAAGAAGATTTTTTTCTCTGTGGTAAAGGAGTTGATGATGAATTTTCATAGCTTAGGTCTAATTTCATACTTTTTCGTTGAGAAAAACTTGTTGCAGTTGTACGATCTGTAGATGGCTGCTGATAAGGGAAAAGCAAACGGCAGAGCTCTCAACCTTTGTTTAAGCTTGATGAAGTAGATCTCTTTTTTAATTTTAATTCAGGAATTTTTATATTTCGAGAAAGTTTTGTTTCAGAATTTCTTGCTGATCTCACTTCGGATTTTTTTGGAGATGATATAAGGGAATATCTTTTTGTATGGGAAAACAGCTTTTTAAAGTGTTTCTCTAGAGCTTCATTTGTTTTATCACGAATGAAGGGACTTAGCTCAGAAAATAAAGGCCTGGAAATGTCATTCTCAACGGATTTTTTTTGGATCTTTGAAAGTCTGGGTTTAGGCGATTTTATTTTCATTTATTATGGAGCAATATTTTAAATTAATGAAAGCATCTTATTATTGATATCTTAATTAATGCTAGTAAAGCAAGTCCTTTATCTGATGATAAATGATAACTATTTCAATTTAATTACAAAAAGATTTGCAATAGAAATTATACTTAAGATTACGATTTTGTGGATATAGTGTAGAGATTTTCAAATATAATTATACATTCAAGTGTATTAGGTAATAAAACTTGATAAATATAGTTTTTATTCTCAAAAAGTAATTTGCAGCAGTTTAAACCGTATTTGAATAATTACTTAAGCAATTTGTAAAGAAATAAGAGTATTCCATAGTATATAAAGTGTAAAGCAAATTTCTTTAAAAAATTTTTTATATAATTTATAAGCAGTTTTTCAAATTTTTCTCTTAAGCTATATATTATAGTCTGTTCCCTTTTTTAGCAAAACGTAAAAGACTATACAAAATCACCTACTCATTATCGTCAGAGCTAATCAAATAGAGCATACATTTTCAGCCAATTCACTCTTTCTCTCCATAGCCAATCTCATCTCTCATTCTGAAATTGCCATAAGGCAGCCAGGTTTTTATTTTAACCAAACTTTTGGATATAAAATATGTACTTAAGGAGACTAAGGAGGTTCGCCTCTCTGAGCTACTCTGAAAATCTTTACAACAAGCTTCACATCGAAGAAGGAGTCTTCAGCAAAAACCTCCGATTTTTGAAGTTCTGCGACAACATGACAAAGCTTGCCAAAAAGCACGAAGAAGATGAAAAAGTTGATCTCATCAGGAGGCACAATCTTAAGATGGCAGCTCTAACCTCAAGAGAGCCTGTAAGGGATATCCTCAACCACTACATGAACCACAGAAAAGATTACTCAGCTGACCTTATCACAGAAGCCATTGAATGGCTAGGAAAAGTTGGAGTGGAAACTAGGTGGATTTTCCCTAACCCCCCTATGCTTGATTAAGTTCTGCTATTGTTCAATCAAAGGAGGAGATTGATTATTAAAAATTTTTTTGGATGAGGATGGGGCTAATTTTCCAGAAAATTTTTTAAGATCAAGGACTCAGGGAGTAAGGATGATATGAGTGTCCAAGAAGTTTACGGATCATTTCAGTTCAAGACTCTCCTGAATGACTTAGACTTGGCGCTGAACAGGCTAGAATACATGTCACCTTTACATTTAGCTAGATGTGCGAAAGGGCTGGCTCAATTTGGGTATAAGGACTCAAATATTTATAAAAAGCTTATAGAAACCTTTAAGGTCAGCGATGACCAAAATGTCCCTGCAAGAACAGTTTATAAAGACCACATTTATAGTGGGTTTATGAAAAACCAAGAATTCCAAGAGCACATAGCAACTTTATTGGAATGGAAAGCACCTGAAAAACTCCCAACTGGCGGCAGGCTTGAAAACAACCTGGCAGGACTTGTAGATGAAGTAGAAACTTTAAAACTGATGCACAAAGATATGGCTTCTGCTGTTTTGAACGTCTCAGCTCACTATTTCTCACTGGTTGATTTGCAAAGAAACTATATAAAAATATTTTGACTTTCAGATTTCTAGTATCTGACAGAAATTCTTCTCTTGTATATTTTAATTAAATTTCACCCTTAATTATTAGGTTTGGGTTATCCTGTGAAAATTTCTGCTAGTCAGATGAAGGGGCCGAATAGTTTTTCTATTTGACTCTTATCCTTAGGGAATAGTATTTTCCAGAAGCACATCATTCTAAGGCAGCCTTAAAATGTCTGACGGAAAAAGTATCTGCAAAAGCTCAAAGGGAGACTTCATAGCCATGCTTCAAGACTGAAGTCCTCTTTATGATAAATGCCAAAATAGCTACACTTGTATGGCTTGCATGGGATAGAGAAGAAAATCACATGAATGCCCCATTGCAGTTTTTGAGCAGCAAGGTGCTTGGTTATTAGAACTAGTAAAAGATAGATAGTTAAGGTTAAGATTTACAAAGAAATCATCCAGATCTTAAAGAAGACCCTGAGCTCGCTCTTGAACTTTTTGAGCTGCAGGAATCCCTTGTAAAAGCAAGACTTCTTGATCCAAATGACCTTGACGACGATTCCAATTTCATCAACATGGACAAAATGATGAAAAGAGCTGCAGGCACCTTTTCCCGCCTCATGAAGGTCTATTATCCCCACCTAGCATCCCCAATTGTCGACTCCTTATTTGAAGCAAGTACCAAATACCACCAATTTGTAGCGCCAAATATAGAAACCCCAGTTATACCTAACCCAAATGAGCTTACAGCGTCAGTCATCGGCAAACTTTTCCAAGGACTTGCAGAAGCTATGTACTCTGAAAGAGCAGACCCAACCAATGAGTATCCATTTGCTGTATGGGGAGAATTGGTAGAAGTAGACAGAGACCCTAAAGGACAACATGACTTATTGATTGACAAAACTTGCACCAATGTCTGGTGGATGAGCAAACAAGCAGCCAAAGACCTTGTACCAAGGATGAAAGAGGTAGCTAACAAGACAAATTGTGATGGAGCCTGTGAAGCTTTTTATGGACTAGGATTAATCAATGCTCTGGATCCTGAACTTATTGATACATTAGCAAAAAGAGTACAAGTAGACTCTGATAAAGTATCAGCTATAACTCTTGCAAATGGAATTTATGGCCTTGGACTTGTAGGGAGAGGGGCTGATGCTGCGAATTATTTAATTTCTGTACTGATGAAGCATAAAGATTTTGAGATACTGTCATTTGGAGAACTCCTGGGGGTTACTTGGGCTCAATGTGTGCTGAACTGCACAAATAATGCAGCTTTTAATGAAATTTTGAAAAATTTCAATAGATTTGAACCACAGCATCTTGAACCGCGGCTAAGCCATATGTTGAGAGAAGTAAAAAACACTTTGGAAATTGAGTTTGGATGGAGATTAGAAGAAACATTTAGAGAGCCTATAGTCACTGCTTTTAGAGGATCAGACCATGTGTCATTTTTTGAAGGAGAACATTATCATCCTTATAAGAAAACTGTAAAAGAAGCAGTAAGAAAATATCTAAGCCAAGGACTGACTGATAAAGAATCAGATACAATACACAACCTTCTTGTGGCTGCAAATCCTAACCCTTTATACAAGATGGATGATATTTTTGCAGTCAATGGGAAAAAAGTCGCAATATCTTTTGTAGGAGATGATAGACTTGATGGGAATGAAATGTGTGGGCAGGACAAGCTTAGGAAAAGACACCTCGAAAAGGTTGGGTTCACACAACTGTTAATTCCTCTATATTTATTTGTAAACACGGATCCTATTGCTCAGAAAATGTCTTTCAATGAAAATGCTGATTTAGCAGGATTGGTACTCAAAACATGTGGATTAAAAGAAAATTTCTTACTCCTTTTTAAATTTTGACAAAACATCAGTAAAAATTGCATTTTTTGGGTACATTAAACCCCTATTAAATTGTAACAATGTTGTTTTTCAATAGGAAAATTTTAATTTAGTTTTAGCATAATTGAATAGATAAAATGCAAGTAGAATGTTATTTTAACAGTTTTCAAGCTGAATCAATTTAATTTTTTTATTTAAATTCTTTATAAAAATAATTTAAATTCATATTATTTTAAATATATTAAAGATAAAAATATTAATTTATATTAATTTTTGTATTTAAAAGTTTTATAAAATTTTGCTCAAATTTTAATTTTTTAAAAAAAAAAATTAAAAGATGAAAATCTATATTTATGAAATAATTTTTAACCTAATTTAATAGACAAAATGCAATTAGAATGCTATTATTCTTTTTTCACACTAAATCGATTAATTTTTTAAGTTTTATCTTCATAAAAATAAATTAAAATCAAAGTATTGTGCTCAATTTATAGTTTTTTTAAGATTTTAAAAAATTTTTTATTGAAAAAATTAATCCCCCTTTAAATTGGAACAGTATTGTTTTATTCCAATTTAAACCATGGGAAGTTAGCACCAGTAGCAGAGTTACTTGAAAAGCTGATAGAAATCTCTGGGAAAGTAGAAACAAGTGAAGATATAAAACCAGACCTCGTCAAATTTATAGAAGAGTTTTTAGGAGCTTTCAAGCTTCAAAGAATGTCCCGCTTCAAAACAGAAATAAACGAATATAAAGAAGCATTAGAAGAAATCAAAATTCAGCTTTTCAAAACGAATGAGAGGTATTGGCTGCTAACTGATGCCAGCAGAGATATCGTGGATCAACTTGTAAAAGAAACCACAAAGTCTCCAAATTTCAATTTATTAATAAAGGACATAAATGAGAAAATCCCTCAAAGAGAAGAAAAGAAAAACTACCCATGGGTTGGAATAAGACAAGGAGTAGAATTGCCTACAAAAAAAGTCATGAACGACATTTCTGACGAGCTTTTAAACCAAGGGTTTTTGTGGATTAGCAATTATTATCATTATGACGACTGGGAAGAAATTCTCAGAAAAAATTTTGTCCTTAATTTGGAAAATTATATGAAAGAGGATCCTTATAGTCTGCTTACTTTCTTTGGGGGGAGAAGACAAGCTTATGGAATTTTACCAAACCCAGGTAAAGGTAATAATCTTTTCTCCAGACAATTCTCTGATGAAGCTTCCTTGATTGCAAGCCTCCAAAATTTGAAATATGGCATTAAAAGGAATCTTAATGACCAACAAATTGTAGAAAAGATTTTGGACTTGAAATTCATTCCTTCCATAATTAAGGAGCATTTATCAGAAAAGCACCCTAAGGAAGAATATTTGCCCACACTTTTACCTAGAGATCCAAAATGCTATATTAAATTCATCGAAGAACAGCAAAATGTCAAAAGGAAGACTGATCACTTTGTTAATTACTTCAAAAACTACCATTTAAAAAATGAATTTAATGAAGAAGCATTCCCACAGCTGCAAAAATCCTTAGAACTTATAAATGAAAATCAAGAAATGTCATGGATGGAAAAACATACCATGAAAAATAATTTGATTTGTAATTCCTTTGGAAAATTTTTTGGTGCGCTTTCCAAGTGATTATTTTTTTCTTAAAAATTAAAATTTTTTATTCAGAAAAAAATCCTAATTATAGATTAAATTTGCCTATATATAAAAATATTTTAATTTGTGTATAAAAGATTTTGCTCGAGGGGGAGTAGATATATGAACACAAGATTTGCGTTAGAAAAGAAAACTTTTGATAAAGATATTTTCTATCATGAAGCATATAAACACAGAATAGGTAGAAAAACGGATCAAGATTCTTTGACAATTGAAGGGTTCAGAATTAGGGATGACCCAGATTATTTGAAATTCACCAGTGATGAAGACTATTTAGAATTCAAGACTTGCCAAGCTGAAACGAATTTAATAAAGATGAGACTAATCTACAAACTCCACAATAACCAAGAGCTTACTTATCGGCTTATTAATAAATTACATTTTATATAAAAATATATAATAAAAAATCATCTAAACAATTAATAATAAAATTAGCTATAAAATATCAGAAATTTTAAACGCTTAGAGTTAGTGAAATTGAAAGACAATATCTGAAGAAATGGGGGGAAGCTTTAAAGAAGGCAAAAATTAGTGATGCCGGCTCTGTGCTTGTACCACAGCATAGCACTTCTTATTGCTTAAATGACATGGACGAAGAAGATGCTCTCTTTTGCATGTCTTTCAGAAATGTCGTGCTTAAAGAATCATTCGGACACTATTCTCTAAATGAGCTGATTTTCGAGCTCAGCCACTTTTTCGATGACGAAATCATAAGAAGGATCGAGTACAACATAATAGAAAATTACCGTCTCGGGCAGTGGGGGATCACCACAGATGCAAGCGGCATTTCAAGGCTAAGACCACTATGGAGGAATAAATCCATTTGGCTGACTAACTTAGAACTCGAAGAAATCTTATGGAGCAAAGCAGGAGAACTAAATGAAGAAGAAATTGGCCACTTCCTTACTCCCCCCCCTCCGTGAGTGAACAAAACCATTAGAAAAATCACCATTTTTTGCCCAAAAACCCACCCTCCGTGAGTGAACAAAAATTTTTTGATATATAAATGATAATTATTATAATAAAATCTAGAGCTAATTCTATTTAATTTTAAACGAATTGCTCTTTAAAACATAAATTTTATAAATTAAATTAATATTTTCCTTCCAATTTTTGCGAATTAGATTTTTTTAAATTTAGAAAAAAAATATTTTTTATAAAATTTATATATAAATTTTTTTTTAAAAAAACAAATTAACCCCCCTCCGTGAGTGAACAAAATTTTTTTGTTCACTCACGGAGGGGGGGGGGGAGTTAGCATCTACGGCCACATGAGAGAAAAAGCATTTAACAGTAGACAAATTTGGAAAATCGAAAAACAAAGCATCCTTGACTGGCTCGCAGTTTATAATGGAGTTGAAGGAAGACTTAAATACTTAAAAGAATGGTATATAAGAAAAACAATTGAAAGAGAAGCAAACCAAAACATTCCTCGTGGGAAGTTTTATAAGCCAGATGCCCAGCTTTCAGAGGATTACCACAGAGCCAAAGTCGAAAGCGCCAAAAAGCTGATAAAGGAAAAAATTGGGGATAAATGGGAAAATTTGACGGACGGGCATTTCCAAATGATAATCAAAACGTGTAAAGATAAAATAATTACTAGTGATGTCGTTGAGGATGATATAGCAATGATTAATGCCATTTTATTCCATGAAGGTCTTACTCCCTCCACTTTAAGTTAAACCAAAAATCTGCTCCAAATGAAAAAGTTATTTTTTGATCTAAAATTTTTATAATAAGTATTTAAAAGTGCTAACTTTTATAAAATAGAACTATTTGCACCGCCATTTTAAAATAGAACAATTTTAGGTAAAATTTGATTTTTGCTACATTAAATTGAGGATAAAGAGCTGATTTCATAGAAATTATTATTTTTACTTATAAAAATCAAATTTATTTATGATAATTTATCTAAAAAAAATTGATATTTTTAAATTTAATTTATAGAAGGAGCTAGTGATATGGACAGAGAAGAAATCGAGACACTTAAGCGGCTTTATAAATTTGACGAAAAGGAAGAAAACGAGCCAGCGGAACACTTATTTGTGAAGCCTGTCCCTGTTAGGAATGTTACACATACAAATGATTTAGAAAGATCAGTAAATCCTAATGAGTATTGGAAGGATAGGATAGAGCAAGCCTCAGGAAATTTCATAGCCAATTTGATTAATAAGATTAAAGAAGATTAGATTAGAAACATGATAATTAGTTTAAATTATGGATTCATTGGCATTTCTTTATGCACGTACGCTACATGCTGTCTTTGGGTTACAAAACGCCTGACCCGCCTTCTTAGTTTATTATCGTTGGCTTCTTGCTTAATATCATTTATAAGCTCAAGGTCTTGTTTTGTGAGGTCTTTTTTTTCGGAGTAGTTAATTTGGCTTATGCGCTTTTGCGCTGTGTATTTTGAGGTGTTCGAGATTTCTGGCTCTGCCTTAGGTTGTTTAGGTTTTTCTTCATCTTTCTTTTCAGGGAGGCTTTTGTGTCTTATGTTTTCACTTGTAAAGCAATTCCTTGGCATCATTCTGCCTCATTCGCTGAAGATATATTGGTTCAACGGAGACATCGAGGGGATTTTTTCAACTTGTTTCTGCTCTTCTAATTTCGCCTTTAAATCAGGCTCTGACATTTTTTCGGCTGTTTTATGCTTTTTTTGGTTTTTTCTGTGTAAATATGATTTCAAGTCAGCCATTATAGTCTGTTCTGGGGATATATCATTTATATTGATCATTGACTTTCGCTTTTCTCTTGTTCTTTGAGGGCCATCTTTAATTTCCACTCCAAAATTCTCTCCAAAAACCCTTCGATTCAAAGATATGCTTATTTATAATGACTTTGTGCATCCTATTTCCTATGTAATATCTACTAAAGATCTATAGACTATTTATATTTATTATTTATAGGTATACTAATTTAGCAGTTTCATAATCAGACAAATCCTGCGCAGTAACAAAAACTTGCTCACTTTTTTGGTTAAGAAGCCCATCAGGACTTGGAAGTCTTGTAGAGCTCCCACTTCTTTTAGGTGAGGTTAATAATGATTTTACCTTTCTATGCTTTAATGTAAGCGTGCTGTCTTGGTTCAGCTGCTTTGCGCTTTCTTTGATTTTATTTTTCTTTTCGCTGAATATTTCATCTTGTAAAAATGAATTAAATTTAGCAGAGAAAACGTGAGCTTTCATAAATTTAAGGTGCTTTTTGTGAGACTTTACTGCAGTAGCAGCTGATTTTCAAGCCCCAATTAATTCGTCTTGCATCAGCACACAGTCGTTGATGATGTTTGTAATTTTTCTGTCTTGGTCTCTTTGCTGCTTTGATATTGAGCTTTTTGGGCTTGAAAAGTCATAGGGAATTTCAGGCTTGGAAACATTTAGCTTCAAACAGGCTGGAGAGCTCGAAACTCTGTAATGGTACGAGGGCTGCATATTATTCAATCAATTTTGATGGGAAATTACTTGGAAATTAATAATAATTTTTTCCTTACTCCCCCCCCCCCCTCCGTGAGCGAACAAAACCATTAGAAAAATCGCCATTTTTTGACCAAAAAAACCCACCCTCCGTGAGTGAACAAAAATTTTTTTAATAGAAAAAATTTTAATGGAAAAAAATTTTGATATATAAGTGATAATTAGTATAATGAAATCTAGAGCTAATTCTGTTTAATTTTAAACAAATTTGCGTTTTAAAACATAAATTTTGCAAATTAAATTAATATTTGCTTCCCAATTTTTGCAAATTAGGATTTTTTTTAATTTCGAAAAAATATTTTTTATAAAATTTATATATAAATTTTTTTTTAAAAAAAAAAAATTAACCCCCCTCCGTGAGCGAACAAAATTTTTTTGTTCGCTCACGGAGGGGGGGGAGTTATAAGATATGAATTGACTAATAAATTTCTAGGAAAATTATTGGTCAAATTTTCGAAGTAAATGTCTCACTGAAAAAAATAAAAAGGAAAAAATGAGCAGGTACGAGTTTCGTTCATGGTTGTCGGCAAATAAATTATTTTTGAATCCAGAAGGAGAAAGAGGAGAATCAGGAGTGCAAGTGGTCAACATGGCTGGGTCTGCCTGGGTTTATGGCTCTACCTGGTAGTCCGGTACTATCTGAGTCTACTGGGCTACAGGGTCCACCAGTAAAGCCGTGCCGCCAGATTGCAAAGGTAGCTAAGTAGACTCAGACTTCTAGACTGCCAACTAGAGCGAGGCTCCCAGACAGTCAAATATATCCAGCAGACCAAGGCTGCCAGTTAGACCTTGCAGAACTTGTATACCAGGGTTCCAGATAGCTCCAGTAAACTCATACCACCAGGTATAGTCAATAGGTCGACCCATCCTAGTTTGACCATGCAAGGAGTACATGGAAGCAATTTGGGTTTACTTGGAGATGCCATTATTAACTTATGTATATTATTTGCTCTTCAAAACCATCAGTTACTATTATCTATTTATTTTAATCAGATCCAAAGATTAATTGGGTTTCCGAGGTGTTGAGATAAATCTAAATTTATAAAATAAAATGCAGTATAATACAGTCTGATAAAATTCGAGAAAAATGATTAATTTTTTGTAGTCAGGGAAATTTATTTATTTAATAGATGGAATAGTGTCATATGATGATTTTAACCAGAATTTATATTAAATGGAAGCTTTAGACAAGTGCTTTCAATATAATAACTATATTATACAATGATAAATTGCATTGAACATTGAATTCTTTAAACACTAATACAATTCGCTATATTTGGCACAATAAAAAATTACTTTTAAAAACAAAAATATTTCTCAATCAGAATTTAATAAAATCACCATAATTGTATCCATAGAATTCAAGGAAAATAGAATAGCAATTATAAAAAATTTTGAGTATCCAATTAATTATAGCTTTAGAGATAGTTCTTTATTTGTGTAAATTAAATTCTGCCTCGTTGTCATTAACTTCTCAACTTTTCTTTTTAGCTTAAAATCTTTAGGCTCCAGCTTGATATCTTTAAAAGCTTCCATTAAATTTTTATCAAGCGTTCTTTTTTTAAAATAATTTACATGAATTTCTCCTTTATGACCTTTTTTCTGATTAAATTTTTCTTTAGGACTACTGTCTTGTACTTTATTTTTTACTCCTGGATAATTTAATTTTAACTGTGGCAAGCTATTTTTCTTTTTAATAGGGGAAAAACTTGGCGATCCAATTCGATCAAGACCAGCCGAATTTTGTTGCATTGAAGGTGATGTAGGCTGATTTTTTATTTTTTCAAGAATTCTGTCTGAATTAGATTTAAATCCAGAATATCTTGAAGAAGAAACTTTTTTGGGCGAAAAATCATTCTTTTTAGACATTATTGATTTTATATCAGTAAGAATTGTTTCTTCAGGAGAAATTTCTTTAGCACTTATCATTGTTTTTGCTTTTTGGCAGATTTTTTCAGGAGACTCTTTTACATTAGGTGAAAAACTTTCACCAAAGCATCTTTTGTTGATAGATAAAATATAAGCAGTTTCACCGTCTGTTAAGTCTTCTTTTGTTATAAAACAATGGTCTTTTCTGTCTTCATTTTCTTCGATATTTGGCAGGCGTGAATTTCCTTCTCTAGATGGCGCCAAAAGTGATCGAACTTTTTCATATTTTTTACTGAGTTCTTCATTATAATGTAAATTTTTATAATTTTCTTCTATTTTTCGGGTGCAGGTCAAATGACTTTGCTTTTTTGAGTGTCCATTTCACCGAAAAATTTTTGATAGTGAGACATTTGACCGAAAAAAAACCGTTAATTTCGGCCAAATGTCCTCACTATCAAAAATTTTCGACCAAATGGATTTCGATGAAATGCACACTGTCAAAAATCCACGGTCATTTGACATGGAGCCCTATTTTTCTCTTTTCTTGTTCAAATATCCCTTCATGCAGCAAAGAATGAAATTTATCAGAGCGCTCAATTTGGCTTGTAATTAAAACATCTTTTTTCGCTGACTTTGCGTCTTTTGTCGCAGATTTTAAAGCACCTACAATTTCATCTTTTATTAAGTCACAATCTTGGATAATATTAGTAATCATTTGATCCTGGCTGATCTGAAAGTTAAGTGTAGGCGATTTTGGAGTAAAGCAAGTGAAATGCCGCTGGGGTTTTCGAGTGTGGTGGCCCATTAGTTTTGAAGATGTAGAAAATGAAGACCCTAAGGAAGCGATATCCGATTTTTCAAGAGGAGTTAAAGTTCCTAGTTGATCGGAAATTTTTTTAAATTGTGATCTCAGATTTGTACTGGATCGGTCTGAGTTCGAACATGAAGAAAGAAATGAGTCTCTGGTGCTTAGCTTCAGACTTTGGTAAGCCATGATCAATTATTTTTTTTACATAGTTATCCACAAATTACACTTAATTAAATATTATCTTTTTCTTAAAAACCATTAAACATCTTATTTTTATCAATATTTATGCTCAGCACAATTTAAGCTTAAAACTCTTTTATTTTCTATTTTCCTCTACCTATCCAGCATTTATTTTTCTTTAAATTCAGCTCGATTCCATAAAGATATAAACAAAAATGGCTCGGGTCATCGAAGCACCTCCGATTGACGAAGAAGAAACCCAAAGGATTTACGAATGGATCGACGATATTCCTCTTTCCAGACCAAAACGCAATATCACAAGAGACTTCGCTGATGGTGTCATGATGGCAGAAGTAATAAAGCACTTCTATCCTAAGCTAGTAGAAATCCATAACTATCCCCAAGCTCATTCAGTCCAGCAAAAGGTCACTAACTGGAACACACTTAATGTGAAAGTATTTCGGAAAATGGGCTTCCAAATTGCGCGCACTGACATTGATAACATAGTTAACTGCAACCCAGAAACCATTGAAAGAGTATTAAAAGTGGTTCAAGATAAAATAAATGAGTACAAAGACAGAAAAAGTGAACAAGAAACAAGCCCAGTTGTCCAAGAAGCCAGACTACAAGGACTAGCAAGGCCAAAAGCCCAGGCACAGGGCCAGTCAGAAGTCAGAGTGCAGCCTGCAAATAACGCTTTGAGAGAAAAAGAACAAGTGATCAGCGAGCTAAAAGAAACTATTGAAATTATGGAAAATAAAATTGCAAAACTTGAGCAGTTAGTGAAATTGAAGGACTCAAAAATCCAGATTTTGACTAATAAGCTACAAGCTGCAGGTTTAAGTTAAACTATTTTTATATTTAATTTAAGATTCTGGAAATTTATTATGGAAGAATTAGCAATTAAAGCATAAGTTTAAGCCGCAGAATGAGCTCTTCTTTGGATTCTATTGTTTGCCTCATCTCGTTTAAAGCTTGGCTGTCAGGGCCTTGGCTTTCACTGTGGCTGTAAATTTTTTGAGCAATTATTTCATCAACTTGACGTTTAAGTGATTTTACCTCGTTTTCGAGTCTTCGAATGGAGGATCTGGTAACTTCGTATCCGTTATATGTTTTAGGAGTTTTCTTTGACTGCAGCGGCATATTTATAATTATTAGTCAGAAAACAGAAAGACATATTAGCTATTTCATAATTGTCATATTTTAAAGATTATAATTTACACTATAATCTATTTTTGGATTAATATATAAAATTTCAGTAGAAAACACTTAATTAATCTACACATTCAAAGCACAATGAGGAAAAGAGTTATATTTATTTCATTTTTATTGTCAGGCTGTGTTTTACAGCCAATTAAATCAATCGAAATATTAATTTATACACAATATTTCATACAATTTATTGATCATACTTGCAATTATATTAATCCTTAAATAAACTACATAAAAAAGCATATACTTAATGTTTCTAATTAAAGAGCAATTTATATTCAATGCCATTTAATTTTAAATCTATCTATATATATAAAATTAATAGCAATTTATATATCAAAATTATCAAGATTTAATAATTTCACTTCATCTTTTACAAAATCCCTAGCAGCATATCCCTACCTAATTTTAGCCATATTATAATTTGTGGGCATGGGCATCTCACGTGACTCAAGACATAAACGCAGAAAGACAGGAGGCCGTATGCCAATTCACAAGAAAAAGCGAGCTTTCGAGAAAGCGAGACAGCCAGCAATGACAAAGCTGGGTGCCAAGCGCATTCACTTAGTTCGTGGCCGTGGAGGAAATAACAAATACAGAGCTCTGCGTTTGGACGCTGGCAACTATTCTTGGGCAAGCCAGAATGTTACAATCAAAACCCGTATTCTATGGGTCGTCTACAACGCTACAAACAATGAACTCGTCAGAACAAACACCATCACCAAAAACACCATTTTAGAAGTCGACGCCACACCATTTAAGGCTTTCTTTTACAAGACCTACGGCCAAGACCTCGGGAAAGTGAAAAAAGAAGAAACTGCAACCAGATCTGCCAAAGCTCAGGAAAAATGGGAAAAAATTCAAAAAGAATGGGAAGAAAACGCTAACTCCCCACCTCTGTAAGAGAACAAAACCCTATTTTTTAGGTAAAACCTATCCTATGTGAGTGAACATATATAAGTGATAATTATTATGATAAATCTCTAGCTGATTCTTAATTTTAAACAGCTTGCATTTTAAAAAATAAACTTATAAATTAAATCAATATTTGCTTTCCAATTTTTTTATTGTGTATATAAATTTTTTAAAAAAAAAAATTAATCCCTCCATGAGCGAACAAAATTTTTTTGACTCACAGATGAGTGGGAGTAAGGAAAAGAGAATCGACCCTATACTAGAAAACGACTTCAAAACTGGAAGACTTTTGGCTTGCGTCACTTCAAGACCTGGACAAAGTGGAAGAGCTGATGGGTATATTTTGGAAGGAGAAGAATTAGAGTTCTATAAGAAGAAGCTAGAAAAGAAAAAGACTAAGTAAGATAACTTCTTCATTCACATAATTTTGCATAAATATGTATCAAGACGAACATCTTGCATGGCAGCAAAGAGTCCAAAAGGAAATAACGGCAGCTAATAGATTCATGCAGTAATTTACATCTAGAACAAAGGATAGGTTCTCTGAAACCCAGAGAAGCCTGAAAACAGAGAGAAGCAGTAAGCATTCTTCTCATCACCATAGCTTAAGTCCTCAAAAACAATATAATCCTCCTAAACAAGCAAACAACTTAGGCACTGTCAACGTCTATGCAGAAGTTAGAGGAAAATATGCCAGAATGCCTATACCTAACCCAAACCCTACCAAATCTAGCGTCATTTCAAGACCTACAACCCAAGGCAGTTTGGTGAAATATAGCAAGAGATCTCATGGAAGAGCTCTTAGCTTGCCTCCCCAAGAGGAGCAGGAAGCAGAAAACAAGCGTCCACTTGCAAAAGAAGAAAACAGCCCTAAACGAAACTTAGTTTCTAGAGGTAGCGCGACGTCGAAAATTTCGAAAAAAGCAGTTAAAGTCCCTACTGTTGAGAAAAGCACTAATGAAAAACAAGATGTTCTGATTATTGGTGAAAATGAAGAGAAACAGGCTGAAGAGGTGATAACTGAAGAAAATGAGGAAAATGAGCAGGAACAAGATGCTGAAACTGAATACAGTTTCAAAACAACGAGCTCGCAGAAGAAGTATATTGAAGAGCTTGAGAAATTATTAAAAGAAGAAAGGGTTAAGCGCTTGAAGGCAGAAGAACTTTTGCATAGCATACGCACTTAATCCTATATTTAATTAAGCGATATTTACATTTTTTTCCTAAAAAATAAAATTCTTGGTTTTTAAATATTTAAATCATCTTCATTTATATGATGATAATTTTTATGAATTTATTATTGCATCTGGCTGAGCTCAAAAATAAATATTAGATATTTATGAAATTTGAATATATACTTTAAATGGTCGCGAACCAACCCATCCTCTTAAATACTATAATTGGAAATCTATAATAGGGTGTGGGGGACCTTAAGGAAAGGGGATGGTACTCCAGATGTGTTTAGCCAGGTTTTCCTGGTTTGGCGAGGTACAATTTAGGAGTAGCCGACTATGCTTCTTGCAGATCCAGGTTTTTAAATCAGATGAAATGGAGCGGAGAGTTGGAAAGAGATCATCCATCAGAACCCGCGGCATGTTTCCTGGCATAACGACTATCCCCAACATGAAGCCAGCAATTCATTTTAACTATAACTGTTTATGAAATTTGATAGAAAAATTAATGTTCATTATCATTAAATGCCAGGTTAGCTTAAATAATAAATCCATTGATTTAATATTAGAATAATTTATTTAATAATCGATTTTCTTTTTTTATCATAAATAATTAATAAAAATAAGTCTCACGTTTAATTTTTACTACTATTTCCATTTTTATATAAATCCATTTTAAGTTGAAAAAATGTTTATAAAGATTCTGTATCATTCTGAATTCAGCAATTTTGGAATTATATATGCTCTTTTCATTATATAAAAATCTAGCCTCAAATTTATCCATCTGCTTACATAAAATTAATTTTTTAATAGAATTTTCTTTTGCAGGCATACAAACAGCATCAATAAATTATTACAAACACTTTATATTTTATCAGCTCCTTATAAAATGGATATCATAGCAAGCGTTTTTGACAGACACTCAAAGTGTGCAAGTTGCAACAAACTTTTTAAACTTTCCTCAAAGCGAAGAAAGTGTGTAATATGCAGTAATTCCTAGGCAGAACTCCTGTACTGTAAACGATGTAGTGTTAAAGAGTCCCACCCCCACCTTGGGTTTTTAGCCCCAAAGCGATACTGCTTATCTTGCTACAATGAGCAGCCTTCAAGGACTACCAAAAAAAAGACCTCAAATGGTCAAATTCAGCCAGATTCTCCTATGCTCCAAAGACGAGAAACAGCTGCAGAAAAAGAACAGCGACTTCCTCAAGGCTGGCAAAACATGGTTACTGCGGTCGGAATTTCTAATGAAGAGCTTGAAGAAAACAAAGACAGCATCGTAGGAATCATGAGCTTTATGCTAGAAGGGGTAAAGCCTATGCCTTCAAGAATGAGCGTATTTTTTACATAGTTCGACCTTACAATGAGCAATAGGGTTCAACTTCTCCAAACAAACCCTGAAGAAATTTATTTTAATTTAAAATAAATAAAGCCCATTTTTTTTTTATAAAAAATATTTACTGTAAATTGGTATACCAAATTATTAGAAAAATTGGCGAAGGAGGCTCAGGAAGTGTTTATGTGGTAAAAAATTCTCAAAATAACGAAACTTTTGCGCTGAAAAGAATTCGGCCGAAAAATGATAAACAAAGAGAAGAAATTGTCAATGAAATCGCTTTAACTGTGCTGAGCCAAAATCCTAATGTGCTGTCCTATTATGAGTCTTATGATTATAACGGCTTTATTTGGATTGTGGTTGAGCTGATGAAAGGAAATCTGACAGACCTGATTTTAGATAGGTGGGGAAGAATTCCTGAGAACTTAATGGCATATATATCAAGAGAAGTAATAAGGGGATTAGCCTTTTTACATCACCAGCATAGGATTCATAGAGATATTAAAAGCGATAATGTTCTGATTTCGCTTGATGGAAAAGTAAAACTGGGAGATTTTGGGTATGCAGCTCAGCTTACAACAGACCAAGACAAAAGGCATACTGTGGTTGGTACACCAAGCTGAATGGCTCCTGAGCTCGTTGTAGGCTCAGACTATGACACAAAGGTCGATATCTGGTCACTTGGAATTGTGTTGCTAGAAATGGCTGAAGGTGAACCGCCATATCTGAGAGAAAACCCTATGAAAGCTTTATACTTGATAGCATCAGCTGCTCCTCCAAGGCTGCAAAATAGGACAAAATGGAGCGAAGACTTCAAAAGCTTCGTAGAGCAGTGCTTAGTAAAAGAGCCAAACGAAAGGGCAAGTTCAGATACTCTCCTGACTCATCCATTTATTGTGAACGTCCCAAGTGACGCTGAACAGCAGTTTTCTAGATTTCTGAACGAGTGGGCACAATCTAAAAGGCGTTAATTTTTAGCTTAAATTATTATTATATTTCCAATCCTCAATAAACCCCACTATAAATAAAAATGATAAACGGATAAATGTCAAAATATAAAAGCTTTGCCCTAGTAATCTCATGACTTGCATTTTTTGGTTTTTCGACAGAATCAAGCCCAAGTTTTTTGCAAACTGCAATATACCAGTCAGATCAGTCTACAAGTAAAGGGACTTTAGCAAATGGAATTGAAGAGCTGGATTCAAATCTTTCAGATATATCAGGACAAACTAAAGATTCTCTGGAAGTACTCAATGATCAAGAAAGCTCTGAAATTAAAATAACTGACACTTTTGCAACCTCAACAATTAATTATCAGTTATATGAGTTAAATTCGTTATTAGATAGTGTGCAGTCTGATATTGATGATTTTGAAGCACAATTGGATGCAATCGAGGACTGTGATGGCTATCATACTTGCACAGACTGCACTGTGGACTCAAAATGTGTGTGGTGTCCAAGCGAAAAAACATGTGTGGCAGGAGATGAAACTGGCCCAGAGGATAATGTGTGTGAAAATTTTAAATATGGAGAATGTGATAGTGTTGGCTGTGATTTTTATAATACATGCAGCACATGTTTATTAGACCCAGAATGTGGATGGTGTGAAAATTACTGTGTGCCTGGGACTTCGGAAGGATCTTCTTTATGCACAGGAGATTATTATCATGTTTATGGGGCAAACAATGTCTGCCCGAAGAAATCGGTAAGTAAGCCTGGTGATCTTGTAATTGACCTCTTTGAAAGTAACTCACTCCCCCCCCTTTAAATTGGAACAAAATATCGGTAAAATTTCCACTTTTTTGGTAAATTAACCCCCTTTAAATTGGAACAAAATTTAATTTTTTATAATAAAAAATTATATATAATTTTTATCTAAAAAGTTTTGATATAAGTTAAATGTTTCTTCTTAACTAAAATTACAAATTAGTTATATCTTGCTCTTTTTTAAAGAAAAAAGTATAAAGAGCATCTTATTTAAATAAATTTATTATCCTTAATTGCTAAATTTTAAAAAAAAAAATTAATTTTTTTGTTTTTAAAAATTTTCAAAAAAATTTTTGTTTTTTTTGATAAAAATGATATTTTTTATTTGGATAGTTTTGATATAAATTCAATAGGAATTCTTTATAAAATTTCAAAATTTAGTTATTTCTTGCTTTATTGTAAAGAATAGAGTATAAATAATATCTTATTTAAACAAAATTAGTACTTTGATCGATAAATTTTCTAAAATTTTTTTTTTTTAATTTTTTTTATCAATAAAAATATAATTTTTGTGTAAATAATTTTGATGCCAATTAATAGTGGCGTATTAATTAATAATGAAAATTTAATTATATCTTGCTTTGTTTTAAAAAGGATAAAGAGTAAATAGCGTTTTATTAAACAAATTTATTAATCTAATTCGATAAATTTTTGAAAATTTTTTTATAAATTTTTATATTTTTTATAAAAAATTTTATATTGATATTTTTTTTTTAAAAAAAAAAAATTAAACCCCCCCTTTAAATTGGAACAAAATTTTTAGTTCCAATTTAAAGGGGGGGGGGAGTCAGAGAAAAAAGAAAAAATAAATTACATATTGGAGAGGCTAATTAAAGATTATGGATTCCTTGTTTAACGCAGCATTTAAGACAATAAGCCTTAAAGAAGATTTGCTCAGCTGCGGGTTAGCCTCTCAGGTGTATCAGTATTTCCACCAGGTAGCTAATCGGCTTTCAGCCTTGTTCTTGATACTGTCTTGATGCATTGAAATACACACTTGAGAGGCTTAGCTGTTTAAATTTTAGTGGCTGAAGTTGTAGCTAGGGATAAAATCCCTAACTAGTTTCAGTCACAGCTATGCTTTCGTCGTCAGCAATTATGGTCTCTAGGATTAAAAGCCTTTTTCCTAATGACTGCCAGGAGGATAAAAAGCTTTCATTGTCTAATATGGAGGCAAAACACAAATGCCTTTGCCAGAGACTTAATTTCCTGCTTGGCTTAGCTTCATGACTTAACAATATCCAACTAAACAAGCAAATGAGAGTCCGGGTTGATGACAACATATTTTTATTTGCATTTCATATTAGAGAGACTTTATAGTTTAGAGAGCAGCTTACTCAGTGACTAGCTCCCTCCCTTAACAAATAAAAAATTTCTTTGATAGAGGATATAAAATTTATATTAATTTTTGTTTTTTTAAATTTGCAAAAAGTGTGAAATAAAAATTAATTTAATTTGTAAAATTTATGTTTTAAAATGCAAGCTTGTTTTAAATTAGACAGAATTAGCCAGAGATTTTATTATAATAATTATCACTTATATATAAATTTTTTAATGAAATTTTTTTATACTAAAAAATATTTTGTCCGCTCAGAGTGAGTTTCTACCTAAAAAATAGGTATTTTGCCAATGGCTTTGTTTGCTCAGTTAGGGGTAGTAAGCCAAATTTTTTTGTTCCCATAGATGAAAGCTAATTTTTTTTGAATTTGAAAGTAAAAATGCAATTTAATTTATAAAATTTTGTTTTTTGAACTTAATTAAAATTTAAGAATTATCTTTATAAATTATTATACACCAAATATTATAAAATGTTTTATATTAAAAAGTTTGTTTATTGCTACAAAGAATACTAATTTACCAAAAAATAGATTTTTCTCGCTTACTTAAGAGAGTTAGAAGAAAGTATTGAAGAAACTAATAGCAAATTAGCATCAATTAATCAGCAATCCGAAGAAGGAACAAGCGTAGAAGTGACAGACACAACTGTAAAATCTCAAAATGATGGTCTTGGAGACCAAGTTGATGAGATCTATGAAGAAGAAATTAATGATGAAAGAGCTTGGCAAAACGAGCTTGCAGATAACACCACTGCTACAACTGTAGATGAAATCAATCAGCTGCTCATTGAAAGTGAAAATGAAATGAATGAAAATGTGGATGAATCTTATGCGCTGCTTGAAGAAGAAATTGATTGGCTGGAAGGAAATATTACTGCAGAAATTGACGAGCTTGAACAAGAATATGAAGAAACTGAGAGTGAGTTTAATGAAAATCAAGAAGCCCAAGCTGAAGCAGACGCAGCAGCTGCTCAAACTACTACTGATACAACTACAACAGATAGTTCGACAACGTCAACTGATGAATCAGGAACTAGCTCTCTATATGAGAAAGAGAAAATTCTTTTGCTTGGTTACAAAAATAGTATTTTTATTATGAAAATTTTTTTTTTTAAAAATGAGTTAACATTTAAATATTAATTTATTTTTAGAATGCTGAAAAAAATTAACAGGAATTTTAATTAATTAATTTATATAGAAAAATTTCATTTATAGAGGAAATTAATGCTCTCAAAATTAGTTTTTTTCTGTATTTTTTTCCAAAGGAGGAGTGAGACAACTGATCAAACATCAACTGAATCCTCAGAAACAGGAGATGCAGATTCAGCTGAAACTGAAGAAGCCTCTTCAGAAAGTGTTTTCCTTCAGTTTTCATCTTACCTTTTTACTCGAAGCAAGCTACTTCTATCAAATATTTCAAATTAACTCTTTTTCTAATTTTCATTGTTACACATTAGTTTATCTTCTTGCTCGAGCTCTTTTTTGAGTTCGTCCAGAATATTTCCGATTGACGAAGAATCCCCCATGCTCGCATGAGAAGTATACCGCTTATTATGAATAGGGGTTACTGGCATTAAATGTGGGAGAAGTCCTGACGTGTTTTTCTTCAGTCGAGAGTTCTCAAATAAATCAGGGACGTTGCTTTGGCTTAGTGGACGGCTTGTAGAAGCATCATTTGGAATAAGTGTAAATTTAAGCCCATAAGGAATATTCCATAATAATTTAAATTTAAAAAAATTTTTAATGTTTTAACTGGATTATTATCTTAAAATCATGGTAATTCTGTATTAAATATATATTGTATATGATCTATAGGCGTATAAATACTATCCCCAAGCTCAGAATGCTCTGATGTGTAGTTCCTCGGATCTCTGCTTGTATGTGCGTTGATTTCAGTTGATTTTCGAATAGAATCGTTCTCTGCATTTAAATTCGATAGTCTAAATGACGACGATTTTTGAGGGTACGAATGAGACGTTACAATAGTAGTTTTGTAATGAATAGGCTGCCCAGGCAGAAGATTATTGAAACTTTGTTTATTTGGGTTGTAAAAATTTATGTCAGTCTGAACCTTTCTTTCTGTAATTATAATGTGGTCTTCAGGCTCAACTTTATTTAAAGAGTAGACTCTCTCAGTTTGAGAAGCTGCTTCTTGTTGCTTGCTATATAGAAATTACTCTTTGGAATCGACTTTTGAACGTGATGAAAATAGAGCTGATAAACATCCGCAGCAGCTACTTTTTTTAGATTTACCCATGAATTATTTCAAATAATTCAGAATATTGTTTATAAAGAAATTAATAAAAATTGATAATTGAAGATTTATTTTTGTGAATTGAAAAATTGATGAAATAAATGGAATCAAAAGAAATTCAGTGACTTGGGTATCCTGGATATGTTGGGAGTTATAGAGAAGACAGAGATTTGTATGGGAAAATATATACAGATTTGAAAAATTTATGAAAAGCAGAAGAAATTGAAGAAAACAAGAAAATAAAAGGGAAGAAAAAGGAGAAAAAGGCGGAAAATCCTGAGAAAAAAATGAGGTCAATTATATTGGAACTAGGTGCTGAAAGGAATAATAACCCTGAAGCATTAGAAGCAAAAAGAATAGAAAAGAATAATAATCCTGAAGTATTAGAAGCAAAAAGTATAGAAGAGAGCATAAACCCCAAAGTGTTAGAAGCAAAAAGCCGAGAAAAGAAAAGTAATTTCAAAGCAAAAAGACATGAATTAGAAGAAGGAAGCTTCTCAAATCCTATAGTTTTACTTGATTCCCCACCTCAAAGTCCAAGTAGCAAAGAAGAAGATTTTACCTGGGAAGCAGAAATCAGAAAACAAAGAAAAATAGAAGATCCATCAAATAGTTATCGTTATTTGCAGATTTTTGAACATTACCACCTAAATGTGGAATCTTTTCTGCGTGTGAAAAGATAATTCCATATGTGAAGCCCTTTTGATTTCACATGTGGAATCTTTTCACAGCGAAAAAGATTCCACATTTAGGTGGTAAAGTTCAAAAATCCGCAAATAACGATACTATATATTTGGCATAAATCCTCTAATTCTAAAAGAAGTACCAGAAGGCAAAGAATACCCATATGAAATGAAAAGTGCACTTATAGCAGCTTATAGGCTTATTCAGCTCTATGGCATTGGCAGTAACTCAAACCAAGTATATGTCCTTGATAAAGAATTTTCACAAAATCCAACGGTTTTAGAAGCCGTTAATTGACTAGCTAAAAAATGCAGCCAATTCCCCTTTCAAAAGGTTTATCATGAATTAGGATTCAACTTTGACTTAGAAGAGCTTAGAAAATCAATTGATATTCACAGAAAACTGCAAATCTTTGACAAGCTAGACTATAAGAAAAAATGCGACATTATGAAAGAAGTAAAGTTCCAAGATAAGTTGCCATGAACTTATAAGCTTTATACAGAGCTTATACATAGGTATCTAATAACACCAAAAAATGAATATAGCCAAATTTTGAGGGATGTTGAAATTTTTGATGAAGGTACTAGTGGAAGGGCGTATGACAGTCAAGCAAACCATCATTCTATGCCAGACTCCCTGATCTTAATAATAAGAGATATAAGCAAATTCACTTCAAGCGCAATTTATAACATGCTTACTCATATATTAAATTTTATTTATATATAGCACATACCGATTTTTTATGGGATAAAAAAATTTTATGCTTATAAAGAAGAGTGTTAAATTATATAAATATGTTAATTTGGCTTTATTATAGCATTTTAAGTATGAAATCCAGTCGAATTCTGCTTTAAAATATAGAAACAAATAAATCATTCAAGCATATGTATCATAATCTAGCATCGATTTAGCTAAATTAATGTTTTAAAACAGATTTAATTTGTTTGATATAAAAATCCTAAAATTAGCACAAGAATATCAGCTATGCTTGCCTATTAGTTTTATTTTTTATATTCAAGGGGTGATATATAGAGTCTTTAATGCTAGAAATCTATTTAAAATAGTTCACGATCAAAAAATACTGTAATATTTTTTATATTTCTTAATTTCAGGACTCGGTAATTTATTTTTGGAGGTGAGTGGGTTACATTCTCGACCATATGGAACTATGAACAATAAAGAATGAATGCAACTTATTAGCAATAAGATTGTAGAGATTGCTTATAAGCTTAATGAACGAATGTTCTTGGATGAATTTTAAATATAGCAATTGTGGTGTAAATATCATTAATTATGAGAATTTAACAAAATTATTTAGTTTTTTAACACAATTAAGATTAAGATTAAGATTACGATAACTCTCTGTCGACCCCCACTTAGCTTAGATCTAACAATACAAGCCCATCCTTAATGAATTCCATCCACTAGCTAACAGCTCTGAACAACGGTAGGTGGAATCGGCCTAACCGTCGAACCGTTACAGTTGCCTATGGCCCGGACGAGTCTCTCTTCGTTTCTTGAGTGTGATTCAAGTACACTTGGGGCTGCCGGAGCAGTCCCAACGCTGATTTCCTTCAGAAAGAATGAACTTCCCTCACTAGGACGAGTATAGGGGGACGGAAACTCCTAACTCATATTCCATTTTTAATTGTGTTTTAAACACAATAAACCATCTAAACCTATTTTTAACAGACTTAATACTGCGCAACTGCCATTTTTCAGGGAAAAAGCCTTCAATATTTTCTTCAGGAAACTAAAGATTTATTTCCTTCTTTTTTGGAATATGATTGCCATTTAACTAAGGGAGCTTAAAAATCGAATAGATGGGGAAATTTATAATTGTTAACTTCGATAATAAAGACGAAACGCCTTATAAAGTATTTCTTAGGAAAGATCTTGGGCTCTTATTGATTTTATTACTCGTCTGGGCTTTCTCCTAACTCCCCCCCCTCCGTGAGTGAGCAAAACCATTAGAAAAATCGCTATTTTTTGCCCAAAAACCCACCCTCCGTGAGTGAACAAAAATTTTTTTAATAGAAAAATTTTTATGGAAAAAAATTTTGATATATAAATGATAATTAGTATAATGAAATCTAGAGCTAATTCTGTTTAATTTTTAAACGAATTGCTTTTTAAAACATAAATTTTATAAATTAAATTAATATTTGCTTTCCAATTTTTGCGAATTAGATTTTTTTTAATTTCGAAAAAAAATATTTTTTTTATAAATTTATATATATTTTTTTTTTAAAAAAAAAATTAACCTCCCTCCGTGAGTGAACAAAATTTTTTTGTTCACTCACGGAGGGAGGGGGGAGTAAATATTATTGAGGATTAAGTTCAGACTCTTCCTGACACTTGTGAAACGGTTCAAGAGGCGCTGGGTAAAAAATCTCAAAGGATGGATCTAAAAAATCTATTATAAGAGTTTTTTTTTCACACAGCACAAATCAGAATTTTCTCTTCCTTTCTTTAATGGGCAGCGCTCTTTCTCTTAATTCTTTTACAAGATATTCAACTTTGATTTTATCGATATCACCCGAATTGTGCTCTTTTCCTGTATTTAGCTCTTTAAGCTGCAGGTGCCGTCAATTTCCATATAGAGATCTCCATGCAATGCGCTAATTGATGAGGAGTTGGTTATAAGCATTCTTATAATAGAAAAAAAATTATTGAGGTATATTAAATACTTATAATTCAAACCTTCATTTAGATTATTATGTATTTAATATTACTTGATATTCAAAATATACTCTCAAAATTTGGTATAGCTTTAAACAATAAATTTAAAAGCCGATCGTCTATTAAACTAAATATTTATAACAAAAAAGCATATAAGAAATAAGATGTTGCAGTTATTCAAATTCCATAAAAATATATTTCAGCCAAGAGTTTTAAGCCTCTTGATATTTATTTTCAATCCTAAATTAATACATAAATTTCTTATTTTTCCAATTAGTAACTTCCCTATCCCTAAATCTCGAATCCCTTATTAATTTTAACAATATTTCACCAATATCTATTTCAGTAAAGCACAGAATCGATTAAATCATTTTTATAATGGTTTTTTTAATATTTCTCCTGTCCTTTGTTGCCTTTGACGGGGTATCTAGCTCTAGTATAGTATCAGTCTTTCCTCCTCGATACTCCCAGTTTTTTGACACATCAACAGACGAATGTGACGTCACTCTTACAGAAGCATTTTTATCAGGTGAAGAAAATGAGGCTAAGTTTGGCTTGTCCTTATGAATCAAAGTAGAAAGCTACTCTCAAAGTGGGTATATATTTACTATTGACAGAAGAAAGTAAGACTTATACAGTGATGGTGAAAGTACAATGTATTCTCAAGGGTTTCCTTCCCTTTATTTATCCCATGTTCAATCATCATCAGGAGTTAATAGTTACTATTTAATTGTCACCTGGTTTATGGGATACTGAGAAAGCTTCTCAACGCTGACTCTATCTTTGGTAAAATTCATATAGACTCCTTCGACCAATTGGATTTTTATCGGAATTTCAGCTAGCTATGACACCCAATCGTCCATATTTTATGTGAACAACAATGGGGCCTCCTCTTCTACTACAGGAACTTTTAACACAGCGTACAGCTTGCCATTCAATTCTATTATAAGAATTGGCTATTCAATGAGCTTTACAGGCAGGGTTGGGGATTTTAAAATCTATAACAATATATATAATCAGGTTTCTGACTGAAGCTCATTGTATTCTTCAGCATGCACAGGGGTGAGCTGCTCAGCTTTGTCTCCAAACTTATGCTATGCAGAATGCGACCAATGGTGCGCTTCTCAAACTAATTGGTTTTTATCGATAATCCAGCCAACCTTGTATAGCTATAGACCATATGCAGTAGTTTATGATGATACTTATTACTCACAGTATTATGATCTCTTTATGTCAACAACTGCACCATCATCAGGATGGGCCGATTACTCTATTACTGGCTGGGCCGAGTTTTCGGGTTGTAAAACTTCAGCATCAACCTTTTTTCAAATATACTCATATAGCTTAGGATTAGCTGCATTGAGTATAGACTTGACAAAAAGTGTCCCTGCAAACTCTTGTGACCAAATAACAGCTACACTTTATAACACTGACAGTGTAAGCAATTTTGTTTATACATCTGTGTCAACAACAAGCACAAGCTATATTGGAAGTTGGCTCTTTTTTGCTGTGACTGTTAATACTGCTACAGGAACTTTGACCTTGTATACTCATCAAGGTGCGACTGTATCATCTGCTTTAGCTTCTGCATCTGTTCATTACTCGTATACAGCAGTCACAATACAACCTGGTTATGTTGGCTTTATTGTTGGAGGAACAAACTCCAAGGTAATTTATCCAGGAAATTATGCAGATATAAGGATATATCCTGGAAATTCTATTGATACATCTTTGGGAATATATACAAACAATAACCTATATAGCTCTGCTGACTATTTAGATCCTTATTGCACTTCATGGTCGTCAGTATGGTATTGTGGGACCTGCCAAACTGGATATTTTGTAGAGAACGGGATATGTAAAAGTAATTTCTAATTAGAATGCCATTATTCATGTGCATCGTGTTCCTCTGGAGACACAGAAGCAGACTGCACAGCCTGTGCAAGCGGTTATTACTCCCAGCCAGGCCATCCAACACTATGCTTTGATTATTGCCCTTATGGCTATACGTGGGATTCTACCTTAAAACAATGTACAGGTACCCAAGGAATTATCGCAAATTTTGATTTTGAAGACAATGTATCAGGCGATTTTACGGTGTCAAATATATACATGAAGTTTGGCTTGTACGCTAATGAGTATTATCCAACTTTTGATTACTGCGATCCTCAGCCAGCCAATAAGAGAGGGATTCATTTAGAAAAAGGAAGCCTAGAATTTATGCCACAGGCTTCTGCAAATGCTGGAAGACTGCTTGGAACTGACTATACAGTTGAGTTATGGTGCATGCTATCAGCTTCAGGGATTTTTTATACAACCGAATATACTATATCATATGAAAGCTATGAAAAATTTATATAGCTCAGGCATGCTAAAAGCATGCCTCAAAGCTGGTTTGGGGAAAACCAAGCTCATTAGCTTTTCTGCCGGATTCTGAAGTGCAAACTCGATTTTGGCAAATAGAGCTAAATGGTTTAGTTTATCCAAATTAAGCAGGCTCGTCAAAATCCAACAGAAAAGCTAAAAATCTATTTTTTCTTAAACCAGCTCCAATGTCGTACCCAAACTATATATTATACAAACTCCTTTCCTATTGTTACAACAGGATTTCAGATAGATCAATACAAAAGATTAGTATTTAGCATAGGAAATCGTGAGAGTACAACAGTAATTTACTCACCACCTTCTACCAGTTCTCTTAAGCCTCAAGAATGGGCTTTATATTCAGCGTCCCTCACATTTGACAGCACGTCAAGGACTACCCAGGTTTTATTAGTAAGAAACACCTTTTACTATACTGAAACAGTTTCTGGGTACTCTAGAGAAGTTTCTGGAATAATGCACTATGTAGGAACCGGAGCGGCTGCAATGAACGGATTCATTTATAACTTCGCGCTATATAACTATGGAAAAACCTATTCCCAGATTACGTCAGATTTAGGCACTTGCACTGACTGCTCGGCATGTCCGGTATCTTTAAATTATTGTATGCCTACTTGTAATGCTACTCAATATGTTGATAGCAGTGGAAATTGCCAATCGTGCCCTTCTGAATGCTCTTGGACCTGCTCCAGAGCTGGAACCTGCAATCTCTGTTATGACGATTTATGCTATAAATGCACAAAATATGAAGTTGGGACTTGCACTCAATGTGTCTTAATAATAAATGAATATGTTGGAATAAGTCCTTAAATTTTTTTATTATGGGCTCAGTCTTCATATTGATTCTTTATACAGTTATCGCAGAAAGCCCTAGCGCATAGACTGAATGGTTACCCTTGGATTATAAGAGGAATAGGATTGCGACTTGGGAGGAAGAGACCATAGGTGGAAAATATAAGGAGGCGAGTAAATAGAACGAGAAAATGCAGCATGCAGATTTGGTAGAACCATTGCTTAAGAGTCCAGGAAAAGTGCTGAATAAGAATAAGCAGCGTCAAAAGTTGTTATTTAAAAGAGTAGGTTTAATTAGACTGCCGCTGCAGGACCAAATTGCATTTTTAATATTAATTAAGTAAGTTACCAATGTGTCGACCATGCAATCCTTACAAGCGGAATATGCAAATGCCAGAGCGGCTATGTAAAGCAAGCCTCCATTTGTACTGATGAATGTGGCGATGGTTATTATCTAGATTTAACAGCTCAAGAATGTCTGTCATGCCCTGATCATTGTACAAGATGCAGTGATGGAAAAACCTGCACTGTATGTAACTCTGATTTTGTCTTACTCCCTCTTTAATTGGAGCAAAAAATACTTTTTCAATTTAAAGGGGCCTTTTTTCTTTAAAAATATTTATTAAAATTTTTCTTATAAGAAAATAAAATTGAATGGAATATATTGAATTTAATTTATTTTTATGAAGAGTTAATTAAATAAAAAGTTTATTTATTCAGTTCGAAAACTGTTTAAATAAATTCTACTTGCATTTTTCCATTAAATTAAGTCAAAAATAATTTTATAAAATTAATATTTTGCCCTATTGAAAAAACACTTTTGTTACAATTTCAAGTGTCAAAGCATCAAAAATCGAAATTTTACCTATATTTTATTCCAATTTATAGTGGGGAGATAGAAAATGATTTATGCCATTGTGAAACTGGCTATTTCCTTGATTCTTCAGACAGCTGTTCAATATGTGACACTTCCTGCTTAACCTGCTCTGTCATTTCTTCAAACTGCACATCCTGTATCACATCTTCCCCTATTCTTTATGACAAAACCCAATGCTACCCATGTGACTCATTCGAAGGCTATGCTAGCACATATATCATCCCTACCTCTGAGCTAACAACTGACCTTATCTCCCAATTATCTTCCAAATGTACCGAACTCTGTGGAGACGGCAGAAATATGGGCCAATTAAAATGTGATGATGGGAATAACAAAAATGGAGATGGCTGCTCTTCTAACTGCACAGTCGAAGTTGGATGGTCTTGCTCTGGCGGAAGCTTGAGCTCTGCCGATATTTGTAAAGACACCACCCCACCATCGCCTATTCTTGCATACTTAAGCGAAAGCAGCTCAGGATATCTGCTTGCTTTATCATTTAGTGAGCCAGTCAGTTTGACTGCTGATATGTCTCAGAACATTAATATCAAAATTGATGGGATTTTGAAATTCAGCTGGTCTATAAAGCTGACTGATTCTATATATATTATTACTTTGAAAATGTACGAAAGTGTAGCAACTGGGACTGGGGTGACTGTGACCTTTATAGACCCAACTACTGTAGTTGATATGAGTGGAAATGTCATGGAAAAAAGCTCAGTCAAAGTATATTTGCCGACTTCTTATACATATCAGCTTGGAGAAGCTATAACGACTACTGTAAATACAGCGACTACTGTAGCAACTACTGGGGCTGTAGCAGGGTCAGCAAGCTCTGGGTTTTCAGTTGGGATGTTTAACTTACAAGCATTGTGGGGAATGGTAGAAATGATGCAGTTTCAAAACTATTTGATATTTTTGTCACCTAAATACCCTGATAATTTGAAATCATACTTAAGTGCCCTCAGCATCGCAAATGGGAATTTTTTGCCAAACCCTTTTCAGCAGTATTTAGTGAAAAGTGACCCTTTTGCAGATCCCCCTGAAAGATTTTTAGAAGAAAACTTTAATACTGATTTCTTAATGAACGCTGGACAATTTGTATTAGTTTGGGGAGTCATTATGGCTGGCCTTCCTATAGTTTTAATGCTCTTCAGACGTTGGCCTAAGTTTTCTTTTTTAAGGTGGCTGAAAAACTCATACCTTTTTTCAATTCTCCTCAGGACTGGTATTGAGTCATTTTTAGAGATTACTTTATCTGTATTTCTCCAATGGCGAGAAATTGCAGAGCCTTCTCGAGATGTAGGATACTTGTCCTTGTCTTTAAGTTTTTTGACTGTTGTATATCTTGCACTTACTTTTGTTTTGATATTTTGGCAAGTTACATTAAAATCTGAAGCAGAACTTGTTAAAGAGAGCCATGAGCGACGTTTTGGGACTTTATATGAAGGGTTTAAAAGGCATTCCAAGCTGACTGTTTCTTTTCTGGTGTTCCAAAACGTCCGTAGAGTGCTTTTTGTGATTCTCTGTGTGTTTTTCTTTGAATATACCACAGTCCAGGTAGCCCTTTCTACCCTTTTATCATTTTTATATACAGTTGCATTGGTTTTATTAAGGCCTTTTGAAAAGTTTATATTGGGGAATGCTCTGCATATAACAAGTGAGACCTTTTATTTTGCAGCACATTGCATTATTTTGAAGTTTTTAGATGAGCAGCTAGGAGATGATGACCGCACGAACCTTGGGTGGGGAGTTATATGCTTATTTTATAGAATTTTTAGACAAGGATTTCATATTTTATTATAGTATTTATTCTTTTTATATGGTATAACTTTATTAAGCCTGTCTTTATTACTCCATTTAGTTGCTATGCTTGTTGTGCAAATCATGGGATTTATTCAAGGCATTAAAAAGCTAAAAGCATGGTTTATGAAAAATTTCGCAAATAAATTCGCAAGATTTTATGGTAGAAAAAGCACTTTAGATACAATAATATTGGACAAAAAAGTGTCACCGAAAGGGAAAAGGAAATATGAGAGAGAAGATACTAATGAGAATTTGGCTTATTTTGAAGGAAAAAATAAGACACTAGCTGGTGATGAAGAAAGCTTTAGTTTCAGAAAAACGAAAATTAGGCCGGATGATGATCCTTCGATAAGTGAAACTCAAGGAGATGAATCTTTTAAGAAAAGTGATGCAACAATGGAGGGTTCAGATATATTTGAAGAATCCTTTTATTCTCTTAAATCCCCCTCTTGTTAGTGAGCAAAAAGATCTTGCTTGTTAAGGAAAGGGTAATTTTTTTTAATTCTATATAAAAAATGCAAATTCTATTTATTTATAGATTTTATATTTATAATGCAGACTGTCTAAAATTTAATATAATTACTTGAAACTACTATTATAACTATTAACTATATATGTAGTTTAAATCTAAAAAAGCATATTAAAAAATTTTTGCTTGCTGTTGCAGGGGATTGATTCTCCAAAAAATAGGCATTTTTCTAATGGTTTCGCTCGCTAACCAAAAGGATGAATAAGAAAAAGAGAAAAAAGGTTATAGCTTAATATTTCAATATTGAATTGAAATAAATAATTATTATTTGCACCTTTTATAATGAATAGAAACTTTGTCACTGGTTATTGTTTTTCTATTTCGCGCATAGTGAATATAAAAACGGCTAGTTACTATCAAAGTTTCTATTCATAAGGGTATATTTTATAATCGATAATTCAAATAGGTATTTTTCGAGAATTAAAATTGAATTATTAGTTAAAGGATTTGTTATAGCCAATTGGCCATTATGAACAAGAACTTGAAGAATACGTCCATTCAGCAAGAAATTTTTGGCCTGCCAGAATAGTTGATGAGCCAATTTATAGATCAAAATTTTTGTTGCTTTTAAGCAAATTGCCATTTTTAGATTTTCCATTAATATAGACTGCTGAGCCCACAATCTTGCTAACTCCCCCCCTCCGTGAGTGAACAAAACCATTAGAAAAATCGCTATTTTTTGCCCAAAAAACCCACCCTCCGTGAGTGAACAAAAATTTTTTTAATAGAAAAATTTTTTATGGAAAAAAATTTTGATATATAAGTGATAATTAGCATAATGAAATCTAGAGCTAATTCTGTTTAATTTTTAAACGAATTGCTTTTTAAAACATAAATTTTATAAATTAAATTAATATTTGCTTTCCAATTTTTATAGAAGTGAGATTTTTTTAAATTTCGACAAAAAAATATTTTTTATAAAATTTATATATAATTGTTTTAAAAAAAAAAAAAAATTAACCCCTCCGCGAGTGAACAAAATTTTTTTGTTCACTCACGGAGGGGGGGGGGAGTAAGAGACAATTTTTCTAGTCTGATCAACAGCGGCGGACATGCCATACCAATATAATGGCATCTCGAGACTATTCAGAAACCAAAAGTGAGCCTGATGATCTTACTCCTCAAAACAACTCAAAAGAAAATTCAGCCGAAAAGTTTGAAATTGAAGAAACAAGCCAAATTACCGAGCTTGTAAGCTATAGATTCCCATATGGCAAAGTTATTCTGACAATTTCATTATTGATCGCAATCGTTTCATTAATTGTTATAGGAATTATCGAGCAAGCAAAAGCAAATTTTGTTGCAGTCGGCATACCTTACTGAATAATAGCTTTTATACTCACAGTGCCTTGAACTTTATACTTTGTTAACCTGGTAAGATTCTATAGAGCTCATCCACTTGAAAGAAACAGAATTTTGAATGAAATTCCTGATATCTAATTAATTAAAAAAGTAGCAATAGCCACTTAGAGTTATAAATTTTTCAGCGTATTCATTGATAATTTTTAAATAAATTAGTCTCCACATAAAAATAAGCATGTAGGCTAGCAATGTTATGTCAGAATTTACGCTCATTTTAAAACCAACTATTCATTTCTGTTTTATTAAATTTATAATACGAGTATTTAGTATATCATGTTATGCAATTTATATTTAGTGTAATCAGCTTAAGATTTTATGCTTAATTTAAATTTCCCATAAGTTTAAGCTTTTCTTTTGGTTTCAATCTAATTTAATTTACAACTCTAGTCTTTGTTGTATATTAAATCATCAAATAATCCTTATTTTCAATTATTACCATAAACATTCCCAAATTTTATCTTTAGTTTCTAATAAATTTAAATTTCCAAATCTTTTTGATCTTAATTTCATAGCTATTTGAATGTCTCGTTTTAATCTTTTTCTCATCAGCCACGTAGTAATTATAAGAAATCAATTTAGCTTTATATAAAATAATATGTCAAAAATTCCTACTAATCCATTTGGGTTTTCTGATGGTCCTTCGGTGCTTCCTTCATTCGGCGGGCTAACCACAATCTCATTAGAAAATCCAGCAACCGAGTATGGACTTAGAATGACCAAAGCTATGGCTGGATCTTGGCTCAGTGGATTTTGGAAAAGACTGAATTATTACTTTGATGTAACAAACTCTTACGTGCTGAAAAAGCTTAAACTGATTTTGTTTCCTTATTTATCAAATGGAGACTGGACTCAAGAGCTGGATGATGACGGATTGCCGGCGACACCTAGAAAAAATCAGCATGCGCCAGATCTCTATATACCTTTGATGGCTTATATTACGTTCATTTTGATTGTAGGCGTCAATTCTGGGATGAAAGGACAGTTTTCACCAGAAGTGTTAGGACTGGCAGCAAGCTCTGGGATTATTTTTGTATTTTTGGAAATTTTATTGATTTATTGTGGATTTTATTTCTTGCAAAGTGCATTGCCAGCGCCTATTGATTTAATAGCATATTGTGGATATAAATTTGTGCCGTGTACTGTAAATCTTATGGCTACTATGATATTTGGAGGTGAAAGCTATTATCCAGCATTTTGCTATACTGGGGTGTGTTTAGGGGTTTTTATGGTAATTTATATTTAGACCAAGACGTTGAAAAGATACACAGTTCAAAACACTTTTTCAGAGTATATGGACGCAAGTAGTGTCACAAATCAATCCTTCCTTTACTTTATTGCACTGCTTCAATTTCCAATAGTTTTCTTCTTGGGTTTTTATTAATCTTCTCTAGACTTTTTCTTTGCTAGTCTTAATATTTAAAATTCTATAAAAAATTTTCAAAAAGTTTAAACTTGAAATGAAAAATTAATTAATTATAAAATTTATCCCTTAGAATGCAATCTTTAAGTTTAATAGAAAATTATAATAATTATTAATTATATATCAAAATTATTTTATATAAAAAAAATTAATACTGGAAAATTTCTGCTTGGAGGGGAGCAAGTAAATATTTTATTTAAATCAGAAAATTATTTAATTCATCTTTTTAATATAAAAGCTTATTCACCGAATAGATTTTTGCACAGAAAATTCTGATCTTTCCTTGCAATTTATTAACTACCACAAAATTATCGTAAATAGAAAATTTATTATATTAATTTTCATTAATCCTCACTTTTTTCTACTTCAGCAGCTTCAATTTCTTTAGTTTCCTCCACTTTTGTCTCTTCATTTGTGGTAGATTCATTCCCTTGTGAGTATGGCTCTTTAGCACATTTAGAACACAGATTTCTTCCTCGTGCACAGACATCACATATTTTGCGGTGGCCTTTTACGACACTTTTTTCTTCACAAAGTAAGCATTTTGCTGGAACAGTCCTCAGTTTAAACTTCCTGAATTTTTTTCTTCATTCCAATTTTGCATAGCATCTCCTACAAAGATAAGTAAGTGGCTCACCTTCAATTTTCTTTGTTAGTCTGCTAGCTTTGTTGTGTTTGAATGCAAATGTGTTTTGGTGTGCAGGTGCTTTGCCCTTTTTCATTATTTCTAATATGGACTTCTAAAAATTTTATCATATACAGCTGAGATATCCTTATAATTATTTATATAAAATTATAAGGAAATTCTTAAATTTTGGTATTTAATTTAAATTTATGTTGTTCGAGCATTAAAAATCAATATTAATTTAAACATTAAGTGATTATTCACCAATTTTTAAACTCAGGATCTGGGTTTGTTTCGTATTCCTTTTCCAAATCCTTCAACCTTTTGCGTCCCAGAGAAATTTTAAAAGTGCTTTTTATCATTTCATCTGGTGTGTAGGCTTCAGGCAATATTTTAAGTTTTTCCAAAATTTCGTCGATATTCGTCCCTATCAACTCATCTTTAGCGTTTTTAAAAAATATTTCTTTTTTTTTCATAATTCTCAACAAAATATTAATACACACCCAATTCTTCATTTAAAATAAGCCACTAATTATCTATAAATGCAAATAATTTGATATAATAAAGAATATTAATAAAAACTCTATAAATGATTTTCGTGCCTTCACAAAAGAAAATATCTAAAATCCTCAATGAGATATCTGTCTTAAAGACACTTATATAAAGGGTCATTATTCATGACGGTGCAAAAACCGAAGGCAAGAAATGGAGGCTCTGCAGGTGTTTTCAAAGATGTGGAATATAATGGCTAAATAAACTGTTAATTTTGTAAAGAGCTTTATAAATCCCAGGCATATTAGGAAGATAAAATCCTCTCAGCTCATACTTATTCATGACTGCTACGAGCGTCCAAAATGCGTTTTCTTCGCTCATATATATTAGTAGCATTGCAATCAGAAAGCCCATGCCTTGGCAGTATCCGAGTTCTGTATCATGCAAAGCATAAGCTTTCAAAACTCTGAAAAGAGCCTGCTGACCTGGCCCATCGTCCCTGAATAAAATATGGTTCGGGAATGTCCGATGAATATCAAGCATTATATCTCTTATAGACACATTATCGCTCTCAAAATTGGTCAGATTTGAATAGTAGTTTTCAGGGTAGTTTGATTTTAATTGCTCAATTTCTGCAAATTCAGCCCACACTTTGCCTCTTACTACTCCATTTAATAGTAGATAGTTTTTTCTTCGTTATTATACCTTATAAAATTCTTAGAAATTATTTAATATTTATAAATTTGCGAAATGCTTTATAATTATCTGAATTTTAAAAGATAAAACTATAAAATAATCAAAGAATATATAAAGCATTATTTATTTAAAACGTTAAAAAATATTAATAAGTATTAATTAAGAAAAAATTTACAGTTAATTCGTTATTAAGTAGGGGTAGTTAGGCAGTCTGGAATCCCCTTGCGCACTCTTTTCTTACTCCTTCCTTAAATTATGAAAATTCTGCTCCAACTTAAAGGGTCTAATTTTTTTAAAAAAATTGTTCTCTATAAAAAACATTTTATAAATTTTTAAAGAATAAAATAATATAAATTGAGACAATATTTTTAATTTTAATTGAGTTAATTCAAAATATTAATTCTGTTTTGCATTTTACCATTGAATTAACTCAAACTAATTTTATAAAAATTTAGTATTTTCACCTATAAAACTTTTCTGTTGAAAAAAATTTTCCGCCCAAAAATTGGAAATATTTTTGCTCTATTTTGAAGTGGGGCAGTTAACGAAATTGAATCTTCTCTTAATGTTGTAGTCCCATCTTACTAGCATATCTTGCCACTTTTCAAGTCTGGCATTTTTGGCTTAACAATTTTTTCCAAGGACATTTTCTAAGGATATTAATCTCTATTTGAATTTTCCAGGCAAAGTAATTACTTTCTCTGACTCCCCCCCCCCTTTTAAATTGAAACAAAATATAGGTAAAATTCCTACTTTTTTGGGAAATTACCCCCCCTTTAAATTGAAACAAAATTTTATTATAATAGAAAATTTTATAGGTAAAAATCATTATTTTATATGTAAATACGTTAATACCCTATTTAATATGCTTCAAACATATAAGATTTAGAAATTAAAGTCTATTTTGTCCAATTGTTATGGGGAGAGTTAGAAGAATACCATTTCAGCAAGTTTTACACTTTGAGATTGAGAAATTTATGAATTAATTTTTCATGAAATTCTTTAAATTTATATAATTTATTTTCTATAAAATTTTATCTCTGAAAAAATTTTTATATATAAATTTTTTATAAAAAAATATTCTTAGCCCCCCTTTAAATTGAAACAAAATTTTTTTGTTTCAATTTAAAGGGAGGGGGGAGTGAGTAAATATTATAAAAAATTCGCCGAGGAAATTTCTGCCAGAGAAAATCTTCTGCTAAAACCTGTTGTAGGCATTTTCGCGTGTTATGTTTTCAGATGTGGGAGAAGAGCTTGGAGAAATAAAGCCGTGTTTATCAACTTTTATTTCTTCTTCCATCCTGATTAAATTTAATATGACTTCCATAATTTAAATATTCTGATTTAGGGAATTTTGCTAAGAATAACTAGAAAATAATGCTCATTTTTTATCGGTAAAAGGCATTTTTGGGATTTTCTAAAGGTGAATTGATAGTAAAAAAAATATTTAATTTGTGGAGGAGTAAAATCTTATAGAGGAGATGGGAAGTGAAAAGAATAGATTTTGCGGAGTTGAAACTTTTAAAATTAGAGCTTAAGATATTGTTTCATATTTAATGCAACATTTTGGTATAGGAATTAATTTAAAGATGATGATCATAGGTTATGACGTAAGTCATTAATGCTGATGGGCTAAAATAATTGTCGTAAATTTCTGCTTACTTTTTCCTTTAAGATTTAAATTGACCATTATTTTTGGGAAATTTAACCTTTAAGAATGAGCAAAACAATATTTTAATATAAAATTTTTATAAAAATTTTTAATAGCGATTATTAAAAATTTAAAAAGGGAGAATTAGGAACTTTTGAGTGATTTAATAGAATCATTATATCGACTTTCTTAATTTTTTTTCATTTTTTACAGCATTAATTAATCCAGCTAATTCTTCTCAATTAAAAATAAAAATTATACATTTCTTTAAAAATTAATATTGAAAATATAAAATAATCAAATATAAAATTGCATTCGTAAAAGCATAAGGGAGTAATGAATCTTATGATTTTAAAAATATAAATATCTCCTTTGATATCTGAAAATCAATAAAGTTAATAACAAAACTATCACATCCAAAAAAATCGCTGGCGTAAAATTCATTTTAGTATAAAAATAAAAAATTATGGAAATTTTGTGTGTTGCCAAAAATATATATTAGGCCTATTTAATCAAATATAAAAAATTAACTTAAGCTATTCAACTATTTAAGGTCTAGGAGCAGGAATGTTCATTTCTCTTGCGACCCACACATGATCATGCTTTCTATGCACCCATCTTTTACTAACTGCATCAGGTTGTGGCAAACTCTCATAAGTTTTCCTCGTATTTCCAATAGCTGACTTATCTAAATAAACGGTATGGTCTACATTAATAGGCGTCACAATTAATACCTCAAAGTGTTCTGATACTTCTTCTGCATTTTGGGCATTAAAATTATTTATGTCATATTCCAAACGTGAACCTTCACTTTCTTTATACGTGTCAGGAGGTAGCCCACAGTAAGCATTTTTTTCTTTTTGTTTCAATTTTTTCCATTCATTAACCCTATATTCATGATGAGATGGCAAAAAATTCAGAATTGGGCAATCAAACTTAAAAATCTCATTTGTCAAAGGCAAATACCACAAAATTTGACAGACGGGATTTTGGAGGTCTCCACAGAGGATATAGGTGTTTTCCCTATATAGCCCGATAAGGGCCGTGGCTTCTCCGTGGAATCCCTCTGCTGGTTGAACCAACCAGTGAATTGTTCAAACCAACGCACTGAATTGGTTTGAACAAAAGAGGATTCCACGGAGAGCCAACGGCCCTCATCGGGCCATATAGGGAAAACCCCTATACTTCTTGTATCGAGGTGAATTGTAAAAGATGTTGGAGAATAGAAAGATTGAAAGCGAATTGGGTAAATTGATGGAGCTCCATTGTGAAGAGTTGCGATTGAAAGAATGCTGGATTGCTCAAGAATTCTGTTTGTGTTAAATGATCGCTGCAAAGCAATTGCCCATGCTGGTCCTTCCATGCTAAATTATTAGAAATTTTAGATAGGGAAAATTTAATAGTAAATTCATCAAATTTTAAAGCAATTTTTGTATAAGAAATAATAGGATTTGATAACAAAGCTTGATTCTATAAAAATGTCAAGAGAAAAGATATTAAAGTGTGCTTCTGGGACCCTAAATAATATTGAATTAGAAATCTGTGCAGGCAGCGTTCTTGACTTAGAAGTGGATACAATCGCGAATGCCGCAAATGAGCGTCTGGAAAATAAAGGAGGACTTGCTTATCAAATTGTCCACGATGGAGGAAGAGAAATACAGGAGGACTGCGATAGGTATATAAAGACTTATGGTGACCTACGCACAGGCTCTGTAGCAATAACTATAGCAGGGAAACTTAGATACCAAAAAATACTCCATGTAGTAGGTCCTAGGCTAAAAGATCACAAGCCAGTTAAATTCGACCATAAGGATGATCTAGTTAAAGCTGTATTTAACTGTATGGTAAAAGCTGATGAGGAAGGCTTTTCATCAATAGGAATTCCTGCGATTTCTTGTGGAATTTTTAGCTTCCCAATCGAAGAAGCATCCCTTTGCCATATTGAGGCTTTTATTTGCTATGCAGGAATGTATGTAAGATCAAATCCGAATGCATTTTTAAGAAAAGTTATTTTCAGTCTTTTCAATAAAAATGAGCTGGATTGGTTTTTGAAGGCTTTTATGGAGAAATGGCAGGGATTTGATTTTGTAATGTATCTGGGAAATCGAGATACGCAAAATTTAGCAAAAATTAGCTGAATCTGTGAGCTATGTGATTGCAATTTTGAAAATAATCTTGATTTTTTGCGTTTTTCTGCGAATCATGATCATCTTTTTAAAAAAAAGACGTGCGATTTTTGTATATTTCAGTATCGGATTACTAATTGCAGCATTTGTAAATCTTCTTATTTTGATAATACTTCTGCTGACATTTTCAATTGAATTTTATGCAGAGAATGTAAAAATTGGAAAGAAGAAAGATCTTCTCGGTGTTGCAGACAATTATGCTATGAATGCTTGCTACAAAGGAAAGAAAATGAAGTGAAAACTGAAGATGAAATCAAATGCATTTGTGGAGCTTTTGCATTAAAGGAATTTCAGATGCAAAATAATCAGTATTATGCTTATAATTAATTAATAAATTGAATTTGGAATACTAGATATACAGTAATATTTGGAAGCTTGAGAATTAAAAGAATAATGATTTTTCTTAATTAACTATTATTAATTTTAATATAACATTTCAATCAACTCATATTTTTCATTCTTAAAATTATTTATTTAAATTAAAAGATTAAAGAATATTTGCACAATTAATCAAATAATTTGTATCAAGTCTCCTGCAAGAGAATTTATATAAATAAAGAGCTCTGCTCTGTTACTATTGTATATTCTGATTTAATTTCCATCCCAAAAACTATCGTTTTCTTTGATTTAAAATTTCATAATAGGTTTTGAAACAGAAAAATCTCTTCTTTATATCTCGTTACCTTCAAAGCCTAAATTTTATTTAAATTAATCTTGTCAATAAAATTTGCACTTTATTCAATGAAACTCAAAAATTATAAATAAATCCATTTTAAATGTAAATTATAAGCAGGTCAACAATCAAAGATCAAAATATATCGAACACAGGGAGATCGAAATCAATAGGCCACTATATTCTCTCACGAACAATTGGAGAAGGCACTTTTGGAAAAGTGAAACTCGGGACTCATATTTTGACAGGTGAAAAAGTGGCTGTAAAAATCCTCGAAAAAGGGAAAATCGCGGATGTTAACGACGTAGAACGAGTGGCGAGGGAAATTCACATTTTAAAATTGATAAGGCATCCAAACATTGTCCAGCTTTACGAAATTATTGAAACTCCTAACTCCCCCCTCTGTGAGCGAAACAAAAATTTTGTACACCCATTAAAGGGTTTTAATTATGCTTTTTGATAAATTTTGTTTTTCAAAATTTTAAAAATATTCAAAATTTATAAAAAATGAGAAATAAAAATTAATTTAGTTTGTAATATTTATTTTTATGTTTATAAATGTAAGCTTTTTAAATTAAACAAAATTAACTAGAGATTTTATTACCAATTATCACTTATATATCAAAATATTTTTTTCATAAAAATTTTTGCTCGCTCACTTTTGACTCAAAAAATAAGGATTTTTCCAATGGTTTTGTTCACTAATGGAGGGAGTAAACAACTTTATTTGATAATGGAATACGCAAGTGGAGGAGAATTATTTGAATATATCGTCGCCAATACCAGAATAAAAGAAAAAGAAGCATGCGGATTTTTTCAACAAATTTTAGCTGGTGTTGAGTATCTTCACAAGTTAAATATCGCCCACAGAGACTTGAAGCCTGAAAATTTGCTTTTAGACTCAAAAAAACGAATAAAAATTGCTGATTTTGGGTTATCAAACACATTCAAGCCTGGACAATTATTGAAAACTGCTTGTGGAAGCCCTTGCTATGCAGCTCCAGAAATGATAGAAGGAAAGCGATATAATGGCGCTGAGGTTGACGTCTGGAGCTGCGGGATAGTCATGTTTGCCTTAATTTGTGGGTATTTACCATTTGAGGACCCAAATACTTCCCAACTATATAAAAAAATTATTTCTGGGGAATTTAAAATGCCAAAATATATCAGTGAAGAAGCCAAAGATTTATTATCAAAAATCATCAATGTAAATCCTAAAGAAAGATATACAATAGACCAGATAAGGCGGCATCCATGGCTTCAAATGGCTCATTATGAAGCTCCTATAGGGATTATGGTAGGCTTTGATAAGATTCCAATAGAAGAAAACGTTTTAGAGCAGCTTGAGCAATTTGGGTTTAATTCTGAGCAGGCTAAAAAATACCTTGAAATAAATAAACACAATCATATAACGACGACATATTATTTGTTATTGAAAAGATTTCAATTGGAGCCAATTTTAATATCTAAAGAAAGCGGCTCCATGTCAAATGACAGTGGATTTTTTACAGTGTACATTTCATGAAATACATTTAGTCGAAAATTTTTAATAGTGCGACATTTGGCCGAAAATTAACGGCTTTTTCGGTCAAATATCTCACTATCAAAAATTTTCAACCAATTTTCGGCCAAAAATTTTTCGGTGAAATGGACGCTATCAAAAAGGCAATGCCATTTAACCTGCCCCCAAAGAAAGCAGCGGGGCTCCAAAACCGCCTTCTAGATCAGCTACTCCAGTGCCAAAAATTCCTATTGAAAAAATAATACAAGAAGGAAGCAAAACTGAAAGGTCTCGCACCCCAAATTTATCTGAATTAAGAGATATAGATTCAGCAAGAAAATTTGAAGCCCAAAATGGCACCACTGTGATAAAAAAAGTAGAAAATGTTGAAACGCCGAAAAAAATAAAAATTAAAGGAAACGAAACGATTAAGCAGCAAGTAAAAACTGCGGAATCTCCTAAAAGAAATATAAAAAAAGCTGCAGAAGTAGTCCTTAAAAAAATTGATTCAAAGCCAACAGAAGCTCCTAAGCCTTCAACTGCAAAGTCTACTCATGCGAGAAATGCAACTCATATTGTGACAAAAAATACAGAAAAAGTTCGAGTTCAACACAATTCAATATCCCCTCATCCTCCCAGGTCACCTATTTTTGAAAAACCAGTGAAAATTGCCCAATCTAATGGAGATCATATTACCCCTCGAGAAGCTTTAAAGCCATATAATGGACCTTTCTGTATCAATTGCACAAGTACAAGGCCTACCATTGAAATTATTAATTCTTTGGCTGGCGAAGATTTTTTGCTCGCAAATTGTTAAAATATTTTTTGGAACTTAAATTTAAATGCTTGAAAAGGAAAATCTTATTTAATTTATAAAATTTATGCTATTTGATATGGTGTCTAAAGTTTAATATAATTAGCAGAAGACTTCATCATGATTGTCAAATTATTATTTGTATAAATTTTTTTTTATATAAAAATTAATGCTCGATAGTGACGAAATAATGTTTCCAAAAGCAGGGCTTTTTATATTTTAACCAAGGGGCGAGTAAACAAATTATAAAGGCCCTTGAAATGCAAAAAGCAACATATAAGCAGTCAGGTGCATATAATTTTATATGTATTAAAAGCAGGTTTAAGTTTGAAATTGAATTAAATTACATTGAAGGATCAACTGGATTGAAGTTGGTCAGGTTTATAAATATTGGAACAAATTATAGTGGATTGGATAAATGTGATACTTTATTAAATATTTATGATAAGCATTAAGCTTTTTTATATTTATCAACAATTTACTGAATATTGGTATATAGCAGCTTCCAAGCTATTTGTGAAGAAATTTTGGAATTGATGGATTTAGCTTAATTTAACTGAATTTTTGTAAAGAAAATTAGCATTATTTTATAAATTGTTAGCTTGAGATTGATATTCAGCCAGTTCTTGAACTCTTGAGCGATTTTGATCAGCAATCCATTCTTCAATTCTTTTTTCTCTAGAAATGTCATTTTTTGACTGCGATCTTAAATGGATTCTTTGAGAATTTTCTAGATATTAATTACTTGGATTTACCCCATATACTTCATACAGAAACTTATCAGGTATCGACACAATTTTTTTCTTTTTCTTTTCAAACAGCCTTCTCTTTTTAGTTCTAAATTCTCTGACATTTGGCGTCACATTAGAATTCACTTGTAAATGCCTTGTCGAGGTATTTTTCATGATTTCGTTAGGAATTGACTCTACTCTTGTATCTTCAATTGTTAAAATGCCTCCTTCAATTTTTGATTTTTTTTCTTTTTCCTTATTTTCTTCTTTCATTTTTTTAGCTTTTTCTTTTTTTTCTTCTAACTTTTTGATTAATTCTTCTTTTTTAGCTTGGATCTCTACAGCTCTTCTTGCTTCCTCTTCTTCCCTTTTTTGTTTTTCAATCGCTCTTTTATGAGCTTCTTTTTCCTCTTTATTTTTAAGCCACCCTTCCAATGCTTTTTTTCTTTTTTCTTCCTGTTCTTGTTTCTTTTCAGACTCCTGCCTTTTCAGACTTTCTTCCATTTTCTTTAATTTAATTTTCTGCAATCTTTTCGCTTCTTCATTTTTTTTCTTTTTTTCAATAATTTCTGCTATTTTTTGCTCGTCGAATTTTTCTTCCTGTGATTTTTCATTTAATTTTTTTTTATTTTCTAATGCTTTTTGCCGCCGGATTTCTTCATATCTTCGTATAGCATATTCTTCTGCTCTGAGTTTTTTTTCTTCATATTCCCTGTCTTCTTGTTCTCTTAATCTTTCTTTTTCTTCATTTTCTTCCATTTTTTTCTGTTTTTCTCTTTCCAATTTACTTTTAATTTCTTCTCGTCGCTCAGTGCACAGGCTTCTTATCTCTTCTCTTATATTTAATAAGAATTTTGCATCAAGCAGACAATTAGGGAATTTTGCTTCAATTTCTTTAGTATTTATTGATTCTGTGCTTGCTTTAAAAGGATCTCTAGTTCTTGGGGGTAAAGAAAGAGATCTAGGAGACGTTCAGCTTGTAGAATTTGACTGTTCAGCTTGCATTATTTTATCGAGCACCATTAATTGAAAATCCCAGTCCTTTAGCTCAAATTCAGTGTTTATATGTTTAATTATTTCTTCTTTTTGGGCTTCATCCTTTATTTCTTTGCTTAATTTATACAAGCATATAAGCAGCCCATCACTTATAATTTTATTTCTTATCCATGCATATTCTCTAGTTTCCCCTGGGATGTATACATTTTTAGCAGGATTGCTACTAATAACAAAAATTGCTTTCATAGCAAGCTGCACAATATTTTCATTGGCATTTTGGCTTAGCACATCATTTATTATACCATTAAATAAATATAAAAAAAATAATGCTACTATTTATTATATAAAAATACTAGTAGAATTTTTTTTATTTGTAATAATCAGTATAAAAACTCTGAAATTCCTTGCTTTACGAATTCTTTTCGAAATTTTATTTCTTGGCACCCAGTTGCCAATGCTTCTAATGCACCCATTTGTAAATTAACTGGGGTGTTTTCAGAAGTACAAAGATCTAGCAATGATGGAATATGCTCATATAGCACTAATGCGCTTGCTCCAATTGGTGACGTTGTAATTTTACACAAAGCTTGGATGCTTGTAGATATTTGTTCTTCTGACATAAGTTCCCAGTTATTTAATTGGCTTATTACTCTTGAGCATATATTACAGAAATCTGAAACATCAAGAACGGACGATGAATCTAATGGCTCCATGTCAAATGATAGTGGATTTTTGACAGTGTACATTGCATCGAAATACATATGGTCGAAAATTTTTAAATAGTGTGACGTTTGGTAGAAATTTAACGGTTTTTTCGGTCAAATGTCTCACTATCAAAAAGTTTCATCAATCAATTTAGACCAATAGTACTTCGGTGAAATGCACACTATCAAAAAGGCACCATCATTGAACCTGCACCCGAATCTAATATTTCTTTTACTGTAAATAATGTATCTCTGGCTACAGGTTTATAAGCAGCCGGTTCTTGAATAGCTGGGGACAGAAGCTCTTCTTCTTTATTAGGATGATTCATTCTGCACATAGGGACTTGAGCTAGTTCTGGAATAGGGTAAATAGGTGTGTTATAAGGCTGTCTAAAGTTTTTCATAGCTCCATCAGGGGAAAAAACTGAAGCTACTTCACAGTAGAGCAGCTCATAATCATTTTCAGTCCGAGTCCTTGGGTTTTTTGGAGGAAAATATGGGTCTACTGTTATAGCTAATAAATCATCTAGCATATTTGGTAACAGTCTTTCAATATACTCATTAGGAATCCCTAAATAAGGGTTTGTGTTTACTTCAATGAGCCAGACCCTGAAATCTTCATCAATTAAAAAATCAAAGCCAAGCAGCTCAAAAATTAATTTTCTTTTGCCTTTCTTCATGTATTTTTTCCCACTCAAAAAAGCATCGATCATTAAATCTTTTATCCTTGGCAATATATGACTTCAAAAATTTATCCCGAAATTTCCAAATTCCTGGTCTAAATATTCTTGAAAAGCTTCAAAACTCAAGGTATTTCCTTTTTCATGGACTCCGTAATTTTCGCCAAACTTCTGTAAACAGTTATTAGTTAGGTGAATAAAATTGTCTTTGCCTTCTGTGTCATATTCAGAGCTTGATGTCCTTAGGTACCCATGCCTATAATAAAAGAATTCATTTTTCCCTGTTGCAATCGCTCACATCCTGATATAGAAATTTATCTTAATTTTTCAATAAGCAATTGCATTAAAAAAAATACTAGAAAATTCAAGGAAAAGTTCTATATCAAATTTTCTACCTTTAAAGAGCAAAGGCCGTTCTATATATTTTTGGATCAGTCAGACTGAGTGCATTTCTTTACTTCTCAGAATATTTTTTATTTCTTTTAGATTTCTGCATACTTCTATCCCTTTGCCTTGGTTTAATGCAGCTGGTTTAATTAGCCACATGTTTTTGCTGCAATGCTTAGCGGGAGTGCGCTCTTTATTAGAAAAACCGTTTTGGATCTCTTCGTAGCGGGCTAGGAAGTTTTGGTACTCAACGTCTTCACAGTGGGCTGTTATTATAAAAGAAGTCGCAATAGTATCGTGAGTTTGGTAGCCAGAATGAATTGATAACTCATTTGTCTGATAAAATTGACGGAGAGATCGGACTAGCCCAGGCTTGGTGGTAATAATTCTATTGTTTTCTAAGTGGTTGTGAAGCATTGTGCCAAAGCCTTTGTTGAATAGCTCGTCTAACTGATTATATGCCTATTTTAAAGTTACTCTCACTGATAATACGGTTGGTTTCCATAAAAATTGGACTCTAAATTCAGTTCCTTCTTGCTCGGAAGCTTCAGTTCAGTTTCCACGTTTTTCGAGAAGAGGGCGGATTAACAACCTGCTGTTGTTACCCTGGAAAATTCAATACTTTTGCATATTTAAATTGTATGAATCTATTGATAATTATATGGATAGTTATGTTGGCAATTTTTTATGCTAATTCTTATAATTAATAAGTATAAAACTAAAGGGAATTTTTATGCATGGGTTTTTTTAAAATTTAATTTTTTTTGCAAATAAAGCTATCAATGAAATTGCTTTTTTTCTATATTAAATGCAACTAAAATGCTTATAAATTCAAAGTATCTGAAAAGCTTTAATAAATTAATAATAAGCAGAAAATTCCTGAGCTTTTTGAATAAAAATATGTTCGCTAATAATTGAAAAAGGTTAAGTTAATTGTGATGGGTATTCAAAGAAACGAAAAATAGAATTATTGACATAAGCTCACGATTAAATCTTGTGTGGAAGATGAGTTTTATAACTACACATTTTTAATCACGAAATCTTTCGAAATAATACCAGTTCTGATTTAAGTAAATAAATTTATTTTGGCTCGTTTGGCTTTTGAGAGATACGGGATGTCCATAAAATGAAGATCCAATATTTAATTAAAAGAAAAGAGTTAGTATCTCTTATAAATAAGAAAACATCATCTCCTTCAGGTAACTCATAATAAGGAGCAAAAAAAACCATTAAATTTGACGGTAAAAAATTTTTTTATATCACAAAAATAGAAGATTCTAGATCTCCACAAAAATGGAAACAGTTGAGTCCTTATAAAAAAGACCTAGTAACTAAGCAAAATAGACGATTCCAGCAATTCATCAATGCAACCTAACGGTCTAGATAATTTGCGAGAGTCTAATGAAAATAAAAAAATTTCGATAAACGCTTGCTTCAATAAAAAACGGAATTGTTATGTTTATAAGTCAAAGTTCAGCCAGTTAAATAAAAAAACGAAATCCATCTCTTTTTCTCAAGAGATAACGATTTATTAGGTGCTGCAAAAAACCTGCTTAAAAAGACCGTTATATTTGCGCAAAAATTAATATAATTTCTGCACCGATTTGCGTTGCAACACACATTAATATAGTGAAACGATGCTTTATTTTGAGCCTTATTTATATTATATTATATGTCTTATATAAGAGAATTCAATATGATCTAATATTTCGAAACTATCAGCTCATGAAAATGTGAAATCGTTTGCTCAATGAAAAAAACATTAAACAGAGCTCCTTAAAATAGAAATTTATTTTTTTTTTAAAAAAATAATTAAAATTTTGTTATTAAATACTTTTAGAGCAAGTTTTGCTTATTTATTGCGCTTTTTTGTATAAATAATAACAATATTTAAGGTAAAACCTTACTTATCTCAGTTCTAAGTGTACCTCTTTCAGTGTCTATTAAAGATATTAAAATTATTAAAAAATATATAAAACCGTTTTTCAAGACACATTCTTTCAAAATATATCAAAACGATGACCAAAATTTGCAATATTTTTTAGGTTAATTTCCTTAAAAATGGTTTTTATATAAGTTTTTTAATAATTTTAATATCTTTAATAGACACTGAAAGAGGTACACTTAGAACTGAGATAAGTAAGGTTTTACCTTAAATATTGTTATTATTGATTCTTAAAAGATTAATGCCTAACTTTGCAACAATTATTATTTTATTGAAAATTTCCCTATAGCTATTTAAAACTTATATTAGTATTGATTTTAATCAATAAATGATGTAAGAAAATTAATTTAATGAGCTTCTTTCTTTTGATTATCTAAAATAATTTTACGACCTCTAGATCTCCCAAACACCCTAAACCAATATTTTTACTAATTCAAATAGTTTATTCAGTATACAAAGATTTCACGAAAGATTTAAATAGCTGCACCTCTAATCAGTTTCACAATAATGCTTTGCTCTTAAAATATTCATATACATAATGAAAAAATCTCAAAATTTATATAGAAATTTAGCTTGAATTGCCAATCTTCAAAAGTTATCAGCATTTTACGACATGGTTATTATTAAAAGATATTTACCAAAACATGCCTTTACCATATTATCTCAGAACTTAAATTTTGAATTTATGAGAAATAATGTGCGAGAGCGACATAATTAAAGTTATATTTTATTCAACTGCTGGAGGGATCTGAACAATTTACTTTATTTACTGGATTATAAACACCTACATCAAGAACATACAGCACATAAAGCCACTTCACAAGATTATTACATTTATAGTTATCTTTAAAATGATGAATGTTGATTTTGCGGCTTTGCAATCTTTTACATGCAGGGACACAAGTGATTTATATCCCTATTGATCTTTAGGCTATACATCTACATATACTCTTTATAATACTTTTCTCTACACTTCATTCATTTTAATCAGTAAAGGGTTCTGCGTAACTCGAGAGCTTCTTGATAGAACTGAAGTTACTGTTATAGCCATGACAATGGGCTTATCTTACCTTGGCTTTAGTGCTTATATGATCCAGCAAATGGAATTCTCGTTTTTTCTTATAGTCATGATATTTGTGTTTTTTCACTTGAACGTTAAATATACAATTGAAAATATAAAATCACTGCAAGACAGGTACAATATATTAAGAAATGCAAATCTGCCAGGTCTTTTATCGTCTTATATGATGAAAATCAACATGCTTAAATTTTATTTGCTAATTTTGCATATATTTTTTATTGAAGAACTTAGTGTAATTTTAGCAGTGGAAATCGGAGAAATTGTATTAGAAGACTCGACGTTGAGGTATTCAGATTATATTAATATTCCAGATGAAATATTTGAATCTATTGGAATTATGATTATTTTATTTATTTTCAAAGCAAAGGATAGAGGGCAGTTATTTTTCTTGTCAATTTATCAAGATGAAACTGAAGACCAAAGGCCAGCTCCTTTTTTGTCAGCAAGACTCCCTTTAGGCCATGATGAAGCTTTTCATGAAGAAAACCCAGCAATTGTACTCTGTCCCCAGGAATTTAATCCTTTGAAGCCATATAAATCAGTTATGCTAGGAATTCCATATATCCACCACGTTCCACTGTCTGAAGAATCTGACTAGCATTGTCTTTATAAATAATTTAAATATTAATATTCACATTATAAAAATATCTTAATATATCATATTTACCCAATTAGCCCAGTAGACGAATTATCATGCAAATTTTCATCAGTCACGAAAAATTCATGATTCAAAATCTCTTTGGCAGTAGGTCTTGCTAATGGGTTTCTTTTTAAGCATTTACAAATTAAATCATGAAGCGAATTTGAGCACTGTTCTGGAATGTCTGGAAAATTATCAGGCGCAGAAATCATCCGTAATACCTCTTTTGCGTTTCTTGAATAATTAGATCAAGGCGGGCTGCCATTAAACATTTCAATAAGTAGGCATCCAAATGACCAAATGTCAGCTGAAAAAGTGTGGCCTTCTCTTCTGACAACTTCTGGGGCCATTCAATAAGGACTTCCTTTTAGGGATTTTGAAAGCTGCTCGTCTAAATCTTCGAATTTTTTTGATGACCCAAAATCAGTTAATTTAACAACGCCTTTGGTAGAAATTAAGACGTTGGCTGACTTTAAATCTCGATGAACAATGCCATTTGCATGCAAATAGCCAAGGCCTTCTAGGAGTTGTTTTCCATATGATTTTATTATGGTTTCTTCAAGGTGGTGGTATTTTTGTAATATTTGTTTTAAAGAGCCTCCTGGGATATATTCAAGCATTACATCAATGCAATTTATACTATCTTAATAAGAATCTGCCTAATTTCTAGAAAAAAATCTTAAATTTTATATAAAATAAGAAGCAATTATATTATTTAACAAAGGATAAATCTTCAGAGAGTTCTGTTTGATAATATTTAATAATATTCTTATGGTTCAGATCTCTTAGTAGTGAAACTTCCTTTTTCATGTTATAGAATTCTCTTTCAATTTTTTTTATATCATCACTTAGCTAGATAAAGGTTACTGTGAAATGTTTAACAGCAAAAAGCTCGCCTGTTTCAATATTCAAACATTGATATACTTTGGCATAAGCTCCTTCACCAATTAAATCTCCACGTTTCCATTTGATTAACTTCCCTGTTCTTGGTGTACTTATCTCTATAAAAGTTGAATCTGCTCCTTCACTTTGGAAGAGTTGACTTTTTTGACGACGAAGAAGTTCGTGCTGATTTGAGTCAATTGATCTATTTTCCTTACATCAGAGTATTATTTTTAAATTAAAAAAATTATTTTATTATAAAATGCTATAGGGATTGTTAGGAGAGTTAGGGTGCTGTGGAATATTCTGAACATCTGCTACTCGAACTGATGATCGATTTGTGCAGCATGCTGTGCCCATATCAATTATTAATAATTTTCTATTTGATTAATATTTTGGTTTGATAGAAATAATAGTGTATTTAAATTTAAAGAAATAAATTCTCTTGAGATTTTATAAACAAAGGAGAAACTACTGTAATTGATTTAATTCATAAGTCTGCAATTTAAATTTTAAATTAATTGGCTATGGCAAAATTATATTTATTTTTAAAAAATAATTAAATTATAGCATGTTCATTATGAATATTAGCATTTGCACAATATTTAATTGCATAAAATTTAAACTCATTGAAAATACCAGAATTTTAAAAGAAAGCAATCTCAAAATCTAATAATTTATTCTCGCTCATTATTTAATTAACGAGCAAAACATCTGCGAGCTTTTAATTGTTTTAATGATTATATAAATGATATTATAAGGAAATCTCTTACTAGTTTTATTGAATTTAAAAAATTACATTCCAAATAACAGTTTTTTAAATAATTTTAATTTCCCAATTTTTACCAATTGACTTTTCGTTTTAGAATAAAGACTTCAAAATTATAAAAATTCCATATGCAGATTTATCCAAAACTCTCTCTTAAGACTGATTTCTCCAAAAGTGAATAAAGGTTTAGTAATTTTACATAATCAGTCATTGCATTTTCTGATTTTTCAATTGTAAAATTCATCCATCAAAGCTCCCAAATTAATTTTTGATGATAAAATTGAAGTTATAGAAATTTCTGCCTTAAAGTTTGGAAACTTCATCTTTACAAATAATTTAAGAAGTTCTTATAGTGGATGCTTAATAAAATTATTCTCTATTAATCAACTAAAGAAGACCAACTAATGTTGAGAATAAATTATGTTCTATTATTTGTCACGAAGAAAGAGGAAAATTAATTGCTTCAATGCTTCGTGGATGCCTTTTAGCCACAATGAGAATTTTGGATATTATTTTATTGGATACAAATATGGTAATAATATTGCAAAAATGGATTCATCTTCGGAAAAATAGTAAAAACCTGCTTCTCATATGTAAAATATGTTGCTTTATATATGGAAAACAGCTTAATACTGATTTGAAATGTTGAAACATGCTTAAAACTATGAACTAAGTGACAGCATAGATTTTACTTTAAACTTTGATGAAGTTATAGTATTATTTACTGCTTATTTTGCTTACTATGGAAATTGCTCAAAATATCAAAGTTTACTTTGAATTAAATTATTTTAAGTTCTTAAAATATTTTTATAAAGATTTCATAAAGCAAAAAATCACCAAAATTATATCAAATATAACAGTTGTCCAATAAAATAATATAATTGGAGTTTCTTATGTGGATAAACACATGAATAATTTAATAACAGAAATAGCATCAAATGATAACCCTAATCTATAAATTTTACCATTATTTAAAATGATAACCAAAAAATATATTGGCATAAAAATCAACTTTAAAAATAATCAAATCTCATATATAGGCGTTTAAATAAAAAATAATATCAAATTTAAGTTTAGTTAATTAACAATAAATATCATAAAAATACTCCTTCTGAGCTTATCAAAAAAAATCCTATCATCCTACTATGATTTAATAAATGATGCCGATAAAAATATGGCTTTTTATCATTAGACTAGTATAAAAAATTATTATGAAACAAGCTAAACAAAATATTTTTGACAGAATCGCTGAAGCAAGTTTACGAGAAGGAAAAATCCGACACCATAACCTAAATTCATTATCTCAAAAGCAGCAGCAAAAAGTCATAAAACTTCAAAAATCTCTACTATATTCCGGTCTTCATCCTATATCATTCAACCAAAGTTCTACCGAAATTTCACGATTTCAAGGCTTTTTATGGGATTCTTTGTACAATTTTCCAATTCTGAGTACAAATAATACTAATGACACACAAACTTTTATATCAGCCAAAGAGTTCACAATGCTTGCTGATGAAGATTTAAAAGATAATATCATTGCAATCCATGAAAAAAGTCCATTTAATAGAAGCGAATGTGTAGAAATTATAGAAGAACCATTTGGGTTTGAAACTATGTGAAACGGCAGAGAAGATAGCATTGATTCTTTATTGAAGTTTAAATCGTCTGAAGAAAAATATTTAAAAGCTGCAAATACCTTGCTTGCTAGAGAAAAAAAATATTAATAAATATATAAAAAATAATTTTAATGCCAAAAGTTAAGCCCTATTTTTATGAAAAAATGAAAATAATATTAATAAATAATATATGAAATTATACTATAATTTATAAACTTTTCTTCCAATATTTCAGCTATGAAAAAAGACTGGAATGAGCCTACCCCTTCTTCCTCAATTCTATTTGATATAAGTCAATCTAACATAGAAAGCAACAGAGAAAGTATCTCAGATTATGATTTTAGATGCGAAATTGGCTTAAAAGAAGCTTGAGAACACACATTAGACAACACTCTATCAAGCAGCGAAGAAGCAAAAATTTCTATAATAAAAGAAAGCATAACAAGCACAGTTGAGTTAATCCCAGAACACACAGATGATTTATCTCACAATATGTTCAGCTCTATAGAAGCTTTAAAATGTGCCCGAAAAGAAGGCATGATAAGACCTTCCCTGCTATATGACCCATCAGTTACTTCAAAAGATGAAGGTGATATGAGAAAAACTATCAGAGAATTTTTACCAAAAAATGTGGCTTCGAAAAATAAGCTAGGAATTGGGTATCAGCCTCCTTTAGCGTCAAAATTATTACCTAAAGTGTTAACACAGTCTACAACTATAGCATTTACTGAAGATTTTGATTCTTTGGATTCCTCGTCTTTGAATACTGACACAGATCTTCCTGATCCTTCGTCTCCTCTTTATAGAAAGATGGTTATATGTGCAGGGGATACTGAGTCTGCAGAAATTGCTGGCTCTATAGCTTTTTCAGGGTTTATATCAGCTGCCCAATTGGAATTTTCTGATATTGAGTCAAGATCAAAAGGGTTTATTAATTACAAATTATTTAAAAAAGACACTCTAACTGCGCTGTTTTCGCCTTATATATTGACGAATTTGCTGAATATGCCAGTTTCATGGATTTCTTGTGGATTTGAGCATTGTTGTTTGCTTACAGCTTCAGGAAAAATTATGAGTTGAGGATATGGAATTTCTGGATGCTTGCTCCTCCTGTGAGAGAGATAAATTTTTTGGTAATGTCATAATAAGGTAATTTTTTTAATTTTATATTTAAGAAGGAAAAAGCAATATAATTTAAATTCTATTTTTAAAGCGTAAAACTTTCATTATAATTTATTTATATGTCAAATATTATATAAAAATTGTTGCTTGCTCTGATTAAATTGCACATATAGGATTTAAGAACAGTTTTGCTCACCTATGGGGAGTTAGGCCATGGGGACACTAATTCTTATATATACCCTGCAATTATTTCAAGTATTTCTAATAAGCTTTTTATATATCTGGAGTGTGGAGGATATCACACAGCAGCTATATCAGCAGAAGGAGAATTATTTACATGAGGAAGAGGTGATGTCAATCAATTAGGAATTCCTAAAAAAGCATTATCAAAAGACGAATTCGGCTACAGAGCTTTAAATCCTTTGAGAGTTGAATTTTTTTATAGAAACCATAATAAAATCAGAGGAATTGCCTGTGGAGAAGCACATACTTTGGCGTTTGATTCTGAAGGGAATATATATGCATTTGGATGAGCTGAAGACGGACAGCTAGGACTACCATCTAATGAGCTAAAAAGAAATATGAAAACAAAAAATATAAAACAAATTAAAAGCTTGGCCGAACAAAGAATTATAAAAGTGGGTGCTGGAGCTATTTTTTCAGCTGCATTGAGTGATGAAGGACAGCTTTTTACTTGGGGAAATGGGGAACAAGGACAATTAGGTCTTTGTAATGGTGCAAAATTTTCAGATTTTCCTTTGCCAGTGGAATATTTAAACAAAGAATTTATAATAGATTTCATATGTGGAGAATCTCATATTATTTGTTTATCTCAAACAGGAAGGCTGTATGGATGGGGGATGGGAATTGCAGGATTATTTAAAAATTGTCAGAATGCATACCCAGTAGGCTCAGAAATAATTTGTTATCAGCCAAGAATCCTCTCCGAGCTGGTATCCTAAATTACTTAGAATAGTCCTGCAAAAGGTTAAATCAACAAAAATAGCGCACTCAAAATAATTAGTATTCCAAATGTAATGTTCAGATACATTTTTTGCACATTAAATATTTTTGACATGTGAACTTTAATTTCCAAATGAAAATATAATTGCAAAACCGCAGTTGGAATACCTATTGCTCTGCTCAAAAGGTGTCTGCTACAGACCAATTATAAGCATTTACTATAATTGCTCATCGGTTTATTACGCCGAAAAAATATATAGAGGACTAAATCTCTAATTAATGTATTTTTCAGTTTTTACTCTTTTTCTATGCTATTGTGTCTATATTTATGTTTTATAGTCTAAAAAGGTTAATTATTCTTTAAATTTTATCCATTTTATCGTTTAAAACAGTTTTATTCTATTTTTTATTTGATAAATACACTATTTCACTCGCTTCCTGCTGATGAAATTGCTGATATAGAAGAAAAGACCTTAATTCGATCAAGATATGAAGAAGCTGTTTGATTTATATTTTTACTCTCTGAAAATCCTAGGAGCATGCGATCACTATTAGGCAATCCTGTATGGTCCTTATGCTATTTATTTATATGTGCATTTCAAAAGGCCAAAATACCCAAAAAATCAAAAATATGAACTTTGTGACTGGGATGAAAAAATTATACCCTAGATATTTTTGTGTCTTCCTAAATCATTAATTTGGATCTAAAAAATAGTAGTATTATTTATAACACAGATTTAGATTATAATTTTCACTTGAAAAATAGCCATTTCTCTCATAAAATAATGACTTAAATACACCAAAAAATGTATCTGGCTATAATTATAGTTAAGCGTTTTAGGTTTAACTCAAAGAAAATCTTATTCTACTCAAAATTACAGCCACAGATCTAAAATTTACCTATTACTCATTATAGAAAGAAAATGAAGTTAGTAAAATCTACGTCTGGACAATTTTTATCCACGATTTACAGACCTTCAAACTGGAAAACAAACTTATGGTATATTTACATTCTAGCAAAAATATTCAGAAAATTCCCTTAATCAGTTCTAATACCTTATTTTCTTAAGCTGTGTTATCTTTAACTCTCCATTACCTTTCATAGTTTCCATTACTTGCATCCATTCTTGAGTTACAGCACAGCACGGTATACAGCAATGTGTAAGGTCGAAAAGTGGATTATCTTTAATCTTTAGTGTCTTTCTTAGCAAATAACGGTTTATTGATGCACCAATAGGCCCTAAAAATAAGACCAGGGAGTAGGCTCTTAATCCTGCAAATCGGTTCTCGGGCTCTGCGTGTCTAGCGTCACATGTTTGCATGCAGTGGTATCCGCACGGCATGCAGATAGACCACACAAACATAAAAGGATTACGACCGCAGTCAAAAAGTTCATATTTCCACCCTTCCATTATTTATTCGTTTTGTATATAAGCTATTTTTAGAAGAGAAAAGAATATTAATAAAATTTAGAGGGAAAGTCAGTGAAATTCTATTAAAACTTATCATAAATTTTACACCCGCTTCTTCATATACTTTAGAGATTATATCTAATTACAGTACTGTAATACATTGCAATGAATTATTTTCTTATTCTGTGGTAGAAAAAATTCATTACAATGGTATAGAGCCTGTGTTTTCAAAATTTACCTTAAATTATTTTCTTAATAAACAATAGCCAGAGTTAAATTCGGCTTTCAAAATAAAAAGCAAAGTTTTCCGTTAATGGCTGTACGAAGAAAACTAAATATCCACACAACAGTGCTTAGCGCTTCACTAAACTATAATGACACAAACGTATTTATTGCCTCCTCACCTGTTGCACAAAAGTCTCCGAGATTAAGATCTCATCTAAAAATTAAGATTTTGCCTCACAAGCAGCCTGATAATTTAAACAGATCATTGTTCAGGCCTTCGAAATTAACAAATTCTTATAACTTTGAGACAGCTGAAAGAAGCAGCTCTGCAAAGAGATATATCACTTCACAAGGATTGTCAAGTCTTCTTTCAAAAAGGACTAATCTCCCGATAGTGGACAGAAACTCTTCAAGACCATTTTCTGCTTTAAGTTCTGCAGGATATATGATAAAAGATTATAGAAAAAAGAATAATGGGAACACAGGGAATATAAATATCAAAAATAAATTGATAAAAAATGAATTTAGAGTAAAGGTCATGCAAAAAGTGGAAAGGATTGCTCTGCGCGATTTAAATCATGCAAAAGGGAAATTTGATGGGATTAGTGAGAGAGGCTGTGAAACTGAAAAATCAAAAATTATTAATTTAATCGCGGTGCCGAATAGAGATGATATTGAAAATCATTTTGATAATAGAGTGTTAGTGGAGTCGCCTGATAAGCAGAAGTACACATTGGAAAGCGAAAGCCCATCGCCATCTTATGCACCAAGATATGAAGAATTTTAATTGTAAATAATTTTTGCATAAATAAAATGGCATTCGGTTCGAGAGAAATTAGCTTTGCTAATTTTCTCTCCCTCATGGAATTTTATTTTATAGGGTTAGGTTTTCACTCGAGAGCTTCTGGACAGCAATAGCGGTTTAACTCTGGGGATAACCAGAGGAACTGCTCCTCAGTCCTCTCAAGATTTCGGGCTTTTACCTCTCAGCACATCCCCCGCGGGAGGATGACCCTTAGGTGGAACACGCGCAGGAGCTGAGTCGAGACAAGGGCGACGGCATCGCGCCGGGGGAGACGTGCAGCAAGGCTGGTGAAGCAGGAGTTGCTAGAAGGCTTGGCCAGGGCTGACCTGTTCCAAGATGGCTCGCCTACGTCACTAGTTTTGCCATAGGCCCTTTTGGGCTGCGGCACTAGACACCTTAAACGCCAGATAATTAAATTAAGTAAGTAAGTAAATAATTTTTGCAAATAAATTAAAATTTCCATGAAAATTGATTTTTATATCAGATTCATTTGTAAGGCAATCTTTTGTAGAGCTAATATATAATCATAAGCTATTAATTTCAACAGGTATATATTTTATAAGTTTTTTATTGATGGCAAACTAATTATCATAATTATGCTACCCTTTTCATTACTCTTCCTAATTATAGGAGTTTCATATGCGCTTTGTCCTTCCTATCAGTGCAAGCCTAGAACTATGCCTTTCAAAGATAATATCTGCGTTTTCTACGACGAACATACATTAACCTACCGAATAAACCCTTGTGAAGACCCTTTTCAAAGATATTGTATTTTTAATCCTCTGCAAAACAGCACATGCTCCGTTTCTTCCAAAAAATCCCTCATACAAAAATACCCAGGCGAAAAATGTTCAACCGATGAAGACTGCCGATATCCTTATTTTGGTGGCTGCACTGACGAAATATGTCTCGGTTCTATAAAAGATGGATATTGCTCAGACAGCTCATTTTGCAGCCCAGGCTTATATTGCAAATACAACACCTGCATCTCACAGCTGCAAGACGGAGACCAATGCACCTATGACTATGAGTGCCAAAATGGCTCTGGCTGTGATGGGAATATTTGCAAAAAATATTTCAGCGCCAAGCTTAATGAAGAAGTTAATACTTGTAAGGACAATGTGAATTATATTTGTGAGTCTACTTTATGCTATACGAATGCTACTACAAGTTTTTCGTATTGTATAACACCGCTAGCCCGCAGGAATAAAAGCCCAGAATGTTTAAGTGATAATGATTGTTATTCAAGAGTTGATAGAAAATCAGGAGTAATGCTGAAATCTGAATGCCAGTGTGGAATGAATCCTGATGGAAAACAATATTGTGGAATTTTGCCTGGAGATGTAGAGTTTATGTACTATATAAGACATTTGAAAAAAGGCTGAATAATTTATAGTGATTTATACAGAAATATAATTAATTTGTAAAAAAAATAGGTAATTTTTTTTTGAAAAAATGGTATAACAGCACTGAGGTAAAAAATTGCAATACTTTAAGAAGAGATGCAAGGCAGTGCATTGAAGAGCATTGGGACGAAGATGAAGCAGTCAAGCTTATATTTTATAAAGAAAGGGTTGTGAATTTTGCTAATATCCAAGAAAATGACTATTGTGCAGAGACTGTATTAAATGCTGATTTCTTTGTGCTAGCTCACAAGATGGGGCATTTAACAGTAGAAAACCCACACGAAATTTTAGGCTCCAGCCAAGGCTCAGTAATTTGGTTAGGGTTATCCCTTATTTTCTTGATCCTTAATTAAGATTCTCATTATAATAGATCACAAATGATTAGCTTTAAATATCGAAATAAATATGAAACTAGGCCGTATTAGTATTGGCTTCCCACACTCTAATATGAGGAAAACACTAGCCTCATCTATGACTTTTCGAGATTTCTGTAAACAACTTTCTCCTAAACAAGGAGACCAAGCACAAATTGACTCAATAGAAACTAGCTCAGAAAGCGAATCAATTTCTACAGAAAGATCACCAATAAAGTCTAAAAGAAACCCTATAATCCATCTTGACCATTCTAGTAGCATCAGTTTTCAATTTAACTCACAAAATAACTTTGAAATAACTAGACAGAACTTAGAGAAGCTAAAAAATTTCTTTTTAAAAAATAAGCCAGACAGCGACAAAGAAAAAACAATTTTTTTCATTCCTTACTCCGCCTCCGTGAGCGAACAAAACCATTAGAAAAATCATTATTTTTTGACCAAAAACCCACCCTCATGAGCGAACAAAAATTTTTTATGAAAAAAAAATTATATATAATTGATAATTTTTATAATGAAATCATTAGCTGATTCTGTTTAATTTTAAGCCAATTCCGTTTTAAAACATAAATTTTATAAATTAAATTATATTTGCTTTCCAATTTTTGCAAATTAGGATTTTTTTTAAAATTTCGAAAAAAATTAACGCCCTCCATGAGCGAACAAGGGGGGAGTTAAGAAAAATTGCCAAAATTTAATCAGTGTTATTGATAATAAAGAAAAAGTTGACCTAGAAATCATTGAAGATTCTATTAATGATGCAATAGCTCAAGCATCATTATCTCTAAGAGTCCAAGCTAAAAAATTAAAAACCATTTGCCAAGAATTAAGGACTATATTAGCTGACGCTCGAGTAAAGCAAAAGAAAAGAGAAATCAGCAGAACAAGACCTCCATTAAAGAATTCCAAAGAAACTCCTATAAAGGATTCATTAGTTAAAACAATGGAAATTTATAAAAATGATAACAGGATAAATCGCTCTTATAGAAAAGAAAAAGAGTCATTTTCTGGTCTTCCAGAAGAATCTACGATTGAAGATTCCCCAGACCCTGAAAAACAACGACTTTTCTATTCAATTGTGATAAAAACCAAGCTGAAATATGGCTCAAAAGATCCATGCCAAAAAATAAACCTATTAATTAAAAACTAATCCCATTTTTTTTTACTTATTTAAATATTAAATTCATCTAAAATCAATATATCTATTTCCCGATTATATGAAAAAGCAAAGAAAGCTAGCATAAAAGAAGACCAATGGAATGAATTTATAGAAAAGCAATTAAAAACTCCTGTTGTATTTTCTGATTTACAGTCGCCAAAGGTGATAAAAAGATGCAAATCAAATGCATCAAGAAGTTTAAATTTATAGCATAATGTTCTTAAATTATGATCTCAACCCATCATCAGGCTTGTCTCCGCTAAGGTTTCCTTGGTTTGGATTGAGTGCGTTGAGAAAGAAAAATCCATTGGGATTTGTGCAGTTTGGCTTTGGGTTTTCGATTTGTGAGCCAAGTTTGTCTCTGATTCCATCCCAGGTTTTTTTTAACTCTAAGCATTCTTTTCCGCTGGCGACTGATGATTTTATGTATTCGTCGATGAGACTGGCAGGAATTTCATATAAATAAGTATAATAAATGGATTTTGTATTAGAAAATATGAAGGAGAAATAAATAAAATATTGTAAAAATGCTACTGAATTGATAAAAAAATCATTTAAATCGGGTATATTTAGCTTTTTCCATAGTTAAAACCAAATCTTGAATCAACTTATTATCTTCCGCCCACATTCCGCTTCTCAATAAAGCTAGGCAAACAGAAAGAGAAGGGAAAAGCTGTGACTTTTTCATAAGGTCTAAGACATGTTTGACTCCTTGCAGTCCAATAGTCTTATGTCCATTTATAAGAAGTTCATTATAAACCCCGGCGTCTAGTTCTATTTGAGAATTTTCTGATAAATTGACTATATAATAACCATTTAAATTACGAATAAATGTATAATAATATTTTTTCATCACAATTCAATTAAATACAGCTTAAATTCATTGCGCGTGGAATATCGCCTTTTCTGATACAAACTTCAATACCAGCAATAAATTCCAGCTCTGAAGGAGGAGTCTTTGTAGTGGAAAGATGATTGATAAATTGATATGCTTCATTTGACATGCCAAGATTTGAAAGGCCCCACATAATACTTTGGGCGTGAGCAGGCTCGAGATTTTCAGTAAATTCTTTTGTCTCCACAAGCTCAGCTGCTGATTTCCAATCCTTTTTTCTGATAAGCTCTTTTAATGATCCTATCCTCCTAAAACATCTTGCAAAATACATTTTCTTTATTGGAAAATAAATATTTAATCAATAAATATAGGAAATGGAAAATTTGATGCTAAAAATAATTAGTAAGTTGAAAAATAAAATAAGAATAATTAAAATTTGAAATAGTTTACAATTGATTTAGCAGGAAATTTTTTAAATTAACTCTTTATCATATTGTATATTTAAGCCAAAATGGATTAAATTTGGCAATATATGAGAAAAGTCAATCCTTAATTTTATATGATTAGGGAATAAATTTTTAATTATTATATTAATAGCATTCATAAACCATAAGTTTAATTTTATAATACCAATTTTCTGACTTTTTAATGGTGAGTCCTAGCTTAGCCACAAAACGAGTATATTGAACTTTTCCAGAAACGTGAAGGCAAACAATTTAACTTCGACGAAAAAAAGTAATTTTTACTCAGGCGCAAGAGAGAAGCTAGAGAAGCTCATGAAGTTTCTGAAAAAGCCCAAAATCTCAAAGGGATTAAAGCAAAGCTCTTCCAAAAAGAAAGATACACAGAAAAAGCCCACATGCGAAAACTCCTCAAAGCTCATGATGGCAAAGAGGTCAATACCACTGACAAATCAGCTGTTCCTGATGGAGCTGTCCCTGGCTACCTTTTAGATCGTGAAGGGTCGAACAAAACCAAAATCCTCAGCAACATGGTCAAGCAGAAACGCAAAGAAAAAGCTGGCAAATGGGCAGTCCCAATTCCAAAGGTTAAGCCACTAACCGACCAAGAAATGTACCAGGTTGTGAAAACTGGAAAAAGGAAGAGAAAAATGTGGAAAAGAATGATCAATAAAGCTTGTTTCGTAGGCGAAAATTTCGTCAGAAAGCCACCAAAATTCGAAAGATAAACTATTTAATCTTATTTTTGCACTTCAGCAATGATATAAAAGCATATTTTATTTATAAATTTATTAATAAAGTGCTCATAAAGCATATAATTCTTGGTAGTCAAAAAAAAAACCTCTATGTGGTAAATGACAATAAATTTTTTCCTATAAAATATGTAATTAATTTATTTTCCAATGCTTCTATGAGGATTTTTCCAATATAAAAAATGCAAGTTTTCAAGACTGAGAAACAACAGTTTTTACCCAATTAAAATTAAATTAATCTTTTAAAAAACTCTATTATTTATTTTTTTTATCAAAAAAAATGACTATGCTAGCCCACGCGGATTTTTCATATTTTACCATAATTCTGTATACATAAGACCAACTGGTATGAGATTTACCAAAGCTCACGTCACACATCCAGAACTGAATACAACGTTCTATCTCGACATCATTGGTGTTAAGAAAAATCCTCAATCTAGCTTATACACAAGCTTAGGCGTCATCACAAAAGGAGCCGTTATCGAAGTCAACGTCGCAGACTTAGGACTTGTGACACAAGGTGGAAAAGTTGTATGGGGAAAATACGCTCAGGTTACAAATAACCCAGAAAATGATGGATGCATTAATGCGGTATTATTAGTCTAAGAATTTTTAGTTAAGCTGAATCTAAAGATCTGATTTATAGTCTTTTTCGTTTTGTTTTGGAGCTTTGTTTGGCTTTTTGTGGGAGTCTTCAGTGTGTGAAAAGTCATAAATCCCTTTTGGTTTTTGTAAGCTCAAACTTATGAGTTTTTCTAGCTGTTTTTCGATCCTTTCAAGTTTTTCTTTAACTTCAGCTACTTTAAAAGCAGGGGGTTCCCATAGGTTTTTGGCTTTTTGCTCTTTAATTTTTTCATTAAGCCAAGCTTTGGTGTTTTCTATCATATCCCAACAAGTTTTAAACTCGTCATCTGAGATCCATAAATTTGTGACTTTAACTGTGATCATTTTTTCTTCAATTTTGTCAATTTCTCCAAAGGCTTTTTCAATGATTTCTTTTCTATTAATATTCTTAATTTAATATATCCCTACTTATAGATAATATAAGCATTTCTGCTGCTGGTTTTCGTTTATTATATATTTATATAAAATAAATAGGAAAAACAGCCATTTATTATAAATAAATATAATTTTTTTTATTAAATATTAAATAAAAAATATTAAATTTAATATAAATAGAATATACTCAGATTCTCGCTCCAAAGCTCCAGATATTTCTTGATGCAAGTTGTGAGAGTAGTGGAAAATTTCAGTGGAATTTTCTTTGGCGTAATTTTTATTTTCCATCCATTCGTGTGCTTTTGTTAATAATCCTAAAAATTTTTCTCTTTCTTCTTGTGTGGTTACATTAATAAATGCTTGGTCATTTAGTTTTTCTTTATAGAGATATAGTGTGCTTTCTAGCTCACTTTTAGCTTTGATGAGGTCTGTGACTTCTTTTTCTCTTTGTCTGAACATTTCTAAATGAGAAATCATCAGATTTACATCAGCTAGTTTCAGTACTTTTGGCAGCTCCAGCTCGATTTCTGTTTGATTAAGCTTGATACTCTTTTTTTCAACTAAAACTTGTCCATCATTTGCAGTTTTCTTATTTTCGCCATCATATTGAGCATAGCTTTCGTATAAAAATGGTAACCCATTTAGATCGACAACAAAGCCAAATAATAATGCTATTTCTTTTCCGACTGCTTTAGCAACATCAGCAACATCTATATGATAACTTGTAACTTCAACTACTTTATTTGAATAATGAGCTTCAAGAAAGGCTAAATATTATTTACTTTGCATTTTTTTTGAAAAATTTTGATAATAAAACTTTTAGCTAATGCATAATGAAGGAAAAAAATTGGCTGAATAACAGTCTGACTATCAAAAAAATTATATAAATATCATGCACCGTCAAGAACCACTCTGATATCTTCACTCTGTATAAATGCAAGCTTCTCCATTGACCCCAAACTCGTTTTTTTGCTAACTCCCCCCCCCCCCCCTCCGTGAGTGAACAAAAACATTTTGTTCACTCACGGAGGGGGGTTAATTTTTTTTTTTAAAAAAATTTATATATAAATTTTATAAAAAAAATATTTTTGTTTCGAAATTTAAAAAAAATCTTAATTCACAAAAATTGGAAAGCAAATATTAATTTAATTTATAAAATTTATGTTTTAAATAGCAATTCGTTTAAAATTAAACAGAATTAGCTCTAGATTTCATTATACTAATTATCATTTATATATCAAAATTTTTGTATTAAAAAAATTGTTCACTCACGGAGGGTGGGTTTTTGGGCAAAAAATGGCGATTTTTCTAATGGTTTTGTTCACTCACGGAGGGGGGGAGTAAATATATTTTTTTTTCCATATAAAACTCTTTATCGACTTCTGAGTAAAATTTTGCGACTACATCAAAAGGAATTAAATCAGAAAATCTGATTGGCTTGACTTGCATAGTAGACGTATAATTTGCCGCAAAAATAGCAGCGCCATGTGCAATTGCTTCATCAGGGTTTAAGTTATAGCTGAGTTCCACTTTAAGGTTTTTCTTCAAAATGTCTTGAATATTCGGAATTCTGCTAGCCCCTCCTATCATTTCAAAGCTATCAATTTCTTCTATTTTTAACTCTGCATCATTTAAAGCTTTTCTCACAGGCTCAATAAATCTTTCTTGATAAGGCTCTAAAATTTTGTCAATAGCTTCTCTATTTACTGTCCCTTTCAATGTTTTACCATCAATTAAACTTTCTACGACTAGCGAAGCAGTCATCCCTGAACTTAATTTCTTTTTGGCTTCTCTAGCTTGCTGGTATAGCTTGAGCATTGCTTTTTCTGAATTTCTTACCTTGACACCGCTTTCTTTTTCATATTCGTCTGCTAATGATTCAGTAATAAACCCATCAATTAAGTTTCCACCTAAAAATCTGTCAGCGGAATGTGAGAGAATTTCCACGGTTTCTATAGGCTTATTATCTTTTTTACTCCTTTTCCACTCCGTGAGCGAACCAAAAATTTAGTTTTTCTTAGGGAGGTGGGTTAATTTTTTTCGTTGAAAAATTTATATATAAAAATTTTATAGTAAATTTAAAAAAAATCCCAATCCGTATAAATTAAAAAGTAAAAATTAATTTAATTTGCAAAATTTATGCTTTAAAAAGCAAGCTGTTTAAATTTCAACAGAACTAGCTCGAGATTTAACAATACTAATCTGCACTTATATATCAAAATATTTTTTTCATAAAATTATATAATTAAAAAAATTTTTGTTTGCTTATGTTGGGTTTTTATCCAAAAAATAGAGACTTTTTCAATGGATATTGTTCACTCACAGAAAAGCGAGTTAGAGAAAAAATATCTAGCGATTGAGACTTGGAGATAAGAAGCTCCAAGATTGTAAAATAATACATGATAAGGTTTTTCATCATTTCTGTCAATAGCGTAGTATAGGGAAGCTGCAGTATTTTCATTGATAACAGAAAGTACATTCAGTCCAGCTGCATAAGCTGCATATATCATAGAAAGTCTTTGGTTTCGCGTCCAGAAGCTAGGAACTGTGATAGTGCAATCTCTAATGGAGCTTTCTGCAAAGCTTTCAGAGATCTTTTTTATATACTCAAAGATCATTACGATTGGCTCTTCGCTATAAAGTGTGAAATCATTGATGCGGTAGTTTACACCTTTTCTGGCTTCGTCTTCGAAAAGATCTAGATGCTGATATGAGGACAAAAAATACTCAAGAGTTGGGGTACTGTTAAAAGGAACTGCAAAAAGCAACTTAGGATATACTATGGTGCTATTTGGCTTCTTTAGCTGCTCTTTTATAGCATTTTCACCAAAAACTCGGCCTGAATCTGTAAAGGATATTGCAGATGGAATGAATCTTTTAGAGAGCTCGTTTTCCACGATAGAAAATTTTTTGCCTGACTTAATGAGGGACACCTAGGTAGATTTTACTTTGAAATTTTCAGAACCAAAGTCAATCCCAATGACGCCACCTGCAGCTAAGGAGGCAAGTAAGCATAAAATAAGACCTAAAATTTTCATAATAAATAAATTGAAAATAGCTATATCAATAAATTAATTTTTAGATTTGATGATAAAACATTTTACAATCTTATAAATAAGCCAATTCTCAATATATTTGTTGTAGAAACCGAAAATAGTTTTAATTCCTAAATATTATCTAAGGCTATAAGGAAACTCTTCTTGAGCGACGTATTCTCTTGTAACAGAATCAGGGGTAACTATCAGCAATCTTTCACATCCTCCAGATCCTCCATCCCTAGCCATTGCCAATGCTAGACCTTTCTTAATAAAATCTTTGCATTCCTGTTGATTCATATCTGGTCTGTAGTTCGCGTCAACGTATCCATAAATATAAGTACTCCCACTCCCCATCAATGCAATAGGCTGATTAACCAAAGTTTGCTACTTGCAGGTGGGTTTTGTCCTGCTAAAAGGGGTTTGATTACTGCTGAGGGTTAAGATAAAGCGGCTGGAGCAGATAAGTGAAGGCTGAGATGAGCAAGTGGCAAGCAAGTCCCACACCTATGATCTCTAACGGCACGAGTCGTCCACGTGCCACTGGCAGCAACGGAGAAGAGGACCTTGGAAACGGGAGGATAGGAACAGTATAGCAACGTCACCTGATGACTCCTAGAATGAGTTCAATTGTTCTGATCGGTATGCTGACCAGAATTCTGATTATAAATGTAAATAATAACTCCCCCTTTTCCATGGGCAAAGAAAAAAATTTGTTCGTTGATGGAGGGTGGTCATTATATAAATTTAATAGTCTTTTTTTCATAAAAAATTTTTATTAAAAAAATTTATTTCAATCGTTCACGGAGACGGTTTTAACCAAAAAAAAGGGATTTTTCCAGTGGTTTTTGCTCGCTCATGGAGGGGGAGTAAGTAAGTAGGATTAACCAAAGTTCCTCCCATGGCTGCTTCGTAAAGCTGACAGCCATTCACAGGATCCCAGCCTCCAACAATAAAAGATCCTTCAATATAGGCTTTATTCTGATATATACCATTATTTAGTTAGACTAGGTAGTGTTTTCTTGCTTAATGGCTCACCCGTGCAAAACTTCGAAGAAGACTTTTTCAGCTGTGGGTGAACACCCTGGTACCACCAGAGATATCTTTGCTCTGGCATTCTGCTTGGTTTCTATCTCTGACCTTGGAGTGCAAAGTTTAAGATCTTGAAGACTGCTGCTTAGTTATTGAGAGTTCCAGCTAGAGATGAACTCCCTAGCTAACCTTGATAGCCTCCAGGGATAAAAAGCTTTTTTCCCAAATGCCCATTGAGAATCTTCATAGCTAAGAGAGGGATACAAAATCTAGCAGAGCACAAATGTCTAAGATCCATGGGCTCAGCTTGGCTTCAGGTCGCAGCAAGATCCTAAGCTTTGAGGCGTGGATAGAACTATTTGATGACGTTACCATTTTATTTATTTACCATTATATAGTACTTTATATAACTTTCAGCTTACTTTTTACCAAGTTTTTATTATCTTAAATATAATAAAAGCTCTTGTGCTAGTCTCGCAGCAGTCAAGACAAGTGGAAGCTTCCCTTCATTCAATGCATGCTGAGACAGATAATATCTTATATATCTAGCCAAAGCTTGAGTATGAGCCGAAACTCCGGTACGCAAACAGAAGATTTTTTCATGGAGGCACTCAATTTTGTCAGAAATTCTCGATGCAATGTAGACACCCATTGTAGTTCTTGTATCAGCACCAAATACGATCCCTCCATTATAAACAGCAGCCATAACTGAAGTTCCCATCCTTTCTTGGCCCATTCCATTGACGTCGTGATTTAGAAATATCCCAGCCTTGCTCAGATCTGAAGCAGCCTGTTCTGTTGCAAAGTTTTCCATTTTATAAATATTTATGCTGTTTTCCTTGAATTTTTACTATTTTTTTCTATTTTTAAAAAAATCTATTTTTTATTAAAAATTATAATTAATTATTCTTCAGTGCTTAAAATATCATCGTGCCCTATATAGGTGAAATCTGGGTATGGATTTATAAGCCCATCTTGAGATACTGTGGAATCACAAGATTCTACTATAGGCTCTGTCGTAAACTGTGGATCAAAATTCCTCAAATCTGTGCTGCTTGAAATTCTTGGCTTAAATGGAGGCTCTATTCGCTTTTTCGATAATGCTTCCCAGTCCAGCCCATGAAAAAACTGATGTTTTTTGATTTCTGCCATATCAGAAAGCCTTTTTTCTGGAATAATTTGTAAAAGTTTCGTTAAAAAATCGCTGAGCTCATTCGAAAAATTTGGCTTCATTTCTACTGGCTTATTTAGCACGTTTTTATACATTTCGTTGCGGTTTTTTGAATAAAAAGGTGGAGCTCCTGAAATCATTTCATATAAAACAGCGCCTAAGCTTCAGAAATCAACCTTTTTGTCGTGGCCTTGGTTTTTGAGGATTTCAGGAGCTAGATATTCTGGTGTCCCACAAAATGTGAATGCTTTAGGGTTTGACTCTGAGATTCCAAGCTTACTCAGCCCAAAATCAGTGATTTTTATGTGGCCATCGTCATCAATTAGTATGCCATTTCTGCTGAAAATTAATTAAATTTATAAACCAATTCCTATTTACATAGCAATTCACTATATATTTTCTGGCTTTAAATCTCGATAAATAACTCCAATATTATGCAAATACTCGAATGCCAATAAAATTTCTGCTGCATAAAACCTTGCCCTTTCCTCACTCTTTCCTATGTAAAAAAATTTTTTTACAGGGATTTATTATCTCTTGATGATCCATAATTTAATAATTATTGATTATTAATTATAAAGGGGCCTTAAATAAATATTTTAAATTGATATTTCCTAAAAATAGGATTTTCCTACTCACCAAGGGGGGTATTAGTAAATTTCCCACTTTTTTTCAGATGAAAGAAAAGTTCTCCACCTTTCATAAATTCCATGACCATATATAGCTTATCTTTTGTTTGAAATGAATATTTCAATTGGACAATAAAAGGGCAATTTGATTTTTGCATTATCCTTTTCTCATTTAATGTATGTGTGCGCTGCTTCCGGGCTTCTATAGCTTTTTTCTTTAAGATTTTCATTGCGTAATAGTTTTCTGTGCCTTTTTTTATTACGAGGAGAACTTTGCCGAATGATCCTTTGCCTAGGACTTTAACGGCTTTAAAGTCGTCAGGGGTTAGCTGTGAGGTAGAAGAATATTGAGTCATTATGCTACTTGGGTCGCCTTTTACTAATGGTTTTTTTGAGCGATCTTCTTGATCTGACGAAAAGCAGCATCCCATTTAAATGTGTCGAATATATTAAAGCTGTTAATAATTAATACAGATTAAATGATTATCGAAACATGAGTAAAAAATCATATTCAATTTCAAAAATCATTAGTTAAGGTCGCAAAATGCTTTATAATGGCCAATTCTGTAGCAATTTAGGCAGAATGGCTTTGCCTTTCTACAGGGATATCTTTCAGTCCATCTAATTAAACTACCAAGAGTGCTAGCATTAATGCCTATTGCATCATTTAAGATGCGATTTTCTTGAACTTCCACCATTGAAGAATTGTCCATCACAAAATCATCATGAATAAAATCATTACTTTCCCAATACCTTTCTATAAGATACTTGATGCCATTATAGGTTAGTCCTGATATTTTTTCAATTTTTGATTGGGCGCGTCGATCAAATTCAGCATTATCTATGATTCTCTTAAATTCTTTTGATTTGAATTCGTAGCAGATCTTGTCTCTCATCTCCCTAAACACTTCTCTTACTGTTGAATTAAACAATGATATGAAATATTCCTTTTGCACACAATCCACTCTTTTCTCTAATATCGAGGATCCCTTTTTCAAACCTAAGACTTCCGCTTCAAGCACTATTTTTTCTTCTTCCATAATATTTAGCTTTTGTTGAAGCTTTTTATTTTCTCCCTCAAGAAACTTAACCCTTTTCTTGAGCTTATTTTTTTTAAGCTTCTGGGTTTCATCTTGGGCTTTCAAACTTTCATTATCTAGCGTTAGGTATTGAACATCGAGCTTCAGGTTTTTTAATTCATCTTTTAAAACCTCGTTTTCGAGCATCAGGTTTTCTTCTTCAAGCTTCAGGTTTTCGTCTTCGAGCTCAAGGCTTTTTATATTGTCTTTAAATTCTATGTTTTCGAGCTTCAGGGTTTGCACATCGTCTTTTAATAATTCGTTTTTGAGTGTCAGGCTTTTTAGACCGTCTTTTAATGTTGTGTTTTCGAGCTTCAGGCTTTGCACATCGTCTTTTAATGCTGCGTTTTCGAGCTTCAGGCTTTGGTTTTCGAGGTTCAGATTTGCTACATCAACTTTTAATGCTGCGTTTTCGAGTTTCACGTTTTGAAGATCAGTTTTAAATCTTTCGTTATCAGCTTTAAACCTTTCGTTGTCAGTTATAATTCTTTCATTAACAGTTTTAATTCTTTCGTTATCAGTTTTTATTCTTTCATTATCAGATGAGCAACCTTCAACTTTCTTTGACATAACATTTATTTGATTTTGAAGAGATTTGACAATTTCTTCGAAAGTAAATTGTGATTCTATTGATTTCTCTTTTACCTTTTCAGCTTCTTCAGCCATTTTAGCCATTTTATTTTCGCAATCTTCGATAGTCTGAGAAAGTTGTTTTCTTAACTCCAACCTTTTGTGAGCGAACAAAATGATTAAAAAAAACACTATTTTTTGCCCAAAAACCGACAATGGAAAAAAAATTTGATTAATAAGTGATAATTAGTATAATGAAATATTTTGCTAACTTTAAAAACAAATTTAAAATGTAATTAATATTTGCTATCCAATTTTTTGCGAATTAGGATTTTTTTTCAAAAAATATTAAACCCCCTCCATGTGAAATAATTTTTTTTGTTCCCTCACTGAGGAGGGGAGTAAAATTTCACTTGCTGCTTTACTCCCGCTTCAGAGAGCGAATAGAAACATTGAAAAAATCACTATTTTTGCCTAAACTCTTCTCTGTGACGAACAAAAAAATTTGACTTTGAATAAATTGATAAATTTACACATTAAATAAATTTTTGCCAAAGTTTATCAAATTGGAATTTTTTAAATTTCGTCAATAAAATTTACATTAAAATTTGTTTAAAAAATAATTAAACCCTCCATGAGTGAACAAAATTTTGTTTTCTTCTCTTATAGAAAGGGCAAAGCTAGCAGTATCAAAGTTTCTCTGATAGTCTGCGCAATTTTTCATGTAAAAATCTATTTGGGCACTTTTGTCTTCGACGTCATCTTCTAACATTTTAATTCAAAGTTTTAATCTATTAAGATTATTAGTTACTCCATTACTGTCACCTTCCTCATAGCATCTTTTGACTTGATCGACAATCTTCACTAAGCTTTGAGCTTGATTTTCCATTATATAAAGATCCTTATTTCTGCTTAAATCTGGACAATACCGCCAGATATGTATCTTTTTACAAAGTAATAAGATTTTTTTCAAAGAAGTTCAATAACTATTCTTGTTTTCTCTTTTTAAATTTTATATTTTTTTGTTTAACTCCTCCCAGTAATAAGTAAGTCCTTGCTATTTGTGGGGGTTTCAGCACAAATTTGAAATTAGTAAAATAGATCTAAAATTGATTATTATTATTATTATTGGGGAAATACATTTTTCACAAAAACCCCAATATGTGAATTTTTATATATATTCATATAAAAATTACCTCGAAAATCTTGAGCTAAGACGATCAAGCAAGAATTTACTTATTCTGCGAAGAGTAAGGACAGTTTACTTATTTTTAAAATTTAATAATTTATATAATTTTTCTTCTTTTGATTTCCAAAATATAATTCTAAGAATACTTTAAGCATTATTTTGGATCTTGTTTATTTATTACAAATTGCAGCCTATGATAATTTAATTATAAATTGTAAATATTTATTGATAAGGATTTCTAGTTAAAAATGTACATTGGACCATGGCAAGAATATAAGCTTGCCCAAGTGCTCAAGCTTAAAAACGACATCTATGAAGCCCCAACAAACCAGCCTGCACGGCTAAATAACGAAACCTTATCTCTTCACAACCAGAATTTAGTATTAACAAATAGTTATAAAGAATCACGGTCTTCATCTCGGAGTTTCTCATCAGATGTTCAAAGACCATTTCCAAGATTTAACGTTGACACTTATTATGAGCGCTGAAAAAAAGTTGAATTCTTGCTTGCAAAAAGTGAAACAAGCGAAATTCCGAAAAAACACCAATTCCTAAGGCTTATTGTATTTTTTGATATTCAAAAAATTTATCAGCATGGGTATTTGTTGGAAAAACCGAAATATAGCTAGAAAAAATCTAAAAAATTCTCTAAGAATTGTCTAGCTATCAAAAAATGCAGAAAAAATTTATGCACCAATTCCTAGCAATATTAACAGAAAAAGAAAGCCACAAAATATTCATAAACAACGAGTTCAGAACATGAGAGCGCTATACGGACTAGATAAAGAAATAAAATTCCCCCCTATAAATAAGCCAGATTTAGACACTACAGCTACAACAGATACAAGGAGTAAAGAAAGCAGAGAAAGTCCTTTTAGTTTACCCCCTATAGAGAATAGGACACAAGAAAAAAACTTGAAAACTATAAAAGAAGACTATTTTGGAGCAAAAGTTCCAGAATATTTGCCACCGATTCAGCCACGTATTGAAGAAATAAAAATTCAAGAAAAAAAACCTGTTTATATTCACTATTTTAATAATTAGAAATTATATTTTACAATAAACTATCAAAATTATTATCAATTTAAGCCAGTATAAAACTGAAATAACGCCACCAACAGACGTGATTTCTCAATTCAGCTCAATTCTTCCTCCAGCAGCCGAAATTTCTCGATTCAGCTCAGTCCATCCTCACTTTGGAATATCCCCAGAAATTGAAGACGACCTCAAATCTCAAGTTGATGGGCTTCTCCAATGGGTCGAAGAGCTTCCAGAAGAAGTTTCAACTGGCACGCCATACTCCTCTACAATTAAACTGTAATTTATGATAAACAAGCTATATAATTATTTTATTCAGTTTTCAAAGCCTTCTCCACATCAAGACTTTTTAACATTTCTGCTTGCTCTTTTGTAATAAATCGACCTTTCACCCGAATTCTTGAATCCGCCACTCTTTTTCTGCACTCATAAGTCACGATTTTTTTAAACGTCCTTTTCTTTCTTTTTTCCAAATACCTTTGGACCTTGAGTTTCCTTTCTTCAGCTGTGATCAAGCCAATTTTCTTCTGTTCCTCTACAAATTGTGTTGGTTTTAGATTCTCTTCCATTTCAACAGGGAGTTGAAGTGATTCAGTAGCCGGAAAAAAACTCTCCGGATCTTGAAAAGGCATCCAGAACTCAGGATTTGGAGCCATTAGACATGATTCTACTGACATTCTTAATATACTTTCATAGAACCCGAAAAAGTCAGGGAGTGGGTTTCCCTCATTCGGAACTTCTATGTTAGAAACATTGGCGTTTTCGGTATTCCCATTGTACGCTTGTGTAAGAAATTGATTAAATTGGGGAAGACATAACGATGAGTCTTCTCCTGGATGTGTACATAAATTTTGAAAAGAACTTGGCATATTTGGACCAGACATTTTCATATATATTAGATGCAATGGCCATTAACAGAATATTTGGAAGGATCATAACGTGAAAATTTAATTAATATTTTAAAGCTGAAAAAGCTACTATTGATGAATATTTTTATTGATTGGAAAAACTTGAGGAAGAATAGAATAGGGATCTGATAGACACGTGTTTTGCTAGGAAAATTAAAGAGATGTAAGGAGAGTAGGGAAGGGTGTAGAAATGAAAATTAGAAGATTTAGAAGAGAAGGGGTTTTAGATCTTGATAGGTTTGGAGATTTAAATTAAGCCCTGGTGGGCTATTAGTCATCCATTAATCGGCCATTTTATTTGGACTGACTTAAATGAATACCAGCTATGATCAAAATTAAAGTTAATTTGCTAGAAAAATCCTAGCTAAAAGCTTATACAAATTCTTCAGTTTTTTGGATAATAATGCATTTACGGCCTACAAATCGAAAAAATTCTGATTTACCTAAAATTGTTCATAGCAAATTTTTCCTTATTTCATTATAAAATATGTACCTTATTATTCAAGTTAATTAATTTAATTCACCAGCCCATCATAATTATTCAGCTTCCACTTTTATTCATTCTAAGCGCACAAAAATGACGAAGAAAGATGGTTTTTTCTCTTTTTCTCAGACGGCGACCCACATTCTGACATCGGATTTGCTGATTTATTTCTTTCTAAATGTGGGTGAGATCTTATTTCTTTATATTTTCTTGTATCATCATAATCATTTTTTCATCTTTCTAATGAAAAAGTCGATCTAATATTAATCAATCTCCTTGCAAGTCTTGTGTTTTCTTTTTTAATCCGCCTTTTTTCATTGTGTCTATAGGGGTTATTTACTTTATCACTTATTAAAGGCAACGGTTTTCTTTCTGGATTAATAGGATGATTATCATATCCTGCTTGGATTTCTACCAATTTACAAGCCAATTTTATATTTTCGTTCCTGACGTGCTTACTCCAAGGGGTTAATTTTCCTAAAAATAAGAATTTTAATTGGTTTTAATTGTCGACCAAGCTAGAAAAATTTGTTTTAATTGTAGGCGGAGTTAGCAAAAAACGTTTTGTCCTTGACGTTAGGAGTTTTGTTTTTACAAGGAGCTGAATAATGGATATCTGAAACTTTATTATCGATTCGGTTGCTGTGCGTTGTTACAATCTCGTTTAGCATTTTTCTGTGTTTCACTAAAGATCGTTCCCAGTTCCTGAGCCGTATTAAATTGCTGTCAATATACTCAGCCATAACGATAATAGTTTACAAAAATTTATTAATTTTTCTTACATTAAACTAAAGCCCAAACTTCTAGCTTCAATATATTAAAGAACTCAAATTTGCTTACTCTGCATAGTGGCAAAACCAAGAAAAACCCCTAATTTTTAAAAAAGCACGCTCCTCCGTGAGCCAAATTTTTTTTTATATCTATTAATTTTAAACTTAAACTTCATAAATTACGTTATTTTTACTTTGGAATAATTTAATTTCGAAAAAAAATTAATAAAAACTCTTACTCCCCCCCTCCGTTAGCGAACAAGATTTTTTTGTTCGCTCATGGAGAGGGGTTAATTTTTTTTCGAAATTTGAAAAAATCCTAATTCGCAAAAATTGGAAAGCAAATATAAATTTAAGTTGCAAAATTTATGTTTTAAAACGCAATTTGTTTAAAATGAAACAGAATTAGCTAGAGATTTCATTCACTTATGTATCAATATTTTTTTCCATAAAAAATTTTTCTATTAAAAAAATTTTTGTTCGCTCTAGGAGGGTGGGTTTTTGGGCAAAAAATAGTGATTTTTCCTAATGGTTTTGTTCGCTCACGGAGGGGGGAGTTACTGGATAAAGCAAAAAAATTCGCTTGTTCACTGAGGAAGAAATTAAGACCTCATTATTGTATGTCTTACTTACACCGCTTGAACCTTTCATAAGGTCTCCATATATATAAAACCCAGATTTCCCACTAAATAGAAATTACCCTGATCCCATAGAAATTCCTTCAAAGCTGGAAGCCATGAAATATTCATTTTCCAATGTAGGGAAAAAACACTTGATTTTTTTAGTATTATGAAATGTAAATAAAAAGCAATCCCCATTTCCATAAAATTGATGGGATGGAGCCCACGTATCTGACGCTAAACCTCCAAATATTTGCATATGTTGGGTTAAAACGACAATTATTGATGACCCGACTTTTGATAAATTTCTATAAAATGCTGCTAAAGATGTACCATGAAGCTTAGGGGAGTATGCTAATTTTCACGATCGGATTTGGTACATCATTGGTAAATTTATGACTATTTGTTTTATAGTCAGTTAGACTGATAAGTAATTTTTTAATTAAGAATTTAGCTGATTTACTCACATCTCTTAAATAACCAATCAGTCTAATTGGCTATATCATATTTTCAGATAAAATTGTAGAAGGCTCAGAAAGGTCAGGAAGAGGAATAAGAAGAGGCTCTTCTGGCTCATCTTCAATAGGTATATCTTCAAAGCTAGCCTCAGATTTTATTTTTTTCGGGCCTGAGTCAAGTGAGCTTTTTCTTGGAGTGTGCTTGATCCGGATTTTTTCTGAATTAAAGCTTGTGAGCAAAACATCGAGGCTATTTTTGTGAGGGGTCGACCATGGCATGACGATTTCATCATGATCGGAGTTGGGGATTTCGTCTTTGAAGGAATCAATTGACATTTGTGATTTGATTGGCTCTTCCTCAGTTAAGCTGGTTTCACTTTTATATGATGATGAAGCCAGCTGATTTAGCTCAGATTCTGTAAAGCTTTTCTTGATATCACTATATATAGCTTTAATAGGCTGATTCACATTATTTTTGGTTGCTTTATCAGAATTGCAGTTATTTCCTTCTTCCTTAGATATTGGGATTAATGCGCTATTTTTAGTACCCTGCTCTGATTTTTCACTTTCTTCTTCTATTTTGCTTCTTTGTTTTGGCTTACAGATTTTTACACGATTTCACACCTTGCTCTCCTCTTCTATCTGTTGTATTGAATTATTTATATTTTTTTCTGAAATTTTGTCCTTATTAGTTTTTGGATCATTTTCTACTTCTATATCGTTTTCAGTTTTAGTTTGCGTTTTTTGTTCCTCTGATGGCGCAATTTTATTTGGTGACTCTGCTCGCTTAGTATTTTGCTCTGCAATATCTTTATTTTCATTACTGCCCTTGCTTTCTTTATTTGGCTCATTTACTTTAAGTTCCAGATTTTCTTCAGAATCTTCATTAATTTCATAATACGGTACAAAAGTTTGATAATTCTCTTCTATGCTCTTATTAGGGTTGTGAGCATATGCAGTAACGTAACTAATTATCCTTACTCCCCTCTTAGTAATGGAGCAAAACCATTGGAAAATCCGATTTTTTGGGAAAGAAACTAAAAATTTATAAAAGTATTAATATGCTAATGATAATTATTATAATTTTAAACAAAACTTCCATTCTAAAATTTAAAAATGCAAATAAAATTAATTTTACTTTCCAATTTTTAAATTTCGAAAAAAGCTGGGCAAACAAATTGTTTTTGGTTGTTAACTGAGGGAAGTCAGTGCTTTTCCTTTCAATTCTGCATAATTCTTTTTAATTGGCAAAAGCTGAAAATTCACACATCATTTAGGAGCATTTTTCTTATTGGCAACATTTGTATCTTTTCCTATTTTTGACAGGAAAAACTGTATAAAATGCATTGGAGGCTGATCTTCTTCTATTGGAGGAAGCTCGTATTGTATTGCGTTGAAAATATCCCAAAAGCATATAAAAGTCTGAGCATGCGCAGCAAGTATCAATTTTTTAGTTTTATTCTGAACGATTTCACAGTGCAGATTATCAACTAAAATAGGGTTAAACGCAAGCCTATTATTAAATATACAAAGCTGCCCTTTGATTTCTCCTTCAAAAGTGCAGTATAAGACATCAGTAGTAAAAATATTGTCATAATCATGCTGGGGGATTTTTTTTTGATTTCCAGTCCCTAGATTTGGCTCTTTTATGGTTGTAGGCGTAAGGTTACGTATTTTTATTCTCTTTTGCTATCATAATTTTTTTTAAATTAATATAATAAAAAAATATGTATTTAGTTTAAATTAGCATATGTTATCAGAAGAATTTTGTTTTGACTCAGAGCTAAATTCTTTGTGTTTCACTTTTAAAATCATGTCTGGGAAAATTTCTGAAACTTCAGAGAGGCGGTTTATTCGAAGAAGATAATAGACAGACATATCAAACCTCATTGCGATACTAATAAAAGTATCGCCAGGCTGGACTGTATAGTCATCAAACCCCATATCTATTTTTTATTTCCATGGTGTGTAACGAAATTTTTAGATAGAAATGGGCTATAATAGATTTTATGTAAGATTCTCTTTTAATTGGCAGAAAAAGAGCTTTTATAAAGTAAAAACTTAAATCCTAAATATTTTTGAAAATTTTCAATCGGTATTCACAAAAATAAAAATTTTAAGTTTCTATATCCCAAATAATTTAGTGACAAAGATAACCCCAAATACTCCCAAATTATATCATTTAGTAAATAAGGATAATCTATAATAATAAAATGTCAGACCAAGCAAGTGATCAGAGTGAAGAAGAAAGGAAAATATTGGTAAGATACAAGTTAGCTTGGCAAAGAAAAATATGTTTCAGTGTCTAAATTTAAAGGAAAGAAGCTGATAGACATCAGAGAGTATTATTACAAAGACGGAGATCTAAAGCCCGGGAGAAAAGGAATTGCTTTAACAGTAGAACAATGGAGAGAATTAAAGAACCATATAAGCGATATTGACAATCTTATAGCCTTAGACGATTAGCTCTAATTAAGTAGCATTGCTTTCGTTTCTGTTTATTAAATACAGTTAATATTTAATTATGGGAAATACCCAAGCCAAACATAATCTTTGGGTCGCTATAAGTGCAAATGATCCTTTAGCAGTTCGAGACTTACTTCTTTTTTATAGATATTTATATAAAAAATTCCTATTTTTTAATTAAAAAATTATTAAAAAATAAATTCTATAAAATTTAGTTCAAAAGTATCCATTTCTCTTAAACGAGCCAATTTCTGATGATGGCAAAACAAATGCAGTTACAAGAGCTGCGTATCTAAATAGACCTCACATATTAGCAGAATTAGTATCTCTAGGTGTAGACTTAAATAGCACCACATCTACCAAAATTTCAGCCTTAATGTGGGCAGCTACCAAAGGGCACTTAGATTCTCTCAAATTTCTGCTTGAATATGGAACTGATCCTACACAAACTGACCCTCATGGACTTAATGCCCTAGATTTTGCCGTTTTATATGGCAGATATAATGCTGCTTATTTTCTTTACTCCAAAGGAATAAGGTGTAATAAAACAGCTGAGGATTTCCAGCAGCTTAAAGAAGAGCTGCAGACCCTTTGGGTAGACTATTCAGGACTTATGGTATCATTAACCTGCAATATCCCGCCAGAGGTCGCTCCACCTTTTACAGTGCCTCCACCTAAGAAAGAGCCAGTATTTATTGACCCTGTATCAGATCCTAATGAGACGTGAAAAAACTGGGCTAAGAGAATAATTGACTTTGAGGAGCCGCCATTGGTAGAAAGAAATTCTTTACCTTATGAGCTGCAGCCTCAGAATATAGGATTTCCCCTAGATAGCCCTTACAGGGCTGCGGATTCTGTCGGAATCCTTTGATTGGTGGAACCAACTCAGTACACTAATCGGACCAATTCACTTGTTGGTTCCACCAACCAAAGGATTCCGGACCCTGCAAGGGCTATCTAGGGGAAGTCCTTATACCAAGATTGGGAGACTTAAAATATTATTGAGGATGGAAACTGACAAGCCTGAAGGAATTGAGAATGAATTTTCTGAGATTTCAGAAAGCAGGATATCAAGCGCAGATAGTGAAGCAAGAAAAGACTTAAAAATGGTATAATAAGCTGTGCTATGGAAAAGGAAACCAATTTAATTACTTAATTTTCAATTTTTATAGGTAATTGATTTAAATTTTGAGATTTATTATTTTAGATAATAAATGTTAGACAATTAAGTACGATAAGGAGTCTTAGGAGTTCTGATAGGGGTTTGCACTTTAAGAGAATTTCCACTTGGCAGTCTGTGCTGCGAATGTCTGGATGCTGAAGACCTAGAAGCTGGTGTTTGGACCCTATAAAGTGGTATATCTTTTAAGTCTAAATCATGCTTAACCACAATCTCTGTTATATCTTTTTCCATTCTTCGAGTTAAGCCATTATTTCTGATATCAATCATCAGTAATGAGCAGCCAAGTGAAAGCACTCCTTTTAATTTTTCTACAGCGCTCAGCATTTCATCCCTTATAGCATCTTCAGCTTCATTGTCTACTAATAAATTGCAGCTTATATCAAGCTCAAGCAAAGAGTCATTATTTGCCAATAAGTCACATAATTTTTCACAAAATAGCGTTGACAAAGAATTTGAGCTTAAATTTAATGACCTGACCACCCCATTTTGTTGTAAATCACTACAAAGTTTAGCCCCAGACCTATCATCAAGTCTATTATGCTTTAAATTCAAAATCTGTAACGATCTATTATTTCTCAGAGCTTGGCCTATGCATCTGGATCCTTCATACTGTATTTGATTGTCACTTAAATTAAGCGACAACAGGACATCTGAATGGAATAAATATTTAGCGATCCTTCTTGCGCCATGGTCACCAATTCTATTATGGGATAAATCAAGCTCTACAATGGTTTTATTATATAAAAATCCTTTTGTAAGCATTCTAACTAGCTCATCATCAATCAAATTGCAAGGCAGCGAGAGGGAGACCAAACACTGGGAGCTTTTTATGCATTTCGTGATACTTGCGGCATCATTCATTCTCATCCCAAATAAAGACCGGTCATATTCAGACCCCAAATGTTTTGCGCCATATGAAACCCTGAATTTGGTGATGCATGGGACATTTTTGAATAAAATTCTTAAGTCTAAATGTGATGGGAGCTCTTCAATATCAATATAAAAAATAAAGTTCCTGGTAGCCATAATAAGGCTTGCAAGCTCTTCTAAGTCATCTCCAGGGTGCTTGCATAGGATTTCTTGCAGATAGGTTTCTATGTAGGTCTGTTTCCACGACCACCCATGCTCATTGTGGCGGATGTTTTTCCACTTGGACTCACAAGCCCGCTTTCAGTAGCTTTCAATGCTGATGTTTGGAGCTGTAATTTGCAGTGGGAGGGTAACTGAAACTTTATCTATTATTTTTTCGACTAATTTATAACTTTTTAGCCCAGGCAAGCTTGGGTATAATGAAAAATTCGCTGATACGACTTCTGCGCTGATATCTACAAGAGATGATACTTCTTTACTGATGAAATAATCGCCACGATGGATTTTGTTTGCTAACATTAAATTTATTAAGGAATAGATTAAAGTAAATAAGAGGATTTCATATATATGTGGCATAGACGATAGAGAAAGATTAAAATAAATATTATGAGTTTAATAGCAATTTTTAAAGAAAAAGGATTATGGTTAGAATTCTGTATATTCGTCCATAGCATCAGCTGGCAGTGGCTCTTTTTTCCATTTTCTGATCTTTTTCTTCATTGTTACCTCATGGGATCGCCTTGATATGATTTTCTTTGGCCCGTCCATGTTTATCTCAATGCTGTCTTCTAGATTGAGACTATTAGCAATCCCTGATATCGCTTCTTTTAAATCTCTCTTTTCTTTTGTTTTTTCTTTAATTTTGTTAGCTTTTTCTTCTTCTCTGATCAAAAATTTTACGTAGTTTTTCCTGCGAACGGGATCGTTCTTTTTCATTTTATTATTTTCAATATGTTTTGATTGAAATATTAGCTTAAGCTAAAGGAATTATGTGTTTTTTAAGACAAAAGTAGGCAAAAATATCGTAAAATATATGAAAATTTTAATTAACTCCATCTTTGATCGAGAAATTTTTCTTAGAAATTGATTTTCATATTATAAACTAAAAAATGCTTCAATAAAAAACATATTTTATATCAATTACTTGATCGAATTTTTGGAATGCCAAGGATGAAGAGGAGTAAAAATATTTTTACTTGAAAAATGATCCATACTCAATGCTGTCATGAGTGTACCAAAGCATAAAGTATATGCTTGTTATAAGTTTCGCATAATCTGGGGTGGTTTCATACAAAATGTCATAAGATGTTCCAGTCTCTGATATCGACAGCAAAATCAAGCTTAAAGTTGACACAATGATTCCGTTTCTGAAATAAATCCCTACTCCTGAGACTTCAATTTCTCTTACAGGGACATCCACACACAAAAATCCATCAATTACATGGACAATAGCAGCTGTTGCCATCTTCATTACTCCAATTAAAACTCCTAGCACAATTGAATATTGTGACAGCTTATGAATTGTAATAACTGAATGCATAGCAGATACTAGTAAAATTGCTCTCCAAATAGCTTCTAAATTAAAAACCACTGTACGAAAAGCTTTATACCCTATTGGAGTGTTTTAAAGCTTTTTATAGAAAAATTATTAGCTTGATAAGCCAGTCCATTTTGATATATTTTTTAAAGGACTCATAAATTTCTCTAGGGCTCAAGAGAGTGTGTGCAATATAAATTACTACAAATTCTGTAATAAGAATTGTAAAAGATCTATGAAGATCTGCCCCAAATATCAGGCTCGTTAATATGACTTCTCCAAATGATAAAGAAAATGTTACAAGAATACGCCGGATTTGGTGGGAATTTGGATACCGCAAAACAAAGGTTATGATGTAATAAATTGCGTGGCCTGGGAATAGTGACTCAATTGGAAGCATAAAAAATTCTTCTTGGAAAATGCAAAGGAGGACTATGAATGCTGAGATTGAGAAGTAGATTTGTGGCTTTTTCCCGCCTTCCATATTTATAGGGAATTGAAATATATACTATATTTATTTGAATCGATAGGGATAAATATGAAAATAAATTAAAAAAATATTTATTTGATTTTTAATTTTTGAATTGGGAGATTCATTAAATTGATACATAAATTCCAAGATTACAACTTAAGAGATATTTGAGTTAAATTCTCCTTAATTATTTCATTTTAAAATTATATTTATAACCCAAGATAAAATGCAATTTTTATGGAGGAAAAGCTAGATTATGAGATTGATTATATAAAACACCTATTAAAATCATAATATAAATATAAAGACCTTATGTATATTAAGACTGCCTGAAAAGGTAGGTCAATTCAAATAATCATTCAAGAAGGAAGCAAAAATAAGTTTAGATTAAAATATAAAAGTAAAAATATTTCAGCTAAAGAATCTTGAGTTATATTTAATTTATTATGACTATCTGCTAATTCAGATTTTATTTTTATACGTTAAAGCATATTAATTTAATTTTATTAGAAAATAAAGATATATTTAAAAACTTAAGACTCAAAAAGTACAAGTGGTGGGGATTGAACCCACGACCTTCTGCGTGTGAGGCAGATGTGATAACCACTACACTACACTTGCGCCTATATTTAAAAATTCTCTTTTCTATAAATATGACTCTTCAGCAAGCTCCTAAATTAGCTTTTCTGTTCACCATCTATAGATTTTGTTGGTAAAAAATTATTAAGTTCCTTTATAATAATCATTTTTTAATACGACTTTTGCAATCATAAAGGCATAGAATGAGCTAAATTCTTTTTAATTTATATAGTTTATCAATAATTTTTAAAGCAAAACTAACATTTATATAATTTATAAAAATTTTACTTTAAAATCGCCCCAATTTTTTACTATTTAAATTCTTTATTACCTAATTTATAATTTATTCTAAAATGCAAGATCCCTCTTCATTAAATCAAACTGATATCGCAGAAAGCGTAGGTGCCTTAAGTCATCGAATTGTCAATCTTGAAGCTCGCTTATTCGGCCCCCTTCCTACGCTTCCTCCTAGCTCTCCTCCAACACAAAAACCTCAATATTCTGACCAAACTTCTATAGAAAAATTCCTCGACACAAGCTCTCAAAAAGCTCAAAAAGCACTTTTAATGGTTACCTGGTTTTTAATCAGGAATTTTTAATGAAATTTGCTCAATTTGGACAGAAATTTTCCGACATTTTCCTCACTCCCCCCCCATCCTTGATCGAACGATTGACTGTAAAAATTCCTAAAAACTGGGAAAAAATTAACCCCCATCCTTGATCGAACGATTTTCATATCATGAAAATTTTTATAAATAAAAATATATTAGTTATCAAAAGCTTCGGAAGATATACATAATAAAGTTGTTTTCAGAGACTTTGAGACGACAAAAAGCTTCGAAATCAACCGTATGAAGTGATTCAGTCATCAGCCTAGGCTTAAAAACTCAATAATCTAATAAAATAGAGATTTTTTAAAATTTTAAAAAAAAATTAATTTAATCAGGAACAAATTAAAATTTATAAAGTTAATAAATAAAAATATTAAAAATTGGTATTTTTTATGAAATTAATTCAATTTTTTGCTGTAAAATACTCTGAACCTCTTATTTAAAAGTAAATAAAAAAATATATATATATATATTTTTATATTTTAGATATAAAAATTTTTTTTAACCCCCGTCCTTGATCGAACGATGGCGAGTCGTTCGATCAAGGATGGGGGGGAGTCAGTAAAAACCCTTAGCTTTGCCATTTTTGTTAGAAAAATGTCTTAAGAAGAAAAAATTCGCCCAATAGCATAGGAAAACGCATTTATCCACAAAAAAATTGCGTCACAGTTTTAATGAACACGCCGAACTCCAAAACAGTTTCAGCAGAAAACTCTGCACAAAATTCTCCTAATGAGCCAAAAAAACGAACAAGGGCAAGAGATGATGATTTGGCTCGTATTGACAAGAAAAAAGGGAACTTTAGCGGTACAAAAAGGCGCCAAATGGAGGACCCCTCTCTTGATTCTGATTGTTCCCAGAATATGATAATTGATAATCCAAATAGTGTATCAGAACCTTCAGATTTATTTAAAACTGATTTATACATTTTTCTTTATATTATCCTTATTTTTTTTAAAAAAAATTAATTTTTTACTTACTCCCCCTCCTCCGTGAGTGAACAAAACCATTAGAAAAATCGCTATTTTTTGCCCAAAAACCCACCCTCCGTGAGTGAACAAAAATTTTATAATAGAAAAATTTTTTATGGAAAAAAAATTTGATATATAAATGATAATTATTATAATGAAATCTAGAGCTAATTCTGTTTAATTTTGAACGAATTACTTTTTAAAACATAAATTTTATAAATTAAATTAATTTTTGCTTTCCAATTTTTGCGAATTAGGATTTTTTTAAATTTCGAAAAAAAATATTTTTTATAAAATTTATATATAAATTTTTTAAAAAAAATAAATTAACCCCCTCCGTGAGTGAACAAAATTTTTTTTTTCACTCACGGAGGGGGGGGAGTTAAATTTTCTTCCCTTTCTCTTTATTTTCGAATACCATCAGACATCATGATGTCTTCACTTGTTAATTCCCTTAATCAAAAAATTGCAAAACTCCAACAAGAATTAAAAATATTCGAAATCTCACAAGCAGAAAACGATAAAAAACTCGCCAGCAAAGATGCAGCAATTGAAAACTTAAAGCACCAGCTTGAGAAAAAAGATGAGGAACTCAAAACACTTACTGAGGAACATCAAAATTTAACGATTTCTGCTGAAAAAGGGAAAAATGCATTAATTAAGTCACTGAGAGCTTATGAGGAAAAAAAGAGACAGGAATTGAAGGTTAAGCTGTTTAATGATTCTTATAGGCTTGGGAAGGTAGTGACTGTAAGGGAGTCTGCGAAGTTTCAAGAATATTGGGAAGACGGGAAAGAGATTACTGAGGTAAAAGCGAGGCTGCCAATAATTGCGGCACAGAAAGAACAATTAGATAAGCTGAAAAAGTCGAAAAAAATTGACGATGATATTGCTGCAACTTTGCCGCTAAAATTGAAACTTCTTAATAGAGAAGAGGCTGAATTAAAAGAAAAATTATATTTTTTTGTATAAATGGGGAGAATTTATATTAAAAATTGGTAATAATTTCCCCAAAAATAAGCCAATGCTTTTGCATCTTATAAGTCACTATTAAAATAAAACAATAGAGAGGCTAGAAAGAGAGAAAAACGTCCACATTCAAGAATGCCGACGAATCAATGAAGAAGATTCTGCAAAATACGCAAAAGAAACTGAAGACCACGAAGCCTGACCAGTCCTCCACAAGCGCTATCTCTTGCTCTCCCTCTTAGGAAAAGGCGGCTACAGTGAAGTCTACAAAGCTTATGATCTCCAAGAGCATCTTTACCTCGCTATAAAATTCCACCAATTAAACCCTTTATGGGGCGAAGCCATAAAAGCCAATTATATCAAGCACGCCTTAAGAGAAAACCACATTCACAGAGAACTTGACCATCCTAGAATAGTCAAGCATTTTGATACCTTAGAAATCGATAATAACTGTTTTTGCACTGTTTTAGAGTATTGCCCTGGGGACGATCTGCATATGTATAGGAATTGCCCGAGGATGGCACTATCTTGCGCCATCCTCGGGCAATTCAAAAAATGGCCCCACACCGGAAATCGAACCCACGTGTGGGGCCATTTTTGGTGCGTGTAAGTCTATGTTGGCCACACACCAAAAATGGCCCCACACGTGGGTTCGATTCCCGGTGTGGGGCCATTTTTGAATTGCCCGAGAATGGTGCAAGATAGCGCCATCCTCGGGCAATTGGCATATTTGAAAAAACACAAAACTTTGACAGAAAAAGAAGCCAAAAGCGTGATGATACAGATTTTTTGTGGGCTGAAATACTTGAATGAACAGAAAGAAAAAGTGATTCATTATGATTTGAAGCCGCATAATATATTGTTGAATAATGGAAATGTAAAAATATTGTATTTTAGGTGTATATTAATAGGAAAATTGTATTTATTTTAGGAGATAAAATGTTAAAAATTCATTTTAATTAGAATAACTGATTTTGGGCTAGCCAAAGTTATGGAGCCTAGCAATAGTAATATAGAACTTACTAGTCAAGGTGTAGGGACTTATTGGTATCAAGCTCCTGAGTGCTTTCAGACAGGGCATCTTCCACCTCTAATTTCTTCAAAAGTCGACATATGAAGTGCTGGGGTAATTTTTTTTGAATTATTGTATGGGCAAAGACCTTTCGGTCACAACATGGCACAAGAAAAAGTCTTGAAGAACCAGGTTATAATTAATGCGACCAGTGTTGAATTTCCGAATAAGTCAGGAATTTCTAATGAATGCAAAGATTTTATCAGAAGATGCTTAGAGTATGATCAAGACAGGAGGTGGGACGTTATTGAAGCTTATAACTCGCCCTATTTTCAAGGGAAAAAATAAGGTTTATTGAACTAAAATTAAGTTTATTTAGTATGAGGAATATTTGGTGCCTGCATTGAAAAGCCTTCTTTTGAGTCTGCTCCCCAATCTTTTAAGAAATTCGTAGGCATCACTTCTACCTTGGGTAAAATTGTATGCTCATTATTGGTGCTAGACTCGAAATCAAAGTCCGAAGCTTTCCTATGTCCGCTTACATCTTCTTTCTTTACAGGCAATAAGCTCTCATCTTTTGCGTCTTGAGTATATGGTGGGGAGATCTGCAAGATTTCGTCAACGTAATAGTTATAGTCATGGATTTTTTCGTCTCCTGGGACACCTACTAGTTTGCTTAACTCTTTGAACTTGTTATTAATATCTTTGGCATTAATATTCATCAATGGTTTTATTGATTCCACCCAGGAGTTAAATTCATCCATATAGCTTGAAGATTTTGTAGCTAACTCCCCCCCCTCCGTGAGTGAACAAAACCATTAGAAAAATCGCTATTTTTTGCCCAAAAACCCACCCTCCGTGAGTGAACAAAAATTTTTTTATGGAAAAAAAAATTTGATATATAAATGATAATTAGTATAATGAAATCTAGAGCTAATTCTGTGTAATTTTAAACGAATTACTTTTTAAAACATAAATTTTATAAATTAAATAATATTTGCTTCCCAATTTTTGCGAATTAGGATTTTTTTAAATTTCGAAAAACAATATTTTTTATAAAAATTATATATATAAATTTTTTTTAAAAAAAAAAAAAATTAACCCCCCTCCGTGAGTGAACAAAATTTTTTGTTCACTCACGGAGGGGGGGAGTAAGTAGGCTTTATATGGACCAGTATCTTCATTTAATTGCGTTTTTATTGCAAAGGCGATATTTAATAACAGATTTTGAACTGGCAAGGAATTTTCCCTTCAGTTGTATCGATCAAGCACAATAGCCCAAGAAACGACTTCAAGCTCATTTAAAGTTAGTTCTTGTAGCACTTCATTTAAAATTCTGAGCAATGGCTGAGAACTGAATTCCCCAGTCGATGACAAGTTGCTCGCGATTCTTCGAATTAATAATTGACTTTGCTGGGAAACGCCGCTGTTTATAAAAGCGGCACGGATGTTATTGTATATGTCAATTATTCCATAAATTATTGGCTTTTATCTTAAAATTGGATAGGAAAATTATAATTTTATACTGATATTATAGTGAGTTTATTATTCATTTTATATAATTCAAATGATAACAGGATAGCTCACTCTGATGCTTTGGCTTATCAGAAATTTTTTCTTGTTTTATTGAAAGATTTGGAAGAGCCTGGCTATCTTTAGACTCCGACTCTGATTTTAGTTTCTTTTCTGGGAGTTTTGGAGGACGACCACGTTTGCCGCGTTTTTTGGGAAGTTGATCAGACATGAATCTGTTGTAAATATTATTAGGATCATAATCTAGACATTTTTGAGGATTATTGCCATTAAGAGAATTTTAGAAAAAACCAATTAATGAAACCATGCAATATATTGGCGCAAAAATAGAGAAAAACTTCAAATAAACCTGCGCTTTTTGTATTTAATAGAAAAATAAAAAAATTGCATAATTTAATTTAAAATTCAATTTAAAATGAGTGCAATAATAAAAATACTAGGAACGGAAATTCTACGAAACCATATTTAATATCACTATCTTCTAATTAAAAATTTTCTCTTTAAAGCATTTAATTGATTCTTACTCCTTTTACTAAACAGCTCGCCATTGTCTCTCAGTGGCTTAAACACATCCAAAAAAATTATATATAAATTTTTCAAAATTCTATTTTCTAGCGATAAGCTTGTAATATATTATCAAATATGCATAAAATAGCATTAAAATTACTAGAAGTGATCATACAGCAATATCTCTATATCCATTGCATCAAAAATGGCTTAATGATTATTTATTTGATTGAATTTTCCAATAGAATTGTTCGATCAAAATAGGGAATTAATGAAACTGTTTTACTTTCCTTCGAAATTTCTCTTTATTTTTTCCCTCACAACAATCGTCCTGCTTATTATAACTCTTATATAAATTATGTCGAATGAATGGAAAATGGAATGGGATCTGGATTCTCATCTTTTAGAAGAAGATATTTTTGCTTCATTTCTTAACACTCAAGAACCGATATATGAGCTTATCCAACACTTCGAACCCCCTAAAGAAGATGAAGATGGAAATGAAGATGATCCTGAAAGCAAGCGCATTAAAAGATTAGCAAAAAACCGAGTTTCAGCAAGAATTTCTAATATAAAATAATTATTTTATTTATTTTGCTTATTTATTTAATTTTTAACCTTTATTTTTATAAAAATTTTAAAAAAAGGGCAAATTTTCTCTCAACCTTTCAGCAAGAAACACACGTAAAAAGAAAAAACAAAACCTACAATACCTAGAATCACGTGTTGCAAGCTTAACTGAAGAAGTTGACAGCTTACGTCAAGAAGTCTGCGAAGAAGGCGATGAAAAAGTAAATGACCAAATGTCCCAACAATACAGATCAGACAAGCAGTCAATGTTTAACCAACTAAACAATCTCCTCCTCTCAGGCAGCCACGACGAACAAATAAAAGACATTTTAGAAACCCTCCGCATCAAGATGGGTGCAAATGGTGTAGAGCGTCAAGGCTACATAGAATACGTCATGCACCAAATCGCTGACATCTCTTTGCCTGGACAGCTAAAAACCTTATTAAACATGTGCGCTGATAAAGACATGTCCTCGTCGCTATTTTGAGACCAGTCCTTAGACACAACGGTCCTTACCCCAGAACAAAAAGAAAACATTGAAACCCACCTACAAAAAATCACAAAGAAAAAAGAAGCGTATGACCGGTGCATAAATAATTTGAAAAGGATTAGAAAATGCTTATTAAGGCGAACTGGGCATCTACAAAATATAATTGATTATATTTCATCAATGCTAACACCTAGACAAATAGCAGCTTTGTTAGTCAGATTAAATAGTTCAGATGAGTTATTAGATCCATTTGAAAACGACGAATAAATGTAATTTTTTTAATTATTTAATGCATTTGCCATTGCGGAAAGAGCTTCAATCTTCTTGTACTTGCAGTCCATCACAGTGTTTGCAGTAGCGTCGTTAGAGAAGTCGGTTTCCCAGATAAGAAAAGTCTTATTGGTCAATGTTTCTTTGAAGACTCTTATTGTGTTGACATAAGAAAAAGAGTGAGCTGCAGGGTCAGCGTGAATTAATTCGTATATACCTATTAAAAATTTCTCATATGTTTTATACTAATAGCCAATCCCTGCCTTATATAAAGAGTAATTCTTTTTATTTATTAGAAAATTCCATGTTTTTATTTATAATATACAATAGTCCTCTTTATATCACTGATTTCTAAGATATTCACAGTCCATTGAGTTCCGTCTGTATAAGTCATATGAACTGTTGCGCCGACTTTTCCAGAATCACCCTCAGACCAAGATACACTAGATACCCAATTAGGACAGAGGATATGGAATGATAAATTTCGAATATGAGCCCATACTTGATCGACTGGAGAGTTAAAAACTGCTGATTCAAATTGGTGACTTGCTGAGACAACTGAAGTTTCTGTAGCCATTTTTAATTATAAAAGATGATATGTCTGGGTATTTATCAATTATAGAATTTTCTCGAAATACATAGTATGACAATGCTGTATAGAAAATCAGAAGGAAAAAGAATTTTTATTTGAAAAATACTTTTGAAATGCAAATAAAAAATGATTAATTTACTATATACAGTGCATCTTATGACTTTGTTATACTAATTGATAATTATTTACTTATTTATTGCATTTTTCATCTAAAAACTAATCATCTTTTAATTCTTGCAGAAAATACTATTTAAATTGCATAAACGGATATTCATCTTATATCAAAATATAAAATGATGCATAGTTTATTGATACTAACTCCTCGTGAACAAACAAAAAAATGTTTTTTTTTTTGGAATTTAAAAACATTCCAATTCGAAATAAAAGCAAATATTTATTTAATTTGTAAATTATGTTTAAAATGTAAGCTGTTTAAAATTAAACAGAACTAGCTAGAGATTTTATTATAATAATATCACTTATATATCAAAATATTTGTTCATAAAAAATTTTATATTTAAAAAAATTTTTGGCTGGCAACAGGTGGGTATTTGTGCATAAAATAGGGATTTTTTCGCTCACAGAGGGGGGAGTAAGCAACGCTGGTGACACATTAATAGAAAAGCATTATCGAGATTCTCTCCGTAACATCGTTGACCAATTTGTCGCAATCAAAGATCAAGTAAATTTAGTATCCCAAGTAAATGACTACATATGCATCAAAGTCCCTTTCAATGATTTGATATTTTTAGCAATAACCAAAGAAGAAACACAAATTGCAGTCATAGTCGAAATGATTGAAATTTTAGTTGACGTCATCAAGGCAGGAATCGGAAAAGTTGACTCTGACAGCATTCGCGACCACTTCAGTGGTGTCTTATTATCAATGGAAGAACTTATCGAGTACGGCTGCCCTTTTACGACTCACCAGCACATTTTGGCTCACTTTTTAAGAAAGCCTGGATTTTTTGAGAGGTTTACTACTATAAAGCCACAGGGAGACACATATTTAGATGAAGCCATAAAAAATGAGCAGATGAATGAAAGTCCTTGGAGGCCTAGCCTCTTTCCAATAATTATTTATTTAATTAAAAAAAATTTAAATTATTTATATATTTATTATAAAAATATATATAAACTTACGATACACTTTAAATGAAATTTTAATAGACGTTATTGAGTATGTGAATATGACTATGGACAAACATTGAAATCCAGTGAGGTATGATATTGTCGGACATATCCAAGTAAATGCAAGCCTTACAGGCATGCCTGATTTAACTATGTATCTTCATGCCCCGCATCAATTTTTGCATTACACATTCCATCAAGCTGTAATATCACGACGCAAGAGGTTTGAAGAGGAAGAAAAAGTGCTGGTTTTTACCCCTCTGGATACAAAATTCATTGTATTTAAATATTGGCTTAATGATTTGTGCCCATCTTTGCCGTTTAAGATTACTCCAGCGATTTCTTTTGAAGAAGAAACTATGAAGCTTGATATTAGAGCTGAAAGTAAAATGATTTTAACAGAAAGACTTGTCATTGAAGAATTTAAAATTTATTTTGTTTTGCCAAAAGTATGTGGAAAGCCGTCAATTGCAGTAAATACTGGGACTTTTGTAATGGACGAAAACAAAGGGATATGGAGTGTTGGGAGATTAATGCTTGACAGAGTTTCTCAGCTCACTGGAAGAGTTCCAGTGCCTAAAGAAATCGTCCCTATTTTGCAGGAAACTGAAATGAGCTTGGAAGTCAATTTTATGATAGTAGGGTATAATCCAACAGGCACAAAAATAGAAAAAGTGTTAGCAAGAGGGGAGTCTTATGCACCCTATAAAGGTGCAAGATGTGTTTTTCATTCAGGAAAATTCGAGGTCAGGATGAATTAAATAAAAAATATTCTTTAAATTAATAGAGATTTTAACAGAAATTCTTTAAAAAATACTATTTAAAATAAATTTCATGAAATTCATCCTTCTCTATAACAATATAAGCGAAAATTCTTTATCATTATTAGCTAATATAAAATGTTACGAAGAGTGGCTGCCTCATGTCTCCGCAGATTTAGCACAGTTTCCCCTTATTATGAAGAACATTACCAATATATTGGAAACCCTGATTTAGAAGAATTTCAGAAATTCATGCTTGGAGAGCGCAAAAAATTAGTCCAAGACACCACAATTTTTAAGCCAAAAGAACAGATTGAGTTTAATAGGACTGGGGAACTTCTTCTTTATGAAGCTGAACCATTCAGACTTAAAGACGTGCTAACTCCTTATCCTTACTCTGTTTGGAGCTGGTCAATGCCTTCATTTCTTTATATGTATTTTGCAAATCCATTTGGCTTGACATGGCTCTATAACGATTTATTTCTTTTAGCTGGGCTTTGGGGTTGGTACCCTCAAGTGGAATATTCTTAGTTTTTCTAAATAGCCTATTATAAATACCAATAAATTAATTTATCTCTAAAAGGCATATGTTTTTAATCTCAGATATCACATCAATAGACTCTGGCTGCTAAGAGGAGGAAAAGTCTTAAAAGTAGAGCATTCTAATGTGACAGGATACAGGTGGAAATCCTGGATTTTTATTGATGAAATTAACCTTTTGACAGAAGATAAAAAAAAACTAGAGCCTGAAAAAGGAATTAATGCTAAAATTCTTGATGATAACAACCAGCTGAAGGCAGAAACTCATATCCAAGTCGATAACTTTGTAGATGTAGGGAGAAACATGCAGGATCATATTTTAGTTCTCTGCAAAGATGGGCAGGTCCATAACCCTGAAATCTTAGATGCAGTGCTAAAAGGCTTTGAAGTTGATACCAGCAACTTCAGAATCAACACCTTGCACACTGAAAGATGGCTGGAGCCTAACACTAACTCATAATTGGGTTGCTTTTAATCAGTCTTAAAATGGAAACTAAAAAATCTTTTTTAGTCATAATATCATTAAAATTTTTCTTTAATAATGTTACACAATATTAAAAATGCCAGTTAGATATAAGCCATAACTCCTGACTTACAGGTAAAAGATCTATTATCGGACTTATGTGAAAGAGGTTGTCTATTTGAAAGCCATGATAAAAAGAGAGAAGAGGTCATTGCTGAGTCTGGCGATGATCAGAGAAGTCTTAACGGACTTGTTAACTTTTACGATTTGACGGTTAGGCCGGTCCACCTACCGTTGTTCAGAAGTGGACCTCAAGAAGGAGACTGCATCCAAGTATGCAAAAAAGTAATTCATTTAAACTTAAACTTAAATAATGTTACCTTTACGTTTGAGAGATTTTGAAGTAGTCCGAACTATTGGTAATTTTTATTTAGGCACTGGGACATTTGCACGAGTAGCTTTGGTTCGCTCAAAAAATCAAAGAAATAGCCCTTACCACGCTCTTAAAATGATAAATAAAGAAACCCTTGTAAAACTTAAACAAGTAGAGCACGCTAAAGCTGAAAAACGGGTTTTAGCGTCCCTGGATCATCCTTTTATAGTCAAACTGTAACCATAACGCAGCATAAATTCATTTCAAGACTCTTCATGTCTGTATTTAACGCTAGAATATATACCTGGAGGGGAATTATTTACAAGGCTGAGGCTTTATCATCATTTTCCTAATGACGTAGCACTGTTTTATGCGACAGAAATTTTATTAGCGATCTCTTATATGCATACAAGGGATATTGTATATAGAGACTTGAAGCCAGAAAATATTTTAATTGACCAACAGGGGCATGTGAAAATTGCGGATTTTGGGTTTTGCAAGGTAATTCCTCAGGGCGAAAGAAGCTTCACGCTGTGTGGGACACCTGAATATTTGGCGCCTGAAATTATTAAGTCAGAAGGCCATGGTAAAGCAGTGGATTGATGGGCTTTTGGAATTTTAGTTTATGAAATGCTCGTTGGAAACCCACCATTTTATGACCAAAATCCCTACAAAATTTACAAGAAAATAGTCAAAGGAGAATTTGTGATGCCTGAACTTATATAATTTTTTAAATAATTAAAAAATTGCTAAATAATGATTTTATTTTGATTTTTATAGTAAATAAGCATTATTAATTGTATTTAAAGATTATTTTTGATAAAATAGGATATCAAATAATGCTGCAGAATTAATAGCAAGGCTATTATGTATTAATCAAGACGAAAGATTAGGAAGTAATGGATCAAGTGAAGAAATAAAAGGAATGAAATGGTTTAGAGGAGTTGACTTTGCGATGGTGGTAAGAAAAGAAGTGCGAGCACCCTGGATACCAAATTTGTCAGGGCCCAATGACACATCATCGTTTGCGAATTATCCTGATGATCCTGATTTCTTTAGGCCTGCATCGGTATCAGTTAATGAGCTTTTCCGTGATTTCTAAGAAAAGAATGTAAACTCTCAGTCTATTAACTTGGAATCCTTAATATAATAAAAATTATCCTGTGAAATATATATATTATATTTCCTTATGGAAAGGCTACTGTCTTGATGTCATTGGATAATAGATTGGTGAGTCACTTCGAAAATTCATATAATATTTCAGCTCTCTTGGTGATATTGGGGCATGCCTTATGCTTGGCAACCCTGAACTTTTTGTGCCTTTTGTGCTGGTTTCTAAAAGCTCCAAATTCAATTTCGGTGTGTTTCTTATTGCTCTTGGAGTAATCCCTAATGAGTCTCTTTCAGTTAAAGATCTTCTGCTTTTTCTTGGGGATGATGGTATAGACCTCATCAATTTCGGGCTTAATTGGCTTTTAGAAATTTTGTCAAATGTAGGCACTTTTAGCAGTTTTGGCGAATCATGATGAATTTTTTGAAAATATGATGGACTCAGCGTTTTCAGATCATTAATAATTGAGCTGTCTTTATGAGTTTCTATATCTTTTAAAGGCTCAATGACCTTAGATTTTTGAATATTAATCCCAGCAACTCCTCCATAGGTGGTTTCTCTGCATTCTTCTTTGATTTTATTTTTTTTCATTATGTAGAAAATGGACTCTTCTTTTATTATTCTTCGTTTAAATTCTAATTTACTTATTGTAAGTAAATCGACTTCACTGGAGCTACACGTACAAGTATAACTTCTTGGATTATTGCTTAATAATTCAGCATCACCAAACATTTCTCCTTTTGTTAATATAGCTACTTTGATTTTTTGGTGTTTTTTTATGCGATTTTTCAATGTGCATAGCGATTTATTATTGCTTGGTATTTGAATTTTATATGACCTTGTCAATTGAACTTCTCCTTCTCTTATAATATACGCGCAGGCTGGTGGGTCGCCTTCGCTATATATAACTTGATTCCTTGTGAATTTTACTTGTGTGAAATAATAGCTTAGGTTTACTAAAGACTTAGCAGTTCAGCTTGAAAATACAGGAAGCTTGGATAAAAAACTAACTAACTCATCGAGTTTCTGTGCAGTTAATTTTCCTAAAATTCTCAAATAAGGCTCTTTGCTGAGCGTAGCAAAATGGCAGTCTTCTGTACAAATAATGCTTGCTGCCCTAGGCTGGTTTTTCAAAAGTGCAAGCTCACCAAATGCGGATCCAGCCTCCAATGTAGCAACTTCAATCAAAGTGTCTGGCTGCCCTGGGCTAGACGTTGGGACTAATACTTTCACGACTCCTTGCAAAATAATATAAAAGGTGTCCCCATACTCTCCAGCGTTTATAACAAATTCACCTTTTTTACTAAAAAAGTAACACATATATTGACAGCAATTTTTGTGAGCATCTTCATTATATTCTTGTTTTATTTTAGTGAAAAAAGGTATATCTTTAGTAACAAACATCAAGGTTTTTAAAGTATTAAGTGTTCTTGAAGGAGGTGGAGAATTCAGAATTGATACTATATATGAGAGAGCATCAGGAGAACCAGGCGCATTTGTAATCATAAGATAAGGGACATTCAATATTGGTTTTGGCTGCTCTTTAGGTGTGAAATTAAATGACCTATTTGTATTTTGTCTCACAAGCATTAAATTTTTTAATTGGTTATGAAAATTTAAAAATCCACAACTGAAACATGCTTTTTATAAAAATCATAAAAATCCTTATGATAATAATTTATCTATTATTATTTCGGTTCTGCGAAGCTAAATTAATAATTCTTGACGTTGAATTTTCTTTTTTTTGTATTGGACTGATTTTTTTTGTTTCTTCTCTGCTTTCGTTATTTTTCTGTGGTGAGGCTTTTATTTCTCTAGATCGATTGTGATTTCTATTGTTATCCCGTGCTCTTTTTAGGATCACTCAGTCGTATACAAAGTCAGCTTGAAAATTTTCCCTTGCCATGATATCTCGGAAAAGCCTTTTTGAATAATTGTAATCTGGTTTTTCGTCAAATTTCAATGATTTGCAATAGCTCAAACATGCCGAAATTTCAGACGGGAACGGAGCGCAAAGAGCTTCTACAGGCGTGCTCATTTTCCTTTCCATAATATTCTGATATTTCTCTCTTTTGTTATTTCCTTGCAATCCCTGCCAAGGCAAAGCACCTTTTAGCAAATATATAAGGACATATGCTAAACCTTCTAAATCATCTCTTCTTGACTGCTCAAAGCCTAAATGGGTGTAAATTGATGCATATCTTGCAGTACCTGTAAGGCTTTTTCCTTCTTTATAAGCTATGTGGCTATTTGTTTTGCTATCCCAATATTTTTTACTTAATCCAAAATCAATAATAAATATATTTTTAAAAAATTTATTTTCGAACTATTTTTCAATATTTTATACCTATTTTTTAAAAAAAATAAGCATATTTTTATATAAAATTACCATCATTTTAATACCCCATAGTATACTTGATTTGCCCTTTTATCCAGCCCAATTAAAAAATTGTCAGGCTTAATATCTCTATGCAAAAATTTTTTCCCATGCAGATACTCTACTCTAGAAATCATCTGTTCTGCAAGCATAGACACTGTTTTCAAAGACAAAGCTCCACCGCAATATTTCAATAAATCTTCAAGGGAAGGTCCTAATAAATCAATGACAATCACATTATAATCTCCTTCTACACCTTGCCAATGAATATTTGGAATTCCTGGACCACCTTGGAAAATCCGATATAGTCTTGACTCGTATAATAATTGTGGATGCCTTGTATGAATATTTTCTAATTTTATTGCGACTTCTTCATTTGTCTGGGTATTGGTACCTAAGTAAATTTCCCCAAATGACCCACTTCCGATTTTCCGACCAACTCTGTATTTAGTCCCAACACGTAGCTCCATTTAAAAGATTTTAAATGGTCTGGCTGAAATATTTTAAATTAAAGATAATCATTATAAATTATGCCTAGTCAAGGGAATAAATACTTTGGCACCTGCATTTCTTTATTTTTTTCACTTAAAAATAAAAAAAAATATTTTTTTAAAATTTTTTCTATTATTTAAGTCTACCCCCATAATTTTTTGATATAGGAAATACAATTCAATAACTGTTAGTAAAAATGTCACTCAAGTCTAAAGATAACAACTTTGTAGCTGAAGATAGAAATTGGAGATCATATATATTAAATGAGCTCAATGGAGCTAAACAGTGGGAAGAAGACTGGGGTTTTTTAACTTCTGGCAATGCGCTATCTAATGATACTGTTGATGACAAGATTAGAAAATTGGAAGCTGTAATATTTATGTAGAGAATGGAAGAATTAAAGCAAGAACCACTGAGGACGACTTCTGCAACTTATGGAAGAGGCAGCAATTTGGAAAAATATATGGTCACTGAATATAACATCACCAAAAACAAAGAACTGAGAGCCTGTGATAGAAAACCTAAAAAGGATAGAAAAAGCTAAATAGTTATCATGGATAATAAGCTTTAAAGAATTTTTTTATATTAAATTTTATATTATTAAGTGTGTGTAATTCAAGTTGGGTGCCTTTGATTGTATAGAAAATAATTTAATGCGTTTTGAAAAATCTCAAAATTAATATCAAAATATAATAAGTAATATTCATCATATATTAGCTTTAGTTTTTATAATCGAAAAATTTTCTATTACAGAATAATTTTCAGTAAATTTTTGCTCAAGGAGGGTGACTTTTTGCCCCAAAAAATAAGAACTTTTCTAATGGTTTTGCTTGCTGACGGAGAAAATTCCATACAATAGCTAATAAGATACTTATTATATTATGGCATATTTGCTTATGCTAGCCCTCAACATTAAAATTTGTATTTAAATAGCTGTTCTACACATAGGACAAATGCACCGAATAATTATGGCAGTTGCCCGATGATGGCGCTCAATGCGCCATCATCGGGCAACACCAGACAAGGGTCCACAGTGGAAATGGATTCCACGTGTGGAGCCCTTTTTAACATGTGAAGAATCCTCATTTCCACGAGCCAAAAAGGGCTCCACACGTGGAACCCATTTCCACTGTGGACCCTTGTCTGGTGTTGCCCGATGATGGCACATTGAGCGCCATCATCGGGCAACTGCTATATTCAATTTTTCAGGCAAGTATGGTGATATGCATGATCACATGGTAAAACAACACAAACAGAATTTAATCGGATCATCTCTAACTCCCCCCTTAAATTTGAACAAAACATAGGCGAAATTTCCACTTTTAGGTCCTTTAACCTCCCTTTAAATTGGAACAATTTTTTTCAATAGGAAAAATCCAATAAATAAAAATTTCTAATTTTATAAAATTAGTTTTGACCTTTTTAATAGAAAAAGTGCAAATAGAATATTATTTCATTCTTTTAATTAATTCGTAATAAAAATATTTGGCTCAATTTATATGTTTAATTTGTAAAAATTTTATAAAATATAATTTTTTTAAAAAAAAAATAAACCTACTTTAAATTAGAACAAAATTTTGTTCCAATCTAAGTGTGAGGAAGTAAGCAGATTGGGCAGGAATATTCTTTTCCAATTATTTTTGTATGCGGTTCTAATTTCTCTGTAGCTTCAAAAATCCCTGGCTCTGAATTTAAGTTATGGATATATGATCTTCTGATATTTTTGAAATTTGCTGCTATAAAAATAATAAAACAAATAGCTTTAGCATACTCAATATTTACCAGAACTAATCCAACTATGCCTGGTGCTTTATCTAGAAGATGCATACCATACAAAAAATAAATTAGATAATTTATTATTAAAAATCCATAATAAAGGGAAAAAAGTTATAAATTTCTTGAAATCTCTATTGCCATTATTGTCACTAACGCCAAACGGGCACTACCTATAAATTACACTTCTAAAATCAGCTGAATTCCTCTTGTCATTGAAAACGATAGAGGAATATTCGCACAGTACTTATATATTCCTAGGATAAAAAAGAACAAAATCTCATAGCCATCTATAGCTGAATAAATAACTAGAAATAAATCAATGCCATATTTAGCAACAGAGCCCGTGATTGATAAAGAAATTATGATAGCTACTATTTTAGCAATTGTGTATAGAACATAACATGTAATGATTATTCTTTTGTGTCGCTCTAAGATTCTGACAACATTTGATTCTTCATTCATCTTTATTTTACATATTTCTGATCTCTGCAATATGAAAATTATAACGATCAGAATAATGAAATAGTGAGATTTGGATTATTATTTATTTTTTGGATTTTATATGCATTTTTAGTTAGAATTTGTAAAAATTGGTTTTATGAGAAAATTTGTGAAAATAATTGAAAAGGGGATAAATGACTCAAAATAAAGTTTCTTATGTGAGAATCGGGAATATTGTATAGAAAAGGAATAGGAAATAAAATTTAGTGGATAAAAAATGAATAGCTTAGTTTTTAGATAGCATTATTAATAGGATTCCGAATAGCAGGTTTTATTATAAAAATGCTTTAATAAGTTTCTTTTTGCATTAAAAATCGTATTTTTGTACGCAAACATTCCATTTGCTATTTTAATTAAAATTAGCATAACCTTTTTCATTCGTTATCCTTCTTTAAACCCTTATAAAAATAACAGTAAAGCTTCCATTCCTTATTCTAGCTCTTTTCCTATTCCAATTGTCCTCAAAAATTCAAAATTTTTATATCCTATTCCTTTCCACCCTTTCTTGGATTTTCTGATATAGCCTATAATTATGGACCAACAAAAACTCCGGGTATACCTTTTTCGTATTTTTTCCTTTCTAAAATGAATCTTAATCCCATTTGGCATCTGTCTAGTAATATCTCATAAAATCGAGCAAACTGATATTCCTCCGCAAGCAACTTTTACGTTTGAAGAGCATTGTAAATTTTATAATTATTCTTTTGAAAAATATACTGTGACGACTGATGATGATTATATTCTGTCATTATACCGAATTCCTGGTAAAAATCCAGGACCGCCTGTTTTATTAATTCATGGGCTAAGCAATTCAGCTAACTGCTTTATTGTAAACCAATGCGCCCATCCTCCAGCTTTTATTCTTGCAGACCAAAATTTTGATATATGGCTCGGAAACTGCAGAGGAAGCCATCTAAGCCGAGGTCATAAATATTGAAATGCAACTATAGACGAACAGTACTGAGATTGATCATTTCCTGACATAGCATTATATGATCTCCCTGCATTTGTAAGTTTTGTTAAAAATCACACAGGACATGAAAAGATAGGGATGGTTGGGCATAGTCAAGGCGCTGCCGCTATTTTGTGAATGCTTGGATATTACCCTCATATGAAAGATGATTTAGCTGTGGGAGTTTTAATAGGAACTTCTGGAAGCATATTTACTTCAGAGAGCCCATATATATAAAGTAGGTGCGCTAAAAGCTGGCCTAGATAAGAAATTGCAGCAAAATTGAGCCATTTAGCCTTAAATTTTAAAAACAAAATCAATTATGTCTCATGATTTCTTTATCAAGCAAAATGTAAAGGACGGTTGAGCGACCAGACAAGCGCAAATTTTTATTATTTATTTATTTATTTTGTTGCATCTTGATTTATCAAAAACTTGATTTTACAAGGCCATAATAAAAAATTATTCCACCTGACGTGGAACTTGATATTTTAAGTATTTATAAAAATGTTTTTAGCTTTTATTTATACCTTTTTGGACAAGTACGCATTATTATAATTTAATATCAATATCATCATTACAAATCATATTACTATTAAAAAATAATAAAAATTTAAATATTTTTTAGGAATCCAAATATTATAATAATAAATGGACCCCGTTATATTAAAATTAAAGCGCCATAAGCATTTCGGATGCTCTTTGGATGAAGCACCTGATGAAGAAACACTCCTAAAATGAAATGAAATTGACTCCTTCCTCAAGGATCTCTTTAAAGCAAACAACAACAATAAAAAATACTATTGACCATAATACCTTCCTATCTTCTTCATCTTCTGACAAAAATTATTAAGCTTATCCATAGTCGCTCGTAGCCAAAAAAACATAATTTAAATGACTCTTCTGACATAGCTCAAGAATAGGTTTTAAATAATATTTTCAATTTAGATAATGAATCTCTCTTAAAATCAGTTTGGAGTATTTCCTATATCAAAACGAAAATTCAAGAAATAAAATCAAGAATAAAAGATAATTCTAAGAATCTCAGCTTATTTAATTCAGGAAATAGAACAGCTGTATTTGAAAATCTTATGGAAGCAAATACAAGAGAAAAGACTTTATGCTACTTGGCTTTATTCAAGAAATAACTTCAGATTTTATTGAATGCATATTTATTTTATATATTGATAATGCTATCTATAATCAGAATCTCCAAATTTTAATAAAATTGGGCTAGCTCTGGAAGCTTAAAATGGCTAGCTATTGGAACAGCAAGAAATGGAGGAGAAATTAAGTGGGACTATTTAGATAGCGATTTTTTATGTCATTTTCCTTTATATATGATCAGAAAAAGCCTTTCAAGATGAAGAAAGGTAGTAAAAGAACCATTTGCCAAGTATCAGTTCCATGCGAAGTAGGCAATAATTTTTATAACCCTAATTGAACACAAAAGCAATCAAGCAATGAAATTAAGACCATTACAAGCTAATAATGAAGATACATATTTTGAATGTGCAATAATAGCTGCGTCAATAAAAATGAAGAAAATATAAATCAAGAGTTTTTGTGAACAAGAAAAATCAGTTCATGATGCTATGAAGAAAATTGGAATAAAAGCAGGAAATGGATTCAATGATATTTGTCTTTATGACTGAAGGTACTGCTAAGTGCTTTGAAATTGTAGGCGTGCGCCACCTAATGTCTAAAGATAATTAATTATCATTGAATAATAGCTTAAAATTATTAATAATTAAATACAAAATAAATATGATTCATTTAAAAATCATGATAAGAATTTTAATTTTTGTTTATGGTTAAAAAATCAAGTTGCGATGCTAAATCAAGATGGAACAAAATAAATTAAAAAATCAAAATAAAGCTGCAAATATTCTTTATAAATACTTAAAATATATCATGTTTTGGATCAAAAACGCATGAGATGAATAAAAATTTTAATTTTGTAAAATCAAGATGGCTATAGCAAATAAAAAATAAAAATTCAAGCAGAAAGAAAAAACTCACTACAAAACTAATCCTTTAACTTTTGGCTAAGTATTTAAATTTTTTAAATTAATAAAAATATTTTCTTCTCTCTGGCTATAGAAATCCGGTTGGTCGCTAACCGTCCATTACATTTTGCTCGATAAAGAAATCAATATAGGAGTATGAGCTATTGTCAAGAATTCCTTAAGGCCTATGGTTTGCTATAATTCTGCACATGCTATACAATTTTTATCATCGTCTTGGCTTCATTTTCTATGTGAAGTTATAGGGATTAATGTGATCTCTGACTGAAGTGATGATTTATTTTTAACAAAATTTATTCAAGCTTTTCCAGAAATTGCTATACTTATCGCTCATGATTTATATGATATTAAGCTAAATTCAGGCCTCCCTGAACATTTGGGAACTTATTATCATAGGATGAGAGGGGGGACAAGTATAAAAAATTTAAAATTCTGACGCCAAGCAGTCAATAATCAATCAAAAAATCCAAAACTCTATGATTACGGGCCTGAATCCTCCATTGATAAGCAAGCAATACCATTAGAAAATTCTAATATCGGCCGGTTTAAATCCTAGCTAACGACAATTTTTTGCAATTAATAATCTGATATATAATTAATAATTATAATAATGAGATCTCTCGTTAATTATATTATACTTTAATAGCTCAAATATATTAAATACAATTTTTTTATAAATTATTAGATTTTTCATTTCAAATGTTAATAAATTTTGACTATGAAAATTTATTTATTTATAAAAATTATTCCGAGCAGAAAAAGTTTGCTCGCTGATCAAGGGAGAGTGAGGAAAATATAAAAAAATATGGAAGTTCAAATCCTCCAAGTATAAACTTTATGGATATTGAAACACCTTTAGCTGTAATTAACGGAAAATACGACCTTGCTGTGCCCCAAAAGGACTCACTTGTGTTGAAGGAGTCAATAAAAAAAGAAAAATTAGTGTTTTATCATGACGAGTATCCTCATGACCATGGGGGTTTAATGTTTTCTTGCAATATGACTTATTTCTATCAAGACGTTACACAGCTGTTGAAGAAATACTTAAGTCAATAGTTAAATAAAATACATAAGAAAGAATCTAATCCTATTAAGAATCATGAAATAATAATTTAAAAATTATTATTTTATTATTTTAAGTTATTTTGTAACTAAATTCGACATAACGCTCGAAATAAACATCGGAAACACAAAAATCATCGCCATACAGCACAATGCACAACAAATCGCAAGACAAATTTTCATCTTAAACTCAGGCCCACAAAGTTGGCTAATCATTTTTAGAGGATTCAAAGACCATTCAAACCTGCCTATTGGTGGCGGCAATTTAGGATCAACATTTGGCTCATTTCTTCCTTCTCCAACAGGACAGGCCTGTGCCCTCATCTCTGGCACCAATTCAAAACTAATCAGTACCTTTCCTCCATCCTCAAATCCTCCCTCTTTTCCTCTTTTTTTACAATTCACCCAGAATTTTTCGTTTTCCTCATTTAAAACTCTATCCTTCCACCCTTCTGCTGGGCCTTTTTTCTTAATTCTTCGATTTTCTTCAATAGCAGCTGCAGCTAATTCATTAAATTCAAAAGAAGTTTCTGCTATAAAATCATTTCTAGAAAAAATATCACGGTCCCATATTTGAATTGTGACGGTATTTTCAGGCTGGGGAAGCGAAATAGGGAATTTCATACGTCAGTTTCATGACCCTTTGCCGCGCTGGCAGCGGTAGTGGGTGTCTGTTTCTTTGTCTTTTTCTTGATTTATCCAGGCACGGACGAATAAGTCGCTGACTCCTTCAAAGTCCATGTTTTCGACGTCTTCGCAACGTCAGATAATAAGGCGAGCTTCAAAACTAGCTGGAGGACGGAGACTTATGTCGACTGGGTCAGGGATTATTGTGTTATAGTGGATTTCGACCCACATACGGACGTAGCCTTGAGGCCGCCGGGAAGCAGCTAGGTAGAGAGCTCGGGTTTCGATTGGGACTTCTTTTAGGGATCGCCATGTTTTGTTGAAAAATCGGTCTTCAATATCGATAATGGTGGTACCGATTTTAGAGTCGGGGAATACTTTATTATAATCCCACATAGACAATTTTAATAAAGACTGTCCGGGGATTGTTGTCTCGAAGTCATAGCATTTGTAAAACTTAGGGTCACATACATCTTCTTGGTGCTCCTCTCGGTTATTTATTACTCTTCCTCCGAGTTTTAGCTTAAAATAAGGATCTGATTTACTAACTCCTATCCTTTAATTGGAGTAAAACATCGGTAAAATTTACACTTTGTGAGTAAATTAAATGCCAAAAAGCAAATTACAGCAGCAGGATTCTCGATTTTCTTTCTAGAGAACAAAAAATTATTGCAAGTGGTAAATTTTATAGTGAAAATACTAATTTTTATATATATAGCTTTGAATTAATCTAATAGGAGAATTGTAACTAGAATATTATTTAAAACGCTTGCATATTGACTCTAACTTAACTTAATTTATTGTCGAGTAGCACCCAGCTAGCCATGCTGGATTTTCACATCCTTGCTTAGCTTCGATCTCTTACTTGCCAGACCGATTGCACGGCCTAAAGGTATCTGTTGCTTCCTCCTGACGATGGCTTGCACCCACAACCTGAAGGCAAAGATGCTGGGTCGCCCTACCGTACGTAAGTAGGGTTGTTTTTCCCGAAAATTCAAAAGTGAATTTTCCAGTCAGGCTATACCACGCCATTTTTTATATACATGACGCTTTGAGTCGATTAATTTTTAATTATTCTTTTAAAAAACTTAAAATTGAAAATTTTTTATTAAATTTTATATTTTTTATAATTTATTAATATTTTAAAATGCATCATGAAGAAAAATTCAATATAGCCCAGACGACATTAAATTGCCAGGAATTTGTTGGACTATATAATGATTTTTCAAAAAAAAATCACTAGAATTTTTTTTTTCCAATTTAAAAGGGGAGTAAAAGCGTCTTTTTGTTCAAGGCTCATAGCATCAATTATATAAACCCTTACCACACACTGGGTTTTCACCAATAAAGTCCTTGCAATAGTCTCAAAATCGGAATCTTCATCAGGAAAATCCTTATTCCCCATTAATCCTGTCAGATATCCAAACGGTTGCCACTTAGGTGGATAATCAATTACCCTTATCAGTGCTTTAAATTTTCCTACACATTCTACAGTCGATTTTTGGCCATCTTTTTCTTGATGTGTACTATGCAATGTAGGCAATTCATCAACACCTCTGCTTGCACCCCTTAAAATATCAAACTCTTCAAACGCCGACCGTTGAAAAGCTGGCGTTTTTTCCAGCTCATCATGCAAATAATACCGATAATGCTTTTTCCCATCATTTTGTTCACGATTATAGCCTATACACAAATAATTATCAGGGTTTGGTGGATAGATTTCTATCATTTTTTTGGACTTATTTTCTTTATATTGTGGCATGATAACAATTTTGTTATTATTTACCCATAATTAAAATGGGGAAGTACGAAAGAGATCTAATCGCCGTTTTTCAGCAAGGGTTACCGATTTTGGTGAAAGCTGCTGAAGTAGAATTCAGAGATTTAGTTCAGGGGAACTCCTGGACTCCTATTCACAATACCTGACTCCAGGTAGCAGGGAGATTAAGCTAATCGGCAAAATAACTCCATGGTAGGTTCCCCGTAAATTTAATTGCTCCTTGGCGCGCAAAGAGAAGCTGTTGCAGCACAATATCCGGAGACTCCCTCTGGGAAGTTTTTGTCTCGCATGCGTATAAGCTGGGGCAGAGTTTCGACCTGGTCCTTAGGGCATCAGCCAAGGTGAACCACTTAAACCTAGGTTTAGGTGGTACAATTTGAAGGACCTAACAACTGCATATCTGTCGCTCAGGACCCCGCTGATATTATTTATTAAGTCTTTAAGTCTATTATTTACTGCATCTTCAATGGTGATAACTTTTTCGCTGAATTTCGTAAAATCTTCTTTGATTTCTAGCTCGACTTCTTCTTGGCTGACATTAAAATAGCCTTTTGGGGACATATATTCGTCACTTCTAGCAGCTTTTATAGGGACTAAATGTTTAAAATCCTGTTTTGCTTCAGTTTCTGCATAGTCACTAAGGTCAACAGCTTCAAATTTAGGAGGGACTAGGATTTCTGGTTGGTTTTTTGCAGATTTTGGCTCAACAGAAATTTTTTCTTCTTCAATCCCAGGGCGATTTTGGGTTAAATTTGTAGTCACCCTCATAAACTGGTCTAGCAGCAGCTGTGATTTTCGGCTCTTTTGGGAAGAATATTTCCCTAAATCAATGCTAAAAGTCCCTATAAGCGGCTGTGAGAGCCCAGCAAATAAATTGTCACAGACTGTACAAGTAAGTACTGGGGCGTATAATGGATCTTCTGGTATTTTGCAACGGAATGATAATGTGGAATTTATATTAGGGTCTGAGCCACCTTCAAATGGCTGAGTTTGCAAAAATTTGACACCTTGGGACACTTCAGGTAATTCTAAAGAATTTAAATCAACTCTTACAAAAGCTTTTTTGACAGGCAAAAAGCCGACAGCAGGCTTTAAGCCTCTTAGTCCAAGAATATTTATTTCGACTGTTTTGTCTACAAATTTTGGAGTGATGTTAAATCTTGGCACTGACATTGGCCTAGCTAAGGTAAATGAGCAGAGGATAGCACCTTTTTCGGATTCTGGGGTGCCGAGATTTATAGGATATCATTTAGGCCTGGCGACAATTTCGGTATTTAAGGAAGCATCAGATAGATTGATTAATGCTCGTCCCATCATATCGTCTTTTGAAATTACGGGTATTTATTGAAATATTAAAATAATATTTTACAGGCTATTTTCCTTTTTCAAGATGGCTCATTTTGAAGAAGAAATTGGAGTTTAGTTGGATCGAAAAGTAATATTGTTTATAGTTTTGTAGATTTTTGTGGAATAATACCTAAAATATGTTTAATAGTTTATAGGGATTCATTGGGACAAAACTATTTGTAATTTTATTATCTTAAATAATACCCAAAATTACATCATAATCAAAAACTGAAAGTATCACAGGTGGTGCATCTTCAATTGTAGGTATCCTAATTTGCATTGGGAAAGTTTCATATCACCTCGGATTCAAAGGGAGAACTTACTAAACTTGCGCTAAAGGGTGCTGAAAAAGTAAAATGATAGCAAAAAAATTGGTTTTTTTGCCAAGAATTGCTAAAACAAGCTTAAATGTCAAAAAACACCAAAAATGTGGCAAATGTTTGCAAAAATCGGTAACAGTGCCGAAAATAGCAAAATTTAGCTTTTTCTTTAAAAAATGTCCAAAAAAAAACTATTAAAAATTTAATATGAGCAGAGCTCTACAACGTATTTTCTTGTATCATAGTATATATAGATTTAAGAAGAAAAGCTCTTTATATATTGAAAAGTTAAAAGAAATTTGCAAAATCTCTTTAAAATAATCTTTTCGTAGAAAAAATAAAAATTCAAAAATTTTCCTTCTAAGATAAGATCTTTTAATATTACTATGCACGAAATTTGGTTTGATGAGACTATATAAAAATGAATGCTTATGAAAAATCATAGATAATCAGTGCTAACTAATATTGAATAAATATAAAGACTAATTCCTGTGAATTTATAAACAAGCCTTAGTTTTTTTATATTATTTATACTTGCAGTTTCGATAATTATGCACAAACTCTAAATAAAAGCATAGTATAAAACAATTGATTTCTATACGAACACGATAGCATGCACTATATTCAATAGCATTAAAAGATACAGAGAAAGCAGAAAAGAGTGAGATTACAATAGAAATCCCAAATATTAAGATTTTTGAGTTTTAATTCCAACAATACCAATTATAGTTAGTGACACTGGCTGGCACGGGGTGCTTTTGGCTCAGTTTCGAGCCAAAAGCACCCCGTGCCAGTCAGTGTCACTGACTATAAATGTTTTTAATGTAAAATATATATCTAGATTTTTATTTTAATAAAAATATCTATCAACATCAGCATTCTAATTCAATAAAGCATTAATAGCAGTTTTTTACAGTTAATTTTGAAGCTTCATAGCCAAATGATTCATTTTATGATGTTTTATTACTCTATTTTTATTTGAATAGAATAAGACTATAAAGTATTCTATTTTGTGTATTTTTTTGGAATTTTTTTTTAAGAATGAGACAAATTTTCACTTGCTAATTAAATAGATTTATTTTATATACTATATCATTTAATATCTTCTCTGTATAGCTTTATTTTTGAAGCTTTGAACTGCCTCTTGGCTTCTTATAGTATAATTAGTTAAAGGTTTAATGGCAAAACCAATCCCATAATAAATATAGGATGCGAAGAAAAGTTCTCTGAAAGAACTTATCCAAAACACCATTTTATTATAAAACAATTTTTATAACTTTATTCGCTGTTAGCGATTTTATCAAGCATTTGACACATTTTTGGCACTTTTTGGCTTTTTTTGAAGTTTTTTTGCTTGCTTTAGCAAATTTTTGCCAAAAAATAATTCCTTTGCTAATCTTTTAGCGCTTATTAGCACCTTTAGAGCAAGTTTAACAGTTCTCCGATTCAAAGTTTGCTCTCTTGGTTTATTTTTTGTACTAACTTCCACCCCTGCACAATAAATGACTAAATAAGGATCAGAAAGTCCAACCCCATCAGCAGCTGGCAAATCTCTAGCTTGAAAAACATGTGCAAGCAGCACCCAATCCTCCATTTTTGGCTTAATTAATTTTTGGTCCCAATTCCCAGTTCTCAGTTCATCATTATCATTATCAAATAACCCAATATAAATCCTTACCCTTAAAAATCCAGCCTTTCAGTTTTCTTTAACTTTACCGATAGATTTATCAGGAATTAAAGATACCCATTCTGCCTGAGAGTTTTTATTTATACAGGCTGATGGTTTTATCCTGGCATAGCAAATTCTTTTGTCTTCATATACTAAATATATAAAAACATCAGGCAAATCTTTTTCAGCTAAATTTGGGACCATACAGATTTGACGTTTTAGGGTTTCATATCAGTCAATTGAGGCGGTTTCAGTCTGCTGGAGACTTGATATTGATTCTACACCAGATCAGCTTACAACGACAGAATATTTGCCTTTTTTGAATGGTAAAGCGTTTCCACTGAGAATCTGGGCACGAATTTCGAATTCTTGGCCGACTTCAAAAGTGTCTCGGATTTTTATTTGGATGTTAGGTTCTGAAATTTTTTGGGTTTTTTTGTAAGTTTCAGAAACGCCATCTTCGACTCATTGACGAAGCAAAACTCGGCCTCTTCATGTAGATGCGTGCTGAGGGACATGGTTCATGAATTCAGCAGCTTCACCTTCAGCTAGAGGAGGTGCGCCATATATATTTGCCCAAAAATAGTCTTTATAAAGGCTTTTGTATTTTTTATTAAAAAAAAAAAAAAATTTCTCTCTGCAAAGATTAATTTGAAAAAAATATATATATAAAAAAAAATAATTATAAAGCCCTCTTTTGATTTTATCAAAGCTGAATATAACACTTCCTACTAAATCGTCTGCGCTTGTGCTATCATAATCCCAAAATGTCAATGACATTGTATTGGTAACAGATGGCACCAAAACAGGTAAATAAATTTCTTCATATCAATATGCACTGAGTGTAGCTTTGTCTGCAGCTTGTGTGCTTGTTTTAGATTCAGCCCCCGCAAATCTTGCGACGCAGTATGCGTCAAGGGTCCCTCCTGTATCCATGATAGGTAAACTTTCTGCTTTTAATATCTGAGTTATCAATTGTACTGTAACTGGTTTTACATGTGGAGGCAGTAGCATTTCTTTATCTTTTATGCTCATATCTTCTCTTATTGCTAAATCAACAGCTTTATCATCTTCATAAAGTACAGAAACCCCAATTTTTAAATATCCTCTGACAACGTCAAAATTTTCATCTTCTGGATTTGAAAGGACGACCCATCTATGAATTATTGCATGGTCTTTTTGTGAGTATATGTAGACCATGATTTTTATAATATTTTGCTAAAAAATAATTTTTTAATTTTCAATAAATAAAAAATGTAGACCATATCAATTTCATGAACTCCTAATAAAGCATCTTTTCATAGTTTATTGTGATCACGAACTTCTATTGTGATCCTTTGATCTTTAAATTCTTCAGGATGGATATTTTTTCCTTCAATAAAAATATGCTCTCCTCAATACACAATTGAAGATCCACCTACATCGTTTAGCGCCTTTGTGGATTTTTGTTGATTAAAAGCAGTAACTGCGATAACAGGATCAGATGTATCTGCACCGCCAGGAGGCATTAAAGCGCGCCCTTGCTCAATGAAAATATGAACCATGTAGTCTCCTAATTTCATACGAATATTGCTGGGCTGATTATTTTCATTTATAGTAATTGCCCGAGGATGGCGCTATCTTGCGCCATCCTCGGGCAATTCAAAAATGGCCCCACACTGGGAATTGAACCCACGTGTGGGGCCATTTTTTAGTTAGTGGAGAACATCGACTTCCACGCACCAAAAATGGCCCCACACGTGGGTTCGATTCCCGGTGTGGGGTCATTTTTTAAATTGCCCGAGGATGGCGCAAGATAGCGCCATCCTCGGGCAATTACAATATATCATTTTCAGGCTTTTCTTTTGCATTTGTGTCAGACTGTTCTGGCTCTTTTTTAGCTGGATTCTTGTCTGACATTTTTGTCGCTTTTTTAAATTTAAATAAGAATTTAATTTTTTCTTGCATAAAAACTTAAATCAAGATTTTCCTGGGAAATTTTTGCCTTTATTTAATTTTATTTAATTACAATAACTTTCGAGGAAAAATTATCTTTAAAAAGCTTAAATTTTGAACTTTATAATAATTACACTTGTCTCCACCTAATTTGTATAAAAATATCAAACCTCAAAGCATTAATAAATATTTCGCATTTATTATGACCAAAATTCTTGATATAGATGATCAAAATTAGGCAGATTTGCAGAAAGATGGGCTTCAGGGAATGATAATAGTCTCTCTCTATAGCTTGATCCAATCAGGTATTTATCTGAAAAAGCTGAGTCTGTCTTTGCTGACAATGACTGGTTGCTTGAGTTAAGAAATCTGCTACTGCAAACCTCTTCTGAGTCATCACTAAAATCGTCATCATCAAGGACATTTAAATAAGATTGGGTTCTTGGCACAATGCCATTTGGTACAACGGTGTTCATTCTTTTACTATAGCTTATCCACCATACTAGATCACTATAGCCAAGCTAAATCCTGATAAGAAAATTATGATAATAATAAAATGGCTTCGGCGGATAGGATAATTCACTCAGTGAATTCCCTCTCCTTCTCACCCGCTTTTATTATTATAGGGTTAGGTTTTTACACGTGGACTTCTGTACAAGGTGGTGTAAAATGGCGAGGACCTTTTATCTCGCCAGCCTTATACAGCGTGTTTTACCTCTTTCCCCTGCTGATATAAAAGGCAGGACCCTTAGGCCGAACAGGCGCTGGAGGAAAGTCGGACAGAGCGAGGCAACGCGCCAAGCCGCTAGTGTTTCCCGTACTTCTGGATTCCCAAATGACTTCACGGGGATTAGAAGGAGCGAGCCGTACAGCGAGGCCCGACTCGAGTACGCGAGTAGCGACAAGACGGAGAAAAAATATGCCCTCGTGGCATTGTGCATCTAGGGGCCCAACTAGAGGTCGAGTTAAATTAAAGTAATTAAGTAAGATAAGAAAATTATGATCTATATATTAAGGATCTAAAACTATAAATGCAAATTTTTTAAAAAAATTTTGCTAAGGACAAGTATCATTTAAAAAAAAAAATGTCCAATAAGAATATAGTAAAACGGAAAAGGTATATCAAATCCTCTTTGGGTTGGATGCCGAGTTGATATCTGTTGAAGATGGGTATTTATATGTAAAAGCATGTTGTCATTACCTTTTCATAATTCTTCAGGAGATCTGAACGAAGCGCTTGAATTCAGAGGCGTCGCGATCAGTTTGCCATCTTTTCGCTTTCTTCGCCTTCCACATGATTCTTTTGCTTCTGATAATTTAAATACTTTTGAGGTCATTTTTTTCTTAATTCATTTTTCACGCATTTTGCTGGGGTTGTATTTTTCTGCAATTTTGTCACATTTGATTGCGGTGTGTCCTAACTCGTTGCATAAATAACAATTTATGCCTAATGGGATATATCGAGTTTTGTCGTCTTTTTGGCATAAAGTTTGCAATAAAAGTGTCCTTTGAAAAGCGTCTGGTTTTAACTTGATTAGGCTGTCAAGCTCTTCGCGGCTTAAGGTCATCATATCACAGAATGCCACACAACGGGCACTTGCTGTTCTGACTTGTCGAGTAAAAAACCCAATTTCTCCAAAATAAGTGTTATCTGACAGCTCTTTAAAAACTGTGTTCGTTTTTTCATGATAAATTTCTGCAATCCCAGATGTATCATTCATTGCAATAAATATTCCCTGAAATTTATTTAATAAATTTAATAGTAATTCAGCTTGCTATAGTATAATAAAATAAATTATTGATTCATTTTCTCCTTGTTTAAAAAGAATGTCTTCAGGTGCAAAATTTTTTAACTGCAAAAGCTTGCTGATTTCATTTATCAGCTTTGTACCATATAACTGCTGAAAAATTGTGCATATTCGTAGCTGCTTTCCTCTGGTGACTCCTAAAATATCTTCTCTAAGAGGAGGCGAGAGAATTTTTAAAACTTCCATTTCTTTAAGCTCAGAGTCAGCTTTTGAAGACCTCACATAATCCATGTAAGTCCTAACTTTATATTTAAGTAAACTAGGCAATTTCTTTGTTTTCATAAAATTATTTAGATTTACTATCTCCACACAAGATTTTTGATGATTAATGGCATTTTATGGTAAAGACCTATATAATTTTATATAGAAAAATTTTTTTAATTTTTTTAAGCTCTAAAGAAATCTTAATTTGCAATAGAAATGATATCAATAATTTAATTTATTAGAATCTGTCTAAGTTTTTCAAGATTAAACTTTTAAGTAAATTAAGTATCCAAAAATTATATTCGAAAAAAAAGTTTACTATACTCACAGTGAAGTAAATGGTTCCTTCACACGACGACTATTTCATAACGACTATTTTTTTTTGGCCTATTTTTTTTTGGCCTATTTTTTTTAGCTATTTTTTTTTGGCCTATTTTTTTTTGGCCTATTTTTTTTTGGCCTATTTTTTTTTAGCCTATTTTTTTTTTCACCTATTTTTTTTTGGCCTATTTTTTTTTTTCACCTATTTTTTTTCACCTATTTTTTTTTCACCTATTTTTTTTCACCTATTTTTTTTGGCCTATTTTTTTTTGGCCTATTTTTTTTTGCCTATTTTTTTTTGGGCCTATTTTTTTTTGGCCTATTTTTTTTTGGCCTATTTTTTTTTTGGCTTATTTGTTTTTGGCCTATTTTTTTTAGCCTTTTTTTTACCTAGCCTCATTCATGAAGCTGCTGAGAGGACTACAACCTTATTGAGAAACAGAGACTTTTTCTTACGCGATTAAAATTGAGTAAATTAAGTGAAAAACTCCTAATTAAATCTAAAATTTTCGAAATTCAAAAACAATGAATTAGTATTTATTGAGTACGAAATCTGTTAAGGGTGCATTTTTTGTTGGTTAAATAGTTTAAAGCACATTAAAAATTATTTTAAAACAATTAGTATGGAATTATGCCCAAATATTAGTAAAAAATAGTTAAAAAATTGTCAAAATCGGCCAAAAAATAGGCCAAAAAAAAAATAGGCCAAAAAAAAAATAGGCCAAAAAAAAATAGGCCAAAAAAAAATAGTCGTTATGAAATAGTCGTCGTGTGAAGATACGGAAGTAAATATTCCATAAGCTTAGCTCTTTCCTCAGATTTTTCAACTACAGTTTGACTGATTCTACTTTCAATATATGAAAAAATCAGCACTCCTGTGCTCATAATAATTATACAAAAAAATTTTTCAGACTTTGTATAAGGCAAAACATCCCCATACCCAATGGTAAATAGTGTGGTTGCTGCAAAATATAGAGCTTGAAAATAGTATTCAACTAAATCGGTTGGGCCTCGCAAATCTGTTGACACTTTTATTCAGGTTTTTGGAACGTGAAAGGAGTCTAGATATGAAAGATAATATCATGCGCATGCTGTGTAATGGTTTACCAGTGCTCCAATCAAAAATAATTTGAAGAATTTGAATCATTCGTCAGCCCGAGTATTTATGGCTAAGTTTGATATGTGATCGATTATTCCTTTCAATTTAAAATATCTTACTCCTTCTTCTTGTGAATACTATAAGAAAAGCCCTTTTTTTGGAAATCAGCCTGTGAGCAAAGTTTTTTTTTTTTTTAATATAAATTATTTTTATAAAAATATTTTAATATAATAATGATTATTTCAATGAAATCTCTATTAAATTTAAAGCAGCTTGCTTTTTAAGCATAAATTTTATATATTTTAATTTTTTGCGAAAATTGAAAAAAATATTGCAAAAGTTAGCAGTTGTAAAGTTTGAATATATACAATAAATCTGCCATCTTCAAATAGCCCAAAATCATGAGACCTCTGAGCTTCATCAGACTCTCTTTTAAAAACAGCATCAAATGGGAAACAAGCAAATATATCATATATCAGCCAAGTCTTAAGATACTTAATCGCGATTTCTCTCCTAGTGCAAATTAAATGCCCGTTTTCATAAAATGCTGTGTTGAATTTTAAAAGCACCTCAAAGTAAAATAAAAAGTTAAGCAGCCCATTTACCTTTCTCCATTCTGCGTAAGCAGGGTCCTCAAAACAGATAAGATAAGGAATCGTGATGAGCTGCATTATAATAAAAAGCCCATGAATTGCATCAAAAATAATTTTGTAAATGCTTTCAGGACTTAATATGAATCGGGACTTTTTAGGGATAATTCTTGAATAAGTAAATACATAATTTGCATTTTCCACTGTAGTTTGTCGTATTGGAAATCATTCATCAACCTCTTTGTAATCCTCTGTTTTTGTGCTTTGATGAAATTTTTGGTAGGTGATGTGATAGTCAATTAGAGAAGTATCGGAATATCTTCTTTTGATTATAGGGGCTTCCCCTAGATAGCTCTGTAAGGGCTGTGGATTATGGGAGGAATCCTTTGGTTGGTGGAACCAAAAAGTGAGTTGGCCGGACCAACTGAAAGATTCCGCCCAGAATCCACAGCCCTTATAGAGATATCTATGAAAACCCTATATTCTTTTCTTGGACTCATTCATTTATACATTAATTAAAACTTAATCGAAGGATAATTCAATATTGAAAATTAAATTGACACCAAACTGATAGAAGTACAATACGAAGCAGTTATTGGTCATTCAGTCTGCCATTAAATTTTTTATGAAAAGGAGAGAATAAAAAAGAAGCACGCTCTGATAGATTTAAATTTATTTGGAATAAAAATATAAAAAATTATGGATTTTTTGCGGAATTTAGAAGAAAAGAGGATGAAAAGATAAATTAAGAATATTAAGGAAGATTGTAAACGAGCGGCTAAAGTGATTGCTGCTTATTTTGAAAATCAAGTTAAATGATTATCTAATATGGCTTAAAAAATCATAAATAAAAAAGTTAGTAGGATTATAGCAAGTAATATACGTTTTTGCTAATTTTTGCTAGATTGTTGTGCATCAATTTAGAGGTAAAAATCATTTTCGCCTTCTGTGTTTTTTTCTTATTCCGTTACTTATAATTTAATTTTTTATTGTATTTAAGTAATGTTTTTATATACACGAAAAAATTTATTTATCTGATTCCTCTTGTATTATATGGCTGTTTTAAATTAAATACCCCACAAATGATTTTATGAGTGATTTTTTTCCTTATCGTTATAAAAAAGAATAGTCGAATCCAAAACCTTTATTTTGCTTGGTAAAATGGTAAGTTTCTTCATATCCTTGATAATTTCCATAAAATTGTGGGCCACCCCCCAGATCAGGGTCTTCTTCTCTAGCATTATTTTTTTGGATTTTTTCAGCTGGTCTTTTCAAAAAATCAACAAACTGGTGGCTTGTATAAATATTTGGAAGCTGTCTTGCAGACTGATGGTTAGAAAAATCCCCTGAATCATTATCCTGATGTGAAAACTCTTGATAAATCTGCTGCGGCTTAGGAACAGCAGCTCCCCTGCTAAAAACCCCTCTGCTTTGTCCTCTTTGTATCGAATTATCATGAGAAATTTCATACGAATAAAGTGGCTTTACCGCTTGTTTCTTTTTGGCAGGATTATTTTTCACCCTTGGCGTTAATTTTTGGTCTTCTTCTTCATAAATATTAAACATCACTTCTTCGCTTTTTTTTTTATTTCTTCTCTCACCAAACACCCTGATCCCTTCTTTGCTTTTTTGCCTTTCTATTTTTAGTTCAAATTCGTTTTGATATATAACTCCAGGGGTATCAAATTCATTAGGATCTGACATAAAAGGGCTTGCCCTTGTTTTTGAGCGCTGATTGTCACGGGTTTGAATATTTCTGATGGATTTTAAGTCACCTTTGTTATCTGTAGGGTGAACTGAGCCTGAATGGTAAGGCTCTTTGTGAAGAGGAGGGGGAGATGCGGACTGGTCTTCTTTGATTTTTATAGTCTTTTTGGCATCTGTAGGGGTGCTTGAAGGGAGAATTTGGCGGTTTTTTATTTTTGATGTAAATGAAGAGCCTGTTAGCTGGTTTACAAAAATGTGAGGCTGATATAAACCAAGGCCTGACCTTCCACGAAATTTGCCAAGCTCACTTTGAGATACTAGTGAAGTCATAGGCCGAGCTTCAGATTCTTCTCGAATTCCGTTGAAAAATGGGTGCAGGAGAGCTTCAGAAGAATTCATTCTTTTGTTTGGGTCCATCTGTAATAGAGAGTTCATAAAATTTAATGCTACTTTGTTGAGTTTTCCTAACTTGCCTTATAAATTTGTTTTTTTTAATAATTTCTTATAGAAGCATATTTATTTTTAAAAAAAAATAAGGAGTAAGTATCTTTTCTCCAAAGTTTCCACCTTTGAAATCTCAGGAAATTTCAGCCCTATAAACCTCGGATTTTTCTGAAAAGATTCTTGCTGCTCTGGTGTCAAACTTCCTATCATTTTTTGAATCAAATAAAGCTGATCAATCTCGTTTTCACCTGGAAATAGTGGCTGACCATCTGTAAGTTCTCCCATAATGCATCCAATCGCTCACATATCTACTTCTCTTCCATATTCATGTCCTCCTAATAGCAGCTCAGGAGATCTATACCACCTTGTTGCTACATAATCAGTTAAAGCTCCTCCTTTCTGTGGAGCAGTTCTTGCAAATCCAAAATCACATAATTTCAATGTATGGGAACTAAATAATTTTTACATAGAAATGAGGAGGTTTTCTGGCTTGATGTCTCTATGAATAATATCTTGTTTGTGGCAATAATCAATAGATTTGCATAGTTGATATATGCTTTTTATTAAAATTGTGCTAAATTGTTATCTATTTTTCTATCAAAATATTTTTTTACGAAATAGATTATATAAGACCTGATTTTTTCGACCTATGTAAAATTTACGTCTAAACCACTATTATTTTCTTCTAAAATTTCAAGAAGATTTTTATCAACATATTCAAAGACCAAATATAGCTTGCCTTTTCTTCTGAACGCTTCTTTAAGCTGCACAATGTTTTCATGCTTTAGCATTCGCAGGATTTTTACTTCCCTAATGGTGGTTTTGCGGATTGTTTCATCTTCTTCAGAATCTTTGAATTTTTTTATTGCAACAATTTCACCTGATTCTTTGTTTTTGCATTTTAGAACAACTCCGTAAGCACCTGGATAGGAAATTACCTTCGCCGACCACACCTATGACTTCATACTTATTCATTTTAAAAGTTGAGATTTTTTGATTAGAAAATCAGTTTTTTGGGAGTTAAATTGCAGAGGAATGTAATAAGAAAATAAATTTGGGAATATTGAAATTTGTGAAAATTAAAATAATTAAGGGTATTGTCATGGTTAATAGCAGGCCGATGAAGATTTTGTAAGAAATGAAAAATTAAATAAGAAATTGATTCTTCTTAAAGTGGATTTTATTCGATATAAATAGGAAACAAATTTCTGAAAATTTAGATTACAGAGATATAGGGCATACCTCTCTATAGATCTCTGAAGATAATGGCCTATTAGAAAAAAATATTTTGACACACTTTGCAAAAATCAAAAAAAAAGTCAAAAATAAAATTTAAAAATTTCATTTTATATCTCTTAATTGTCTTGGCTTTTCAGGTTTTTATAAAATGTCTTAATAATTGCTTCTATTAGGGTATTTGTCCTCAGTGATCTATTAAGATGTGCGCGTTATACAGACTAAGTTGGAGATTGGAGAATATTTTGCAAATCTATTAAAGGAATTAATTATAATATTTAACTATAAGTAGCACTGATAATAATATTAATAAGAATGCATAACGATTATTTATTATTTCTTTGTGTAAAGTTGCTTTATGATAATCATTACCTCACCAATTTAATTTATTTTCTTTTTAATTTTTAAATATTTCTTTTAACCTACAATAAAGTCTTGCTGAGTCTCCTCATTTATAAATAAAACTGAATCCTTCAGATTTTAAAGAACTCCTATGCTATAAATCTCTTATTTAATGAAAATTTGCGAATTCCTTCGAATTTCAAGTGACATAATAAATGTCTACCAATCCCGGCACTGAAAATTTTGAAGTTCGTGGTGATATCCCTCAAGCGCGCTTTGGTGATTTCTAATCAGGTCATACAATAACTTTAATTACAAAATCTAAAGCAATTTTATTTGGAGGCGCAACTGGAGATACAGGAAAATATTCGATCACTGGCGATACATATTGTCTTGATCTTGCTACAAGAATTTGGACGAAACTGGATCCAAATGGGTCAGTGCCATCTCCTAGGGCAGCTCATGCATCTTCTATAGTTGAAAATATGCAGCTTGTAGTCTATGGAGGCTCAACAGGTGGAGGAAGTCTTGCAAGTGACGATTTATTGGGTATTTGATTAATTTCTAGCTAAAAAACAATTTTTTATAGAAAAATGTATTATAAATGCATTTTTTTATTAAAAATATATTTACCGTAGAAAAGAATATATCTACTTGATCTTAGAAATGGGGAATCGGCTGCTAGCTGAATGATAGTCCCTGTTATAGGAACAACACCTGGAAGACGATATGGCCACACTCTGCTATTTTCTAAGCCTCATTTGCTGCTATTTGCTGGGAATACCGGCTCAGAAACAGTAAATGATGTTTGGTGCTTAAATGTTGAAAGGTCTCCTTTTTCATGGCAGAAGATAGAAATCATTGGTGATCAACCGAATGCAAGAGTTTATCATTCAGCAGCTTTATGTGTGACTGGTTCTGCATCGGGTATGATGGTTATTTTTGGTGGAAGGACTGGAGATCAAATGCCCTTTTTAATTTATTGCATAAAAACTTCTAAAGGAATATTTTTGCAAAAATATAAAAAACGATCAAAGTGCATTAAATGACTCATGGGGCCTTCGACGACATCGTGATGGTCGCTGGGATTGGGTTCGGGCCCCTTATAAACCTGGAGGAATTCTTCCAACTCCTCGATATCAGCATACTTCTACCTTTTTAGACTCCGTTATGATTGTAGTAGGAGGGCGAACAAATAGGGTCGGAGAAAGTGTAGCTCTTGAAGTATATGACACTGACAGCTCAGAATGGTATCGTTTTCCTTCAATTTTACGTTTTCGACACTCCTGTATCAGCTTAGATACTTTATTATGCAAGTTCCCGATGATGGCGCATTGAGCGCCATCATCGGGCAACTAAAGGTTAGGGTCCACACTGGAAATGGGTTCCACGTGTGGAGCCCTTTTTGGCATATGAAGTGTGGATTCCAACGTGTCAAAAAAGGTTCCACACGTGGAACCTATTCCAGTGTGGACCCTTAAAGCACGTTGCCCGATGATGGCACATTGAGCGCCATCATCGGGAATTTCCTATATATATCCACGGAGGTTTTGAGCACGATACTCCTAATATTCCTACATCAGTGATTACAAGGGTAGACACGTCAAAACTTTTCGCTGGCTTCGATAATTTATAATAATTTAAAAGAATATTAACCATTGCAATAATAAATTCTTTATATTTAAATTTATCAAATATAGCATAGTCCCAAAAAACAGCCAAAGAAGCTCCCCAAAGCCTCAAGAATCCAGACCATTGCCTCCACCTCCAGCAGACCAAGACCCAAAAACTCGGCCTGGGATTATCCCAGTCATCACATCTACCACAGAAAGAGGCAACCCTTTGCATAACATTTTCATAAACCACCTACTGCGACCATCTGAATGAAACACTCCTGCAAACACAAGATTTAGCTTCAGAAAAGAACATATTTTAGCCCTTGCTGAAGAATGTGAAAACATCATAAAAAATCAGCCAATGGTGCTCAGACTAAGAGCCCCAATAAAAATTTTTGGAGACGTCCATGGCCAATATGCAGATTTAATGAGGTTTTTTGACCTTTATGGATGTCCTTCAGAAAAGAAAAAAGATGGGGGAGATATTGATGGATTTGATTATTTATACCTTATTAGACTAATATTTTATACTATAAAATATAGCTTTATTAATTATAAATTTAAATAGATGAAGGATATTTATAGGAGATTTTGTAGACCGAGGGTCTCATTCATTAGAAACAATTTGTCTATTAATGGCATTAAAATGCAAGTATCCTAACCAAATGCATATGATTCGAGGAAATCATGAAGATAAATGGATAAACAACACCTTTGGGTTTGCAGAGGAATGCCAAATACGTATAGGAGAAGATCCAAACGACCCGAGAAGTATTTTTGCGAGAATTAATAGGCTTTTTGAGTATTTGCCTTTAGCAGCTGTCATTGAAGAGAAAGTGATATGTCTGCATGGAGGGATTGGAAGTACATTAAGGACAATAGACCAAATTGAAGCGCTGCCAAGGCCATTAGAAGTTGTGCATGAAGTTACTAATGACCAACAACAGTTAGTTGTGGATATTTTGTGGAGCGATCCTACAGATTCTGACCAAGAAATATATTATTTTATATAATCATTATAAAATTGATAAGAAAATAGGATTTTTTTAGATTAAAAATTGGCGTATGTCCTGAGGTAAAAAATAAAATATTTATGTAGATATGCATAGGAATCCAGGCTAATGTTATAAGAGATCCTAATGGGACTGGAAATATCGTAAAATTCGGCCCTGACATTGTAAAAGAATTTTTAAATGCTAATGGTCTCTCAAAAATTGTAAGAGCTCACGAATGCGTTATGGACGGGTTCGAAAGATTTGCAGGAGGAGATCTAATTACAGTCTTTTCAGCAACTGACTACTGTGGGAGGCACAAAAATGCGGGCGCTGTGCTGTTTTTTAAGAAAAATTTTGAAATTAAGCCAAAATTGATATACCCTGTAGACAATCCATATGGCTCAAACTGGATTGAAAGCGAAGATGCATTGAGAAAAAGACCGCCAACGCCTCCTAGATGGAGAATTAATGAACAAAGAAGAGTTTCTTATGATTAAATAAAGATAATAATGATAAAGATTTTTCTTATTAATAATTATCATAATTTTGATTAACACACCTCTTTTGATTTAAGGGTTTAAGCCTTCCATTTAACGCCAAATATCACCTTATTTGCACGAACTTCTGCCCCCGCTTCGGGATCACCGCTCCTTCTTCGCGTTGTGCACCACGTCGGTATCAAGACTGAATGGTCCCTTGGCTTTGGCGTTCGGATTTCGACTATCCTTTCAAACTCTTCGGGTCAAAAGACGCTCCTGGACTTCCTTATCTAAGCCTTCCCTTTCCATGAGGTAAAATCTGATCTTGAAAAGGTACTTGGATCAGGCTCCGCTCACTACCGGAATTGCTTATATGATATTGCTGTCCATTTCTGAGTTTGCAAAACCTTGCCTTATATAATTAAATAATTGCTCTAGGCATCATGGTCAGAAGACCATACCGGGCTGAGACACTATATTTAATTATCATATTTTGATTAACAATCTATAAAAATTAATTTTTAATAAAAATATCATGTCACGGTGCTCGAATCAAAGTTGCCAAATACAGCCTATAGTATTTTGCAGTTGTAATAATCAAACTTATTATTGATGCGAAAATGATTACTTTAATCACACTCAAGCATGTCCTCATGAACTCCATAGCACTCAACTCCTTAAGCCTATCAATTCAGAAGCTCATAGCAGTCTTTTAAATAAAATAATCGAAGTTAAACTAGAAACTGAAAAAATCATAGTCGAAGTCAATGCAGAAACTGAAAAAAGTGTCCAAGAACACTCACGAATTATCAAAAAAGCTCTTAAAGCAAATAAAAGACTGACCAAAGAAATGGATTCTATAGCGTGTGCGCCCCTATAGATTTTCAAGGAAAAGCCCTTCAAAGAAAAAAATTATTTTGAAATTCCAAAAAAATTTCCAAAAAGTCAAATATCAATTTAAAAATGCCATATATATGTCTATTTGTCAATTTGAAAATTGACTTTTCATAAATAAAATGGCATTCGGTTCGAGAGAAATTAGCTTTGCTAATTTTCTCTCCCTCATGGAATTTTATTTATAGGGTTAGGTTTTCACTCGAGAACTTCTGGGCAGCAATAGCGGTTTAACTCTGGGATAACCAGAGGAACTGCTCCTCAGTCCTCTCAAGATTTCGGGCTTTTACCTCTCAGCACATCCCCACGGAGGATGACCCTTAGGCGGAACACGCGCAGGAGCTGAGTCGAGCGACAAGAGCGACGGCATCGCGCCGGGTGAGACGTGCAGCAAGGCTGGTGAAGCAGGAGTTGATAGAAGGCTTGGCCAGGGCTGACCTGTTCCAAGATGGCTCGCCTACGTCACTAGTTTTGCCATAGGCCCTTTTGGGCTGCGGCACTAGACACCTTAAACACCAGATAATTAAGTAAGTAAGAAAATTGACTTTTCAGATTTTTCCTTAATTCAAAATTTAAATTTTTTATATAAAAACACTTGTCCTCAGGGATCTAAAATGAGGCTTGCGCTATATCGTAAATCAATGCGAAAAAATCATTAAAATAATAAGTGAGCCAGTTATAAATAAAAGCTTTTATAGCCCTTTAGAATATATTTTGATAAATGACATTTCCAAATCAGAACATATTATAAACGAAATCCAGCCTCCAAAAATTGTATTCCTTTTAATAAGTCCTTAAATTGATATTTTTCTTGAAATTCCATTTTTTTAGCCAAAAATGCTATTTTCTTATTATCCAACACAGAATAGATATTCAATTAGTCCAAGGCTTATGGGAAAAAGTAAAAATAAAGACTTCATTTTTTAGCTACTTATTAAATACTTATTCAGCATATTCTATATATGTCAAAAACGAAAGTGATGGCCATCAAGCAGTTGTAAGAGCTAACAGATCTGGCAGTGTTTCTTATATGAATCATAATATTGAACACCATTCACGCTTTTTATTTGTCAGTCCTCATGAAATTATGATCACTGGAGGCAAAAAAGCTGAAAACGAAAACCAATGCTTGCTTCTTGATACTGAAAATAACCAATTTTCGTCTAAACCAAGTTTAAATGTTGGAAGATATTGGCATTCCTGTGTTCTTTTTAAAGGCTGCCCTGTTGTAATTGGTGGACATTATCAAAGCGATGCTTTAAGCTCAGTAGAGATGCTAGAATTTGACAGATGAAAAGTGATGCCTTCTATAAAAAATCCAAGATGGTCTGGTGCAGCATCTTGCGTATTTGATAAGATTTTTCTATTTGGTGGAAACTTTAAAAAGCCAGTTGTTGAAGTATTTTATGAGGCTAAAAATGATTGAGAAGAAATAGATATTGAGATCTTAATCTTAATTAATTTATAACGTTTTTTATGTCCACTACGAGGGAGCCTTGTCCAGAGCTACCACCATATTTGTCTACGTGTCGACCCATGGACTTTTGGATCGATCCACTTTGATTCACCAAGGCATGGGCAAGTACAGTGTTCCGGCTTCGACGGGCTTCGCTGCAGCCACGGCTTTATTTCGACTCAGCTCCTGCGCATGTTCCGTCTAAGAATCACCTTCCTCGACTGAGGGTAAAGACCTGAGCCTCTTGAGCGCACTGAGGAGCAGTTCCTCTGGTTATCCCCAGAGTTAAACCGCTATTTTTGTTCAGAAGTTCTCGAGATAAAACTCAACTCCATAAATAAAATTGCTTGAGGTAGAGAAAATTAGCGGAGCTAATTTCGGTTGAACCGAATGCCATTTTATTTATATAGATATTGAGATCAGCTATAGAATTAGCCCAGGAGTTATAGGTCTTTATGGAGATAATCTTTTGATTTTTGGAGGCAAAGCAGGCGACAATTTCATAAACGAAGTGGTTAAAGCTGATCTTGACTCAGTCCCCTTCTTCCTGTTCCATTTTAAAGAGGTTTTTTTTAAAAAATAATAGTAAAAAATTCATAATAAAATAAATTTTATTAAAATTTAAAATTAAAAATTAAAAGATATAGAGTCTCTATGATATTGGATGGCTATTGTAATCTTGATGTTTGATGTTTCACCAGCATAGGTTGCTGAAGCCAACCCTAAAATTAGCACTAAATAGAGGGTTTGTCAATTTGAGATTTGGATTCGCTATCATATGTAGTGAAACATCCCCCAATCGTCTTGGGAGACGTCAGGAAAAATAGTAGTCCAAAAGCTTGGAGATGATATATAAACCGAAAGCAATATTCTTGATTTTTAATTTATTTTATAGAGAATTTATTTAAAATATTAATCTGATTAGCGTGCTAACCGCTTAAATAGCATTTAACTTGTATTTCTTCCATTAAATTAGGTTAAAACAATTTATATGAAAATTATTATTTTTTAAATTAAAAAAATTGTCCCAATCTATAGTAGGGAGAGTCAGGAAAATTATCAAAAATGAATGCTTTGCCATATGGCAGTTCCCATCCATATAACTGCTATTCTATCACTGACAATAATTTTTTTCATTATGTCTTTACTAATATATTCGGAGGCAGTATTACATGGGGATTTGAAGAAGAAATAAGCTTTAATTAAAAGAATATTATCTAATAAATAATATTATGGTGATAAATTAATAAAGATGTTAGGCTCTGATGACCATAAAAATTCTTCAAAAACTGAATTCGGTCTATCTTGCAAGTAAGCCTCTTCGATTGTGGAGTTATCTGAATTTTCATATTTTGTAATTAAAGTTAACGATCTGGTTGCTTCAGAATTTAGATCTTCTTCAAAATTTCTTTTTATTTTTCATATTTTTGCAGTCCCATCATGACTTCCTGATGCCAGTAAGCTTCCCTTGCAAGACCATGTAAGTGATCTTACATCGCTTCCATGCCCTCTAAACTTAAATAAAAAACTAATTTCAAACTCAGCATTCCTTTCTTCATTTTCCTCAACACTACATATAACTATGGTTCCATTCTCAAGCCCTGCAGCTATTAGATATCAATCTGCTAGCCACTTAATGCACTTAATTATTGAAGAAAATTCTATTTTAGAGGTATTGCATATTGTATTTGTTTTATAGTCCCATATTTTAATACTTTTCAATGCTCCAAATGCAATATAGTTATCATAGCTAATCAATAATAATAAAATTGCCATGTAAGAAATCGGCACTTCTTTGAGAACTATTCCTCCTCCATGATTTTTATTATTATAGGGCTTGCTTTCTATGTGGACCTAATCCACAATGCCAATATGATACTGCCACGTAGGGTAGTTCGTTGCCTAAGGAAGAAAAGAGACTACTATAGTTTTTATTGCCTTATAGATCCAAGGAGGGTGATTTTTGGCAGAACATACTCTTAGCAGGTAAAAAGCTGCCCATGAAGATCTTCTCACCCTTTCGGTCGTCATCTAGCATGCTTCTAGATAAAAAGGCTGCTGATGCTACCACTTTGAAATGTATAAAATCTAAATGATTAATTCACTAAAATCATAGAAAATCCAATCGATGCCGCAGATTTCTGAGCCCAAATGCATATTTAATGTTTCTTTATTTTCTATGTCTATTATTTTAATTCCTCCGTTCCCAAGCCTATAGCAGATGTATTTAGCTGTTTGAGACCATAATAACTCTAAAATTCAATAGCCTTGCTTATATCTCTGATATAAAATTTGACTGGTTTCTTTATCTCATATTTTTATATCTTGGGAAGCACTCCCAGAAGCAATTCTGTAGTCGATAGGACTTCATGACACAGATAATATTTCTTCATTGTGATATTTATCCAATCTTATTAAAAGCGGGTTTTCTTTGTTTAATAGATCCCATATAAACATGTGTCCTTCGTAGTGTCCAGATATAGCGTCTGCACTCTTTTGCGTGCCTTGACGTAATTTGGAATTCTGACGAGCCACCCTAAGATTACAAGGCAGATCCAAGATGCGGAAAAATATTGCCTGAAGGAGACTAAATCATGCAGACGTTATACAAGATAGTTGTCATCGAAAGACCAGCTAATGCTTTTAGCAGCACAGGAAATATCACGATGAGAGAGTTCTTTAGGATTTTTTGGGGAATCTGATGCATAAAGTAAGATTTTGTGAAGTTGAGAAGCCGCAATTCAATTCTCATTATGGGAAAAAGAAACACAATAGATTACTAATTGTTCAGATGAAACAGATTGAGTGACCCCAGTCAAGTTTAAGCAATTTACAAAGCAATTTAATAATTGACTTTTAGAAACATTGCAATAGCTTAAATCTGCGTTGCCAAAATTAGTCCTATAGAAAGCTTTACCAGATAAATTTGCATAAGGAATTTTTACGTTAGAAAAATTTGCAAAAGTAAATGGATAGTTTGATTTTACTAACTCCCCCCCCCCCTCCGTGAGTGAACAAAACCATTAGAAAAATCGCCATTTTTTGCCCAAAAACCCACCCTCCGTGAGTGAACAAAATTTTTTTATAGAAAAAAATTTTGATATATAAATGATAATTAATATAATGAAATCTGAGCTAATTCTGTTTAATTTTAAATGAATTGCATTTTAAAACATAAATTTTATAAATTAAATAATATTTGCTTTCAAATTTTTGCAAATTAGGATTTTTTTAAATTTCAAAAAAAAAAATTTTTTAGAAAATTTATATATAAATTTTTTAAAAAAAAAAATTTAACCCCTCCGTGAGTGAACAAAATTTTTTTGTTCACTCACGGAGGGGGGGGAGTAAGCGTTTTTAGACTATTTCACGCAAAATAATTTATTATTTCCTTTATTTTTATGTAAAAATTAGTGTCAATGTTTCCAATATCTTATTAATAATAGTTGAATATAGAATAAAATTGAAAAAGCATTGGAAGCTGATTGAATTATAGAGTTATTTTTTCTTGAAAGGCAGACAATATTGTAAAGCAATTTTTGATTTTCTTCTGATAGTTTATCAGCTAAATTAGATAAGATAATTTCTTTATCACAAAAATTGGTTTTATTAAAGTAATGGTCTTTAAGGTTGTCGAAAAGATTAGCTTCAGAGTCCTTGAAATTTTTGATTTCATCAAAAAATTTCAGAATTGTTTGGGAGTATAAATAATCAATATTTAATGGGGTTATTTCATTGCATAAGGCTTTATAGTCTGAATTATCTATTTCTTTATAAACTTTGCTTTTTCAAAAATCGTCTGATTTTATTAGAAATATATCTTTTATGTCATCAACAGTTTTGGATATTATTAAGATTTCTTCTTTTAATGCATTTAGACTTTTTTCATAAGATTGGCCAAACTTAGTCTCAAATGCAACTCCTAGACTATTTTTAGAGCAATTTACTGTCAAAAATTCAGTCAATTGTCTTGCAATTTCAAGGTTATTTTCAATTTTTGCATAAAATTCATCAGTTTTTAGGAGACTTTCAATTTTTTGCTTAAAGGATTCTTTATAGTTCATTAAATCAGTTGAAATCTTATTTATTTCTTCAGCTTTTTCTCGCCAAATTTTTTGGTCATAATTAGCTATCCTTTGGGTTTTGTGATCTAGGTCAAATTTTTCTAAATGCTTAAATAAATGGGTTCTGCAATAAGATTTTGGTTGGATTAAGCAAATGCATTGAGCCTCAGAAGGATTAATACAGTTTTCAAATGAGCAAGATTCTTCAGATGTATCAGTCATTTTATACAGCAAAACTCTTGGAAATATATTTATAATATCGCTATGCAGTTATATATGGAATCTGGTTTTTAAATTTTCATACTTTTAAGTCAATATTATAAAATTTTTCAGAGAAATCCAAGCAAGCAACTAAGGTGTCGGATATATCATCGCAGTTCTGCTAAGTAAATTCTATTTTTGAATTCCTAAGTGTTTTGGGCAATTTTTAAGCAAATTAATGTTTTTGAAGGAAAAAAAATTTTTACTTTTGATGGAAAGTATTTTAATTATACAGAAAAAATATCTAAACGAATTGAAGAAATGAAGTTTACACGAAAAATCAAAAAAAAACTGAACATTTATAATAAGAAACATTGAATTGTTATTTTTTCTAATAAAAATATAAAAGGAAAACCTAAATATTTCAAATTATTACTTGCCTTTACAAGATCTAATGAAAAATTGAATGTGTTCTCTTATGAAAAAGAGAAAGTTTATTTTTGTGATCAAATAATAGACAGGCTGATCATCAGAAAATATTTGTAAAAAAGGATGAATATACAGAAAATGCAAGACAATAATAGAACTTCTTACGTTAGATGATATAAAATAGAAGAAATATTAACAGCACCAAAATTTTCATTCTTTATATTAAGGTGTAGGAATTTGAGGGCGTAAGGAGTGAATTTAAAAATCAAAAGACCTTAATAAATTAAAATTATGCGCTAAGTCTTTCTCGTACAAGTTATAGATAAAGTTTTAACAGCGGTCTCAGATAAGCTATTAAGCTGCTTAGAATCGCATAAATCATTTTCTCTTAACCTTAATTAATAATATCATGGACTATGAAGATTGTAGACCTATTAGTTGTGAAGAGGAGAATTGTGAGAAAAATGTTGAAATCATTTGCTTATGTGACAAATCGACTCATTATTTATGTGAACCGCACTTTAGATATCATCTGGAAACGTCAAGTGAAAGAATCCATGAGCCGATGAAGACAGTTCCAATCAATCAGAAAGTTCTTAGTAGTTTATTTCAAAAGCTTGATTGAATTATAGAGAAAACTTCTAAGCTGTTCGAAAAGTTCTCAAGGAAAATCGACAAATTAGAAAAATTTCATAGAAAACTATTAAAAAGCATAACTCATACAAGAAAAATGATAAATAATCAGCTGCTAGAGACAATTATTACATGCAAAAATTTAAAAGAAAAATGTAAAAAGCCAATTTCTAGGAAGGATTACTATAGCCAACTGGAAAATTTGCTTATAAATGACTATTCTTCTTACTCTGAGAGCATTATAAGTCAAATGGAGCCTCCAAAAATAGAGATTATAAAAAAAGACCAAAGAAGATTGTGAGAAAAAATATCATTTTATAGTTCTACATTTAGCCACTTACTAAGCACTTATAACAGCTATTGCTTTGACATTACAAATCTTGGCATTGATGTTTTTAGCCTCGCTTGTTTTGATGGAAAAAAGGAAGAAAAGTTTGATAATTTATCAGTTGAGCCATCATCGAGAATGATGCTAATCAGCCCAGATGAGATATTGATTACAGGAGGTAATAAGAACCCTAAAAAATGCGATATTTTTAATATAACTAACCGAACTTTAACACATCAAAATAGCCTAAACCATGAGAGATACTGACATTGCATCACATTTATCAAAGGTTTTCCAGCAGTAATTGCTGGATATTATAATAGATCATATTTAAAAGCTGTTGAAATCTTTAAATACGGCAAATGGTATGAATTTACACCATTAAATTACCCAAGGAGTTCCCCATCAGCCTGTTCATTGCTTGGAAAAGTCTATGTTGTTGGAGGAAATTATGAACACTATTGTGAAGTATTTGACGAAGCTATTGATCAATGAAAAGAATTAATAGGATGCATGCCCATTTATCATAGAATGAGCCCTGGAATAGTAGGCCTCTGTGAGAATTTTCTTATAATTTTTGGCGGCTGCATTACCTCCGCTATTCCTTTAAATGAAGCTGTGAAAATTGACATAAAAAATAAAAAAGAATCAAAAATGCCACCTTTAGAAATAAAAGGAAAATATTCACATGGCTTTCATATGCTAAAAGACAAAAAATTTTACTCAGCGATGAACTTCAGTGAATTTCACTGTTTCATTAATTGGGAATTGAAGGAAGAAATAAATTTTTCTCCAGATGTACCAATTAGTTAATTTTTTTCAATAAATTTAAATAATGATATATTTATCTCTTTGATATTGCATGAATAAAATCAGATGCTTTGGAGGACCATACGAGGTTTTCAGTGAAAGATGTATCTTCTAAAGACTGGGCTGTTTCTGCATCCCCTCCTTTACTTTCTTCAGGATTTATTTTTAAAATTTTTAATGTCCCATCAGCACTTCCAGATATACATTTTATTATAAATAGACTATTAAGAAATCCTGTATTATAGAGTAGGACTTAGGCATTTATCAATAATTTCAGCATGCTAATAAATTATTGCTATCAGACCAAGATAAAGAGTAAATATCTAATGAGTGGCAAAAAATTAATAATTTATAATGATAGGAACAGTAAGGAGGCTGATTATCGTCCTCAATTATACTCAATATCATTATTGATCCATCTAAGTTTCCAACAGCTAAAAGTGATAAGTTATCCATTCATTTAACTTTTTCCTTATAAATTATCGAAAATATTATTTTAAAAAGATGGTCTTTTCTTTGATATTGCCTTAGAATATTTTTATGCAACAAGTTTGCTATTCAGCTGGGAAATAATGGACTGATTACAGTCAGTAAACTAGTTTATTAGTACAAAAAAGACCTAACAGGTGAGATTGCTAATGAATTGGTTTTTATATAACAATTTTGATATTAGTTTGATTATAATAATGGTATTTATACCAAATATATTAAATTTGAGGTTAACTGCATAAATTTTTAAAGTTAAAATCTATCCCATCAATATTTAGTAAAAAAACTTTCCCGCTAAGGGGAGTAAGTACTCTTATAGGTGAATCAATTTTTTTTGGAAATGAAAAATCTTCCCCAGTTAAAAATTTTCATATTTTAATATTTTTACCCTCTCCACCAAATACTATGCAGTTTGTTGAAGATTAGCATAAAATTCACTTTCTGATTCATGTAGGTATCAAACTATGGGTTTATTTTTATAAAATGCTATTTTTCAGAGATTGGGCTCTATAATATCTATTAATAGGTTTGCTTCTCAGCAGCAATATCTCTTCCTTTTTAGCTAGATTTTATCTCTTTAAAAGCATTTTCCATCACAACGCCAGCTGCAGATGCACTACCAAGATTAACAAAAAGTAACTGGAGCAGAATAAATTAAGCAAGTTCAAAACCTATACACTTTAACAGCACTGGCCTTCGCGCGCCACCAACAGTAAGTTCAATTATTTTTCTCTATTTATATCGATAATTCTGATCAGAAATTTAAATAAGGTAATAATGATTAGAAGATCAGCTTTTTTGATGCTGTTGGCTTTTTAAGATAAAAGACATAAAAGATTAGACAATTTTTTTCTTGTAAAAGTGATTTTGAATGCAAAAATTTTTTGACATAAATCTAAATTAGATGCTGAATAATTTTGACAAAGCGAGAGAAGCTTTTTGCTAATTAATAGAAGTTTTTTTAATTTATATAAGTATTTTTCATTGTAAATCCATTCTAGTGCGTACAATTTACTAGTTTTTATATTAAAATCCTTCCTTCTAGTTTCTGAGTCCAGTATTCTTATAATTTCGTTTGCACAATAATACGCCAAATATTTTCCAGAACTAGATCATGCCAAAACAGTTATTAATACATCTTGATCTTCAAAAATAGTTTCGTTTGTAAAAGCATCTCATATTTTTATAGTACCATTGGTCCTGCATGATGCAATCCTATAGTCATTAGGCGCTCATAAGACTTTAGTCAATGAGCCTTGAGCTGGCATAATTTTAGATATTAACTGGCTAAACTCACTGGAATCATCCCATTCCCAAATAAAAACAGTCCCAAGCCAGTCGCAGGAGGCTATAAACCTATCATCATATGACCATGAGACTACTTGAAGAAAATCATTGATGGATTGTTCGTAGCATTCTTTTTGCTTTTTTGAGGTATATGCATCATATATAGTAATCCTATCATATTGACAAATTGCGACCCATGCTCCATTGTGAGAAATTGCTACGGAGTACACTTTTATACGGGGAAATTCTTTATTTGGTTTAATTTTTGGTAAAGCAGTTCTATTTAAAGTTACATCTAAAAACTGTGCACATGATAATACACAATTGCTCAAGTCTGCTTTACTGAAATTAGTTTTATAAAATACTCCATTTGACAAATTTGCTTGAGGTATACAAATCCCAGATAAATCTTCCCTATCAAAACGATGCTCTGCTTTAATTAAAATCGACATAGAATTAGAGCCGGCTTGAGCCAAATTTTTATTTCATCTTGTCATAAGGACAATATTATAAAGCAGTTTTTTATGGTCATCAGTCAATTTTTCAACGGTATAGAGAAGGATCTTTTCTTTATCACAAAAATTGGTTAAGTTAAAAAAACTATTTGAGAGGGTACCTGCTTCAAAATAATCCAAAAATCTTAAAATTGCGTAAGAATAAAGCTCATCTAATTTAAATGGTGTGGTTTCAGAAATAAGCTTTTTGTTCTCTATATAAATAAATAGTGCTGCCAGCCCATTATTTCTCAGATATAGTCTTTTGGAGATCTTGCTGCAGCTAAAACCAGCAAAATGATTATAAATTGCTAGATTTTCTGCTATCGTTGAATTTTGTTCTCTGCCCAGCACTGTTTGTCTCCTGCTAGAGAAAAAAAATTCATTCAGTTTAAATGGTGCTATTCGTTGTCAGTAACTATAAGAAATAATGATCTCATAGTAAGTCTTAGAAGCAGAAAATAATTAAAGGGAGACTCCCTGCAACAAGTTCATCAGCTCGTCTAGATTAGACTTTTTAATTTAAGCTAAGCTTTCTGTAGTCTGAATCTTTTTCTTCTTCTCCTATCTGATACCTTCAAGCGTTTTCTTTAGTTAATATTGCAAAATCTTCAATAAAATTGACTTCATTATCTGATAATTTTGAATTATTTTGGTATTTTGATAAGCTTTCTTCAAAAGTACACCTGAAATTTTCATAAAAATTTTGATTTTGATCTGTCTCTAAATATTCCAAAATACTGCTTACCTCCTCAATGTCAGAATCAATTTTTCCATAGAGTTTATTTATTTTTGGCTGATAAAGTGCTTCTACCTTTTGCGTAAGTTTTGATTTTATCGAATGTAAATTATTATAAACGTCTTTAAAAGCCTTAATTCTATCATTTTTAGTTTCCTCTTGGCTCAGAATTTTTATTTTTTCATAACAGTGAGGTTTATTGACATTGTTAATGTGATCCATCATATGGGTTTTACAAAAAAAAAGCAATTCATCAGAGCAAAAGCATTTAATAAAAGGACTAGAAGTGCATCCAATTTCTGAGCAAACTATTTCCATAATAAATTTATTATAAAGATCTATAAAAATGATTAAATACTTTTATTTAAAGCATTAAATCAGCGTTTTAAAATTTAATTTAGGGAGATCTTATTGCCTCTTATTAAAGGTGTGATTTCTTACTCCCTTCTTTAAATTGTAACAAAAAATCCCATTCCAATATATAGGGTGTTTTAAAAAAAAATAAAATTTTTCTTAATAAAAAATTTTTTATAATTTTAAAGGAGAAATTTTCCAAATTAGGTATTTTCTATTGGCTCGCTTGCACTTAAAGTGAGAAGAGTAAGCTCATAATGATTTTAGAATCGCAAATAGCATTTTATAAATATACCTTTAATAATTATAATTGTAAACATCCATTATCTAAGGTATAATTTAATATGAGAGATCTATCAACATGCAATTCTCAATGATGCCAAAATAAAGTCAGCTTTATGTGCCTGTGCGATAATCTAGAAAATTATTTCTGCTGAGATCATTATATCGGCCATGTTAGTATGTGTAACAATAAAAATCATGAAACAATGCAAGTAGAAGGCATCAGCTCGGAAATTTATGATAAAATTCAAGACAAGCTTAATGTAGTTATAGAAGAGACAAATAAACTTAAAGAAATAATTAATGAAGAATTGGGAAAATTAGAAGATCACCATGAAAAAATACAGGTAAAAGTATCTAAGACAAGAAAAACACTCACAATTGAGCTTCAAGCTATAGTTGATACTTGCAACCTAGTTATTGAAAAAATGAAAAAGCCAATCATTAAAAAAGATTATTATACCCAGCTAGAATAATGGGCAAAATAAAACAAGTTCGTGATGAAACATTAGAAAATCGAGTAAAATGAGAAAACAAAATAGGAAAAATAATTAAAAAATATCAATCAAAGTTGGACTTAGCCCTTGAAGCAAAAAATAAGCTACTATCTGAGCTAGATTCTATAATTAGGATGTGCGAATTTATCATAGAAAGGATAAAATTTCCAATTTTTCAAAAAGATTATTATACTCCATTTGAGTATTTACTCATAACTAATGATGATATTCAAAGAGACTTTATAGATGAAATAAAGCCCCCTAGAATCGAAAAAGTAGAATGGCGCAAAGATCAATGCAAAAAGGTAAATTTTTATAGTTCAACATTTTGCCATCTGCTAAATAATTATAATTCGTATTTTATAAATCTTGGAGAAACTAATAGAGACCTTAAATTGGCTCATTTAAGTTACAATAAATATAAGCTTGATAGCCCATTATTTGAATTTCACTCAAGAATAATGCTAATAAGTCCTTATGAAGTATTAATGACTGGAGGATTTGAGAGTCCTAAAAGATGTAGAATTATTAACCTCAATACACAAACAATTTCTGAACAGGCCGATTTAACCTTTGGAAGATTCTGACATTGCTGTGCCTTTATTATGGGTTATCCTGGTGTAATCGGTGGGAAAATTGGAGACAATAGAATAAAAAAAGTCGAAATTTTTAAGCATAATAAATGAAAGAAAATTTCCTCGTTAAATCAAAATAGAATAACCCCTGTAGCCTCTTCATTATTTGACAAAGTTTACGTTTTTGGAGGTGGTAACAACAAGTCCATTGAAATTTTCAATGAAGACGATAAAAAGTGGCATGAATTAAAATGTGATATTTTTGAAACTCCAACAGTAGGTTTAGGTATGATAAGTCTATCAGACGATTTGCTATTAGTTTTTGGTGGAATGGAAAATATTGTACACTATTTTGATGATACCTATAAAATTAATTTAACAACTCGAGAAGCTACATCAATAGAAAAATTGAAAAAAGAAGGCAGATTTCCATACAACTCTCATATAGTCAGAGGTAAGTTTTTAGAATCTTTTATGTTTGATGCTGATGAAGAAGTGGCAGTTAAATACGAAGCAAAACAAGAAATTTGCTTATTTAATTAAGATGAAATCCATTCTATTACTATTTTCTGAAATTAATTAAATATCTGAGTTGCCCAACACAAATTTTCGGTTAATTTTTCTATATCAAAATCAATCTTTATATTTCTAATGCTTATAGTGCCGTCTAAACCTGCTGAAACTAAAAAATGGCTTGCCCATGAAAGAGCTGTTATATCTCTTGAATGACCTCTAAATGTTATTTCACATTTTTGATAGATTGTATTTTTATCCCTAAATAAGCCTCATAAATTTATAAATCCGTTAAAACATCCAACTGCTAAGAGTTTTAATTTTTTATTTCATTCCAGTACTTTTATTGGATGCTCTAGTTTATTATTGGCAAGTCTTCAAGTCATTACATCTGAAATAAAATTTCAAATATAAATATAACAATCTTTTCCAGCAAATGCCAAGTAATCATCTTTATAAATTCACTCCAATGCATATATATTTTTTATTTTATGTTTATATTCTTTGCTATCTTTTATGTTTCATATATTGATTCAATTATTCCCAGAATAGCAAGCTATATATGTGCCAGATTGAGATCATGCAATTATGGTAGTATTACATCCAAGATGTTGCTTAAAAACAATTTCTCCAACTAAATTTATAACTGCTATATGTTGATAACAGCATAAAGCTATTTTGTAGTCATCATCTGGGGTTCATAAAATGCATGGTATCAGGCCTTTATCATGTTTTATTTTTGCAAATAAATTGCCAGTTATAGATTCTCATATAAAAACAGTTCCTTCATAATCTCCTGTTACTAAATATATATCATCATATGATCATGATACTTTTGTGAATATTAAATATGCAGAATCTTCTGTAATCTCATTAATTTTTTCTTTAGTATTTAAATCCCATATATAGATTTTTTTATTATGAGTTGCAGCGATATATTCTTCATTATGGGAAATTGATAAATTTCTCAGTCCGTTTCGTTCCAAGTTAGGGATTTTGGTGCCTTTTGATATGACGTTTAAACAATCGGTTGATATGCTTGAATCAGAACCGCTAAAATCGGTATTAAAAAATATCCCACCAGATAAATTTGCATAAGGTATTTTTACATTTGTAAAATCTTTATTATCAAATGAGAATTTTGATTTAACTAAAATTGACATGGCGTTTGATGCAGCTAAGGCTAAATTCTTGTTAACTCTGGTTGAAAAAATGATGTTGCAAAGCAAATTTGATTGCTTTTCTGTTTAATCTAATTCGCTTTACTTCTATAGCTCACCAGAAAAGTATAAAACTATTTCCAGAAAAGTTAGGCCCTGCACTCTACTAGTGTTTCTTACCTAGTATTATGCCAATTTCTGGATTTGCAAAAGCCTATAAGGCATGCTAAATATGGTGTCTCAGCCAAGGGCTCTCTTCCGATCAGCTAGCTTCAAGCGCATAAAATTATAATTTTTTTTCTGTTAAAGTTTCAAAATTATTTAAAATGTCATCTCTATTGCAAATATTGATTTTATTAAAATTATCCTGCTCAAGTTCATACAAATTGTTTTCATCAAGAGAATCAAAGAGCTGGAATATTGAAGAAGCACTAAATTCATCTATTTTTAACCTTGTTTTATCTTCTGGACCTTTTTCTTCCTCTTCTAATAAAGAAGGAATTTTTGAAGCTGAAATTTTTATATCTTCAATTGTATTGATATCAGCTTCTAAGTTCGCTATTTCTTCAGATATTAAATTCATATGCTTTTTGGCAAATTTTTTTACATTCTGGTTTTCTTTATCTATATTATTCTTTATAGTTTTAATGTAGTGAATTGCATTGTCTAGTCTGGTAAGAATCTCATCAATTTTCCCTTTCAGACTGTTAAACTTCTGGTCAAGAGTTATTTTTAGCGATTTTATAGCTTGAGAATACGCATTTAAATCCTTTGAAATTTTTTGAAGTTTATAAGCTTCGTTTTTTTGAAGGCCAATACTTTCATAATGATGAGTTAAGGCTCCATATTTAATTATATGATCGCTTATATGATCTCTGCAAATTTGAAAAGGCTGATTATTGCAACTGCAACAAACCAAAGGAGGATTTTGGCACTCTGGTTCTGCACAAATATGATAATCCATGTTTCTATAGAAATAAAATATGACGTTGATGGAAGAAGGACTTCGAGGCACTACATATGGAGCATGAAGACATATCCTTATGGAGCTAAAACGAGGCAGCCTATGTTCCTTTTAAAGATGGTCATCACGACTGGGAAGCCTTGCTATAGAGGGAAAAGCATCGTCTGTCCTCCGAAGGTTTTCCTGTATATATGTGAGATAGTTTTGCCATCAATAAGGGGACTAACCGGTATCTAAAAGGTGGCTCTAACTTAGGGACTTGAAGTGGTTCTTCGCTAGATAGGCAGACTAGTGGCGCCTATTCACTCCTGGCCTAAAGTACTTTACTTATGCAGGTTTCTATAAATTTATTAGTATAAAAGAAAATAAGTGCTAAATGCGAAAGCTAAGGTGCCTTCAAAAGGCAGAATTTTTGAAAATAAAAAAAATGCATCTATGAATCCCATTTAGCATATCATGCAATCCGCTTCAATTTTTTTCTCAAAAGAGACATTGAAACCTTACATACAGTTAAACCATTATACAAGTTGCTTCCTCTTTCTACATTTTCTACATGCTGATGCCTTTTAGGCTTTAAAAATAGACTTCAATAGTTTGCTTTATTATTATATTCCATTATATGACCGTGACACTTTCTTAAAAACTCCCATATACAAGTTTATAAGTAAAATTTGCCAAAATATTTGGAGAATATCCATCTAAAATTGCACCATATGAAGAGACTACGACTAATGGTTCGTTATGAGACTCTGAAAATTACTTAATTAGTCTTTAGAGTCTCCACCGCCTCGGGTGTAAAGCCACTTTGGGCCCAACTAGTCTAATCATTGGTTTAAAAAACGAAATTGGCCCATCCGCCGCTTGCACATATAAATAAGCAACGCACCATAAGCTTGACAGCTGCCCAAGACAACTGTTTTTCCTTTGTCAAGCTAAGTTCCTGCACGTTATCCACCTAAGGGTCGCCTTTCTGGGTGAGCTGAGTCCAAAATCATCGAGCCTCTTTATTGCTTTAACTCCCCCCCTCTGTGAGTGAACAAAACCATTAGAAAATCGCTATTTTTTGCCCAAAAACCCACCCTCCGTGAGTGAACAAAAATTATTAATAGAAAAATTTTTTTATGGAAAAAAATTTTAATATATAAATGATAATTAGTATAATGAATCTAGAGCTAAATCTGTTTAATTTTAAAACAAATTGGTTTTAAAACATAAATTTTGCAAACTGAATTAATATTTGCTTTCCAATTTTGCGAATTAGGATTTTTTTAAATTTCGAAAAAAAAAATTTTTTATAAAAATTTATATAGAAATTTTTTAAAAAAAAAAAAAATTAACCCCCCTCCGTGAGTGAACAAAATTTTTTTGTTCACTCACGGAGGGAGGGGGAGTAAGAGAAGTCCTCTAGTTTTATGCAACTAGAAGTTTAACGCTGCCGGTGTACTGAAGTTCTCAGGAAAAGTCAAACCCTAAAATAAATTCCATGAGCAGGAGAAAATTATCAATATCATTTTATTTACGAGACACTGAAATGCGAGATATTTTTTCTTAATGTCCATCTTTCATTGATTAGGGAAATTGTCTTTATCCGAAATATTCTTTAAAAATTAGATGCTTGGAATATTGCAGTTACTTAAATCTGAGCCAGAAAAATCTGTTTCACAAAAGTCATATTAAACTGCCGCAAGGGATGCAAATACTTGAGATTCTGTATGAAAAATTAATGCTCTAAATTGGCAAACATTGGCATAGCATTTGAAGAAGAAAGGGCTATAGCTTTATATTTTCTTGATGATTTAACGAATAGAAGAATTTGTGTCTAGATATGTTGGAATCAGCTTCTTTATAAAACTTTCTTGGTTAAAAAAATGATGGTGTTGAAAAAGATAACTTCGGTTCTTTTCTGTCACCTACATTCTTAATAAACTGATACTTTTATCTTAAATTTATTTATGAAAGCTCAGTCATCTTCTTTTCATATATCATTTTCAGTGGACTAATGGATTTATAGGATTTTTTAATTATTCATTTTTTTTGGTTTTTAGTTTCTAGTAATCCCTTCATTTATATCTTGATTTTCATTACTGGATTATATGAAATTTGCAGAATATAGTAGCCCATGCTTATATTATCAATGGAAATTTGAAGGTTCTGCACATCATGCCATGATCGAGGCGATTCCATAAATATTATGCTAAAAATCCAATTGTAAAGTATTTATTATAAAAAGGTTGAAATAAATATCAATAAAATTTTTAAATCACCCTTATTAATTTTGTCGTTTTTATTATCTTCTTTATCAATCTCCATTACTATTTAATGAAAGGACTTACAAGTTGGTTCATGGGCAAATCCATTGAAGAAGAAAGGGCCAGGCTTCTCTTTATGCTGGACCCAAGCAAACCCTTACGAAAGCGCTTTTCTATTATGATTCAGATTGTAAGAAATCTTGAAAAGACTGTTACTTCCGGTTATAATGAAAAACTTCACGAATTTTTCCAAGAAAATTGGGACACAGCGACCACTTTATGTCTTGCTATGCTTAAAAACGCTGATCATATAAAAACCAAAGGCAAAGGGGCAGCTTGGGAAGATGTTTCCAGCATCCTCAAAGTCATTATGGAGATTACTCAATACGGCCAAATGCAAGATCTTGAAGAAATCCAAGAAATAGCTATTGTCTGCCTGTTTGACGACAATCGTTGGGAGATTAAAGAAATTGGCTTTAATCTAGTCCTTTTTCTATTATTTTATAATAAATAAATTAAAAATAAAAAAAAATAAATTTCTGTTATATTTTCTATAAAAAAAATAAGACATGACCTTAGAAAGCCCTAAAATATTGACAAAATTTAGAATAAACACAAACTTAGCACTACAAGTGCCTCAACATCTGTTTTTAGCATCCATAGATTTATCACAATTTCGCTCAGAAGAGCATGGAGAGCCTGTCTTCCCAGATCGGTCAATTTTGATAACAGGGTCGAACTCCCAGCACCCTTGGCTTAACTTAGCTCAAGACTCTTTAAAAAAATCGTCACCTATTTATCAAGCTGAAGTAAAAGAACTAGAAAAATTAGCAGGTCAAGCTTTATCACAAGGGGTTAAAGACTGTTTGAATTTTGTAAGTAAAGCATTGGATTTCTCGTTAGATAGCGATTATCCACCAAGTTTAGAAACGAGACAAGCACATTTTAAAAGATGGTTTAATTTGTTGAAGAAAACTATTGTATTCTTACAAATAATCAATTATTAGTTTAATTATATAAATATTTTAATATAAAAAGAGGTAAAGTTAGTTCATTTTTATGCTGAATTTAACTATAATGGCATATTTTATAGCAAATATTGATTTAATTTTATAAAAAATAAATAATTGCTGCATAATGAAAATGGAATATGCTATTCCTAATTTATCCTTACTATTGCACTCCTGGAGACAATATGAGCCCTGACTGAGGATTTCATAGCTTCCCTCCTCCAACTCTGCACTACCTAGTCGCAACTTGGCTTATTAAAGCTATCAGAGACCAAGAACTACTAGACGCTCTATTTATAACTCCAGAAGAATACGATTTTGTCGGCAAAGTTTTAGGTCTCTCCTTCAGACTCACCGAAAGTTACAGCGGAATTTGCTACAAAACAGCTAACAAATGCCTGAGACTCTACGAAGATTGGATTTTCGGCAAATTCCTGCCAAGGATCATCAAAAGTAACATAGACGCCCATATTTCTTCAAACCTAAAGCACACAATCGATCTTTTTGATTTTTCCAATGATTTCAGCCCTAAAAGAATCGACCTTTGCAAACTCCTTATCAATTTACTAGAAAAATATAGAGAGCAGCCTGAAGGGTGGCCGACACTATTAGAATGCTCTATAAATATTTCTAATAAACTAGCAGAAACCCACGACCTAAAAAAACCTTTCCACGACATAATAGAGCCTATGGCCGAATTTTTAATTTCAACGTTATCCACAGTGATGACTTCTATAGAAGTCGACTGAAATTCCTTCTCAAAAATCCTGCAAAAATGGGCGAGAAATTCTGAGCCTATAATAGAGCATTGGGAAAAAATTATGATTGATAATTCCAGCAAGCTAAAAGACTTAAGTTTTAGGCCTTGCAGCTTATTAGAAGGCTGGCTGAAATTGATGTATATATTGGGAGATCCATTGAAATTTTCTGATAAAGTCCAGGTGAGATGGGCACATTCATTGCAGGATTTAATAAATTTGATAGTGACTCCGCCTCAGACTGCGTCAAATCCTAATAGACTTTTGCAGTTCTTTTTCCCGATTTTGTCGAAATTAATTAGAAGTGGATCGGTGCAGGAAACTCAGGTCATTGCGCTGAACTCATTGACGGCGCTATTTATAAACACTAAATGTGAAGAAATGCCTATGGAATGCTATATTCAGCATTTAAGCTTGATTTTATATCATGCAGCTCAACAGCCACATCTGCAAATAAGCGTTTTAGAGGCAGCGCCTAGATTATTAGACTTCCCAGGGATGCATTTCTTGATAAACACATTTTTACAAATTGCTTATAAAAACCACCTACAAGCGACAAAGCTGATTTTTTATATAATGTGTTTCCCTAATTATTATAAAGATACAGCCTTATACGACCCTACCACACAATATATGACTTATGCTTCCTTAAAGCCGAAAATCAGAGGAGTCCTACAAGCCTGTGCAGAAGACCCAGAGCTCTCTTCTACTGCTTTATATGGCCTTACTTGCTTTATATTAGAAGAAATTAATTCTGGCAACGACAGTGCATCTCAGTTGATCACAGAAATTATCCTTGAAAAATGTTTAAGCGATAACGACGATACTGCGTTAGCAGCTTTTCGGTGCTTAAACAGTTTAACACCAGTTATGACGATGATTAATAAAACTGTGCTGAATTTCTTGATGTTTAAAGCATTAGAATCTATTCCTATTACAAGAGAAAAAGTTTTGAAGGCTGCACTAGCGACTATTCAGCATTTAGTTATGACGAGTAGCACTGCGCTGGATTCGAATTTATTGACAAGTTTGTTTAGCAATTTATCACTATTGGAAAGTAAAGTGGCTGGGATTACGAGTTTGGAAAATGAAATAAGCTCTTTAAGCTCATTTTTAGCTATTTTAAAAGGCAATGAATGCCGCTATATTCTTTGTATTAAAATTAATGTAAAACAAATTTATTATTTATGCAAAAATCCGTCATAAAGTATATTTACTATACCAATTAAGGTTAAATATATAGGAATATCAAGCTGTTTTAGCAAGTTTACTATTTGAATTTTCCTTTAAAAAACCAAAACCCAGTAATTTTCCAATCTATTACCTCAGATGAAGAATTCGCCGAAGAAAAAAATTTCCGTACTCTGCACTTTGCGTTAGAAACCAATGCAATAGTTACTATAATTTTTCATTCCAGTAAAGCAAAATTCATTATAAGAAATCAGTTTGGAAAATTCTGTTGGGAAGCTGAAGATTATAAAATTTTTGAGCCTAGTGCAAGGACTGAAGAATTTTCCAGAATTGTGGAAGAAATAAATTCAACATCTATTGAAATACAAAACCAAGATCCACCTAAAAAATTATGATAAAAAACATAATGATTTACAAAAGACTAATCTTTTAGCACCCTTTTTTATTTAAAATATAGAATTTGCTATTTATTATAGGACTAGGAGATTTCCCTTTATGAGTATAGATGATGAGCCTCTGCTTCCTTTACTGATAGACTATATTGCTAGCAATTATTCAGACTGCTATGTTAAAGACAAACAAATAGAAGCCGGCTCTGAAATGCTCAGACTTATGGACAGTGTTGAAGAAATGGAAGCTGAATGTGAAATATTCGAAAGGAGAAGAGAACGTGAAGCCACAGCTTTTAATGTCAGCAGATATTTCGTATCAATTTAGGTTTATCCCTATTTTTTTAAATTTTTACCTTAAATTTATCAAAAATATCCAAAAAAAAATATTTTAACCCAAATTTTGGACTGCTCGAAAAATTAATTTTATTAGAAAGTGGCGAAAAATTAGACCGCGGCCTAAGCTTACTCGACAACTGCCAGCCTCGAGAACCTGTAAAAATTGGAATTATTTATGTAGGGCCAGGTCAACAAGATGAAAAAGAAATTTTAGCAAACTCCTCAGGGTCGATAGGATTCCAGCAATTTGTCCAAAATATTGGAAGAGTGATTGACATTCGTCAACATTTAGGCAATTTGGGAGGACTTGATCCGTCTGGCTCAGCTGGCTATTTGTCAGTTTCGTATTCTGATTGGCAATATGACGTTCTGTTTCATGTAGTCTCGCTAATGCCGACTGATTTAAATGATGAGCAGCAAGTTTTGAAGAAAAGACACGTGGGGAATGATATTGTTCATATTATTTGGAGTGACCATTGAAGAGATTATAGACAGCTAGACAAATAATATAAAAATATTTATAATATTAATATACTTTATAGGCTTAGTTAGGTTTATAAATTTTTTTTAATTATAATTGGCTTAAATTATAACTCCCCCCCTCCGTGAGTGAACAAAAAAATTTTTTTCACTCACGGAGGGGGGTTAATTTTTTTTTTTTTTAAAAAAATTTATATATATAAATTTTCTAAAAATTTTTTTTCGAAATTTAAAAAAATCCTAATTCACAAAAATTGGAAAGCAAATATTAATTTAATTTATAAAATTTATGTTTTAAAAAAGCAATTCGTTTAAAATTAAACAGAATTAGCTCTAGATTTCACTATACTAATTATCACTTATATATCAAATTTTTTTTCCATAAAAATTTTTCTATTAAAAAAATTTTTGTTCACTCACGGAGGGTGGGTTTTTTGGCAAAAAATAGCGATTTTTCTAATGGTTTTGTTCACTCACGGAGGGGGGGGAGTAAGAAAAAACTATAAAATTTATTTAATTTTTTTTTTATATAGACAAGATACAATGCTGACCCATTTCAATTTTATTTTGATAGTAATTTATCCATTATCCCCTATGCTATTTAGAATCCAAATTCTCAAAAAAGTCAATGTAGACTGTGGCCCGCTACAAGACGGAATGGTCATTCCTTGGAGCTTACTACCAATCCTGGTCAGACAAACTGCTATTAATGCAAATCAGCAGGTAAGAGCTATGAAACATGCTAATTATGAAAAGCAAATTCATATCAGACGAAAACAAATCCTAGAGCTTGTGCAAAGATATTCAGTTTTAGGGGCTCAAAAGAACCAAACTTATGCGCAAATGTTCTAAATTTATCATATAATAATTATTTTTAAGTGGATAAATTATATAGTGGCTTTGGCTTTAGTTTTTTATGTTAAAATGATAGTTAAATAATATTTATCAATGGGAAATTTATAAAATTTAAAATTTGTAGAGTCTTAAATAAAATGGAAGCAATTATGAGTCAATATAACAGCTTATTGATGCAGCCAGAACCTTCATTTATGATTTCTATAGCAAATAACGACTATTCTAGATGGAATTGTGTAATGGAAGGGCCTCCGGATACTCCATATGCAGGCGGGATATTCCATTTTACAATGGATCTTGCAAATTATCCTAATACATGCCCAGTAATTGTATAGCGCTTGCACACATTTAGCGTCCTAACTCTATCTCTGTTACTTGGATCAGAAAAGTTACTTAAAATTTGCAAACACTGATTCTTTTTCATATTTGCAAACTTGGAGTCACCTTTAGGTGGCTTGTCAGACTCCAAGTTATAGCGAAAAAGTTAGTGTGAGATCATGCTAAATACGTGCAAACACTATATTTCAAACACCTATTTACCACCCAAACATAAGTCCTGAAGGAGGGATGTGCTGAGATCTTTATTATGGAAAATGGATAAGAACAATCCCAATTCGCATTGTTTTTACATATTTGATTGGCTTGCTTGCTAACCCAACTTCTCATCAAAACTCTTTACAAGAAGCTGACAATTTACTGAAGACCAATCGAGAAATGTTTAATTTAAGAGCAAGGGAATATACACAAAGATATGCAAAATAATATTATTTAAGATTTTACGTAATTTTCTATTGCAATGATAATGAAATAGGTTTATTTTAGCATTGATTTTTAAATAATTTATTAAAAATAATGACTCACCAAAATTAATAAAAATGAAATCGATACTAGCGTCACTTTTAGAGCCTAGAACTAACTCAATCTACCCAATAGGGCTCAAAGAAATCTGCATAGGCCGTGAAAAAAAAGCTTTGGGAAACCAATTCGGATTATCTCAATTTGGTGTAAATTTAGTAAAATTAAACCCAGGAGCAGCTTCATCTCAAAGACATTGGCATTTAATAGAAGATGAGTTTGTCTATATTTTAAGCGGAAATATTACGCTTATAACAAATGAAGGAGAACAAGTGCTAGGTCCTGGGATGTGCTGTGGGTTTAAGGCTGGTGAACCTAATGCCCATCAATTAATTAATAAAAGTGAAGAGCCAGTTGAGTATTTAGAAATAGGGACCAGAAGCCAAACTGATGAGGCAACTTATCCAGACGTCGATTTGCATGCTGTAAAGGAAAGTGGAAGTTTTAAGTTCTTTCATAAAGATGGAACCCCATACACAGAATAGGAAATCATAATATTAATTACAACAAAATCTTAAAAATATTAAAAATGGTAATTATTTACTTAAAAATTATCTGTGATAATTATTAAGGATTTTTTATTTTGATCATGATATGCAGAACTCTATATCTGTGGCTTTTTGCTCATTCAATTATTTTTCCATCATAAGCTTCGTATTTTTCTTGGCAAACTTGGCAGTAATCAAAATATCGATAATGAGACATTTATATCTTGTCCCAAGTACCTTTCCATCACAATAGCCTGCACATTTATTACTGCAAAAACACAAAATGCTTTATCTTCTTTGTCCTTCGTGAAGTCAGTTTTCTCATAAGCACTTGTTCCAAAAATTACATAGTCTAGCCTTTGAGCAGTGGGGTGTATCACAAACGTAAAATGAGGATGGGAAAATTTATTTGAGCCAAAATGCCTTCTTTTGCAACTTTTTCACGGTTGTGGCAATGGTAATGCTTTGGGCTACCATATAAGTATGATATTAAATATAGAAGTTTCCTATGTTTGGCGCTGTAAGGCCGATAAATTCTGATCGGAATTTATCGGTTGGTTACACCAAATAATGCCTTGGTCGGACCAAAAAGCGATTTGGTCCGACGAACTTGGAAAGCTCCTGGGAAAATGTCTGCGCTTTCAGCGCTATATAGAGGAAACCTCTATATCATTCGGTGCTAATAAAATTGTAAAAACTGATAATGAAGGGAAAAAGTTCTCAGTTTTAGGATCACACCCAACTTTAAGGCTAGCATAAATTAATTAAAGTATTTAAGGTATCTAATGGCACACTCCATTAAAGGGACAGAGCAAAGTGATGACTTCACGAGTATTTCCTATCCAAAAGATCTAAATAAGTGCCCGCCCTGACCAGCGCTTCTCATCCGGAATGATGGCATCATTCTTGCCTGGCTCTGCTCCTGCGGGTGCTCCACCTAAGGGTCACCCTCCTGGGTGCGATGATATTTAAAACTCTGAGCCTCTTGATTGCAATGTAGAGCAGTTCCTCTGCTTATCCCCAAAGTTAAACTGCTACTTTTTAGCCTAGCTAATTTCTCTCAAACTAAATACCATTTATTTGTAATTTTAAGGCTAGCTGTGCTGTTTGAGAATATTTTCCTTGCCATGCTAAAGTAAGTCATTTATTTTCTATTATATTTTGCCTTGATAATGTGCATTGATTTATGGCTTTGAATTTTGCATAGAAGCATTTAAATTTGATGTTTTTTCTATGAGAGAAGCCCCAATTGATGAGAAGCTGTCTAGCATATTTTTATGGATCTAAAATTATGCTATTTGCAAATCCATATATATATTAGTCTTGAAATATAATAACTTATTAAAATTCTTATGAGCGGAATAAGCTAATTTCTTACTGCATCAAAATTTATGTTTTTATTATTAAATTGAAATGAAAAATAATCTGAGAATTTCCAATATGTAAAAAATTTATGCAAGATTTTATGGACTCTGATGAAAGCCAAACCTCAATTCCTATAGAAGCCATTACAGAATTATTCTCCTCTATGAGTGTTTCGCCTTATACTGACGCAGCAGTAGATACAGAGTTAAAAAAGGTTAATCTGTTTGAAGATTATGCTATAAAATATGCAATTAGTTTGATAAGTTCTAGTAGCAGCAATCAGCAACTTGAGCTCATATACATAAAATGGCTGGTGGCAAACGGCTTGCCCTCTGCATGGTGGGTGCCCTTATGTATATCCGGACTTGGTTTTTAGTGCAAGGAGCTGCCTAGGGGTGTAGGGGTGTAGGGGTGGGCTAGCCTTGAAACGAGAGGTTTAAAACTATTTCTACTGATTAGTGGTGGCTAGAGCAGCAGCCCTTTTCATCATTTTAGCTAGTAGAGGTTGGATGTCTGATAGAGATAGGAAAACTTGCCTAAGCTGCTTGTTGCTTATCCTGCGCAGCGTAAGCAGTTAACTTTTTCTTTGGAGCTGATTCAGGAAAAATGAGGAAGGCAGGGCTCACCAAAGATTTTCAGGGTGAAAGTCTCCAACAAAAGGTCCCTAATTAAGGGCAATCTGGCTTAAGCTAAGCAGAATTGATCTATGCTTGCACTTGAAATGCAAATAGATTCGGCAAAGTCCATATGCTGAGACTATGGAGGGAAAAATGTCTTTACCGACAGACAAAAGTTTCGCCAAAAAGCTCAAGTTGCCTTAAGGGCACCCCTCATAGCTCGCCCATAGGACGAATGGTGCTCAGAAATGGGGACTATAAGTGCACATCATTTAATCTAATCAGCTGCTTGGAGCTCGAATAATACGCCGTCTTCTTACAAAAGAAAATGAAATCCCCTACGAAAAAGTTATCCAGTCTAATGTTCTTCCTTGCCTTATCCAATTAATTCCAAGTCTAGATGAGCAATTTGCATATGAAGTTTTATCCAATTTACAATAAATAAATATATAAAGCTTGTATAGTCTGAGCCTTTTTATAGCTTATGCTATGCATACGACTCAAAACATCACTCAAGGATTTGACAAGCCAGCATTTTTCGGCAGAGCAGGCTCTCTGATTGGCAAATCCGCGTGATACTGGAGATTTGCTATAGTAATTACCCGAGGATGGCTCAAGATAGCGCCATCCTCGGGCAATTACTATATCTTGGAGTTGGTTTTATCAAGAAATCTTGATTTGTCAATTCCTGGGAGATGCTGGGAGTTGTCAGCACAGTTCAAGCCATAGCAAAACTCAGGCTATATTATGTTTATAATATTTAAAGTCTATAGTAAGGATCATTTTTCTCAATGAGTATATGAATTATCTCAAATCTTGCAGTAGGCGAAGAATATTGTATTGATTATTTGCTTTCCCAAAGATCATTAGAATTACTCAATTTCATTCTAGAAAATTGCAAGTCAATCGAGATTTTCAGCCAAGTTATGTGAGCAATAGGAAATATTGCTGGAACTAACCACAGCTATAGAGATACTGTTATTCAACAACTAAATATCGATAAAATTGCTTATTTTCTCTATGCTCATGAAAGAGAGTTTTCAACTACGGATTACCAGAACATTGCATGAAGTATACATAATTTAGTTTCAAATAAGCTGCCCCCTGATTTAAATAAAATCAAACTTTTTATCCCTTTTTTGCAAAAAATCATAATAAATCAAGAAGATCAATGGGTTTTGGAAGATGCATTATCCTCATATTCAATAATTACTGATAAATATTCTGATTTAGATAGCAGTTTTAACAGCCAATTATTAGCGAAATTTTGTTCACTTTTAGACCACCAAAGCCGAAAAATAAATGTGTCTTGTTTAAAAAATATAGGAAATTATGCGACCCAAAAAATAGACCAAGATTTTGTTATAAAATCAGGATTATTTCCAAAATTAATCAGCTTTATAGATTCTTCTGATAAAATGATCAGAAAAGAGGCTTATTGGGTTATGTCAAATTTAGTTTTAGATAGCAATATTTATTTCAGCTATCTAATAAATTCGAATTTTTTTGAAAAATTCAGAAAAACGTTAGAAAATGATAGCGTGGATGTTATAAAAGAAGCGGTTTGGGTTATTTGTAATTTTGCTGTTGTGAGTGATTTTGATCAAGCTAAATGACTTATTGACAATATGATTATAGACTTAATTTTAGAAAAACTGCTAATAAATGCTACAATTGGAGACGTAATTTTTGATGGGCTTTTAAACTATAGCCCAGGGCAGCTAATTGCTTGCCCTGGTAAACCAATTGGAGGTTAACCTGATGGAAAAGGTTCAGCACCAAAAGCTGGCAATTATAGGCACAGTTGTCTAATTTTAGAGTCAGTTTGGTAACTTTTTCCTAACCAACTCCAAAAGTGAACCTCAAATAGCAGCCCATGGCGAGTATAAGCAACCTTGGGCTATATTTCAAATTTGATAATATTCTTGAAATTAAAGAAATTTCAAGATATTTGGAAACGTTAGAAAATGCTAAAATCCATATTGGAAATAATGATAATTTAAAGCTAGAAAAAGTATTACAGAGACTAAATGAAATGAAGAATTGTACGGATTTTGCAATGGAATAGGCTAAATAAGGTTGCTTGTGATGATTATTTAACTTGAATTGTTTTGCTATTTAATTATCCAGGATTTATTCACAGTTTTAAAATTAATTACTGTTTTCTACTTTTATTCTTATAAATTAATTAACTTATACACCTTGTTTAAAGACGGCCGAGGATTTCCACCTCTGCAAGCTCATCACCCTCAAAGGGCTCCGCTGATACCTCTGCCTCGCTTCAGGCTCGACTACCTGACTTGCTCCCGGCGCGTCCGTTTGCTTTCGGCTGGAGCCTGGGGCGTAACTCCCAGTTTCAAGCTAGGCACCTGTTGTCTTCTGAGTCTCTAATTCGAGTAGGGATCATACCTAATCTTGCGGAAATGGCTGACTGTGCCCTTTCCAACTCAATGTCAGGAGGAAAAACTCATGTCCCAGGTATTATACTCTGTGGCATGAAGAAAACCTCTGCCGGTATACTTTAAGGATGCCGGACCTTTATCTCGACTTGGTTCCTCCACCTGGGTGTCCCTGCAGGTTTTGAGGAAATTGCGCCAAGAGGTTGGGTGGTCACCTCCGCCATATTAATGTATATTACTTTTATTCTTATAAATAAACTAAATTTAATTTAGTTGCGGATTTAATATTAATTATAGCAAATTAAACTTAAAAAGATTTTATTATCTTTATATACAGAAAATAAAGAGCCTTACATTATAAAACATAAATTTACATATTAAATTAATTTTTATTTTTTCGTGTGTGAAATAAAATTGTTTTTGCTTGGATGTCATAGGTAAGTAAAAAATATTATAAAATATAGATTCAACGTACTATTTTTTTGTTTACATAGCACTTTTCCATTTAAAATAAAATACTTATAGGTAAATTTTTGATTTTTGGAGACATTATTATATATCAAAGACAGTTATATATAAATTCTTATTTTTACCTATAAAAAAAATTTAACTAAAAAAGGGAATTTTGCACCGTTTAAATTTTTTGGCTCAACCATAAATTTCAATTAAATCAATTATAAATAATAAGATTGAAGACTTATTCTTTAAAACAAAAAGTTTATAGCCTAGCATCTTTGATAAAATTTTGATGGAATGTGTAAGTTTTAAAGATTATCTAAATTAGGCCTATAAATAATCTCAAATCAATATTTTAAAATTAGATCAATATATTCCTTCAATTTTTAAAAGATTCATACTTAAAGTTAGAGAAAAGATAAATTAAGTGATTAAGGAATCCTCAATTTTATCATGATATGCCAAGATCTATGTCCATGGCTATCTGCCCAAGCAATAAACAAATAAAATCATGAGAGAATTCTTTGCTTCATAATCTAGTTTGGGCGACTCTCCACATTTTACTTGGAACTCTATCATTTAAGAAGGGCTTTATATAATTAATGCTTAACGCCATATAAGGGAGAGGCTAGAACTCAACTGGCCAGGAACTGAATTAATTTCCTCTGATCCTTATCCCCAAGCAATTGTCTTTTCTTCCTTAGCTTCATATTTCTCCTGGCACGCTTGACAGTAGTCAAAATCTGGGCAATGAGCACACTTATACCTTGTCCCAGCGACAGTCCCATCACAATGTCCTGTATTTCTATTATCACACCCACACCAGTGCTTCTTGTCTTCTTGATCCTCTGCAAATTCAGTTTTCTCATGGGTGCTTGCTCCAAACTTCAAAAAGTCGAGTTTTTGAGCTGCTGGGTGAATAAAAATGCAGGATAATTAATAAGGCGTATCAAATTGGGTCTGACCGGAATGCCAGACAGTCTCGAGCCCTATTTAAATTATACCCGGCAAGGTTTTGCTATACCAGAGATAGACAGCTATGCTAGGTAAGCAATTCTAGCAGTGAGCAGAGCCTAGCCCTAGTCCGTTTTCAGGAATTGATTTTATCTCATGGGAAGGAGAGCGCAATAGTTTGAAAGGGAAAGCCCAGCAAAGTCTTTAAGGCTATAAGGGCAAGTACCTAGCGTGAAACCGAAAGTTACACCTAGGGCTATGTATTTTTCCTTTTGCCGAGAAATACATTTTTTGGATTTTAGCAGACACATCTTGGTGAAATAAAGCAGGTCGGCCCAGCGACTTGTGGGCCCGGTGTGGGAAAGACAAAGCGGGAAGCTCTAGATTTAGGCAACCCATAAAAGGCAAAAAAGTTATAAATATCAATCTAATGAATAACAAATACAGAGTGAGGGTGGGCAAATTTGGCAGAGCCAGCTATGCCTTCTTTGACCACTTTTTCGCAATTTTCACAATGGTAATGCTTTGGATCACAGTATAAGCACTGATATTGAATATCATTAGGTGTTAATGGAGCATTGCAAAGGTTGCATTGGTTGCCTCTTTCACAAGACGCTTCAGCAGGAATAGCCTTTACTCTTATTTCAGCTTCTGGGAATACATCTTTTACTTTGTCAGCAAGAGAAGCCGCTACATCTTTTTCAGTTGCTGAATATTCACCGTAAATGAAGGATTCTTGAGTTTCTTCATGAGAATCAGCTGTTTGTGATAATTTTGCATCAAAATTAATTGTAGGAGGTTCAATGTATGGGTTTGCTGATATAAACTCTTCATAAACTTTTTTCAATGCTTCGATTCTTCCGTCATATTCTTCTTTGCTTATCAGATGAACTTCTCCTTGTTGATATTTAGTTGGGAATGGCTCTCCTTTTAATAAAGCATCAACATCATATTCGGCATAAAACTGGCATAGAGAACCAACCTTTCCTTTTAACGACGTAGTTATAAGGGTAGCTGGGAACTTTTAGAGGGAGATTTGTGCGTAAGATTCGACCGGGTTAATGCCTGTTTGGTGAACAACGCCAGACTAAGGATACAGCTCAAACTAAGGGCAACCCTATCCCAAGACCAGATTGAACTTGGAATTTAGAAAAAGAAATACCAGAGGTGGTCACATAGCCAATAGGGACGAAATCTAGATACCAGGACTTGCGCCCAGGACTATGAGTTTCAGCTCATCGACTGGCTGACCAGAAATTTACTTTTGAAATAGTTAGTTCGCTGACGTGTATAATAGTAATCTACAATCGTTACTGTCAGGTTGAGAGTGCAGGCCGCTGTCCAAGAGGAGCACGCAGTTTTAGGCCATGCTTGGGACTAGCAAAAAACAGTGGAACTAAGCAAAAAGACGTGAAAAGCAAATTCAAAAGGGCCTATTAGGAAGCTTTTCATAATAATTTAAGCTATGTAAGTCAACATCTTGCTCGAATTTTCTTTCACTTGGATGTCCTTTCCAAAGAACTTTTCCTTTGTGAACTAGCACACAAGTAGGAATCCCATCAACTCCAAAAATTTGTGGAGCTGATTCGTCAAATCCTTTAGGACCAGCCCACAAGTTCCTTACCAAAGTCCATCCTCTTTGATTATATCTTTCAATTACCTCATCTTTCCCATCATCCAAAGAAATTGCTAAGATAACAAATTTGCCTGCCCATTCTGGATGGCTTGCAAGCATATCTTGATTATGCTGCATTGGCTTTTGGCAAGGTCCGCACCATGTTGCCCAGAAATCGATCAAGTAAACATTGCCATCATCTTCTCGCCATGTCAAAGCGACAGCTTCTTCTGTATTTGTATCCAAAACATTTAGGGTAGGGCAAGGATCTCCTACTTCAGGAGGAGGTGGAGGTAAGGATAAAGGACTCCCGGCGATTCCTTCGTTTATTAATTTTTCTAGATCTACCTTACTCCGGCTTTATATTGGAAATGAAAATCAGAACAAAATTTTAATGTTAATAGCGAAAAATATTAAATTCTATTCATACTCAGTTTAATGTCATCAAAATAAAATTTTAACTATAGCTTTTTCTAATTTAAACGGGCAGCGCAATTTAAATAACTATGCTTTGAATCACTATTTTTAAAAATATATTTAATTTATAATAAACAATCCTTAAATTCGATAAAGGTTTTTAGTTCCAATTTAAGAGGTGGTGTTAGCTGGATGGCCAGACCATAAAAGTTTTCCATTGCGAACTAAAAAGCAGGAAGGAATTCCTTCAATTCCTAAGCTTTTAGCTGAGGTACTACCAAATCCTTCTGCGCCTGCCCAATATGAAGTAATTTTGTTCCACCCTTTTTCTCTCATTCTGGCATCTGGATCTTCTTTGGTATCATCCAAAGAAACTGCAATGATTTCAGCAAGTCCTTCCCAGCTAGGGTTTCTTTCAAGCATTTCTTGGTTATGCTTCATAGGCTCTTGGCAAGGCCCACACCATGTAGCCCAAAAATCCAGTAAATAGAGTTTATTGTCCTCAGGATTGAAATTCAATGTAACTGCTTCACCGTCGGAAACCTTATAAACTGAAAGTGATGAAAACGAATCTCCAGCTTTAGGAGCAACTTCAATATAAAGGCGAACGCTCTTTTCTTCTTCAGAAAGCTGCGATTCAAGCTGAGACACCTGGGAATAGTTCCCTTTTCCATTTATGGTATTCCATATGTTTTCTTTTACATCCTTCCCTGAAAAGCCATAATGCTTTTTGGAGTTAAACTTAAGGCCAGAGATGCCTAAATTGGAAGCTTTTGCTATGACTGAAGAGCCAGTCGCTAATAGGTCGCCAAACATTTATTACCATTAATAGGATTCTGTCAGCTTATAAGGCAAATAAAATGGATGATTATTTCCGGCCTTAGCCACTGATGATGTGCCAGAAAACTTAGTATTTTTAAAAAGCTTTTGCATTAGTTTTGATAGAAAAAGGTTTATTATGCATTACAAATGGCAAATTTCAATCAATGAAATAATAAAAAATTATTAGCTATTGAATATACAAAAGATAAGCATTTTAGGATTAAGATTATTAACGATTAGGTTGTCCTTGCTTAAAGTTAATCCCAAGGCAAACTTTCAAAGAGGTCTGCTCAGCTGCGCGCGAACTTCGCTAATTTCGTAATGCCGGCTTTTGGCCTGACTCGAACCTTGGAGTACATATTAAGAGGCTTGATGGCTGGTCAAGCATGAAACCTCCTCGACACTCTGGCCAAACCCTGCTAAGTCTATCCCTACTAGCTCTATTGACTCTATTGGAACAATTTTGTCTACTAGCTCTCGATAACTGTCTGGAATCTTGAAGTCTGGCTCTATTTGGGCTACTGGCTCTACTATATAAATATCATATATATTTGATACTAGAATTTAATTCTCAACTCTAATATTATACAAAATTACTATGAGTAGCCCGAATTGGGCTATTTAGTTGATCCAGTGCTTTTTTCATAACTTGAAGCCTCGTTTAAATTTGCTTTGTGAATTTGCATTTCTTAAATTATTTTGTTCTATAGATTTTTAAGTAGATGTAGGACTTAGAGTAAAACTGTGCTAGGCTGATGCATTAGATGGAGTTTATATATATATGTCATACAAATGAATTTAATTTTCAGATTAAAATATTTAATCGCTGATTCCCATATTCAGTATCAGCATAGATAGATGCTTTTAAAGCAAAATCTTTTTAGCATGATAAGAGCATGCATTAAAATCGGCCATTTTGTTGTGAAGAGATTTCAACGATAATTTTAGATAAAATTATAATATACAACTTTCACCACTGGTATTTTGTTCATTGCAGAGATAATCTAAAGTTATTAAAAAATCTAACAATAATAAATATCTAGGCAATTCAATCATTTAATCTTAAGGATATAATTAAGCAAAAAAAATAAATTATAATAATACAAATTCCAAAATAAGAAAGAAAATAAAATGTTATTTGGCCTTGATATGCAGATATTTTTAGAAATTAAAGTTTCAAAATTATATAAGGGCAATCTATTTCATTATTATAAATGTATGTATTTTCAGTAATAATGATATTTTATTTTAATAAAAATTTTAAGCGATAAAGAATAAATGAACTTAAAATCCCATTTATAATAAAATGTCTGCATATAAATTATAAAAGGTGCTGGCTAAAATTTCATAAGAAATTTTTAAAAATAAATAGTAATTTATCTCACTTCAAAACAAATATAGCAAACAAAACTTGTATATTATAATTTAATTGATTATTATAAAATTAACCCCCTCCGCGAGAGAAAAAAAATTTTTGTTCACTCATAGAGAGGGGGAATTAATATAGATTTTTCAGCTTAAAAGAAATTTCATCTAATCTTTCCTCTTATCTATATGATTTTCTTTGGATTATCTGAAAAATTTCAAATTCTACTAATGAATGATATCAATATCAAGAAGAATGCTCTTTCTTCTTCAGAAAGCTGCAATTCGAACTGAGATACTTTCAACGAGTTTGTTATCCATTTAAGCAAACAATACACTCCATTTTGCATCTTTCCCTAAAAAGCAATAATGCTTTGGAGCAAAATTTAAAATCTTATCATTAATTAGAATTAATTGCTTATGAGGGCGATAATTTCTAACTTTCGCTTAATTATTAATGATAATATAAAACAATGAAATAAATAAAGACTTGAAAGACTTACTTTCCTTCTTCCTTTAGGAATGAGCAAAAGGATTTACACTTATATAAGGGTTTATTTTTTTGAAGTAATACTTGAATAGAATGGTTTAGAGACTTTAAAACAATCCCAATTTGCAAATAGTTAAAAATATTTTATTTATTATAAAAAATTAATATTTATAATTCAACTTAAAAAATTATAAAAGTTAAATAAATCAATAATGATATATATAAAATATTTAGATAAAATAATTGATATATCAAAAAGATAATTTCCCAAAAATTCTTTAAATGGTTTGTTCTTACTTAATTAGTGAGAGTTATTTAGCCTATTTTTAAGGCATTCTCAGCTTGATCATGATATGCCAAGGCAAATGTCCATGGCTTTCTGCCCATTCAACTGTCTTTTCATCACGAGTCTCATATCTTTCTTGGCATTTTTGGCAATAATCAAAATCTGGACAGTGGGCACATTTATATCTATTTCCAATGACAGTTCCATCACAAAGCCCTGCATTCCTGTTGTCACACGAGCAACAGTGTCCCTCACCATTTTTGTCTTCACAATACTCAGTCATGTCATAGCGGTTTGCTCCATATCTTAAATTATCCAATTTTTGGGCACCTGGATGAATAACAAACGTAAAATGAGGATGCGCAAATTTCGCAGAGCCTACTACACCTTCTTTGATTATTTTTTCGCAATTATCACAATGATAGTGCTTTGGGTCACAATATAAGCATTCATATTGAGTATCGTTAAAGGTTAGTGGAGCATTGCATAGATTGCATTGAGACCCCCTTTCACAAAATGCTGCTGGAGGTTCAAACTTAAGCCTTATATCAGCTTCTGGAATAGCATCTTTTATTTTTCTAGTAAGAGAAGAAACTGCGTCTTTTTCACTAATTCTTCATTAATTAAATTTTTAATTGGATTTTCTTTATTTTTTTATCACAAATGTTTTTTGAATAAAAATATTTTAGTATGTTTTAATTAGAAGAGGATTAAGAGAATATTCTCCCCAAATAAAGGATTCTTGTGCTTCTTCTTCAGAATCAACTTTAAGTGTTAATTTGGCATCAAAATTAATGACAGGACGTTGAGTATATGGATTGTCTGATACGAATTCTTCATATGCATTTTTCAATGCTTCAAATTTTCCATCTAGCTCATCTTTACTCATTAGATAAGCTTCATTTGGATATTTTTTCGGTAGTGGCTCCCCTTTTAATATAGCTTCTAAGTCTAAACCGAGCTTTCTCCCACTTGGATCACCTGAGAAAACAATTTTACCATTTTGAACTAGCACACTATAAGGCATGTTTTCAAGCACAAGAGCTTTTGGTGCTGGCCCATACCATGTCTCTGATCCTGCCCACAAGTTTTTAATTAAATTTCACCCTTTATCTTGGAAATTCCCAACAATTTCTTCTCTGTATGAGTCTATTGAAATTCCTAAAACAAAGAATTTATCTGCCCATTCCTGATGAGTAGCAAGAATTTCTTGGCAATTTTGCATACATTTTACACTATTTTCACTCCAAATAGCCCAGAAATTTATTAAATAAATTTTGCCGTTATCATCTGCCAATGAAAAATCTACATCTTCTTCTGTATTTGCATCTACAGCGCTAAATGCAGGGCAAACGTCTCCAGGTTTTAGCGGAAGTGGCGGTAATGATAAATGACTCCCTGAAAGTCCTTCATTTATGACTTGTTCTAAATCTACCTTCCCAGGAGCTCCTCTCCACAAGATTTTTCCTTGATGCGCTAAAACATAGGTAGGTATTTCATCAACTTTTAAGCTTTTTGGCGCTTTTGTATAATATGAGTCACTGCCTGCCCAGTATGAAGAAATTTTATCCCATCCTTCATCTTTCATCTTCCTTTCTGCCTCAGCTCTGGTATCATCAATAGAAATTGCAATAACTTCAACGCGTCCTTCTCAGTCAGGGTTTCTTTCCATTATTGCTTGGTTATACTTCATAGGCTCCTGGCTTGATGGGCTCCAGGACATTCAAAACATATATAGATAAAATTTGCTATCATTAGAAGTCTTAACTTAACTTACTACTTATAACGCTTAACGTCCACTACGGGGTTGGCAAAGCCCAGACCTCCGCTCGCCTTTCGCCGCATCGGGCCCACAGACCTCTGGGCCGGTCCGCTTCGATCACCAAGGTGCGCCTAGGGGAAAGTGTTGCCGGCTTCGACGGCGCTATCATTAGAAGTCAATATAACTTCTTCGCCGTCGGAAAGTTTGAAGACTGGAATTGGAGGAAATGGGTCTCCAGCTTTATGTGCCACATCAATATTAAGTTCTACTTTCTTTTGTTCTTCAGAGAGCTGCGACTCGAGCTGAGAAATTTGAAAATAGTTCCCTTTTCCACTGAATGAAAGGGATACATTGTCCGAAACCTCCTTTCCAGAAAAGTGGTAATGCTTTGTGGAATAGAAAGTTGGGTTTAAGATGCCTGAATTTGAAGCTTTTTTTAAGACGGAAGAGCCAAATTCTAGTAGGTCGCCAAACATTTAATGTTATTGATCAAAGTTTAAAAAAAGTCCACAAAATTTCTAATAATTTCGGCCGTTTTTATCAGTTCAGATTATAAAGAATCTAAATATTCATTATATTGTGTAATCAATCAAAATTTGTATTAAAATGAATAGAAATTATAATTTTAGGGCTAAATTTTTTATAAATCTGATTGAGTTACTTGTGAATGATGCATCCACATAGAAAAATAAATAGATATAAGAATTTTTTATTTTTTACTTATTATCCTGCCAGAGCTCAAGAAAGTTTAAGGATGAGATTTATAACTTTAAATTTTCGAGCGTGTGCATTTCTAGTATTTTTAAGAATAGCCAGTTAAGACTTGATAGCCTTTCATTATTGCTCTAAAAATAGAATTATGACAAGATGACTCTATTCGATTAAAAGTTTTACACTTTATGATTGGGTAAGCAGAGCGCATCAATTGTAGCTTACTCTCTCTACCCCAAGGGGCAAATTTTTTCGCATATGAGGAAGGTTAATTTTTTTAAAAATTTTTAGTGATTCCATTATAAAAGCATTAAAAAATTTTTCTTGTGCTAGGGGGTGCTATTTGAAATCATTACTCAATCATAAAAAGGGAGAGTAAGATAATAAATCTGCACACTACTTCTGAATGGCTTGCAAGCATATCTTTAGGATGCTACATACGCTCTTCGCAAGGTCCGCAGCATGCTTTCCAGAAATCAATTAAGTAAACTTTGCTATTATCTCTTCTGTAATATGTACAGTGCTATGCACAGTATCAAGGACAAACTAGCAAGGAACTCGAGTTATAAATACCTAAAGAATTAATGTATAAAATTTATCCAGTCTAAAATAAATATAAGTCTAAATTTTAGATAAGAGTTTCTATAATCTTATTCAACTGCTTATAATAATAAATAATGGTATCGGAATATGCTTTTTCTGAAAACTTTTACGTCCTCTAGAGTTTTATCATTGTTTTTCAATGCACCACTAATCAGCTATACCAGGCCGGGAACACTAGGAAGGGTAACTCTCCTTGGTGTTTTAGAAGACAGTATTAAACCGATTGTCCACCGATATATAGAACCCTATGAGGAATACATATAAGAGTTAAGTAATAGCCTGCTCAAGTCTACCGGCGTCTGTCAAATGAAGCTTGGTATGAAAGCTTTAGTAGTCAGTCAAGATGGTCTCTAGCCTCACGATTCGGGTGAATAAGGAGGCTAACACCTCTGAAGTTGTAATAGGCATCTCTAATTTAAACCAGATTCAATTGCTAGAGTACGTTATAACAAAGAATAACAAATCTAATTATTAGGCTAAAAATTCATTACTGCTTCATTACCATCCTGCTAACATTCTACTTAAATTTTTAAGTTTTGATAGGCATGATTCTGAACATTTCTTATATATATTAAATTTATGATTCAAGACCTTGAAAAATTAATTGAAATCCCAGAAAGTCTAAATACAGTCGAAAGCGTAACTGAGCTATTTTCTACTTTAAGTGTGAAAAAATTTCAGCTTTATCCTGATTCTTTGATACAAACAGAATTACAAAGGGCAAATCTCACTGAAGATGACTCTATCAAATACGCTGCAACTTTAATAAATTCTAGCATAAGCACTCAACAAATGACTGGAGCTGTCATAATTCGTCGTCTTCTCTCCAAAGAAACTGGGGTTCCTTTTCAAAAAGTCATTCAAGCTAATATTCTTCCTACCCTTATCCAACTAATCCCATTCTCTGATGAACAATTTTCATGTGAGGTTTTATGAATTATCTCTAATTTCACTGCTGGTGATAAAAACTGCGTGGATTATTTATTTTCTCAAAGATCGTTGGAATTATTCAACTTTTTTTTGGAAAAAAGCAGCTCAATAAGGATTTTTGAACAGATGATGTGAGCAGTTGGAAATATTGCTGGGGAAGGACCTGCTTATAGAGATGAAATACTTTATCAAATTAATATAGCTTATGTATCTCTATAGATCGCATGAGCAAAAAGACAAAAACTACCCTAGTTGGAAGATTGCCTATTGCTGATTTTTTGTCAATTGGCTAGGTCTTATTATAGCTATAGCTATGCTTGAACTATATTCAAAAAATCATTTATTTCCTGAATACTTTTGAAAACGATTTCTCAGAAAGAAATATCAAAACGATTGCATGGTGCATATATAATTTAATTGCAACTAAGCCGCTCCCAGATTCTAATAAAATCAGCTTATTTCTTCCATTTTTGCAGAAAATCATAATAAAGCATCCTCGAGATGAAGAAACTTTGGCTGATGCAATGAATTCTTATGCTGTTATAACTGATAAAATTTTCGACTTTGAAAATTGCTTTAACAGTCAATTTTTATACGAAATTCTTTCTCTTTTAGATCATAGCAACACCAAAATAACTTTATTTTCTTTAAGAACAATTGGAAATTACTCAACAGGTGAAAAAATTGACAGAAATTTTATATTGACTTCAGGTTTATTCCCAAAGCTAATTCAGTTTATAGATTCTGATAATAAAGCTGCAAAAAGAGAGGCATATTGAGTACTGTCGAATCTATATACCTTTTAGCAAGCTTAAAATTTGAGCTTTAATTTAGGAGAATTATTATATTATTAAAAAAAGAAAATTTTTTAATTAGCATTGGTATAGTTTTAGTTGGCAATTCTTGTTTCAGCCAGTTAATAAGTTCATTGTTTTTTGAAAAATTTAAAAACACATTCGAATTTGACAGTGATGAAGTGATAAAAGAAGCTATTTGGGTTGTTTGTAATTTTTCTACTGTTTGCAATTTTGAACAAGCTAAATGAATTATTGAGAATGGGATTTTAGAAATAATTTTGAGAAAGCTGCTCATAGGTTCTGTTAATGTCAATGTAATCTTTGAGGGGGTTTTAAATTATTTTAAATTTGTTCAGCAAATGGATACAAAAGAAATTTTAAAATATTCTGAAATACTAGAAAATGCCAAAATTCAAATAGGAAATAATAAAATACTTGAAAGTATTTTACAAAGACTGAGGGATATAGATATCAGTAACGATATTTCTATGACTTAGCAATCATAATTATTTTTATTTATTGCAAATTAATCTCTAACTCCCCCACCCATTTATAACGAACAAAACTGTCATTTTTTTTCCCTAAAAATTTTTTCTTAGGCCCCATTTAATAACGAACAAAATTTACTATAAAATTTATATATAACCTAATTTAGTCTTTATATAGTACCCCCCCCCTCGTTTGTCGCATTTTCTAGTTTTTTTTTAAGGGAAAAAAAAATTTACAGGACCTCGTTTGTCGCATTTTCTAGTGCAAATACATTTGTCGCAATTTCTAGTTTTTTTAATTTTTTTTTGATGTCGCAAATCTTAGTTTTTTTAAAAAATAGTTTCTGATTAATTTAATTGAGTAATTATAGAGGAGTTTACCTTACATTTGCCTGCAGAGAGGGTTAGCAGGCCCGAGTCCTTCCCACTTTACTCTCCCCTTTTTAGAGAATAGATTAAATTAGCTTATTAACTCCATTCTCCTTGCGCTTCAATGACCTGCCTTGCTCTTTCATTTTTCACCTTAAGAATGGAATTTTGCACTTCCTCAAAAGAAATTTTCGTCCCATGACTCCTGAATGGCAGCAATTAGTCTGCTTTGCTGTCAGGCCTTCTTTTCTCCACTTTCCTCTTCAAATTGGCCCAGATCATCTCAATTGGATTGAGATCTGGGCTCTTCGGCGATTGAGTCTTCACATCAATCCCGTTTTCTCTGCAATATTCCATAGTCTGCCTTGCAGTATGGGCTGTTGCCCCATCCTGAACGAAGGTGTAGTCTCCATCTAAAGGCTCAATATAGCCCTGGAGAATGTCTCTGATATAGACCTGGGCATTGATTGCATACTTCTCCTTCTTTATGAAGAGCATTTTGCCAAAAACGATAGAAATTCCTCCCCAGATCATAATTGAGGTTTTTCAATTGATAGGCTCTTCAATCGTTGCGTTTATCCCTTCTTTGCACAAATTAGAGTTACGAAAGAGATGCACATAGCACTCATCACTGAAGATCCATGAAGCGATATCTGAGTCAATCAAAGACCTAGCCCAGGACATTCTCTGCTCTTTATGAGCTTCAGTTAGCTGTAGAACAACCCTCTTCTTCCTATAGACATATCCCCTCTTCTTCAGCTCTTTTCCTAGCTGTTCTTCGCTGATGTCAACTGTCTTTCTTTTGAATTGGGCCCTCAAACTTGCCTTGCTGACAAAGCCTGTATCCTTCTCACATTCCTTAATGACCTCAGCAAAGTCTTCATCACTTCAATGCTTTAGGGGAGATCTGGATAGTGCCTCTTCTCTTCCAGCCGCTTCGTCAGATTCACTCTCAGTATTGTCTGCAGCAATTCGCTCAATAGTCCGTTTAGAAGTCCCCAAGATTGTCGCAAGTTCTTCGTTTTTAAAGAAACCTACGTCAATGATCCTCTTGACTATGCTCTCTCCATCATTCCATTTTCTTAGGAGGAGGCGATAGTCCATGGTCCACAAGCTTCCGCCTGAGCTCTAAAGTGTGCTCTTCAGGATTGAACTTGTTGGTGTAGTGCCTGATCGTCGTCAGGCTCATGTCCTTGCCACAAGCAGCAAGACGCTCTTGATCTGCTTTGCATTGAGCCTCTCTCCATAGGCCATGCTTTGAATCATTGCCGGGATTTTTATCGGCTGGTCCTCAGTTTCGCGCAACTCCATTAATTAATATGGAAGACTAGAAATTAAGCTATCAAATAAGGAAATAGGCATGAAGATAGGGGAATAAGAATGGTGAATGGCAAGTGGTGAGGCTTAAGCAATGGGAACAGGTAATGGGGAAGCAAGCTGTGGGGATTGAGGAATGGGAGCAAGGATTTTGAAGGAAGAAATGATGAAATTTCACTAACTGATCCCTTGACGAATTTTAATTTTTAGGAATTTATAGAGAGAAAAAAAAACTAGAAAATGCGACAAGCGAGGTCCTGAACCGATTTTTTTTTTGGCTTAAAAAAAAACTAGAAAATGCGACAAATGAGGTCCTGAAAATTTTTTTTTCTCTTATAAAACAAACTAGAAAATGCGACAAATGGCAAAAACTAGAAAATGCGACAAACGAGGGGGGGGGGGGGGTACTATAGTTTGCTAATTTTTAAGTAGTTAGAATAAGATAAGGATTATAATCGAGGAAAGAATAATAAATAAGAGCTAATAAGTTAATAGTGGCGTAATCTTAAGCTGATGCTTTACTACCCCGCTCCGTGAGTGAACAAAAAAAATCTCGTTCGCTTACGAAGGGGGTTAAATTTTTTATAAAAACAAAATTTTTTTTTCGAAATTTAAAAAAATCCTAATTCGCAAAAATTGGGAAAGCAAATATTAATTGAATTTGTAGAATTTATGTTTTAAAACGTAATTTGTTTAAAATTAAACAGAATTAGCTCCAGATTTCATAATAATTATCATTTATATATAAAAATTTTTTCCATAAAAAATTTTTTCTATTAAAAAAAAAATTTATTCGCTAACGGAGGGTGAGGGATTTTTCTAATGGTTTTATTCGCTCACGGAGGGGGTGGAGAGTTAGCAATAGTTATCTTTTCGCTTTCATTAAGGCGCTTTCTCTTTCTGTTGCCCTTTTATTATTAACTCTTTAATTGAAATTTTTTATATAAAAAATTCATAGATATTTAATATAAATTTTATATATATTTTTCTAAAATATTTAATAAGTTAGACCCATTTAATAACGAACCAAAAAAGTGAACGTTATTAAATGGGGGGAGAGAGTAACAGATTATTATGATAAATATCTTTCTTAATACCTTAATAAATATAAATCTCAATTTAAATGCAAAAAAAGCTCCTAATTCTATTAAATTGTGCGCAATCTTTATTAGATAAATTTAACTTATGGATAAAGTTTTAGATTTAATACTTAAAACCTTATGGAGACTTATAAAAATCCACAAATAGAAGGTGTCACTGAATTATTTTCTATATTGAATGTTCAAACAGTTCAAGATTATCAAGACAATCTGAAAGAAACTGAACCAGAAAACGCAAATCTCTCGGAAGATGACGTTTTAAAACACGCTAAACAATTAATAAGCTCTAGCATAAGTAATCAGCAGCTAGCTGGAGCTTTCATAATGCGCAGTCTAGCCAACAGAAGTTTCTATTCAAAAAATTATTCGATCTATTGTCTTGCCATTACTTATTCAATTAATTCCAAGCTCTGATGAGCCTCTTGCATTTGAGATTTCATGAATTTTAATAAATATCTCAGAGGGCGATAAAGCCTGCAATGAATATCTCATTTCCTTAAACTACTAGACTTTTTCAACAACTTATTACAGAAAAGCTGCTCGATAAGAACTTTTGAACATATAATGTGGGCAATCGGAAATATTTCTTTAGCTGATATTTCTTATAGAGATTTTATATTACAGAAATTAGATTTCCAAAGAATTAACTCACATATAAAAATCAATTTTCAATAGAAAATTTAAAAACTATTACAAGGTGTATAAAATGTTTAACCTTTGAAAAAACAAATCTTGATTTTAACAAAGCCAAAGCATTTATTCCTTTTTAAGAAAAATAATAATAAATATAGGGCTTTCCCTAAATAATCTTGTAAGGGCTGTGGATTCTGGGGGCAACTCAGTACGTTAGTCGGAACAACTCACTTGCTGGTTCCACCAACCAAAGAATTCCATCCAGAGTCCACAGCCCTTACAGGGCTATCTCGGGGAAGCCCCTATACACTTGATGATGATATTTTAGTAGAAGCATTAGACTAGCATTCTAGGGCAACGATAGGCATCTCTAATATGAAGCTTTATTTTGATACTGAACTTTTAGATAGAATGGTATTTTCGCTAGACAACCCAAAGGCGGAAATTAGCTTATTTGCATTGCAAAACATCGGAAACTATATAACGGAAAGTGTAAGCCAGATTTTGTAATAAATACGCGATTATTGATAAAAATAATTGAATTTATGGACAGCAAATTTGAAATAATAAGAAAAAATGCATACTGAGTGCTATCAAATATAGTTAGAGATAGCAATGTATATTTTAGCTACTTAATAAATTTAAATTTTTTTGAAAAATTCAGATATAAATTAAAAAAAGATGAATAAAACATCATAAATGAAGCCATCTGAGTATTTTGCAATCTTTCAACAGTTTGTGGCTCTGATCAAGCTAAGTGAATTATAAATAATGGGCCTAGATTTAGTTTTACAAATTATTCATAAACTCTACTATTTGTGATACCATTTTTCAAGCACTTTTATGCTTATTCAAATTCAATATTTCAGTTGAAATAGTAAAAATTCAGTTTTACTTACTCCCCCCTCCATGAGAGAACAAAAAAATCACGGAGGGGGGTTAAACTTTATTTAAAAAAAATCCCACATCGCAATAATTGCAAATTAATTTAATTTGCAAATTTTATGTTTTAAAACGCAATTTGTTAAAATTAAACAAAATTAGCTCAATGCTTTATTATGCAAATTATCACTTATAATTCAAAAATTTTTTTTTTCGCTCACGGAAGTTGGATTTTTTGGGAAAAAAGGGAATTTTCTGATGGTTTTGTTCGCTAACGGAGGGGCTAGTTAGAAATTCTAAAAGCTGCTGAAGTCTTAATAGGAAAAAATAATCAGAAATTAAATAAGATTTTGCATGGACTGATTGAAATAAAGGAGGAAAATGAAGGTTTTATAATAGATAATTAATATAAATGTAATATATCTTCGAATAAAAACTCAGGAGGATACAGTGATGATTATTGTGAGTGTCTAATTATAGACTATAGCTTCTTCCTGATACTGGGTTTGCTTAATGAAAAGTATTCCAGTCCACCACTCTCTTGTCGAGTCAATGAAAGAAGTGAATAAGGTGGATTTAGCTAAATATGCCATCTTTCAATTAGTTTGTCTGCCTAAGTTAAAGATAATCTGAAGAGGAATTTTCTTCCAAGCTTGATCCAAATTGAAGAAATGATACATTTTATTTAAATTATATAGCATATTTATATGGAAAGTTTCTATTCTAGATAATGGAAAAGGCAATGAATAAGAGATTGACTTTGAATTTTCGTCTGATGATTTAAATTATTCTATAGCTTTTAGGTTAAGCTTATTAATTAAAACTTAATGAGAAAATACTGATACTTTAGACTTATTTAAAATTTTAGGATTTAGCCGATATTTTTTTGTATAGATTAATTTGCTAGCCAATTTATCTCAAAGAATATATCTGAAGGTATTTCTTTGGTTGAACTGCATATCATTTTAAATTTGAATTTTTAATGGAAATAAGGAAATTCTAAAACATTTAGAGCAAAAGAAAATTATAAATCTAAAATGATTTTTGAGCAGCTTCAAAATGCTTCATGATTCATAGCTAAAATAATATTTGATCATTAATAAGTATTTTCTAAAACAAACCATAAACTGCTCTTGTTTAAAATTCTTTTTAAAAAGGCGCACTTTTATTAATCACTCACCTTTATTTTTCCATTTAAATAATTTCCTCCACTATCCATCTATCTTTTAAATATCCAATTCCAATCCCTTACTCCTTATGACTTAAATGAAATAAGGCCAATAATTTTCAAATGGCAAAATTTGGATTTCTCATACTTTCCTTCTTAGGTTTTGCTATTGCTCTAGACACATCAAGTTGTAGGTTAATTTCTTGTGGTAGCGAAGCTTCTACTGGCGGAAATTGTGTCACAGCCTCATCAACTGACATAACTGTCAGCCCATGCCCATCAAGCGACTATTGCAGCAATACAGCCCAATTTGAAGACAGGAGCGGGTGGGCCAATGCAGTCTGCCAAACAACACCTATAGTAAACGCTACCGAAAAAGAATGTCCAGGCAAGCACACCCTTGTAACCTGGGATCGTTGCTGCAGAGACAAAGACTGCTACAGCCACAACTGCACAAGTGACGACCGGTGTGACCCAGTCCTAGAAGGTGGAACTTGCACAGCTGACGAACACTGTGACGCTTTTCATTACTGCGGGTCTGGGGTTTGCACACCCACATTATCAGAAAATTCTGTATGCAGCTATGATAATATGTGCAACCCAGGGTTTGGCTGCAGCTATGGATACTGCACCCAGTATTGGAGTTTAGATATAGGAACCCTTGCGAGCGATGACAAGTTTTGCAAGACAAATTATAGAGATAAATACAATAAATGCGACGCTATAACTGTTTGGACTTCTACAGGAGAGACTATTGATAATTTTCCATGCACTGTGCCAGACACTTGCTCGTGGAAATCAATCACAACTGGTGACACTTTGGAGACAGCAGCTTGCCAATGTGGAGGAGCAGATGCCAAAAGTGGATTTTGCAGTGCTAGCTATCCAAACTTAGGCTGGGACGACGCATTGTACCCAAGGATGCAATATTATACTTCAGTATGTTCAGGAGCAAAAGCGCACAGCACAGATATTTCAACTCTGTACAGCTGTCAGTCTATTTGGAGGGACCAAAAGAACTTTTACACCTGGGTCCAAGCATTTTACACTTATTGGCCTCTTTACCACTCAGGAGTTATCGACAGTTGTGCTTTAGATCTGGACCTTTTCGACCCTGCTTATGATATGGATGCTTATGAATCCGCTGGATATTTTGTTGTAAGCGCAATTATCCTTTATTTAAATTAGATTAGTTAAAAATTATTTCAAATAATCATTTTCTACTCAAAAATCCAAAAATTTGAAATAAAATTTATTAAATAATAATTAAAACTTATTTTATGCCTATTAATTTTAAAATTCATGTTTAACTGATGACTTATCCATTTTACTTTCTAGATTTATTTTAAAAAGATTAAAGCAATCCTGCCTCTGCAAATAATACTGAATAGATTTGTAGGGGTATTTATAGGAATTATTATAAAATGCCAATAGAATAAGAACTGAGCTTGAAGCAAAAATATTAAATGCTTCAGCGAAAAAATTTCATATTTAATTCAGGATTGGGTGGCCTTCAGTGGCTACTTTTCAGCAATCTGTTTACCCAGTATTACAAAAATTCCATCACTTTGTATCAATATTTCCATAATTTCTATTGAAACCCAAAAGCTAGCCAATTTGTAGCTCACAATTTCCTCCAGACCGCGCATCATTTTTTAACGTAATTTCCCTTCCTTCTCTTTCCCAGCCTTTTTGCCTGAAAATCCTATTCCTTTCCTCAAAATACCTCAAACCCTCATCAGCCAACTTTAAATTCCTTATCTTTCTTCTACTTTATCTCTTACAAGAAAATAAGGCCAATAATTTTCAAATGGCCAAATTAGGATTTCTTATCCTCACACTCTTTGGGGTTGCTCTAGGTCTTGACACATCAAGTTGTAGGACGGTCTCCTGTGGCTCGACTGCAGCATCTGGTGGAAACTGTGTCACGACCACGACGAGCACAGTAACTGTAAACGATTGCTCCTCGGGCGAACATTGTGCAAACACGGCTCAATTTGGGGACAACAATGCCTGGACTGACTCTTTGTGCGTTGCGACCACTTCTACCTCCACCGATAACTGTGTAGGAGACGGCACTCTTGTGACCTGGGGCAAATGCTGTGTCGATGCTGACTGTTTTAGCGGTGATTGCGGCGTAAACAATCGTTGCAAGCCAGTTGCTGAAGGAGATGCCTGCACCGTCGACGAGCACTGTGATGGCTTCCACTACTGTGGATCTGGAAAGACCTGTGTTTCTACTGTCTCAGAAGGCAAACAATGCTCCACTTCGAATCAATGTGAGCCTGGCTATGGCTGCAGCTTGGGATTATGCACCCAATATTGGAGCCAAGCGATTAGCACCAAGGTCAGTGCTGCTTATTACTGTGAAACCAACACTATTGACGCTTACTACAACTGCGATAACTACACTGTCTCTGTAGACGGATCTAACCCCCTTGCAAGTCCTTACCAATGTGTCGTTTCCTCACAGAGCTGCATTTATAAGTCCTATACATCTTCAGCAACACATACTTTGGCTTGCCAATGCGGAGGAGGAGCTGATGCGACTGTAGGATATTGCCCTGTCCGCTATCCTTTGGAAGGAACTTATGAGAATTTTTATCCTAAATTCCAGTATTATACGACTGAATGCTCAGGAAGCAAGGCACATTCTCAAGACCCTAATGTTCTTTATGGTTAAGGGAAAAGGAATTTTTGATTTAGCTGGATTTTTTTTGTAAATTATTTAGGGAAAATAAATTTATATTAAAAAAGTAGAAGACATTCTTTATGACTGTGAATCAATTTGGAATGACCAATTATTGTACTGGAACAATGTCCAGGGAGCATGGCAAGACTGGGCTCTTTACAGCTCAGGAGTTATTGATGACTGCGCATCTGATATAGGAGTTTATGACCCTGACTTCGATGTGGATTCTTATGAAGCAGCTGAATTTATCGTGGTCTCAGCCCTTCTTTTACTTTATTCTTAAGATAAGCTAAATAAGTAGTTCAAAAAATCCTATTGTTAACAAATTAATAAAATTCTATGAAAATTAGTCAAATTCCGATTTTCTGAAGAGATTAAAGCAAATATGCTCATAGAAATAAGTTTTATTGCGAAAATTTTGCCAAAAATATTGAAAATTTTGATTTTGCTGAAACTACAAATGAAATTATTTTGAGTCGACAAAATTATTTTCAAGTTAAGCGAAATAATAAAATTATGAAATATGTAAAATATGCTCTTTTTGTGTTAGGAATATTGAAACTTATTAAGGGATATCTATTTGCTCATTAATCTTTCAAGGGACTGATGTCAAAAACAGAATTTTCTCAGTATAGCCTAAAAAGCTGTTGGATAGTAACTGTGTCAACTAATGGAATCAGCTTACTCCCCCTCCGTGAGTGAGCAAAACCATTAGAAAAATCCCTATTTTTTGCCCAAAAACTCACCTTCCGTGAGTGAAAAAAAAAAAAATTTTAAAAGAAAAAAAAATTATATAAAATGATAATTATTATAATGAAATCTCGAGCTAATTCTGTTTAATTTTAAACAAATTGCGTTTTAAAAATTAAATTTTATAAATTAAATTAATATTTGCTTTCCAATTTTTGCGAATTAGGATTTTTTTTAAATTCCGAAAAAAAATATTTTCTATAAAATTTATATATAAATTTTTATTTAAAAAAAAATTAACCCCTCTGTGAGCGAACAAAAATTTTTTTTTGCTCACTCACGGAAGGGGGGAGTTAGGATTTTGCAGAGAAACTTACTTTTCATAGGATTAATATTTGTTTTTATAGGGAGGAATTATTAAAAGTTCACGAATGTATTAAGAAATTTAAAGAATTTACAATTAAAAGTAATCGATAGTGAAAGACTTTTCATTATAAGCAAAGATCCTCAAGAATTTTTGAAAACATAAAGTCGCAACTGAAGGTTTAGATCAGTGTTGTGGTAAAATGTAGGATACAGAGCTAATGGGTTTCTCCATCATTTCCTGAAACTGAGATCCTAATATAGTTCTCTATATGTTTGGCCTAAGCTCTCTTTTTATTCCTCCTCCTTCAATCAGCGAGCAAATATTTTTGTATATTCACGGTTAATATTTTTTATATAATTGGAATGCGGAAATTAATTTAATTCGCTAGAATTAGCTAGATTTCTTGATAATAATTATAATTTATATGTTAAAGAATTTTGTTTGCTCACGGAAGGTGGGCTATTGGCTAAAAAGTAAGGATTTTCCAATGATTTGGCTCGCTCACAGAGCAGGCTGGAGTGAGCACTTTTTCATCTCCACTGAAAAAGCTTTATTTAAAAAAGAATTAAGCCCCGATAGAGAAACAATTTTTGTTTACAGGGGGGGTAAAGTAATTACTATTAATAAAAAAGAAGGAGGCACCTTATTTTCTGACTCACAGCTATTCTTAAAGTAGCAAAATAGATCATAGCATTTTAATCAAATTTCGATGATGTTCTTATAAGAATAACTCATAAGCTATAAAAAAAATTAACAAAATTTTTTTTACTCGTTAAAGACGGGTAGTAAGGAAAGTATAAAATTTCAGGATGACATTGTTAAGCACATCTACAACAACTTTTATGTCTTCTAAACTTAGCTTCCAACAATCTAAATTCAATATGCAAGTTTTATGTCATCTAATAGCGTTTATTATTTCGCTTCTGAAATCCATTTTATTTATAATCAAATCGAAATATTCTTACTTTTTAAAATTCACTATTGAAATAGCAGATAAATATGAAAATGAAATAATACATAACAGGGGCTTTTATCCGAAAATAATTATTTATTTATATGGCAAACTCTGAGGAATCAAAAATTCAATCGCTAACAAAGATATTACATATAATCTGGATGGGTGGTCCAATCCCCAAAAAACGATTAAATAATATTAATAAAACTGGTCAAGGCGCATTGACTTTATATATTATGAACGGATCAATACCTATATGTAGCAAATTGATACCTTCCAAAACTGGAATCTGTGATCAGGATTGATTAAGAATATCTACAAAAAAGTCTTTCGATATAGAAAATCTGATAGAAGAAGCATTAAGAAAATTGAATTCGAAGTCAGGTATGAGCAAGTTTTAAGATTGGAGGAAAAACTTTCTGCATTAATTTTAAAATGCAAAGCAAAGAATTTATACTTTAAAATAATATAATGCAGCGAGTTAACTATATTCAGCACTCTTGGTGCTATAAAGAGATTACTGAGCTTTACTTAGAGTTTATCAATTTATAGCCCGTTCCCGGCTATTGAGCAGCTTCGACAGAAATCTATAAGTTGAAATGTGAATTTTATTTCAGTGATTCATCATAAATTTATTAGTATCATCAACGAAATCTACGTTTTCTATGAAAAATACTCTAGTCAATTATTGATTTACAGAGACCTAACAGAAGGATTTGAACTTGAACATTTTATTGAAGATTTGGATAAAGTAATAAATTCGTCTCCTTCGGTGGATATTAGAATGTTGGAAGATTATCGATTTAAAATTCTGAATATAAAGGAAGATATATATAATAAATGAAATCAAATAGATCAAGTTGCTTTGAGTCGGAAGAGATTCAAAACGAAAACTTGACTTTTATCTCAAGGATTTGCAAATGTTTAAGATAATTAATAATTCCTTTTTAAAAGATTGTATATAAAAGCTTTTAAATTTTCTTGCATATCTATGAGGTAATTGGCTATAAAATATTCTAGTTCTCTTCCTTGAAGCTCTACTCTTGGCCTTGGATTAATATTTTTATAATTTAAATAAATTATACAAACACATAACCATTTATTCTCTGTTAAGATGTCAAAAAGTCAAATCAAATTATAAAAAATTCAAGTATTATCGAAGACAAATATTTAAAGTTCATTTTTTCACTGCAAAATCTGTAATTATAGCAGAATTTGATTCTTTAAAAGCTATTCCTCGCTATTTTCAGAAAATTCTTGTTTAAAGTTCATACAATTAAAAGTTCCTTCTCTATCATTATTCATATGCTCCTGATCAAAGCAAGTTATACTTGTCTTTGCATCAGGATAATTAATGCACTAAAGGATAAAATAATGGGCTGAGCAAATAATAAAATGCTGGAATGTATAGAATACATTCTTTTTGCATTTGGATTATGGACTCTTATAAAGGGATATCTATTTGCGCATTACTCTTTCAAGTCACTAACTCCTCCAAAAGCAAGCACAATTTTCTCCTGCTCATAGAAAGTTATCTCTTTTATGTAAAATTATTTATTGAATGTTTTTTAGATTTCAAATAAATGTATAGTTTAATTTTGAAAATTTAAAATTAAATATAAATATTTAAATTTAATGGAGCAGATCTAGGCCTATTATAATGATAATAATTAAATATTTAATTATATTCAAAATATAATATTTAAAAAACATAACCTTACTTAGGGGTAATCTCTCCAAAATGATTTTTCAATGGTCTTACCTATTCATAGAGGTTAAGGTCTAATACAGACTTTTCTCAGTATGGTCTTAAAAGTTGGGCGCTAGTAACTGCGCCGACAGATGGGATTGGCTTAGGATTTGCAGAGAAACTTGCTTTTCATGGGTTTAATCTTGTCCTCGTGGGAAGAAACTATGAAAAGCTCATGAATTTATCCAAAAATTTAGAACAAAATTTCCCAATTAAAACTAAATCAATAGTAAAAGACTTTTCATTATCGGCTAAAAATTCACACATCTCCATCCTTGATTGAGCTGATACCATCGAGATAAAAATTTTTTGGGAAAAAAATTATTAGAAAATTTTTATTTAATGTGAATATGTTTATATTAAATTTTAATAATAAAATATTTTATGAGTTAATTACTAAAGATAGAGTATGCACAGCATTAAAGAATGCTCGAAAAATCACTAAAATGGATTTAATGTATAATATCTAATTTTAATTACTATCAAAAATGGGCAGTTAAATTTGTGGGAGGATAGGTAGCGAGTTATGTGCTTAAATATATTAAAATCGATCAGTCAAGGAGAGGGTTAATTTTCTAATGTTTGGGAAATTTTCAATGATGTCGTTCGATCAATTTGAGGGGAGTCAGGAGTTTTTCCAAGACATAAAATCACAAACTGAGGGTCTAGACATCAGCATTGTCGTATTACAATTAAAACAAAATTAGTTCCACAGAGCAAATGAGATATTAGGTTTCTTATATAAATATGAAAATTACTCCAACTTTAATAACTCCCCCTTCGAGATAACCCTCCGTGAGTGAACAAAATTGTTTATGAAAAAAATATTTTGATATATAAGTGATAGCTAGTATAATGAATTTCTAGCTAATACTGTATTTTAAAAACATAAATTCTACAAATTAAATAAATATTTGCTTTCCAATTTTTGCGAAATTTCGATAAAAAATTTTTTTATAAAACAAAATTAAATCCCCTCATGATCGAACAGAATTTTTTTGTTAGCTCACTGAGGAGGGGAGTAATCAAATTAATGCAAAATAGCATAAACAATGTAGGATATGGAGCTGATGGACCGCTCCATACAGTCACTGAAGCTGATCTACTCAATATAAACTCTCTGAACATTTGGCCTGTCGTTTGTTTAACAAAACTATACATTCCTGGCATGCTTAACAGGAAAAATCGGAGCGCAATTATCAATTTAAGCTCTCTTCTCGGCACCTTTCCAGTCCCTTATGGTAGCTGCTATTCTGCTGGAAAAAGCTTTATATCAGCATTTAGCTTAATAGTAGCAGAAGAAGCTTGCTATTTGTCAAGGCAAAAAAATACCAATATTGACGTCTTGACAGTTACCCCTGGATGTGTCCGGCACATAGTTTTAATAGAAAAATTTTGATAGTATAGCATTTCCTTGGTAAATTTTGTTGGAAATTTACCTCATAAGACATTTGATAAAAATTTAGTGTTTTTCCGAGCAAATGAAATACGAGAAAATTTCGAAAAATTTACCTAACATCAAAAAGTTTCAATCAACGGCAAGTAGCCGATGGGTCGATACTCCACTAACCAAGAAATATAAAAATATGCCTTGTTTAATAAAAAAGGAAGAGCATGTAGAAGGAGTACTAAAAGCGCTCGGAAAAGTAAACTACACAAGTGGGCATTGGAAGCATCAATTGCAGTCAATTTATGCTGCCTTATTCAGAGATCAAGCGTCAGGGTCATATGCAAAAAAAATAAAGAAAGTTTGAAAGGATTCAGCCAAATAATTAATTATTATTTTGGAATAAATATATAAATTATTATGGGTTGAAAAGATGCTTCTTATCTTTGATCGGCTAAATTTTTCTTGAAGCCTCTATTTTTGAATATTAATATATTAACTTAGAAAGGTTTACAATATTAATATTATTTTTTCATGTCTGAATTCCTCTGATGAAATATTTCCCATTTATCAAATATAAATAAATTGTAATGAATGCTCTTGAAATTCGTTTTAGTTTATACTTACTATATGATATTTGAATGATGCCCTACTTGCAAACGGTCAGCAAAGTATTCGTTATGAGATTTAATGTAAAAAAAAGCTTAAAGTTAGACTCTAAATAAATAGATTTAAATTATTTGCATGGATTCTCAATTGATAGAAATGCAGACTGATAATCGAGCAACTGGCATCCTCTGAAGCTAAATTTAGCTTGAGACTTAAAAGTCGCCAATAACAAAAATATCATTTTTCTGAAGAAAAAATAGGGATCTATGAATAACCTATAAAATAGGAGATGTAAATAATTATAATGGCTTTATAATTTAAAAATAATTAATTTGCTTTTACTCCCAGAAATAACAAAATTACCTTTTCTTGATGCATCAAGAGCAGTTACTCCTTCTTTATGAACATTTTCACAAAGAATAATTTTTTCTCTATCAAGTATCAGCATCTGCCCTCCCTCATCTCCTGCAATAATACTCTTTCCATCTGATGACCATACTATAAAATTTATGAAATTTTCAACATAGAACTCTTTAAGCATTCGATTTCCTTTGAAATTCTTACTCCTCCCCCTCTGTTACAGAAGAAAACTATTGGAAAATCCTTATTTTTGTCCAAAAGCCTACTCTTTGTGAACGAGCATAGAATTTTTTATGAAAAAATACTTTGATTCATGAGTGAAAATTAATATAATGAAATCTCTAGTTAATTCTATCTAATTTTAAACAGCTTGCTTTTAAACATAGTTTTTAAAAATTACAATAAATATGCTGCCCAACTGGGATTTTTTTAAACTGAAAAAAATTATTATGATATATTAAATTTTTTAATAAAAACTCAACCCCTCACAAGTGAGCAAAATTTTTTGGTTCACTCACAGAGGTGAGGAGTCAGTTTTGTCTCCTAAATATCAAATCTTTATGACTTTGTCCAAGCTGGCAGAAACTAAAAAGTTTCCACAAGGAGAAATACTGAAAAGTTTTGCATCTTGATTGTATTTAACAAAGCCTGCTACTAATTCTTGGTTTTCTGCCTTTCATATGCATATAGTGTCTTCACAATTTCAGCCTCTCTTGTGGGAGGTTGGTGTCGCCAGCTTACGTTGGTGAAACCAACCCTCAAAGTGGAAGTCTGACTATCTTGAGCATTTGCAGCTTTGAGAATTGGTTTCACCAACATAAGCTGGGGAAGCCAACCCCCAAGATTGTCTCAGGAGGCATAGGGACAAGAGGAGATAAACTGTGAAGACACTATATTGATTTCTGACCACTGCAAGTAATTATAAATTCTTCATTGCCAAATCAGCAGCACGCGGACACTCTTTGCTGGCCAAGCCACGATTGGATTTGCAGTTTATCTTTATCAATATCTATTATTGTCACATCCCCTGAAATCTCACAGGAAAGGAGCTTTTTCCCATCTGGAGAAAATTGAATTCTCTTGGAAGGGTTGATAATCATTCTGAATCCTTTAAAAGGATATTTGTATAAATATCCCATATTTTGATTTTAGAGTCAAAACTGCAGGAAGCTATAACATTTACAGACCATGAAATACAGAAATATAGTTGCTGGGGATATCAAACTCTCTAAAGAGTTTTTGATTTTCTAGAAAAAATATAAAAATCCATCCTTTTTCAGTTGAAATAGCAAAATACTTGCTATCAAGCAAAAAGAAGCTGCTGTAATTCCATATTTTGCAACAGCTTTCTTATTTAAATCTAAATCAAAATCGATTTTTCAAGCTCTCAATGTCCCGTCAGTCCTTCCCAAAACCAAATAATTTAATTGAGCAAATGCAAGAGCCATCACATCATTTTTATTGCAAATTTCAAAAATTTTGCTTTGGGCTTTTCTGTCATAAACTATAATATTATTATTCCTCAATTTCACAGTTAAATATCTCCCACAATTAGAAAATACAAAATAATTGAAAGACATAATATAAATTGCCTGAATCAACTCAAACTTCTCCACATTGTATATGAATATTGAAGTCTCGATATTATTTATAGCTAAATACTTGCGGCAGAAAGACGCTGAATAGTAAGCTGAATATCTGCAGGAACTTTTTATGCTATTTTCCATCTGATTTTTCAATAAATCTCATTTTACAAGAGTACCATTTTTATATAAAGTAATGAGACTTTTACATGAAAAAAATGAGAATTGTGGAATATCAATGCTATTGCAGATTTCCAGTGCTATTTGCCCTGTATTAATATTATAAATAAATGATTTTCCATTTCAACCTGGCTGCATTAAGCAGATATAAGTGTTGCAAGGTGAAAAGTTTGCAGTGCTCCTGCATCCAGTAAAACTTGCTAATTTAAGTTTAGTAAAAGTATCTCATAAAATTATTTTTGAGTCAGAACTGGCCGAAACTAAATAATTTCCATTGTCAGAGAATAATAAGTATTTTACATACTCCTCATGCTCTATTAGAGAACCAATTTCTTGATATGTTTCTAAGCTGTATAGAAATATCTTTTCATAGTCTGTAGTAGCGAAAAATTTTCAACAAGGAGAAAATGCTAAATTATCAGGAGCTCTGGCCAATTCAGCAATAGGGGCTTGTTCTCCAAAATTTGTGTCAGCCATATTGCAGTTTCTGAAATTTGAGTCATATATATGGGATTTAGAGAAATTGACACCAGAAAGGTTACTTGATTCAAAATTTGTATTAATGAGCATTCCATATGATAAGTCTGCGTTTGGAATGCTTATTCTGCTTAAGTCTCTGTCTGTAAATAAGAAGTCTGGCTTATTAAGAAATGTGATTGCATTGCTTGCTGCTAGACTTACTAAATCTGTTGTTCTTGATAGTAAAATTATGCTATAAAGCACTTCTTTTAGGCTTTCTGTGAGAGAGTCTTTTACGAAATCGCTAATAAACTTGAGATCGATTTTATTAAAATAACTTTCTTTTAAAGGAGAAATGTCTTTTAAGCTTGGTAGATCGTCTATGCATTTCTTTGCTATGAGGAAATCAAGATTTCGTTTAGTGATAAGAAAAGGTTGATTGAAAAAAAAAAATCTGAATAAAAAAGCATTAGGGTGAAAATTTTGTTGAAAAAAATTTTTGGTTCTTTTATCACTTTTATAAAGTTCAATGGTCTTATATCTTGGCTTTCTTGAAGTTGATTTTCAGTAACAATTTGTTCCAAGAATTAAATCCATTTCAATTAGGTATATTAAGTAAAATTTGGATTTATAAACAGTTATATAAATAATTTCTTAAATATAAAAATGAATTAATCTGTGTTATAGCAAAAATCTACTTTATATCTAATCTCCATAACTTTACAGTCCTATCATTGCTCCCAGTAATTAAAAAATTCCCACATCTTGAAGAATCAATTGAAGTCACACTATCGATATGAGCATTAAAACTAATAAATTTCCCTGTGCATCTATCCCATATCGCTATGGTTCCTTGTGAATCGCCCCATAAGCATTTTGTTCCATCATAATTTCATTTAATTGACGTCGTCAAATTTTCCATACGAAAATCTTTGATTACACAAGCTCCTTGGAAATTTTGATCTATATTCCCTAAATACCAAACCTTTATATTTTTATCCAGACTGGAAGAGATTAAAAAGTTTCCACATGTAGAAAGACTGATCAAAGTTACTTCATGGTTATGTTTAATAAACTCACTCCCCCGCTTTAAATTGGAACAAAAATCCTGTTCTAATTTAAAAGGAGATTAATTTGATATTTTTATAAAAAATCATATTTAAATTTTTCTCTTAAAAATTATTTTAAATTTTTTGTATCTTAAAAAATATAAATTAAGCTCAATAATTTGAATTTTCATTTATTTTTTATGGAGAGAGAGATATTTAAAAAAATTAACCGATTCATCGTGAAATTGTTTGGATAGAGTCTTACATGCACTTTTACCATAAAATAGTTTAGTATTTTTTTAAATATTTTTAAATATTTTTTACAATTTTTTAAGAATATAAATTGAATAGTTTAAATTTTTAATTAAATTTTATGAAGAATTATTTATTCAGCTAAAAAATGTTTTAAATAATATTCTACTTGGATTTTGTCAATTAAACTAGGTCAAAATAATTTTATAATAATTAGTTTTTTTCATTTAACTTTTTTTTAAAATTTTAAAAAAAAATATATTGAGTATAACAAAATTAATCGATTCAGTGTGGAAATTGTTTGAATAGCGTTCTATTTGTTTTTTGTCTATTAAATTAGGTTAATACAAATTTAAATCTTCAACTTGATTTTAATTTTAAAATTTTTTAAAAAATATAAATCGAGTAGAATATTTTGAATTGAAGACCTATATATAAAATCAATCGATTCAGCTTTAAAACTGTGCAATGGCATTCTTTTCTCGTTTTATCTATTAAATTAGGTCAAAACTAATTATATAAAAAATAGTATTTTATCGATAAAATTTTCCTAACTCCCCCCCCCCCTTCCGTGAGTGAACAAAAAAATTTTGTTCACTCACGGAGGGGGGTTAATTTTTTTTTTTTTAAAAAAAATTTATATATAAATTTTATAAAAAAAAATTTTTTTTCGAAATTTAAAAAAAATCCTAATTCACAAAAATTGGAAAGCAAATATTAATTTAATTTATAAAATTTATGTTTTAAAAACCCAATTCGTTTGAAATTAAACAGAATTAGCTCTAGATATCATTATATTAATTATCATTTATATATCAAATTTTTTTTCCCATAAAAAATTTTTGTATTAAAAAAATTTTTTGTTCACTCACGGAGGGTGGGTTTTTGGGCAAAAAATAGCGATTTTTCTAATGATTTTGTTCACTCACGGGGGGGAGTAACGAAAACAAATTTTGTTCCAATTTTAAAGGAGTATTAAGGACCAAAAAAATGTGAATTTTACCAATGTTTTGTTTCAATTTCAAAAGAGGGAAGTCAGCTATTAATTCTTGATTATCCGCCTTTCAAATGCTGATTGATCTATCGGCACTGCAAACTATTACAAATTTTCCACACTGAGATCAGATTCACATATGAACTTGTTGACGATTTGCTTTTCATTGGCTAATCATTTGGCCTTTTTCAATATCGAAAATATTAATTAAATTAAGCCTACTACACGAAAGAATTTTCTTTCCATCAGGAGATATATAGAATTTTCCCATAGATGGCGCTGTTTGCCTTTGATTTGCCCACTGAGAAAATTTTTTTGGTTTGACCAAACCATATGGTACTGGTCGAACCAAAAAATTTTCCCAGTGGCCAAATCAAGGGCAAACAGCTCCAAATTTGGGAAAATTTCTATATCAATATTTTTATTTGCTTGAATTATCTGTAATGGAGAGCAGGTATAAATATCTCAAATCTTGATATAATTATCTATACTTGAAGTAGCCATTATATTTCAGGATCAGAAAACACGTGAAATTCAATGATTATGAGCCTTAAATTCTTTAAAAAGCTTTTGATTTTTGGTAAAAAATATAAAAATCCATCCTTCTTCATTTGAAGCAGCAAAATATTCACTGTCAAACGAGAAAGAAACAGTTTTTATCGCTGTCATATTTTGCTTTGCATTTGCTTCAAAGTTTGGAGAGATTTCTCAAGACTTTAGTCTTTGGTCAGCTGTTACTACAAATAAATAATTTCCATCTGAAGAAAACACAAAAGGCTTCATCTTCAAATTTTTTTTATTGAAAATGTTAAAAGTATTACCTTTTGATGAAGACAAATCAAGCACCTCAATATATTTATCCTCAGCTCCTGAGGCTAAAAACCTTCCACAAGGTGAAAATGCTAGCTCCCCCTCTGTGAGCGAGCAAAATAATTTGAAAAATCCCTATTTTTGAGGTAAAACCTACACTCTTGAGCTAACAAAAAATTTCTTATAGAAAAATATTTGATACATAAATAATAATTAGTATAATTAAATCTCTAACTAATATTTTTGATTATTAAACAGCTTATAATTTTTACAAATTTATACTTTTCAATTTATTTTTTTTAAATTTCGAAAATAATTTTTACTATAATTTTTTTAAAAAAATTTTAATCCCAATGCAATTTAGCAAAACTTTTTGATTCATTCACCGGGAGACTAAATAAGTTGGATAAGGCTTTATATCCAGCTTTGCAACAAATTCGAATTTATCCAAATTATATACATGTATTCGACAATAAGTATAAGGAACTGCTACGTATTTACGGCAGCTAGATATTGCAAAGCAAGTCTCAATATTTTGGCACTTTATACGCTCTTCGCTGCCATTACCTCATAGATTTCACTTACTCATGATGCATGAATAATGATATAAAGCTATTAAGTGAGTCCCTGTGTGAGAAAATAATGTAAATTTTGGTATGAAATTTCCATAACGTATTTTATTTATTACTTGGTCCAAATTTATATCATATATTGATATACAACCTTGAGTAACGCAAAAAATAAAGCTAAGGTATGTTCCGCAAGGAGAAAAATTCATAAAATTCCTGCATCCATTAATTACTCTAATTTTACTTTTTTGATAAGTGTCCCATAAAATGGCCACTGAATCTGAGCTTCAAGATCCTAAATACTTACCATCATCAGAAAATGTTAGAAAAGTTATCTCCTTATTATGCCCTACAAGTTGAGTAATTTCTTGATTTTTTTTCAAGTTATAAAGTCATGTTATTTTATTACTGACAATAGCAAGAAATCTGCCACAATTAGAAAACTTAAAAATTTCTGTGGTCGTTTTTATGTCAGTGACTTTTTCTCTGAAATTTACTTCAGTCATATCGCAGCCTTTAAAATTTGATCCAGAAATATAAGCCCTAGAAAAGTTAACTTTATGAAGGTTGCTTGAAGAAAAATTCGTGTTGTAAAATATTCCATATGATAATTCTGCATTCGGGATTTTAATCATACTTAAATCTTTATTTGTGAAAATAAATCCTGCTTTATTGAGAATTGTGATTGCATTACTTGAGGCGAGATTTAATGAGTCAGTAGTTTTTGATAATAAAATTATGTTGTAAAGAACTTCTTTTGAGCCTTCTGTTAGGTAATCTTTGATATAGTTACTTATGGGCTTGAAATCAACTTTATTGAGATAACTTTCTTTTATGGCACCAAAATCCGTTAAATTGGACAAATTTGCTATAATTTTTTTTGCTAAACTTAAATTTATGTGTTCTTTGGTAATAGGAAATCTTCGATTAAACTTATAGATTAATAAAGCGTTTGGTGAATTTTTCATTGGATCTTCAAAGTTAATATTCACCCCTTTCTTTTCAAAATTTCAGCACCTTTTGCTGATTTTATTAAGCTGTGTGATTATATTTTCGGAGAGCTTGCAAAAATGGTGCAAAATCCTCAAAAATGCAAAAATTGCATGCAAATTCCTTTTTTTATTTTTGCGAAAACATTTTTTTGCTGCATTTTTTGAATTTTCATCATTTTTTTACAATTTCTCGAATTTTCTATATTTAAAGACAAGCTGTGATGGTCAGTTGAGCTTCTTTTAAGAATTAGGTCCATATTATAATATATTACTAGGAATCAAAATACCCATCTTGCTGTTTTTATATTCCAATTTGTAATATGAAAAACTAATAATTAATAGAATCCTTCTCAATTGGATCATAATTATTTTGCAACCTTTCTGGGTATATAAATTTTTATTTATTGTTTATGGCATTTAGGTTTCTTATTCTTATTCGGTGATAAAATATAAGAGCTTTCTTAGAGTTTTTATGGATCAAGATCTTAGCAATAAGTTTTAATTTTTCTTACTAGAAATAAGTATGCACACTTCTCTGTTATATGAGTTTTTGAATGACACTGATTTTCTTATTAACGAAAATTCCTAAAATTTCATAAGGCTCGCTCAGCTAATATAATTTCCACTTTTAGCCATTAAACTAAGCATCCTTTTACACTCTTCAAGAGTTAAATTTGTAGTAAATTTATATTATACCATTTTAAAGAATTTTTCTGTTCATTTCTTTATTAACTTCTACTTTATTTATTTATTTATGAGGCAATCCTCTCCTATAGAGCCTTTCTTATCAAATCTATTCCAATATTTCAAATTCAACTTTTAAATCTCATTTATTATTGTCTATCTTATCGAGACCATACTTCATCTTGTAAATTCTGGGCCACTGCAATAATCTATTATATAATCTTCAAGATTTATAAAGATAAAAATCTAGAGGCAGATTCTGTTTAATTTTAATATCTTTGTACTCAATAATGTCAACACCCTTACTATTAATTTATTTATGGGAAACTGAGTGCTTTCTTGTGATTGTTAACGGAGGTGCCTAGTAATGTTTTTCACATTTACGAATTTATCTGCGAGGACTGGGGCGGTCCTTTTTCTGTAAAGGCTGGAAAGATGGCACTTTGACTCCTGGCAGGCTCCTAGAAGCTAATCCTTGGAATAAAGTTGCTACCATCGACTGACTTAGGGCTGTAGAAATTTATAAGCCGCCCACTTACAAGCGAGCATTAAAGTAAGGAAGAAAAGGTCTAATACCGATAATGCCTAGGCAATTATAGAATTTGCAAAGAGGATGACCCCCTGCTTTTTGAATTTTTTTGGTGAATGCTTCCCCAATATGCTAAAACCTACCCTTTTAGCAAGCTAACTAATTAACTAGCTATTATTAATTTAATTAGCAGAGCCAACCATTTCGTTAAGAAAGTAAATTTAAACTTAGATTTTAATCCCAGATAAATCAATTTGTGAGCTATCTATTGGCTGACTTTCGCAAAAGTGCTGCATACTGTCAACTTGTTGGCTAGCATTAAAATGATGGCTTGTGTCAATCATAGTTGATTTGTTTACAATAATATACTTCTTTTCAGGATTTTTTGAAATATCTCTAGCAGTTACCACTGATGAAAATTGGAATAAGAAATACAGTGAGATATTATTTGCTTTGGGAGTGTATAAAGGGTTTTCCATCACCTTCAAATGAATAAAAAGAGTTATTAATGCAATCAATGCCCACCCAGTGAGTCTCATTACAATCCATATTGAATCCTCTTTGAAATTCGGATTTGACCAATAAATACTAGAAATCGCAGCACTTCAAATGATTGCAAAGAACGATACACGAGACCATAGATTGGTAACGTTATGGTTAGAAGGCTCAAAAACTGATGCATAAACCAATAAAATGCTCATTATAACAATAAAAGCAAGCCCAAACAGAGCCTCGCTATAATTTTTGAGTGTCAAGTATAAAGTAACCAATGCAATCTGGAAAATACCTCTTGCAACCAAATAATGAGGGTTTATCACCACATTTTGATCATCATACAAAAATTCCCATCTCGGTCTAAAATAGACAGTTGAAATCATAAAGAAAATTAATGCAAAAATTGAAATCATAGCAAAAGCTAAATGCTTGTCATTCCAACAATAAGTTTTGCAATCATACTCCCAGTAACTTTCTGTTATACCGTTTCCGCTGCCATTTTCACATTTAAATAATGTAAATAGTATCATTACAATAGGAATAAATCCAAAATTCGCAACAAAAGGCAATAATTGGTTAATAGCCCAAATACAGTAATTTATTAAGAAAAAATCCAATTTGGCTAGTTTTTCATCAAAATCTCAGCAGACAAAAATGCATGAAGCAAACCAAAGAAAAATAAACCCTAATGCAAGATAAATGCTTGTTCAAGAACTTTCTTGGCTTATAGTAAATTTTGATGCATCCCCAATTACAGCATAAAGAATATCAGTGAGATTCCAATAGTTCCATTCAAAGCTTGGGCTTAGAGCAAGAAATTGGGTAAAGTCAATAACAATGTATGAGTGCTTAACGAAGTCCCCAAACTTTGCCAATCTTTTATGAGCTATCTTAGGAAATTTGAATTTTCAAGAAGCTTTCAAACATATAAGAGAAAATGCTAACGATATAAGTGAGAGGATTCCTATAAGCAAGCAATAGAGCATTTTACCAAGCTTAGATTTTTGTAGCAGGTGAAGGTCAAATGCGCAATCATATTGATCCAGTCTTTTGTCATTTGGATTTATTGTTGTTCCGTTTGGCCAAATTATTACTCCTTTTATAGTGATAAGAGGATTTTTACCGATTTCATAGAACCCAACTGAGTTATCTGCTCAAGCTCCAGTTGTCTTGTTGTAAATAATGTTATTAATGGAAATACTTTCATCATTCGGCTCATTGGAATCAACAGCAATTTTTAATTTTCCTGAACACCCAACTATTTTTTGCTTCCTTATTGCAGCGTTCATAACGTCTGGGTTTGTATAGTCTTCTCCATACTGGATCAAATTGTTTAGTGTGTGTATTCCGAGCATTGCAGCATTAAATGAATAGCATGTTCCGATTGCTCCTATATTCTTGGTCTGGTCAAGTTCCGGAATTAACATTTTTTCGATTTCTTTCCCATATGATCCAGTAAACTCTGATGGGGTGAGAGATATTGACCCTTCAATTAATTCGCTTATTTTTGCGCTAATGTTCTCTGTGAGAAAGCAGAAATATGATTAAAATAGCTTGCTTGCTCATAGATAATAAAAACTGCGTCACCTTTTCTAAGTCCCATGTCATAGAACTGAGAAATCAAATAAAATTGCTCGTTATTTTCCAGAAATACAAAAAATGCGAAAATTCTTCCAGTAGTCTTGATTGCGTGAGAAACCACATAAGCATAGTCATTAAAGTCTGCTGGAGAGTAGAAAGGCTTTATCATTCTCTTATTCTCATCATTTAAAATATTAATTCCTGCAGCTTTTGCATTAGTTAGGAAAGCATTATAAAGGCTAAGACCAAATGTTGAGTTTTCATATATAGCAACAATGTCTTTTCACCCAAAAATTGACATCAAGCTTGGAATGATGCCGGCATGATAAGCCAAAGTCTTAGTAGTCCTTGTAAATTTGGGATAACTCTCTTTGCTTGTTAATAATGGGCTTGGGCAACCATCTGCTATCATGGGTATTTGAATGTCTAAGAGGTTAAAGTCATTAATTGTGCCAAAGCATACGTCATTAATTATAGAAGGTATGTAAAATGAGCCAAAATTCCCAACCTCTTTAGCTAAGCAATTATAGGAAAAATTATGATTGTAGAGTTCAGCGCTACAATCTGTATTATGTGTTTTTATTATGTAATTTGGGATCACACTTATAGAATTTGCATACCCAATGGCAAAAAGAGCTCCTGTTTTAACTCATATATTAGAATAATAGGGAATTCCATTATAGTTGCTTTTACCTGAAGCTACTGAAATTGTTACAGCAGCGTTCTTCGAGTCAGGGTACTTCAAAGTATTTCCCGGGAAAACTGGTGAGATTTGAAATTTTACATTAGTTTCCTCGATTGATCCTATAATCACTCTTTTATTATTTTGTATATTAACAATCGAAAATTGGGGTATTGGATGATTTTTAGAATTTAGTGCAACTTTTAGCTGATTCTTGATTGCATAATTAGAATCGTTTGTTAAATCGATATAAGCCAATATTTTAAGCACAGATAAAGCTTTATAGTTAGCCAAACTTGTTGCGCTTTCCAAATCTTTTTCAACAACGATAATAGTGCCATCTGCTTCTGCACCTCACAAGCCTTTACTACTAAGCAGCACTCCTGAATTTTCTTTGTAATTTTTTTTTGTAATAAGAGACGATATAAGCTTTCTAGCACCTTCTCCTTCATTTAAAATAAGAATATTAAGCAACCCTGATGGCTTCACTTGAACGCCGACCAAATCGTCAGATACATTTTGGCTTTGGGAATTGGGAAAAGAGAAAAATTTAATATTCTGATCGAGCTGATATTCTTTGAAAATATTTGTTAGTTGGGTTGACTCAAATGACTCGCTCTGAATTATTACATATTGCGACCAATTGAATAATCTTAATATGCTATTCAAAGCTTCGTAATGTCTCATTTCAGGAAGCAAGGTAAAATAGTCCCAATCTTGGAAGGATTCTGAAGGTTTGCCTACTACCAGATGTAGAAACTCCAATTCTGAAGATACTTTTGATATTTTGCTGCTAAGAGCCAGGCTTGAAGTTGAGTCTATAATTATGCTAGCGTTTACAAGTAGATTTTGAATTGGAGTTTCTTGAGTGATTTCAATTACTATGGTTTCGACCAGTTGGGAGTAGTTTATGTTAAATGATTGAACTAATGACTCTAAAAGCTGCTCTTCAGTATATTGACTGTAAAGAACGTGCAGGAATTGGATTGCTGACGCTTGAATGATAAGAAACCAGATGTATATCATGCTAAAATAATAATATATATTATATTGAATGCGCTTTCATCTATTCTTATCAAAAAAGCCAGCAATTATTATTTTCGAATAAGATGCCTTTTTTTATTGAAGGATCTGCAATAAAGACAAAAAATCTGATTATAGAAAAAACTGGTTTCTAACTCTCCCTCCGTGAGTGAACAAAACTATTAGAAAAATCCCTGTTTTTTTGCCGAAAAACCCACCCTCCGTGAGTGAACAAAAATTTTTTTAATACAAAAATTTTTTATGGGAAAAATTTTTGATATATAAGTGATAATTAGTATAATGAAATCTAGAGCTAATTCTGTTTAATTTTAAACGAATTGGTTTTTAAAACATAAATTTTATAAATTAAATTAATATTTGCTTTCCAATTTTTTGCGAATTAGATTTTTTTAAATTTCGAAAAAAAATATTTTTTATAAAATTTATATATAAATTTATATTTAAACAAAAAATTAACCCCCCTCCGTGAGTGAACACAAAATTTTTTGTTCACTCACAGAGGGGGGGAGTAAAATAAATCATATATTTGTTTTAATCATAAGATTTTTAATGTATAAATACTAGTTAGAAATTTAAATTCAGATTTATTATAAGAAAATTTGAATTTTAATTATTCCAAGCTTAAATTTTTGCAGAATAATGCTTATGTTTATATATGCAAGATTATGACACTGCAAGCATTGCTAATGATCAATCCAACCATTATCATATTTCTTTTTAATAATGAGCCTTTGAAGAAAGTAAAATAGGACACTGCACAGTGACAAAATAGCTTCCGATCTGTAAAAAGGAATAACTCTTAATTTTATAACAGAAAATTTTGAAGTGCTTCCTAATATATTTGAATTTATTATTAATATGGATTAAATATAAAATTCATATTATTAAAGCAATAGTTAAGAGGCATATAAAGGTTTTCTCTGTTTTTTTATTCAAATAATGATAATAAAATTGTATTTAAGCATATTCTGAGCATTCTTATTAATAAAATAATATCAATTTGCATAAATAATTGAAAAGAAATTAAAATGCCACTTAGATTTAAAGTTGAAAGCGGAAATTATAATTATCTGAGCAATTTTGCAACTGAATATGCTATAACACCTTTGAATGTTAAGGTAGGTAGATTTTCGAAAGAGCCCTATGCAACTTCGATTCAATGTTGGCTGAAAAAATCGCGTAACACAGAGAAGCTTGTAGACTTATTACTCATAAGAAAATTGTATCAAATTCATTTTAATTCCTAAAATTTATCTCAAGCTCGCAAATAGATTTAAAGAAAATTATTGAAATATTGTTTAATACCAAAAACTCCTGAATCGGAGCAATGCTTAATACACAAACAGAAAACTTAAGCGATGCAGGCTTATCATGTGTATGCTTATCAATAATATTTGTTTTAATTAGATATATGGTCTTTGCAGTTGTGCAGCAATAACTTCTTCAGCTTCCGGCGAATCTCTTGATGCATAAGCTTTTACTCCTGATGTTTCCACAAGCAATACGGTGCCTGTTTCTTCTTGGTATTGAATCTGGTCTTTATAGAATTGTATTTTGTCTTCAACATCTTCATCTTTGTAAGTTCTTCCATGAATCTCAACCATCTCATCTCCATCTAGTTCAATATCAAGAACAACGTAGTCTTCAATGTCCCTCTTAAGATCTTCTATAGTGACAACAAATGGAGGCATATACCAGTCAGAACGTTTTCTAATCTTTTCAACAATTGCTGCTTCTGCAGCATCTTCCTGAGCTTCTACGTCATCTGCAGAGGCAACATCACTTAATAGGATAAAGCTTGGTTTATTTTGAGTAGCTGACATCGCTTGAAAAGAGCATAAGAAAAGAACTGTGAGGGTTAACTTCATTTTCAAAATTTAACGATATTTTAATTAAGTGTAAAATGGAAGAAAAGAAATGTTTGATTTAGGTTTAGAGATATCCGCTTAAAGCGCTCTAAGATTTGGCTTAATACAAAATTTCTCAAATTATTTGACTAATTCTTATTCCAGTTTGCAAACCGCTGAAGAATGGATTTAAATTTATTATTTTGGAAATACTGAAACTATATATATATGATCATCTAAACTTTATTAATATTCTGATTATTTAATAATTCTTTATGAGTAACTAAGCTTTAATTATTAGTAATGAAGCTATTATCCTATATTTTAATTATTACTTTGCAGTCTAAGTGAAAGTTTTTGTGCAAGCAATTGCCAGTCAGCTTTGTAGTGCAAGATTGATTCAATAGAGAGGAGTGAGGTTTTTATGGTTTATTCGACAATATAATAAATTTAAACAAGAATTGCCTATTTAAATTTATAACTAACCAAATATATACTAATCCATTCTCATATAAATAATGTGCTTGCTCAAGACTCTTACTCTCTCCCCATTTAATAACGAACAAATCTATAAGTTATATTAAAACAATATTTTATTCAAAAAAAAAATGAAAAAATACCAACTATTTTTAAAATGTATTTTTATTACAATAAAAATTTTTAGCACAGATAAATAGAATGAACTGGTCGGTTATGATATAAAATTTAAATAAAGATTTATTTCATGGGCTGTTTTTTGTCTTTCTTTTATGTTTTTTTGCTGAGCCAAGCTATTTTAAAAATTGAATAAAACAAAAGTGGAATGAATACATTTTTAACAATTCTATTACCTTCAAAAGAATCTTTTCAAATGCATGGGCCACCGAACTTACAAAAAAATAAAGGGATTGCAAATAAATGAAGGCCAAGAGATGCTCTGAGCCTAATTGGGAGTTTGAAGTCGAATATTCCTGCATTTGCCCTTCTCCTGAGTCTTATTTATGCAAACTCCACTGAATAGATCTTTGTGAACTACCTAATAGAGATCACACTTTTGAGTCTGTCTTTTTAAAGCCCTGTGAAAGGACGAAAGAGGTAATCTTTCAAACTCTGAAACAGGCCTTGAAGAGCTCTTAAGAAAGTTGGATTTGGATTAGAAGAAATTAATGATCAATGCGAAAAAATTTCAGAGGCTCAAAAATATCAAAATTAAAAAACATCCAATTTTAGAACTCTTATCTTTGCAATGATGCAATTGAGAAGCTTATATCAATTTTTCGAAAAAACTAAAATTTTAATAAAGTGCAAACATTTTTTGTGAAATAAGCAAATTTGGTGTGCGCTATCTTCCAGCTGGGCAGCATTGCACTTTTTCATCAGCTATCTATTTCAAAAAAATGTTTATTGCTTTGGAGGAAGATATATGAATTTTTTCTAGTTAACTCTTTCCGAAAGATTTGATTTAGACCATAACCAATGATTTGAATTAACTCCAATGCTGCAGCCTAATTGAAAATGCAACTGCGCAGTGCTATATGAGGACATAATAATTGCAGGGTAGACAAATCGAAATATTTTGAGTTCGCAAAGGATAGGAGGAAAATCTTGTTTAATTTAATTGAGAGCGGAGTTGATGGAATAATATATTAAAATGGAATAGGTGATGAATATACTTGAAAGCTTATGGTTCAGCATGAATGGGACCTCAATGAATTGCGTTACAGGAGCGTTTTTCTAAATTCCAGAAAACTATTCAATACCAGGTATTGGTCAGCCAAAAAATCAATCACATTATAATTAGTTTGCTGTATTTTAATACTGAAGCATCATTCAAAGCAAAGCAATATAATTATATATAAATTTATTCTCTTAAGATCCTATATCGAAGATGAAATGCCTGGGATAGAAAATGAGCCTGGCGAGAGTCATCCAACTGTGGAATTAGATGAGACAAAAGTACTTAGAAATGATAGATGGTATCATGAAATCAGATGGGCTTTTGGCGTATATGATCGTGGCACTAAAAAATCCGGAATCTTTTATGTTCTGCAAACAAAAGTTATGATGAATCAAAGAATTTTATACATCTTTCAGTGTACAATAACCCATAAAATCCCACTGAAATATGAACTGATGGCTGGCGTACATATAATCAGTTAAGTAATGATGGATTTAAGCCCAATGTTGTCTTTCACAATCGTAAATTTGGATCAGGTAGGGAAACTACAAATGTGGAGAATTTGTGGTCGAGATTAAAAGGCTTAAGACATTTGTATTTAATTAGATATATGGTCTTTGCAGTTGTGCAGCAATAACTTCTTCAGCTTCCGGCGAATCTCTTGATGCATAAGCTTTTACTCCTGATGTTTCCACAAGCAATACGGTGCCTGTTTCTTCTTGGTATTGAATCTGGTCTTTATAGAATTGTATTTTGTCTTCAACATCTTCATCTTTGTAAGTTCTTCCATGAATCTCAACCATCTCATCTCCATCTAGTTCAATATCAAGAACAACGTAGTCTTCAATGTCCCTCTTAAGATCTTCTATAGTGACAACAAATGGAGGCATATACCAGTCAGAACGTTTTCTAATCTTTTCAACAATTGCTGCTTCTGCAGCATCTTCCTGAGCTTCTACGTCATCTGCAGAGGCAACATCACTTAATAGGATAAAGCTTGGTTTATTTTGAGTAGCTGACATCGCTTGAAAAGAGCATAAGAAAAGAACTGTGAGGGTTAACTTCATTTTCAAAATTTAACGATATTTTAATTAAGTGTAAAATGGAAGAAAAGAAATGTTTGATTTAGGTTTAGAGATATCCGCTTAAAGCGCTCTAAGATTTGGCTTAATACAAAATTTCTCAAATTATTTGACTAATTCTTATTCCAGTTTGCAAACCGCTGAAGAATGGATTTAAATTTATTATTTTGGAAATTAACTTAATATAACTGAAACTACCGACATATGATCAAGCTAAACTTTATCAATATTATATAATTCTTTATGAGTAACTTAGCTTTAATTATTAGTAATGAAGCTATTATCCTATATTTTAATTATTACTTTGCAGTCTAAGTGAAAGTTTTTGTGCAAGCAATTGTCAGTCAGCTTTGCAGTGCAAGATTGATTCAATAGAGAGGAGTGAGGTTTTTATGGTTTATTCGACAATATAATAAATTTAAACAAGAATTGCCTATTTAAATTTATAACTAACCAAATATATACTAATCCATTCTCATATAAATAATGTGCTTGCTCAAGACTCTTAAATAAAGATTTATTTCATGAGCTGCTTTTTTGTCTTTCTTTTATGTTTTTTTGCTGAGCCAAGCTATTTTAAAAATTAAATAAAACAAAAGTGGAATGAATACATTTTTTAAAAATGCTATTACCATCTAAAGAATCTTTTCAAAAGCATGGGTCATAGAACTAAAAAAATCAAGTGATTGCAAATAAATGAAGGTCAAGAGATGCTCTGAACCTAATTGTGAGCTTGAAGTCAAAAATTCTTGCCTTTGCACTTCTCCTGAGTCTTATTATGCAAAATCCACTGAATAAATCATTGTGAATCGCCCAATAAAGATCACACCTTTGAGTCTTTATTTTTAAAGCCCTGTGAAAGGCAAAAGAGGTAATTCTTGGATTTTTTGAGAAAGAAAAAGTACAGAAGGAGAAATCAAAGAAAAAGATTCTAGCTCCTTTAGCAAAAATCTTTCAAACTCTGAAACAAGCCTTGAAGAGCTCTTAAGAAAGCTGGATTTTGCTCAAGCAGAAATTAATGATCGATGTAAAAAAATTTCAGAGACTCAAAAAATATAAAAAATTAAAGAAGGATCCAATTTGAGAACTCTTATCTTTGCAATGATGCAATTGAGAAGCTTGAATCAATTTTTCAAGAAAACTCAATTTCTAATAGCAGTACAAACATTTTTGTGAAATAGGCAAATTTCTTGTGCCTATCTTCCAGCTGGGCAGCATTGCACTTTTTCATCAGCTATCTATTTCAAAAGAAATGCTTATAGCTTTGGAGGAAGATATATGGATTATTTCTAGCTAGCTCTTTCCGAAAGATTTGATTTAGATCAAAATCAATGATTTGAATTAACTCCAATGCTGTAGTCTAATTGAAAATGCCACTGAAGTGTTTTATATGAGGACATATTAATTGCAGAGTACACATATCGAAATATTTTGAGTTCGCAAAGGATAGGAGGAAAATCTTGTTTAATTTAATTAAATGCGAAGCTGATGGAAAAATATATGAGAGCGGGATAGTTGATGAATATACTTGAAAGCTTATATCAAAATCAGTGATCAGCTGAAGAGATTCTGATCAAGTTTATTGCTATTAATAGAGGAGCATTTATATTGGGTGCAAAGATAGCGATGGCTATTATAAGTTCAAAATAGATAAAAAAGAATGGTAAGATCTCAGAAAGCAGTGGTTTAATTTTTTAATTTCTTTTGTGTAATAGACTTAAATAGTATACTCATTAATTTGAGGGTTAGTAGTCACGAGAATAAAGCTAAAAAGAAAAGCTGGGTCAAGAAATTCATGGGGAATATATATTTTCATGATTAAGCTTATTAGAAAGTCTGCAGCAATTCAATTCTAATTCTGTAAGAATCATAGTCTTAACAATTCTTGCTTATTTAAGGAATCCTAAAACCCCCCTATAAGGATTTTTCTAATAATATTTGATTATTCCATCACAGCAGGGAAACCTAAAACATATTAAGGCAACCTAAGAATCATCAATCATATTTGTCCTTTAAATTAATTTTAAGAAGTAAAAGACTTTAGGATAAGATTTAGTTAAGGATTAACTCTTTGGAATTCTAGTTGAGGCAAAATGAATTATTAGCGAAAGAATGTTTTTAAATTTGCTTTATTATAAATTCATTATAAAATGAGTAAGAAGAAAGCTGCAACAAAACCCAAAATTGCTGCATCACTATCGCTAGCTTTAGTTTTAATTCCTATTTTCACCAATGAGCTGTCATCTGAATAATCGATGCAAGAAGGCCAAGCTGGGTAGTTGTCACAAGCAGTGAAATAGCACATATAAATCGATCCTTGTGTTAATCCTGAAACAGTCAAAGTTGTGTTCTGGTTTTTTGTCCAATTTCCATAATCCGCATGTGCAGGGTTAGAGTTTGCATTAAGACCATCAATTACTTGCCATGCATAAGTGTTCAAGTCTGACTCTTCATCAGTGCACGATACATAAACTGTTCCTGCTTTGTCTGAGGTCGCCATAAAAGTTGCAGCAGTCTCTCCATATATTTAAAATGATGTGGCGAATCACTACCCTCTTAGCATCTGTAGCTGGAGTGACTCAAGGACTTTGTGGCGTTCGTTGATGTGCATTCTGTCCTGGGCTTCGAATTTCCATCTTGGCCGATAGGCGATTAGAAAATCCTTTTTCGATTTTCTGGAAGCCTGTCCCCATTGAAGTAAGGCATGGTTACCCAGTGCCTCTAACTCACGGGTATATAGTGCAAGCCCTTGTCCGTGAGAAGAAGCACATTGAGAGGCAGGCTGAAATTTGCAAACAAGCGGTGAAGCATTACGGAGGTTAAGCAGCACCTACCGGAGCTTTTCGATAATCTAAATTAAGTTTAAGCAGCATTCTCTCCGATTTCTATTACAATTGGAGTTTTAACCCATGATGGTGCTGTTCCTCTAGTGGTAGATCCTGCATAATAGCTGGAAGTGGTATAGCTGTACAAGCTGGAGAAATCAGAGGATGCCTGAACCTCATTAAGATTCCCAAGAATTGTATCAGATGAGTAGCCATCTGCTAAAGCTCTGTCATAAAGCACGTTATACGTAAATGTGGAGGTTGCCGAGGCTTGAAGGAGTCTGGAAGAAGTGGAAGCATATGATGTCAAAGTGAGCCATGAAGGGTTAACACCCATATTCTTAGCCAGCACGTTTCTGATATTGTCACTGCTAGTCTGTGGCACACTTCCACTAAAAACAACAGATTTGGTTGATACACTTGGAAGTGCTGAGGTGATGACAGGGACTGTTTGCGCAGTATAGTTGTAAGTGATGTTAATGAGTCTGTTATCCACATATGCAGTGAACACATACTCAGTTCCAGCCATAAGGTTATCAAGGATTACTTGAGCTGAATTGTCAGCGTAGATGACTTGAGCGTTAGCATAATAGGTGGCACAATGCCTAGCGTGCATTCTTCTGAAGAAAGAATTGATATCTGTGTCACCCATTGCTGGATTAACATCGGTCTCAGTATTATTGTAGTCCATATCTTTAAGTTCTTGGTAAGAATAAGTATTTTTGACTGGAGAAACTAAATCAGCAACTGCTGAGACAAGTTCAGGGAAGGTAGGAATTGCTGATCCTTTGCAAGAGAAGCCCCAGTAGAGGACTCCGTTTTGAGGAGAACTTATAGATAAGGTTGCTGAGTTTTTAGTCACAGTGCTTTGGGCAATAATAAGAGAGGGCTGTGTTGCTTTTGAGTCAGTAGAGGAAATATCAAGGGTTTTAGTATTAATCGGCCCATAGGCTGCTGCATCTGTTCCAGAGATAGTAAATGTGATAGTTGGAGCAGTCTGAGTTGCAATATAATTAGTATAGACAGTAATTTCGAAGAATTTTACATCAGAATCCTTTGTGAACTCTAGAGAAGTCGGGGTTAATGAAACCCCAGCCGAATTAGCTGCAAGAGTAATGGTAATATCGGTTGCTGGAGATAGAGGCAGCGACACTGCAATTGGGATACTCTTATATCCTTTATAAAGAGTTGGAATATTCGCTACTGTAGGCACAAGAGTAGTTGACGGAGTACAGACTTCTACCATGATGCTTAGAGGAGGGCTATACAAGTTAGCAGTGACACCTGGCTGCTTCTCTTCTTCAGTTGTCCAGTCTATGTAGTAAATCCCTTGTGGAGTCCCAGTTTTGGCTGAAATTCTGAAAGTGATTTGTCTTACCATTTGATAAACAATGAAGCCAAAGTGAATTGAGGTGTACTCGAGGTTTCCGTTGTCAGGATAGTTTGAGTTAGCTGCTGGCTTGAGTTTAAGAGACTTGGATTTCATTGGCCATGACGCAGAAATCGAGATGGGGATGTCTTGACTTTGAGTTCCTGGTGTAAGCTGAATCTTTCCTTTTCCATTTTCAGGAGCATAAGAGTTGGCACTAATATCAGTCGCAGAAGGGTTGAGACCAATATATGCTGCATTCAGGATATCGTAGCTTTTCGCTGAAATGGTGGTGGCAGAGGTATGGATGGCAGAAACTCCAAATCTGTTAGTCCACTCTGAAAAAGACCCAAATGCGGCTGTATCTTTCATGTCCCACATGGAGTCAGTCCTGCTGAGTCCCCACTGTGCATTGCTGATGCCTGACAGATTGATTCTAATCCTATCAGTCGCTAAAAAGGTTTTAGACACAGATGTAGGAATAGTCAAGGTGACTCTTCCAGTTGCCACATCTAAGCTGCAAGTAGAAGTGGCTGAGTTCCAATCATTAGCTACTGTTGAGTCAGTATTTGCTGATCCTGATTCATCATAATATTTTGTGGTGCAAGCAGTTGTTGTTGCTGAACTAGAAAGCTTAAGGTTGAACTGAGGAGGGAAGTGAATTTCGAAGGCATACTCACTATTGAAGGTGCCAGCACAGTAGAAGTCAAAAGAATAAGTTGATGTACCAGAGAGAAGAGTGTTGTCAATAACAAGGTCTTTGAGGGTCAATGAGTTTGCAACAGGGTCTGAGGTCTTCGCGCTGATGGCTGAGTTTTGGTAGGCTTTAAGCGTTCCACTTGAGCCATATTGCCAAATGTTGAAATTTCCTGTAGTTCCTGACTTTGGGTTTCTGATGCCTTTGACAGTCAGATCTAGGCCATTTGCGGTAGAGCCTGGCTTAGAAATGCCAGAAACTTTAAGATACCAGTGGTCTACTGCGCACGTAATGCTTCCCAGAGTGGTAGAGCTGCAAGACAAAAACCAGTCTCCTGGGGCACAGTCAGGATAAGTATTTTCTGCATCTCCAATATATGCGTCAAAATCTCTTGGGAACTGAATAATGAAGTAATCTCCGCTCACAACCTCTTGGGTGCTTGAGAAATTGAATAAGTAATCAGAAGCTTCTCCAGCATTGTCGACCTTGCTAGGTTTGACAGATGTAAGAGTTATTGCTCCTGACGGTGCTGCGTTTACTGTAAGAAGAGCTCCTGGGGAGCTATCTGAAATAATAGTGGAGCTAGCATATGTCGCAGCTATTTGGAAGCCAGTTGAAGTTGTGCCTGATGAGCTTGGGAGAGTGATAGCACTATCTAAATAAAGCTGAACTGTAGAGCCAGACGTTATTACATATGAGAATGTTAACTGGACTTTTGAGTTAGTAACAGAGCAGTCTGTATAAACCACACTTGACCAGCAGTAGTCTTTGATGTCTCCTGACTTAATCCAGGTACCAACCCCACCGGGCGATATTGTAAGGACACTATTGGCTGGGAGTGTCTTGCTTAATGTAAACGATAGAAAAATATCAGCATTGGCTGCCCCAGCAAAATTGGGGATTGCGGTCGGAGTAATTGTTGAGGTCCCTGGATCTGGAGCAGCTGATAAATTGATGGTCTGGGAAAAGCCTGATCCAGAATCAATGTAGTTATTTTTGCTGTCTTGAGTAGTCACAGCACTTACACAGGACGCAGAGGAGCCTGATGAAGGTGGAATGACATGGAGAAAAGAAACAGTGATGGTTCCTGCTGAAAAATCGGATGATGCAGTAATCTTTGTGGATGAGCCTGGTTGGCAGTTGCCAGACATCCCAGTGACTGTGCAAGATGCATAGGAGTAAGACCAGTTGGTGTCCATGGTAAGAGTTACAAAGCCATCTTTCGGAATTCCATGAGGAAGGGCTACAGTAATTGTGATTGTTGAGTCAACAGAGTCTGGTCCTTTTAATGAGCTCGCTGAAGAGCTGCATGATACATCTCCATTGCTAATCGTTCCAGTGCTGATTGTATTGGAAAATTTTGAAATGTCAGCGGCATCACAGGTACTTCCGATGTTAGCCGCAAGGACAACAAACACATTAAAATGAATATTGTTACTTCCATTACTTGCACCCGCATACTTTGGGGCTACGATTCCGGCAACTGATATATCAGACCCTGCTGAAGCAAGTCTGAAAGTCCCATCATCAATTCCCAATATAAAGCTGCCAACAGAGTATTGGTCGCTCATGGTAGCTTGATAACTCGCTGTTGGAGACTTACTAGCCACTGTAATTCCAGATCCTGATAAGGTGAAGCCTGCAGGCATGCCTACTCCAATATAGCTCCCAGTGGTTGTAGCTGCAGAAGTTCCTGCACCAGAAATTGCTAAGGTTTGAGTTGCAGATATGCTCCAAGTCGTGGTAGAAGACCCAGTTGATAATGTAACTTCTGAGCCAGTAGTGTATGTAGATTGAGAGCTAGTGTAAAGATAATTTTTATTATCGGAGCCCGATGGCGTATAATAAATTGTAGTAGTAGGGGTCAATACTATTGAATCTGATAAAATTCCTTTGGCAATATATAAAGTCACAGCGCTCCCTGCTTTTATTAAGCCCAATCCTTTTACAGTGATAAGGGTATCAGCATCACTGTTTGTCTTTGATATTGTGCACTTCGCTCCACTAACTGTTCCTGTGCAAGGGAGGTCGCTATTATCTGTTAAGCCAGTTCCCAAGTTTGCTCCATTTGTGATTGCGATTTCAAGTGTGAAAACGTTGGAAGTTGAAGTAAAGTCTATATCCATGATCACAGCTGTAAAAAGCGTTATAAGAGGAATCGCTCCAGAGGTAGGAGTGCACAAAGGTTTGGTGTAGACGTCATTCTCTTCCAAATTTCTGATCAGTACTGAGAAAACTGAGTTTCCTACCTCATTAGTCGTTGACTTGGCCCAGCATTCATAAAATGTCGCCAAGTTTGAAGCAACATAAGGCAAGGCCGAGTTTCCGTGGTAAGCAAAAATGAAATAATTGGACGCAGTTGGGGTAGTGACGAAACTTGCAGAAATCGAACTCCCACTCATTAAATAAGTTATTTTTGTACTGCTAGAGGCTTGAAGGGGTGTAGCTGATGAAAGAGCGTTTACTAGGTCGTATGTTGTTGCGTCATTGGCTATATAAGAGGTAGTGTAAGAGAGCGAAGAAGAAATTGAGAGATGGACTGTAAGACTTGTCCCAGCAACTCATGTAATGCTTGAGCCAGGGTAGAATGCCCAATACAAGTCGTATGATTTGTAAGCTCCATTTAAAAATCCAGCAGTAAAAGTAGGAGAGCTTGCAAGTGATGGATAGTCGTTACTACCTGTCGCAGCATCATGGTATGAGTGATATTGGAAGTGGCCAAACACTTTATTAGATGTGCTAACTTCCCTCTAGTCTAGCGAGTAAAATTATTTATTTTTTTAAAAAAAATTTACATAAGCCAATGTTTGAAAGGGAAAATCTAGTTTAACATGCGAATCTAGATGTGAATTACCATAGTTATTAATGATATATGCCAAAAAATTTCAAGCCTATAGTTTAGTTTTCCTATGAATAGAATTTTGCTTAACTATAAAGGAGAGAATTAAGAGGCCACGTAGATGGGCTGGACACAGTATCAATTTCAGTCGTCCCGGTGTAATATGTGGTAATTGAAGTAATTTTAGCACCAGTAGTCAATGCTGTTAACAAAGTAATAGAAATTGAGGTAGAGGCAGCAAGTTGATTTGTAAAAGAAATAGTTACTTTTGAAGAGTCTGAGCTTGAGATAGAGCAGCTAGCGCCCTTAATCGTTGATGATAAATAGCATTTCTTTCCTGAAGAAGAACTCCCATCGAGATCTTGCCACCAATTATTTGTAAGATCAACGTTTGAGAACTGAATAACTGCTGTCCCGCTGGCTGGAATTGCATGGGTATTAGTAAAGGTGACAGTTGAAAACAAGGACACTCCAGTTGGCACTGAGCTTTCATCAATATCGCTAACTGCATCCCATGAGCCAAAAGTAAGCGCACCTACATATGTGGAAATTGGGCCACTTCCAGAGTATTTGGCAAGTAAGTTATTAGTGCCGAATCTCCAGATCTTAACTATCCACGAATTATTTGATGTCGATTTTACGTAGCCAGGGAGAACGAAAGTAGAAATCTTGAGCTTGACTGAAAGAGATGTTGTAACTAGAACGTCTTTGTCAATCCCATATATGTAAATACTCTTTGAGCCTGTACTTGTATATTGAGGGCCAGTTGTGTCGCTGCTAGAGGTTGCGAGAGCGCAAGGCAAGTTGTAGCTGCCATCATACCCATAAAATTGGTTAGTTACCCCTTGAATATCTGCAGAAGAGCAAGAGATTGTCGTAGAAGTCAAGCTCCAGTCTGTGTCAGGAATAATTTCAATTAGATCGTGTCTCCAGAAGCTTTGGGTAAGAGAAAAAGTGAAGTAAAGGCTGTCTTGAGTTGAAATAACCGGATTTGCAGTTCCTGAAACAGTTGAGACTGTAACAGTTGACGAACTGGCCACAGAAGCTGTGGTAGAAATGCAGCCAAAAATGTAGTTTGCGTCAATGATTTGACCTGTGGAACTAGTTCGAGAAATAATCCCAAATGGCCCGTAAACAGCGGCTCCAGAAGGTAAAGTAATAGGAAACGATATATAAGTGTCTTGATTTGCTGTAAGTGTCTTAGTAGTACTTAAAGAGCCAGAAAGTCCAGATGGAAGGATAATTTGGACAAAGCCACTCGCCAATGTTGAGGTTGGTCTGAAGTTAAAAGTAATAGTAGTTGTTAGACCTGAATTTGTCCTTGCTAGTTCGATAGGAGAGCTCACCCAAGTATCTTTTGGCCATAAGATTCTTCCAGGATCAAGATTTCCATCCTTAGACCCTATTGAGATGCAAGCAGCTAGCTCAATAAGAACGATTAAGCCTATAAGATTTCTCATATTTATAAACGTGTAACCGTTTTATCCGAAAAAAAAATTATACATTTACGTTAGGACAAATTAGAGAAAAATAAGAATTGGATTAAAAACTAAACTAAGGAACTTCATATAGAGATTCTGGGCTTAAAACAATTTTTTTAGTTTAAATTTTGAAAGCAAGAATCCGCTAATAAAAAACTAAAGAAAAGTATTAAATAATAAAGAAAGTCCTCTAAAATATGTATTTTGAAAAATTGATGAATTAAACTCAAAATTTCCTAGTCTGAATTCAAAGTTGAATAAAATGGTGCATTGAATTCGGGCGAATTTTTTCTTTTTAGAAATTTTTTAATTTCAGAAAGGAAACTGAGAAGAGTTAAGAAAGCAAAATAAATAATAGATATATATCAATTTTGAAATAGATTGGCTTAATATTTAAATAAAACTGCATGCTGGTAAAATTATCACCTGTAGAAAATTAATCAAATGATGAATTTTTATTTCTTGCGGAAGAGATTCAGAATAAATGAGACAGACATTAAAAATTTTGCTATTATTTGAACCAGTGCTTATATTAAAATTTTTCTTGAAAAAACTAATAGGTTTCTTTTAATGAATGAGCTGAGTAAGGGAGTTAGACGTCTAAAAAATATTCATCTTATAACTTAACAAAAATGTCTTTTGAGTAAGAAGAATTAAAATGAAAATTGAAATTATCTATTTTCTTTCATAATCAGAATTAATTATAAATCCTTAATCAATTTAAAATACTTCAGAAGATTAAATAAGCATACGAAATAATTAATTAAATAAATAAAAGTTGAGCAAGCATATATGTTTAAATTATGATCTTATTGCATTTTATATTATATTCGATTTAGAAATATATAGCTATTCGACTTAGCTTAAAATGATAAGCTAGCCTTAGATATGATTTTTTAATAAATTGATATTAAATTGAGTTTATCTCTGATCAAATCTATCATTTTTAAATCTAAATTAAGCCTGCAATATCCCTCTTCAAAATTGTGATGACAGAGCCTATTCTAGCTTGTAGAGTATAAAATAATTGATTTTAACACTTGATTATTATCTTTGCCAAACACTCTCTTATGGCTTAATTTCGTTCCGTTAAGCAAGCGGTAGAACAATATAGAAGGGAATGAGGTTTTAGCTTCTGAAAATGGGCTTTTCAGTAGTCCTATATAAAGAATCCGCTCGTGAGTTCACAATTTTTAATATAAAAACTCTTTATGAAATATATTGATAGCACAAGTATAATTATAATAATAAGATCTCAAGCTAAGTGAAGCATGCTCAATATTTTAGGAATAGCCAACATTTTCACATCTTCTCTTTAGTTTCAGTGTTATAAATAGCCAAAGTAGGTGTCTTATTAATTTCTTAGACAAGAAAAAAGACGTTATGTGATGATAAGCACTTATATAATCTTGATAAGCTTGACTTAGAGACAATCTAGAGGGAGGATTCTGGTTTCATAGAATAATCAAATGGTTCGAAACATTGCTCTTATTAAAATTATCCAATTACTTCAAAAAGATTTAACTTTGTTAGGAAACAACTAATTTTTTTCGTTATGCGTACGAAATAAAGAAAATGAGTGTTAGGGTGTTAGGGTGTTAGGGTGTTAGGGTGTTAGGGTGTTAGGGTGTTAGGGTGTTAGGGTGTTAGGGGTAGGGTGTTAGGGTGTTAGGGTGTTAGGGTGTTAGGGTGTTAGGGTGTTAGGGTGTTAGGGTGTTAGGGTGTTAGGGTGTTAGGGTGTTAGGGTGTTAGGGTGTTAGGGTGTTAGGGTGTTAGGGTGTTAGGGTGTTAGGGTGTTAGGGTGTTAGGGTGTTAGGGTGTTAGGGTGTTAGGGTGTTAGGGTGTTAGGGTGTTAGGGTGTTAGGGTGTTAGGGTGTTAGGGTGTTAGGGTGTTAGGGTGTTAGGGTGTTAGGGTGTTAGGTGTTAGGGTGTTAGGGTGTTAGGGTGTTAGGGTGTTAGGGTGTTAGGGTGTTAGGGTGTTAGGGTGTTAGGGTGTTAGGGTGTTAGGGTGTTAGGGTGTTAGGGTGTTAGGGTGTTAGGGTGTTAGGGTGGTGTTAGGGTGTTAGGGTGTTAGGGTGTTAGGGTGTTAGGGTGTTAGGGTGTTAGGGTGTTAGGGTGTTAGGGTGTTAGGGTGTTAGGGTGTTAGGGTGTTAGGGTGTTAGGGTGTTAGGGTGTTAGGGTGTTAGGGTGTTAGGGTGTTAGGGTGTTAGGGTGTTAGGGTGTTAGGGTGTTAGGGTGTTAGGGTGTTAGGGTGTTAGGGTGTTAGGGTGTTAGGGTGTTAGGGTGTTAGGGTGTTAGGGTGTTAGGGTGTTAGGGTGTTAGGGTGTGTTAGGGTGTTAGGGTGTTAGGGTGTTAGGGTGTTAGGGTGTTAGGGTGTTAGGGTGTTAGGGTGTTAGGGTGTTAGGGTGTTAGGGTGTTAGGGGTGTTAGGGTGTTAGGGTGTTAGGGTGTTAGGGTGTTAGGGTGTTAGGGTGTTAGGGTGTTAGGGTGTTAGGGTGTTAGGGTGTTAGGGTGTTAGGGTGTTAGGGTGTTAGGGTGTTAGGGTGTTAGGGTGTTAGGGTGTTAGGGTGTTAGGGTGTTAGGGTGTTAGGGTGTTAGGTGTTAGGGTGTTAGGGTGTTAGGGTGTTAGGGTGTTAGGGTGTTAGGGTGTTAGGGTGTTAGGGTGTTAGGGTGTTAGGGTGTTAGGGTGTTAGGGTGTTAGGGTGTTAGGGTGTTAGGGTGTTAGGGTGTTAGGGTGTTAGGGTGTTAGGGTGTTAGGGTGTTAGGGTGTTAGGGTGTTAGGGTGTTAGGGTGTTAGGGTGTTAGGGTGTTAGGGTGTTAGGGTGGTGTTAGGGTGTTAGGGTGTTAGGGTGTTAGGGTGTTAGGGTGTTAGGGTGTTAGGGTGTTAGGGTGTTAGGGTGTTAGGGTGTTAGGGTGTTAGGGTGTTAGGGTGTTAGGGTGTTAGGGTGTTAGGGTGTTAGGGTGTTAGGGTGTTAGGGTGTTAGGGTGTTAGGGTGTTAGGGTGTTAGGGTGTTAGGGTGTTAGGGTGTTAGGGTGTTAGGGTGTTAGGGTGTTAGGGTGTTAGGGTGTTAGGGTGTTAGGGTGTTAGGGGTGTTAGGGTGTTAGGGTGTTAGGGTGTTAGGGTGTTAGGGTGTTAGGGTGTGGGTGTTAGGGTGTTAGGGTGTTAGGGTGTTAGGGTGTTAGGGTGTTAGGGTGTTAGGGTGTTAGGGTGTTAGGGTGTTAGGGTGTTAGGGTGTTAGGGTGTTAGGGTGTTAGGGTGTTAGGGTGTTAGGGTGTTAGGGTGTTAGGGTGTTTAGGGTGGTAGGGTGTTAGGGTGTTAGGGTGTTAGGGTGTTAGGGTGTTAGGGTGTTAGGGTGTTAGGGTGTTAGGGTGTTAGGGTGTTAGGGTGTTAGGGTGTTAGGGTGTTAGGGTGTTAGGGTGTTAGGGTGTTAGGGTGTTAGGGTGTTAGGGTGTTAGGGGTTAGGGTGTTAGGGTGTTAGGGTGTTAGGGTGTTAGGGTGTTAGGGTGTTTAGGGTGTTAGGGTGTTAGGGGTGTTAGGGTGTTAGGGTGTTAGGGTGTTAGGGTGTTAGGGTGTTAGGGTGGTTAGAGGTGT